TCGGAGATTCAGCTCCTCAAAAGGGGCCAAACGCGCAACACTTAGCTCGGCAGATAGAAGTCAACCAAACAGCTCACTTCTGTAACGGATGCAGTACAATGTAACGAGCCTGTTGTACTACCCTGATGTATCTATCATACTATGCAGAGGGAAGGAGGAAGGGATGGAATGGCGGTGGGGTAGGGTAGCGCTGATTTGTATGCTCTCTTCGGTAGTGAGGCGTTTGATCTGTGCTCCCCAGAGCCAGATTCCTGCGCACAGGCCAAGCCTGTCACAACTTCTTGGAATTGACTTCCGTGAGAGCCCAATCGTAGTCACCTTCCCTGGCACCCAGCCGGACCTATCTTTACGGCCTGCTAAGGCTACAGTTGTTAGTACCTGTTGAGGTACTTGTCTTTCCGATCAGGGCAAAGAGCTCTTAATCTTGTTACTTCTTTCCACCTCCCGGATAGTAAGGTCTTGTTGAGGATCTTGTTGTCCGTTGCCATTATCATCACACCTTAAACCTGCGCGTAGTTTCACTGACCGTCGTCAATATTAAGGAAGAATAGTTATAAGATAAGGTAACGTGATCCACAAGTCATTTTCGCACACAAGTCACTTTCGCACTTTTTCAAATATTTCAACCTTTTAACTTAGCTTGTACTTTTCTTCCCTCCCACAACATGCCTCGTAAATCTAAAGAAGCCGATCTTCAGCTAGCTATCCAAGCTAAAAAGCGCAACCCTGAAATTTCATGGCGTAAGCTTGGCCGTATCTACAACGTTTGCGACCGTACACTAAAGAATCGATTCGACGGCGACCAAACGCGACACGAAGCTAATATGTTAAAACGAAATCTAACTCAAACCGAAGAGGATACGATTGCCCGACGTATAATTGAGGTAGATGCGCGTAGGATATTCGCCATTTCTTCAGAGGCACATAGGTACGAATCAAGGTTGCATATCAGTGCATCTCTATTGTTGAATACTAAACTAGGGAAGAAAGAGAAGGAAAGGGCTACAAGTATGTCTGGCCGTTCTCCTATTATAAGGGGAACGCGCTCGTCCAGATCAGGGCAGGCCATGTCAGGATGTCCCTGCTTATCGTCCATGTGTCAGTCGTCACAGTGCTCCATATGACTAGATAGAATGTCATGCTTTTACAACCTCACAAATCTTTGATCACCTTTGCGTGTAACATTAATCGGAGAATAATAGAAGTAATTACGGAGTAATTAGGAGCTAAATAGCTATATAAATCACTAAAGGTATAAAGAGAAAGGAAAGGGAATAAACCGATCGGGTGTGATGCGAGTGCATATTGGCTGTGAATTGTTGTATTGGAAAAGGATGGCCAGGTCAGCTATTCTGGCCTGGCAGAGCTCTTTTATAGCTCTTATCTTATCTTATCTGTCTTATCTGTAGCTATAGGGTAACCCCCCATGGGGTCACGTATCAGGGTGACTACCTTTTATATTAGAAAAATCCGGGCCGTTAGTACCGACGTAACGGAAATAGGACGGACCGGGTATAGCGACTAAAGAAGTAATTAGGACGATTACTACGAAGAGGGGGGTAATCACGATAAATCAGTTGGAATTATTCTATATAGTAGGGGAAATATTATCGTAATATTCGGCGACTGGACTACGAGTCGTATAATTATCGGCCGGAGCGGAACTAGCGAAGGAATAGGTCTATCACCGTTAGAGAAAATTAGCCGGGCTAGACTACTAAAGATTCTCTATAAGCTATACTACTAGGGACTAGTAGCCTTAGGAGGTGTCACGACCTGGGTTGCATCGCATTGGTAGAGACCTCGATTAGTGTGACGGGCTCACTGCGAAACTATACAGCTCAACATGGCCAAATATTGTTAATTATCTACCTGAGGAGGAAAGTAAAATATGCGAGTTGTCCCGGGAACACGGACTATGTTTTGTATGCCCTCGATGGTTCCTTTGGTGGATCCGGACGCACGGTCCTTCCAGCTCCGGATCCCATATCAGGCACAGCCTGTCACAATTAGGTGCTATCGACGAAGATTCTACTCTAAGGAGCGAAGGAAAGAAGATGACAACTTAGGTTTGAGGGAGCGCGACTAAGTCGTCCACGCTTGGCGGGGCTCCTACAAGGGTTATGATTGGCTTCCCATCTGACACTGCCACGGCAGGTGTTCCAGCTGTAAGTCACCTGGTTGTAGTGAGTCTGCGAGGGTTGACCTTCACAGAAGGATAGTACGCGGTCGGCAGCGGCCGTGAGTATAGGGCTCTTATAGGACAGGTATCCGTATGTAGCTTCCCGGGACGAGGGGACGACGTAGCTCTTATCACGGACCGTAGTTATAAGTAGGAATGTGACGGTTGTCACGTGATTGACCCACACTGGTCTGAACAGATTGATAAGTGGTTGCTGTCAGATAGGGCACCTGGTTCCTAGGTTCAGAAATAATATGGCACTAGAGAAGACTATTGTCACTTAAAGTTCAGAAGGCGAAAGGAACCCCTCTTCCCGAAAGTAACTCCGAAGTTCGGGGTCAGACACCTGAACAATGCACCTCCGACATTTCCGAAAGAATCTATAAAAGGCCAGAGCAACGGGAGTTCGCGAGAACAGAAGACAGAGAAGAACACACCTCATTCATAATACAATCTTATGCACTTCTGACTACTCGATTGGACACACGTGATATTCGACAGTTGCAGATACCAAAGTCAGGGATCGCGTGCGTGCTCCCCGTGCAATTCTACGCCTCGGAAGCATGGTGGCCGTCTGCCAGACGGAACAAGAATGGACGCATTATCTCAAACCGGGTCCAATCCCTAGCTGACCAAATGGATCGAACGCAGAATACCGCAATGAGAGCCATGCTTCCTGTATATAGGACCACGCCAATACCGATCCTGCAACGGGAAGCGGCACTACCGCCAGCAGAAATCGCACTCGACGCAAAACTCTATGCGGCTTCTGTTAGATTACACAAACTGGATAGCCGCCATCCCTTACGCAGGAGGCTCAGACATCCTACGGGCCCCGATTCGAGGTTAAGGCGTATGGCGAGCCTAACCCCATGTCAGGGTACGGCTAGGCCGAAGGCAATAGTACAGAGTGATGGGGAGTAACGGGCGTCCCTCCTACGTAATACCGGGTGGTCACTGGAGGTCTCAGGTAGGGGTGCCCACGGTGATGCATTGATCTCTGCCCTCTCTATCTTCCTCCGTCTCGACTCCTTACTTATAGCCAGCCGAGGTTCTCTCTTGGATTCTGGATGTTTGCTTCCGTATGTCTGTGTTCCTCCGACTTCGGCCAATATCTTGGACAGCGGCTCCTTATCTGCAACCAAGCGATTCCCTATCCGCTGCAAACGGCTTCAACGGCTCTCATTCGCCACAAGCGGCTCTCTAGCCGCCACAAACGGCTTCCTACCTGGTGGAAGCCGGCCCGCCTCGGATGACACTTGTGGCTCTGACAACTCCTTCCCTATCCTACTTCGAGATGGTCCTTATATAGATAGCTAGGCCGCCGCTTGGACCCGGCATAACAGCAGGGTCGGCGATGCCAAGGATCTTGACTCTCGTCATCCCAAAGCTTCACATAGATTGTAATCATGATTCGGGAGTCTTTTGTCCGAAACACCCCTCCGGCGGCCCGCCGATGTCCTGCGTTCAGTGTCCTGACACCCACGGGTGCCTATGGCATTCTGTTCTCTGACACCCCAGATACTGCAGAATATATAGATCCTCTGCAAATACCGCCCTGGGAGCAGGCTGGCGAATGGACCATCACCCTCGCCAAGATCGATTATATCCCAGGACAGTCAAAGGAGGAGGCTGCCCGCTCGTTTCTACAAAGGATAAACGAGTTTTCAAAGCGCGATATAATAATCTATACAGACGGCTCGCTGGCTACCCATAGCGACAGGACTTTAGCTGGAGCAGGCTGGGCTGGTTATCAGGCCGGTAAAAGACGACTCTGCGGGTCCGAACTACTGGGCACTCAGATAGAGGTATACGATGCGGAAGCCCACGCAGCACTACGGGGGCTTCAGGAGGCTGTAAAGCTTCCGTCCAACAGCATGGCAGATAACGTCCACATCTGCCTCGATAATCTCGCGGTTGCGGGTAGGCTCATCTGTCCAAGACCCGGAAGCAGTCAAGCAAAGTTCACCGCCTTCCAAGAGCTGTCCAAAACCTGGTCACAGAGAGAGCGAAAACCCTGGACATCCCCGGGACAAGTGTATATCTGGTGGTGCCCAGGACACGTAGGCATCCCCGGAAACGAAGAAGCAGATGTCCAGGCCAAAGCGGCCTGTGAGCAACCACCCAAGACACAACACCCGGCCTCATTCGCACATATAAAGAGAATCGCGAGATCCTACACTTGGAAGAGTTTCAACGATCGATGGGCCACTACCTGCCCTCAACAGTATCGAGATCTAGGGATCGCTATCCACCCGCGACCCCCCGAACTTGGCCTGCCCCGGCAACACCTAGGCAGATTACTCGCAGCGAGGTCGCACCACGGGGATTTCGTGACCTACCACGAGAGACTCCAGCATCGCGACGCACTGCTCAACTGCGGTTGTGGAAAGACAAAGACACCAGTCCACTTCTACTTTTGCAAGCGCGGCCGCAAGGCCACGCCCGGTCATCTAAAAGCGCATATGGCCAAGAATAGTATAGATTCCCTCCTAGGCACGGCCAAGGGAGCTCGTTTGTTTTGCCAATGGGCGGAGGAGACCAATTTCTTTACTGAGATCTGCCCATCGCACTGAACAGGAATGTTAGATGAAGACAGTCCCCTGTAACATAGATTCGACTAGCATAGACCGTGCCGGCACTGCGCCCGGCACGTCTCACGTGATGAGACGTTAAATTTCAATCAATCAATCAACCAAAGTCAGGGACTTTGGTATTGGTCTCTTTTGGTGAAGACACCTGGTACGGTGGTGTAGTGGCAAGGATTGCAACCCCTGGCGCGGCGTGACAAGGAAGGAGGTACCGTAGTCCTTAATATCTATGTAACGAGGATAAGTATCCCTTGGCTAACACCCAGGCCTGCCACTGCACGTCCCCCGCCATTAATCGACCCGTCTTCAACCTCTAGTTGTTAAAGGAGTCCGAGCTCTATAGAGGACTATTAGTAAGGGACCGTCCGCGGAAAGTATGATACTTACGGCCCTGGGCCCGGGGTGAGGGAAGGCGGACTGGAGGCGACCCCGGCGGCGCTCTTGCTACTTGTAGTAGCGGTTCTCGTTTTCCGTCTAAGAAGCCTACGAGTTAGTAGGAATGAGGGCAGTGAGTACGCAGAACTTACGGTGCGGTGCTTCTGCGATCCCACCTGGCCGAAATAACTGCGCAGCCACCACTCACTAGTGAGGAAGGCCTCCAATAGCCGGTAAAAAGCCACGACGATGGCGACGCGAGAGGCAAGAGTGTGGGCATAGTGGGTGTCGTCCCCCGGATCCCCACTATCCGCCGTGAGCACGAAGAAGGAATCGGTCCACTCTAACCCCGCATCCCAGCAGTAGGCTGAAAGAGCAACCGTATCGTTAGCGAGTCGCATAGAAAAGAACAAGAGAAGGGGACTTACGGGATTGCAGTCTGGCTTGCCCTAGTACACTTAGTATACTTGCCAATAGGGGCCAAATCGTACCGGCAGGAGAAGACCGGCGAGTTAACGACGCCCATAGCGTTGATATGCAGTTTGGACAGAGCGTTCGCCCAAGAGGTACAACAACCGGTACAACAGATTTCCGGGACTTGCTAGCTGTCATAACGAGCTAAGCGGAAGGTTAGGCTCGAGGCCGAAGCGGCGGCGGTACTGCTAGACATAGTGGATAGATTGGTTGGTTGCTTGATTGATTAAAAAGGAAGCTGAGAAAAAAGGGGTGACTACAGTGAAGAAGAAAAGGAACTCAGAAACGGAGCCTGGACGAAGGGCAGGCGATATTTATAAGAAGAGCTCGGGCCACCGTCGAAACATTCACTAACTACCTGTCCTATATTCACTACGTACTAACTCTATTCACTATCTGATAGCCTACCTAGTAAGGGAAGGAGCAATCCTAAAAGGAGGGGGTTACAAGCTACCCCTCTAGTCAGGCTGACTGACGACCCAACAAGGGAGGCGCGGACTAGGAACGTCCGATAACCAGACGAGTCCAAGGGGAACGTCGACCGAGGACAGCCGACCTTGGAGGAGGGATAGTTGTAAGGAAAGAGCTATCATAGCGGGCCGGTCTCAGCTGACAAGCTAAGTCGGGAGGGTTTCTCCCTCAATCCAGTAGAACCCCGGAACCACCTAGTCAAAGAGAACATCTCGAGTGTAACGAAACCTCTAATAGTCTAGCTGCGTAAACCACTAAAGAGTCTGTAAGGGTTTGTGCTAGTAAGTAAGTCCTGCTGCGGAGTCCTCAAGCAATAATATCGGGGTCTGACTTATGGAGTATAGTGCTTTGGGTAACTGAAGTATTCAAGTAGTGTAATCGGGAATAGAGTCGTTAAGGCAGTTTGCCTCACCAATGGGTTAGATTGATGCTTAGATTGATCACTGAAGTAGAGACTGTCTATCTATGAAATGCCTGGGAGTCCTGTCCCTTATATATCCATCTCTCCTTCACTGATCTCGTTGGATCACTTGGATCACGTCGCTCCTGGTGATCCCTATCACGTGACCTCTTCCTTTTGGTCGGGGGCCTAGTTGTTCCTTTCCGTCCTTATGGGGCTTTGTTCCTGCGGGGTTCCGTTATGACCTATTGTAGGGCCTGTCGGGTTGGTTTTGGCCAGGTTAGAGCCAACGGTTCGTAACATCGAGGTGTCGAATATCACGTGTGTCCAATCGAGTAGTCAGCAGTGCGTAAGATTGTATATGAATGAGGTGTGTTGTTTGTCTCTGTGTTCTGTTCTCGCGAACTCCCGTTGCTCTGCCCTTTATAGATTCTTTCGGAAATGTCGGAGGTACATTGTTCAGGTGTCTGACCCCTAAGTGGACCGTAACTTTGGTGTTCCTTTCGGGAAGAGGGGTTCATTTCGTCGTCTGAACTTTAAGTGACACTAGTCTTCTCTAGTGCCATATTATTTCTGAACCTAGGAACCAGGTGTCCTATCTGACACGAGGCGCTCCTATCTAACTTAGATTCCTCAAGAATCAGTCTTGCAATATACGCACCTATAACCCTGACGCATTATAGCTGCTCTTTTGTAACGAGGATACCACACGTCGTTCACATTGACCTCGACGTAGGCGCTCATACGATTCTGCCCTAGCTCACTTCCTTCGTTCACTGCTTTACCAGTTCTTCGCCTCCCTCAAATTCCCTGTCCTTATTATTACCGGTTTCGGGTTTGTCGCCATCAACCGTTTCGGCTTCCCAGTTCGCTAGAGCAGAAGCTTCCTTCTTCCTGTACCTTCCAAGCTCACTGATATCTTTGCTGTCGTATTATGGGCATGCTGGTGGGCGCTGTGAAGGTCGACCCTCGCAGACTCACTACAACCAGGTGACGTTCAGCTGGAACACCTGCCATGGCAGTGCCAGGTGGGAAGCCAATCATAACCCCTGCAGGAGCCCCGCCAAGCGTGGACGACTTAGTCGCGCCCCCTCAAACCTAAGTTGTCATCTTCTTTCCTTCGCTCCTTAGAGTAGAATCTTCGTCGATAGCACCTAATCGAGGTCTATACCAATGCGATGCAACCCAGGTCGTGACAGGCGCTGCGGGTGTATCCGCCCTTGGTCACAAGGCCGCGAGCTTTGAGAAGATGGCGAAGCAGCGACGCGACACCACGGCTGATATGCCAAGATGGAGACAATTGTTGAAGAAAAGCCGAGAAGAAGGAAGGAAATACGAAGAGGTATAACACACCATCTACAATAGCAACTGTGCCGCTTTCGGCTTAGGCATAACTGTGGCGCTCAATGCCACAGCCGAAACAGTCGCACAACCTGAGGCACGGCCGGCGGTGATACCTCAATTGCGTCAGTGATTCTAGCATTGGTAAAACAGGATATCGGCTCTTTGATGTTCCGAAATGTCATTGACCCGGCTTTAATTTATTCCCCCTCTCGTCGCGCCTTGTTGGCAGGGATCATGCTCATTTCCTTCCAGTATTCTCATATTCTCATGGACGACGGGAATGCAAAACACACTCATTTCCGAGCCCAATGTGGCATTTGTGGTCTAGAGTTGTTTGCCGGTGTGAGCTTTGTGCCTTGTAAGGCCGCGCTATTATATGCCCCAATCTCTAATACGTACGTTCTAATGTTCTCACCTCTAGTGATATGCTGCGAATCGGTTCTTTGCTTGGATAATGCAATTTTCCCCGAGAATGGCAACAAAGATCTTACCCTTGATGGCAATTTATTATGTTGGTCCCCAAGCTGTCGGCGATGCGGCCTTTCGCCCGAGGCAGTAGCCATACATTCCGACTGTTTCAAAATGTTCAAGAAGGAGTGCACGACTAAGGATGCTCTTAACCGGCTATGGACGGCGGTGGTATCGCGAAGCCCTTGGCGAGGAGCCCCAAATTTCCAACTCGATCGTGACACAAACCTCGCAATAGACCTGGTTTGTGAAATGGCAGAGAAATATGGCATCCCCAGTTTGCGATTGCTTCCGCCGGAGCTCATTCGGATGATACAAGACTATTCCCAGTCTGGAACGTTTTGGCGCTATATTTCCGTTACGAGCTTTAGTAGAGAGCTTTCGGTAGCATCCGTAAATCCAATTTCAATCCTTCTATGCAACATTTCAACGTGGGTACGGGGAAGAGAACCAACTCTCCTGGAATCACCAGGACACCCATCGATTATACGTCTGACCATGGATTCCCGAGGCATCAGGGAGATCGAAAGACTATCACACAGACCACCGTATCAACATTGGCGTTCGGATAACATGGCGTTTGCTATCCAGGAAGAAAGCCATCTCGGAAATATCACTACACAATACAAGGTCGTTCCGCTCTCAAAGACTATGGTACCTAGGTCTAATGCCGTACAGTATAGTGTCTTGCGCCTCGAACTGCCTGAAAATTTCCGAGGGTTCCATATCTGGGATATGCCCAACCCTCCCCGTTTGGAAGACTGCAGATTCTGTGGGCATATACCTCAATCTACACGATTTCGAACCATTGATCTGCGTGGCGCTACCGGTCTCACCTTCTTCTTTTCGTTTAGCAAGGTTTATGCGATCCACGCCCACACACCGAAAATGCCGCATGCGAAGAGAGAGTTTGAGCGCCTCACTAAGCGCCGTCAAGCAGATATGGCTTGGGTATATCTCCCCATACCCAAAGGTGATGACATCACTGCTCTTGGCGTGCGGGTGAGACATTCGGAAGGGAGGTTCATAACACAGAAGCCTTGCTTTCTGGTAATCGCTCCTATACCGATAACGCAAACCCCTTGACTAAAAGCCCTAGGTCCGCACTAAATTAGCTGGTGATGTCTCTATCGGTCCCTGTCGCCGAGGGAAATATAAAGATATCATTCTCAGTCAATTGAACCCAAGCCTGTTCATATACAATACTGCTGATCTTGGCCCGGCCACCATTTTCGGGACATATTCTTTGGAGCAACGTAACGACATATCTTTCTTACCATTCCATCACCGTTCGTCTGATGACGCTTCCATCCACCACGCGAATTTCTCGTCAGCCCCATTAAATAATGTCACTCGTATTCAGGTTTTCGAGGACGAAGAACTTGGTTTCTGCAGAGCCATGTTGTTCGACTACGAGAATGGGGCTCGGCGTGCGGTGGGAAATTGCCGACTAGGTGTCGATCCTGCGAAAACGTACCTGAATCCTTCGCGCATATGCTACTGTTCTACTCAGTATTTATCACAGCACTCAAGTGTGGTACGTCAGATGATCCGAGTTGAGAGCGGGTCTGAATCTACGCATCGTCACCAAATACATACCTGGGTTTGTTCGGCAATGGAAGGTAACTTGGAATTCTGGTTTTCAGGAGAAGAGTCCATCATCACGATCGTGCTAGAGACAGAGGATAAATCCGATTAGCGCAGTTTAATATCATGGAAAAGGTATGATTTAATCCTTCATTTATTTCAAAGTGAATAAAAAAGCATGGCTTGCTTACTTCAGATTACAGTACCATGCTTTCCCACTGACATATGTTATAAGCAACTTTGCATCTGTTTCGGGAAAGAAGTGAGTCCTCCGCGATAGCGGAAGACAGGACCATGTTAATAGCCGGACTTCGAAGGTTCGAGTTCACATGGCATCCGAGTTTAGTCTCTAGACTGCCGCTAGATTTAGTGGGAAGTTGTGACCTCAGGTGTGGAGGAGTACGATGTTACACGCAAAGGTGGTCAAAGATTTGTGAGGTTGTAAAAGCATGACATTCTATCTAGTCCTATGGAGCACGAAGGTTGGACTTAGTCCCAAAGGGCTAAGTCACGTAGTAACCTTGGTGGGCTTTGCTAAGACCACCAAGGTTGCCTAACATACGAGGCAGGCAGGTACGCGTTGCAGCATTTAGGGATCCCTCGGGACCAACTTGGGATTGGTCCTCACGCACCTTCGGAAGTACCAATAAAGCCCATAGTACTTGGATTCCTACAGAGAAATTATGACAATTGGGAGGGCCTTTTCTTTGTAGGGATAGTGGGAACTTCGGTTTCAAGGATCCATTACTGCCTCACAGCATCAAAGTCATACGAAATCGGGACTATCTAAAATTAACGATTAGTCTTAGGATTAAAGAGCGATATTTTTAGTAGCCCTTTATTTACTCTAGAGACTACATTATCGAGCTAATAAACCCGCTATACGGCCTGACGCCGGCGGGAGTGTTACAGCAGAAGAGGACTAGGAAACTTCTAGCCGTTCGTGGATTCAGACCCCTCGTATCTGACGACGCCATCTATCTGAACGAGAAGACGGGTGACTGTAACAACAGATACAGACAGCATGGAAGGCCAGGCGCAATCATCGATTCCTAAACGCCAGTAGTAAAAATGTACAGAGAAGGAAACTTGCCCCTTCAAGTCCTTTCGGTGCCTCGAGCACCATGTAAGAGCTGGAATGTAAGGAATAGTTGTCACGGCGGGCCGGTCTTGTCAGCTGAGTCGGGAAGGTTTCGCCCCGTTACACTTTCTAGTCTATTTTAAATAGTCTGGTTTAACTAATCTGGATTACAAGAAAAACAGTCAACTAGTAAGGTGTTACCTTAACTAAGTCAAGAAGGCTGTAAGTTGAGTTATAGAGGGAGGTATAATACAGAGAAGTGATCCGGTTATACTTACCTTCATACCTAAAAAGGACTGCACTTTCGAAAACCTTTTCAGAAACTTATCGCATTATCTTAGCAACTCACTAATTCACTCAGTAACTGCTCTAATCGAATCAAGACTCTATAAACAAACTTATCAGTAACTGATACAGTATGGGAAGTGTGCAAGTGATACCGCGCTGGTAAAGGCACTGAGGCCCAATAGACTAGAAGCGATCAACTTGTCAAGTTAGCTTTCTGCTGGAGCCTTTACGTCACGACTAAGTCGTGCCTTCCTTCTCATTCGTAGCAACAACCTCCCACCGGAGCTGTCAACTATGGAAGTCACCATCGTGTTTTCCAACAAAACTCCTTATTCATTCGTTTCCTCCTACAGTTCTCCTTCCAACTACGACTTCAGAAAAATAGCTAAACAGACCACTTGTTGTTCCAAGAGACTAGCGGAGAACACTCTAAGCAAGGAGGGCTTAAAATCCCCTCCGAAACTCACTCGGATCAGTCAAGGTATCAAGAAACAGACCCAGCAACAGAATAATTCTCACCCTCCTCCCTTGTTAAGAGAATGTTCAGTGTCTAGGTTATCCTTTACGTCGTCAGGATCGAGCCTAGGCAACTTTATCAGCCCTAATACCTTTGCCGTCAAACAGAGAGTGGGCTCTAGACTCACTTAGCCTGCTCACTCGTCGAAATGATATGTTTAGCAGAAATTCGGAAGATAGAGCGTTCCTAACGGCTAGAGCCTAAGACGTCCCTATCTAAGACCCAAGATGAAGGGATTTCTCTATAAACCCCGTATTTGAAGGAAAGTCGGCCAATAAAGCTAAGAAGTTAATATTTATTTAGAAGGCTAAAGACGCCTACATTCGTCGTCCCGGTTTAGACCCTAACCGACCTTTCCCTTCCGTGGAGTAAGTACTTAACCTACATAATAATCTCGCCCTATTCAGAATTTTGACGACGGGCAGTGAATGCCCGAAGGTTCAAGGTGTGATGATGATGGCAACGGATAGCAAGATCCTCAACAAGACCTTACTATCCGGGAGGTGGAACGAATAACAAAAATCGCGAGCCTTTCTTGCTCCGATCAGGACAACAAGAGTACCTCAACAAGTACTAAAAACTGATGCCTAACAGGCTGTGTGTCACAAGGGAGGACCAAGCCCCTAGGCCAATAGACCAAAGATCTAGAATGCCAGTGGATCACTGACACATGGTCCCACTAACTGCTATATACAGCACTATGTGGCTCTATAATCGCCAGCGCTGTGACACGTACCATACAAGCAACCCTTGGTCGTTTTCGTTTCACTATGTCCGCGGTTAACAAGGACGAGAACTGTTAGATCCTGGTCATATGTAATCGGAAGTTTAGCATATCATACTGATTCGATTCTCTCGGCGGTTCTTAACAATATATCACTTAGTGTAGAATTTCAGGTAGAAAGAGAGGTTGGTTCTCTACATACTGTTTGTCTGGACAATTTGAACTATATACATGAGTGGAGTTTACCCCGCCTCCAGTGCGGTTTCAGGCGCAATTAGGACACCTGTAGATCTCCAAGCGAGTGCAGTACTAGATACTAAATATTGCTGACACTTAGGCTAGAACTGTGGAATTGGTGGCCTAAGGTCACGTGGAATACGGGCAAGATACTCAAATGCCTTTGTGCGGCTTGGACCCCCCCCCCCCCCCCCCACCTGTACCTCCCTTCTTCACCTTCGTATGTAGCCGGAATACCAGTACCAGTGCGATCCCACAAGAACGATCTTAAGAAAGCTATATACGCCTTAGTTAGCTATATATAGTCTTACTATCCCTGATCAGGGAAAATTCCGTCGGGCCAGACCTCCTACTATTACTAGATGGAACAATTACTTCGAGCATTTCAATCACATACAGAGAAGTTATTCATAAGACAATTAAAATTGATAGCACGATGAATACTACGTCAATCCGATGACCGCCCGTTGCTGCGTATCAAACATCTTTCAAGTTAGGAGGATAGTCCTGGTCAGAAGAACACAGTTCTCCCACTCGCAACCTCTCGCTACCGCATACCACTGGCTTCCTATGGTGGGGCACCAAGGCTAGAGAGATAGCCAAGGACAAAAAGAAGTATGGGAAGTCATGGGCTGAATTAGAGGACTTGTACGGGGAGAACGATCTGTCGAGAGCGGATATGTACAAGGCGGAGAGAGAATAGGGGAGGAAGTTCAAGAAACCTTCACAGAACCCCCGATGTAGCCCACAAGGAGTATCTTAGCTTGAGCAAGGCAAGGCGTTTGTTTTTATTTTTACGTGCCGGAGCAGAGCATCACGATCGCCAGCGACGCGCTATCGCTGAGGAACCGGAGGGCCCTTCGATGCAGATACCGAAAGGGGGCAGGTATTTCGGCCTGAACCGACTGGAGGCGTCTACGCTGTGCCAGATCAGGACGGAAAAAATAGGACTAGCAGCCTTCTTATTCAAGACAGGGGCTTTTGGCGTGTACTCGCCGCTATGCCGCTGTGGCGACGCCCCTGAGACGGCAGAGCACGTAATCCTCTTTTGCGGGCTGTTGGAAGGACCGAGGGAACGATTACGGGCCGCCATCGCACCACGGCCACTATACTCTCGCAGAGACCTCGCAACGGCAACAGGAGAACCAGTAGTTAGTGGGACTATTGTAAGGTGGCTGCTAGGGACGGGTCGGACAGCTTCAAGGCCCAGATAGCATCCATCTTCTCAGGGGGGACTTTGTTGGTAGGTTGAGAACCAACGTAGTATGGTAGTGGACGCAACGCAGTCGCCAATAGGGCGAACCGACGACGCAGCGTATGTATTTAGTCCAGCCATTAGGGCACGGTTTGACATACGGGAGTACTAGCAGAGGTACCGGGGGCTTCGAGCCTACGGCGTATTTAATAATAATTTTTACGTGAATTTCTGCGTATAACTTTCGTGATTCACGAAGGGAAGTATAACTGAGGGACGGGGTTTTTAGGTATGGTTTTTCGGGTTTCAGACGAATTATGTAAGCATGTTGTTAACGGTATTTAAGGACCGGACCTGTGCAGGTAGTCAGTCTCTTAACGAAAAAGATTAAGCGGCCTAAGTACTCTTTTCGTCTGTTAAGGCATCAGTTGTTCTGATGCCCTGTTAAGGTCTTATTCTGTTCCTAGTGCCTGTCGAGGTACTTTTGTTTCGATCGGAGTAAGAAGGCTCTCGATTTATTATTCTTTCCACCTCCGGAGAGTAAGGTCTTGTTAAGGATTTTGTTGTCCATTATCATCATTACACATGAACCCGCGGGCATTTAATGCCAGTCGTCAATGTAGCAAGGAAACCCGACGTCCGTGATTTCTAGGGGCTTAGTGTAGGCTTCACTGCAGGACCGGCGTGGTCACTAATTAGGGGCTGCCACCTCTGTTACGACACTTTCTTATACGCTCTTCGAAGTATTTCCACAGCTGGTGTCCTCAAGAATCATGCATCCATCACAGCAGCATGTGTCAATCTCACCTGTCAACATATGGTAATTCCATCACTGCAGCGATCTCAAGCGCGTTGTTCGCAAGCACCCGGGCGAAGAGGAAACTAGTAAGGCAAAACCATTTTTCTCGGTACGATAGTGAGCACCCTAGGAGGATGCTGTGAGCTTGTGGCACCAACCTGCCTGAAGAAATCACAGTGTGTCTAGATAGAAAGACAACTGGACATCTCTGTCAATTAAAATGCCTATTGGTAATGTAACTTCTGTTTTGAGTGATAGGCTGGTGGTGTATGGAGTTGGATTAAGTTCACCAAGCCACTACCCATTTATGTAGTGAACAATGCCAACGCTGCGTCCCAAAAAGGGAGACTTGGTCCGTAGCTAACTACACACACGTAAAGAACCGATGCGTACGGATATGATCATGGTCAATTAGGAACCATGCATCTCATTACCTATGTAAAGGGCTATCAAGCTCAAGTCCACCCAGAAGTCCGAGCCATACTACTCTGGACTCGAATATGTTCTATTGTTAATAATCAGCTTATACACCCTACGGATCCTAACTCTAACTCTGGACTTGACTTGACTTCAGGTTTGAGTCTGGCTCTGGCTTTGGCTCTGGCTCTGGCTCTGACTCATGCTTTGACTCTCAGTCTGACCCAACGCCTTCTTTTCGTCCTTAATATCCTTCTTCTGCCAACGTTGCAGAACGATGGCCAAGTTCTTGCTGCCCACCACAATGCACCACTCTCCCGCAGGGCTCCAAGCCACCTGTCGACCGATGAAATCTTTGATAGCGATTTTGGTCTCGGAATGGGCATAGATTGAGATGTCCACGCTCGTTATATCGTATTTCCCGTCCCAATCCTTAATTGTTTCGGAGCTATAGTGGTTGGCCATGCCGCTGGGACCTTCGACGTCGACACTACCAGTACGTCCCGAAGCCACAGAATCCTTGTCTTCTGATTCCTTGAGCTTGCTAATAGCATCTACCCGTTCCCTTTTCTCCTTGGTCGGCACCAACCAACTTGGGCGGTGTACTGGTCCGTCCCTTTCACCGTCGTTCATTTGAGTTACGAAGCTGTGGTATACAGTGAGTCTGGCCAGGTCCCAAAAGAATATCCGCGAGTGGGCATTGCCGAACGCAAGGACTGGATGCTTTTCCTTGTCGTGGAACAATCGAAACCGCATGTAAAACTGATGACCACTATTAGGAGTGCAAAACTGTACCAAACGCGTATACTGTGGTGGGCATGCGGAGGCAGTTGCAGGAGCGAAAGCCGATCGCGTCAGTCGTTCCGTATCACTTGTGGTCGGCGCACTTGATGCCAAGGGAATTGGATCCCGTGAAGAAAAACCCTCAATCCGCCAGAGGACTATGATATCCTCATGACACGCACGTGAAAGTATCAAATCACCGAAGAAAGCCACACTGTCGTCGTCAACACAATGTGCCTTTCAGCGTATACGGGCTACTTACCAATCGACGATCCCACTATGGACCTCGGAGGTGAAAAAATGTGGGTAATGGACGACCACAGGAGGAGGGGGGTTTCTGTCCCTGGACCTGCTATCGAGATCTGGTAAGGTCCACTAGTAGGTGTATCTCATTAGTAGAGGAAAATCCCCAATGAATGCAGAGTCGTACCAAGCAAACGCAGTTATCATGACCAGCAGAAAGGACGTATCGGCCGCAGTTATGGAAAGCCTAGGAGTATCAGTATCGATGTACAACGGCCCGCGACACAATACACCCGGCCGTACTGACCACTGTCAAAAGACCTGAAGAGTGGCCTTCCCCTGCAAGAATGCAGACACATGGTTGTTTGTCGTCGGCAGGGTCGAGACTCCATATGCGCACGGAGGTGTCTTGTGACGCGGACGCAATGAGGAGGGGGTTTGTGGGACAAGTGGCGAGGTCGTTGATTTCCTGGTGATGTAAGCTACGTCGAACGTGATCCGTCACATCGCTTACTCACTGCTCCATGCCCAACAAGCGTCTGAAGCACACGTTAGGTTAATTGCCGGTAGGGAGATGTAAGGCTCACTACGACTAACCTTCACCAGCTTGCCATGGAAAACATCATAGACTTTGATCTTTCTATCCCATCCAGCTACACAAAGCCAAGGGAGATCCGTTTCGGGTTCTTTGCTCCACGTGCAACTGCAGTTCACAGCCTCCTCCTATCCGGCATCAGCGTCAACTCCGGAGCCATGCGAGAGAAAACTTACGTCATCATCCCTGAAAAGCTGGATGAGTTCGTAGGGGGGAGTAGCTGCACTCGATAGTCGATAAATGACAATCTGGATGCATGCCGGTTGGTTACTAGATCGGGACGCCTGCCTCAGATGCGGATAGACGAAGACCTACATGCTTCTTACTGACTGCAGCAAATACGGGGTCCTCCTCGGGGTCCAGGTAGGGAAAGAACTTGACGTCGAAGAATTCTAAGTTTCTATAAGCTCATGTTACACGATTGCACCTCGATGAGCAGGAGAACGCACCGTGGTCCTGATCGTGGGCTGATAGGTACTGGATGTCATCCTAATATAGCACCGATCAGTGACGACTGGGAAGATAACGAGGATGATGCATGCTGACCTCAAAACCAATGGACGCCTTGAGACGGGGCAAATCCCATTCGTCGTTGTTTACCACGGCCGGCATAATGAAGGCCCGGGCATGTTTCCACTTGCGTTCCTGATGTCCGTGATAGTTGCCAGCTTGAAGCGGCACTGCGTACCTAGGGGTGTGTGTGTCGTGTGTGCGGGCTGTGTGTGGAACACCTCTCGGACGAACAAGGGGTTGATATGACGCGCCAAGGGTAGCCCAATACGATTAATTCCAAGAACTGCCGCTTTGCTGTGGGGATTGAATTACCAAGCCCGAGATGATGGAATCTGCCCGCTGTTGTCGAAGGCCGACGAGATTATCACCCTGGTTGGCTCAAACTTGCTCTCAGACTGCAAATCTGGTAAGTAGAGTGGTGCCCTTCGTCTGCCTCTACCTGATTCGCTCGAGACCACACTCAATATGTGCAGTAGGAGCAGCTTGCGCCAGCCTCGGCAAGTGTCAACCCGTTCCTGGGTCTGGGAATTATGTCATCCGACGAGGCGCGTCGAATAGTGGTAGTGATGGCTGAAATTTGAATTGTACTGGTTCAGTAATCCCGAATGCAAAGCTGGCGCCCCCGGTCTCGTGTCATCGTGGCTGGAGCTGCAAAGTTCCGCGACCTGGAATTTTTTGAGGGGAGGAGAAATGAGGCTGGTCTCCACTCTCTCGTTAAGTCGCCAGTAGCCCGTGTTCTCGGTTCCCAAGGTCGCCGTTGCCCGATTGCGCAGGACCCGACTTGCCGACCGACTCTTGGTGAATTCATACCTTTATTAGCGGCATCTTCTGCGGCATCTTCTGGTAGTTCTTGCGAAATCTCTACCCACTGATCCATCGAAACTGTTATCCGTCGACTGGCATTAATTACTCCCCCAGGGAAGGAACACACCATACTAATCCTAACTTTCGAGTCTTACGCCCATGCAGGCGCCTGCAGTTCATCGTATGAGTGCAGAGAAGGTGTAGCCTTGCTCGATCCCGGCCAGTCATTTATCCTTGGAGCAAGGATCATCTGGCTGCCGACCATGTAATTTTTCGCAGCGCCGAACGAGGCTGATTTGTCGCCACGTACCCCAGAGTCTTACGGCCATTCAATTCGCGGCATCGCCAAACGAAACTTCTGTTCTGGGAAATATTCCTAAGCAAAGCTCGGGGTTTCTGACACCTCGAAATTCAAAGCGGCAAATGTAGATCTTTGAGGGTCAGCAGCTTCCAAGAGGTTCAAGGCAACTTCTCCCAAATCAATTAATGGCTAAGACCAGCTCAGAGTTCGCCTCACCCGATAAACATGCACCTCGAAAGTATCCAATCCGTCTGCCAGGCCACTTCGAGATCCGAGGACAAGCTGCCCGACTTCATCAGCACAAACACGGACCTTGCAGCCTCTAAGGTCTGAGCGGCCGCAAATCGCCCCAGTATTACCCTTAGCCCTGGGCCTTACCCGCCAAGCAATTCTATATTCGTTGTCGGATTTTGGAGGCAGTCGCAGTGTTCAATCTTCGGGCATTGAGGAATCCGAGGTCCGCAATGAGACGTTAACTCGTTGGTGGATACCCGGTCAGGTGCACTTGGAGAAAGCGCCGCTCACGCGACATCCCACGACTTTGTCTACACTAATGATGCCGATCAAAGACGTGGAACAGCTCGACGCACGTGTGGGATTTTGGAGATGAGATGATGAAGAAGCCATGATCCCAACGGCTGCCAGCGATACAACGTCCCAGGGGTGTGGTAACCTAGGGCGAATTTCTTTTTATTTCTTCGTCCGAACCACCTCGACGTGCCCGTAGTTACAACGTCGAGTTGGTTAGCAGAGCCCCCTGTTGACACCCACCTTGATGATCTTCATATCAACAAAGACGGCTAGCAGACGAGGAGATTTCCAGAACGGGACCTAGCGTAGTTCCCTCACGCTAGGCAGCGGTGGAAAACTAACCTCGCTTACTGCGTTGAGTTTCAATATTCCCGGCCGAATAGCAGGGCACAACGCCTTCGCTGCAGAGCCGCCACGGGATCTAGGTGGATTTAGCATCCTTACCGGGGCCCATCATCGGTGAAATGATGAAGCCTGTCGCCCTTCCAATCCGATGAGGACGTCGCGATCGGGGCTCATGTTAGCTATCGAGGTATTGGTATTCTGTTAGCTACCGGGCTGCTAGACCCCTTGATCTCCGTTATGCCATTCTGCCAGGCTTCGGCCAGGCTGCATGTGTCAAATTGCCTATCCCACTCAATGCGGTATTGCGGTCCAAGGATTTCCGGAGTCTACCGCTTCCTAGCTAGGGGTCCAAATCCATTGGCTTTGATGTGCGATGCAAAGCCATGAAAAGACCACTTAATTGATTATCCTCATTGGTCCGATGCCCAGTATCCTTGCGCATTTCTCTGAATCGCCGACACTGATCAGAGCAAGCACTGATCTCCTTCTGGTCAAAGCACGCCAACATCACTCGACTTCATTACGATACTACGCACTCTGTTGATTCAGTATCAAGTCAGAATCCTATCAAATCGTCTGGAATCCGAGGGATGTTGGCACATCCTGCACTTCGTCACATTTCACATATGGTTCTATCATCTTACCACGCGGCCGCCTTGCTTGTAGCTATTGCATTGCTCCGGTGGTGTCATTACGGCGATCTTGCCGGCCGTTCAGGATTCGGAACATCTCATTCATCGAGGTGATCTGTTGGCGGTGGTTCACGATTGCTCCCGAAGAACTGTGCACTCATGTACTGTGACAGTGTCGCTACTGTCCGCTCACTGTCAACCCTGCAATCTTGAAGGATATTGATATTGCGTATCTGCCGAGCACGCAAGCCGCATGTCACCACCGATGGACATGGATTTCTTGAAGCCTTAGCTTGTGGAGCACCGCAAATCGTACACTCGGACCTGTTTCGCGGACCAAGTCGGTGACTTCTTGAAAACCTTCGCAGTCCGGCATTCAATAAGTTCCTGGGTACATGTCTTTGCCTCCCTGCTTGCTTGCTACTCGCAAGAGTTCACCCCTGCTGTCTGACCCACATTCGAATTACGACTCAATGTGCTGAATATTGTGCACACTCCAAGAAACCCCCACTTTGGCGTGTCGACGAAATGGTAACCCAACTTAATCACCCCGGCCGAAGCGCCGTAGTTCCTGACCTGGTCCTCTTGTTCGTGAACGGAGCAATCCACACACTTCTGGGGTTATTCCCTGCAATTCCAAACACAGCTGCCACCTGCGCCTCTTACTGGGGAATACTACAAGCGACAAACCATCCCCTAGTGGTTTGTGAACTGAGACCATGATACAGCCGTGGCTAACACTTTGTTTCAATGTCCACGTTTGGTTCCTGACACTAGGCACGACACGAGTCACCTGGTGCAGCTGTCAAAAACGGTGGCGGCTTCGGCTTCGGCTTCTAGAATACCGAGACGAACTTCATTTTGATGACCTGTTACAGTTTCTCGCGGCGAGCAGGCATGAAAACGAAGATGGGTTTACGATCACTTCTGAATACCCAGGCTACGCACATCGAAGGACACATGGCGGCTAGTTCCATTCAACAAGGGCTTGAGCAGCACGGAGTGCTGCATAAGATGCCTGTCGCGGGCTTGCAGCACCCAGCAGTCTAAATTGTATCCTAGGAGCAGATCCCAAGAACCTGGTTCAGCTCTGGATGGGTTTCGTAAAATTGGTGGGCAAAAACTGCCCGTCGGGCTGTGGAGACGCAAAATGCCATCTATCTTCCAAGCGTGCTTCCCCTGGCCAGCTGCCACTCCCGATGCTGTCTTCAGTGAGCGACGAAAATGGCAGTCTACTCCGGCCAACCCAGCTCATGCGCCTCGCAAGGTTTCCCTAAACCGTCGAGCTTCTCCGTGTTCTGATATCATCCGATGAAGAGAAGCCAAGTTGGGTGGAAATCGGACATAAAGAGGTTCCCCACATGTCAATGACAGGTGCGCGTGCAGCCAGACCCGAGAAGATATTGGTTGATTGATGAAGATTGAACAGGTTTCGAGAAGTTTGCGCCACCGGGTGCGAGTTGGGACGTGAACTATTCAGAACGACCAAGCGCAGGATGCCAGAGACGATAACAGCAAGGTCAACAAGACCTCGAGTAAGTCACCTGGCTAGTTACGTGAAACATCACAACACAAAACTCGACGGTCGACAGGCCACCAGCGAAGGACGCTACGATGAATAGGTCGAACGTCTGCATGTCACGCAGCTCTAGAGAAGGCCAAGCCAAGCTAACACTGAGCCAAGTCCAAAAGGTTCGTGGGATTTCTGCCACTGTGCGACAACACCTAGACTCTGTGTCCAGCCCATGGGATTTTCCAATGTTCCAACTCTCTCGTCAGCGCGCGACGGAAGTTTCCACTACGGCAACGTGCCTCCTTGGTCCCTCCCTGCTTTAAAGTCCCCTGCTCAAAAGTCATCCAGGGTCCCGCGCAGGGCTTTGGTGGGGACCCCTGTGAATGATAAGTGGAATATGGATTCGACGCCAAACGCTTTCGAGGGTTGTATCACACATCCTCTTGGAAATAGCGTGCACCTGCATCCCGTGGTTGCAATTCGCAGTACCGAAGTACCTGGCCCCCGTGTGGACATGAACAACAACGACCCAACGAATACAGCTCATCCCTTGGATAATTGTCGATACCCTTTACCCAGTACATATAATATGCCACCCGCCTGCAGCATTGACGAATTGGGTTGCAGAAGCGACGACGGCCTTAAAGACGCGACAAATACCAGTGGTATCCCGTCCGATGTTGTCACCACAATCCACGTTTTCTTCCACCACTGCACACTCGAAGCATCTTCCCTGACTCTCGGCCTGCCACTACATAGTACTTGACAGACTAGATATCTCGCCCATCCGCCGTCCCGCTGGCCATCGCCTCTCCGTTTCGCAACCACTTCAGACCCCTCTCCTCTCTGCGCGATTGCCGGCGCTATTAGGCGCTGGATATTGGGAAATTCACAACCGCAGCTCAAATTTCGCCCTCGCCGTCTGATCTTCGGCCAGCCCTGTCTCGCCTTACACAACTGTGCCTGGGTTGCCCGTCATCCCAGCATCCGCCTCACCACCGTTGCATTGCACGCACACCCCGTCCACGCAACGCCTGCACTGCACTGGACTGAACCGAGAAACGAACACCGTCGTGCTACCTGGGAAACGACTCCTTGGTTACTTGTACGACGTCAGTTGGTAGCTGCTTGACCGAGTGACCCCCCCTCCTTCCCCCCAAGTCGCCGCCAGCGTCCTTCAGTGTCTGCTGCAAACTGCCGCCACCCCAATCTTGCAGTCTGTCTGGACATCGCACAAGACCTGCTCTCTTGGGTAGCTTGTGGGACTCGCTTACCCATCCGACTGTGACGGTGCGATCTGTGTGATACAATACTCGGCTATCCAGAGACATCTCGTTGGCTCGCCCGTCCAAAGCTCTTGCACCACCCGACCACCGTGCTCCAGGACCGACCCAAACCCAAAGTCTGCTGAACACGAGTTTCGGAACTTGCCATTCACACCATCCCCTTCTTTTAGAGGACAATTGGCATCCCACACCTTTTGTGCATTTGGATTTCAGCGAGCACCTGGCCAGCCGGACTCGACTTGAGAACTGTGGCGTATGGCCTATCGAGTCGATATTCGCTGAACGAGAATCAACACCATCCAGGAGGCTGGACGGCAAGCCAATGTGATGGAGAAAACGTTTATGACTATTCACAGTTAGTTTAGCCCGTTCGAACCGTTCACCAGTTTCCCCCCTTCCCCTCCAACTTGGGTGTATTACAGAATTTTTATCTCTGCGTCTTCATGGTTTGCCCTGTCATGATATTCGCTAACAACCCTGTACTCAACCAGACCTGTCGCCCGATGCCAATATCCTCTTTGCCTCAGAGTCTATTGGTGATATCCTAGGTTACTATCCCCATGAGATCCAGGGCAAATCATGCTTTGACTACTTCCACCCGGATGAGGTACCGTTCGCACGCACGGTGCATAGCCGGGGTGTGTTGCTCGATAAGGCTGCGGTACTTCATTACCTCCGAGTGCGGGCGCGAGACGGACAATGGGTAAGCTGCGAGTGTTGTTTCACCGTGGTCCATGATGTGTTGGTAGCGTGCACAAGTATCTACCGGAGGGGCGAGAAGAGCGAGAGTGAGTTGATATGCGTGCTACGCATAGCACTTTTCAAAAGACGTGCGTCTGGTGCTGACCGGTTCGATAGGGCGGGCCATTGAGGCGCCACAGATTCGACGAATTTTCTCAAGTTCGCCCAGGGATCCCCGATATCATATGTTGGAGCATCTCTCGCCGAAGTTCAAGATGCCGCCAATGGAGCGCGAACCTCGAGCGGCTCTCATTCTGAACAGGTTCTCACGGAATCTCCCAGTGATGTTTGCAACAAACGCCGTGGCATCCATTCTTGGGGTGAGGCCGGATCAAATCCAGGGCAAGAGCTTTTATGAATGTATTGCGGAGAATTGCTACGCCGACGCTGTCGGCTGTCTGGAAAGCGCCAAGTCCAATGATTCGATAGCTTATCTCCGATTCTGGTACCGCGACCCTCGCCGGCAAGAAGACTTCGATGCCGAGCATGACGGCGAGGACGAGGAGGCCAACAATCAAGAAGCCAACGAGGATATGCCTAGCAGCAACAGCAGCGACTCTGACGGCGGTGTTCATCTCGACAGCCCGATGGACATCGATTCCAACGCCGAAATGCCCCACGAAATCAAGAATGAGCCTATGAGCCCCGATCCGACGAAAGCGGAAGCTTTCCAACCTCTCCACTCCCAACCTTCGTCGTCGACTGCGAGCTCCTTGCCCGGGCCACACTCATACCAGCCTTCAGTCAGGCCTCAGTCGCCCGCAGTGCCGCCTGCACGAGAACCATCGGCCCGTCCTGCTCCTCCCGCTGCCCCCAGACGCCGTCCAAGAGAGCCCATCCCTACATTTGAACTTGAGGCCGTGGTCTCTTGCACGTCGGACGGACTGGTTGTGGTCCTGCGAAAAGCGCGACCGCCCATCCCGGCGCTTCATCCGCCCCTGGTACCTGTCGACTTCGAAAATGGATTGTTCGCCGCTCCCTGGGGCGCGCAACCCATCAGCCCCTACTATTCGCCCGAGAGGTTTCATCACTTCAGCCCGCCTCTTATGCCACAGTACATGCCCTTGCAGGATCACATCAAAGCGGCAGGTGGACCGCCGATCGATCAACTTATGCGATCCATTCGCGACGTTGCCGTCTTCGCCTGGGCACTGGTCGGCATCAATGGAAAACTGGCAGCCTTCAGCCGCGGTACCCCACGAGACGATGCACAACCTCCGGACGGTCTCCCAATCTGGGACCCCAATGCCGGCCAAACAGCGTACCAGCCCCCGGAGAATCAAGCAGCGAGGCGGTGGCGCCAGCTGGAACAAACCAAGATGGGACCTCCGCACATGGCGGGCTACAACGCGGACGCGCCAAGGGGGTTCGGTGCCGCCCCTGGGTTCAACAACACCAACTACACATATTCTCATCAATTTTCTTGGTCCCACTCGACCTACACCCCGGCATTTGAGACAGGGCCGGCTTACACGCACCAACATCTGCAACAACCGGCGTACCGTGGTCATCCCCAGCAGCAGCAACAGTGGACGGAACCCTCAGCCCCAGCATATGATCAACCGAACAGTAATTCTTCGCCTCCAGCTACGCAACCTCCAAGTCCGGAGGAACCCCCACACTACCGATACCAGTGGTCGTGATCCCTGCCCACTGATCTGCTGGGCTTTCAATCCACTACGTTGACATAATGCTACTCGCCATCTCATCGTCTCGGAACCGGGGAGTTCGGGCATTGCAAACGGGCGCAGGAACAGGACGTGAAGGGTGTTATTGATTTCCCCCCTACTTCCACGTCACAACACGGGGCGCCTTTGGTGTTTTGAAATTTAATGGATGGATTTTTTATTTCTCTTGCATTCGGAGTTATAACCAGACTTTGGGCAACTCTCTGGGGCAGACAAAATCAAAAAACAGCTAGGAGAGGCACACTCTGCTGTCACTTTATACCTACTCAAAGCACTTGGCCCCGACAGTACAGGGAAATTGCTAAGATTTCGACCCTCAATTTATTCTGGGTTACAATCGTTGGATGACATGATACCCCGTCGGTGTACTGCATATAAACAGCGTGCGTGTGTGTGGAAGGGGGGGGGGTGGCGGAGGGGAGAGAGAGAGAGAGAGAGACTATGCCGATGGCTAGACTGCAAGAAAATATTATGTTGCAATTGTTATCGAACGGTCGCTGTAGACGGATAAGCATCTTGTGTTTGAGACCTACGTGGTCGGGTATTTATGGGATTCCTTTGCGTGACGTAAAAAGATTGAAGGGACTACAAGTTCCATACCGCTATTTACTAATTAAAACCCATACGACGTGAATAGATATCTCTCTCCTTCCTCCAAAAATACTTATCCTATGATTCTTGTCATCGATACCTAGCTACACTGGCATCAAGTAGTCCTGGCCGTTTTGCGTTCTTCTCGGAGGACCAAATGTGAATTCTTGCCCAGCATGTTCAGCTTGCCTGGACCGATTTGGTTCAGTGCAAACGATGCGGATCAAGCTCCGAACATACGAGTCTGGTACTAGGTAGGGGAAATACCAGGTTGTAGCTGGTGTCGAGGCGCTACCGCAATGCAGCAGCATTCCGGGTTCCTGTATTTACGGTAAGTTAGTGGTCGGAGCAATTTCAAGCATGATTGCGAGGTCCAAGTCGTACCTGCCTGTGGCTCACGGTAGCAAGCCACACCCACCGGCAGGAGCTCTAGAGCTCAAAGCTTGGACCACACTGCAGCAAGCTTCCCAGTCCAGCCAATCGAACCAGTCGAGGAAACCGCAACGTGGAAACAAGAAGTTACGTCTGCCTGTCGGGTCGTTACAATCGCTACAGACGTGTTGTCAGTTAGCCGTTTCATACCCACTGCGATCCCGCAAGAACCGGCTCATTCTTCCTTCCAACGGTCGAATTGAGGAGAGAACCGATCGCGCTGCATAGAAATCTAGACTAGAACCTGACTACGACACTAGCTCCTGCTATCCCCGTCATCGATCATGGCCTCGTCATCCAGCCACCAATACAGTGCTCCCCAAGTAGAGGACGACGACGACCTCATTGACCCTGATGATGGTGAGTGCACTCGCCTCTTGCCGCTTACTTGCACTCATATCCGAGGCCAACTGCGCATACTGACACATATCCGTCTCCTGCAGCGGACCTCAATGACTTCAACGACCCCCTCTCCCGCAACGACTCCCAGCGCCAACCGCTAACAGGCAACATCGGCTCGACCTCATCCTCCTCAGCCGCGCCACTAAACGAGAACTACCTGACCTCCCGTATCCCGGGCGAGGACCGCCGCGCCCCCCAAAACACCATCGACGAGACGGTCTGGGAGACGTTGCGCCGTGACCTTATCGCCGTCTGGTCCAAGATGCGCGAGGTCCTCTACCCTAAGTACCTGTTCGGGGGCACCATGTTTGAGAGCAACGAGGGGCTGCGGGGAGCCTATGCCAATCTCAGAGGGGCGGGGTTCTCGGGCGCGCGAGAGGAGCTTGCTGGGCTCGCGGGCAGAGTCATGGATCCCGAGGCGCTGCTCGGGCATAATGATATGAGTCCCGGCCTGAGGGACTGGGATATGTGGGGCCCGCTTATCTTTTGTCTGCTGCTGAGTTTGTTGTTGAGCTTCCGGGCCAAGGACGATCAGAAGGATGTCGTGTTTAGTGGGGTGTTTGCGATGGTTTGGATTGGCGAGGCTGTTGTTACCCTGCAGATCAAGCTGTTGGGTGGAAACATGTGAGTTTGCCCCCTTCCATGCGACGGATATATGGGCTTGTGAGCGGATGGAGAGGAGTTAACTAACCGAGTACAGCTCGTTTGCGCAAAGCGTATGCATCATCGGCTACACGCTGTTCCCGCTCGTCATCGCGGCCATGCTTTCGGCTATCGGCATAGGGCCCGTTCCCCGAGTGCCAATCTACATTCTGCTGGTCGCTTGGTCGCTGGCGGCGGGTGTGAGCATTCTCGGAGGAAGTGGCGTCGTCAAGAACAGAGTCGGAATAGCGGTCTATCCTCTATTTGTATTCTACGTCGGCTTGGGCTGTCTATGCTTCATCAGCTAGATGAGTTCAGCTGTGGCAACCAAACCAGAAAGATTGGAGCCCGACAGGCGGGGCAGCGCCGCAAAGCACAAGCGGCGCAGAAACCTTTCACATTGATGCGTGTATTTCTAGCTATCCCCCAGTGTATCATCAGGAGGCGGCAAACATGATTTGATTTGAGATTACCGCGGCATGGAGTGTTGCCTCGGGCAAGATGGGCAAGCGCCAGCGGTTGGATAATAAATGAACCGTGCGCCCAGGTGCGATATCAAAGTTATGCCGCTTTACTACACTGGGCCAACCCAGTATTATTCCACCTTTCGCCCGCTATTTGTTTTGTCAACCGCTTGATGGGATTGGTGTCCTTCTAACCTCATCCCCATAGCATTTTCACGCCAATTTAACTGCCAGCCGCTCAAACGGCTCAAACTCCGAGTCAAACTTTTGTAGTCACTGGGAGTCCTCCCTCCGCCTTGCCATCCACAGCGGCCTTGAACTCCCGATAGGCGGAGACCAACTTGAGCTTGAAGCCCGGGGTGAACAGGTGGTGAGGCCGGAGAAGATTATGAGGGCTGTGAAAAAAGGTGTCCTCAGTGGTAGGGTAGAGAGATAAGGGTATGGAGGGTTTGAATGGTGGTCATTGTGAAGTTCTCTTACGAGGGTGCCATGGTGAGCGGGCGAGCGAGTGAGCAGGCGCAGTAATGAGTCAAGGATGGAGTGGACAAGTGAGTGTTTTGGTTGAGTTGGTAGGTGGTTGTGGCATTGCATCGCGACGACGTAGGTGCTTTCTGCTTGATACAAGGCGCACTAGGTATAGATCGACTGAGAAAACCAGACAAGACAGAGTTCTTTTCAAACAAAATGGTAAACGAAAATCAACAAAGAGAAGTGAGCGTAAACCCACTGGATGATCAATTTCGCAATGAGGAGAAAAGTGCGAAGGTAAAGGTAAAAGGCGTATGCGCAATAGAGGTTGTAGAAGGGTGGAACAAACTTGGATAGTCTGGAAGTACACATAACAATGCAAAGGTAAGATTTAGTAGTGCAATGAGTTTCAGGGAAAGGCGGATGAGGGTGAAGAAAGGGGAATTTGACAGTAAGACGTAGATTAAGAGACGGGTCGAACCAGTTCAAGAAATTTCGAAAGGGAAAGAAAAGTGTAGATATAAGTCCAAAGTGGAATAAATCCTCAAAACAAAAAAGGTGACAGAAAAGGATGGAGCAGGAACTAAACCTGCAAGGCGTTGGTATGTGTCTACTATGCTCGTTACTTTGAGATATTGCCCAACACATTTATTAAGCCTCGATACCTAGTTTGCTTGACCAGTCCGTTTTTTGTTGAAGCATGGGAATGATATTTGAATTATAACGAGGATGACTGGGGCTTCCAAGTAGTCGCTGGCATCGTAATCCAGGTTGGCCAACTCAATTGGCAACCTGAGTGAACCGAACCGAACCGAGCCTATAGAACACCGCTATATGGGTCAATCTACCATCTAGTCCTCATCCAAGTCTAAGAACTTCATTAGCCAAGGCTCAAGTCTCCCCTTTCTCTCCAGAATTCTCCTGAAAAAGTCTCGGGCCTTATCCAATTCATACTCTCTCTTCGCCACGGCCTCCTCCTCCTCAGCGCCGCTTACCACGTCCCTGTGCAGACGTCCTCCATACAACGACAGCCCCTGCAACTTATCCTCAATGCCCTGCTTCTCCACAATTCGAGTGGGCAAATGCAAGTCCCCGATGAAGAGCGATACCATGCCCCGAAGTCGCAGGATCTCCAGATGCCGGTCGTATGGCGCGTTCTCCATGATCTGGTCCATCCTTGTGGCGATCTGCTGCGCTGCCTCTCTGGTGTCTTGTCGGATCTCATCCTTGGACGCCCACTTTGTCGACTTGCGCCGTTCATCCCTACGGAGCGACTGCATTTCGAAGTCGTCCGAGCCGGCATAAGATAGAGGGGTATCCGACTCGGCGTCCTGGGTCGAGTCGAGTTGTTCGTCTAGGCGGTGCAATGCCCGTTTAAACTCGGCGTCGATGCTGTAAATCTCTATGCTGAAAAGTGCTGGCCAAAAGTCGACGGCGCTCGTTAGACGGGGCCGGTGCGGGTCGTGGGGATGTTGTTGGATTAGGATCTCGAGATAGCGTTTGACTGTCTCGACATTCTCGGCTGATCCCCATCTGGGTGGTGGTTTGCTGCTGGCGCCCTCAGTGGCTTGCTCGTCATGATCGTCGTGAAGAACGTCCTTTCCCTTGCTCTGGTGCCTCTTCTCTTCCCCGTCCCGCATCAGGATTTCAGAACCAACGGCCCACATGTTGTTGAGCCGTATGTCGACCTCCTTTGTCCGCACCAGCATCCCAAAAGCCCTTTTTGCTCGCTCAATGTCACCGTCGTACAGACAGCGATGCATGATAGCCGTCATGGTATTCAAGTGTTTCATCCGGTGCGAGTAACTCTTCACCAACTGTTGCTCAGCACGAGACCATCTGCCGTCATCGACATCTGTGTCGACATCGGCCTCCGAGCCACTCGTAGCCGACTTCATCCTGTCCCTCCTGCTCCGGCCACGTCTATCACGAGCGGTTGTATAGTTGTCAGGGAGTGGTTGATGAGGAAAATGACGATAAATTTTCGACGGCACGTCTTCCTCGGGCGAAAGACCTGCTACGGCGAACTGGCGCAGTGTGTTTGGGGAGTGGCTGCGAGGATTGATTACATAAGATGGGAGTCGCGAGGAAGAGGATGCAGACGTGATTTCCGTTTCAGGCGACGGTGAGGCTGCATCTACATTTTCTCGTTCCTGCCTCTTGCGTTTGCGTGGTTGCTGCTGCCCCAGCCGGTAGGCAGGCACGGAAAGAGCGAAGGGTGCCATCATGTCGCCTTCACCGATTAATGACCATCAAGTCAAAATGGGCAAAATCAATGACCCTTGTAAGTGCCCAGGCTATAGAAGGGGTCTTCACGCGCAGGTTTCGTGACGGACGAGATTATTCCGAGATGGAGGGTGAGTTTCCGAGTTGAAGAAGACTACTACAGTTCGAAGTGCAGCAATCCCATGGTTTAGTAGAGCACTGCGGCCCGAGCCATGCGCCACAGCGCTAGCAATCTGAAAAGCGTTTCAGTGCCAGCCCGCGAGACGACGAATATCTGCGTTCAAGGGATCGAAAGAAAATCGCCACTGGGGACTGATGAGGACTCGGTATTAGAGAACTAAATTATGCCCTGCTAGTGAGTTTCCTTGGCCCAACTCATCACCCTAACCCACTAGCCTCAGGTGTTCGGAATCGTAATATTGATTTCGAGACTCCTTCACGATTCTCATGTGCTTGGACACATATTCACTGGCTGAACTAAGGAGTAAAATAAGGGATAACGGTGCCTGTGCGCAAGTATCTCAACGTTGTGAAGGATAGGATCCTTCCTGAATACTCTGGTTTCTCAATGTTATGACTGCTGCCCACTCTTGCAAGGTTGATGGTCCTTGCGAGGCCCAAGTTTGGGCCAAAGTCTACCTCAGAGCATGGATGGTCACGCTTTTCAGCGCGTAGGCCTCCATATCTTATCTAATTCTCCGTGTTTTGTCGGCGTATTATTCGACCGATTGTAGGTATTACCAACTATACGCGTGTTAGTTGCTTCAAAACATCTTTACGTCTTGATTCGTCCTTTTCCCCCAACCCCAAAATCAGCGTCGGGCTTGGGCACTGCCATGCTTCGGGGGCGGTTTGTTTGGGACATCACTGGGATCTGGTGGAGCGAAACGATATTTTGAACATCATATTCTTGCTTAGAGCAGAGGTTGGTCTTCAGATTTGCCGTTCTTCTACGACCGGGTAACAATCCAAGTTCGCTGCGCGCACGCAGCTTCTGATAGAGAGTGCATTGCTGAAGCCATCCATTCGAATCTGCTCGTTAACTTCTCGTTAGCGGTCAACTTGACGCCCACTTTGACTTTACCCCTGGGACCATCAACGCCTTGAAATGAATCAGTCACTACTACGGTCCACCCTGTCGGTGGGGAACGGAAGTTGCCGTCGTGGTCTAGACGAGTCAAAACAAGCGAGATCATGATCATTCGGAGATATGGAAGTATCGCACCGCACCCATGTCAGCCGAGAGTTGCGATTTTGTTAATACATGGTAGTGGCCACGCGCAATTTGTACCTCATCGTTAAGAGGGCTGATCAGTGATGACGGAACAATCGGTACGCCCAAATCCTTCCCCACAATCCGCCACCCGTATTTGCGGACTTAACGGTCTTCTGGCGCAGGAATACCTTTAACGTTCCAATACCGGCTACAACGAGTCAAAATTTGCTCGTCAGGCTGCAACATCCAATTGCCATTGCCAGTTGGCATACTTCCGTCCGAATTCCGTTATCCCACCGAACCGACCCACGTTCCGTACTTGGTGGGGTTTGCAACTGCCGTCCGGTTCGGTTACGGCGGGGGCGACGTTTATCTCGTAGATTTAATCGATTTAGCTGAAGAGGACCCCACCTCGACTACATCAGTACCTGCCTGCGGCGGACCTGGCGAAAATCTGACATCTATTTCTGCGACAAGCCCGCATCTTCGGCACTTGATCAGACTTGGTTTGATCGTCCGCTCTGCATCTTACTGCTGGTTGGGCGATCTCACGCGGGTGATCCATCTTATACGCTGAGACTCAACACACACCAAACCCACTTGCAACTTGTCCGCACTTCTCCGGGATTTGTCATCTCGGTATCCCCTGTGGCCCGTTGCCCGGAACCTGACCGAAGGCCTCAATCAAGACATTGTCCAAAAAAAAAAAAAAACTTTCCATCATGGCTGAAGCACCCAGCTTTAACCGGCCTGTTCCCCCTGCAACAAGGAAGAAGTTTGCCGTCCCGCCGGTGAAGATTGCGTGCTTATCATGCAGAGCATCACGCACAAGGTGCAATGGCGAGAATCCTTGTCAAAGTGTACGTCTCGAGGCGTGGGCGCCGGCGAATGTCCTATTGACCAAGTCCTGCAGTGTGCGAGCAGAGACCGCCCTTGCGTCTACAAGCCTAGTCGGCGAGGGGGGCCACGTACTCGTAAGAAGCCTCGTCCTACAGTCGAGGAGGACCATTATCAAACGTCAGCCACGTCCCAGGACCCAATCGCGGGAGTGCCGCCAAACCGTGAGCTACAGTGAGCTTCTCTTGCTTGTTCGTTGCTGATACGCGTCTAGCCATGTCCGTGGCCAACTATATAGATCCTGGTGCTGGTCTAAAGAATTTGATGGACCCCCAGCAAAATGACAGCGACCTCCTCTTTGACAGCTTATTCATTAATGGAACCTCGATGGCAACGGAGCCCCAAGTTATCCAGCAGCCTCAGCCGATGGTGAGGACGTATACGAGTGATAATTCAATGTAAGTGTGTCTCGACAGGAGCTGGGATGCGCGATTTCCTTGGTGGAAGCGCTCTACACTAGTATACCCAATCCCTCTCATGGCCGAGAGATCTGCTGCTAACTATCGCCTAGCCTCAATGCATACTATATCTTCATCCATCCTTACTTTCCCATCCTACCGCCGCCTCGCACCCCGCTCGTACCCGATGAGCTGGTCCCCTTGTATCAAAACATACCACGCGACGTCGACGAGCCCTCGTCTCCTGTTGCACTGGCCATCGCGGCCATTCTCGCCCTCATCCCGTGCCCACAGGACTCTAATTTTTTGATTGAGGAGTCGGTTTTGTTCCGGCGAAAGTATGCCCAGTTCCTCGCCCAGTCGGCGTTCGAAAGCATTGAGGTGGAATCTGAGAAGCCCGAATCGGCCCTCGAGCCGCGGAAGGCACTTGACGATTCGGACGACGACTTGACGCGAGATCCATTCCATGCAGACGTTCCGGTAGAACTCGAGAGTGTGATTGCGCTTGATCTGCTAAGCGTATACGAATATTCCCAAAGGGGAAACCTAAAGAAGATGAGAAGTCGAGCCAGTGCCGCCTTGATGACGGCCATGAATATGTCATTGCATCTCCACACAGACGAGGAAGACAGGTTCTCGGAAGCGAGGCGGCGTACTTGGTGGATGACGTACATTTGCATCTGCCAAAGTAGCATAGTCAGCAACGTGGTACGTCTGCTCTCCCTGATTTTCCGTATCCTTTTGCCAACCAGTGTTTAGCATCCCACCTTTGAAGTGTTCGCATCAAGTTTCACAGCCAAAGTCCCCACGATCAGAACGGATCCCGAGGCTTGGCCAATCTTCATCAAGTCACAGCAGGCGATCCTCACGGCAACACAGTTTGTAATTGAGTTGAACAAGGCGATGAAGTCCGGAGCAGATATGAAGCCTATATATCAGCGCATGACGGAACTCGAGGTAATACTTGAGCCTCTCGTCAACAATGCCGAAACGTGGGTTCGGGACTGCCCTTTGGCTCAACCGGTGGACAGTTACGAAACAGTTGTGGCTCATGCGTTGAGGTGTATAGCAAAGATCAAGGTTAATAGGTAAGTCGGCGAACGAATTCACCCGAGTCTACGTCTGACAGTTTCCTGCAGCGCACGGATCAAAGTCCATCGCTATTGTGCATTCTTCGACTTGCCGGTGTTTTCGACTAAACACTGTGATCTTAAGCCAATGTCGGGCAAGGAAAAAGACTTGCCAGATCTTCGGCTCTGGACAGCTTGCCATGGGACATGTGGTAACTCACCCACAAGTTCAACAGGTCAACCTGGGAAGTCCACTTCGCCAACTTTGTCGATGCGTTCAACCCCAGCCTCAGACGGCCATCAGCCTCCAGTGGCCCAGACGCCGATTTTCCCCTTCAGCTCTCACCAGTCTACCAAGATATGCTTCAAATCGGCTCTCAACATTGCCGAGGCTTTTGACGCTTTGCCCTACCCGAACACCTCTGCGCAAATGTGTGAGCCACCTTGCTACCTCGGAATCGGATCCAACATCATCGCGCCAAGGACCATGCCGTCCTTTGCTTGTTGCGCAATGCAGTGCGCCTACGTCCTACTCAGTGTGTATGAGAAGACCCAGGCCATGTACCCGGCCTGGAATGGGGATGCAGAAATACTGATAAAAAATCTCCTCGGACGCCTACAACAAGGACTACTCTCAATCCTGGCTACCTTGGAGAACTATGCAACATCTTTCGAAGCGTTAGGTGGGATGAGAGGTGAGGAAATCCTCAACATACGCAATACGTTACGGCCTCTCGAGAAAGTACTGATTTTGTGATTGCAGACCAAATTCGAGACAAGGTCTACTCCTCCTTGGTTTTCGATACATGACGTCAGGATGCGTCCACCAATCGCCTCGTCAAGGCGTAAATATGAACTACTCTTTCTACAAGCGTTAAAGTAGATCACGACTCACTATTTGTTTTCTTGACATCCTGCGGGAATGCCCACGTCGAGATGGGCCAGGGTTTCTGGAAATCGTACTGTTGCGATATAGGGGTGATATTGGATCATATTCCTTCTTATCCCACCATGAATTAAAACTGTACGAAAGGGTTTCTGTTTGTTATTGGAAAACAAACTGGCGTCGGGTATTATTGGGTACGAATTTTGATGGCGCCGTGAGTGGAACTGGCATGGATGCTTAGTTCGTTACCTCCCCCCTGTTCATTTTACTCCCTTGAATAGAAATGTTAGACGAAGCCAAAGAGACGAAGCCTAAGGCGTCACTTCGCCAGTAGGATATGGAAGGGTTAATGATATATCGCACTTATTTTCTCCGGTGCCTTGATGTAATTGACAGTGTCACCGCTGTGGGTGCTTGTTGGAGTGAAATATCTGTCCCGATTTTCCTGCGATATGATCTTACCACCCTCAACACTATGCTAGAATTGAACTGTGGCATGCGAGTGCCTCTTCCCGACACAAAACCCAAGAGCCGATATAAGGAAATTTACCACCAGCTAGCCGGACAGCCACAAGTGCTTTCTTACCATGTACACTGCGGCTTGTCCAACGCCCGGACTGTCACGTAAAGGCTTTTATCGGGTACGGGCTCTCGCTTCGTAATGAACTTTGTCGCCAGTAGCGACCGTTCCTGGTTACGAAGGGTCCAATCGGCTGCCCTGAGCTTGCTATACAACTGCTGGCGTCATTCAACATGCCTCACAAGACGGGCCGGCTACCTAGTATCTTTGCAAGTTATCAAATTTCACGTAGTCGATTTTGGATCATCAAGAATACACACTCGAGCAATGTATTTATAAGACCATAAGCTAGCGCTGTGATATATTTCTAAGGTTCGGGGAGTGGTGCCCCTGGAGACTCATCAGGATCCAATCCTAAGGACAACGGAGGTTCCGCGCTGAAAACCAGATCGCTGCTTGGAAATATGACACCCGGAATAGAAAATAGGACTTTGAATTGGAAATAACAGGACCCTGATCTTGGTGCCACTCTGATGCAGATATCGCCCTTCAGTCATCGACCACTTCACTCTGAGACTGATTACATAAGAAACTGATACCTTGCTTTCTTAGGAACATACCCAATTGTAGATATTTCAAATTACCGATTTTCTAGATCGAAGAAGTAAAAATGCGTTACAGCCGTTGACGACTGTTCGATCCAAAATGGCTCTAGATCACTCTTGTAATGAATATGTCATACTCAATTTCATTCAGACGTGGGGGCATTCGATAGCGGTTCAATCAATTTGGCTTATTCCGCTCTCAAAATACCTGCAACAAAACTGCTAGGCACATTGTCATGACAGTCGACCCCTTCCCAACGCTAGCCGTGAAGCCTCGTAACCGAACTCAACACCTCCCCTCCTGTTAACCACCTCACGCCACCCCGCCCCTCACCGCTTATACGGATCATAAGCCGTTCCAGTGTCGCTCAAAACGCTCTGCCGGCCTCGAATAGGCCCCATGGCAATATGCTCCGGATACTCATGCGAGAACTCATCCTCAATAGTGGGCACTAGCCCCCTCCGGTCATCATCCGGCGCCAAAGCCTGCTGGTGCGTTATTGCCGGCTGCTTCTCGACGTGCATGTACCTACACCTCCCAAACTTCGGGATGCCACCCAGTAGACCGGACTTTGGCCCACCAGCACCAACAGTGATGGCACCCTTATCATGAAGACCACGAGAAATTGCTCCCTTTCGCGCCTTGCCCCCACGTCGCATGTGGACGGAGAGAAGTACCGCAGCCATCAGCGCCTGCGCGAACGCGACGGAATTAAGCACGAAACCCCTACTCCCGAGCTCGGTTTGTATTCCGGCGTCCCCAAACGTGTCGTTGAACAGATCCTTAATCTGAGAAAACTTGAAAATGGACGCTATTGAAGCCGTGAAGAGGAGCATGGCCGCCATAGCGGCAGAAACCTGGCTGTAGACCGCAAAGGACGGGGAAAAAACCCTTGACAACACGTTCAGGAGGCCGGATAAGCCGTTACAGAGCAGAGAAATGATGTAACGTACCCCACGGTCCAATTGAACACTTTCGCGCATTTCCGTACAACCTAGGTTTTATCCCTTATTTTCCACCTTCTACAATGGCACGTAATTGGGAAGAAAGTGATATTCAATTAGCGCTTCAAGCGCTTCAAAATAACCCCAAACTAAGCGTACGATCCGTAGCACGGATCTATAATATCCCTCATACAACCTTACGTCACCGATATCGCGGCGGTACTTCACGACAGGATATACGATCACCAACGCAAAAGCTTACCTATTCCGAAGAAGACGCGATTGTACGCTACATATTCGACCTAGATTCACGATCATTTCCTCCTCGAATAAGTGGTGTTGAAGATATGGCGAATCGACTACTCCACCAACGCGACGCAGGACGCGTCGGTATTAACTGGGCTTCGAGCTTCGTACGACGACAACCAGACCTCCGGACGCGTTTTAATCGAAGAATCGACTACCAGAGAGTCCTCTGCAAAGATCCCGACGCGTACCGCGCGTGATTTTATCTCGTACGGAATACAGTTAATAAGTATGGAATTCAAGAGGAGGATATCTATAATTTTGACGAGACTGGGTTTCTTATGGGTCAAATCTCATCCGAGATAGTTGTAACGACCTCTGATCGACGTGGAAGACCTAGAGCAGTACAGCAAGGGAATAGGGAATGGGTTACAGTTATCCAGGGCGTCGGATCGGACGGCTATACTATCCCTCCGTATATCATCTTTGCTGGTAAAACTCACCTATCTTCGTGGTACGAAAATAGCCTACTACCAAATGATTGGGTTATCGCGGTTACGAAAAATGGCTGGACTACAAATGAAAGAGGCGAGGACTGGATTCGACATTTCGATCACCATACAAAGCTTCGTACGAAAGGTGTTTATTGTCAGATAGGACACCTGGTTCCTAGGTTCAGAAATAATATGGCACTAGAGAAGACTAGTGTCACTTAAAGTTCAGACGGCGAAATGAACCCCTCTTCCCGAAAGTAACACCAAAGTTACGGTCCACTTAGGGGTCAGACACCTGAACAATATACCTCCGACATTTCCGAAAGAATCTATAAAAGGCAGAGCAACGGGAGTTCGCGAGAATAGAAGACAGACAAGAACACGACCTCATTCATATACAATCTTATACACTTCTGACTACTCGATTGGACACACGTGATATTCGACATTTATCGCCTCTTAATTCTCGACGGCCACGAGAGCCACCACTCGACCGCTTTCGAGCTCTACTATAAAGAGAACTCTATTATCACACTCTTTATATAAGCCTGCTCATTCGTCGCATAAGCTCCAACCTCTCGATATCGGCTGTTTTCGTGCACTGAAAAGAGCGTACGGTAAAGAAATTGAGGATCTTATGCGGGCACATATTACCCATATCTCGAAGGAGGACTTCCTCTCCGCGTTCTTAAAAGCGTTCCAGGCAACTTTTACGATATCAAATATCCAGGGAGGTTTCCGAGGGGCAGGACTCGTACCGTACGATCCGGAATATGTGATTTCGCAGTTAGATGTGAAGTTATATACTCCAATACCTCCGGGTACCTCGTCTGGCCTTCCTATTATCTGGGAGTCGAAGACCCCAAATAACCCAATTGAGGTACAATAACAGACCTAATACGTGAAAAACCGAGTTATACGACATCAAAATAGCTCTCCGGCAGCTACACTTACTGCACTTGACCAGTTTGCGAAGGGTACGACACAGGTTATGCACCGGCTTGCTCTTTTAGATGGTGAGAACGCCGCGCTTCGAAAGGCAAATGTGTAACGAAACCTCTAATAGTCTAGCTGCGTAAACCACTAAAGAGTCTGTAAGGGTTTGTGCTAGTAAGTCCTGCTGCGGAGTCCTCAAGCAATAATATCGGGGTCTGACGTATGGAGTATAGTGCTTTGGGGTAACTGAAGTATTCAAGTAGGGTAACTGGGAATAGAGTTGTCAGAGAACAGAATGCCATAGGCACCAGTGGGTGTCAGGACACTGAACGCAGGACACCGGCGGGCCGCCGGAGGGGTGTTTCGGACAAAAGACTCCCGAATCATGATTACAATCTATGTGAAGCTTTGGGATGACGAGAGTCAAGATCCTTGGCATCGCCGACCCTGCTGTTATGCCGGGTCCAAGCGGCGGCCTAGCTATCTATATAAGGACCATCTCGAAGTAGGATAGGGAAGGAGTTGTCAGAGCCACAAGTGTCATCCGAGGCGGGCCGGCTTCCACCAGGTAGGAAGCCGTTTGTGGCGGCTAGAGAGCCGTTTGCAGCGGATAGGGAATCGCTTGGTTGCAGATAAGGAGCCGCTGTCCAAGATATTGGCCGAAGTCGGAGGAACACAGACATACGGAAGCAAACATCCAGAATCCAAGAGAGAACCTCGGCTGGCTATAAGTAAGGAGTCGAGACGGAGGAAGATAGAGAGGGCAGAGATCAATGCATCACCGTGGGCACCCCTACCTGAGACCGCTAGTGACCACCCGGTGCTACGTAGGAGGGACGCCCGTTACTCCCCATCACTCTGTACTATTGCCTTCGGCCTAGCCGTACCCTGACAAGAGTCGTCAAGGCAGTTTGCCTCACCAATGGGTTAGATTGAGGCTTAGGTTGATCACTGAAGTAGAGACTGTCTATCTATGAAATGCCTGGGAGTCCTGTCCCTTATATATCCATTCCCTCCTTCACTGATAACTGGGGCCATTAGATGTCAGATAGGGCACCTGGTTCCTGGGTTCAGAAATAATATGGCACTAGAGAAGACTATTGTCACTTAAAGTTCAGAAGGCGAAAGGAGCCCGTCTTCTCAAAAGTAACACCAAAGTTACCGACATGTTCTAAAGCATCTATAGGAGGCAGAGCAACGGGAGTTCGCGAGAACAGAAGACACAGAGAACAACACACCTCATTCATATACAATCTTACGCACTGCTGACTACTCGATTGGACACACGTGATATTCGACATTAGATCCTTCATGGATACTATTGGTCCTAACTGGATATGTTGGATCATTTCATATCCAAATGATCCACCCTTGTAAGTCACGTGGCTTGTGATCCTTGTACTAGCTGGCTCCTCCTGCAGCTAGCCACTCCTGTGTGACTTTCCCCTCCTTCTTTGTCCTGTATCCACTGGGCCTGCCATCGGGCCTGTTGCGTTGGTTAGAATCGTAGATTCGTAACAAAATGAGACACTTAGCCGGCGGCGTTATACGAAAAAAAAAACGTTTACAGTATGGAGGATCACTTCGTATACAAGCTGGAGAAGATTTACAGTCTCAGAAGTTAGTTAACGGAGAGTTAGATAATAAATCGCGCTGGAGTCGTAGTCGTACGAGGAGGCCAGAGATACTTCAGCAACGCTGTAGGACGTGCGGAGAGCCCGGTCATAATATGCGTACTTGTCAGAATAGTAAAGAGATATCTGAAGAAGATAGTTCAGAGTAGTTTTAATTATTTTTTTACGTTATAGTTGAATTAACTTATATCTTATTGTACGAGGTCTTAAGAAGTGTTCAATTGGACCGTGGGGTACGTTAAGCGATCGCTACGTAGCGCGCGATGGAAGTATAAGCAGAGATCTGCAAGGCGTAGTCGGTTCTGATAGTAGATTCCAGCGTGGCGCCTTGGAGTTCGTGTCAGGGTACGGCTAGGCCGAAGGCAATAGTACAGAGTGATGGGGAGTAACGGGCGTCCCTCCTACGTAATACCGGGTGGTCACTGGCGGTCTCAGGTAGGGGTGCCCACAGTGATGCATTGATCTCTGCCCTCTCTATCTTCCTCCGTCTCGACTCCTTACTTATAGCCAGCCGAGGTTCTCTCTTGGATTCTGGATGTTTGCTTCCGTATGTCTGTGTTCCTCCGACTTCGGCCAATATCTTGGACAGCGGCTCCTTATCTGCAACCAAGCGATTCCCTATCCGCTGCAAACGGCTTCAACGGCTCTCATTCGCCACAAGCGGCTCTCTAGCCGCCACAAACGGCTTCCTACCTGGTGGAAGCCGGCCCGCCTCGGATGACACTTGTGGCTCTGACAACTCCTTCCCTATCCTACTTCGAGATGGTCCTTATATAGATAGCTAGGCCGCCGCTTGGACCCGGCATAACAGCAGGGTCGGCGATGCCAAGGATCTTGACTCTCGTCATCCCAAAGCTTCACATAGATTGTAATCATGATTCGGGAGTCTTTTGTCCGAAACACCCCTCCGGCGGCCCGCCGGTGTCCTGCGTTCAGTGTCCTGACACCCACTGGTGCCTATGGCATTCTGTTCTCTGACAGTTCGAGGGAGGTTGTGGGGTCGAAGCGGTAGCCGAGTTGGGGCGCGGTGCAGGAGATAGAGGACGATTCAGCTTTATGGGCACAGACGGAGAATAGGGAGATGGTGTAGACGGTGGCGATGCCGTTGGTTGCGGGCGATACGAAGGCACCTATGTAGTCCTTGCCCGCGATGATGGAAATGTCCCGGAGATAGGGCGGGTTTGCCAGTCTGGATGGGATGTCGACCCTCGTTACATCGGTCTTGGGATGTTATTTTTAGTTGAAGTATTCTTTTTCAAGAGAGGGGATTTTACCTTGATGAAGTAGTTGTCGACGAGGACGTTGGATACCGTTCCCGAGATGAGGACGAGGAGTGTAAGTAGGATAGGGAGGGTCGAGAAAAAAAGGGCTGCCCAGTTGAACCCGCCAAGCCGTGCCATGGTGTCTCAACTCTCAGTATCGAAAAACAACACCGTAGTAATAGTGTCAACCAGGGTGAGAGCGAGAGCGGCGGTTGCGGGAGATTTATGAAATGGAGACAAGGAGAAAGCTAGCCGTTTATCATGAGCCAGTCAACGCCGTTAATAGCACCAAACTATAAGTCAATTTAAGAATGAACTAAGGAGATTTATCCCTAAGCTTACAACATCACCAGCATATATATCTGCAAGGGTAATTCACTTTCTTTGGTTCGACCGTTCAAAGTCCCACGTCGGCCGGTATCAAATTCGATCAGTCAGCCGAAATCTATTATAGTTGCACAACACCAAACACGCCAGGGTCACATCACTGACGTGGGATCGCCGATTGGATTGTCACGGCTGGTAGGGATCAAGTTTGGGTCCCAGGAAAAGGACAGCGCTTATGCGCCCAACTGCGCCTCGCGGGTATTCATAGCCTGCATCAAAACAAGCGCCACACTTGCCAATCTGGGGACCCTCAAGTTACCAACCGGCCGGATTTTGGCATCGCGAGTATACCAGCACTTGTGCCGGCATCGTGTAGGAAGTTAAATGAAAGCGTTGGTCGTTGTCGCTAGCTCGAGGCAGTGTTTTCCCCGGAAAGTTCTCCAGCCGAAGCGTTAGAACTCCACGTTTTTCAGCTGTGCAACGATACATAGGTCATGGAGGGCCTCTCATCCCCAGTGCCAACACAGCATACCAAGGCAGGCAGGGCCTCGGAAGGAGGTTAACAGACCGAACAGACCATTATAGCGCATCTGGTACCCAGTGGCGGCAGTCTCTTATTTCGCGCTTGCGCCGCTTGCGCTCTACCCGTACGACATCCCCTTTCTTGGCTTCATCAAGACCACAAGACTTGGAAAACATCAAAATAAAGCTGACGAAGAGTAGCGGTTGTTAGGACTCGAAATAGAAACATCCCTGGCCGCTAGGCGCAATGACAAGAGAAATAGCCACCCCTGTTGGGATCTAATCGCGTACTTGCAGATGTCTGGCATTGGGAGAATTAATAAAGTGCCTCGCGCTGCGTGAAGACTTATCTGCCTCCATCTGCATTCGTGTAATCTGATCTGGCCCTCTCCTCCGTTCGTTTTCTTGTGTCGCATAGCAACATGGCCCGATTACGATCATCCCCCGCCGTCGCCGCCTTTGCGGCGCTTTCTTCGCTCGCCTCATTAGCAAGTGCAACTAAGTACTCTGTCCACGTCGGCAAGGGCGGGCAGCTCAAGTTTGACCCCGAGACGCTGACAGCCCAGGTTGGCGACGAAATCACCTATCAGTTTTTCGCCAGAGTAGGTGGACCCTTTCTCCTTTGTTGCGCAACCGAAGCTGACGCTGGTGTGTAGAACCATTCGGTGACGCAGAGCTCATTCGCTGAGCCATGCAAGCCTCAAAGCGGAGGCTTCTTCTCTGGATTCACCCCCAGCCCTTCTGCTGATGTGACGGCACCGACGACATTCACCATCACAGTGAACGATACGAATCCCATCTGGATATACTGGTAAGTATACAGCGTTGCCCAAAGCCTATGTTGAGCAATCTCTGACCCCTGGCGCAGCGGGCAGACAAATGGAGATCATTGCCAGAACGGAATGATCCATGCCATCAATGCGTGAGTACTGGGAACTCCCTTATTGCTCGGAATTTTCTGACTAAATCTCGCAGACCTGCCGAAGGCAACACCTTCGACAAGTACAAGTCAAACGCCGCAAGTGCACAAAAGCCGAGCATCTCACCACCCGACGGACTGCCAGTCGGTGGTCTGCGCAAGCTCCATATCGACGTAGGCTTCGACGGAAACCTCGTCTTCAACCCCAGCAACGTCACCGAACTTGTCGGTACCCTTGTCGAATTTGGCTTCAACCAGGCGAACCACTATGTAGTGCAAAGCTCTTTCGACGACCCGTGCCACCCTCTCAAAGACGGCTTCAGCGCCCCATTCGTTCCCACCCAGCAGTCACCCTCTGGTGTCACCTTCGAAGTCGAAGTGACAGATACCAAGCCCGTCTGGTTCTACTGCGCACAAACGGCTAAGACACACTGCCAGTCCGGCATGGTCGGTAGTATCAATGCTCCACCGTCGGGAGACAAGACCTATGACGCTTTCAAGCAGCTGGCGACCAATGCTTCGCCCTCTACTATTCAGCCGGAACAACCCAATGTCGGAACCCTCAAGATCAACGGCACAGCCATCAATTACATCAACGGCGTCGTGCTCAATGTCACCGCGGCACTGGGACCTAACATGGCCGAGTACATCCCGCCTCCAGGGTATGAGTACTCACCATACATGGTCGGTATGGCCGGAGGCGCTCAGCCTGCCAATTACGACTGGGGTCCATCCGTCTCGGACGAGGCTGTCGAGTTCCTACAGGCGCTGCAATACGTCGATAACTTCATCCTCTCGGTCCTCTCCCATGGTTACAGCAAGCTGAGCGAGGGCGAGTGGAAGAACGCGTACCCCTAATCCATCACCAACACCATCGGCTCCATGTTCGCCCAGGCTCTGATCCACCGTTCGACCTACACCGACTCGTTGCAGCACTACTCCAAGCCGACCGTCGGGAACTGCACGTACGATCTGCAAAGGAACACGGTCGGCGAGTGGTTGCAAACCTCGCTGACTGCCATCACCCTATCCATTGGCGTGGTTATTGACGTTCTTTCTCTCGTCACCGACAAAGACCACTGGATGGTCCCCGCTCTGGCTACAGCGCTCGGCGCGAAATCCCGCATGACTGCGGTGATTAACATGATGCAAGGCCATTTGGCAGCCACGGCGCCGCGTGAGGTCCTCATACCTTACCAGCTGGCCTGGTCGTACATCTCCAACAAGTACGTGCAAGCAGGTTCTTGTTCCGACGAGTTCGGCAAGTCCTACCCGGCGATGAACATTACCAACAAGGTGATGCAGCCTGGTAGTGGCCGCACCGACCGGATAACGGTTGGAATACCTGCAGGTAGTAGCGGTAAACATTACATGGCTTGGGTTGGACCGTGGGGAACACTGAAATACAGTGATGTCACTTCTGAGGGGGCAACTACCGTGCCCGAGGAGCTGTCTGGACATGCCTGGGCGGTTCTGACGACAGAGACAGGCTTGAAGGCGCACGATATCGAAAAGGCCGCAGCGACTGGACCCGAGATGGTGTGGGTGGCCGATCCGTGGGCTTGAGAATGTGAGAGTCAGTACTCTCTGCATAGTACTTGGGCGTAGACTGGCCTGAAAATCGGTCCACCTGCCGGGCACGTGTATGCCCACTTCGCCGAGGGAGCTGGTGCGGGTTCGGAATATCCGAGGTTTGCTTCGCGTTAAGCGTGGGATGAGAACATATTCAATACGAGATATCCACACTTTTCACAGCCCTTAGCCGACTTCGTGGACCTTGCGTCACTGAAATGTGGTGATTGCTGTGGTCGTAATGGTGATGGTAGGACACTAACGGAGCAGACCCGAGATCTCTGTTGTTTTGAGACCCTTTTTCCTCGCACAGACTGCAATCCAAGAAGCCCGGGAGCAGCTGGATTTGCTCGCTGGCTCCAAAAGTCGCAGTAGCCTGGCTCTACCGACGGTCCAAGCAACCACCGTCAGGTTTGTCCAAGATCATTTTTTGCAGGAAACCCATCCGGACGGCCGGTGCACTGTCCCAAGTTCCGGACTTGGCGGATGGCCTCGCCGACAAAACAAGCAGTTGGCGAGCTGCGCAGGTTGCCATGGCCTGTCGTTCTGACTCTCGGATACCTGCATCATGGAGGCCTGGGATGAAGTGAAATCGAAGCCAAGTGGGATATCCTTCTGTCGTCTGAACGTCTCGCTTTCCATATAAAGCTTGCTGGTCCTTCCCGTTGCAACATCAGAACATGCCGTAAACAAGCTGAATTCAGTCAGTATACTATCAAACAGTCTTTGCTCGTACTTATTCCCATCGCTTTGGCGGACACGTAATCATAATGTTTTCTACTTCTTTACTCCTTGCTAACCTGGCGCTGTTGGCCACCGTCAATGCCACCTTCATTCTCCAAACACCAATCGCCATCGGTGGTTGTGCTTGCAAAGGCGAGTTCGATCAGAAGCTGGAGCCCTGCGGCGGGTTTGATCCGACAGATCGGTCTGTAGTGTCTCCTTTTCCAGCCGCCGGCCAAGACATAATGGTTTCGTCTGCCAACTACACGTCCACCTTCTACTTCAAGGCAGCGTTAGTCACGGATCTCCACAACTGGGTCGAACTAAGACCGTCCATGCCTCACCATGGTGACGGTCAGTTTTGCTTCAGCCGCATCCGTGGAAAGAACGCGTGGGTCGACCGGGACGTTGTGCTCCAGATCTCGCAGTATGAAGGCAACGGGATCACCAACTACCAGGTAAGTCGTGGTATTGCGAATCCCCTGCGTCTAAACGTGCTGATCGCTGCTCAGTGCGCTGCGGTGCGGTTCACCAACGCTTTGTACGCCCAGGGTGGTTGCACCAAACCTGCCACCCCGGGCAGGGGCCTCGAGCTGCCAGGCAATCATGCCGTGGAAAAGCGACACCCCGCTGTTGATGTGAATGACACGACGGCGTTATCAGGCCGCGATGCCACTAGCACGCCGGTCAAGGTCAATGATGCAAGCGCCTTGGTCCGCCGCTTTGCTTACTTCAGTCCTATCGCCGTGCTGTCGGCAGCGGTACTGCCGTGGTAGGTACGGGCCGGGACATGGAATGGAGAACAGCGACCATTCGCATGAGAAAGGTCTTTCCGTAGGGAATATCATAATGACCAAATGTGGATGACAGCCGAGTGTCAATGACGTGCGGCCGGGTGTTAATATAAAAGATGAAAGAGAAAACAATAACCACTATTGCCACTGGACGACATTTCGCCTCACCTGGTGGCACATGCATCTTTTGACAATCCTGCACCGCTTCAACGCCTTACCTACTACATGTGAAGCCCGACCGACGAGGAAAGTTCTTGGCAAAACTGTAAGGTAGCCCAGTAACAAGACCAACCTTGGTGACAGCCGACAAGACAAGATGCAGAACCAGTGTATCGTCGCAGAGTATGCCAAACCCGACTCTTGATGCGTCCGTCAACCACGTCACCCACGTCACCCACGCAGACGCAGATAGAAGGTGGCAGCCTCTTCCGGTGATGAAGAACAGTTGCCAAACGTGGAAGTAGGGGAAGACGACATCTGACGGACAAGCTGCGTCATTCATCCTGAGATGTTCGGGGTAAAAGCTTAATTATTCAACGGACTGTGAGGTACCCGTCGTCCGCCTTTCGGCCCATTTTAGCCAATGTTGAGATGTTCAGATGGAACATAAATTCGTTCCAAGTTGGTCTGTTCACCTGAATGCCTTGGGCGAAGGTTCGGCGGAAGTCGCGGCTGGACGTAGTTCCGCATTTCCAACAGCTGTTCCTGCATGAAGCAAAAACATGCCGACCTTCTCAACCAATCAAACCTCGACTGGACTGTTTCAGGTGCAATGTTTCAGATGGTTCGCTCGCCTGTTCAGAATTGTCTGATGTCGTGAGTTCAGGATCAATCTTAGCGCTGGGAGAGCCTCGCCGTCGATTATACTGGGATACCCCCTCATATTCCCCAGGGATCCGGGCGCCTGGCGAGTCGCGACGTCGTTTACACCAGGTGTTCGGGGGCTCTGTGACCCCTCTTACCCCTTGCGAAGCCGCAATGTCCACAGCATGCCCCCAGGTTGTGGTCTTCGTGATCGCCTCCTTGGGAAACCTTTTGTGGGGCATTCATGCGAACTGAGCGGGGACTTCGCCACGATTCGCTTGGGACGGGAAAATAACCTCTGCACGGTGGTGAGGCGGAATTTGGCATCAATCAGGAACAGCTGTGTTGCTGCCACTCCCTTGTACTGATGAATGGCCGGGACCTTGGTATGGTTCCTGCGCTGGTATGACATTCCTGGGCCGGTTCGTCATCACCGATGCCTCTTTTCATTAAGGGGAAGGAGGCTCTGCATCTGGCCGTCCAGGTTGGGGCCCTGGGCATGCAGGTGCACGACGAAGCTTCCTCAGCTATCGCCACATCAACCAATTCCTGCTGCTAATTTCCGTCGATAGTATCGCCAAAACACCCAGAGGTCTCTGGGACCCGCAATCATGTTTCCAGATAATTGCTGCCCCTGACCGTTATGATCATCGATCCATCTCCTCGGTCCTTACCGAGCGTGGTGGGTTGGCCGCCCTGGCGTTGCGATATCCACTCCTTGTTACAGCTAGATCAACGCAGGGGTCCCGTAGCCTGGTCACAACGTTGAGGCCTTACCAGCGTCCCAGCCGACTGCCAGGAACAGCGTGGACCAGGTTGCGCGTTTGTCCAGATATGGGACGAGCAACTCATCTCGCGACCTACTGGGGCGACCGGGAATGTCCAACGCTTAACGGATTCCTCGGCGTAAGGCACAAGCCTGGTGGATCGTCTTGTCTGCTGACTATGCTTAAATATGGGATACCTCGCCGCCCCTTCAAGTCGCTCCCGGATCAAAATCCAGTGTTCGCTCTCTTATCATTCATCTCTTCAACTCCTCGGGTCGGTGACCTTGACATTCTTTTACAAAGTTCATACTTTCGTTCTGCACAGGTGCACTCTTGACCAACACACAAGACCTTTCGTTCACTACACCTCGAGTTCCAAACGCGTCGATCACTTTAGGAAGCCATTATATACCAACCGTTAAGATGAAGTCCTATATTATTTCGGCCGTCATCCCGCTCGTTGCCGGACACGGTTACATCACCTCGCCTCAACCTCGTGTTGTTGGCTCTGCCATGGAGGAGGCCTGCGGTACGCAGATCTACAACCAGCTTAAGTCGGACATCAACGGCAACATCCAGGGCGAGATCCAGAACAAGCAGGACGACTTCACCGATGCTTGCAACCTATGGCTCTGCAAGGGTCTGCAGTTCGCCGACAACACGGCCAATGTCCAGAGCTACAACGCTGGTGACGTCGTCGACGTGGTCTACGACATCAGAGCCCCTCACACTGGTGTCGCCAACGTGAGCATTGTCGACACAGCCACCAATGCGGTAATTGGTGAACCCCTCATCAGCTGGGACGTTTTCGCCTCCACCTCGACTGGCGTCACGGCCGATGAGACCAACTTCTCCATCACCATCCCCGACCTGGCTGGCAAGTGCACGACCGCCGGAGAGTGTGTTATCCAGCACTATTGGAACGCGGCTGACGTCGACCAAACCTACGAGGCCTGGTAAGTGCCGTCATATGATACGTTGCCGACTACCACGGCACAGCTGCTAACTGTGTCCTTCAGCATCGATTTCACCGTCGGTGGCTCTTCTTCCGGGGGTGCTGCCTCCAGCGCCCCGGCTTCTAGTATCCCGGCTTCTAGCACACCGGCTTCCAGTGCCGCACCGACCTCGGCCGCAGCAACAACTACTGCCCCGGTTGTCACCAGCGCCGCACCAGTAGCTACAGAGTCGGCAGTAGCAGAGGATGAATGCGTTGCTGATGAGCCGACGGCGACCACGTCGGCGGCTGCGGTTGAAGAGACGGGCGCAGACGATGAATGCGAGGCTGAGACTTCTGCTGTCGCTGTCGAGGGAGCTGCCACTTCGAGTCCCGCCGCAACGCCTGCGACTGATGACGACACCAGTTGCGACGCTGACGATACCACCGCCGTTGCCAGCGCTGTCCCCACCACCTTCCTTACCCGCACTGCCACCTCGGCTGCCGCGGCCGCTACGTCCGCTGCTGCTAGTGCCGCGGCTGCGTACGCTCAGTGCGGCGGCACCGGTTTCACCGGCAGCACCACCTGCGTCTCCGGCTACACCTGCACTGTTCAGAACTCTTGTGAGTTTTCCTGAGTTTGAACTTTCTATCGCTTAAAACAAATACTGACTCTTATTGCTTCAGACTACTCCCAGTGCATATGATATATCACCCGCAAACTTTCAAACACCCGTCGGGGTGGACTTTTCTCGGTGATCTATGATGATCTTTGGTTCCCCATGTGGGCAAGCTTAAGTTTCCTTGTATATAATTATAACATTTTGGGAGGAGAGTAGTTGTTACATAAACTGAGGCTCCCGTGTATATCCAAAATCAATTGATACTCAGTCCCTTGGCCTCTGTGTACTGATCTTCTCCTGCTTATCCTGTGTCATATCTCTCATGGGAAATGTCACGCATCTTTGCGACGAATCAAAAGTATGCCTGAGGAGTCTTAACTTTTTATCACGTTGTGCAGTATAATAATGAGATAAGGTACAAATGTAAGTTATGAATAACATCAAGTTACCTAGGAAAATCTATGAGCCTGAGAGCTACTGACTGATTCTTTGACTTATTGTGAACAAGTGCTGTGCGATTTCAGCCGCCTTGCCAGCGGCCCACATGTTCATAACGTGTATAGTGCCAACCCATATTGGTATACGTGTTGTTTGCGTACAGTGAGCTTGAAGTAGTACATGTCCCGCCCTAAATGTAACCTGTCAGGGGGGTTAGGCCGCCAAAACTGACGACCGTAGCTGAGGGTGTACCCTGCATCACCAATGTCAGATAGTTCAATGAGAAAGACACGCCATCTGAATAGACTTTTCTAGGAAACGGATGAATACTTAAACCCAAAGATCCACCCGCTTCTATAACTTTCTGCAAATATGGCCTAGTGCCATGGCTTTCTGATAAAAATATTGTATCATTGAGAGCATCATTGAGAGCAAATATGTACCACTAATTTTGCGTTTGCTTCTCATGACGAACCACTACTGAGCAGCAGTGGGTGGGACCGACATGTGATCCTCGTCAATTGAGTAATTTACCACATACACTCGAGTTTGAGCACGATCTGTCGGTAATGCCCCTGCATCAACGAACCCTGGAAGAGCCGCGTCGCATCTCCTTTTTTTTCTCAATTGTTGCCGTGGCTGAACCCGCCAATTAGATAGTGCAGCAGGTGTAATCCTTTGCGAACCCGACCAGCAGATCATTGCAAGAAATCGGACGGCACATCAGGACCTGTAATTTGTCAGCCAAACATCCAGTACGTGTATTCAACCTACTAACCCCAGACGTGCAAGCTGTCGGGTGAAGCTTGTGATCGGTGCGGAGGTTCCGTCTCATCCACCAGATCGCCGTCCACGTAGTGCTCCATGATGAAGCCGGAGGGATCGAACCTGAGTTGAAATTTAGCGAGCAAATCGCCTGACAGTGAGTGAAGTCTACCCCTTACCAGTAGTCGAAGATCTGACTGCCCAGGACGTGCCGTCCAACGCCCCAGCAGTTCTTGTACCCCTTTTCCCGCAGCCAGTCGTGTCCGAGGACTTGAGTGTCGAAATCGTGGGTCTCATACGATGAGTGGTGAACATGGAACTCGGGCCCTGATTAAAACGTTAGCGGAAAATTGCATGAGTGCCCACCGAGGAAGTCTGTCTCACCCTGGTAGAAGAAAAAGCAGTGATGGTCGACTTGCTCCTTGCCTCTATTTAATCGGAAGAAGACCGTGATATCGGTGCCGTCAGCGTCATGAACAAGCTAAACATGTTCGATCTTGATGAGCACAACTCCCAACTAAATCACGGGCGAGGTAACAATCAACTCACGTCGCTGGGAATCAGATTGAAGTGCGTCGAGTAGAACTCGTAAGTCTTGGCAAAGTTGGTCGTGCAATGACCAAAGTGGCCGAGCTTGTGAACCGGCGCCGGCCGTTTCTGGAACCGCTGGAACTTGTTCACAGGTCGGTTCTTCTCCAGGGGCTGTGTCTCTGGCGTCAGCGCATATCTTCTCCTCGTCCTACTCAGTACGTCATGGAAGATCGACCTACATAGTTAACCGGCTCCTGCGGCAGCGGAATATCCAATATGTTATGCTGTCCCTGCCCGTGCACAAGATGGAAGGGAAACCCGTCAACCGGATCATAGAACGTCACACATTTGCCCTTCCCAGGCGCATCCTCAAGCTCGTAGATCCCGGTAGCTTTCGGCAGCGTCTCGGATGCATACTGTAATTCGTCCTCGGAGTCCACCACAAATGCCGTCCCGCCAAATGCGTCCCTGTCGGACTTGATGGCGCACACCACGAAAGGCTCGGTCCCGTAGCCCCGGAAGTAGATCTTGTCGCCCACTCGCTTTTCCTCGGTGAAGCCGAAGTCGTTGAGGAATGCCACCGCCTTGTCAATGTCTTTGTATTTGTAGTATGTGTGAGCTATTCGCTTGAGCATTATCTTCCGTGGAGCTTCGGACGCCATGTTGAATATATTGGGAGAGACTATTGGAACGATTAGTATAGTAGTAATTCGAGAAACTGTGAACGAGACACGTAAGAAGACGACAATGAGAAGTGTATTGCCTGCACACATCCAAAACTCGAAATGGGGGCTGTAAAGCTTATATAGCCATAGCACACGGTTAAATAAAGTCGGGCGGGTGGAGGAGTCCGTAGGCGTCGTCCGTCCCAGCCTGTATTACCAAAGGGCTGATTAACTCCAGATGCTCATAACCCCACCCATTTACCGTGGCGTGTGCGGCATAGCTTCCTGCAGGTTATTGCGTATGCGATTCGGCAGTTCGCATATGTGCTCAACTTCACAGGTTCTGATATATTTCCACCTGGAATGATCTTCAACCAATGGAAAATCACACCTGTGCGCACCTCGGCCATGGTGCAGTTGAAACCCGGGCCGTGTGATACGTATTTGGCCAGAACCACGTACAACCTGATGTTCGGGAAGAACGATCATCCCATCTGGTCTGGTCTGCTAGATCTTTTGTTCCAGAACAAGTGGATGTACAGCTACCATAATCGTTGTACAGCCTCACTTCAACTGCTCTTGTTACTCTCGATACGTTACACCGCAGACGACATCAGATTCGCGGTACCAAATCAACTCCCGAAGAAGCATCATCCCATTCCACGTTGGGGTTTCACTATGGGTCGTCACAATGGTTCCTGGCCGAACTCACAGACGTAACCCGGGGGCGGGGCACTCGACAGGGGCCCACTCTAAAATCTGGGGAACCTGAGACCTTGTCAACATCGCAACAGTTCCTTCGTCCCAACCTGTGCTGGAGACCCCGTTTGAAATGTCGAATACGTTGCAAGCACATCAATGGCGTTTGCCCTCGAGGGCCTAGTTTCTCTCAAGGACAAACGGCCAGGAAAGAAGTTGAGTCGTTGCAAGGGTCAGGACTTTTCGAGTACGGAGCAATATGACGGGATAACGCCGCTTTTGCGGGCCGCTACCGGGGAAAACCTTCTAACCTAGACCCCGGCCAACCCCTCCAAAAATATCGCGTCAGCACCACCATCCTTTCATCGATCCTCTCGACGTCGCGCAAAACCTCTGACAAAAGCGCGCTGATTCCCTCCGCGTTCTGGTCCAGCCACCACAGACAAATACCCACCAGACTCCACAACCGCGCAATCACAATGGCACCAAGAAAGCTCTCCAAGCAATCGACCTTCAACTCCGTCGCCTCATCCTCAACAACCTCTTCCACTACCCAAATCCCTTCGATCCTAACTGACGGCCAACCGCTCCCGACTGTCGTCGTTTTCGACCTCGACTACACCTTGTGGCCTTTCTGGGTGGACACGCACGTGTCTGGGAGCAAACTCGAGCCCAACGACTCCGCCAGCGCCTGCACCGATAAGAACGGCGAGTCCTTCGCCTTGTACCCGGACATCCCCTCCGTGTTGCACGGCCTCAGCCTCTCGGGCATAAAGCTCGGCGTTGCAAGTCGCACGACTAGGGACGACCTGGCCAAGAAGATGTTGAATACTCTGTATATCCCGCCTGCATCGTCGGTTCTCGCTCCTTCCTCTTCTGACACGACGTCGTCCTCGTCGAGTAAGAAGGACGGGAAGAAGAAAAAGGCGTGGGAGTTCTTCACGGAGGTGGGATTGGAGATGTACCCGGGAACCAAGATACGGCATTTCCAGGCGCTGCAGAAGAGGACAGGTGTTGCGTATCCAGAAATGCTGTTCTTTGATGACGAGCCGGATAATCGCGATGTGGAAACTCTGGGGGTCACGATGCGGCTTGTGAGGGATGGGGTTACGTGGCATGAGGTTGAGGAAGGTATTAAGGAGTGGAGGCGCCGGAGACGCCTTTGATGGAGCTTGTTCTGGCCCAGCAGCGATGTCAAAGACGGATCAAGTTGTATACACGGACTTTTGGCTTGTGAGATGCGAAAGGATTTCGATAGAGATAGATCACAGGTGTACTGTGCATAGAGTGAACAGGATATAGCGTCGGAGTTTGGAGGTGATCAATTTACACGCGGTCACTGGAGCACGATGTCCGTAACAGAGCGCGAGTGCGTAAAGGCAACTCGCGAGTTGCGTGAGGTATTGCAAACAACCATTCGTCCACTCGTCCTCCACCCAAAGCCATTGGGTGTCGTTATCCCTGACGGCAAGTTTCCTGGCGTGGTGTTTTCTGACCTATGTTATCAAGCGTAATTAAATGGTATACTACGTCCCTCTTTTCCTTACCGCCGAGAAAGAGCATCTATCATGTTACCACAACGGCTTCCTTGGTTTGAACAGGATCAGCGGCCACTTTCTCCGAAACGTCGGACGCCTTATCCTTGTTTGCATCGCCAATGAAGAGTATTTGAAGGTCCTCTGCAGATGCTTCAGATGCCTTCTGTCCATTGGTTACAGGTGTCAACACCGTCTCCTCAGACTTCGACTCGACCGCGGTATTCTCGGTCGTAGTACTTTCGGTCATAGTACTCTCCGCCCCCTTCCTCGCCGGGAAAGCAACGGGGATCGTAGCAACTCGTTCCATCCGATGCTTTTTGTTTTTGCTGCCGACAGCAACAAGCTCCAGTCGCGTCCCGTCGCCATACGGTTGCCAATACATCGGACCGGGTGGTAATGCCGTGTGGCCGTTCTCCCATGTCACTATGCGCTTGAATTCGTCGTCGAAATTCGGCTCCTCATGAAAGTCCCAGTCCAGCTCGCCGCCGTACGCCTTTGGGAGGTTCTTGGGGTCGATGAAGGAGTACAACACAGGTTGTACGTCGGCCGGTCCGAGAATGAAGATCTTCGACACGGTGACTGGGTCGAACCACCGCTTGATCCAGCCCCATACCGTTGAGAAGAAAGCCGGAGCGCCTATTATGAAAATGCCTGTCCGTTCAGGTTAGCCCAGCGCAACCAGTCAAGTAGTCATTCAGCGGAGTTGGAGGGCAAGACATACGATCAAGAGTCTCTGGGTAGTGCGCCGTGGCCAGTTGGCTAGCCGCCTGCATATGTGACTTCAAGTTCCAGAACTGCTTAAGACTGACTTGCGAGATGTCCACAATGTTCGTACTGAGCGTAATTGGCGTCTCAGCATGTTCGCGATCGGTGCACTGGGTGGAGAGCGGCTGCGCAAACCGCGTCAGGTTCTCGTAGAGGGCAAACAACTGCAGCAACTTGGGCGGCGTCTTTCCATCCGTCTTAGCATTGCTGTACGCCAAACTGGTCGACTTCTCGTACTTGGCCACGGCAGCGGAGTCGAGGTGTCGAATCTGGTACACATAGATGGGTATGCCCCTTCTGTCGCGCCGCCCCGTGAACATGGGATAAAGCTTCTTGGACACCTCGTACGCGTCGATGTCGATGGTTTCGTACAGGACCCCGATCTCGTTGGCGGCGCGGAACTTCTCCGTCTCGCTAAATTGTGCGTAGGCGTCGTGCACGATCCACTTGCGCGCGCGCAGGTAGCGGAGGAGGGTCGGGTCATCGTGCGAGGGCGGCGGGCCGGGCGTGTAGAGTTTTTTCTCTTCGAGAAGGACTTTGAAGTCTTTCAGGGCGTGGTGTTCGACGTCGTTGAGGTGGCCCAGGTGGCCTTGGGGGTATCTGTGTTCGACCCCGCCGGCCGACGGCACACGGTGCATCGAGGCGGATTTACGGGTCATGGCGGGCGATGCGGTAAGGGGCAAGGGGAGTTTACGGAGACTTCGAAGACTAAAGTTATTTGATATTTGATGCAACGGCAGCGTATGCACGTCGTCTTACTGGATGATTTGACAGAGTAAACACCGAGATTTACAGAATAAATAGCGACAACGGAACTATCCCCATAAAGAGGATGCAGAGCTGACAAACAGAGAAAAATAATACCCCTGTTGCGGGATCACTCGCCGCAGTGATCTGCTCAAGCGCTCCAGCGGGCTGGTTCTTGCTAGTGCGCCGGCAGGATCGGATAAAGATTAAAAACCCATGACGCTGAGATTTAGCGCATCTGAATATCGCCTAGCGTTGATGGTCATTATGTAGTTGACACGCTCCTTGTTCCCAGTGAACTTCTGAAATCTGACATCACACCAAGACGGCATTGTATCGTGTAAATTTTATCTAGATATTTCAGTCTTCAAAACATAGCAGAGAGACAATATCCCGGGGCTTTACACGTCTTTTACCGCATCCAAACAGTTGAGTCATTCAGTGATTACCCTTATGAATTCATCATTTCAACTGTGAGCTGCATAGCAGTTGCTACAGGTACTTCACAAGAGCGACGGAGCTTAACGAACGAAGAAACATTCAAATGCAATAGACTTTGGGGCCCAGACGAACACAACAAGATGTAAACCTAACTCTACTCTCTTTTGGCAAACCTGTACGCCATGTATTTGAAATAGGAGCCGACCCTGTCGCTAACCCCACCCTTTCGCTAACCCAAAAATCGATATGCCGATAGAAAATGGCATCACTTCAACTACACACACCTTGACGACCACCAGGATTATAACCCAAATAAAAACGTAATTTTGAAGCGCATAAGCGGAAAATTATACGTAGGCTTTGGTGCCGTGATGGAACCACCCAATCTTTTAGTCTTGCGGAGTGGTTACAACTGACTGTCCCAATTAACCTGTCCAATTCCTTTTTCAATAAGGCATTCTTTGTTTTTTTGGGGGGAGGTCGGGGGGACCAATTCGATCTGCTGGTTCTCCATGTCCCTGGCGGCATTGAAAAACAAGGCCTTTAATGTTGGACTATAATCCCTAGATGTATCACGGATTCGACGGCTTCTGGTAGGTGTGCTATCGGAGCCCTCTAGCTTAGGGGTCTTATCTTGCCGTACAGCCTTATCCTGCTGGATTTACAGGTGATAAAATGCTTTACTGACGTTAAAATGGCTAATTACCGATCGTGCGCTAGCCGGATTCACAACCTCTTTGGTCATAGCCTTGCGTGCTTCAGATGCTTCAGAATAGGCTCTGATACAGTTGACTTATCCACAGTGGCCAAATCGGACAAGTAGATAAGTTTTCCAATATCACATGATGAAAGGTCATTAAGAGATGAGGTTGAACTAGGATCTTTTTCAAATCTCGAAGAGCCTTGCAAGCCATCCATCCCGCTTCATGGGGAAATGGGGGAAATCGGGGGTTGGACAAGCCGTTTGGCCTGCGAATTCTTCTTGGATACGATTTGAAATCGACGATACAAAGGCAGATTTCCTTGCTTGAAATTTTGGCGAGGACCAGATGCTTTATTGAGCTCCCACCTCAAACTTTATGAGAGACAATTAGTCTCAAGCAAAAACGTTGATTTTATTCATTTCAATCGTCTACCTTACTATGAGTCGATAGGTCTTAAGGTAAGCCACTAACCGCTGGTTTTTTCAACAGTTAAAACCACTACAGCAACAGGATAGCTATCGAGTTCCGTTCTAGCTGTTGCAAACCGTTGTTTCTAACAGCTTTACGGAGATCAGCTTACAAATATTAGCTCTAGACGGTTATTTCCTTGAACATACAGTTAGGAGTAATTCGGCCGCCTAACAGCCTTATTTACTCTAGAATCAAAACCTAGGAGGTAGCGTCTGTAGCGTCCGACTTAGCTACCCTTACTCAGTGTTAATAGAGTATCCTATAACTATCATACATTGCCCCAAGGAGAGTCACTGTGACAGGCTGTGCCTGATATGGGATCCGGAGCTGCAAGGACCGTGCGTCCGGATCCACCAAAGGAACCATCGAGGGCATACAAAACATAGTCCGTGTTCCCGGGACAACTCGCATATTTTACTTTCCTCCTCAGTTAGATAATTAACAGTATTTGGCCATGTTGAGCTGTATAGTTTCGCAGTGAGCCCGTCACAGTCACCCTTAGCTATAGATAAGACAGGCAGCCCAAGAGGGCCTTCAGCTGGCCAGATAGCTAACTAACCATAATTCCCAATACACAAACCTTACATCCCATATACACTCGCATCAAACTATTCACTTAATATCCTCCTTTTAGACCCTAGTCTTGTCTATCATAGCTTCATTTCGGGGCTAGATATAGTAGTTCCGCTTTTCGTTATCGATAAAGGTATAGAAGTTGAAGGGCTTCGGGAATTTAGCGATAGCTTCTGTCACGACCTGGGTTGCATCGCATTGGTATAGACCTCGATTAGGTGCTATCGACGAAGATTCTACTCTAAGGAGCGAAGGAAAGAAGATGACAACTTAGGTTTGAGGGAGCGCGACTAAGTCATCCACGCTTGGCGGGGCTCCTACAAGGGTTATGATTGCCTTCCCATCTGACACTGCCACGGCAGGTGTTCCAGCTGTAAGTCACCTGGTTGTAGTGAGTCTGCGAGGGTTGACCTTCACAGCTTCGACTCGGTCTCGCGAAACTACACGCCTAACCTTAGTATGCACAGTCTTATTACGGTTTAAAAATTGGTCAATTACATCTCTTGTTTAAGGGCTGGGGATCGACGGTAGCCTCAAGTATCTCCTACGCGAAGCCTATAATGAATCGGTTAGAGGGAGTCCGTCAATATAGTTATTCATAGAGAATGCAGTCGATAAGGTAGCTCTTGTGGAAATTCATAATTCAATTTTGTCGTGGGCTTTGGTACATGTTATACCCCATAATCCGCGTCGGTATCGCGATAGCGTTAAAGGTAGGAGGCCGGTCGCGTAGGTAGTAGCGTTCTGAGAAACCATTTTCTATTGGCTTTCCGGTCTCTCGAATAGAGGCAGTAGCGGTCTCCTTGATGATGATTTTGTCTATGACAATGGCTAGTTCCTAAGATAATTGAGGAGATAGCTGTATTGATCTTGAAACGCGGCGCAAAATTGGCGTTAACATTCCAGGTTGTGTTGCATTTCTAGGTCAATGCGCTCAGATACTTGCCATCTCTCTCAGGCCTACCACATAGCTTGCCGGTCTACAACATCACGATCAGTAACGTCCTGGACATTTCAGTTTTAGATCTAATTTATTGAAAGATGATTGGCTTGGTATATGATGATCGCTCCAGTCTCAAGAAAACTCGTTACTAAGGCTTAATCCAGTGTAAGAAATCCGATCCTATCTTTCTGTTTTCCCCGTCATCAGTCCCCTGCTGGCCTGGTACGAACCTAATGATGTCATTCGGACCATTAGCAAACCAACCGCGGACGTGACCAGGGCCGCTTTTGATCTAGACTCTGGCCTGAGAGGTAGATATTTAAACGGCTCCGGGCTGGAGGATGTAGTGCCAGAGGCAGCGGGTATCAAGAAGCGGGCTATGGTTTGGAGAGATAGGGTTAGGTACGCTCAGCTTACTGAGCACGATACCGCGCTCGCGAACTGGAAGTAACTAGCTCCTTGCACCTGGTATTGCTGTCGTCTGTAATATTCTTGCCACCATCTGTCAGGGTACGGCTAGGCCGAAGGCGATAGTACCGAGTGATGGGGAGTAACGGGCGTCCCTCCTACGTAATACCGGGTGGTCACTGGCGGTCTCAGGTAGGGGTGCCCACAGTGATGCATTGATCTCTGCCCTCTCTATCTTCCTCCGTCTCGACTCCTTACTTATAGCCAGCCGAGGTTCTCTCTTGGATTCTGGATGTTTGCTTCCGTATGTCTGTGTTCCTCCGACTTCGGCCAATATCTTGGACAGCGGCTCCTTATCTGCAACCAAGCGATTCCCTATCCGCTGCAAACGGCTCTCTAGCCGCCACAAACGGCTTCCTACCTGGTGGAAGCCGGCCCGCCTCGGATGACACTTGTGGCTCTGACAACTCCTTCCCTATCCTACTTCGAGATGGTCCTTATATAGATAGCTAGGCCGCCGCTTGGACCCGGCATAACAGCAGGGTCGGCGATGCCAAGGATCTTGACTCTCGTCATCCCAAAGCTTCACATAGATTGTAATCATGATTCGGGAGTCTTTTGTCCGAAACACCCCTCCGGCGGCCCGCCGGTGTCCTGCGTTCAGTGTCCTGACACCCACTGGTGCCTATGGCATTCTGTTCTCTGACACCATCCGGGCGAGCTGGATTTGGAATTAATCATAGCTTCCAACTAATCTCCCTGTTATTACTGACCAAATTCCATTTTTCTGTGATGACTTGAAGTATTTACGAACGTAAATTAAATGGAAGGTTGCTATTTTGATTACAAATGTGGACAACGCAGCCGGCGATTCTCAAACAATTATTCACGCACTCCCCTGGGCATGCCTAGACCCCAGGCACTCCTTACCGTCGTTAATCTCGGGGAGTGTTTTAAATTTTCCTTTGGCCAGCATGCATAAAGTTGAGATGAAAACAGTATAATGACAGAGTGCTATCGCTGGCGTGGGTATTGGGACGATGCGGGATTGAACCGTGGGCTTGGCCGCTTCGTGCCATGAAGCCGAATGGTCCACCGTGTTCGGCTATAGTCAAGCGTTTGACCACTCAAGCACATCATTGCTTGAATCTATACATAGCTCTACTATGTAAACAGGGGCGTACTTTGCCAAGGATCCAGAGCACGTGGCTTGAAGCAGTTTGGTTGGAACACAATTTTGAAAACCCACAATACTCCGCCTTGGTTGCAAGAATCAAGCTGGTCCGAAACCCCTATATGTTAGCAGAGGACACGGAGTGTGTGAGAGTAAATTTCTTACGGTCGTTCTAAACTATAATAGAGATGTGAATGAAAGGATGTTTCACTGGTAAGTAGGTCCTATTTAATCCACGTAATATTTATACCGAAGTTGTTAAAGGATATTTGTAGGATTAAGCGCCACGGTTGTGCCCTAGGCCAAAGGCGGTGTAGCCGCAGTGTAGTCTAATGGGGTCAGACAGACCCTTCCCCGTAGTACAAAAACAGCCAACACAATAGTAGATAGATACACCAATCAAGACAGGATCTACGCAGAGTCATCAGTAGAGGATTGAATCCCTCCATATTTATGAAATTTGTTTTACGTATAAACGCCAAATGCCACCGTTGTCTATACTAAAGTTCCTGAAAAGGTATTTTTCATTCATTGTTTCTCGCCATCAACCTCTCTACGCTAAAAGATGGTTCAGTTCTCTCTTGTTGTCAGAAAAGTGTGTTAAATTAGAAAAGTTCTTCTGTGCTTCTGATCAGGCCGAGATTAATGTCTTATGGCCAAGTGCCACAGTGGCTTCAGGCAGTGGCTGTGTACTGTGGGATTGAGCGCCATATGTGTGCCTGAGGTGGTGCCTGAGGTGGTGCCTAAGGCAGTGAAATCGCTTGTGTAGATAAAAAGGTCGGCACCTGCCTACCTACCTTAGATGTAACTTCTTACAGAGCACTCCGAGCAGTCAATACACACATCACACTGCGCATCGAGCATCGTAACCAATACAGGATCTGTACAGAGTCATCATCTGAGGGTTGAATCCCTCATGTACACGCTAACTAGCTACGCTAACCATTTGGTGAAAGTTTCGATATTACTCAGCTGTCGTTTACACAATGCCCCAGTACCTTCGGAAAACCCAGTTCCCCAACCCCGTGTGGCTCTCCGATCACCCCGACGATTTCCAGGGCTTTCACCGTTATGCGCATGCACTTCGTATATACCGTCCTAGCTGGATGAACATGTATACTGTGCAGGACCGTCTGGTCAATGGCCTGAAAGGTCAAGGCAATAGTGATGGACTGGCTTTCGTCAACGCAAATTCTTTAAATCAGTCTCCTTGCTGCGTTTCTTCTGCAGTGCGAAAACTGAGGGGTACATTTAGGGGAATGCTATCAAATTGCTAACTTAGTCTTACTCAACAGCTCGGTGGTGGCACCGGCTAAATCCTGCAAGATTTTTCAAGATCATGTACCAGAGTACCAAGACTGGTTTGCGTTACAAGAAGTCCCCGAAGTTGTAAACGCCGCAAGGACGTTGGGTGTAGGCAACGACTCGGGGATGGGTCCACGCATTGAGCTCAGCTACACGACTTCTTTACACCACAGCCGGTGAAAGGAGCACCATCCTACTTTATGCACTCTGCACTCCATGACTGGCCAGAAGAGCAATGGCGTGCTATTCCAAGCCACTTGATGGACGTGATGGGACCTGGGTATTCCCAGATCCTTATCAGCAACTGTGGCTTGAAGGTCGCTGGAATCTACAATAAGGGGCCGAGAAATGAAGTTCTCATCGAGGTTATCTCTGAATACAATTTTAATAAGAAGAAAACTGGCCATTGACTTTTGGACATCTTCATGTTAACTAGACGTGATGCATATATAACAACAGTGGGTTATTTACCCAGGCCGAGAACGTGTGGCTCTGGCTTTATTGATTGTCGAAGACGATGATGATGACGACGACGACAATGTGACTCAACGTTCGAGCATACAATTGTGAAAAGTTTTCCACAGCAACAGCCATTAAATCCCCCCAGCGCCCTGACCTTTCTGCCACCTAAGCTTTCTTCACCACCTTTCTCTCTTGATCTCTCATCTGCACCATCCATCATTCGCCACACATCAAGAAGCCTCCATTTTGTTCACTTCAGAAATGCAACATACAAGATGTCGATGTTGCAATCGCGTCACCACAACGATCGTCTACGTGAGCACTACTTACAGCTAAATATCCTAGTACGTGTTGTTCCCAAGAGGATCAAAGGATCACTTCTTACTATCCCTGGGGTAACACAGAGGGAGCTTACGTTGTTCAATTATTGAGCGGTAAATGTTGTTCCCAAAAGGATCAAAGGACCGCATTTAACCACGCCTGGGTAGCACCGAGGGAGCTTACGTTGTTCAATTGAGCAGATCACAGTGCAGATCGCAGTGCAGATCAACCACAGTCTCAAGCTTTCTACTGCCGTGAATAATCTGAAGACTGCTTTCATGTCAGCTTATTGCATTAGTAAAGAAGAAAGGTTGCTTCGGAGAAGACTGACGTCGGTAGTTGAAGAGGGCCTCGAAAAGGGGGGGCCGTTGATTTATATATAAACCCCATGCTGGACATGTTATGATCCCACTCTGCTTCTCAAACAGAAACACATTGTCGCAAACGTACAAGATCATCGACTTCACACAACGATATTACATCTGTAATCTAGTTACCACCTCGCCACAATGAAGTTCACCGTCGCTGTTGTCCTGGCCATGGCCTCCCAAGCCTTCTCTCAGGTACGTAAGAATCTATTTGGACATTAAAAATGTTGATATACACGCTTTATTTGTCTTACCATTAGCGGTTACTGGAAAACTGGCTGATCAAATCGTTGCTCGCAGGGCTGTCTCGTATACCCAAACACAGGTTGCGCCGAGGTGAACCACGAACCGTGCTGTGCCGGCTACAACTGTGTCTCGGACGAGTGTATTCCCGCCTAGGAAGCGGCTGCTGTGTGGAAGATGAAGTGATATGCTGGACATCAGAGCCGGGGATAGGCCTCGAAGCTATGGCAGTCCTAGGCATTTTACACTTTTCCTAGGATTAGACATGGAGAGGTACTAGTTTGAAAGGGTTTGAAGAGGCCTTGAAAATCAATTCGATTAGCCTATACATTCATTTGAATAAACTTATAGTCATGCTGGTTTAGATGCTTGGCTTGTTTGACCACCCGTAATCGAGAGACTGTGTAACGTGAAAGCAAGCCACATATCAACGCATCTAACATATACTTGATTGTCTTCCAGACTTCCAATGCCTATAAAGACCTATATAAGCCTATATGGATTCTGGTCAATCTCTGTTACGGCCAGATGCATTTCCACTTGATATATGAAAGTCTGACGCGGGTGTCTTCGAGCTGCCTACCCTTAACCCTATACGTCATGGCCGTCATGGTTCCCATCTCGACGAACAGCGCGTGTCTCACTCAAAAAGTTCCATTAACAAGTTCCAGAGCGTTTCAAATAGTGGTAGCTGGAACCACATGCAGTGCACGATTGTGTATGTCTCAGACTGTAACGCGGACCGGTAGCGTCAGGTGTGGCTCCGCGTTGGGTTGCTCGAGTTACAGCTAGATTTCTGGTCCGTCATGCTGTGCAATCCTCCTCTTTTGAAAAGTACCTCATAGGCATTCATCGTGTATCGAGGACGACTCCAAACGTACATAGGCACTAGATTGTCCAATACACTCTAGTGCCGTTAGCTTGTCTTGTGCTTGTGTCGTCTTTTCGCCAGGCGGACCAAGAAATCCAAGATCGAGGAGGTTAGAAATTGAACGAAACCTAGAATCCAGGATTGGAATCCGGAGAAGGAGTGAGCGGTGAGAAAACATGTGTATGAGCCCCGTCAGAGCTGAGCAACCCGTGATGAGAGGGAGAATAATGGAGCATGAGGCTGTGAAGGCGGCCAGAATGGCGTGTGCTGATCAAAATATTGGCAATCCCATGAATGTGTACTGTTGGACCTTCAAGACTACTACACCAAGACTGCCAGTCTTGGAAGAACACATGGCCACGTGCCGTACGTTGTGGGCCAATATGACCACCGGCCATCGAACCACACAAGTCCTGCCTCTGGGACAAGCATCAGTCATTACTGTCTATATAAGGCCCTTATGGCCGCCGTTCACTTCGTCCAGGACTCTCCAGAGATCATGCCACTTTCAATACAAGACCATTTTCCCACAATCCAATATCTACTTACATATAGAGACTAGTGTCTATGTTCTGCTGAGAGTCCCTTTATGGGTTTCTAGCTTTAATGCCCGAAATGTGGACGACTTCCGACTGGTTAAATGGTACGGCATGTCTCGTTCTTAGCTCATGCCTCAGCTAATATCTTAAATGAAACCTGCAGAGCTGCGCTGTCGAGATATCTGACAGCGTTCAGCTACAGCTGGGGAGCTGATTTTAGGTCACACATGAATTGGCTTAGCTGAATATGTTGATGGAAATCAATTGATGATCACTGACTCCAAGAATTGACGATTCACTTTCAACAATGTGACTAGTCGATATTTGTAACCACATGCGGATTATAACATCTGTTGATAGATTAATGCGTGGACGCGGAGTCACATAAAAGTGCCAGCAAGCAGAATACTACGTGGTCTATCATAGTTCTGCGAGAAAAACTCAATGTCTAATCCGACGAAGGTCTTAGCTTTGAAAAGCAAAAGGTGACCAGTCATGCTGTGTGAATAGCTGAGCCAAGATAATCTATACCCAAAAGGATACACGAACTGACACATGAATGAATAGCTCGATACACATGATCCATTTTCAGCTAGCCACCGGAACGATAGATCACAGAACGACTTCTCTCCGCCACCAACCTATGTCGGCACGTCTCTATTATAGACAAGAGAATCAGAGTCGAGAGTATAAAATGGAGTTCCTGATCTGCACTTGAGCAGCCTGTCTGATCACCACAGAGGGATCAGATGCCATTATTCGAGGCCAGCTAATTGCATTCATTTCATCGTTCACTATGGTCTTTAATGGTCCCGGCGTTTATGAAATTGTGCCATACCAGGTCCCAGAAACGAGCATGAACTCCTGGGGCGGCGAGCTAGCACCTGGCGCTGAGGTCAAGGTACAGTAAGTCAATAATGGGCATCCCAAGTCTGCGTGGGCACTAGAGGGCTAACACATGTATACCTTAAGCCCCGGTAATAGGAACAATCCTTCCAAAAACACACTGTGGCAAGTGGCTCAAGTTGTCAGCTCTGGCAGCAGTGCTGAGTACTTGATCATCAACGTCCTCACTGGATATTTCCTACAGCTACTGGTGTGTCAAACATCCCTGCCGTTTGCGTATGGGAACTCTGTGCTGAAGAGAATGCATAGACGACAGAACCCGGAGGCTGAATGAGTGCAACTAACTCGACACCTTTCAGCATCGACAATAAGATCACCAGTCGCGGCCAGGTTAAAGTCGAGGTCCAGAGAAGCAGAGCTATCGATTCTCAGCGTATTAATGGAGCCTCAGCTAATGTGATTAGTCAATGGTTCAAATACCTCGCTATCCCTGAGATTAAAGCTATTAAGGCCTCGAATCGATACAATATGGATGAGACAGGTATTCTAGAAGGTAGAGGATCAAATGGTCTTGTTCTAGGATCATCTGAGACTCGTTCTATACGGAAGAAACAGCCTGGATCTCGAGCTTGGACATCTCTTATAGAATGTATCTCTGCGACTGGTACTGTACTACCCTCACTTGTGATATACAAGGGGAAGTCTGTCCAGCAGCAGTGGTTTCCTCTAGACTTGACTCCATACGAAGCCTGGAGGTTTACAGCAACAGAGAATGGGTGGACGTCAGACTCTACGGCTATTGAGTAGCTACAAAAGATCTTTATTCCTTTGACTTAACCAGAGGACCCTGAAGAGACTAGGTTACTTATCCTAGATGGGCATACTTGCTTTTCTTACCGCCACACATATCCCACGTTCTCCAGCCTCTCGATCAGTCAGTCTTTGGACCCCTCAAGGCAGCCTATAAGGAGCTTGGTTACCTTGACCGATGGGATACTACTACTGTCGTAGGGAAGAGAAACTTTCTCCTCTGCTATAGAAAGGCACGTCTAGCAGCATTGACCGCTAAGAACATTATCAGTGGATGGAAATATACTGGTCTCTGGCCTTCGAGCATAGCTAGACCCCTTATGAGCCCCCTGCTCCTTGAGAATACGTCAGCACCAATCAGACAGCCTAGTTAGACTTGCAAAGGGTACTCTGATAGTAAGGGTAGTCAGGACTGGGCGTTAGAGACATCAGAAGTAGCCTGGTCAACGCCTAAGAGGAGAGATGAGCTCCAAGATCAACTCAGCTTATTCAGCAAGCTTGATAGTGATCCAAATACCCAGCGGCTACTCTTTCGGAAAGTCCAAAAGGGCTTTGATGAGAAGGACTACCAATTAGCTGTCGCACAGCGAAAGATTGAGGCAATAGAGGCAGAGATTGAGGCTAGTAGGGCTAGGAAGCGGAGGAAGATCAAGATGAGCCCTAATTCGAAGTTTACTAATATCAAGGCTATTCGGAAGGCTCAAATCGAGGCTGGTGAAATTGAGGATAGTACAGATGAGTCTAGCGAGTCTGAAAACCCTAGTGACGGTGAAAGCTCTATTGTAGTCGCATCAGAATAAGTGTAAAAAAAGGTTGAAGTCAATGGTTATAATATACAGCATCATTTTTAGGGCGTCCCACATGTGGGGATGTCCCGGATGTGGATGTGGGACGTTATATCTGCTCGGGCTTCGGGGGCGTCGGGATGTTCGACGAAATCAAGCCAAGTCGTGCGGCTGTCGATATCGACATTTTCACAATGCTAGGAGGGCAGACTGTTAGTAAGTCATGATATGGTAATCGGAAGCACAAGGGTCATCTATTCGATCTTATTCTAACGCTGCCAAAGCCGGTCCTGCTCTACCATATTCTCCAGGGAGACGAAAGTCATATCGCTACCTGGCTAACGACCTCCTCTCCTCGTTAGAGAGAGCCGGAACTATCCCCTCCACGGGAGTCGCTCTATCATTGTTTTAAGTAGCTATTCTTGACAAGAGTAGATTTGAGAGGTATAGTCGGGTAGGCTTTAATGAGAGAGCGTATAACAGTGTTTATATAACCGGAAGACAGCGCTGTCTCCCCGGCACCAATAAGGACCTACAAGGGCCTCTATTATGCAGGGGGGGCTACTGTTGGTCCTTCGTATTAACCCTAGCGGTAAGCAAAGGAAGCGCCAAGGTAGGGAGGGTATGGTAAGTAAGAAGCCGGAGGGGAAAGGTGGATAGAGTAGACGGCTGGCACCCGGAGGCCGTCCTCGAAACGGTGGTCGTGTGGGAAAACGGAACGCCCGGCCATAAAACGGAGAACGGAGCAGTTGTGGGCCCTTATGTGGTCAGAGGCGGCAAAAGATATGGCGGCCGGAAGATAAGTCAGCACGCACGCGCGATCCGCGTTCGAGATTTTGCGAATGTTCTGAATATTCGGACTGCAGAGGATAAGCGTCAGAAGCGCCTGCGACTACTACTAAGTAAGGAGCAGCTCTATATCAATGATTTCCTCATAAAATAAAGGTTAGCACGTAAAAGATAGAAGAAGTAAAACAACTTATTAAGTTATTTATTATATTATTAAATACGCCGTAGGCTCGAAGCCCCCGGTACCTCTACAAGTGCTCCCGTATGTCAAACCGTGCCCTAATGGCTGGACTAAATACATACGCTGCTACGTAGGTTCGCTCTATTAGCGACTGCGTTACATCCACCACAATACTATGTTAGTTCTCACCCTACTAACAAAGTCCCCCTGAGAAGATCGATATTATCCGGGCCTAAGCGCTATCCGGCCAGTCCTGAGTAGCCACCTTGTGATAGTCCCGCTGACTACTGGTTTCCCCGTCGCCGTTGCCAGGTCTCTACGTGTATGCAGCGGCCATGGTGCGATAGTGGCCCGCAGGCGCTCTCTCGATTCTTCCAGCAGGCCGCAAAAGAGGATTACGTGCTCTGCCTAAGTTATTTAACCCGAGTGCGTTTTGCTGATAAAATTAGTGGTTAAAGACGAGGTGTGGTTCGGATTTATATGGCTAACTACTTAGTGTTGAACTTTGGGGTGTGCTTAATTTCTAGGTGAAAACGGTGAATACAGTTAGGTGTGTATGTAGAGAAATCAATCCTCTCTCTAATGAAACTGGGACTGGGAAACGTTATGTCAACCAAGTGCACGCTTCTGGGACCTGGGACAGTGGTGGGTGGCGGGAACAGGCACCATCGCAATGGGCTTCCACCAGCCCGCTGGCGTTCGTCGATATTGGCTGGTAACGATCAAGGGCAGATATCATTGTCTTTCCCAGGTTTTTGCGGCGAGTGGCATGCCTCAGCATCTACGTCGTATTAGACGAGTTTCCTGAACGAGAACATTAACTGTACTGTACCATGGTCGTGTCTGCAAATGTCTGATCAATGAAATCGGCTTCAGATGTAGGCATAATAATTTTGGTCCATTTGGAAGAATAATTTAGAGTACTATCGATGGTGTGATAACTTTATAGTTGAGTGTGAAGCGTCAATCGTATCCAGTACATAGTTTGTCAGTCTGTTTATCACGTCTGTCCTTTTGTGAAGACCATTCCATGAATTGATACAGTCCTTCTGCCATCAATATTACCACAATAAATGAATTAACTCATCTGTGAAAATGCGTCTCAATCTCAAGTTCCCGCCCCTCCTTCTACTTTGCTTACTCCGGATACAATCTTCCTCCCTTCCGGCACGGCCCGACACCAATATCACCACATTTGAATCCAGGAGCCGGAACGGAGCTCACCCGTTGGAGCTTATTCACCGGAACCTTCTTGAACGTGAAATTCTTCAAATTCGATGCCTTGGTCTTTCTATGCTGTGTGACCTTTTGACTGAGTTTCCTCGCAGACAGTTTCGCGCTGTCTACGTGGCTGTTTCTTCGCTCATCCGGTGCGTCCAGGTCCAGTTTATTCGGCGTCACTGCTCTTTGCATCACTTCATCCCTTTCTTTCTGCTTTTTCTTTCCATCTTGGGTTTCCTTAGTCACGCGAGTGACAATGTTTACCTCCGGATCGATCAGAGCATCCAAACCGCCACGGCGGACTGAGTGCACAGGAGTAACGTCAACAGGGGGGTTTTCAGGAAGCGTGAAGCGGTCATGGAACAGGGCGAATAGCCTGCCACGGTGGAATTCAGGGATGACTGGAGTGACTTCGATGTGAGGCTTCGCAGGCCGCGGAAGTCCGGGCACGAAAGGCGCGCCGAGTGCCGTTGATAATAAACAGAAGGTGACAATGACTCGTGGGCTTATCATTTCGATGGCAATGATTAACGAAGATGGCTACTGGTTCGTGTCATGAAGCACTCGTGCTGATGAAACACTTGAAGACCGTAGGAGGGGGGCTTCGCTTCTTTTACACCCCAATCGTCCGATCTGCACTGAGTACATTTTGTCTAGAATGATCTACCTAAATTTGGGCCATGCAGACTACTTGCTTTATAATGTGAGCTACCTCTCGTGAGAGAAAGATTGTGGATACTGCCCATCCACTCATCTTCCATTGTGACCCAGACCATGATAAGCTTCTCTTGCGACGTCATAACAAAGCAGATTCAACCTAGGTAGCAAGGAATCGGATGAATAATTGGCTTGCAGTTGAACGACTTCAGTGCACTACCGAAGCCGCCACACCTCGGCGACCTGGCGGGAAACAAGCTGCCCCTTGTCGACTGACCGACGAATCCGAATCCAGACCTCCATTCTGTAGAGCCTGGACCTGCTAACTCGAGCACTAGTCGTGCTTTTCCGTCCCATAGTTACCCAACCAGGTTGAAGGGTTTCATAAGAAAGCGAGTTGTGGTCAGATACGACATGATTGGGAGGCACGATTTGGAGTCGTTCACTGAGTTCAATACCCTTGCCCTATGTCAGAGAACTGAATGCTACAGGCACCGGTGGGGCCCCTGTGTAGGGACGTGCGAGTCATGACCTAGTATGGAAGTCTTGGTATACGGAACAATCGGAGCAACTAGTGCTCTACGGCTCCGACTCCGGGCTCTAGCTATCTATATAAGGGGCAGGTGTCCGGGAAGAAGATAGAGAGAACAGAGATCAATGAACCATTGTGGGCACCCCTACCTGAGACTACCCGTGATCGCCAGTGACCACCCGGTGCTACGTAGGAGGGACGCCCAAGGGCTGGACAGACGATAAGATAGCTATCAAATGGCTTGAAGACGTTTTTATACCCCTTACGCTTCCTCAGGACCCTTCAGACACTCGTTTACTTATTTTGGATGGTCACGGTAGTCACACAACTGATACTTTTATGTCTCTTTGCTATCAAAACAACATATACTTATTATTTTTACCCCCACACTCATCTCATGTCCTTCAGCCCTTCGATGTTGGGGAGATATGTAACCCTTTTTGACACGCAGATTATGATCCGTGTCCTCAGCTATGAAAACGGCATATCGCAAGGAGGTCGGGTTTTTAACCCTATTAACTGATTCAGCACCTATTGGCAAGCGGAATTTTATGCGCTTTTACGCCAGAGCACGCCAGAGGGCCCTAACGGCTCAAAATATAGAGCGCCAGTTTAGGGAGTTCAATCGACTCCAACAAACTAACATGACTACACAACGCCAGCTATTTAGAAAGATGAAAAAAGTGTTTGATGAGAAGGATTATCTATTAGTAAGCTCAGAATTACAAATTGAGGGCTTGAAACAGCGATTGGAGCTTATGAAGCCACGGAAAAAAAAGAAGGTGCAAATAAGTCCAAACGCGAAATTCGCAAGGATTAAGGACGTACGGCGGATGAGGGAAGTATCTAATGAAGCTCTTGTTGATGATTCGGGTTCAGAAATATCTAACGTATCTACTGTCGAAAGCGATTGTATAGCTGTTCAGAATTGAATTTGTGGTGGTTGTTTGAAATTGCAGTGTTATTCGTAGTGTTTTGTTTTATAGGGTGTCGGAATGGGGGTGAAATACGTTAGTATTATCTAGGTACAGAAAATAAGGACGGTTAAGAAGGTAGTAAAGGTTCTAAATTGCAATCCTGCACTCTATTACATTTGAAAAAATGTGGTCTTCAAGCTGATTCCGAAGACAACTCCTGCACAGATTCAGAAAAGGGGTTGTAGCCAGAAGAAGCTGCAGACCGAGTCAGCTATCTACGGTTGGCTTACATCAAATTGAGAACAAAACGAAGCCAATGAGGACCAATATATGTACGTATTTAATAGCTATATATAGACTCAGAAAAGCATAAAAGCTCGGCAACATCCCCCTTCGTCTCATCTCTCTCTCTCAGAAGTCTCATCTTCCACATTCATCAAAAGCAGCTTAGCTCACGATAGGCATAAACTTAGACGCACTGGGAGAAGTACTCATTCTAGACGTACAAGTGTATCCGGTGCCGCTGCACTATCTGTAAGCAGCAACCGAGCCAGAAGCCGAGGCCGCCGAAGCGCCTGCGGGGGCACTGCTCATACGGGTCACCATGGCCGTGGTTGCTGTAGGGAGCTCGGCCTCGTAGATGTGGTCGGATTCTTCGGTTTAATCCCTGGAAACTAGTTTTCGTGGCGTTTTTTAGACTTTCATGCCATCATACTCGCCAATTGAGTAATAAATGTGACTTCGTGGGCAACAATATTTTGGACGGTAAGTCATGAATAAGCAACAACCTAAGAGGAAGAAGAGAATATGGACATCAAAAGATGAGCAAGAATTCATGGCCTGGGAGCGCTTGCTTCAGTTTCTCACAACTTCCTGACAATAGCGGATACACAGCGCTCAACTCACCTAACTTATTTTACATAACTCCATTCAGCTGATGCATGTGGAATCTACACAAGATGATACGCAGCCTTTAGTAGGCCAGTTGCTGAGCTGTGTTTCGCAATGATGAAGTTCCTGGAAAAGGGGGCAATTTGGACACCAACTTGAACGAAGAGAAATCGTGGAAGCTAACATATAGGCGATGACTAAAATTGATCCGAGCCTGTTCCAATTGCGGTATACAAATACGACTGTGTTTGTGGGAAGGAAATCGGCCCGCAGCTATCGATTTGGCGATGCCAAAGCGAGAACACCGATCTAGATCCAGGTAGAAACATGAGACATATAAATATTATTATTATTATTATATACGCCGTAGGCTCGAAGCCCCCGGTACCTCTGCTAGTACTCCCGTATGTCAAACCGTGCCCTAATGGCTGGACTAAATACATACGCTGCGTCGTCGGTTCGCCCTATTGGCGACTGCGTTGCGTCCACTACCATACTACGTTGGTTCTCAACCTACCAACAAAGTCCCCCCTGAGAAGATGGATGCTATCTGGGCCTTGAAGCTGTCCGACCCGTCCCTAGCAGCCACCTTACAATAGTCCCACTAACTACTGGTTCTCCTGTTGCCGTTGCGAGGTCTCTGCGAGAGTATAGTGGCCGTGGTGCGATGGCGGCCCGTAATCGTTCCCTCGGTCCTTCCAACAGCCCGCAAAAGAGGATTACGTGCTCTGCCGTCTCAGGGGCGTCGCCACAGCGGCATAGCGGCGAGTACACGCCAAAAGCCACATATAAATAAAACAGTCATAGGAAGTGTCTGGGCTATAGTTTGCCTAAAAATGGGTTGGTGAATTCAAATCATCGTTGTTGTTTCACGAAAGTTTACGGTATTCACTGGTTCTCTAATCCTGAAACTATAGTTATATTAACGTGAATGTACACCGAGCTGGCCATGACACCGAGCTGGCCACCCTTACATAACCTCGCATAGAAATTTTACGATGGTAAAACCACAACGCCGTAAATCAATTGAAACTACTCTGAATCTTTCTCTCCAGAAGATGGCAATGCGATCTTACAAGTTCGCGCATTATGCCCAGTCCCATTGCAAATACCACAGCGCCTCGGGCGCGTTTTTACGCGTTTGGAGGGTGCTTCGGGGGACTTGGTACGTTTTTGCCGCTTGTCGGAGACTAAGTTTTTGGTCATTTTTGAGAGCTTGAAGGGCTAGCATTAATTCTGCTTCATTGTATGACTTTGCCATAATTGGTTGTTGAGAAAATCAAAAATTAAGTTGGCCGGTCGCGTTGGCGCATGAAAGTGGCCAGCTCGGTGTCATGGCCAGCTCGGTGTACATTCACGTTACCTCTATTTACTATTTACATGGTAGCTAAATAATTTGATCGTTCCCGAATAACCTGGTTTCTCGATGTATGAATTGCTACTTGATGTTGCAAGGTTGGTAGTGCTTGCGAGACCTCAATTAGGCCTAACGCTATCGTACAGTATATTCACGCTTGGGCGAGCGCGCTGGCCTCCGTCTCAAATCCTTCGCATCGTATTGGCATATCATCTGATAGCAGCTATAATGAGAAAATATTAAAACTAGTTCGGATGGCAAATAGAATGTTTGAACTTATGCTCCATGATGCGACCTGGCCAGGATTCTGGGCCCCATCAATGCCTATATGACCACTCAACCAAATGACCATAGATAAGGTTAGAGGTGTTTTGAACACTAGGTAGCCCGTCCACCAGTCAACCAATTAGGCAACACACTCTGTCTCTGGTAATCCATCTTCGAAACATTGTAGCTAACCTTTATATAGTTCAACCAGGAATGATTGATTGCCACTCATCTCATTAAAAACTCTCCGTTGTAGTGTTTGAAGGAAGCTCTAGCAGCAATACTGATTGTCAACTATACAACAGGACATATCTCCGGGTCACCCAGCTACGTGTCAATCTCCTATCATCCAGTTGATGAATAAGCGCATAAAATGATATCGAGCATTTCACTTTCGTTCGAACGAGGTTGCCAGGTCCTATATCATCGACGTCCAAATAGTTTCTGATGAATGTATGCAAATCAAAGCCCCACCATCCACGTGTTTGGGAGTTCGTAACAATGTTGTCCTACGACACAATGAAGGCTTCAGGTATCTACATCAGCTCCCCAAGAGTGTGGAGGCGTAATCATCATATGCTAATATCAGCATATCCGAACCATGCCATTGTCCCATACAATTTCCATCAAATTTCCATGAAGTTCCTAGACACGCCCTGAATTGTTTTCTGGCATTGAACACCTAACTTACCTCACAACATTCTTTCGTAGCCTAGAATCACGAAAATCGCGGTGTTTGCGGTAAAGAAATTTAAGAAGGTAATTGTGCAATTAGTTCCTGGGATATATAAGTCTATTAACTTGAGAGAAACCCAGAATGACATTTCCATCTTCCAACATTGGCATCGATTCATGCCGCAAGTTTCGCATGGAGGCGAGGAAGTATTTCCCATGCAGTTTGCTTCCTCTCCTCATAACTGAAGTGTGTTTACATCATAGCGGCACCATCGATGCCAAGTACCTTACCGTTAATCCATTCACCGTCTTGCGAAGCGAGGAAACAAACAACGCGGGCAATGTCGATTGGGAGACCAACTCGTCTCAAGGGCGACCAAGTAGAAGCGTACTGTAAAGAATTAGTTAGCGACTGCGACAGTTACTAGGGGCGGTGTATTCACCTCGTCAACGCTCTCATCGTCAAGCTCAGTGCCATTTGGGATGTACTCGCGACAAACGGCGTGATACATATCCGTCTTGATGCCACCGGGTGCGACGGCATTGACCGTGATTTTTTTATCGCCGAAGTCTGGATAATCATTTTAGTGAGTTGGCGATGAGCGACAACAACCGGGTACGACCGCTTCATAGCCGTGTCTCAGGAATGTAACTGACCAATAGCCATGCATCGCACAAACGTCTCGATTGTACCCTTACTGCCAGAATAAACAGCGTGCTTGGGAACACCCTTAGCTTGACCGGTAATGGAGCCCATCATGATCAGTCTCCCCCCCACCTCGAGGTGCTTGTACGCCTCGCGGGCGACGAAAAACTGGCCACGAGTGTTGATGTTGAAGACGCGATCAAATTCCTCCGGAGTGACGTCCTTCACGTGGCCGAATGAGACCACACCACTGTTGGAGCACACAATATCAAGCTTGCCCCAGAACTTGACTGCCTCGTCGAACATCTTAACAATCTGGTCCACGTCCGAAACGTTGGCCTTGACGGAGCGCGCATCCGAACCGTTCTTCTTGATGGCCGCAACGACCTCTTCCGCCGACTCATTGCTGTTGGCATAGTTGACGATCACCTTGGCACCACGGCGACCAAGCTCCATAGCCATTTCACGGCCAATGCCACGACCTGTATGCGCATACTAGTGAGTTGCTGAAGTAAACGGGTGACAACGCGCAGCGCAACAGTCCTGCAGCGGTACCAGAAGGCGCTGCGACAAATGGGGGATGCAAATGAGAGATCGAATATGTGTGGGGCACTATGGCGCCAAGACATGTCGCCCAGTGCGGGGTGGAAATATTGACGGAGATGTTTACGGACCCCCGGTGGGGCTGGCCGTGCTTTTGGGGCCCGGCCGAAAGGATCCGTAGGTGGTGGCAGGCACGCTGAGTAAGAATCGGGAAAGTTGGGCAGGGCTGGTACATAATTACAGGAAGAGACTCACCGGCACCAGTGACGAGAGCCACCTTGCCCTCGAGCGAAGCAGAGGCCAAACCCAGAGGGCCAGGGATGCGGTCAAATCGGCTGCCAGTGGCAGGGGCACTGTCGGTAACGCCAGGCATCTTGATAGAGTAGATTATGTTTTTTTGACGAGCTGATGGTGCGGATTAGGTCGAGATATTAGACTTGCTGGGCAATGTGTCGCTGACGATGTGTTGACGATTGAGGTGAAGCTTGACTGGTCTCCTGGTTTTCATGGTCCTTACAGCCATTCTTTATATATGAGACTCATGGCCATTTCTTCCACCATTTTCAAGCTACTTAGCATCCCAAAGATCTCTACCCCCTGTTCGCGGACAAAATTGGAGAGACCGGCGAGATAGCGGACACTGTATTACACCAGGTCCAACCACCGGCCGAGCAGATACAAGTTAGTGCAAACGGTCGGGCCAAGAAGCAATTCAGCCCCCTTTCCCCTTTAGAGTTGGTGCGATATTAAGCCTACCGTATATGAGGAATAATTTCACGCACCTTCTGGTACGGTTTCAGCAGTGGACAACCCGTCCGGACTTTGGGTTGCTTGGTCGACTCGAGCATGAAACGACCACGCACGTCCGGCGCACCGTGCTTGATATCAGGTCCTGCATCCCTTCCCGCCTTTTCCCAAGGAGTGCCCGAAGGCCAGTTTTAGCATCTAATCGCATGGCTCCCTTATCCATAGGGTCCTTTGAGCCGCTCGCTTGCCAGAAGTAGAATCCGCGTCAAACTCTTTTTATATCGGCCTGCAGTGCTTCCAGACCATGGCTCCAATGTATAACATGCTATGCAGTGTCTCCCCCATCCAAACAACGGTAAATATCGGCACGACTACAGACGAATTCCCCAGCGTCATATTCCGCAACGCAACCAAGATGCAAACCCCCGTCAGGAAGTGGAGTCACGGCCACCGGGGTTCCTGCAACTCCACACCAGTGGCAACCCTCTTTCGTTGCCGAACATCCATCCCTCCTAACCTCCGGCCGTGAACTCCGCAATGCCTACGCTTGCTGAATAAGAAAAGCCGCTTCGGCAGGGCGTTATTTCAGCTTCCGCGCTTCGTTGTGTTCAATATAGCCGGAGTCAACTTTACGGCTACCCATACAAACGAGCTCGGCGGACTAGATCATGAGCCAAACCTTATGTAGTAGATTAGTATCCGTGAAGAGCACCGGGATACCCCGCCGACGACGACAACTAAGACCTTTCTGTATTACCGTATCGCTGTATCATATACCATCCCGGCGGTAATAGAGTGCTGCGACAGAATAATTTATCATTCATGTCAGTTAATGCATATGTAATCATCCCATGAGACTTATCAATTTTCTCGACAAATGCACGACCTGGACGCAACCCAAATGTGTTCGACCATTCTAAACGGCATGGCTGAATTCGGATCTGAGCTCTGCAAGTAATCAAATTAGAAGCGTAAGTTGCCGATGGCACGTACACCGCCTTGAATTTTGTCCGCCAGAACATGGCTAAAGATTTGCGGATATTAATGATATCCGATTACTCAGTCCAATTCTCACTAACGTCGCGAGTTCATAGGTAGTGTCAGAGACATATCCATCGTCAATCCGCTCACGCTTCTGCCCAAGCAAGGTCGCAGAACTATTTGACCCCCAACGGCTGTGTTTGCCGCTTCCGTTACTGCAGCCAGTTCACCGCATCTCGGACCCTAAACATCAAATCCTCCGGTATAAGCCACCATTAGACCTCTAGGAACATATTCTATAATGTCTCAGCCTCGGTTACGCTCAGACGTGATTGAATCAACATCATCCGGAATAATGGAAACTTTGAATAATGGAAACTTTTAATAGTGAATTATTCAAAGTTTCCATTATTCCGGATGATGTTGATTCAAGACGACGATTGCTCGCGCTTCCGCTTTTCCGTCTTTCTACCCAGAATAGTGTGCGAGGCGAGACCCGCGAAACTGTTGTTGCTAAAACCAATGAAGAATGACTTGTTTAGCGGCCCAGCGTGCCAGGTGCTGGGAACTCACATCACAACAGGAATGTTCATACATGAGCTGCAGTGCTACTGTGAGCGCCATTGGGGCACGAAACATGGCCAACAACGACGGGATGCGACGGGCTCAGCGCCAAGGCCTGTTCCGCAGCGGTAGTAACAACGGTCAGGAACTTAGTAATATAACTAGGTTGCGTTTATGTCCAAGCGCTGCGTTAGACATTGACCGATTTATTATAGAAGGTGGTGGCAAATGCTGACGGAGATGACGACGAGTCTGTGGTTATTGCTGTTTCAACGACAGTTCGGACGACGACCTCATACAGTGAGGCCAACACAAAGTCACAAGTGTTTCAATACGAATCAACATGGACACAACAGTCTTCTGATGGACGAGGAATCGTCCGAACCTGTCAATCTCTTCAAGTTGGCCTGAAATTTCATCTTATTAACAGACGGTGGCCCGTTAAAGATCATCTTGCGATGTTGGGGTGGATGAATCAAATTAGATAGAGACAATGAATTTCGGAATAGTTGTGCCGTGCAACGACATCGAATCTTGATCATGTGAAAGTAGACTGCAGTATTCCTACTAGAATCGTCACTAATTTCGCTTCAACCTCCCACCATTACCTATTGTTGGACCTTACAGATTATTATAACCGAATTGTTAGCTTTTGAGCACATACAGCCAGCTACTTAGCTACGTTATGGCCCATTGTGACCACCACCCAACGTACCGTACTAGTTCTGCCTGTGAGGCAAACATCGTTCATTTCTACCTAGAAACGCCCATATGGCCACAGGTCACTCTTTTGGAAATCTCCAGAGATAAATACATTTTCAAAGCAATACAATTTTCATAATTAGTCCAATACCTGTTCTACGCTTGCCTGAGTACTGCGCGACGGGCTGATCCGATGAAGGCCCTACTATGATGGCCTGGGTTCCCGGATGTCCCGTAATGATATCTTGCAACATTTATACAGTCTTGGGGTTATGATGTGTCTTTACGTTATTTGGATCAATTTACTTCAAGTAAAACGTACCTTGAACAGAATCAATTATACGCAGGCGCATTAATAATCATGATGAGACATAAGAGGCTTACTAACACTAACCTAATGCCCGCTCATACCATAGCAACCGATGAAAATACTATGCTGACTCCTGACAGGTCGTGTGGAATCAGTTTACAATCTCCTTGTCAATACCCATGGACTATTCAGCAGCTTCAGATAAGGAACGTGCCATAACCAGAATACCAGAAACCTCGAGAACCAAACGCTACAACCGCACTCACTTCAAAGTTCGAGTCATCCTTTCTAATCCACCCTCCGGCGCTTCGTTTCTGGACATTCGTCCTCCAGCATTGCCAAGGCCTGTACGCGCTTATCAGCCAACATATACAGTCGATCCATAGGCACCTTGCCGCCACTCTTCAAGCTAAGCAGTTGCGCGCTCTTAATGAGGTTCTTAATCTCGCGCCCGTTGAGATCAAGCCGAGCCAATTTCTGCAGCGCCTCTTCGTCGAGATCGAATTTATCTCGTCCGGCACGCGTGATGAAGTTGTCCCAAACAGTGCGGCGGGCTTTGGGGGTGAGGTCGTGGTAGGGGAGGAAGAGATCAACGCGGGATTGAAAGGCGTGGTCAATGCTCGAAATGCGGTTGGTGGTCAGGAACAGGATGCCTTGGTAGTATTCGAGTTGCCTTAGAAAGACTGGTAGTCATGTATTAGTATGCGGCGAAAAAGAAGTGCAGTGGCAAGTGAAGGAAAGGAGAAAAGTGTGCTTACTAGACACAAGCTCATTTCTCGCAAGACTTTCGTTGGTGCGAGCGCCAAGAAATACATCCGCTTCGTCGAGAAGCAACATGGCATTCCACATACGACACAACTCCAGCGCCCGCTCAAGCGCCTTCTCCACATCCGAAGGCTGCGTTCCCAAATCACCCGCGCTCATAGAGTATAGCGGAACTCTGGACCGCTCGGCGACCGCCTCCGCCGTAAAAGTCTTCCCGACACCAGGCGGACCGAACATGAGAATAATGAGTCCGCGTCCCTTATCGGGGATGAAGTCGTCGAAGCCGGCCTTGGACAGACTCTTATTCTCGACAAACGCCCAGGCGAGGTCCTTCTCGCCGCCGGGAAGCACGAGCTTCTCGAAGGCCTCGTCATTCCAGGCCATGTCCTGGAGGTCGTCGATGCGGAGCTCGCACCAGTCCTTGGATTTTAGATCGAAGCCCTTCATCCAGGGGGTGCTCAAAAGACAGTGTTCGTCTGTGAGAGGGCGGAGGTCCTCGGTTCGCTCGGCCGGGCCCTTGGCTGCCGACACGGCCTCGACCGGCGCGATGGAGAAGTTGGTCTCGTAGGGTGTGTCGGATAGCTCGGCATCTTCCATTGCGGCGTCGGGGTTATCCCCGTCGTCCTCGGGGAACAGCGTGCGTAGCTTGGGCTTGACGATGTTGCAGCTGCCGTAGTAGGCGTATGCATCCACACAAACCTTTCCCGCCACAGGTCGCTGCTCCGGCTTTTCGCTTTCGAGGAGGACCTTGGTCCCGTTGGAAAGCATGAAATTGTAACCCCTAAGTCTCTCAAACTTGCGGCCGCGCTCGATGAGAGCCGCCTTGGTCGTCTCCACATCGGGCAGGAACGAGATGGGGAAGACTGGCAACCCGATCACACGACGGAACCCTTCGAAATCCCAGATGGTCAGCGTCGTGGTGGTGTAACCGCAGTTCTCGCCGTTCCAGTCCACATATTCCATGTCGATGACCCAGGCCGCGGGGTTGCCGCACCGGTCCTCGGGCCGCTTGCGGTACTTGAGCACACGGCACACGGCGTCGACGCCGAAGAATTTGGTCACGACAAGCGAGCTGGGCGGGAAGATTTGCCACACGTTGTCGAAGTTGACTTTGCCCGTCTTCCTAGTCTTGGCGAGGGACACGACCGACGAAGCGACGATGGGTGTAAGGAAGGCGAGCAGCGCGGATGCCGCATTTCTCAATGCACCGGCGGGAGATTCGGCCTGGTAGGCCTTTAGATCTTCCCAGCGATGGACGAGCGGCATGAAGGGTGGTTCGAAAGTCCAACTCTCTAGCTCCGGGTCGAGATCTTGGTACTTGGCCAGCACATCGAGGAGGACCGTTCGCATGGCTTGGTCTTGGACGGTGATCGAGGTGGTGACCCAGTGCTTGTTGACGTAGATGTGGCGGTGGATAATGGGCACTGTTGAGGTTCGATCGGCGAGGTCGTCCTCGTCATCGTCCACGACGGCGAACTCGCTCCATCGCATCTGGCACGAGTTGTACTCGCACTTGTGCTGATACCAGTTGCTGATGAGGTTCGTGTAGCCGAGCTTGGCCGCCTCGGCCACGCCGTTGCTCTTCAATGCCAGAGGAGTAACATCGACTCCCTCCAGGACCTCTTGCTGATCCTTGGTCTTGGCTTCCTCGGTTGCAGCATCGGCTACAACAGTGTCATTCCCGCCACTGTCGGAGTCATCTTTGTTGTCTTTTGGAGCTGTATGGATGTCAGAATGCTGTTAAACGTGACGTAATTTGCAGAAAGTGATATTGGACGGAAACGTACGCCGAGTCGACTTGCGCGCTGCCTGCTTAGTACGAGCCATGGCTTCTGAAGGACCAGGGCCTCGTCAGGTCATGTGCCAGTCGCGATTCAGTATTGGGAATAAACGCCGCCTTCCTTTGGCAGAAGGCTGGAGATTATTTGCTAAGGGTTGAAAGGGCCTGAAGTTAAGATGAAGTGATGATGGATTGTTCGGGTAGATGGTTGGATGGGGACAGCAAACTTCCTGGATTTATATTTTGATGCGATAGTGCTTGATATAAGGTGCCAGAATATTGCGAAAAATCTGTATTACTTAAAAGAGAACACTGCAAAAGCCCTGACTGCCTGAGGCTGAATTCTCTCTGTCTGCCTGGCTTTTCTGTGGCTATCGTAGGCAGCAGAGGGGTCGGTGTTCTCCAGGTTCTGGGATGATCTATAACTTCGAACTTACACGAACACCGCTAGATAGATCCACTCTCGTTGCCTGTTCAGGCAGCTTACCGGTCTGACCAACCATATTGGTGTGGGGATTGAATCCTTCAACTTCTATACCTGTGGGGCTTGACTCACTGATCTTAACATCATATGATGGTGAGTCTCCCGCATTAATCTTCTGCCAATCGTAAGGGTCTGGTGGAATTATTCACGGGTATCATACACGGCTAGATTGTGGCACAGCACGAACAAATAGGCTGCATCCAGCATGTTCATGTAACATACCGTTGCCCGCTCTGGCAGAAGCCAATAGGGTTTCTTTCATCCCTATTACGACAGTAATATTTCGTGGTCGCGTATCGCTTTATCTCGAATAGGCAGAAGATTCGTACAGACGATGGATATTGCGGTACAAAGTATCCAATTAGTGTGGGGACGAAACCCGGTGGATGCGACCGCTAGTTGCAGTAGGAATGGGTATCGTTAGAAAGATTTCTCGACGTGAAAATTGTGAAAGAAAAAAGTACACAGAAAAACAAGATAAGGCTCTATCCTAGCCATGTCATCTTTAAGAGCCTAGCTGTGTATACCTTATCAGACACCGGGAGACTGATGTTGCCTATGCTTTCGCTCCTGCGAAATTATCAGATGTAGACTATGTACAAGTCTCATAGAGGTCGATATAGGTATAGTGACATCTGTTATTTTACAATGAAACTTAGCCGACAAGGCTTGTGGACTGGAACGAGAGATGAAGTACGTTTTTGGCAATGTCTTGGGAAACCGCTCTATCTTGCCTCATTGGACTTGGGAAAGAAGTATGAGTTATAACTAACCAGCAGTTTCGGTTGGTATATAGGAAAGGTTTTATCAGAGCAAGTGGTGCACCTGTAAGTACATTGGTTTAGTTCTTCTAATGCGAATAACAGCCTACTGCACTGACAGCACGCCGTTTGATATGTTGCATGATGGCAGTGGTACGAGATCACGACAAATGCAGTTCTTCTCGATTAGCCGTGGGCCAGTGATCTTTCTAGTTCCCAGATGTGACAGCCGTTTCCCCGGCACGGCCCTCCAATGGCAGTAATGAAAAACGTCTCAGGTGATTGGAACTTGGTCCAAGGATATGCAAGTGATTCCAACTTTAACCTTTGCCAATCTGCCCAGTTGATGCAACATCACGATCGCAGCTGTTTGAGAAACTATAGGTTCCACATATTATGGCCACATTGGGTCGGCATACTCTGTCATGCATCGTTCAGCTGTGTTCGTAGCGGTGGTAGTTGGCGCTAACGAACACCACTGACGCACTTGACCTCTGCAACGGGAAAAGACAGCTTCTCTTCACCTACTGTAGTGGGGACTAGCTGAAACAACGGTGACGAAACGCTTGCCTGCTAGCCCTCTGAAAGCGCGCAAATCTTTTCGATAGCTTGGTCCTTACTGTCCGGGCACGACGACCCAGATCGAATACATCGGGGCTCTGACTGGCACTGGAAGAAAGGTCTGGTGATTGTGGATGGTGGTTCTGATGTCACACATTGAATCTTTATGCCCCAGACCAAGGCAGCCTAGCCGCTGGGCTGGCTTCTAGCATTCAAGTGATGCGCTATCTGCGAGAGAAAAAGCGGCTCGGGACTACGTCTGTAGTTATATCAAGCCTGCGTCCCCCAGTTCAACGACAGCAGACATGCAAAGAATCCCACCAGCAGAGATCCCAAATAAATTATTATACACAACTGAACCTTTCCAGAACATCATATCATCATGGCAAGCTTGGGACAACGAATCAAGGATGCATTGAGCAGCGACCATTCATCCGAAGCCGAAAGGGGAGATGATGACCACCGAACACCCGGTGCATTCCCATCGGACCAGAACACCGGAACGACTGATGTTGGCCAGCCTCACGTTGGGAGTAAGTCAGCGCCATCTGGCCATACACACCTCGGCGGTACTTCGGACGATCCCATCTCAGCATCGACTAGCTCGCATCACAAAAAGTTGCACAAGAAAAACGATCGCAGGAGTAGTAGCTCCTCGGACTCAAGCGTTGACTCAGTGGATTCCGACTACATGCCATCGAATACTGCCAATGACAGACAATATGACAGTAGATCGGCGGGCAGTAATGCCGTACCCCTGGTCGCAAGGATGACACATACCATCCTGCCTCTGACGGATACAGTTCTGACATGGCCGCCGGCGCCGGTGGAATCGGTGCTAGTCAAGTTGGCGATGATCGTTCCGTTCAGCCAACTGACCGGTATGACCTTGATACAACGTCTTCCCCTTCAAACCTGCCAGAGAAAAGTCACAGTGACTACGATGAGAACACTGCAAAGGGCTTGGGTGTAGGTACAGTAGTTGGGGCAGGAGCCGCTGCTATAATGGGCCGCCACTCACCGGACCAGAATCAGTCACACAACGTCGTGGCCAATGGTAGTGGAAAGTCTAGTGTCGCAAACACGGAACCATACTGGGGTGATATGCCCCAGGGAACAACTTACAACACCATCATTGGACACGGCAGTGATGAAGATCCACACGCTCAACATCGTGCCGTTCCTCTTCACGAGGAGTCGCAAGCTACTTCTCGCCCGACTACCTCAGATGAGATTCCACAAGGCACTGGGATTTACAATACTGTCATAGGACATGGTAGCAACGAAGATGACCATGCTCATTCTTCTGAAATTTACGCAAAGCGAGCCTTCCCACTGGGATCTTCGGACTCTTCGACAGACCATTCAACAATTGACTCGACAAAGGGCAAGGATGAGTCGGAACACTCCAAGGACAAGTACCCAATTGATGCCGGTGCTATTGGCGGTGGTAGTAGTGCAGCATCCAAGCTTCTCCACACGCACAAGGAGAATAAGGATGAGAAGGTTGTACCCAAGACAGAGGAGACGATGAACTCAGACAAGCTCCACCACGACAATACTACATCTTTGAGAAATGAGCCAGAGTTTCCGCGCAACCAAAGTGAGCAGTATGATGCTGACTCCGAGAAGTCAAAGGAGAAGAAAATGGAAGAGGCAGGGGCCGCAGCTGGTGGTGGCAGTCTAATTTCGAGACTTTTTCACCGAAACAAGGACAGTAAGGAACAACCGGCTGAGCCCAACAGTCCTGTGGATAAGCCTTCTACTCAATCGTCGAAGGAAGTCGAACCGGAAACGCTAAAGCTTGACTCACACAAACACGCCGACGACAATAGGCCCAAGTCAGGCAGACACGCGGGCGAAGTTGGCGCGGCTGCTGGAGCAGGTGGCTTGATTTACAAGTTGCTACACTCAAACAAGGAGAACGACCACGACGAGATGAGAAAGGAGAAGAAAGTTTCTTCATCGGATCACATCTATGCCGCCGCTCAATCGCAACAGCAGCAACAGTTCACTACTGCCCAGGTCGAAGGACATGGGCATTCCATCAGTACCACTGGCACCCATGCAAATTCCGCTCGAAATGCTGAAGAATATACTTCACACACGAACTCCAATGAACCCAAGATGCACTCCTCTGCCGCCGAAGCTTATACACCTACTTCGTTGCAACACGCTTCCCCGTCCTCTTCTCATCATAGCCACGAATCGGATAACAACCAAATACGTACTGGTCTAGCCGGAATTGGAGCTGGAGCCGGAGTTACTTACGGTGCTTCCAAATTAGCTGATCGTCATGAGACCACTAAACCTGAACACAATCCTGCCCCTTCTCCTGGTTCAATGACAACGGACAATGATCAACTCAATCATGCATCCCCCGGCGAAACTCTAGGCACCAATGTGGTTGGTACTAATTATGCAAACTCCAATACCAGCTCTACTACCCCGCCTTCTCAATCCGGTAACGGTCAAGATTCCTACAATCATCTGCGTTCCGGAAATCCGTCAGGAATTGCCATATCCAAGCATTCTCACCCAAGTACCAGCCCCACACCTGCTTCATCTTCTAAGTCAATCAATGGCGGAGGAGATCCTTACAACCATTTATCCTCCGGTACACCCTCCGGTATAGCCATCGCGCCCAAGCATGAGTCGAACGCGTCGAAACGCAGTTATAATACTTCAAGCCATCAGTCCTCAAGCTCCTTGACCAGCATGTCAGATGCGAATACTCCTGATTCATCCAAGGAAACTTCCAAGGATGCTAATGTTGGCAACATCATACCTGCAGCTGCCACTGCTGCATCGGTGCAGAGTGAACAAGGAAAGATGATGCATAAGTGCACCAAGTGCGGCGAGGATAATGATATAAGTCATTATTTCAAATAGTAACGCCATTTGGACAAATTTTGTCATGGACCCCGGGAAAGTTGGTACGGTAGGAGTTCGAAGTTTAATCTGGTATTATCAAATAATCAAATAATTCTGAACCATCTGAATCATCTTGTTCTTATGAGATGTAAAAATGGCTATATGATGAAGAATAGTTAGGTCGGTGTTCAAGTTTTTCGTAAGTGTTTCGTGTATGTGGCATTGATAGTCTTCCAGGATTGTCTGGGTTACAAGGTGTTGTTCATAACAGGATTCAATTGCAAAAAGTGGAATAGAGTTGGAATAATTTCTGATATTTCATTTGTACAATCTTTGCCGTATCAGTTACCCGTTTTGGTCGGCTTAAACTGGCGTGTAGTGTAGAAACCCTCTCCACCGGATCTCCAGTGCGCGAGTCCAAATCAACCCTCCCAGGCACTATCAAGTCGCACCAAACGCTGATATTCAAACTTTTGACGATAGGTCGTGATGTCTTGTGTCATTTCTTTGGCTTTCACCAGCTCGTCCATTGCATGATTGAGCTTGATTTCTACGTCTTCTTCGGTGGCTTAAGCTCCTATCCGCCAGATCTGTCCAAGATTAAAGCCTGTCGGCCACTGGAAATAGTAGCTGATCCCGCAACACTAACTTGCACCTGTCGGATCAATGGGGCCGGCCTACAATGGACGACGAGGCTAGAAACATAAAGCTTTGAAATCCGGGTGTGATGTCTGCTTATCAAGTTGCAACCACTAACAGGTCAAGGACATACCCTCGCCAAGCATCATCTGTCAAAGGTGGCCCGCACATAGCCAGCACTAGCCTAGATTTCCTACCCACGCACCGCACGCATCTATCTCTCTGTGCCCAAAAATCATCATACGTGATAATACCACGCAAACGTTGTCCGAAGAATAGGAGAAACGAGACAACCAATAAATTCGTCTTCTGCGCTGCGGTTGTTGGCACTGAAGCTCGCTATAACCGTGGAATACCGCTTCTGCGACCATATTTCCGGAACCCCGTCGACAGACAAAATGTTCAACTGTATCAAAGCTCGAGGCCGGACTAATCGAACAAATTTGCTACCTTCGATGATCCTCGTAGGCAGCAATTGAAGGATCAGCAATCCATGGTGAGTAATCCCACGTTTTGGATATGTGCCCCACCATCACATGTGAAAACATGGTTGTCGATGCATTCTTCGCGGAACTATTCGCGCTGTGCCCAGAGCCGCGGACAATTTGCAACGCTAGCTACCCATTACTACTAACATATCGCCTGACGTGTGCATAGGATAACTGAGGTTACAATTATAATGCTAGACAGTTGATTTATCAAGCAGTCAGGTTTCATGCAACGAGAAGCTGATCACAGGATTATTTATTCAAGTACCAAGTACTCTGTGGAGTGCTATAGCGTCACTAGCTCATCGTGACATCACTCCGACGGAAGGTACAGGGATTCTCCAATGTGAGACCTTTGGTAAGCTCTCGCCACGGCAGTTACGTATAACACTCGTAATTCTGGGAGCTGTTGCACGTTTCTGCACACTTCTATTACCGCGGGCGTTTATAGCATATATCAATCATCGCAAAATTGCATTTTATTCTGTCCTCCAGCCAACCGACTAGTCAATTGCTAAGATGGGCTCCGAATCTAAAGTCGAGAACCCCTTCATTCACCCGTTCCTCTTTACTTTCCAGCTTGTCCAGTGGTTGACGGGAAAGATTCTCGCGCCCAATCCTCCTGACCCGAGCACGGTTTTGGGAAGACCACGGATTGCGGTTGTTGGAGCGGGTATTACCGGTGTCACATCCGCCGCTCACTGCATTGGTCATGGTTTCGACGTCGTTATCTTCGAGGCGGGGGACAAGGATAGTCTTGGTGGGATATGGAGTGTAAGTATTCTCCCTACGAGCTAGCGTATCAGAAGACTGATACTCGACTTACAGAAAGTGAACAACACCTCGAGCCTCCAAATCCATTCTCTCATGTACCGGTTCCACCCATCCGTCCAGTGGGAACGCGGCTATCCCGACCGTCAGCAAATCATCAGCCAGGTGAAGCAGCTATGGGAACGATATGGCCTTGACACGCGAACGAAGTTCAACACCAAAATCGAGAAAATGTATCAAGATGAAAAGGGCCGCTGGGTGCTGAACAATCCCTCCAATGGGACGTTCGAAGGTGTCATTGCCGCTGTGGGAACATGCGGTGATCCCAAGATGCCGAGTTGTAAGCCAATCTTGCCCCATATCGCCTTGTCGACTTGATACAGACGACCTAACTTTTATGGTATAGTGGACGGGATCCGAAAGTTCAAGGGCCCCGTATACCACAGTAGCCAGCTGACGGGAAAGAAAGCGGCAGGAAAGAAGATGCTGATCATCGGTGGCGGCGCGTCGGCCGTGGAAGCGCTCGAGTTCGCATCCGAGGAGGGCGCGGAAAAGACGTACATCATCGCTCGCTCCGACAAGTGGATCATCCCTCGCAACCCGATCGTCAACCTGCTCCTCTCACTCAATATCTTCGGGTACGAGACGATCTTCTCTTGGATCCCCGAAACACTGCTCAAGAAATTCTTCTACCGCGACTTGCAGGACCTCGCACCGGACGACAAGGGTATCTTCATGGACACGCCCATGGTCAACTCGGACGTCATGGACAAATTGCGCAGCGGCACGGCCGAGTGGGTGCGTTGCGACATCGAAGGATTTACGGACAAGGGCATCATCGTCAATCGTCGCGATAAGGGCGTGCCTCCGGGCGGGCCAGGACGAACGACGGTCATCGAGGGCGACATGGTCATCATGGCGACAGGGTTCAAGAGACCGTCGCTCAACTTTCTGCCCGAGGACAGCTTCGAGGAACCTTACGGCGCGCCAAATTGGTATCTACAAACCTTCCCGCCCAAGCACCCGTCCATCTCCGCCATCAACTGCACATACCTGTCGGCAATCGGAACAGTGGGCAACTGGCACATCGGCATCTACACTCGCATCCTGCTCATGTTCATCACTGACCCTCTGACGCGACCGAGCACCTTTTGGATGGAGCGATGGATCGACATGACCAAGTTCCTCAAGATGACTTCACCGACGGGGGCTTTCGACTTTTTCACATATCTTGAGCTTCTGTGGTGGTTCTTCTTCTGCGTTGCCTTCAACCCATTTCGTTGGAAATGGGCCATTTTCGTCTTCTTCGGGATAGGCATTGGGCTGCCGAAGAGAATCATAGAGGCCGAACGTCATGTCCGGAATGGAATGGGGTTGCGCCACGAGGAAGGGCGGGATGTAGGGAGGAGCATTTAGCTTGTGTTCTCTTAACCCCATTCTCAGTCCTACCACAGCCGTGCATGCGGCCAAGGGAGGCGTGCCGACGTGTGGGAGGCAACTTGCCGTCATGCGGCTTGAGGTAAAATAAATATGTGTGATTAGTGGCGTGCGGGCACCATTTGCTTTGTGCTGGGTGTCGCATTATTTGGTTGTATGTAGCCCGAAGTTTGCAGAAATATGGGGCGCATGATTTCTGTTTCCTCTATCTCTTGCCGCGATCTCTTCGTCCTCCCTCCATGACTTTGAGGCGTTTCTGGAACCGATCGCCAATCTCTCTGGTGCCCTCGTTGAGACCACTACCCCGATTGCTGTCTGTAGTATCCCGACCGCGTTTCCGACTCTTCTCAAGCAATGCTTTCGTGCCTTTGCCACCACCCTCCTTCTTCCTCGTCAGCCTCCCAATCCGATCAACACCTTCGCCCAAGGCGCGCCAATCTTCTCCACCGAACTGCATGTTGCTGCTGCGTCCCTCTGCCTTGTTCCTTTGGGAACGCTGTTTCTTACTCTCCTTTGGCAAACGAACGAAGTTCGTCTCTTCGTAGTCGCGACGCCTGTCCTCTTCGGCCCGCTGAGTGGCTGTCTTGATCTGGCGACCCCCTGCAACGATTGTCGTGCCTACACTGGGTTGGGCAACCGGCACAGTCGACATCTCATTTGCGATGTACTCGTCCATCGTGGCCGAATTCATGGGCCGACGTTCCCGGGCTTCACGACGCTCCGTGGTAGGCATCACGGTGGGGGCAATCTTGGGAGGTCGATAGATGCCGGTCTTGTCGGTGACGGCAGCCGCCATGCCAACAGGCGCGGTAGAGCGGCTGAAGGTGAAGCCTGGAGCTATTTTTTTGTCTTCGGGATTCATTGCTGCTCCTAATGGAGCTCCTTCATGCCCCCCTTCGTCGTCTGAGCCAAACTGAGCCTCGCCGTCTCTTTGCTTCAGTAAAGCATTCGCCTTTTCAGCTTGTGCGTTGCGATCTGCCGTGTCCGCTGCTCGTAGGATCTTATCGAGCTGGAATCGTAGTTTTTCTTCCAGTGGTCGAACGCCCTTCTCCAGGTACAGTCTAAGCTCGACTAGTTTTTGGACCACAGTACCTGACAGATCTGAACTATCCTCGTCGGAGTCTGACTCTGACTTCTTCGCGTTTCGAATCTTTAGAATGATGAGGAAGACAAGGTTCTGGAGGTAGGAGAGCAGGAGCTCGTTCTTAACATCCAAAAGAGACACTCCATCTTTGGGAGGTTCGACTCCAGCAAGCTTGGGCGTTGCTTCGAGGGCGGATGTCAACGACTGTGTTAATGAGTCCAGCAAGGCTGGTAGCGACGTCTGCATTGCCATGATTTGAGTTGGCCAAGGTTGGGAGGCCAAGGTTGGGACAGGAAGTTGGGAATTGGCCGTCTTGTCGGCAATATGTTGCGCTCGTCGAGGTGGGATCAGGAAAAAAGTTGACGAACGATAACGATAAGAGTTACGAGCGAGCACTAGACCCACACCAAGTCGGATAAATCGGCGTTGTTTCACCGCTCCGGCCGGCCGTGAAGTTGTTGTTTGGGAGCTGTGCTCTTTGGGTGTCGGGAAGCGACTTCTTTACGCGTAAATCTCATTTCGTAAGCTTCACCTTAAGGCAAGCTGTCCAACTCTATTATTAGTGGAAACTGACTCCAGACGACGTGAACATTATTATTTGGACTTGGGCGGGAATACTACTTAGCGATGCTATTCATAGCTTCCCAGTTTTATTAAATTCATTCTGGACACAGTTACGCCTAGTTCCTCGAGCCTTTGCGCTCAGCATCCCTTCTTCATATTGCATACGTAAGCCTCCCGCAGATTCACTCTAGTGCGGCGAAGCTGGGTAACGGGTGTGACGGCAAGCCCGCCTTGCCTGTCCGCCTTACCAGCGTGCCTGGATCCTTCGAAGCCATTATTGTTAAGTTTGCAAGCGAGATCGCGCGTTCTGCTGACTAGTCGACCCTCCACAGTTCATCGTGGTGATCATGAAAAGCTTCATCACGGCGCCGTCGACGGCGCTCCTAGCAGCACTGCTAGCACTCTCTCCTGCCACCTCAGCCTTCTACCTCCCCGGCGTCGCGCCAACCTCCTACAAACCACACGATAACGTCCCTCTGTACGTCAACAGCGTCAAGCCTGTCGCTGCCCTCCAAGATGCCCTCCTCCACTCGGTCATGTCGTACGACTACTATCACGAACGGTTTGGATTCTGCAAGCCGAAGGATGGCGAGCCCAAGTACGTTTCCGAGAGCCTGGGCAGTATTTTGTTCGGCGACCGGATCATGACGTCGCCCTTTGAGCTGCGTATGGCTCAGAATGAGACGTGCAAGACGGTGTGCCCGCACACGTACGAGAAAACCTCGGCGCATTTCGTCAACAAGCGCATCCAGCAAGGCTATGCGCTCAATTGGCTGGTGGACGGGCTCCCGGCTGGCCAGCAGATCAAGGATGAAATTACGGATACCGTCTTCACCAGCCCGGGTTTCCAGATGGGGTCGATGGACTTCGCCAACGTGAAGAAGCCGCGGCCCGTTTTCAACAACCATTACGACATCGTAGTTGACTACCACGCGGTTGGTGGAAACCACGATCAACTCAGAGTTGTCGGTGTCTTGGTCCAGCCGTCCTCGAGGGCATACCCCACGGGCAAGGTTGACTGCGGCGAGAACCATCCTCCCATGTTTCTCTCAGAGGAACATAATACTGAAGTCCACTTCACCTACGGCGTCTACTGGAGGGAGTCTGGCACTGCCTGGGCTACGCGATGGGACAAGTATCTTCACGTGTTCGACCCCAAGATTCATTGGTTCTCTCTGGTGAACTCGGCCGTGGTCGTCGTCTTCCTTGTTGTCACGGTCTCTTCGGTACTCTTCCGAGCCCTGAAGAAGGATATTGCTCGGTACAACCGTTTGGACCAAATCAACCTGGACGATTTGTCTGGGACCTCTGCTCTCGAAGACGGAGTTCAGGAAGATTCGGGCTGGAAGCTGGTCCATGGTGATGTCTTCCGGACCCCTTCCCACCCTCTGCTGTTATCCATATTCCTTGGCAATGGTGCCCAGTTGTTCGTTATGACTGGCTTCACCATCTGTTTTGCCCTGTTGGGCTTCCTGTCTCCGTCAAACCGTGGATCTCTCGGGACGATCATGATTCTTCTTTACACTACCCTCGGCTTTGTTGGCGGATACACTTCCGCAAGGGTCTACAAGTCGCTTGGCGGAGAGAAATGGAAGCTGAACATCGGTCTGACTCCACTTTTGGTACCGGGTATCGTCTTCGCGACCTTCTTCTTCCTCAACTTATTTTTATGGGCCAATCAGTCGGCTGGAGCCGTGCCGTTTTCAACCATGCTAGTCATCATCAGCATATGGTTCGTCATCTCCATCCCGCTGTCCTTCGCTGGTTCTTGGCTCGGTTTCCGCGCATCAGCGATCGAGGCCCCGGTACGCGTCAACCAGATTCCTCGCCAGATTCCTCCGACTACGACGTACCTCAGGCCCCTTCCCAGCATGCTGCTCGTCGGTATCCTACCCTTTGGCGCCATTTTCGTCGAGCTTTACTTCATCATGAGCTCCATCTGGTTCAGCAAAATCTACTACATGTTCGGTTTCCTGTTCCTGTGCTACGGCCTCATGATTATCACTTGCGCCGCAGTCACTGTTCTCATGGTTTACTTCCTGCTCTGCGCTGAGAACTACCATTGGCAATGGCGCGCCTTTCTTGCAGCCGGCATGAGTGCGGGTTATATCTTTGCTAATGCCTTGATTTACCTCATCAGCAAGTTGTCACTTGGCGGCTTGGCTGGTACAGTGTTGTACATCGGCTACAGCGCACTACTTTCCTTCCTATTCTTCATTCTCACAGGTACGTTGCGCTTCGTTCACTTTTTCTGGGTTTTTTTGCTAACATACCTTACAGGGTCTATCGGATTCTTCTCAAGTTGGTGGTTCGTACAGAAAATCTACAGCTCTATCAAGATCGATTAGAGCACCGAGGCGAGGGTTTGGGTGTTGTTCATAGTGCTCAATATGAATATCGGATGCCAGCGGAAGGCAGGTATGGGTCATAGCATAGGTGTACCAATAATGCAGCAGCCTTGATTTCGTCGTGAGCCTGCGGCCTTTTATGTGGTTTATAAAAGCTGGAGGTACGAAATCAAACTAGAAGGAATAAGACAAGTTCAAAAGAACGTCGAATGGCGTCCAGGGGAGTTATGAATGGAGTTTATGAGGTTATCCGACAATCAGGATTTGCTTTTAGGTTTGTTTCGCACATTTTTCGAGAGGCCGCGCCTGTGGATCAACAATGTATGGAGCTGTGGAATGATAGGGAGGCTTTGCCATTTGGCAGGCTGATTGATCAACAGACTTAGATCCGCAATTGTTGACTTGTTTTCAGGGCCTGGCTTTTTTATTAAGGCTGACACCCAAGTTGTAGATAACAGTCCTGCCCCCTGCTTACTCATTTATTGGAACCGCGTCCCCTCTTCATATGGTCTCAACGATATAGCTGTCTCGACTTCAACCTCCCTTTAGGCTTCCACCCCAACGTGATTCTGCCCACCTCCGCACGGGCCTTCATGTTTTGCATCATGACAGACATATAGTTCGGGGTCAGACCACCGGCGGCTGGTCGAGGGTATCGGTAGAAGGGCAGGGTTTCCATGAACGTGAAATTCTTGGTGTCTGCTCCGTCGCGGAGGATATCTTGGAGATGATAGTTGTCAAGGAAAGCGAGAGAGTGGCTGAGGTCGATATAGGTGTTGAAGAGATGGGCGAACAGGCTCATGGTTAGGATGGAGACATGTTCAAGCTGTTGGGCTCGAAGCGTAACCAGTTTTGGTCGTAGGCGAGGTGGAGATCGACTTCAGGCGTGGAGCGAGGAGTTAGTATGTGGAAAGATGGAAGGGATAAGCCCCCCTAAACATAAGAAACGGCAAAACAAAACACCGGGAGGACGTGGAAATCATTGTACTTGTAGTAGGTGATGGCCTCGTAGCCTGCACTGTACGGAATGGGGTACCGAACCATGGATTCGTTAATAGGTAGGCATTTACAGACAGCAGGCTTCTGGACGTAGATCTGGCGAAAGGTGCATTGGATAAATGCGTAGGGTTTTAAACCAGCGTTGTTATGAGGGGATCTTGGTCAAGAGATCATAAAGTGAAATTATCCTTATGGGCCAGCAAGCATATTGCCTTATTCTGATTGCCGTGATTGACCACAGGTAGCGCGGCCTTGTTGTTTTCGCTTCTTAGTAGGTAGTGTTGTCTTGCACGATAGTCTACTCAAAACAAGTTCCAAGTGCTCAACATAGGATGATGATAATTGCGTAAAGCACACAAACACGGCTTCTCCTAGAGGATTTGTTGTAAAACTCCTCGATAGTAAAATATAAAATTTTCTACTCCTAGTATGCGGTATGTGTCTACGGTACTATGCTTGTTATACCCTAAGTAACATGGGTGCCCAGTTCCGCATTTGGTATCGGTATACACCTATATCCTGCATGAGGCCGTGACAGCCGTCACTGGAACCCGATTTCACAAGATGTTAAGATCCAGGGAGACACTCCTGGCTATCATGGCTGTCACAAGGGGGCTGTGTCCTTGCGGTCAAATTTAGCTTTCCGTCAAGACAGGATCAGTATTTCACAAGGACAGTTTCAACTTATTTATCCGCCCACTTAACATCAATAGATAGCTGTCACATAAATAAATTATCCATCCATGATCCTCCATCCAAAAGTGTTGTTGTCAGACAAGGCTTGGACCTGGCGGACCTGAGCCTGGTAATGCAAGTACCTTGGCATGGCCGGATCAACGACTGGACGCAACCGGTCAGATTAGGGAAATCATTCTTTCTAGCGTATTGCATGAGTGCATCCACAGATCTATTCTACGACGTTAAATCCATGTTGATCACATGAAATACAGGGTTAAATGTGAATTGTCGTCAAAGGACCTTAAAGTAGCTATGATGTCATCAGGGTTGACCGTATGGTTTGGAGGTATTAGCTTACAACTTCATAGTAGTTGGCCATTGGTCGTTATTTCTGGCTTCGTCGCTTGCCAGGGGCAAAAGCTGCTCGCAGCTAAGATCCTTATTAGGGTCAGCGATTCGATGCCCAAGTCTACTAGGCTGTCATACTCGTACCTCAAAGCCTGAACCCGACACTCAGTCAGACAACTCTGAGTTGTCAGCCAAGCGCCCCATTTCGCAATTTCTTGACACCTTGTTTGATCAGATGAGTTGTTGTGCACATGCGTTATAGCAAGTAACACTAAGCATATCCAGCGACGCCCCTAGAGGCAAGTTCATGAATAAAAGCCGCAGAAAGGGCACGCCAACAGACCAGACTTTCAAAGTGAATATTTTGAAACGGGATTGCGAGTTTGGGTTTACTAGTTCCCGTCCTGTCCCTGCACCCGCCTTGATCACGCTTTGAGTATACCTCACTACGGCAACTCTTATTACATAGAGTTCCAGCCGAAGTGTGCTGATCTATTCCCGACATAATGGAAGCCACGTGGCGTTGTGATTTACTCCATGCGATAGGAACAAAGAGTTTAGGCGGCTCGAAGCTAGGACAGAGAAGATCAATGCCTGCGATCAGTGCTAAATTGGGCTGATGTTAGGAAACGAACCAACTTGCAAGCTGCATATGTGGCCTTGGAGGACAGGTAAAAGCAAGGGGTTTGAACCGAATTTTGCCTGACTATGGCTATTCTTAGGCAGGCCGGCCTAGTATTAAGGACTTGAAGTCTGGGACTATCCTACATGCCCACCACTGCTTGGACCTGAAGAGCTTCGCGAAGGGTATTCATCATCGAATACGTAGTTAATAGAGTACAAAGAAAGTGACTATAAACTCTAAAAATGGTATAGCCTTACCGTGTGGATAAACCGAGTGACCCTTTGCCTCCCCTCCCATCCCCGGCGTTCAAAATGGATAACTCCTAAAAGAAAATCCAGAAGAATAACTTGACAGAATCCTGCTCGCCTACAGTAGAAGTATCCCGACAGCAATGAACAGCGCTCAAAGGTATTACCAAGACACAGCCCAGCTGTGGAACGACACCCAGAATAATCTCGCAGTCACACTTGGAAGCTGGACAAACGGGATAAGAGAGGCTATGAAGTGCCGGTTCCGCATTAGCTGCTCCAACTCCTTCGATGTTTTGATGGGCGCGCAGATTGGCATGTTAGTGGATGAATGTCCAAATCGAACCAGATTCCGGGGGCAGGAGGGCAGCCGTGGGACTTCAGCAATGTGGCAGGTGCGTATTGGTATTACTGACGACAGTGCCAGAATCCGTTCGGCACTCTCTATGGATCGGGGGAACTGACGTGCAGCTGAGCGGGACAAGATTGACGCCCGTTCGATCGGACAAGCAAAATGCCGTGATCTGACATCCGTTGACTTGACGTTGGGTCGGGCCGCTTGTCATCGGCGGATACGACCATCAGGGCCGCGAATGTTTAATACACACGGTCACCCCACACTTCCTTCACTTCTGGGTCATCATAGTGTACCACAGCTTGCCGCTTGGCGATAATCCATGGTGCCCAGACAACCACGCCGTGATCTATTCTTGGGATGCTGGACCATGAATCAAATGCTGCAGCGGCATACTATATGTTAGCGTCATCAGCGGTATCGACTAGAGGGCCTGATATATGTTGTAGCTGGGTTGATCTGGTGGCGGAGCATAGGGTCTTTGGCAGTTTGGGCCATGATGGCACATCGTTCGACCTGCGCCCTTCAAGCTGAGGCGCAGTATATGGCCTGTGGAAACGACCATGCAGGGAAGTTCAAATTCAAGCTTGTATGCCAAGCGCCAAAAGCCGCGTTTCTGGTTCGAATATATGGGGCATATCTCCACTCCCGGGCTATCTTGGGCCCATGCAGTTGAGCGGCACGGGCTGTGCCGAATCCGCGCCGTAGAGGTACATTTTCAGCTCAGGTTCGGGATATTTTCTATGATGGCCCGGGGTTCATTCGGTCCTGCACAAGCGGCACCGGCGACTTTTTTCATGGAGTCTTGTGAGTGAGGTAGACTTATGGGCTATAGTTACGGATAGAGGCATCAGGTAGAGCTGGTAGTATACTGTGTCGCCCGAGATCTTAGACGAGGGCTTATGGTTTCTGTTCAAGACTGGTTGACTGGTATACAATTAGTGGTTCAAACGTGGATCACTATGTCGAGGAAAGCCAACGGTTGGATTCAAAGGGATACATTGCGAGCAGCAACAGGCCTCTGAAGTTATGTCCTGTGGACATCCCCCCGATATATAGACCCAGCCCAGCTAAATTCCTGGGTCCCCGACGATAGGAGAATCGAAACTGAGATTTCCAGTGCGAAAGGCAAACTTCTTGAGCTCGTCTGACTGATCTGCCAGCTCCTCCAGATACGCTCAAGAGAAATATCAGTAAGTGCCCAATCCTCGAACTTCGTGATAGGAGGCTCTGTAGTACGGTTTTTTATTTTCACTGAATCCTTATAAGATTAGTAGGCTAGGGTTGCCACACAAGTCATGGCACTTGTAGTTAGGGGCTGTTTTTAATGTCGTTGTAGTCGGGTGGTATCCTCTGTAAGCGTTTCGACAGTGGCACCTCTAAGCTATCGTAACCTCGCATCGTAACTATGTTCTGGCATCAACTGAAGTTACATCATGGCGGACTTGCAAACGATGGTTTCACGAATTTACATCTTGTGGCTTTCCTATACTTTTGCGCCGGAGAGTCAAGATTCGCCCGGCAGGCTCCGAAACTAAAGTGGGCCGGTCGGTAATCCAAGATGGATGACCGCCCAAAATCGGCTGACACAGACATCTGCAAGTCATAGCCGCCGCTGCACCTCCGAAGTTTCTCAGAAGGATTTACAACGCGGTACAAAGTAAACCATGCTACATGATGCGTTCTAGCCGACGTTGAGCAGGACCCTGAATCTGCTACGCCGTCGTCCTTTCTCAGCTAGTAATGTCATTCATACATAGATCTCTCAGCAAAGTAACGACTACTTGCCAATTATCCTGATCAGTCAGGCTATGCTACGGCTATATTGAGGATTCAAATCCTTCTAATTACCTTAACGCCATTCAGACCATGCCCTTTGACCATATTCAGCATCAGGGTATAGAGATTTATGTTGCAGTGAAGGATGCTTCTCAGTCTTAAAATAGTTTCGTTCTCTTGATAACGAAGTACATGCATCATCACATGGTGTATAAGAACCAGTCCAATTGTGCTGAATTCTCTCATCCTTCATTCCATCCACAGCCAGATACCTATCACAACTTCCTTATCCCAACGCCCCCAGATATCACATCAAGTATCTTGACACTTGCCTCATCAGATATCCCTCAACCATTAGTCCAAAGTTCTTACCTACACTCAATATGTACTGGTATACCTCGAAGAAAGCCGCCGTCGCTGCTATTCTAGCTGGCGGCTGCGGTGTCGCTTTCAGCCCATATGCAAATGCATTGCCTGCAACTTTCCATCGACGCGCCGTGGGTCAGAGCATCGCAGACCTCGTGATTGCAGTGAAAGATTTCCTGAAAGATGCCAATGCATACGTACGTTACTAACCCGCCGATCCCATACTAAGACGTACTCGTGCTGACCCACTTCAAACACAGGACCCTTCCGTCCCAGACAAGTGCAAATTGACGCTGAGGACAACCTCGGGCGCCAACTGCGAATCATACATAAATTGCGAAGAGAACGACCAAATTGGACATTCGATGCCCGGGTGGAACGTGTGCTATTTGGGTGGGCGCCAGTTCTTCACTGATCCTGATCTGGGCGACTTCTCTGTCACTTTCACCAAGGCTGGTGGCGTCGATGGGAACACACAGGATGGGCAAGTGTACCTTCTCTGAAATTAGAAATTAAACCATGGCTAACTATTAGCGCTATAATAGCCTTCACCACCCAGTTGTCCAACTCGCAGGATTCAACGACTGGGAGCCCATTGATATCCAAGCTATCGTCGACGAGCAAGGAGATAGAGATGAAGGCAAACTCTGCACGTTCTCACATGTCACTGGCACCGAACAGCTTCAATGGGTTTGTGGGTTGCCCAAGAATGGTGCTCGTTCTGCTTTTGGCATGTCCATTATCGATGAGGATGTGGATAAGGACGGCTACACTCCAGGATGGTGTAAGTAATTTCCAATTCTACCGGACACTTTAGATTTTATGTATTTGGTGCTGAATCGCATTCCAGGTGTTGCCAAAGTCAACCAGTACCAGAAGAACGAATACGGAAACGGAGGCACGTACGCTTTTGACGTGATCATCTACGACGCGAGCGGCGACCAGATTGGCAGTCTCTCAAAGGCCAATGTGGATGGCAACGGTGACTTGGCCATGTACTCCAAATTGCCTGCCACGCTACTTATCCACGTCGGTGACACCGATGATGATCCGGTCAGCTTTGCCTACAATGGCCAGTCGTGGACTTGTGATGATAGTGAGTTACATCCGGAAACTTCATTTGAATGGATTTTAGTTGGCTAACGCTTATGACAGCCGATGGAGGCGACCACGCTTGCACTTTGGGCAATGGCCAGGAGTACGGATATGAAAATGGTGACCGGGAAGGTTACACGGGCTTCACTTGTTAGACTGTGGTCAATGGCATAGAAATTGTGACGGAATTTTTCCATGTTTGCGGGACACTTTGGTAAACAGGATGCGGGAGTTTGGTTTTAGCATTGGAATTGTAAAATTGGATCAGGTTTTACGTGTTATAAGTGCCGTTTCTAATTGTAGACCACATAGGTACGGTTAGCTGAGAACTAATGTCTTAACTTGGAAGGCCTCGTTGAGTAACTCCCCCATGTTAAATACGACACACATTACGGGCGCGTAGACAGAGTATTTGTCGGACCGCACCAGCCTTCGACTTCCAACGACTTTCTCTTCCGCTTTACTACGGCTACAGCCAGTCTACTGATGGAAGATAAGACTTTGAACCCCAAACCCTTAGCAACAGCTAACTGTTAGAACTTCAGCACCGAAACCTGTGGTGTATCAGCAACTAACAAGTATATAGTCAAGAGGCACACTCAGGTGGGAAGGCACGGCCAAGTACAGGGCTACAAAACCCCGCCTCAAACCAGAAGTAACTATCACGGAAAGAAAAACATCTTTTTTTGGCCTTCATGTAAATCTTACTCTGATGTATTTAAGGCCTTTATAGCCATCCTCACTCCTTTCAGAGACAAAATATAACCCCATGCTTTGTTATCGCTTTCAATAAGTCCGATAGGAAGGTCCCGTGTAAAGCTTGCATCATACTACTTTATTGCATGATCAACACAGGCTACAAAATCCGCGCTGCGCTAGCTTGTAGAGATGAATGCACCTTTTCTATCAGGCATAAGCGTAGGAAAGACGCGCGAAAGCAGAGGCTGTACGTTTTTAAACTCATTCAGAGATGCAAATCGAACAGGGGCCAAGTCGATATTGCCACGACCCTGACCTTCACCTTGCTGACGAGGTCTAGTTGCCACCTGTGTTGGCGTCCACCTCTCGTCGGGCAAGGCTGCGAATTTCTGAGTTGTGCAGGTATCTCGTTGGAGGTATTTCATATTTGTATGAGAGGACAACGTGTCATGCAGGCTCTGTACTACTGCAGACTTAATCCCTCAATCTTACGTCTAGTTATTCAAGTTTTTCTTCTTTCCTTTCTATTATTGACGTGATTGGACATAATATGAAACCATGGCCATGTCAACGGTGCCAAGGGCGAAAACATGGGCGATGCCAGTTATCCGTTGTTATTGTCTTCACACCTTAAATCTGTGGGCATTAATTGCCCGTCGCCAATATCATGCAAGCAGTGGATATGGTTAATTTTTGTCGTATGAAATATAGCTGACAAGTTGGTGTGTCTTCGTCGGCGCCACTTTTGACACCTTCTGGCGGATTTGGGTGCAGAGTGCTACCAGAGCAGGCCCATCTTGAGGGTGAGAAAATGCGGTCACATGAAATAGATCTCGGGCATTCGATGACACAGCAGTGTACAGGCCATTTTTGGAACGAAAATCCTTGGTCTATAAGCATTAAAAAGAAAACAAGAATGCTCAAGGACTTACTGGGATGCCTGCGCCGGTACTGATTCCTGCACCCGTTACGAAAATGATATTCTTAGCATTTGCCATCGTATTCGCGATCTGGTGCAGATGGCTGTTGGAGTCAGGTGTGACGTGAATCGTCTTGGAGGAAGGGGCGATAGCCATGTGGACGTTCAGACTGGCGAGCGAATGACTGCGGCAGAGATGTAGGTGTTACGTTATAAAGAAAAGAGGGGGGGAGAACAGAGCAGCATGAAAAGGGAGGGGGAAGCTTAAATAGATGGGCGGGAGTGCGCATTGGGATTTCCCGAGTCATCGTCTCAGGCTGATCAGGGACCTCTTTCCCTTTTCCCGTCTACTGTTGCTCGACAGTTTCTCGACGGCTAGGGGCTCAACCATGGTGCTTTCATCACGTCACATACCTTGTCTGAAGGGCACAACAGGAGCTGAAGCCGACGCCTGCGGGCAGATTAGGACGTCGAGGATCTGATGAGTAGGCAGGATACACTGATCACTCCCCGATGACGGCGGCGAGGCAGACTTTGCTCATACGTAGTTCCGTTCCAAGTTTGGCCGACCGCATCTAGCTCCGCTACTTGAGTCGGGACTCAACACATACTCGTCTCGTCAAGTGCAAGTTCTTGCTCGTACAATATTTCTGGTCCCATCCAAGGTCCTCGTGGATAGTATTGTGTACTTCTACAAACCTTGGGTGTCAGGTCGAGTTCATGGGTATTACGACTTGCAGGCGTACAAGAAGATATCAGCTGCTGCTCAAGCAAAGCCCCCCCCCCCCCCCCCCCCTTTGGCTGACGTAAGTATCTGTCGCCTATACGGTCTGGTTTTAGACGACGACAACGATTATCATCTGGATAGTGACGAGGAGGATCACCCTGGTACACGTTTAGTCGGACTGCTTACCTATATCGAGAATCAAGGCACTTTAAAAGATATTGCGCCTTGGTCTGACTGCACAAATGAGGATCGACTCCGCTGGTCTCAGCAGATAGACGATTTCGTCGACTGTTTACATGACGCAGGTGTAGCTTGGGGTGATGCTAAACCTGAGAATATCCTGATCAACATGGAGGGTGATGCTTGTCTTATTGACTTTGGCGATAGTTACACCAGAGGCTGGGTCGATGAGAATAAGCGGGAAACTCTAGAAGGAGACCGGCAAGGCGTACAAAGGATTCATGATTGGCTCAAGACATGGTCCGAGAAGCCTGTTACTCGAATCAAGCGGGAAACCTCGGCAGTGCAGCACCTTTGAGGCGGAAAACACAACGCTGGCCCATGCAGTTGGTGGACTTCGGGATGCGACTGACTCGTTCTAATCAGCTAATGGCACCGCATAAGTCTGGCTGTTGTTTAGGACCGGCATTCCCCGATCGTCGTGGAGCTTCACCAGATGGGTTCTGAAAAACAGGTCTGGAGGATGAATAAGAAATAGGCAGAACAGAGTCGTTTGTGATGCTTCGAAGCGAGTGGTGATGATACAGAGCTACAAACGCTGAAAGCCAAGATAATTGGCGTATGACCAAGCAAGCGAAGATTCTCGTTCCAAAACTGGGCAGCCGGGGTACTATAGATCATTATTAACCGATTTACAAAACACGATGAGACTGTAAGAAATGTTAACTTGCATCCAAGTCGCGTTCGACGCGTAACTCCAAGCTGGTCGCGCCATTTTACCGTCTGCGTCTCTTGTCGTTTAGTTGGGATGCCCGAGGAGCCTGATCATCTCCATCATTTTACCCTAGTATACAGTGTTATGAAACCCTTCATGGGCTTAGTATTATCCTGGTATGCACAAGAAGGACTGGCATGATATAAACTAGCGTAAAAAGATACATTCAACTAACTGCCTGTGGCGAAGCTGGTAGGACCACCGCCCATGTGGTACCTGGACGAGTAGTCCCTTGAATGACGCTTGCCCTAAATTATCCGCGTTCCGGATTATGAAAAAAATATGTTGCATAAGGCTGACCGCACGCACAATACAGTGAGAGATGTCTACCAAAGTTATGATTGAGGCTGAAGTAGAAGAGTTACGCTACTGTAACATTACCATAGTATCAATTGGGGAGTCAGCTTCTCAAATATTATATATAGGGCTGTTATATTGTATAAGATAGGAAAGAAAGCGTCTTTGACGAACCTGCAGCCAAAGCTTTATGCTGGCGATTCGCTGCAATCTGTCCCACAATGATTCTGAATCATCCGTGTCGAGATCCATGTCTCTCAAACTAACCTCAGTCTCCCATTGAGCCAACGTTCTGGTGGAAGACAACATATTTGGGTGTCGATCTCCTAGGATTTGTGTTCCTATCTGTAAGTAATGCTTCATGAGCGATATTGCTTCTGTGCGCTAGCCGAGACGATGCCATGTGAACGCAAGATCGTTCATGCTGGCCAGCGTAGAAGGATGATCCACTCCCAGCTTCTGCTTGCTCGTCTCCATCACTTCCACCTCCAGCTTCTCGGCTGTCTCCCACCGGCCCTGGTTCCTATATGTCGACGCCAGGTTGGCCATGCTGGTCAGGGTAGAAGGATGATCCGCCCTTGGCTTCTGCTTGCGAGTCTCCATTGTTTCTATAAGCAGCTTCTCTGCTGCCTCCCAGCGGCCCATAAAGTCGTAAGCTAAGCCTGCCATTGTTATGGCATCTGCGGTGTCCTTATACTTGCGACCGAGAATCTTTATTCTCACGTTCATCGCGGCAGTAGACAGCTTCTCCGCCTCAGATCCATTCCCCATTCTCAGAAGATACCATGTGGTTTTATACAGAACTGTAGCCCAATCTTGCAGCGACGCTTCCTCCTTTGGTCGCTGCGTTGCTGCTGATCTAGCGTGCGGCAAAAGTGTACGGCATCTTGACCAGTTCTCATATTCTCCGTTCGGTAGTTCAGCGCAAAGAACACTGATAAACTGTTGCTTCCAGCGTTCCTGCTGCCCTTCGCCGTTCAGCCATTTTTGAGTGGCTATCTGTACTAGACGATGTATTTCAAAGCTGGTTCTGTCCTTGTTAACAGAAATGAACAAGTAGTCTCCTACAGATGCCGGTGTCCGTCGGTCTTCATTCTGATCGGTGGCATTAAGCTCTTTGCAGCACTGAACAAGCATCTCGAGCAATCCTAACAGGTCACGTCGCTTTGGGCTGGGAAATTGTGATAAGTAATATTGAAGCGTCTCAGCGCTTGGGAGCTGCTTCGACACATCGGCCAGTCTGTCGATAAGCACTGGCAGATACAACCTGGTAACCACTAAAGCGGTAGCGTCGGATTCGGTCGGAATGGGGGTGAGCAATTCAACTGAAGGCATCGTAGGTTCAACTGTGAGCTCCTCGGGATCAGGTGAAGATCGCTGAGGCCAAGGCGAACCTTGCCCAGAAGCTGCAGAACCGATGGTTGTTCCATTTGCTGCTTCTTGCGAGCTGAAGACCGGGTGGTTGTTGCCATTAGGGGCAGAAGCGATGGTGAGATTATAGGATGGGCATGTTATGTGTCAATCTGGCAAGAATGGCGAGTTGGAAAGAAGAGAGAAAGGATTCCTGAATTCTTGGGGTCGGGTGCGTGCCCTTTATACCTTTTGGTTTGCCATAGCCTCCCCTTGCAACGACACCACCTAGTTCTGCGGCTGAATCTTTTTTTTGGCACACACCTCTCCTAAAACCGTGCCATCCATCTGCTTATGAAATCCTAGGAAGTCATCTGCACCAGGTGAGCCATACAGAGTACTCTAACACAAGGACCCTGGCCCTTGGCCTCCTCTTCTGATGACTGCCTAGGAAGTCATCGCCACTGAATGAGCTGCATAGAGTGTGTAGCAAGGAGCATAGCCCTTGGATACCCCGTTAGGTTGACTCGTTCGAAGTCACTGTTACAAGACGAGCCACCACGATCAACACTGTCATAAGGCCAACCTTCTCCAGGGCCCATATCTGCATGACTTCCTAGGAAGCTATGGCTACAACCAAGCTACGCAAAGTGTGTGACAAAAACCCTAGCCTTTGGATGTACCATACAATTGACTCCTCAGGAAGTCACTGCCACACGGAGAGCCTTCCCCAAGATCACTGTCTGGACGACTTCCTAGGAAGTCATCAGGACATGGGTCCAGGGAAGCGTTGGCTTGGGTAGAGATTATTAGAAGGCCAAGGACTAGGCTTCTTGTCACACACTCTGCATAGTTTGGCTGGAGTTATGACTTCCTAGGAGGTTATCACCACGGAATGAACTACATAAAATGTAGCAAGGAGCCTGCCCACTGGATCCCCTCTTCGGTGGCCCCTGAGGAAGTCGTCGTCACCAGCCAAATAATCCTTGCCACAAGGCATACTTCTCTAACCGCATTGACCACCTTTTTGCATGCACCCCCATTTTGCAGGGTCTAACTGAATCAACCTAAATACTTCGTCCATATTATTTATAAGTATTGTCTTTAAATTCGAAGATTTGTCGGGGCGTCTCGCGTTAATTAAAATAGGCTAAAACCCCAAATTACCTTGAGTTCATCCGTAAGGTGTTGTTTGTCCACTCTTAGAACTGAGTAATGAACCTGTCTCTCAGGGCAGTCTCCAGAGCCTGACGATCTGCTTGGATGGAAATGTTGACCCTGGCTCGCTCAATGACAGCCTGAGCCTGAAAATTGTTGTCCAAATACGAGGCTGCCTCTCCCTCCGACAACATGTCAATGGCCTGGATAATCCTCGAATGAGGCAGGTTGTTTTCGGTATAGCCTACTCTTTGAAACTCCGAAAGGAGTCTAGCCAGCCATCTCGATACTGCCTCATCTCCCTTGAAACGCCCACAGCCATTGAGGTCTGGGACTGGAAGAGTTACTTGCGGCCGTCGACCTTGTTGCTCGTACTGAGCAGCTGAGAACTGAGGCGGTGGAGGCGTCGGTAAAGCTCGAGGTACAGCTGGTATAGGGATACGAGGACGCGGCAGACCCCAACGAGCCTGAGGTCCCGTAGCCGGGGTACCTGGGTTCTACCGGATCGGGGGCGAATCCCTCCCGACTCAGCTTGTCAGCTGAGACCGGCCCGCCATAACGGCTCTTTCCTTACACTTCTAGTCAGGTGATGGTCAGCCAGATGAAAGGGCGATCGAGGAATTCTAGGCTCTAACGTAGTTGATGTAGCCAGGTAATAAGGCCTTGGATGATAGAGAAAAGGGCCTGGTAAGTAGATGGATTCGAGTAAAGTTTGACTGGTCACAGGACTGATGCTGATGTTGGAATTGAATCTTCAGAGCGATCACTTGGTGTCAGACACAAGGTTTTTTCTGAACAGGTCAACGCCTCAAACTCGATGAAAAGGAGTCTAAAACTATGATGAGACGACGAAACAAGATCTATAAAAAAATAAAAAAATAAACGAAGGTTGATAGGTCCTGTGATTCCAGAAGTAGGGGTAAAAACAAAGGCCAAGAGTGTTATATTTAACAAATAGAATTGTCCAAGAGGTTCTGGGCTAAATACGTATTCTATACAATTCCTTGCGGTTTTTAAATAAGCTACCTAGCTCAGTCTTACAAGAGAGCGTGACATCGTGTGCTTACGATAATATTACTTCCCTCGGCGCATTGTTAGCTAGGGCGTTAGAGCATATCCTTTGGTGCAAAGATTGGAGTATCTCGCAAGCAACCTATCCATTTGACCAGTTAACATACCCTTCCGGTGGTGTCGGGTGTACCGTAGTGCTTACCCCACAATTAATGACCACGCACGGCGGTTTCTTGACCCACTTTGCTTAGCCACACGGAGACCCGGCCAGCCGGCATAAGTCCAGTGATCATGATTTCTATTTATGTCTTGGTTTTATATCTCTAAATAGTTCAGGATTTCCAATACCCGTAAATAAACGCTGCGCCTTGACTAAGAATGGAAAGCTAAAATTAACACTCGAGCCTGGTTTTGGGTGGTACTTATGGAGCTTTATATAATTAGTATAATTAGCAAGTGTGTTTCCGTGGATATATGATAGGCTATGACACAATGAACTCATTTATCCATGAATTTTCTATCCAAGAGCGTTTGACTTGCCTTTAACGTGCAGCTAAAACAGCGAATTCCTTCCTAGGCATTGCGTCTTACCAGAGATTAAATAGGAAGATACATGGCCCTTCAAGTTGGATCTCCCTGACAAAAACTCAAATAAGTCGAAATCCTGCAGCCGCTTCTTATACTCCCAATGCAAAACCCGATTACAGCCAGCTTTTCTCAAAGCATCTCTGAAGTCCTGTGACACCCTTCGGTACTCTGGTCTGAACGCGAGTGCCATCGACATAACGACTGTAATCAGCTCCTTGGAATATGGTTTCGCGAGACTCAAGGCAACGGTTCCCCATTCCTTTTCTGCCCTTGCTAAGGACTGGTCGGCGGACCTAACATAGCGGCTCTTAAGCCTGTTTTCCCAGTCGACCGTGATGCCTTCCATGCATGGATGATCAGACCACATCAAAGTTCTGTGTTTCAAGTCGTCCCAATCTGGGCTAATCTCGCGAAGGTCGACAGATGCTTCGCCCACTCCTCCCAAAACTGCGTCTAGTTCATCTTGCAGAATGTTATCGTGGTCTTCGAAAGACTGATGCAGTTGATTGATTTTCTGATCATCGAAACCGAGTTATTAGCTAAGCTATTCAATCGCTATGTTGTTATTTTCCATATTATCGAATGTAAACTAGCTAATTTTATCCCGGATTCCGTAGAATTGGTGGGTTGGGTTGGCTGGTTGACGACAGCTCTTGGCAACCAGGTTGAAGTGGTTGGGTTGTCTCGAGGGTTGGATACGACTGTGCTATTAGGCTCGTCTTTTACTGGAACGTTGTAAACTGCAAGCTTCTCGCAATTGCTAAGTGACTATATTGCTATGTGATTTTTACGAGTTGATCTCAAAGTCGGAACATAAAAATATGAACTGGTCATATGTCATCAGAGGTCCATGTTTATTGCTGTCACACGCAGCCGCTAGCCGTGGCACCATTCCTTTGATCCCTCGTCCCTTTGTACTGTTGTTGCAGATTCCATTGCGCGGGGTTATGTTGACCATTATACAGCATGTTGAAACAAACACGGAGGGCTGCAAACAGTCAAGGAGTTTTCCATACGAACAAATCTAAGGATGCAGAGACCGAACTGGCCAAAACAACCCGTTTTTGGATAAAAGTGAAACAGGAGAGCACTGAATCGTCAGTGACACATGTGCGAAAGGAAACAAGCCCCCAATAATTAATGGGATCTAAGTGATTATTACACGTCTTCCACATGTTCCGGAGCGCTAATCATGTTTGCGACGCCCCGAAGACTTGCCTGTTAATGCTTCGTACGGGGCGCAGACACTCAGCGCCCTCTGCATGTAACGGTCGAGGTACGACAGACCAAGGACGAAGCTGGCATTGGTCCAACCAAACCTAGACGCTTTCATCAGTACCTCTCCAGGCATTAAATCAGAAAGCTAAGAGAGAACTCACCCTTCATGCGCATAGCCATCAAACTCAACCCCCTGATTCCCATACTCGGCATCGACTCTATGCGGATCCCTCTCCTTAACCACATTGTACTTTTCCACCACGGCCCCGTTATAATCCACGAAAACCTTCATAATGGTCCTGCACCACCGATACGCCAACCGGGTCGCGTGATCCCCGTACCCGTACTTCACCAGCCCATCCCAGGCCATGATCTGGTGCGGTGCCCACCCGAAAGGATAATCCCACTGATGGTGTCCGAATCTCTCGGCCTGCCGCACCGTCGCCTCGCTCGTCACTGACAAGCCGCCGGGACATTCGAATTTGGGAATCGCGCGGCGGACGAGCACCTCGGCTTGGTGCGGGGAAGCAACGCCGCACCAGAGAGCCCAGAGACAGGTTACAGACTCGGAGGTGATCTGCGACTTTTCGACGACATCATAATCAAAGTACATCCCCTTCTCCTCGTTCCAAAGGAACTTATCGATAGCCTCCCTACGCTTCTCAGCTCGTTCGCGCCAAGTATTGGCATGGACATCGACATCGGAGGTCGGGAGAGCAAAATCGGGACATATTTCAAAGTCGCCTTTGAAGACAGTCTCAATGACATGCCCGATGTCGGTCTCGTATTTATACAGCAGGAAATTGAGGTCGATGATGGCAAGGTTGCTGCAGCGACCCTCAAGGCGGCATGATGTATCATGGCCAGACTCGCGCACGCCTCGGTCGTGCTGGAAGTACTCTTCAAGTTTCGGCTCTTTGATCAGGCCTTCGTTGTACTGGAGGACAAAGCTCTCCAGTGACATGTCGTACTTGGCTGCGTACGGCTTGAGGACGTGGGCGAAGTGGTCAGGTTCGACTTCGGGCGGGATGCCGTACCCGGCTGGTTGGTACTTGGAGAGGCCGGTGGCGGGATCGAGTCGCGGCGACGTCACCCAGACGGAGTGGTATTCCTTGATGGCGGCCTGTATGCCTCGTCTGAGGAAGGGCTTCGCGTCGGGCGCATCCCGGGTAGCCTCGTAAAGACGAATGGAGAGGTCGGTGAGGAAGGGGGGCTGCGAGCGTAGGGCCAAGTAGGAGCGGTTGGCGTTGGGGATCAGGCCGTAGTGCTGAATCTCGAAAATCCAGTTTCGGATTATGCCCCTCACGAGGTCGATGCGGGCGTTGGACAGCAGACCCAGGCCGATGAAGTGACTGTCCCAGCCGAAGAACTCGTTGAAGCGGTCTCCAGGCACAACGAAGGGCACTGCTCGAGACTCGATGGCCCCGGTCGCCGGATCGACATATTCCTCGGTGTCCAAGGCGAACAGGCCAGGCTTCTTGATGAGGATGCGATATGTTTCGTCCGTTATGACGTGGGGTAGGGGCACAACCTGGAGCTCGAGATCACGCTTCTGTTCAGCGATGCGTGAATAGTACTCGAGCTGCGAGCGGGCTTCGGCCGGCACGTAAATACGTGGCCTGGCGTCATCGGTCGGTACTTTGTCGTCTTTGGTGGCCAGACCAATGACATCGGCATCTAACCGTCTTGTCAACCCTGGCCAGAAGACTTGGCTGACGAGCCGGCAGAGTCGCTTCACCGGGTCCTCGTATAGACTCGAGTGCTGGATGACCAATTCAAGGCACCCCTTCTCGTTGGCGGCCGTCACCGCCTGCAGGAGGTTGGAAACGGCATAAGCGCCGCGTACTTCGTATTTGTGATGCCCTGCAGAGCTGAGACTGCCGACCCGAATGAGCTGTATGCAAGGGGTGTCAGTGGAGTGTAGGCCAAGACAAGGGGAATGAGCCGCAGCAACCTTTGGACCCTTATCATCTATCGAGATTTGTTTGTCCCCATCTGTATCCTCGTCTTCAATCAATCTCTTCCGAGTGGGGGCTACAGCCACAAGAAACGACCGGCATACCGAGTCCAGGTCATCTGAGATTAGTCAGTGGAATTGAGTTTGGGTGGTCAGAATCAATTCCACCTGCCTTGACTGAACCGCGAACTCGGCACACGGCTGCCCTTCTTCGCGTCGTATTGGAGGCTTGACTTTAGTCACTTCAGCAATAAACTCCCTACTTTACCGGCGGCTGACCGCTACTTAACACCACACACACACACACACAAAATACCTACAAATGATCGAGATCGGCTTCTCTCCAGCTGATCGTGGCCATTAGTTTCAGTTCCAGGGGTGGGAGTCATTCTGTTACGGTACTTCGTAATATGTTGAGGCAAGTTGCAATCTCGTGGCTGCCAGGAGTTTGGGAAGGCGGCAGGGTGCGGTGGGATTACCGTAAAAACATGGCTCTCCACGTTATCTATGGAATTTGCAATATTGGCCGGCTGGCCCGTATGGCTACCTGTACACCGTGATACACATGCTACTGCAACTCCGCGTGAGGGCTGCAGGTGATCAATAATACGCTCGGCTCTGCGGGGAGCGATATGCTAGAGGGTGTTTGCACAATTTCTCCGCTACCTAACAGCCGCATGTATTGTTAGGGACCCTGGCTGACAACCCTGACATTATTCACTTTGCGGGGAGCAGATATTCGGGACTGGGTGAATTGGAAGGCTGGCTTTCGTTTACTGCCCAACCAACTTTCCCGTTTCGTCTCCAGCGGGACAACCCGTACATTCCTGACCATCACAGAACTCCCAACCTACCAAAAGGAGACCAGACCTTTTTATTTTCACCTCCTTCTCACGCCTGCAGCGGAAAATATGACGGACTGTCTCGGACTACTACTTCTTCCAACCCCACCGCAACAGATTACCTTCTTAGATGTGCGGGTAGCATTGCATCCCCCGCTGAGCTCAGCAGTGCTCAGGCTGAGCAAAGCACGGCCACGCCAGCAGGAGTCAGCAGCATTACTTGAGATCGCAATTCCCTTGACGCGTGTCATACAAAACTCATACAACCACCAAGAGCTTTTCGCGGAAACCGGCAGGCTCTTATTCAATGTCTATCAACTGCTCGAGACAATCTATCAGAAGGAAAATATCCCCTCTGAAGGCCCTGGAGCAGTGGATACGAGGATCCTGTTTGTCCACGACGGGAGTGAGGAGCTGGACGATGGAGAAGGACTGCCCCTGGTGATCACCAGCTTCGGTGCGCTCGCCAGGACGTCAAGACCATGGACCCATCTCTTCGCCGTGGAAAGCGAGCCGGGAGAAACCCTGCTCCGGCGCTTCATGACGCTCCGCGGAGGAGATATATCCAGGCGCGAACACGACCCGCTGCTAGAGAGCATCCAGAGGTTAAAGGGCGGCTTGCAGATTTACATGCCGAGTTTGCATTCTAATGGTTTGGGGCCCATTTACGACGGATCACGGCAAGATTCTCCAACATGGAAAGTCACCGTCGTCATTGGTGGTGGGGGCCGTCGCGTCGACTTCACGGACAAATACCTCCTCACCATGGGATTACTCTCCATCGCAGGTGTGCGCGATCAAGGTCTCGCGGATCCGGGACGCATCGAGCCACGAGCCCTCCATGTGGCTATCTTGGACGAGGGGGACCACCAACTCGAGATGGAGACGAAAGCGTTTGCGTTCATCCAATCATTGACGGGTTTTCTTCGCTATGAAGGCCAATCGCCGACAGTCTCGGGCGTCGGTGTTGATGTCACTTTTCAGCCTCTGCAAGACTCGATGGCGAATACCAGCGATGAAACCAATGCAAGGGTAGTAGTGGTGTCAAAAACGAGGCGAAAGGCCTGGGAGGAGATTTTGGGGGGTCGAGACAGGGGCAAGAACACGACGATTGTGGAGCTGAATCCCATCGAACCAGCCGAATGGGAGGACGATTAATCAAGGGTTGTTTGCTGGGAAAGTGGGCGGGAATCCCTCGTGATGCAGCTTCTCTGGAGTGCTGAATGTAGACTCACAAAGGACAAATGCATGGCCTTTGCCACCCTTGGCTCGACGAACTAAAGTCGCTTCGAGATCTCCTGATTTAGCGTCCGGCATTCTGATTGGACACAGGCCAATCCATCTACCTCGATCAACCAAGGGGAAGAAATACGTACCTCTTGTGCTACGTTGTTAAGGCTATCGCAGACAATTTGAGGCGCTTTTCAGGGCGTAAGAACTCGGTTCTTCTTTTTCAAGACTTTTCAACCTTTGGGACTGCAGTAGATGGCAACTACCTAGATGTTCCCCGGCAAGCTAGGAGCTGGTACGATGCAGTCGAATAGGCAGGCTGACACTACCCACCACGGTCGCAATATCCTGCCGTGCAACAGAGCGATACCCCACGCAGATGCCTGGAAAAATCGGGTTCTCGCCGCCGCCACGCGGCTACGCTCGGGTGCTGATTGGATCGGTAGCTGAAGTAGGGAGGCACAAACTTGTCTTCTCACCATAGGGTTTCCGAGCAGCCACTAACAAGTGCAAGTTTGGTTGCATATATATATGCAGGCTTGCGGTTCCGAGTGTGGAATCTCGGACATTCTGGCCAATCCTTATGGAATAGGAACGCATTATCGCATGGGATGCAAACACGATGCGTTGGGTATGCCGCTGTGGCTATTAACCCATTGCGGCCGGCAAGTTGAGGTGGCAGATGGCGGTAAATGGCTTGCCGTGGCAGCTTTTCGAGCGCTGCTCCAGTTCGTCAAGTGTCAAACAAAGGGGGCCTAATGATTGATTAGACTGTTTGTGAACATCGAGGCGATCGCTGGGGCTATAGACAGTGTGAAGACACGCAGAGAGGCTCGAGAAAATACCGCCAAGTATTTGACGGGCTGTGCCTCGATATCCGAGGAAGAAGAGAAGGTTCTGCTATGGCTGCTCTATAATTTTTTCTGAATAGGTTGGTAAGCATCCCCTAAGCTAGCCTCAACCAATCACAGGATAGGTCACCGATTTGGGGGCGTTGCAGATCAGATCATGAAAACCAGGGGGGGCCGCTTGCTCAGGTCAGTGCGGGTAGCGAGGATATTAGCTAATATGTTCTTTCGAGAACTTCCGAGGTTTAGGAAACCCGAGTTGTAGAATAAAGCATAGGTCAGGCTGACTAATTTCGATAGAAAGCCGCCCAGCGGAGTTGTCGAAATGCGTGACCACGCGACTACTCAGAATATCTGACCTGTCTCATTTTGGGGGTCTGAATGAAGACCGCAGCTGCCTCTATGGATGTTGTCTCTTGGCTCTTATTCGTACTTCAGTAATTATCCTTTTATATTGACCTGTCACCCCAGAGTCAGGCTGCGTGCGCATTGCTGTTTCTTTCGCCATGGTCAGGTCTCCAAGTGTACATCTGACGACCTGCTCAGAAAACAACCCCTGCAGCTCACAATCCTCCAATGCGCCCGGATGTAAGCAGCCCACGTAGCTGATGCGGCGTAGGCTGGTCAATTGTTTCATTTCACTCGCAGGCGTAAACGCAGCTAAAGTCCGGTGGCTTCGAGACCGATATGAGAGGTAAATGAGGCTGCCAGGCAGTTGACAGCCATATAAGCGACACGTCTCAATGTATTGAGAAGACTGTGGATAAGTACAATTCTTGTTTCGACTTCTCGATTCGTTCGATCTGCCGCGTCCTGACATTATATCACGTCGTAATTGCGTTTCTACATTATATACTAATTCATCTTCGAGACCATGCAATTTGAACTAAAACCGCGATAATGACAGACCAACAAGATGATGAAATATCTCCGTTGCAAGAGGCGTCGGGGATGACCACAGTCCCACCTGCTAAGGAGGATGTTTTCGAAGGCATCGAACTTTCTCCTATAAACAAGAACAGAGCCGCATCGGAACCCTCCAAAACCCTGTCAGAGCCTACCAACTCTTCCGATAAGTCCAGAGCAAAGAGTGTCAGCTTCAACTCCGACCCACCTTCCCAGCGCAGGCACGAGAGCGCGGCCGACGCAAGAAAAGAAAGCGCTGCCAAAAGCACGGCTCATATCCTGGTAGACTTTGCACCAGCGCCAACCTCGGACGGCCACCTTGAAAAGACTTTGAAGTCGGCTGCGGACTTGAGAGAAAAGTCCCAGGTGCACCGCCGTGTCATCAAATATATGAGACACCAAGGCTGGACTGAGAGGTTCAACTGGCAGAGGTCCCTCGACACCCCCTTGCTCCGGAAGATACGGGGACCTGAAGAAACTGCAGCACGGAACGCGTGTAACTACTACTTTCCACCTCGTGCCAATATAATGGTGCAAATCTGCGATTTCTTCGCCGAGGAAGCTAAGAGTTATAGACGCCCCTTAGGGGGGATTGAAGAAGGTGCGGTTTGTCTCTGCTAAGCGCTTGCTTGCGTACCCATTTCAGATTTTTGGCTCATTATTTGCAGCATGGGCAAACAAACGCCCAGAGGTCGAAGTGCGCTGGATGTAGGTTCTCCTTGACTGAAGGTTTTGTTACGTATCGATCGTCGAGCTCCCGCGCACGGCTTGGGGCAAAAGAAGAGGGGAAGCTGATCCACGATTGTTTAGCCACATCCCAGTCGGAATCGGTTTACTCCAGTCGGTATGTACCTAACTTCTAGATGGGCTCTCGGAATTTCTCTAACCTGAGAAGACTTTGGAAGATCTCTTCCTACATGCCGGCGTAGGCAAAATGAGCCAACACAAACTCTTTAAACAGGCAGGCAAGCCAGGATGGCCTTATACCGACTTGAACGTTTTGACCTTTTATAACCACGACTACTCCATGGAAATGCTGGAGGCCCTCGACTTGCTCTCTAAGGATGAGAATTTGAAACGAGGCACGAGCGATGATGAGCTCGTCGAGATGCAACCTACAATCAAAGACGATCTGAAATGGAGGTCGCGTCACCTAGGCGAGGACATCAACTTTTGGAGCTTGGTCAAGGCCGACTTCCCGCTGCAGTTGGGTGAACAGTTCGGAAGCGACGATCAAGGGCCACTGGATGGTAAACTACTGAGGATCTCCAAGTCTGATCGCCAGGTACTCTCCCTCCATCCGCAGTATACGAACTCATTGTTGGCAGTGAGCAGGTTGCGTGCATTCCACCGGTCTGACGGTGAGAAGTACCTTTTTCACCCCCTAAACACCCTCTCCCGCACATGCTGACGATTAAGCTTCAGGATTCCTCTTGACGTTCGGCAATACCACTGGAGTGGACTACCTGAGTCGTGACTTCGAATCTTGTCTGAAACTTCCCAACGACGTGATCCTGCAACAGCCAGAATTCTCCGTTATAGCCCACGTAATGACGGCGTTCGAAAACTCGGGCACCAGTCGTTGGCATCGGAGAACGGTGGAGTGGCTCGTGGTCTACCTGTTCACAGAATCTGCTGTGACACCACATAGCATGCGGGGCGGGATGAATGCGATATCCCCTTTAAATGCGTACAAGGAGCTGACCTATATTCTGGTCCGTATACACGTACGTTTCTGTCACGGACAAGGTATTGATGGATATTAGCAACGAGAACAGGAGTTGCCCTGGAAAAAGGGTCAAAGTCCCAAGTTGTAAGTAGATCCTCACTCAGCACTCCCCCTTCCGAGGCCTCGTCACCACTACATCCAACCAAAAACATCCGAGAGGCGCGACTTCTCATCCCCAGCACGTATCCATTTTACCATATCAATAAAACCCGCCACTCCTAACTTAGATGTTTCGACAGGGTGAAAAGGTACCTTTCTTGCCTCCGCGAGCTGCGCGGCATCCACAGTGTCATAAGCGAAAAACTCGACAAGCTGCGGGGAATGCAGGAAGACTGCGAGGCAATGGAGCGGGAGTACCAACAAGAGGGCAAAGACATTTACCTGGAAGAAGGGTCCGATTCAATGGCTAGTCGACTCGAATGGGCCATCCGGATCCTCGAGCGAAAGGAGAAGGACATCAAGGTCATGATCCCATATGTGCAAACCGCACTCAAAGAGGTATGTCTTCGCATATATTTGTGTTACAACCTGACGGAGTTGAACAACCCAAGAGGACTGACATTTTACGGAACGGTCTAGTTGTTTAACCTTCGCACTATCGAGCAAAACGACCTCGCTATCGTGGCGGATAACCAGAACAAGGCGCTCTTTGTGTTTACAGGCGTGACGGTCGTGTTTCTGCCCCTGTCCTTCTTCACGTCGTATTTTGGGATGAACTTGGCCGGCATCTCAAATACGGACAAGGACGAGTATTTCTTCTGGAAGACGTGCGGCGTGGGCGCGATTATGATGTCCGCGATGATCATCCTTCTTGCCTACTGGTACGAAATTCGGAGGGCGCTGAGGTGGCCGAAGAGGGCTGTGGAGGATAACTGGTGAGCATGGCAGGGTAGAAGTATGGTGATATAGAGGGGCTGTATTAGGCTTTCAGTCCTATCTGTCCAGGGCAGACGGGCGTTCACACTTGCATACTGTTTATGAATCACGTGTGAAACAGATGCCGTCATTTTTGATAGGAGGACATATTTTTGAAGTTAGATCCAGATCAACCTATTAAAAAAATAAAGGAGGTAGTATCCTTTCAAAAAAGGTATAACATTATGATTAAATAAGATTTGACACATCGAAATATTGATTTATTTGAATTAGCAGAAATAGTTGTACTTTATTGGTGGTCACGGCTAGACGGATGCCCACACTGGGGATATTCTGTACCTATAACCAACACAAAGAACGGGTTTGATTGCCCAGATCAATTGCGCGTATTATTTTCACGCATCTGATTATATACCTACTGTAACCAATTTTATTCATAACCTGGCCTGCTCACATTCCAAATTTCCTGAACGGCACCTACGAAAGGCCGAGGGTGACCACAGAACCATTATTGATCGTGGGGATAATAGCCACCCTGTCCCAGGGAATGTCGCTGTCCACGCCAACCGCTCCTAGAAAGCCGTCCACCAGCAGCGATCTCGGCCTCCTGAGCGGCTCTTTCGGATTGAATCATCCGCGACGACATCAAAAGCGGCACGCCACCCGGAGGGGCATAATTGAGGATGCCCGTAGGCCTAGCACGCTGCTCCGGGGTTCGACCGAGGATATAATCCATCTCGGCCTTCAAGCCCAGGTATTCCTCGACGAACCTACGCGCATACTTGCGATACAGATTGTGAAAGGTAATAGGATCTGCTACCTTGTTTCTTCCTGCCCCCTCGAGCTCTTCCATGGACGTTGCTAGGGCGCGTATTGCGTCAGGATTTTGCCGGCGGGCCCAATCAACGGTCCCCACGACCACCTTGATGTACGCACTTACCCAGTCCTCGTTGAGGGTGCCGGCTGCTTGCCGCATCTCGATGGTGGGCTTGCTGATGGGAGAGCCTGTCATGTTCATCTGATTCCGGTTCGTAGCTGGGCCGTAGAAGCGGAAGTTAACTGCGCCTCGGTTGGGACATCGCATCAACCAGGCGACGGCGCGGACGTCAGTACAGGCCAGTAACTCATTGACGCAGGCCCGGATAGGGGCGGGTTGCTCACTTGGTCTCTCGCCCCACTTACCTGTGACGAGTTCATCGTTGTTTGGGTTCCGGTTGGCGGTCGCTGCGGTCTCGCCTCGTGCAACGTTTGCCTGCAGCCTGTTCCGCTCGCACTGCGAGTTGTCCTGGCGGATATCCGTGTGGAATAGTGTGAATAAGGGGTCCAAAGCCAGCCATACCGCGGCGTTCTGCCGAAGTTGAACGACATCGAAGCGGGCTCTACCTACGCCAACGTGGATATGAAATCCTGTCGACTGCGGCACAAGGCAGGCTAGTCTTTTGAGGATACCTAGCACTCTTAGTATCTCGTCGAGGGAAGCTTGGTTAGCGACCATGGAGGGTCCAACCACTTCTAGGTTGAGCACTCGCAGCCTTCGTCCAAGAACCCATTCGTCCTCGGCCAAGTCCACGGTCGTGTCCAGTTTGACTGTCCACCTGTAGTACTCGGGATTGTCTGTATTGGCCGCATTTCGCTGGGTGGGATCTATCGACAATGGTGTCGACCCCGGTATCAGTACATCAATCCCCTGAGACCGGAGGAGCCTTCTGATATAGTTCAAACAATATCCTTCCAAGTACTCGTCGTGCCAATGCTGATATTCAACACCGCCCCACCATTCGTTCCACCGCCGTGGGACTCTTTTTACCTCTTCAGGCAAGTCGCGAGGTAAGGGGTAATCGTTTTCGCTCCGCCATGGAGGAACTATGATGACTCCCGGGTTCTGCCTCTTGAAGCTAGCAAGGCTTACCTGCGGGTTATTGTATTCCTTGTAATGAACCACGGCCTCGAATTCGGGCCCGATGGTCAGATTGGGGAACATAGGGATGTCCTGCTCACCGGCAAATGGTGGTGGCATTGCCATCCGCTTCGTCTGGTCATTTCTGCAAATGTGTCCCGACATGAGGGAATTTGGTCGTTTGCGCAAGTGAATAGATAACTTCGTTGAACTCCCCACAAAGGTTGTGATATGTAAAAGTACGCACCGAATTATGAAAGTATGCTGACTTCTCTCAAGTTGCGTGTTTGATTATGAAAACATTATTCCATCAGTGCGGCTAGTTATATACATAGGTTGAGTTTAGCTACCATTGTTCCCCCCCTTTCCCCTGATTTGGCTTTCTACCTCCGTTCTTTTGTGTTTCTAATGGTATAAATATCACCAGGTTATTTATTTCGTTGAAGGCAACTTGCTCATGTATAATTTGTTTGGTCAAAATCCGGGTCAAAGAAACTGTACATCTCCTTTTCGCATGTTTTGTTTGTTGATCTAACATCCATTTTAGGCCTACCCAGAACAGAAATAAAGCTCCTAATGATAAAAACTTGTAGATTGATAAATGACATGTTCAAGGCATCACTTAATGTTGGTATCCTAGACACTCTGCATGTTGCTACACTTTGCTTGTGATTCTGCTCTGGCACCAGTGAGACTTACTTCTCTTAGAGATATTTAGCTAACAGGGGAGACACATTTGAGCTATTTTAGGATGAAGTAGACCAGGCATTATTTTTTACACAGAGTGGACAAGAGCTCTGTTTCGTAATCCGTACACATATTCGTAGACCATAGCATGTTATTGGCAGCCGGGGTGGGTCTGCAACTTCCCGGCGGGCCGTGAGACTCGGGCCAGATAAGAAACCGGTCAACTGTCGGAGCCGGGAAGGCACCGCAAACAATCGACACGCTTCATGGCTTCTTGTTTCACATGGCAGTAGGAAGCTAGGCTGAGTTTGCCATTGCTCCCGGATCCCAAGTCAAATATTGTCAAGACTCAGGCTGCGTTTTTCGACACAGCACCTAAGGGCCACTTTTGATCAGCAGTTTCACCCCGCCACTAACCCCTCCATCAACACATCGCGACCACACGGGTTCATCACGAGCCAGCAAAAGCGCTTCTCGACTCCCCAACCCACAAAAGTCCTAGGGAAAGACACTGCCGAATGCAGTGACATTGCCTTTCTACGTACATACGAGGTGGAACTTGGTGCATCGGTACTCTTTATATCTGGTCGTGTCCTTCTCAATCACAACCATGTCGTCTTCCTCAACCCCCAAACCGACGTCATCGCCGCAGACCTCGGGCGCCGCGCGCTTGCTGCAGCGGCAACTCAAGGAGATGAAAACAGCGAAAGATCTCCCCGGAATCTCTGTTGGCCTTGTTAAGGAGAGCAACATATTCGAGTGGGAAGTTGTGCTCATGATTAATGACGACTGTAAATACTACGGCGGTGCGTCTCCCCTCCCTCCGTTCCCTCCACTGCTGCCCCCCCCCCCCAATCCAGAGTCTCTCGCTCTTTGACACGAAACTGACATGTTCTCCTTGTTCAACAGGAGCATACTTCCGCGCATTAATGACCTTCCCGCCCTCCTACCCCCTCATGCCGCCGAAGCTCGTCTTCCAGACGCCGATCCCGTTCCACCCCAACATCTACGACAACGGCGAGCTGTGCATCTCGATCCTGCACCCGCCCGAGGACGATAAGTACGGGTACGAGTCGGCTGCGGAACGCTGGTCCCCCGTCCAGACGCCCGAGACCATCCTGCTGAGCGTCATCAGCCTGTTCAGCGAGCCCAACGACGAGAGCCCCGCCAATTTAGACGCGGCGAAGCTTCTGCGGGCTGAGCGCGAGGGAGGGCCCAAGGAGTTCCGGAAACGGGTGAGGAGGTGTGTGAGGGAGAGTTTGGGGGAGGACTAGGTTGGGACGATTGAAATGTAGCGACCAGGGAAGAAGTGTAGAGGAGTGTCACATTATCTACACGCCCTTTCACCGAGAATGGGAATTGGCAATGGGGATCATGAGGAGTGTGAATATGGTTGTGGAGCGACTGCTTTCGGAAAGATTGGAAAGATCCAAACATGGACATAGTCAAGGATCAGGCCGGGGCAAATTGGGTTATGCATGGGGAGTTGTGGTTGCTCCGAGATTGGGTCTCGTCAAATACATAGGTACTCTACATAATCAACCCAGTGCAATGGGTGCATAACTTCCCCGCGCGCAGCATCATATAATCTCTAGGCCATACCGCGATGACTATAGATGCCAATGCTTGTTACGCTGGATCTTCTCTCGTCTGCCTAGTTGCGCGGCAACTGGCCTGCGCAGAGAGTAGATCGTTTCTCCAGATTGTCCAGTCCACGACGCAGCTGGCTTGTCAGGGGTAATACGTCCTATTAGCGGTCTAGTCCATGACGCCTAGCACACGCCCAAGCACACGATCCCACTCTTCATCCCATCTAAGGCTGCCTTCCTTCCGCGCACCTGTGCGCAGCCTGTGCAGCTCTTGAGCTCCTTCGTGGTCGCGGAACAGCCGACTCAGTACTGCTGCTAGCTCAACAGCAGTCTCGAAGCCGCATCCGTTCTCGCCCTCCTTCACCAATTCGCCAAAGCTCTCATATGCTGAATATGCAGCAACTGGGAGTCCCGACCCGAACATATCGACCACCTTCATCGGCAAATCAACCCCCGAACTCGACATGTGCAGGCAAACACCTAGGTCAGCACAGCTGAGAAGCATAGCATAGTCCTCCACCGTCAGCCAAGCGGTGAAAATGCGAATGTTGGGCAGCTGGGCCGCCCTCTGAAGATGCTGGATTCGTTCTTGGTAATACGCCTTCTGAGGCCCCTTGCCGGTAATGATGGCGATGATGGGGGACGAGCTTCCATCCTTGGCATACGTGACGAGGGCATCCAGCAAAAGCGAAAAGTCCTCATCCGGTGTCCAACTCGTACTACTCACAATGAGCTTCGTCTCGCCGGCCATGATGTTACTCGCAAACTCCTTCGTCTCCGGCAACCGCTCTAGAAAATCCCTCCGCTCCGCCGACGACGTCAGGGGCTGGAAGATCTCCGCCGGGCGGTCGTGCAGCGTGAAGACCAGGCTCTTGATGCTGTACGGCGGCTCCTTTAGCTGCCGCGCCATGGCATGGGTTACGGTGATGTTTGCCGTGGGCGCGGCGCGGCCTAGCACGCACTCGTAAGCCTTGGAAAGCCTAACGAAGGCGTGGCTGGCACCGCGGGTGCCGGCGAGTATCGTCCAGCCGTAGTTGTGCCAGTCGATGATGAGGTGGGTGCCGCGCAGCACGGAGATGATGAGTGCAATGAGGAGGGTGGGGATTGTGGGCGGATTCTGGACTAGTAGCCATCGTGCTGGTGATGTCTTGTAGGCAAGGACATGGAATAGGGTCAGGATTTGCCAAAGGACCTTCAATGGGCCGGAGACAAGGAAAGGGATGGACTTCAGAGCTGCTGGGGGTGGTGGGAGAGGATGGATCTTCACCCGTGGATTACTGAGAAGGTCTGGGTGAGGGGGGGATTCTGTAATAGTGTCAGCATCTCATCCTACTGTAAGGAGGTAAGTACTTGGGATGGATACAAGGAGGAATACCGGAACCGTACCGTGATAGCCAATCAGATCGACCCTCCCGCCGTGTTTGGCAATACTTGATGCATGGTATTGCATCCGAGGACTTCGGCCAATATCACCCAGAACCAGGACCTGCACCGAGACCTTGGTGGTAGCTGGAGAATATCGAGACGGAAACAATATGATGACCAGCAGGACCGCGCAGGTGAAGGCGATTGCCGCAATCATGACAAGGAACGCCATTCTGAACCAATGTCTGACGTGGCGTTGGTTTGGCCGACCGGGCACAGGTCGCGGGGCACGAAACTAGAGTTACTGGCGGTACCACTTGAGAAACTCCCAGGAAAGGACAGCTGTTTCATACGCTCCCATAAGGGCCCGGCAGCAATAACTGCGCAATAGTTCAATCCGGTAAGAACCATCCAGGCAATGGCAGTTTGCCGCTTGCTCGCTTTGATGAAGCAGAGGTGCTAAATTGTCGAAAGGCGAATGTGACTGGTCACCTTGTACTTGTGTGCACTGGATCGGCCGGCCTGAAAGCGGAAGGCAGTATTCAAAATGTGGCGGATCCACTCAGCTGGACGAAAGTCTACTAAAGGGCTCTAAATGGAGTAGCGAGAAGTTGGGCTCCGGGTTAGGTGCACGGTTTGAGAAGGTGGGCTTGAGGCATCGAGTCTGTCATGAGAAACATGGAGCCATATGAGCTGAGAAGACAAGATCAAAGAGGGACCCATCCGGTGCATCTGCCAACTCAGCCTGGTGACAATGATGAGGTTGGAAATGGGCAGCCTTGCTTCCTTCCAGATGACGATGCTTCGTCCCATTAGACAGGATCTGGCGTGACAGCCAGATGCATACTGTTAAGGATAAGCACGAAACACAGCGGCAGCCCTAACTTCGATTATCATCTCTTTGCTCAACATGGGACCTGCAGGAGTGGGCTTGTGCCCAGCCCACCCTTGCAACTTAAAATAAACCCGGACCAGACTGATGATAGGCCCCAGCTGCGAGCGGGCCAAGTGGCGACTTCGCGAATCAGGCGCCGAGCTGCTCTTCCCCGCCAATACTACAGGGAACCAATTTAGCGCACTTACAGGGGGAATGGTTCAGGAAGATTGCCGGGCGGAGAGGAGAGGGAAAAGGGACGAAAGCAACAAGAAACCGCATTCGTATTGCGGCCTGGGCTGCTCGTCTCAATTATCATCCATCTGTTCTTTGCCCTGCCCCCGGCATTCAGATCGCTCACATCAATCGGATTGTCTCGACGTCCGTCCAACCACAGACGCAGACTTCCTCCAGCCATTCTCTTGCGACCGTGGTCTATTCCCTCCTCGCGTCGGCCTGTCCCGTCAACGAATCGTGGCCCATTTGCCCCTGTCGATTTGCCTTCGTTGTGCTGCCCCGAAGCTCAACGAGTCTGACGAGAGACAGAACAAACACGAACCAGAAGCGCCCAGTCCACCACGGATACCGTACGACCGGACACGAGTTGTGGGAATACGCACGCACTGCGTACCCAATTGAGTTTATCGCGACTTTGTCTGGCAAACTCATGACATAGGGCTCGGCAGCAACGGGGTCGCATTGACTCTCGACGCCAATTGCGTAGAGTGACGGATCTCATCAAAATTCACCGACGGTTTTCAACATGGCATCCTCATACGCCCTCCCCACGCCGCCATTGCCCCACAACCATAGCCATCATGGGCACAGTCACGGTCACAGCCACTCACTTGCCTCCCATTCCCACTCGCCGCCCTCGTTCGGCCATTCGAGACGAACCGACCGATCCAGTGGAAACATGCACGTCTATAGCCAGAGCCTCGGCCACAACCACAGCCATAGCCGTGAACATGTACACTCAGAAGGGGACGACAGTCCACAAGCACAGAACATGTCACACTACAGGGCGAACTCGTTCTTTCCACTGCAGACACGCATGAACCGACCTCAGCCGTCTCCGTTGTGTAGCAAACTGCCGCAGGCATTAAGTCCAGTCGAGGACATGTCTCCAGCTGTACAAGCTATGTCCAACTATTTCGAGGCTCCTGCCGTTGCTGTTGCACACTCTCACGACCACGACCACGACCATGACCATAACCACGATCACCATGATCACCATGATCACCACGATCACCACGATCACCACGATCACCACGATCACCACGATCACCACGATCACGCCCACGGCCATGGACATGTACACTCACACGGACCACGTCATTCCAAACTGACAGGTCTGCTTCTGCCATACGCTTCTAGGTGGCCGTTGTTGCACGCTATAATGATGGAGAAGGACTCACGTCGCATCTTTTACTTTATGGGGTAAGCAATAATCCAGCCTTCTAGCCGGCCCCGTTGCTAATGCGATTATGTAGTCTCAACTTCTCCTTTATGGCTGTGCAGGCATTCTATGGATACGTGACCGACTCGTTAGGTCTTCTGAGCGACAGCATACACATGTTTTTCGACTGCGTTGGCTTGGCAGTGGGACTGTTCGCCTCGGTAATGAGCAAGTGGCCGCCAAGCGAAAGGTTCCCATACGGCTTTGGAAAGATCGAGACGCTGAGTGCGTTCGCCAATGGCATATTCTTGATGTAAGTGACAGGCCAATGAAGTTCTTTTCGGGTACTTGCTTACGTCTTTCAGCCTAATCAGCATTGAGATCATGTTCGAAGGATTCGAGCGACTGTTAGAGGGCCGGGAAACCAAGCGCCTGATGGACCTGTTCGTGGTTAGCACCTTGGGGTTGATCGTCAACCTGCTGGGCATCTTTGCATTTGGATCGCACAGCCATGGGCACGGTCATGACCACGGGCACGATCACGGGCACGATCACGGCCATTCGCATTCGCATGCACACGACAGCCACGACCACGGACACGATCATGGTCACTCTCATGATAACGAGAACATGCATGGCATCTACTTGCATATCCTCGCCGATACCCTCGGCAGTGCGTCTGTGATTCTCTCTACAGTCCTTACCTATCTTTTCCCATGGTCCGGCTGGGACCCTGTGGCGTCATTCCTGATTGCCTACTTGATCGGCATGGCAGCCCTGCCACTCGTCAAGTCCTCCGCCCGCCGCCTGCTCCTGACTAATCCCGATGACACCGAATACAATCTGCGCAATGCTCTCTCGGGAATAACAGGTGTTCGTGGGGTGGCTTCGTACGCGGTGCCCAAGTGCTGGGCCGACGACAGGACAGGAAGTGAAGTGCGCAGCAAGCTGATAGGGGTGATACACGTCGCGGCCGTTCGCGGCACGGATCTGGAGGATGTTCGTAATAGGGTGAAGAGCTACGTTGCTGAACACGGCATCGACATGACCATTCAGATGGAAAGAGAGGGCGACACGACCTGCTGGTGTGGAATGGGTCGGCTGAGTCCGGTCTCGCCGAATACAAGTTCGGGCAGATACTAACATCTACTACGACGACATCACTTCAGAACTTGTACGGTCGCATCGCATACTTTATGGTTAGCGCTTTTAGGCCTACATATATACACTTCGCATTCCATCCTCGTGTTGGACATCAGAGCAGCATTGGACAATCGGCCCTAGAGTAAAAGAGGGGATGCAGTAGAAATCAAATTGCGGATTGGGGGGACGCATGCAAAAACAAGGAATGATACCCACAGCCATTAGATAGATTCTTGTATATACCGTTTTAGATACGAACATGCAACATCGAAGACATTGGCGATTATTGTTCTTGATCTTCGTAGACCACTTAATGTCTTCGATCATTGTCAGTTGCCCTGTAATACTGAAATGGGTTCTAGGAACCGAGCCCAATAATTTTGGTATACGAGGCCAAGATCAACAGGTTCGACATTAACCTCAAATAATCTACTCCTCGTCACTCACAGGATCGGTCAGGGCTCTTATTCTAAATGGGAGCTGGTAGTTATCACTGGCTTTCCAAATCCCTTCACCGATTTCAGGTACTGCACTGCCCAGCCTCCCAGAGCTGCTCGCGAGCCTCATCCTCATCTGCATTTTGCAGTTTGTAGGCTTTGCGTCGTTATTAGTCCTTTTGTTCCCTCCATAGGGACGCGCGATCCGTCTAGGCCACCTGGCTCGTGAGGTGGAGTGATCTGTGGTGTCGAGTGGCTGTGCCCATTAAACGAAACGTATCGAGGTTGCCCATAACGGTGGTGGCTTTTAATGACATCACAGTGAGTATCCATTGTACCATCGCCGAGACGACAACGCAGCAGGATTCAGTGTCGACAACAGCAATGTACAGTAATGTAGCCATACAGTACGACTGGCAGCAATGTCGACGTTGTTGGGAGCTGGCTCGGCATCTGTGACGCGACTTGCCTACTTACGATGCCAGCCCAGTGCCTTTTGTGAAAGAAACGAATAAATGAGAGCTGTTGGGGGGAAGTGCCACGGACCTCGATGTTCTTGGGAGAAAGAACGGGGTCGTGGATCCAAGTTACCAGATCGCGCTTGGCTAATTGACTTATCAAATAGGAGAGATGGCAGAAGCGACACGAGCAGAGTGATGTCTGAAAGCAGGGCCACCTGGATTGCCCTATAAAATAGAGAAACCCAATTATCCAAGTCCCCGTATTCTCACAAACGTCAGCCAAAATCAGTAGTGTTTATATTTCACCTACACCATTATCTGTTATGTCGATCTTGTATCATTGAATGCCAGGAAAACTTTTATGAGAGCTACTACACTGACATGCTTGGGGAGAAACCAGAAGTGTATGGTGAGGATCAGTTCGTGGACGAGAGCAGATAATTTTGACAAGAAGCCTATTGTCCATTGTTTCGATGACTGCAACAGGCCATCATGTGTGCTGGTGATTCGACGCTGGAGGGCGCTGTGTAGTCTCTTATTAAAGAGTCGGGTTCCTGGTGTGAAAAGACTTAAATACACTAGGGTTATAGTTGGGATCAGGTGGCGAACTTGACGTTGGAACGTAGACCTCATATTCACACTGGGATTGCTTGAGCGGATCTAAAGTGTTATTGAAAAGCTTTCTGAAAATTGATTCGTTTGGTAGTAATTCTTCGACATAAACTTGACCTTCTCAGGCCTCCGGTTGTTTACGCAAAAGCAACAAAACTAATACCGCTATTGAATCTATCCGCTTGTGTGAAATCCCACGCGATGGTAAAATTAGAGACGTTCGACGCCATCCGCGCATTAGGCCACTGAAAATTTGCCTCCGGCTCGCCCTTGCTGCGATTGAGCCCCAACGACAGTTCGCTTGGCTCCAGACGCCGAATCAAACACAGATTGAGTTGGGGCGTTGGATCTTGGAACGATTCATACGTGGGAGAGTCAAGGGGTAATTTCCTCAAACCTCGGCCGTGCACAGCCTAGTACCGGCCAAGAAAGTCCGTCGCGGATGGTGCTTATAGTACTAGTGAAGCTTACACTGGGACAACACCGCCTGTTCGTATCTCATCAGGGTTCCTTTGCCAGATATCCATATAAATCTGATAGTACCCATTTCTTGGCTCCCTGATGGTGTCCTTCCATTCTATGGTTTACTCGTTCGCAGGATCAGATAAGCACGCCAAGCCGGAATGTCACCCTGTCACAGCGATTTAGACTATGCCGGCGAGCGGTTGCGGCTTGTGGGAAGCCGGGTTGTCAAGCATGGCAAATTAAAAGAATCTGCTGGGGAACAGCAAGGTGATGATGCTGAGGGACTTCTTCATAGGAGGACGCCACGAGATACTCCTCAATTCGCAAAGGTGAGCTACGCAATCAAGATTATCGATTCCAGGCGACAGCATATATGCTGACTTAGAGAAGAACGAAGCCGCCACGCATTTCGAGGTAAAGTGCCGTAGTGGCGCAGAGTTGCATCCCACCAAGCAGGCGGGTTCTGACCGTGTAACTAGCTGTTCTACGACTTGTGGTTCGTAGCCAATTTGAATGTCTTCGCCAGTGTAAGTTTTCTCGCCCCCTTTCAAATCCGCAACCAGACCCCAAACTAAGCTCCCCAGGTGCACGACATAACAGGAAAAATCAAACTAGTTTCGTTCGTTGGTTACATAGTGTGCGTCCTTCCCCCCTCCACGCGACAAATCCGTTGTCGTCAAACTCCTGACACGGCCTAATCAGGCTCCTCTGGACAACCTGGCTCATGACCACCATCTATGACGTCCGCTTCACAGCAGACAGTGTCCTCGAGCGCTGCTGCAAAGCAATCCACCTAGGCGTCATGGTAGGCTTTGCGGAGATCGGCACCTCCTTCAATCCCGAAGCGCAGATCAAAGCTGTTTTTCAGGCACTCTCGCTGTTTCTTATGGTCTCGCGGCTTATCCTAGCGCTGCAGTACGGTATTGTCGCGTTCCAGGTGCGGAAGTACGTCGATGGGGGAAAGCCCTTGCTGGTTACGGCGGCTTTGCATTTTGCGGCGGCGATGGTTTATCTTGGGACCATGTTTCGCTATGAGGAAGGGAGGAACTCGAGGGTTTTTGTCGTGTGGTATGTTGTCGGTGTTGTGGAGATGGCTGTGCATTTGGGGTGTTCGCAGTTGACGGACGTGTTGACGTTTGTGGGGAGTCATTTGGGAGAAAGATTGAATTTGCTTACACTGATTATCCTGGGCGAAGGTACGTATGATCTTATTGTGGAGAAGTATGGGCCTCAGTATTGGCTAACATATGGTATAGGAGTAATTATTCTGGCCAAGAACGTCATGTTGTTGGTGAAGGATACCTACGTGAAACAGGCATCCTCGTCAATGTGGAGTAATTATGTCCTGCACCCTACACGCGTTGAACCCAGCTGATACTCGCAGGTTCGTCACTTATAGGTTCGGTCGCATCTTCTACAGCGCTGACATATTTCATCTTCCAGCTCTACTTCGACTGGATGCACAAGGAAGAGTCAATGTCAGTCCGACATCAAGTTTGGTGGGCAAGTCTCCACCTCCCATTCCACATCGCTCTAGTCCTTTTCCTCGAGGGTGCCAACCAGTTCATCATCTGGGCCCGAGTACTCGAGTCCGTCGCCGCAGCTACATCCAAGATTCGAAATGCACGACACAGCTTAGTCCAGGCCAAACCAAAGTCCATCGACGTGTCCAAGGCACTCGGGGACATAATGTATCCGTTCCTGAGGAAGTATCAGCCGGAAGAGGTGCTCGAAACGTATACTCATGTTAAAGAGACCCTGACCAATATTGGAGAAATCCCTGACTCGTTCTGGATCGTGGACGAATCCGAATCCGAAGACGGCCCGATGGCCATGCGCTGGAAAAGGGGCCTGGAAGAGCTATTCAAACACATGGTGGACTGCATTTACAATGCGTTTGACATCGAGGCGCCTGAAAAGGACCAGGAAGATAGTTCGGGCGGAGAGACGGGGTTGTATAGCCCAGAAGAGACTACACAAGCCATCACATCAAGGTTCCGGCTCGTTGTAAGTGCAGAAAAGCCACCCTCCTTTTTGCAGCCACTAAGTAACATTGTCTTTGTAGTTTATCTACGCCTTTGCCTGCGCCGGCATTGTTCTACTGTTCCTTACGGTTATGCACATCATCTCTAAGCGGAAGGGATGGTCACCCTTTAACATCATCCGCACGGCCATTTGCATAGTCATTTCGGTCGGTCTGGCGCTGGTGACCACCTTAGCAACCAATGCGGATAGACCCGCAGGTTTCATAGGTAGTCCGTGGATGTTACCCACGATTACTCTGAGCTATTTCGCCGTGTTATTGCTGTCACATCTACCTCATCCGCCTGTGTATACATCAGGCACGCGGGTGAAAGCCATGTACATGGAGGTCGAGAAGCACTAGGCATCTTTACTCAAAGATAGAGCGGAAGTCGGCCGACTATCGATCGGAATTTATTGCAGATATAGAAACCATGAAATGCCTTTGAGTGGGAACAAATACTATGATCTTTCCTTCAACAGTCTGGATAATCGTAAAAAATACACCCTTCCCTCAATCCGTGATCTCATTTGAGTCCTCATAGCAATATTCAAAGTCGTAATCGTACTGGTTCGCAGTGTCCAAAGCGTTACTATCTGTCCTGCTATTGTCACGTTCAGCCCTTCACGAATCGACCGCCTCAAGTCCCATAACGGTTCTTGGCACGTTGATGTAATGGTATCTTCTTCTGCTCTGTGGGTTTATCTAGAATAACGCATCGCCAAGAGGTGTACACATCCCGTGCCATTTTCCAGATTCAATATCAATTATGCTTCCCAAGCTTCTGGACATTTACCGGCCACTGCGTTGATCTGTCCATGGTTCTTAAGCTTTTAAACGATGGAAAATGCGACATCATGGTTGCTAAAGAATGCAGCAAAGTGTAACGGTGTTCTCCGCATATTGATGGCTTTTGACCATAACGGCAATCAGTGATTGAATACAAGTTCCATCACGAAAGGAAGCGCTACCTGTGATGAGTCTATACGATTCGGATATATCAACTTAAGAGGCATAGATGACACCTGAATTTACGAACGCTTGCTGATATACTAGGGAGCCACGGGAAAGCAGCAATGACCTTCATATCCTGCAAGGGACGTCCACGATTAAATAATAAAACTGACTGACTGATCCGCATCATAAGAGGTGTTGGTGGTCGCACCGGCACCTGCTATTAGTTCAACTTCACCTCGGCCAACTTAGCTATCCTGTCCTCCACACCAATACATACGTCTTGATAAGGGAAGAAGCCACATCCTATGCCCGAGGCGTCGAGGCGGGATAATTGCTGATGTTATAGACTTGGGTAAGACTCTGTCGATGTTATCCGCCATTCTAAGTTCCCCGGGCAATGCCAATATCTTCGCAATAATTATCTTTTGGACACAATTTTGGTTTGGAATCGTATGCCCAGACCAGGGCAACATTGGTGGTAGCCTCTATGTGTATGCGTTCAAAATTGAATTTTCCGATTTCGTGACCAGCAACGTGCTGGCTTCTCTATTCGACAAAGGCCCTGGATATTCAGCGTAGGAGTTTTCATGTATGCCCAAAGCCTCTCGTAACGCAGACTGAACCCCCGCCTACAAATACTGGTACTTAGCTAGCGCGCTAGATCCTTAAACACACGTCTAGTCAGTTTCAGGTAGCTCATAGCCTTGATGCTGAAAGGAGAGAGTGTCTCACAGGCACCTCCATCCATAATCGACTCAATGACATGATCTCAATATTCTGCTCGTTAAATTTTGAGTTAGTTTCACGAATGTCAATTTTTGAGAAGTATATAATCAAATGACTCGGTCAAGTAACTGTTGACAGAAAAAAGAATCCGAGGGCATTTCTGAGGGCATTACTGGGTGTTTTATGCCTTCACCGCGGCAACCAACTACTGCGCATCCTAATGCCGACAATAAAGAAGCACATATTGATCTCCAGTTACAGGAATGATTGTCATACGGCAGCACTGGAGCTAAAGTGAAGAAATACACCACTCATTCACTATGATCTTAAGACTCCGACGTTCGTGCAATCACGAAACGTTCAAGCTTACTAGCTTAGTGTTTCGGTTGCTTACGTACCTGAGAGTCTGCCGCCAACATACAAAAAAACCGATTGTGACTTCTGCAATCAAGACAATGAAGACACTCTAGGACTTTTATGAGAAGATGAGCTTTGTCCCGCTTATGGCAGACAGATCACTGGATCAAAAGGCTCGCCAATATCTTATGATATTACTGTAAGTAGTGCTATCATAATGGCACTGGGCTCTCTGTTAGAAGATCCGCATGCAACTTTGAGCCATGCTTTTATCCGGGCGATCTATCACGAAGATCACTGCAGTTGTTAATAATTTAGACCGAACCCACGGGTACCAAAGGGGAGGCTTCCAGCTTAGTCAGGCAAAATGATTATAACAAAGCGATAGCATCTTATTTTTGTATTAGACTTCGATTTTGGATTTGCTGGGACTCGCTCTGCAGATCAAAGCATCGCGTTTGCCGGTATTAGTGACCGAGTCGAATACAATGACTACTTCGGGATTTTGGATCGGCTCTCTTAAAGTCCCGACCTATCGGTCTTGCTTACGTCGATTGAAACAGGATCAGTTGGGTGAGACACTACGGGCCGAGTTTGTAGTTGTGACTAATGTCGAAGCGGCGTAAGTCCTACGGGTGCCTGTTACGTATAGAGTATCTAACCGCAATCTGGCCCCGCCATTGGGTAACACAATATTGTGAGGGCTGTGCGCATGGGGTAGACGAGTGGCATGGGTGTTTTGAAACATGTTAGTGTTCAATAGGTGCGTTCTAAACCCGCTAGGACAAGTATCTGAGCCCGAGGAACTGAAAAAAATGGACAGAACATACTTAAATTCCAACGGAAGAATATGCCAGGAAGAAGAGTGGCCGAGTTCACATTGGACGGTGGCCTGGATGACGACATTTTGCGGGAGTTGATTGTATGTCTTCCTCATTTCCCGCCTCATCCGCTTCCGCCAACCGATTCACGTTAATCCATACTCAACTAATACTCTGGGCATGTGAGGTTTTGTGTTCCCGGCGGTTACAGAAGCATGGACTGATTATCAGTGGCGAGGCCGCAAATCATGGAAGGGACCTCACAAACGGGTCGATGGTATTTCTATATTCTACGACACACACTGTCATCTACAAGCACGTTCTGCGGAGGGCTTTTCCATCGGCAGGTTCCGGCCTCCTGTCTGGCGCTAGAGACCGGAAGGAACGGCTTCCTTAAGCTGATGTTCGCCGAACTCAAACAATCCTCACAAAATTTGGTTATCACGACAGCAGCGGATGAATTTTATTTATGTTGGGATCAAATGACGCGCAACGAGGAGACGCGTCTATAATGATGAATTGCATGAAGTGACTAGCGAACCACACCCTTAGAACCAGGGGTAAGAGTGGCAACAAATGACAACTCACCCCAATCAAACAGAAAAAGCAACTTTTGAATACCGACATTATCATTTTAAACCCGGGAGGAGGCATCATATCTAGTCAAGGAGGAACTGATAATATACAAAAGGCCCCTAGTAGCCGTCGGAAGAGGATTTTGTCGTTAGTGTTGCTGTCCAAATAAGCTTTCTTCTAGATATTGAAGGAGCTGGAACCCGATCGAGCACACAGAACCCAAAAGGAAAGTCAAAATAAAATACAACATCTTTTTGCTTGAGCTTACCAATATGAAGGATTTAACCTTTTAGTTCTTTCGATATATGGTAACAGAACTATACCAATTTTCCTTACTCCGAAATGCTTGGATCTTACGTCGAACCCAGTCAGTGCCGATGGTCCGCCTCCGGCAGCCGGGTTTGCCATGGCCGGACCACCGTAGATCTACTTGTACAAGGTCGCAGGATGGAAAATTTCTCAGTTAGGTCTATCTAGTGACGTTCCTCGACCTGAAGCGCCAATTCTACTACAACTATCCTCCAAGAACACCACATTCGTTATCTCGCCATGTTGTACACAGCCTACGAATCAAATACTGACATCCTGTCACTTCGCCGGCCCCACGGTACAGTTGTATCGTGGCTGCAGGAGCTTGAATCCGACGACAAGAGTTGGCTGCGCGGGTCAATATCACGACCTTCCTTGATGTTGGGTGGTACAGGGATGACCACCCCTTCGTCTGGGAAGACTTTAAAGGAGGCCAAGGAGCACGATCATCTTCACGATGTGCCCGTGGATGGATATCCCAGCGGAATAGCGCTCGCCGCTCTCATTTCAGCGCTTGTGTTGGCTATTTTCATGTTGGCGTTGGAAATGGTGAGTTGTCCCCCAACTTCCGAAAAGCGCAAGACAAGGAGCATAACATTACTTTGTATACAGACAGTGGTAGCGGCTGCCATCCCCAAAATCACGGATGAGTTCCAGGGTTTAGAGCTTGTCTCGTGGTATGGCTCAGCCTTCTTCTCATGCGTAGCAGTTTTCAAGGGCGTATGGGGTAAGTCGCTTCGGTACTTCCAGCTCAAGCCGACGTTCTTGTTTGGAGTGTCCATATTTTTAGTCGGGTGTCTCATCTGCGGTAAGCCATTTGCATCATCATCAACGAGTCAGCCACTGAGGGTGAGTCCTAGCTGTGGCACCCAACCCGCAAACCCTCATCGCCGGCCGCGCTCTATCCGGAGTAGGCGGCGCATGGTAAGTCACTCATCCGTGTGCGACCCCATACACCCACGATCCTGACCCCACTCAAATTAGCATAGGAACCGGCGTCTTTACTATGATCGGCCTCGCTGCTCCTCCCCGCGAACGAGCTAAATACACCGGCCTCATCGGCGCCACCTACGGCTTAGCCAGCGTAGTGGGTCCCCTCATTGGGGGCGCCTTCGCTGAGAATGTCTCATGGCGTTGGGTCTTCTGGATCAACCTGCCCCTGGGCGGACTCGTCATGACTGTTATCTGCTTCGTCGAGATCCCCGGGACCGCGGCGCCGCTTCCCGCCGGGTGGAAGGAGATCGTACTGGGTTTGGACTTGGTAGGGGCAATGGTGCTGATGGCGTCCGTGACGCTCTTCCAATTGGTCATGGAGTGGGCCGGATTGTCTATGAGCTGGGACTCATCGACGGTCATTGGGCTGCTGATCACCTGTGGAGTGTTGTTGCTAATTTTTGGAGCGCTGGAGTGGGCGCAAGGCGAACAGGCGATGGTTGTTCCCCGATTGATATCGCAGCGCGATATTTTTATCCAATCTCTGGTGACTTTTTTCTTTTCGGGGGTGTTTTACTCACTTGTATACTACCTACCCATGTATTTTCAGTCGGTTTCAGGTGTTGGTGCCGTTGAGTCGGGGTTGAGGACATTACCACTGATTTTGTCGCTCACGGTGACTACAATTCTCAGCGGGGGTTTCGTAGCCAAGACGGGCTTTGCGCTCCAAACCCTACTACTTGGTACCGCTATCACAACTGTTGGATGTGGTTTGATGACCACGTTGGATGAAACCAGCAGTGCCGGGGCTTGGATTGGATACCAAGTCCTGGCTGGCACTGGCGCAGGGTTGGCTTTCCAGATGCCGACTGTTATATCGACAGCTGCGACCAAGCCCGAAGACCTGGCTGTCGTTAACAGCATCGTGCTTAGTATGTTCCTTCACTTCAGACTTTTGCGACGAGGGTTGGCTAACAATTCCTGTACAGTGTTCCAAACAGGCGGTGGCTCTCTCTTTATCATTGCCTCGCAATCGGCTTTTGTCAACACGATCATCAAAACCGTGGCTTGGTCTGCTCCCGGCCTTCCCCCAGGACAGGTCATTACGACAGGCGCCACCCAGATTCGCCAAGTTTTCACTTCCGATCAAGTGTCAGGGGTCGTCGGTGCATATACGGCGGGATTGAAGACAGTGTTTCTTCTCGCCACAGTAGGGTCGGCATGTGCAACACTCTTGAGCCTGCTAACCAGATGGCAACGAGTGAGTGATGGCGAGGCGGCTGCGGATAGAGAATGTTGCGACAGTGGTGAGGATCTCAATTAATCGTCGGTGGTACTACGGCATCAACAACAAGACATATTTATTATATCGATGCTATCATCGACGCTATCAAAACAGGAAGATTCTCACCAAGCGCTGAAGATTCGGAATTTTTGATTTGTATGATACGCGCTTTGTGCTGTTCGGAAACCTCTCATGAGCGGCGTTAAAATGATTAACAAGCAGACGAGCCCTGAAATAGTTAAATCGAATTCAATTGATGGAATGTTCACTCTTATTTTTGATGTACTGGGAGAACTTCGAACCAAGATGATGAACTTCCATGCCTGAGAGTTATGCGCCAGAATCGGTAGAACAAAAATGATACACCCTGTCTGGAGGATTCTCGACCCTGAACCTGCACGGATTTAATTGGTATAGGTGTAGTTGTTCATGTCCACGAAAGCGCTCTTCCCCATCGGCCACAATAGACTCAGCCTCGTTATTAGTTTTGCAGAACCTGCTGTCAAAGTGCTGAAAGCGAAGAACGAATCGAATAAATCATTTTTGAGGGTCAACATTCCACGTCTGCTAGTGGGATTCTGGATTCGCATTCAAAGTGGTGTATTTATCGCTGATCCATTCAAGTTCTTCCTTGCCTAGTAAGAATCACTTGTTGTTTTGGCGCTGATGGTTGGTGAAGACCGAGTTCTTCAAGTTTCCATTGACTGCTTGAAACACTCGATGCAAATGGGCCATTGGAAAGAGAGCGCGGTTGGAAAGGCGGCCAGATCGAGACTGATGGACAACCGTCGAGAATTTTTCGGTGACAAAAGTGGCAATCAGGAAGGGATAAAATCGCAGGACCGAGTACTGTGTCCAAACGACAGCATGTACAGATAGTGCTCAACTAATGGGACTTCATGGCGATAGACAAGCCTAGCTTTGGTCCCAGTGCGAATAGGCGGCGAGACATTGAAACAAGCAATTTAGAGCTGGTACTTTATGAATTTATCATGGGCAGACGATATGTCTCACGGTAATATAGGCTTGGTGGCGCATGGAAGGAATCTGGGGTTAGGCCAGCAAGGGCCCCAGCAGATTCCGGTGGTAAATATGTTTACGCCCTCCATTTTCCATGTCTCCGACTAGATGATGGTCAAGGTTTTTTCTCAATTATATGAGTGAATAACCATTTCTGGGATAATCCAAAGTGGAAGACCGGTCCAAAATACGATAACGGCAGAGCAAGAACCTCCCATGTTCCATCAGATTACAAGCCGCTTAGTCGATACTAGTCATCATCAAGACAACAACAGGATCCTTTTGACTATACCGACCCGGGAGACCCCACTGCCTCGACGTTTGAGTTATCTGTGGATAATACGAGCGGCATCAAAGTGGTGTGCCATCATGCGTGCCTCAGCCCCGGCTGGAGTCACTCGTTCTTAGGTATTATTTCAAGCTCCAACTTGGGGCGCCTGTTTGCACGCAGTTGGCGACTCATAACGAAGCATATTCCTACCTTTGTCAGTACATCTTGAACTGACGCAAAGCTCGGATATTTCATTCCCTACTCAAGATATTCGGCAGTGTCGCATTTGATAGTTCCAATCCGCCTGGCAGGCAAACACCTGTCATGGGTCTTTCACACAGCTGCTGGTAAAGCGAACGGCAGTTTCGTGTCTCTCTACACAAGCAACTTGCATCCGAAATGTTCGATTTCATGCATCTACAAGTGTAGGAAAGTGCTAGTCAATTCTAATTAGCTGTAAACATCTTTGAAGAAACATTCTGCTAAGTGCTCACCATAAGGCGGGCTGACTACATTTACATTTTCGAACAGGGACGTGGGAATAGTCTAGCTTATATTCATGAAGCGACTGAGGAAGAGCGTATTATCGCTGAGATAGGTTAGGAACAATGTGTCTTGCAGTGTTTCAAGTTTGCGTTGACTACATACAAAGAGCTGAGCAAAGCCCAAAAAGGCCGTTGAATCGATAACCTTCCGAATCGGTCGAAGAAGCATGTGCTACGTATGGATCGAGACCATTCAGATCTGGCACTACCAGGGCCCAGCTGGGCCACTCAAACCAACCTCCGCATATAATCGAACAACCCAGCTCGACGGTGCAGATAAAAGCATGTCATTCACGACTTCTAACGTTGCCATTCTCCTTCAATCACTTTCTCGATAATAAACCTCCTGCATGGGTGCAGACATCGGTGATGGACAGAAGTTACATGGAGTTCTACAAGAAGTTTGAAGACAAGAATCGAGTTGTTCATCCACAGCCCCCCATACCCTCGACAAGACAAAAGTACTTTTGCGCACGTGTACGTCACCTCTCCCATTGTTTTATTCTCTCAACCAGCGTACACTAACGTTCTATAATACAGACAGGGACACATGTTAAGTGCAAACTGATCTACATGCTTGACGTCAACACCACCATCGTACATAAACGCTACGGGAAGCACAGAATGATCATCACGAGCCAGAACAAGTGCAAAATCATCAGCCAAGTCCTCGTCGACGACTACTTCACTTCGCCGTCTGGGAAGCCGAGGTTCAGGGGCTTGATATACGTTGTTCAGTTCGATGATACGGGAACGCGCAGTGTCTTCACGTACGAAAATGGGTTTTGGCAGCTGGCGTTTCGGAGCCAGCATGGCAAGTATATGGAGTAAACAATATGTCTGGGTGTTGTGTGTGGCATACGCTAGTTCATGCGACGGGTTGTATTTTCGAACCGGCTCGCCGTTCCATCTCCATGAATATTCCGAATAGGCTTGTCGAAGGTCCAGGGGGCTTAAGAAGCAGCCCAAAACAAACCTCCTAACGCCACATACGCCTAGCGGTGAAATCAATGGTTTCCAAATACGAAGAATTAATGTGAAAGCTAATTAGCAAATTTCAATGTCGACTTTTTGTAGTAGTATTTATTTAGTCAAGCCATAGTGGCGGATTTCAGATATGGATATAGACAATGATGCACCGAAGGTTAGAGGCTTATCATGACATTGTCCTGGGCCAAGTAAATTGCCAAGTTCTGGTAATTTAACTTCACTCGCTGTCCTGTAGAGCCTACAGAGCAACCTGTACGCCCAACGAAAGGCTATAGTGTAGCAACATGGAGTTGGCACAGGGCTATAGACGAAGGGGTGGCTTACATGCAAGTAGGGCGACATGAACTAGACCTCGGGAAACAACGTCACAATGTTGGCGACACGGCCGGATTCCGCTAGTAATTCTCATTGAGTTTCCATTGCATTGTGACACAGGCTACTAGTGCAGGGGAAGTTGCGCTTGTTCACACCCTTGGTAACATGGCGCAGATTTGGAGTGAACACGCGGGCGCCGTGGACGCCCCTCCATTGAGCCGAGCGGCCGAGGCAGAATAGAGGGTGATCTTCCATGTCGGTAGGATATTTTACTCGCGCATCGCAACTGAACTGTATTGCATCAAGACACCATTTCTCTCGACTGCTAGGATATCTCTGCACTCGCACGAACCAAAGAAACCAGCTTCGTCTTTGACTCAGAAGCGCCACATCGATACAAAACTTTGGACGGGCCTATCGATAAGGCCAGGAGCCGAGGCACTGACGTCGTTACCAAGGCGCGCCTGGTTACAAACACCTACTAGCTTAGGTCGTCGCATCGCATTGTTGCGAGTTAACTATCCTAAAATCCATCCGACGGACTTCCACATTTGGGACACAGCACGCAGAGACCCAACTGTGACCGGAGATCCCGAGATATTCAGCTGGGGGCATTCTTAAGATCGGCGCAGCCCCTTGAAGGCGATATCGAGCCGTCACCGAGTCTCTTCATTGCGGGTCATCTTCACAAGCCAGTGACGGAGATCTGGTGTCTTCTGACTTCAGCTCACTGCGACCACCGTGAGGTATCGCGAACCTCTCTCACCGCCCTTTCTTTCGGTACCCTCCCATATCCAACTGCCCAGACCGCAGCGACGACACAATGGCGTCCGAACCCTCCACCCCGTCCAAAATCAACAACGCGCTACACTCGTCCTTACCAGCGCCAGTAGCCGACAAGCTCCCCCACATCCCGGAGTCCAAAGACGAGCTCAAGGCGGAGATAAAAGCCGAGGCCAAGGTCGCCGCCAGCAGCGGGCTCTCGCAACTGCGGTCGCTGGCCGCCGGCGGCTTCGGAGGCGTCTGTGCCGTCGTCGTGGGCCACCCCTTCGATCTCGTCAAAGTGCGGCTGCAGACGGCCGATAAGGGTGTCTACAGCAGTGCCATCGATGTTGTTAAAAAGAGCATTGCCAGAGATGGCCTTCGGAAGGGTTTGTATGCTGGCGTGAGCGCGCCGTTGGTGGGGGTTACGCCCATGTGTATGTCTACGTTTTCTACTCTCCTTTACTCTTTCCGCCCCCAGCAGAGATTCCGTGGGAGTTGGGTGCTGATATGTGTAATGTGGCACAGTCGCTGTCTCCTTCTGGGGCTACGATCTCGGCAAACAACTTGTCACGTCCGTTTCCGCGCCCTCGCCCACGGGCTCCCTATCCATCGCCCAAGTCTCCGCCGCGGGCTTCTTCTCCGCGGTTCCCATGACCGCCATCACGGCCCCCTTCGAGCGCGTAAAAGTCATCCTGCAAGTCCAGGGCCAACGGATGAAGCCGGGTGAGGAACCCAAATACAAGGGCGGTGTGGACGTGGTGAAACAATTATATAAGGAGGGCGGCATCCGCTCCGTCTTTAGGGGGTCTACTGCGACTCTAGCAAGAGATGGACCGGGAAGCGCAGCATACTTTGCGGCATACGAGTACATCAAGCGTCGCCTGACGCCCAAAGACCCTGTGACGGGCAAGCCAAGCGGCGATTTGAGTCTGTTGGCCGTGACATGCGCTGGTGGTGCTGCGGGTGTGGCTATGTGGATCCCCGTGTTTCCCGTCGATACGGTCAAGTCGCGGCTGCAGACGGCGGAAGGGAATGTGAGTATTGGTGGGATTGTGAGGGAGATTTATGGCCGGGGAGGAATGAAGGCGTTCTTCCCTGGCTTTGGGCCGGCGTTGGCGAGGGCGGTGCCCGCGAATGCGGCTACGTTCTTGGGGGTGGAGTTGGCACATCAGGCCATGAATAGGGCATTTGGTGGTTGAACGGGTGTGGAGCTTGGTAGAACTGGTGGCAAGATCTTTACATAGACCTGAGGAGGCGGCGTAAACAAGTCTAGTTTGACTTGAGCTTAGGGTTCAACATTCGAAGAGTCGAACTTGGGCGCGCAGGTACATCTTGTAACCCACCTTCATTCGTGCTATCCATCGGCCATGTATAGTATCAGAATACCGGACTACTTGACGTAAATTAGAGCAACACATACTATAACTTGAAGTTCGAGATAGCTACAATGGTGGAATTTTCGTACTAGCAGTCTACGCCATCTTGATTGAAGTAGCAATATGGCTAGTGTATATAATTGGCCTGAATCAGATTCGTTCATCAAACCAGACTGCACCCTGACAACTACCAGAAAAGCTGCTTCCCAAACTTGAGATGACGACAGGGAAACTAGTCAAGGCAATTACTGGGAACCATTCGCCCCATTCTCAGGGATCACGGTACTTACGATTGGGAGATATGTCTACAGATGTTTAACACATATACTCTGATGCGACTAGGGGATTTAACCCCATGACTACCATAATCAAGTTCAATCTTACTCAGGGATAGGGACTCGGAGGGGGGAGCCTTGATTTTAGGAGGCTGGGGAGGCTAGATGTGAGTAGCACAGCAATTAGGAGGCTGGGGAGGCTGGATGTGAGTAGCACAGCAATTAGGAGGCTAGGTAGGCTGGGTGTGAGTAGCAGAGCAATTTTAACCCACCCAGAGGGATGGGGACTCGAAGGAAGGGGGTAGCCTTGATTTTAGGAGGCTGAGAGGCTCGATTTTAAGAGCAGCAATTTAAACCAAACCCTAGAGGCTGGGTGTGAGTAGCACAGCAATTTTAACCCACCCAGAGGGATGGGGACTCGAAGGAAGGGGGTAGCCTTGATTTTAGGAGACTGGGAGGCTCGATTTTAGGAGCAGCAATTTAAACCAACCCTAACCCCTCCTCCGAGTCCCTATCCCTCTGGGTGACTTTCTCTTTTGAATAGTATTGGCGCACTATACTCTCACAGAGACCTCGCAACGGCAACAGGAGAACCAGTAGTTAGTGGGACTATTGTAAGGTGGCTGCTAGGGACGGGTCGGACAGCTTCAAGGCCCAGATAGCATCGATCTTCTCAGGGGGGACTTTGTTGGTAGGTTGAGAACCAACGTAGTATGGTAGTGAACGCAACGCAGTCGCCAATAGGGCGAACCGACGACGCAGCGTATGTATTTAGTCCAGCCTTTAGGGCACGGTTTGACATACGGGAGTACTAGTCGAGGTACCGGGGGCTTCGAGCCTACGGCGTATTTAATAATAATAGTATTGGCTTTTCATTGGTAACCTATGGCGGGAATTTTTCTGATCACGCAGGCAGTATCTGAGGTAATCTGAATAAGCCGTATTCTCTCCCCAAATCTCCGTTTTGCCTCTGAAAGCTCTAGGACCTGCTTTTTGGCTGACCAAGCTGACGAAGCTGGGTGGCAATGTCCCAGGCGGAACACAGGAAAAGGTGTATACACCATCAAGAAAATCTGGGGACCAAGCATCGAGGCAACCTCACCAACCTCACCATTCCGTTGAATTAGTGATCGAATTAGTAAGCCAAATAGCCGCTGGGTTGACCAACTGACCACCCACCGTGGATTGGGTTGGGTTGATGACTGTATGGTTGTTATAACTGTCAAGAAATGAGGCTGTTGTCAACCTCGCTGGGGGATTCCATCGAATTTGATCTATTGGCCAAGCTATTCGACCGCTCTATCGTTGTTTTCCGCGTCGTCCAGTGTGAAGCAGCCAATCTTGTACCGGATTCCGTAGATTCGATGAGTTGAAGTCCCCGAGCCCCAATTTCCCGGCCGGTATGCCGCGTCTTAACCTCTGGTAGTCCGATAACCACCTTCTTCGGCCGATGAGCTTAGATCGAAAGAAAGCGGCGATTCCATAATTAGGGAGATTGTTGTGAGATGTCTAGCCGTTAAATGCTTGGTGGATGACCACAGAGCTATGTGACAGCGACAACTTCACCATCTCACAGTGCTTAGTGTACTCTGTAACGATCCTCTAGCCTATGTTCCATGCCGAGAGATGACCACCTTGGATCCGGACCGATGGCGAAAGGTAATAGGACATATCAAGCAAAGTGGCGTCCTATACTGTCAGGGTACGGCTAGGCCGAAGGCAATAGTACAGAGTGATGGGGAGTAACGGGCGTCCCTCCTACGTAGCACCGGGTGGTCACTGGCGGTCTCAGGTAGGGGTGCCCACGATGATGCATTGATCTCTACTCCTTCCCTATCCTACTTCGAGATGGTCCTTATATAGATAGCTAGGCCGCCGCTTGGACCCGGCATAACAGCAGGGTCGGCGATGCCGAGGATCTTGACTCTCGTCATCCCAAAGCTTCACATAAATTGTAATCATGACTCGGGAGTCTTTTGTCCGAAACACCCCTCCGGCGCCCCACCGGTGTCTTGCGTTCAGTGTCCTGACACCCACCGGTGCCTATGGCATTCTGTTCTCTGACATATACGTCGATAAACGGCCTATTGCCGTCGATAACTCGCTGGGCAAGAAGCTACAGGAACCCCATACGATCGAACGATGCGATGAAGCCATATGCGATGGATTGCTCACGTGGATCTAGACTAGCAGGTTAAGTGAGAAGTGGCTCTTAATCGATTCGAGCGGCGCTTTCTTCACTAAACGTTCTATACGGTATCTAATAGCGCTTTCAGAGAAGGACTAGCCGCGAAAGTACTTCAATAGGTGCTCTTTGGCCTCCTGGGGCACCAGCATAGTATTAGCAGAGGCCTGGCGAGATGGCGATGCCACTGAAGTTGACGCTATGGGGTTTTGGTGCGCCATAATGCGAAGGGAGCGATTCAAGCGCCAGAAGATGGCCGAGATGACAGTAAAACTTCAATATACTGAGTACTAGCAGATTTTCAACCTTCAGTGTCCTACAGGGGGTCCTGCAGACCGGAGCCTCTGTTATGTGTCAGTTACTAAAAGTAGGGCCCCTACCGCTATGGCCACCATAATCCAACCAACATCAGCAACACCAACCAAGTTCCCAAATTGGTGGGTTGTGGTTGTTCATCAACGCCAACCCTGGCCAATCAGGTTGACTTAGTGAGGTTGCCTCGAGGCTTACGGTGGACCGAGAAGATAGAGCTGCTCTTCTTCGCTCCTTTCACTGACACTGTGGTACTGATGGAGGATATTCTCCGAGTGAAAACTTAGCAAAACCGAATTCAGTATTGTTACTTGATCACTTGAGTGAAAATTTGGTATGTTGACTTCCTGCTGTTGACATATCCCTTTGTCGGGCAGGAAGTTCATGCCTTGAGTGAGTTGGAAGGAAATACCAGTCTCTTTTTCTACTGGGACGGGATCCTCCGCGACACGGTTGATCATCTTGTGGCCAAGCACTGGAAATACGAAACAAGCATGACGCCCATCAGGCCTAGTTAGCTATGTATGCTCCAGAGGCGCGAATACATAATTGCTTTGCTGTTCCTTCATAGTAGAATCAATAAGAAGACCCATGGCCGTCAGCTCTGCATGGTGCTTCAAATCTTCCATGTTGAGGCAGGGTTGCCAAAAGTAGCCGTATCCTCACAGTTTGGAGTTCCACTGAAGGAAAATGCCCGATCGTCTCATACCGGATGTGAGCTATCCACAGTCGAAACTTGAGCCTGGCGTTTTTTCATCCTCACCTGATGCTGGAGATTGTCCCGATAATGACATTCTCTAGCAAATAGGCGATCGCATGGCTTTGGGGTGAAGGACGCCCTGATACGGAGAGAACATAACAGGAATATATTCTGCAAGCCATTCGAAACCACTACCATCAGCAGTAACTTGTTAGTCTATAAGTTGGAGACTATCCTTCAAATTCTGGAAACAGCGATCAAAGGAAGCGATGTCTTCGCACCAGACAGCAACGACTTACTATAGTGCAGATGCAAGTGGGACTAAGCCATACCATTTCCAGCTAAGCTCACTGTAAGATGAACTAGCCCCACAGAAAGATTTTACAACTTTACATAAACGCCCAAGTTTAACAGTATTTGCAACCAACCAGAGTTAAACGCTTGTCACAATCTGACAAATGCCATTCTCGATTAGTATAGTGGTCAGTATACGGGCTTGTCATTCACATCCGTGATGCGCAATTACGCCCGGGACCCGGGTTCAATTCCCGGATCGAGAGCTCCATTTTTGGCTCGCCCTTCTTTCACCATACTTTTTTCCCTCCTTGCGTAGACCGACCGATCTCCGTGTTAAAATTGTGGGGCGGCTCAATTCTGCCTTCTCCAGGCATGACAATTTCAAGGAGTTGTGAGGGACAAGATCATATATTGCATTCAGACATGTGCGACTTGGCTTGCTACTGGAGAACATGCATTAATTACTAACTAGGCGGTTCATCCAATCTTTTGCTTCCGATTCCACCGCTAAATGACCACGCTGTATGCAGAACTCCTCCAGGTACCTTGCGGTTGTAGAAAGCAATCCCGAAACGGCATCATCTCATAAAATATTATCTGATACCATGCGTATTTGTTACAATTCCCCGACTAGGGATCTTCCCTATCGGCGTATAATAGAGAGTTGAGTGGTTGTAGAATTAATTCGTCATATGTGGTTTTGAAAATACTGAGTGGGTCGTTCTTGTCCCAGTGCCAACCTCGACGTGCAACGAAGCAGTCGACAATGACACAGGTGCCTAGGAGTCCAGGCGGAACGGGCCAACGAAACATGGAAACGGGGCATTTCAACGTTCGTTGACTGTCCACCGCCTCTTCTGTGCCGTGAAGTCGCGCAGCCGCTCTGCATCACCGGGGGGTCTCGGACTGCCCCAGAGCCCACTCGTCCCGACTCCAGCCCGCATCGCGGGACGAGAGCTCTCATCGAATTTGTTCTTCTCTTCATGTATTTCTTCATGCTCCCAAGTTGGTATCGCCGAACTATCCTTCACCTTCGTATCCGACGACAAGACTGGCGGATAGTTGTTCTGCTGTTCCGACACTAACACAGGTGTAGGCTGTGGTGCTTTCTTGACTTCCTGCTCGTGGCTCAAGTTCAGGATTGTTGGCAGTTCGTCCTCCGCCTTTTCATCTTCAGGCTCCAGTTGCGGTTGCCAGAGGCCGACACTACCGGCTCGGTGCGATCGGGTGCCATAAGCAAAGCTCGTAACTCCGCCGCCGACTGTGATGCCCCCTTTGTCTTTAGCAGTAGCTAAAGGCGATCGGGTGCTCAAGGCCGGTGCATGCGATGACCTTCGCATACTTCCAAGTGAGGCATTGACGGAGTGGCTGCGATTGATTGACGAGGACTGACCGTATTGGGGACCCAAGTTGATCTCTCGCAATGCCGAGGCAAGGGAGTTGGTAAGTCTGCCGTGTGCACCACTAACGCCGCTGATACTAGCCGACCTGCTGATACGGGGAGTCGTGCCGGCTGAAGGATGCAGATGATCTGTGTTCGCAAACAACTTCAACTCATAAAGATCCGACAACAACAAATTTCTCCGGGTGAATGCATCATCGAGAGATGACATCGTGTTGTTGTCGACCACATCGACGGCGTCATCAAACTCAGGTCTCCTCCGTGCCACGGTAAGTGAGGACATAGGAACATCGGCGAGAACTGGCTGGTTCGTGATGCCGCCGACAAGTGCGTTGCAGCCGGCGCCGTGGGATACTAGAATGACCACGTTCTCAGTCTCGATATCCTCGTCGTCTTCGATAGCGCAGCTCTCTGCCTTGCAATGACTGCGAAAACTGAAGTGAGGAGAAGTAGGCGTCGTGGTGACCATCTCTCCTGGCTGATCGGAAGTCGCATACCAGTCCACCAGACGTTTCAAGCCCTTTCTGAAGCGCTGATGCATACCAGCCCACTCCTCAGGGAGCGAACCACCATCTCCCCAGGCAAGCTCCTCTCGCGTCGAGTCCCATTGATAATCGACCTCTACGCACGCGTCCCGAGCGTGAGCGACATATCCTTGGGGAATAGGCTCAGTAGTCGAGATCGCATACGACGGGATGGGCGCTGTATATCCAAGAGCCACGGCTGGATCGGAGAAGGATGCCCCGTGACCTCTCTTCCAATCTGGCGAACCATTTGTCTTCCCATTACCGTCTCGTAAGATTTCTCCTAAGCTGGGTAGACTCTCTAAAGGTGAAACTGGTTCCGCTGATTCGACTTTGTTCAGGGGGCTACTAAGCCGTGGCGAATTCCAGAGATGACTTGGAGCAGGTGGCGCGGGCCGGGTATGGAAATGTGGATAGGCATTGTAGTTTTCCTTGCGCAGCAGCTCGGCCTTCGCAGTCACCATCATTAAGCTCGATCTCGGCGGTGGGGTGATGTGTTCGAAATAATCAGGAGACAGCCATTCGCCCAAGAATGGGTCTAGACGTAGGATCGCCTTCTCGAGGTTTAGAGGCTGCTGCCAGGACTGTGCGGAATCGACGTCGATCGAGATGGCCGGTCGCGTTTGGCTCGGAGCCACGTTCGAAAAGGACGAGGCATGGCCGACGATCCGTCCAAATTGTTGCGATGCGCTCGCGAGCGACGGTGACTGTAAGGACGGATTCGAGGCTAAACCGGCACTGATGGCTACAGAAGTCTGGTGACACCGAAGAAACGGTGAGCTGTGGATGATGACTCGATAGCGGCGCGCCTTGCTCGGCTTCGTGGCGTTCTTATCCGGCCCTTCCGCTTCCTCGTCAGCCTCGCCTTGGACCTCCCGCTCTCGCAGTATTGATGCTATTCGTGCGCCGAGAATTTTGGACTGCAGCCATCCTCCGTAGGTAAGCGGCGGATCGTACGGGGTGGGAGAGGAAATATGCCACTGTTTGTCGGCGGCGTCAAGGCGGTTGCCATGCCTATTTCAAATTAGCAAAAAATTATGCACACAGCTTACTGCAAGGAACCAACCTAACGACGAAGATATACGCCGGGGGGCGTCCCATGGCGTCTGTCCGGTCCTCGTCGGCGTTGAATAGCAGCCTGCTGTGCATTCAAAAGCCGATATAGATACTGGTTGCACACACAACCTTTGGGTGATCAAGGAAGATCCAAGATCATGCTGATGGGAAACAAGGGACTACTACGTAAGAAGGCGACGTTGAACTCTAGACCCGGGCGGCTTCGTCTGTTTCAAACGCAAGGCAAAAACCTTGGTTATTTCATGACGGAAAACTCAGGCAGTCCGGAACTTTGCCCGCTAAGAAGCGCGAATTAGGTTCCAGTGGAGAAAAAGCAGTTGTGATCGTCAACGATTACAGCGATGAATTCGCTTACAAAAGCATCGCAAACAGGACCAAATGGCCGATACGGACCGGACAAGGCGGGGCAGTTAGAACGCGAACATGACGGTTCTTTTCACCGTAGTCGGAAACGGTCTAGACTGGCGGAGAGCTGTTGGCGCGCCTAGAGGACCGTTTTGCTGATTGGACATGTGATTAAATGGGTGATTAGATGGGGAAGCACAGAATGGAGAAGAGAGTGGGGAACGCCATCGCGGTAATTGTGAAGTGACAGTGTGGTTGTTGACGGTGCTTTTTTGAAATCTTTGACTGTGAAGGCTGCCTCTTAATGGAACAGCGCCATCAAAGCTCGCAGCGCTGTATTAGTTGTTTGGTCGATACTTTTTTCCCCATTTTGCGGGAGACGTGGCTGTAACACTGCAGCTCATCAAACCCAGGGTTCCTTCCCGCCTTACTGCGACCTTTCCTAATCTGATGTCCTGGGGAGATATATGTAGGGTATATTAATCCTGGTCCCTGTCGTCCTCGCACCCACTTTCAAGGATCTGATCGACTCTCGGTGAGCTGGGCATGTGGCGTCACACCGAGAGACACCGTGTTTGGAGAGAACAGTAGCATCAATCGGACGTGACAAATCAGGTCGCCCCTGGGCCTTCGTCTCCAGGGCCGCATCGCCTTACTGCCTTCAATCAGCCAACAACATCACCACGCAGCTGTGAAGGAGTTACATCAGTTGCCGACCATGAAGCTCTCAAACATATTGCAGCTGCCAGTTCTGCTTGCGTCGACACTTCTCGCGCCGGCCCCTCTCGTGTCCGCAGAACACACGAGCAACTGGGCAGTCCTCGTGGGCACATCGCGATTCTGGTTCAACTACCGGCACCTCGCCAATGTCCTCTCTATGTACCGGACAGTCAAGCGACTGGGCATTCCGGACTCCCAGATCATCCTCATGCTCCCCGACGATATGGCTTGCAACCCGCGAAATGCCTTCCCTGGCACCGTGTACAGTAATGCCGATCGAGCGGTCGACTTGTACGGAGACAACATCGAGGTGGATTACCGAGGGTACGAGGTGACGGTGGAGAACTTTATTCGGCTGTTGACGGATCGCGTTGGGGAAGAGATGCCCAGGAGCAAGAGATTGTTGACGGACGACCGGAGCAATATTTTTGTGTACATGACGGGCCATGGGGGAAACGAGTTCCTCAAATTTCAAGACGCTGAGGAAATCGGTGCATTCGATTTGGCCGATGCATTCGAGCAGATGTGGGAGAAGCGAAGGTACGTTCAACCACCGCGACGTGCTGCCATCAACGGCTAACAGGCAATGCGACAGATATCACGAAATCCTCTTCATGATCGACACGTGTCAAGCGAACACGATGTACAGCAAGCTCTACTCCCCCAACATCATCGCGACGGGCTCATCGGAGCTCGACCAATCTTCATACTCGCACCACGCCGACAACGACGTTGGCGTTGCCGTCATCGACCGCTACACGTACTACAATTTGGAATTTTTAGAGACAGAGGTACGAGACCTGAGCAGTAAGAAGACGGTCGGCGATCTCTTCGACAGCTACAATTACGAGAAGATCCACTCGCACGCCGGCGTGCGATATGACCTGTTCCGTGGTGGCGCCGAGACAGCGCGCGGCCGGCTGCTGACGGACTTCTTTGGCAACATTCAGAATGTCGAGGTTGACGGTGCTAAGAACACCACGGTTGATGAGGAGATGCTGGCTCTGAGCAAGACCATTGCGCAGCTGAGAGAAATCGCAGATGAGGAAGAAGCCGCGGCTAGGAATGCCAGCAAACCACAGAGTGCTGAGACAAAGCAGCAGAGGAAGGTTCAGTCGACAAAACCCCTAAATAACGACAACTGGTGGACCAAGAAGCTCGTAGGTGCAACGGCTTTAGCTGGATGCTCGGCTTTGTGGGCATTGGGGTCGTATTTGGAAACTCCGAAAAAGACGAGTCCATCATAGTTTTACTTTCAAAGACGCATATGCCGTTGCCATCTTCCCACATGTGTAAAAAGAACCAACGTCCCTCCACAGCAACAAAAAAACCAGACCGTGTAATGACTTCGAAGAGGGTAACGCTTGCTCCAGTCTGGGTGCAGAATGGATAGATCAGGGTCTGCTCCCGCATATCATTAGGACCGTGCTAACAAACAGTCTGCAATGACAACGGCACTGTACCAGTATCAACCACCCCCACTTGCAAATTGCTCCAGCGCGCCATACCCTTGATAGTTCGTAAAGGCCCTTGAGAGGCGGGGCTCTACTACAGGGTTCTTTAGGTGTTGCACACTGGGAGACCGCAGGTTGGATTGATACCAATCTGAACCTGTCGTGATTGTATACTCTCTGGCAGATTCTTAGATTCCCAAGGCCTTGTCGTTCTACGAGGGCAAGTTCAGCGTGGGCTTAGACAACCAGCATTTCGTTTTCGCGCAATGACTTCTCGACATAACAGCAGTCCGAACAGCTTCCCATCTCGATGGAATTGACGCTCACGGAGTCGGTCTTTTCTTATGCGCTGCAGAGCTTTCCTCGCCCGTTTTCTGAAGGCAAGCCATGGCACCTGAAGATCATAGTCACATCCTTCCACTCGAGTCATTCGGCCTCAGCGCCGTTCCCCTGACCACTCACAATATAGTCTGGTCACCTGACGCCGAGCTGGCCATTGGGGCCGATGATTGCATCTATCTTTATCTTCCCGAGTTTCCCTCCAGTGGGACGACAGCATATGGCAGCTTCCGTGCCGACTTTGAGACGCAACGGCAGTACCACGAGATCACGTTGCGCTTCCCTACCATTGAACTACGGCCGCCGGAACTGAACCAACCTCTCTTCGACGCGGTCGGTCAGGATTTCCCGGATTTTCCTCCTGCTCATGGTGCGGGTGTCACCGTTGTGGCGAATATTGGAAGCTCTTTGAACCATGTTGTTGCCCTGGAGTGGTCACCAAACGGACTGGGTCGCATGCAGAGGTCCGTCCTTGGAGTCCTCACTGGCAGCGGTGCCCTAAATATCTACTGCGAAGGTATCACCGACGGCATTGAGACGACCAAGTTGAAGGGACGAAACGTCAGGGGGATCAAGTCTTGGGTCGTTGCATGGGGTGTTGGTGGCAATTTGTTGTTACCAAGAGCAGAGGGGCAGCGGTCTCAATTTTCGAGGGAGTATATCACGTCCTTTGCCTGGTCTAGAGAGATCGACGGGCACGGAGCTCTACTCGCTTACGTGAATGACGAGGGCGAGATCACAATTGTTGCTGTTCAATCAGAGCACAGCGCTGTCGGGAGGGAAGGCGATCCAGGCAAATGGCGGGTGGAAGAAGTTGGGAGATTCATGGGAGATGGGCCCCATGGCAAAGGACATGTAAGTAAATTCTTACTATTACTCCCACGTCAGGGAGGAATTCTAGCTGACAGGTTGTAGCCATCGGATCCCGACTACACGCCATGTGGTTCTTCATTCTCCTTACGTTGGAGCCCATGGCTTCATAAGGGGTTCAACCGGATATGTATGCTCTCCTACGTAACCAAGAACTACGTCGGGTTCCGACAGATTACTATTGCGGGCAAGTGGAAGCATATGGAGACTCCCAGGGTTGAGGTTCAGACAGATTCTAATGGAATATGTCTGTTCCTCGCTCCGGATGCCTTTGTTACCTTCGAAGACCTGGTACGTTGTCTTGTCGCTTCCACCATATGTCTGCCTTCATCAGTTAACCTTTATCTAGGTATGGACCATTGGGGGGTCCAAGATGTGCCGAGGGATAATCGCAACTCCCGCGAAGGTGCAATCATTCCAGGTCGCCCTTGACAAAGCTCCGGACAAGGACACGATCCGACATGAAACCGATGAATGTGACACCACATATCCTCCCCAAGATGAAATCGACGGGGCATCCAACCCTATTACCGGCCTGATCATCCACCCGCCAAATCTGGCACAATCGACGCTAAGCCCCTACTTTTCTCTCACACGTCTTTCCGCTACACCCAACAACACCAATTGGTATCAAACCAACCTTCCCGTTCCATCTAATATTAAGACACCCAATCCGAAACCCCGATGGGCAACCGAAATCTCAAGACTTACGGAAACCAAACTCCCTATCCCCTTGGCCCACCGTTCCGCGAAGCCAGATGGCACTGGTTCTGACGACGGAGCCGACGACATGGACGACGCCGCGGACGGAATTGGCGACGGCGGAATATTTGTGGACTCGGACGACGATTTCGATTACGACTCTGGCGAGGAATATGATAAGAGCGCGTTCCTGGAACAGATGAATAATGCAAATAACTACGACGACGTCGAGAAGATCCACACGACTCGTGTTCGAGTCTGGGGCATGACAGCCAGTCCAGGAGGAGGCGTAACGGCGGTTTTCATCACGATTTCAAGCGCCATCAAACCCGAACGCACCACTTTCGGGGGCTTGCGGTGTCGCGTGCTGTTTGGGCAGAACTTAGCACCCATCGACGCGAATCTGGCTGCCGTGAAGAAGCTCAGTACCGAGGCTAGGTTGTGGGAATGGATGTATGGCGGCGGGGCTCCCGTGCCAGGTGCTAGTAGCCCTGAGGCGGGCAGTCATGCAGGTGGGCAGGTGGTGAGGGGGAAGTTTGAGGATATTGCCTCGACGAAGGTGTGCGTCTTTTGCAGGAGTGCGCTGAAGGCGCAGGGGAACTCGTCACGATGTCCTAAGGGCCATGTTTTTCGTAAGTGCTATATTTTCTTCACTGGTGTCGAGAGGTTATAGTGGACTAACCTTTTGTGTCAGAAAACTGCGCAGCTACGGGGATTCCGATCACAGAACCTGGTACTTCCACTACCTGTGGTGTGTGCGGACGTAAATGTCTGAAGCCTGAGTATTTGCAGAGTGTGGCGAGTGACTTGATTTCTTTTATAAAGAAGGAGATCTCGAGCGAGTTGTGTGGTGGGTGTGGAGGCAAGTTCTTCAACTGAACTGTTGTCATTTCGATGTAGTAGTACAGGGAATTGTCCGCACACCCGATGGTTCCAGAGCTACGAGTGACAAGTACATCTTAGAGGCTGCGAAATGATAGAAGGTGTACAAGGAAAATAAATGTACTAGTCCTAGAGAAGCGACGGGTTTTGGAGAAACATGTGTTACTCCGTCATTACAGTTAGGTGTGAACTACTGGGCAAGGCTGACGTTAAAACTCGTGACGGCCCAAATTGGACAGTGCCGGCAATGGGCTGCACAAGAGGGGGTCCTGATGCCCATAGTCCCATGGCCTAGACGAGGCAGAGTCTAGAGGACTTATTCTTCTACCTATATGTGTTTTCGTGCCCTGGCTCGAATTCCAGATGCCCGCATCCACACACACTTGTATGATTGTGACTGTATTTAGCCTAAAGGATAGAGAACTTGAGATGTTGGTGCCAGCGACTTCCAGGCTGGACGCTAAGTTGACAGATCAGCTTGATCTTCGAGGCGAACACGTAGCTATGCCTAGGTGTAACCCCATCCCTATCAGAGCCTTACGTGGCCCACAGCCTTCCCACTTCCTGACTGGCTCGACTAACTCGAGAGATTGAATCCTGCGAGTTGACTGGACGCCGTGTAACGTCAACTTTCTGCATTAGCTGGCGAAGAGGGTTTCCGTCGGCGTGGAGGATTGATCAGAAGGACCTGAGGTGTAGCAGCTGCCACATTCAGCTTTTTCCATAGGGTGTTGGAGGTCAGTTGCCGTCAGTATGATTGCGTGGACATAACCTACTGACATCTAAACCCTGGTTACCCGGACTGCGATGAGTTGATAAAACCAGGCTCTGGCACATTCATGCTTACAGGTGGCAGAGTCTGCATGAAGTACTCTCTCATTGGTGGCTATTATTAGGGGTCAAGGAACCCGCAACGGGTGTGTCATCTAAGGTATATGGTGTTTCTCGAGCGTATATTAAGCCAGTTTCCAGCTTTCCTCTCTATTCGCGTTTTCTATCTTTGCTCCAAGCCAAAACCCAAAATTCCAATTAACTTATACTCCACATGGAATAAAAAACGAAAAGAGCCAGAAAAGAGCCAGAGAATTGGTCCTTATACGATTGCTCGCTACTATACCATGCGCCGCTGATGATTTCCACGGTATCGCGTACTTTGGTTAGTCAGACACGGAGTTTGGATCGATAAGGCGCGAAGTCAACATAGAGGTGTCGCCGGTCAGATCGTAGAGACCAGAAAGACCAGTAGCCTGTGTATGAAGCATAACTGTCTCCGATGAATAAAGTGGTGTTGAACTTGGCTTGTAGGTCCGCCCTGATAGGGGCGAATGCTGCCTCAGCCTCGGCCTGGTTTTTTCCCAAATTGTCCAGAAGCCAATGAGTGTAGCCTGACGTCGCATGGGCAACAAGAACTGTCGGTAAGTTCTGAAACCAATAGGCATAGCCTGCGAAACCTGTTGGCACCCAGTTTTAACTATAGTCAATTACACAGAGTCTGAAGTTGCAAAGGTATATTGGGCCGCAGACATGGAGGCTCACCCACTTCTCTGAAGCGGAAAGGAACACAAGAAAATAAGAGTGACCGCCTAGTGTTACTTATCAGCATCGTTGAGGCCAGGGTATGACTACAACATTACTGCCACGGCGTCTAGCAGGTGCGAGTTGTTGAAATTCTGGGTGTTTGAAAAGGGCACACTGGTAAGGTGGTGTGTAGTAATCATGTCGACGTTGGGTGCGCTTGAATAGTTGTGCTGAGTACGATACCGTAGCCTGGCCCGACACCACGCAGAGCCCTGCAAAGATCCGTGCTCTTACAGTAGCTGGCAACGGAAGTACTCCCATCAGCGAGAAACAACTCAGCTTCAAGGAACTGGTCTGCACCAAGACCATAATTGCGGGTCGCTGGACCATGACGACCCCTAGATGGCAACCGCCGGTAGCTCTGCGTGATCCTGCACCGCCACCTACGACGATGGCATTGTTTGCCTTTGCCACTTTGTAAAATCTATCCAGCTCTCGGCGTTAATAAGGGCTACTTGATTCATGGCTCAAGAGGACACGTTCCCCCTGGGAATCAGCAAGAAAAACAAGAGATAGAATTACTCACCTCTCCATTGCCAGGCCTCATTGATGTGGACAGCACTCCATTCCCAGTACGACTTCGTACACTATTTCAGAACCAAAAATCACTATGTGCATAGATTCAGTCTCCCACTAGAATAGCCGCAAGGATACTGACCTTGTTGGCAGATGAGTAAGTAGGTTGGAAGTCAATGCTGTTCCTGTAGTACCGAAGCCAGATTTCCAGGCTACCATATCCATTTGACCGTCCCAGGAGATGGTGTCCAGTACTTGCTACAACAAGTCAGATATTGTTTAGCCGAGCGTATAGCATCTCCGAGATAATGTGATATCGGTTTGTCACGTTAGCAGCATACTTGGGGCTGATACCTAGGCAGCAGCATAGTTAACAGGCGCACATTTGATATTTTACAGCTAGGGCCTGCCAATTGGGTTTGACGTCCGGGAGCCCTGATGGGACCGCATGGTTGTGACGTACTCGTAGTCTGCCGAGTTGAAATCAGCGCCTGGGTAGCATGGTTCAGCAATGGGGTTAGTCTTGATCAGCCTGTCTCTGAGGAGCAGGTTGAACGTAGCCCATGAGACATTAGAAGGCCAGCGTTTGTCATTGGGTCCCTGGATCATAAGGTCAGGTAGTGATACGGATGGTCAGATTTGAGCAGATGCATACACATTTGCAAGAAGGGGTGGTGGGATTCACCTCAAGACGGTTGCCTGCGATGCCAGCCAAGAACAGTGGGAGTGCTGGAAAGATTTTTGTGACATGTATTTTAAATGCGGAGCGAACAAATAACACTTGGCCAAAAGGGGCTTATGGTGACTATAAGTGGCCTTGGCTCAGTGATCAGAATAATCAGCTCGATTATTTCGTATTCAGCGATCCTAGAGGCGATAGGCGACCGGGAATTGGCCGGGCTCAGCCGCCGCGGGTGCGATATTCACACTAGTGCTGTACTGCTATACATACCACGAAAGAAACATCAAGGATCAGGGAATGCAAACATTAGCATTGAGCAATTTTCGGCGCTTGACAGGGTACAAACTTGGCATGGGCACAACACATCCTGGGCAACACACTCTGGATACAATACTGCCACAGAAAGACGTGTTTCCCAAATGTGACATGTTGAGGAGAGGAGGTGATTCCTGCATGTCCAGACCAGTCGTGGGTAGATTAATATGCCTAAATTATGGATGTGACTACAACCAAAACTGTCTATCCCGATTATGCTCACAATATACGCGCATGCAGCAACACTTAAGAGCACCCTTTCCCTGCCCGGCTTTCGGTTTGAGTCTACCATGAGACGCACGTCCTGGATCGGTCATTTTTGGATCTCGTGTCTCAGTAAAATACCATCTCTTCGACCAATTGATTCACTGAGTGTAGAACTATCTAACAGACTCATCTAGATGGGCTCTATAAGTAGGTTTCAAATCTTATCGTTGCTTGAGACATGCATTGCTTGTGCTCCAAAATTTGCTAGGAGCCGATGTGTTATAGGCAGAAAAGAACACAGGCAAACATACTATGATCTTCTCTTGGAAGTGAGATGATCAAGTTGAGCCTGCACGCACCGTTTGAAGTTTTGCGTTTGGTCTAGAGTAGTAATAGACCGTCCTGCCGAACTGGTATCGACTAGTTCGTGGATCCCAAGGTCAGTCCAGACTGAGCATGCCGGACTTCAAGGTTGGCCATGATGGAATCACATACGCCAGAGGTTTGAGGTTTGATATTCCCAGGCCACAAGGCTATTTCCAAGACACGGGCGACCTGCCGGATTAGGATTGTAGCAAACATGCACAACTGTTAGGCACTGGGGCATCAAGGTCGACTGCATGACCCCTTGTTCTTACCCTTACTCCTGCGCTGCCTTTTTCTAAGAAGATACAGGGGTTTCCGGCAGTTTGCAGCTCGCTGTCACTTATCATACAATCTGGATCACGATCCACAATTGTATTGATTCGAGACCTAGTCAAGTTACTTTAAAGTTGAACAGTCCATCTGTTCACACCTGTGTCGATTTTACAGATTTTTGCAACCTAATAATTGAAAGACAAGGCAACTCAATTTTGTCAGTGGTCTACTTCGCACCTCCTTCTCACTCCACACGCTTGGCCTTATCCGCTACGACACCAATTTTGCGGGTCACCCACAATGGCAGACTTTGAGGCAGATCCCAATGTGCCGCTTCGGGGCTCAGCCTCTCACGTCAATGCCCTTGGGTTGACAGCTATAGTCTGGATCGGCTTCATCGTGGCGACGTTGTTCGTCATCCTCCGAATCTCTGTTCGATGGCGTGGCAACGGGAAGCTTGGCACCGATGACTACTGGATTCTGCTGGCATGGTCGAATCTGTTGACCATGGCCATTATACAAACACAGCAGATGGAGTCGCTTTGGTACACTGCGTATCTCATCGCCGAAAGGATCGCGCCCGACGAAGGTAACGTGTACCAGGCCGAGCAACTTGCCCGGTGGGAGTTCCCAATCATCCAACTCTTCTGGACAACACTTTGGTGCATCAAGGGTAGCTTTCTGGCGCTATTCTTTGGGCTTGTCAAACCAATCACGCTGTACAGGCGCCTATGGTACGGTGTCGTGGTCTTCACCGTGGGGGCCTATATTGGGTGCTGGTTGGGAAGTACCTTGACTTGCGATCCGCCATTGGATTATTTCAAACCTGGTCAGTCTTCGTCATGTCATAGTGTCTGTTGAAACTAACTAGCTCGATAGGGAAGTGCAATTCACCCAAAGAGCGATGGCTCACCTTCTTTGGTGTAGTCTTTTCCACCGCAGTCGACATTACATCTGACCTCATGATCATGTCTCTCCCCCTCGCGCTTCTCCCGAAACTACACCTCGAGATACGGCAAAAGGTTGGCCTTGGCCTCACCTTCAGTATATCCTGCATCATAATCGGCGTCTCCATTGTACGGCTGAAACAGGCCATCGTCGGTGAGATCGTGGACATAGTGGGGCTAGCCATATGGGGTGCAGTTGAAGCCTCGACAGCAGTCATCGTGGGATCACTTCCACCGCTGAAGGCATTCCTCAGCAAGGGAATCAAGGCGCACACTACGAAGAAGTCCTCCCAGAATTACGGCAACAGCGCGCGGCAAAACGAGTACAATAGATACTGTATTCTCCGGACAATTATGGCTCCCGCGTTGATACCGTTGCATGATTTGAACAAGAACAGACACAGTCAGTCAAAAGGAAGGATATGTATGCAGAAAACATACGACTTGCAACACCATATGAGACCTGTTCACGATTATGCATTTATTTCAAGGGATGATGACGAAGAAGCCGCCATCATAAAACATATGTGGGGTGGTTAGTTTGGGACTGATGGGTTGCTACTGAACCTGCTTCGATCGAAACTATTCACTGACTTTTTCCCAACTTGTTAGATGGCCGGAAAGTCAGCATACGACAGAAAAGTTTTCTGGCGGCTGACGGTTCTAGTTGACGAGTTTCTCAAAATGACTTTGAAGATGAGTTCAGACAGGTTATGTGGGATGCATCATAGTGTCGTGTGGTGCATATTTGCGTGTGAACGATCAATGTGGATGGTAGCCTGAAAGAGTTGGTATCCGGAGCACGGATCATCGAGAAGTTTTGGCTTTACATGTAAGGGTAATCAGTTTTGTATTCAGCTAATATCAATACTCATACAAACCAGTAACTAGGTTATATACTTATTCGTGAAAATGCTTATTGTCAGTCGTCTAGCTGAACCACGGCATAACGAAAGGTAGATATCCACATACTTGAATACATAACTACTTAGCCTTGATCCGTAGAAACACAAACTTCACTCTCTCAATAAAACGTTTATCCTTAGATCTACGAGATAATTTCATCAACCCAATCTCGATGACAATTGATCGACATGAGCTCATTTCAAATTCCCGCCGTTCACGAACATACACCGTCAGGGCATGAATGAAGGTAGTCAAACTTCTACTTCCCAAAAGAGAAAAAAAAGAATACAATATGGATTCCCTAATAGCTCGCGGTCGTCTGAATCAATCCTTCCAAATAATCGTCCCTAACGGCTTGATATGGTCCAACGAGGGCGACTACACCGTCACCACCACCAACTCAACACTTTACACCGAATTCATCCACAAGGGTTTCTGCGGCATCGATCCCACATTCACCAGTACCCTCGAAAACAATTGTGACGCCGCCTCCGATGCCGCCCTCCAAACTGTCATCTGGGTTGGCATCACGTGCGCCATCATCTGGGCCCTAGTCGGCTTCGCAACTGCCAATGAGATAGTCGATCGGTTCCACAAGCCCGAGGCCAAGATGAACTGGATCCTGGATGGCCTTTTAGGTGGATTCATAACCCTGGGCGTAACGCTGCTCTGCTTTCTAGCGGGGCCGTTCGCGGGGCTTGTGTTTCGCGTGCCGGAGGATGAGTTGGATGAGGCGGTCTTTGAGACATTGACGAGGTGTAGGATGGTAAGGATTTGCGCAGATATACCGGAGCCTACTAGACGCGGCGTGGAGCTGCGGAATTTGGAATCTGGGGTGCATGGTGACAATGTGCATGTGGATGGGGGAGCAAGCAGACGGGTCAGCAGTGATACGCCTGTAAGGGGTGGTCTCGGAGCGGCTTCGTCTTGTAGCGAGCCATCACCGTTCTACAAATCGGAGACTGCACCGCCGCCATATTCTCCATGATTTTCTCGAGTTGGCAGAAAGGAATTCTGTGCTTACAAGTCTCAATGAGTGTTTCGTGGATCCCTCAAACTACCAAACGCTAAGCTTCATCACCCTCCCAGCCGTGAAAACTTTCTAAGACGTGAATTAGGTTATCAAAGCCATTCCAGAAGTTACTTTTGACATTCACACTACTAAAAGAAATCATGAGGAATCATATTGGACTTAATGCCCTGAATAAATAATCTCCCTGAAGAGTCCGAAATAGTAACTGAGCGGACTTGACCATAAGTACCAGGAATAGGGGGTTCGACCGGTCCAATGGCTTGAAAAGCTGGAAAAGAATGAAATAATGGTACGTTGGCTGTCCAGGTTCTACAAATCGAGACTGAAAGATACCAAGGCGCGGCATAGACGGTTTGGATCACCCAAATAGTATTGGCCTTGAGTCCTATGGATTGAGTTTCGAATTCTTAATCGTTTTGTAGAAGTGGTGTCTATTTGAAACAATCATCCAAATTATTAGCTTCTGCCTTGTTACGTATACCTCTACCACCACTGCTTTGTTTCAACACACACCGTGGGCAATGCAGGAAAGAGAACTGTATTGTTTATGTTCATGGATATGGGACTGAGTCCCAGGAATCTGCAGCTACGAAAAGTATACTACTCGTGCCACACCCCACTTATCTCGGACTCGCTTGAGCTCACCAAATTAAGCTGAAATGCATTTCGTTCCAGTGGAGTGTATCTGACTGTCAATACTGTTAGCTTCGGCCGGTCGAAGATCTAGCAATCACCTAAGCGTGCGGTCTTCCTTAGATTCGATAGCGGCTCGAAAGACATTCTCAGCCATGGACATCGCAACATGGGCCTCTCAACAGAGGACCGAATCCCTCAGCACGCACGTAATGTACTTAATTTACTCACGTCTACAACATACATAACATCCCCTTTTTCCTTTAAATAAGTTGAAATAACACGCGCTCCTCGAAATTTAGGTGCGAGGATGGTTTGGCGAAGAATCCAGCCTGCCTGCTACCCACGGGGCAATTCATTTTCTCCTTGTCCATAAAGATCATGAAAAAGCCTCAGAGGAGACAAATGTGCGACAGTCTTGCGCGAATCTGACAGAGTTGGAAACGTAGACATCAAGACTCAAGCTTAGGTTTGCATCTTCAAACCTGTGTCTGGTGTAAGCATGAGCTCGGTAACACTGTAGGAATGCACCCACAGATGTGAAGATAGTTTCGGTTATAGTACTCTCGCTGCCAACAGTGGAAAGAATACTTCTGAATACCCCAGAGCAAGATCACTCAACAATCGCACGCATTCCCATCGAAGTTCTTGGTGCTGACAGAGAACTACCTTTTTCAAAGCTTTGGAAAGAAGTCTGACCTAAGTCATAATAGTTCAGCTGATAACGGCTTGCCGGGCCAGCTTCCATGGATTCAGACGGTGAGGAATCTGGAGTTGTGCCAGCATAAATATCCCAAATCTGGGTTTGAATTCCTCGCGATGCTGAATAGTAATGGTATATACGTCCAAGGTTCACATGGCTTTATTATGGATCAGCTGGACGGAGGCGGATGATTTGTATTGTCGTCGCCATGAAACATGTCTGGCACCTCACGTTTTACAGTCCATGTACTCTTGCCATTCTGGAGGACTTGTAAACCCAGCCTTTGAAGACTTATGCCCTGGATCTTAGGCGCCCGGCTCGCCTAGATATCCATCACGCTTCTTCTCCAATACTTACTTCACAACTCTACTTGCGGATTTATCCCTGAGTCAGTTTTAACAAGAACTCAAAGCTCGTGGTGAGTTCTGGATCTGTCCTGAATAGAGAACTCGCTACTTAAGTAATTTCCTTGCTACAGGGATCTTCTATCTCATGTGCTCACTGAAAGACCTGGTGGCAACGACAACGAAGAATAAATCCGCAGCGCAAATGCGAATCATGGCTAGAGCTGGCTCGGATGAAGTGGAACAAAAGCGTCCCCGTGTCCCCAAACCGGCTGATGTTTGAGAACGCTGTCAATGGGAACATTCTCCAAACTGGCGAACCTATTGGCGATTGATGACACAAGGATGTAAGACTCGAGGCAACTTCACCAACCTCACCGACCTCACCATCCCATTCCGTTGGGTTGACAATGGATTGGGTTGAGTTGGTGATTTTATTGGTTGGCCTGTAATGGTGGACGTGCTGGTATTATGTTACCAGTTACGTGACCCTTGCTTGGCCCTTTTTTTCCAAAACAAAAATCTCATTTATTATACTGCCCTATAGAAGCCTACGGTTTATGAAGACAGTAGGTTAGAAGACCCAAGGTATAGCGGGCTAAACTACCCAGTCCTTGTATTGCGAATTTGTAACCTCCGTAACTATTGTTTTTCCCTCGCACTACCAGCTTTCTGAACTTAACACGGAGGTTAAGTTCAATATCGGTGTAGGCTGTGGATTCTTAGTAGGACGCTCAACTCTACTAAATACTTTCCCCATCACTGTCGCGGTGGACATGCGTGGTGCATATGTGTAACAACAGATACAGACAGCAGGGGAGGCTAGGTACAATCATCAATTCCTAACGCCAGTAGTAAGGATTTAATGCCAACGGGCCATCATTATTTCACCCGCTTACCGGGGCAATCCTACTTCGAGTATCTTGTGTCGTCATACCACTGGCTTTTGTAACACTATAACCGCCGGATTGATTCGAACCAATTGTGCTCATCGCGATCCAGACATCAGTCTGGGTTACAGCGGCGTATGCACAAGCCAAGCTCAGGACCGCTAAGCTCAGGACCGCTAAGCTAAGAGTGGTCTCGGTCCCTTGCTTGGGACTAAGGTGTAACCAGGTCGGCAACCAAAATCCGGAGATTCGGTGGATTATGATTGTTCATCCACACCAAACTGGGCCAACCAGGTTGACTTGGTGAGATTGCCTCAAGACTTACAATATGAGATTCACTGACTCTGTGTGGATAGCGTATTGACTGGTGTGCCTACTCTGCGCGTTGTGCTGCGTTGGTTGCCAGAAGTACTATGTAGGAAGCTATCTGACGAAAATGTGAGGGGTCTGACCCCAGTAGCTACACTTACTGCCACACCACCTTCGGCATAGGGCATAACTGTGGTGCTAATCCCACACGTACTTGATAATTGAGACGCGGCTTTGGCAAAGCAGTCTCATATCAGTGTGACTTGCAAGGCAGCCGTTACACCAGCCTCTTCTGCTGTCCTATACCACGTCTTATTAGAACTCAATCACGTTGCTTCGACTTTTTTACGTTGTAATCTCAATATTTGCTTTGCCTTTGGTTGTTATGCATCATAATTAGCAGGTACCTTTACTCGTTAGCCGACACAAAACCGACCAACAAGCATCTGTACATTAGCTGCCCCGACAGGGAAGCGCCCCCGTCGAGCATATCTTATCGATTTATACATGCCCATGTTAAACAATCGTTATTTATCTGTTAGGGGGTACCACTTTGTATGATGACAAATGTTTAGGTTATATTAATAAGATGCCCCTGACAAATTTGATCTTGGTGAGCTTGACAAAAGATGTATCCTACCGTAAGAAGTTGGTGCCAGCATTCCGATAGAAGACTTGTGTATAAACCTTTTAGATTCCTGGCGATAGGTATGCTATCAAGTAATGAAGCAATTTCTCTACCACAATTGAGTTTTCTACAATTGCAGCAGTCATCAATCAGAGCATTGGTACCCATTGCCCGAATATCAGAGTCGTACCTTGTTCCCATTAAGCCGTGTCACAAAATTCCAATCCGTCGTATACTCAGTCTTCAGGCACGGAGATCAAGTAAGTCCGTCACGAGTTGTGGCATTGCATGATTCTGATTCAAAACTTTGATGGTGCTGATTAAGGACCCTTGGTCATGCTTCGGGAATACCTTGATGCTGAGCCAACGATCACCGAGTGATTCGTTGAGATGGGTTCATCTAGCAATACGACTACGAAGAAGAACAATGGCAAGGGCAAAGAGAGCAGAAAAGATGCAGCTGGTGAGCACCTGCAGGGTTCTGATAAGTCGTGTAACGGGAACAAATCTCATTGATTTCCAGATGGTATTTTCGAGACCCTGGGGGACTATGCTTCAATATAGAGATTGGAAAGGGGGACTTGGGATTGAAGAAAAATGGAAATAGGTGTGTATATAGCATGTTATACCTAGTACCTCATACTTGATTTCCCATACTTTCATATACTCTAAACGCACTTACATTCATTTGTAAGACATAGTAATGGTATTAGTACAATTTCTCCCCGTTGAATCATTTATATGGGTTTATCTTCTTATGATAGATTTGAACTCCATATCAGCCATAAATGCACTCAGAAAGTGAAATTCATGTTGAACTAGATCAACGCCAACCCACGTACGTGACTCCAACATAAAGTTGCAAATACTGGTAACGCAATAATCCCTCGATTAAGACATTTGTTCCAAAACATCTATTCCTAGAAAAGGCACTGCGTCACCGGTTGAACTCACGTGCAGAACCCCATCACATTTTATTCCGCCATGCAATCAGTCCCCTATTTTCCACCAGAAACACACGACCCGTACTTCTCTTTATAACAGCTACGCATGCATCATTATTGACCACTTTGATCCAAGCATCTCATCACCATGTTGCGCTTCGGCATCACAAATCTTCTACTTCAGCCTGTAGTCTGCATCTCGCCCGCTCTCGCAATTAATGAAATATACTACAAGGTCATGAGGGGTTGAACCCTTTTCGTGGCCCTATGGCGCACCAGCAAGGGTCGGATAAACTCAACCAACCAACCATCCCCCCTAAGTTGGTTGTCCAATTAGTAAGCAAAATGGTCGTGTGGTTGGACAACCAGTCAACTAATTTAGGCTAGTTCTTCCAGGGTCCATGATTTCACTAAGAAATGAAGCTATCGCTAACCTCGCCGGCGATATCCCCTGGAAACTTTTAAGCGGAGCTGGCTATAACGTCCTCTGTAGCCTCGTCCGGTTTATATCGCTAGTTATCTGGCCTTCCTCGTTTCTTTTCACTATCGGGTAGTTTTCTATTCGCTAAATCACAAATCACTCACTAGACGTACAGTCTAATCGCTACAGGCCCAACCAAAGATGCCGGTTTTCCACAATATCCTAAACCATGGACGAATACCGACTTGTTATTAAATCGAATCCAGGACTTTCCGCAAACCACCTGAGACTTAGCCAAGTCGCACTGTAGGAATTTGAAAGATTATTATTATTATTATTAAATACGCCGTAGGCTCGAAGCCCCCGGTACCTCTGCTAGTACTCCCGTATGTCAAACCGTGCCCTAATGGCTGGACTAAATACATACGCTGCGTCGTCGGTTCGCCCTATTGGCGACTGCGTTGCGTCCACTACCATACTACGTTGGTTCTCAACCTACCAACAAAGTCCCCCCTGAGAAGATCGATGCTATCTGGGCCTTGAAGCTGTCCGACCCGTCCCTAGCAGCCACCTTACAATAGTCCCACTAACTACAGGTTCTCCTGTTGCCGTTGCGAGGTCTCTGCGAGAGTATAGTGGCCGTGGTGCGATGGCGGCCCGTAATCGTTCCCTCGGTCCTTCCAACAGCCCGCAAAAGAGGATTACGTGCTCTGCCGTCTCAGGGGCATCGGTTTGAAGAAACCAGTCGTGTTCTCATACTGTGTTAATTTGAAAGATAATTTGCCGTTATTTACTTCTTTTCCAAAAGCTCTACAACTTTTCCAAACCGTTGGGCCGGTTGTCCCCCTATGTATATCAGTACTGAACCCGGAGGCACTGGTCGTTCCTTGATGTGTTTAGGGCCCTCATGGGAAAGTCCGCTCACTTTAAATTCAGACTCTTCAAACATCGCTTCAATTCAGCGCTTTATTCGCAACCAACAAGTCCGATATCTACCCCTTCATCCACGGACATCCTCGCCAACCAAATCCTCATGTCTCTGATAGGATGGAGAAGAACTGCCGGTTTTGTGCAACAGATTTTCCACCATATGCGGCTCCTCCTCATACATAAATGAGTTACATATCCATTCGCAAAGGATGCAAAAGCCAACCAGGGGAAGGAAGGGTGAGAAGACCACGCCAAGGGCTGTGTACTTGAGTCCTTTGGCAGCCAACTTCCCGAATCTTTTCATCAGCCGTTGAAATTTCTTATAAATACTCTTCAGTGATGTTTCTGATGAATTTTTGGAAATTTCTTTCGTCGATATGCGGTGTTGATTGCACCTGAGCTGGTAGCAGAAGGCCATAGCTTGTCGGCAGTCGTCGGGATCTGGAATAGTTGATTCGACCAGACGCTTCAAAAGTCGGCGCAGCTGGGACACCAATAAAGGTCTGCCTATCAAGACTTGTTTTATAATAGTTACATGTGGGTGATAGATTAACTCGAGGGAAAAAGGAAGCCCAGCACAGAAAGATACGGACAGAGTCCACTGTTTAGACGATTCAAATGGATTACCGGCCGATTTTCAAACAAACACAGCAAGGAAATGAACATTTGCCCAAAAATTGGAAGATTATCAATGGCTAAGAACCTCAGTGTTGGGGATCATTAAGTTATGTAGTACCTAGCTTAAGTTGTGCGTGACATCGTGGCTGCCCATTCATACCGTATGGTGGACCATGCTACTCACTTAAACCACTTGATGGAAAACCTTACTTGGGCCTGAAAATGTTTCCATCCAGCGGAATTCGTGACAATAAAAACCCTTAAATCCGGTTGGCACAACAATAAACAGGTTGTGCTAATTATAATCATTTCCTCCGCGACGGTCCCTTCGTCTCAATCTAGCTCATGGACATAACACACTCGCGTTCCCTGCGACTAATTCGCTTATATCTGTTTATCAACTTGAAGACAACAATAAGCAGCGCAAAGAATCCAACAACTGCGATTACGAGGAGGACCTCCTGCCAGTGTACCGAGATTCCGTTTCCGTAATGACAGGCGTGCCTGGGAAATCGATCCCTTATCAATGAACCGAGGCTGCAAAAGTCATTTTCGACAGCGAAATATCTAGATACGGAGTAAGTCTGATTTTACTATCCAAGGAACATTGATGGCTTCGTAGCGTCTCCAGATATCCTCATCGTGGGTGTATGCAGTGCGTGTTCCGTTCTCAGGGCACTGCAATAGGCCATATCTTATTAGGATCCATCCCAACGGCAAAGGCTTAATGTAACAGTACTGAAGCAGTGTCTAAATATTAGTACGGATGCTTTTGGGTGGGTAGAAGGGACAATATGCAGGAACAACGAATTCCTGGACACTCGGCAAGAGTTGGAAGGCTTTGACAACGTCCAACGTCATTTCATCTACAATTCCCAACGAAACAGCGAAGATTTGAGAGACTTCATGTTTCATACCCCACCACAAAAGCGAACGAGCCAATTTCCAGCAGAAAACTAAACTTTATCAAAAGAATTCCACACCAGCCTCCACGACACCTTCTATTTGTAGCCCGGTGGCAACGCCCCAGACATCATAGCAGGACCATCCATCTTGTAATTGTAAGACGGCGGCGGCATCGCAGGCAACATCTCAAGCTCACACCCATCCATCCAAATATCCACATCACCCCTTCTGTGCAGCCCAGCAAATATATTCGCCGTAACGCCTCGCAGCTGCTGCCGTCGTCTCCCCAGAAAACGCGGCCACCAATAGCACCCAAGCACAAGAAACGCCAGCAGTGCGAAAAATACCCCAAATATGACCATAATGCTCGGCAGATCCAACTCTTCCCATCGGGAGGCCGGACAGTCGTGGGTGTAGAGAGCTCGGAATTGAAGAGGCATTCTGCAGAAATCCGAGCCGACGGCCGCGTATCTGTGGGTTAGGCGATAGACTCTCAGCACAGTTACATATCTGGTATGTATGAGGAGACAGATAGGTGAGGGAATGTGCCGGACTGATTATTATGTCTTACTCGCTGCAGATTGTTCGGTTGCCATAATAGTATGGGGTATTCCTGCCTTGGTACGGTACGAGGACCATACAGAGTGCTTTGTTCGTATGAGGCATGGTTGTTTGAGGGCCGAAGGAGAGATCGATGCAGGTCTGGAATCTCACCCGACGGATGATTTCGGAGAGATTTGGGCTCTAAAAGGTTGCTTGCGTTGTCTTCAAGGGGAAGCTTGAGTGCTTAAATCAAGGTATACATTGGCAGTGGCGCTTGGGTTCACGTATGAGCGCGCATTTTCATCCCCTCTCGCACAGATTTCATAGTTTGGTCCGACATATTTGACAACTTCGAATGAGATTCTCCCTCGCTTGACTGTCATTGCCGACCTAGAACGGCGAGAAACTCCGCAAAGTTTGCAGATACACACTCAAGTATGTAAATATATATCATGATATCTTCGTCGTAAAAGTATTTCTCCCATTATTTAAGGGCGGAACTGTCATCGATGTGTGGACTCTGTATGTGACGATACAAATCATTTCCATTGCAAAATGTAACATTTTCCATCCGTTCGTACTGCATAAATGTAACCTGAGGTTGTTAAACGTCAATTGGGATGTTAATAATCACCGGATGCACTTTCCAGACTGGACTTCGCATGTACTTTTTCTAGAATCCGAGGAAACTGCATATCTGACACTTGCAGTTGTTCTCGTTAAAGACCTTTATTTGTGTTTTATGTTTGATTCTGCCATATTTCTCAGCATCGTTCGGCGAGCGTGATCAATCTTGAGTGATGGGGAGACTCGACGGCCATGAACGTATGATGCGGTGGTGTTAGAAATGCATTTGCGGCCGCAAGTTGCAATGGAAAGTGTCAATTCTGACAGATAGCCCGTGTTTCTACAGGCAAAGATTGTTCGTACAACTTCTGGAGATGTCAGCCTCGCAGGAATAGCCACTATAATTATATAGTAAGGGCGAAAGGCCCGAGAAACCATTTGAAGTAGCTCAAAGACACTCGGGGGGTTCTCTTCACAGCTGGACAATACACTCCACTCACTACAGCTTGTCTAACTAGAACCGCGCTTGCAAACAGAGCGTCAAGGATCAGCTAGAAGTCGTTTTTCGTGTAATGTGTGAAATGAATACCATAGTTGACCAACTCGAAGCCGAGCAGAAGAAAAGCTCCACTAGGAAGTTCGGACATGCGCCGAACTCGGGAGATAAAGACGACAAGGAGCTCGCGGGGTCGTGAATTCGGGAGGAATTAGCTTTCCGGATCTTAGTCACGCACGTGGGCTTGACGAGCAACACGAGAGATAGATTCCAAGTGGCTCAGAGGGTGGTACCGTACATCAATGAGAAGGTGAAGAGAGTACTATTTATTTAGATACTAAGTCATTATCGTAGCGCCGAAACTTATACCTTTGGGTGATTCCGATATTGATGCCCTGGTGTTGGGGTCTCAACCCGAGTGCGAGACGGCCACTTCGACCAAACCCGTCTCCAAGTCAACTTCCCGTGCCGACAATCTGAAGTGGAGCCATAACACAATTGCAGATGACACTGGGTCATGGCCGGTGACACGGGTTGGAGGATTCCGCAAATTCGACAGTGGTAAAGGAAATTTCAGGATAGTGAAACGGGGTCAGGCGGTCAGTAGGATATACCTACCACCTAACACACTGAACATACGGCTCCAGTACCCACAGATCCCATCTGTTGGTCTGATCAGACGAAGATCGTGGTACTGGTTGCAACAGCGAAGCTCTTGCAAGTCTTGGGCGTAAGTTGGTCGGATGTGCCTCTGCGACTAGCGACGGGACAATTCACAGAATAAAACGTCTGGCTCTGGGAGACAAATTGAAGCTCTCACTGGCACTGGATTGGTCTGATCAGGACAAGATGACAACTCCTGTGATTATCAAGGCTAAGATAAGGGCAAAATAATAGGATCTCGAAAGTAGTGTCTGAATGCACATAGAGATAAACCGAATAATTGAAGAACTAAATGACTAAATGGAAAACGAAAGTGAAGATGATGATGAATGAGATGATAAGTGGTGACGAGTTGTTGAAAGTCGTCTATGATCTCAGTGTCCCTTTTTGAAGTGAAGAAAACAGGGGAGTCCTCCCTGGCTCTTGTCACCTATTTCTCTGACGTCCGGCCTGGCCTCACTACAATAGCCGATTCGGAAAAGAGGTCGGCTTCATGGTTAGTACCTTCGGGAAGAACTGGCAAACAAAAGACTGAAGAGTTAGCTAGGCTGCTCGATTTATATCATATTTTGTACAGGCAGAAGCGTCGACTGTCTTCTCACGTACAAAAGCCGAGTAGCGATAGCCTGAGCTTCCATCTATTTGCTGAGATGCTCGTCGAACGAGAAGTAACTGAATCTGTCGCACAGAATGCATAATTGACATAAAAGGCTTCGAGGTCCGTCGTAGGTCCACGCGTAGCATGTTCGTCACTGAATCCAGTGGTCTGCTGCGACTCTCGACCACGATTCGAGAAACCAGGAATCCAGCCTCAAGACCATTAGCAAGCTCAGATGGAGAGCCAACCCTCACTGAAGCCGATTATCCCATCCATCAGTGTCCGCGCCCTTCATTTCATTTCGAAGACCAGAAATCCACATCCTTACGTCTTACATCGCCATCCACCCCTCATCCCCAATAACCATCCTTCCACAAATCCTTCCGATACCCCTCCGTCAACCTCTCATCAGAACCATACTCCTCCTGCCACCCAACAAACCCGCGATCCAGAACATACACCTTCTGCTCTTTCTTCTCTCCCTTCGCTTCGTTTACCCCCTCTTCCTCGCCCGTCTTCTTCTGCGGCATAGCCTCCCTCTCCCTCAAATACCTCAACGCCGCCCCGGGCCCTCTCTGCTGACTAAACGCGCAATGAAACACGACCGTCTCCTTATCCGCCAGTTTCCTAAGTAACGTCGGCATGGTGGCGTCGATGCTGCGTAACGGGAAATGCATCGAGGTGCGTATATGGCCGCCTATGTAGTCTGCCATTTTCATAATGCATTAGCTCGAGTTGTGCGGGATATATAAATTCCTAGGACAAGAAAGGAGGGCACGAGGAAAACTTACCGTCGTCTCGTACGTCCACAATGGCTATCGGGGAGCTGTCTGCGCTACTGGGATTGGCTTTGAGGAGCATGTCTGCCAGTTTGGGCGCCGTGAGGCGCTGGAGGGTGGCTATTGTTGTCATTTGGAGGAGTGGATTGCAGAGGAGTCTATTCACGTAGAACTTGGGGGGCGCATTTGTGGTGCTGAGGTAGCTTGCGATGAAGAGATGACGTTGGTTGCATACCTTCAAATCTCAAGCTTCAATCTTAGCTTAAGCGTCAACCCCGCCGAATGTGTCTTATGTGCATATAGCTTGATAGTCGCATCGAACACTCAAACAGGATCATTGCACTGCCTTATAGGTATAGCGATAGGGACTCAATTTGTAGTATGTTGATCGGATTGGAGAATACTCGATTTAGGTTAGTCACGACCACCAGGTACATTCTTAGGTGAATAGTGATCCATAGCGGGGTCATAGGGCTCCAACTGGCCTTCAAAGAACGCCTGCCTTACGTTGATAGCTTTTCATCCGGGAGACATTGCTACATATTAATAACGACCCTCAGAATGGCACTGAATCTTTCTCAGCGCGAGCTCATCCAGGACATGATTGGACGTGGGGAATTTGCTACGTCTTTCCATCCATATCCTATTGGTAAGACTGTCACAGCCTCAAAGTCCCAAGCTTGTTAGTCTGATAACCAAGGCATTGCGTCGGAGATCTGCATTTCCTCTTCGAATTCCCATATTCGCTATCCTGGTTATCGTCTTAGAGCTAGAAACTCTGAGGCCGCCCTCCTAAGTTCGCTAGTCTTAGCTCCATTTCCGAAGCTTCCGTGTCCTTAGCAGCTAGAAGCATTTGGGGTTCTCTATCATACTCTCTTCGCGACTGATCTGCGCGGTCCCACTATCTTCCATAATCGCGATAGGCTAAGAGATCCTGAAAAATACAGACCGCTGAGCGAGAGACTTAGTGCCGTGAAGTATCTAAATTAAGCTGCCTCTCTCTGATCACTAACGAAACGGGGTCAGGCGGTCAGTAAGATATACCTAACACCTAATACACTGATAAGACGGCTCTAATACTGACGAATTCCGTCTAATCGGACGAAACCCGTAGTACTGGTTGAGAAGAAGAAAAGGAAGTCCTCCCTGTCCCTGTCACGTATTTTCCCTAATGTTCGGCGTGACCCCACTACACTAGCCCGAGAATTGTTTAGTATCCAGCTGCCCAGCTCGATCGGAGACCATGTGGCCGAGGCCATGCTATGTCTGCTTTCGTATCGTGTTATAGCATCTCTTAGCCGATTATTGTTCAAGTCATTGAAAGTAATATCGATTCTTAGTCGCTTTCCGTTACTAAACAAAGGAGCCTGAATTACGGGCTGCTTCTTAACAATATTCAAGTCAACATCTAGCCTATCGACACCTTTGACGAGATCCAGTTTAGAGCGATCTCCAGCAGATACTGTGTGTTAGTATCATCAACTTTAAAACACTTGTTTGAAGGCAGTTTTCTCTCTACAAACTTCTTCAGCTTTGACTATAGGTAACAGCAATCAGTATGTACTCAGATTATTGTGCTCTTCCAGTTTTGTGTATCCCCATATGATGGTACGACAGGTTTATGTGCGCCCTAGCCCAAGGACCCAGCCGTATGCATGCATGTGCAAAACAATATTATCCCTGACTTGTTCATGTAGTCTAACTCCTTATCCACACTCTCTTTTTCCATCTCAAGGCCACATGCCATCCCACATGAACAGCCAGTCCTCCCAGTACTGGTTGTAGTTGCCGACCAGGTAACTGAGGCCATCGCCTACTGTCCCTGTCTTGTATGGCCTCGTGTACAGCCCTCCCGTCTTTAGATGTCGCTTCATAGCCGTGTAGACGGAGAAACTGCTGGGCATCGTGCCAACGAAGTACGTACTCCCTAACAATACCACAAAGTCGACCAAACCTTGCTGGTCCCACGTGAGGGCATTCAATGCCTCGAGGTCGCTACCCGTGAGCAATTCCGCCTTGGTGACGACCTGCATCCTGGCGATCTCGAGGGCCTGGCCGGCGAACTTCTGTGCTTCCGTCGCGTTGCCCGTTGCCAAGTACGCTACCGGGAATGCCTTTTCTTGCGCCTTCTGCAGGTATCCACCAGCTTGCACATCATACGTAGGCCAGAAACCCATGGCATCATTCTCAGTACGCAAGTGAACGCCCAGGAAGTCGCCTCTGTCCGCGCTCTTGCTCTGCGCCATACTACGCATGTTCTTGAGTGCTGTTTTCCCCAGGCGCAATAGTTCTTCGTTGAACTTGAGAATGCTCCCGAATGTCGCCGCGAACTCGGGCCCGTCACGGTATATTTGCCAGTCCCAAAGGACACCCCATTTGAATCTGATCAGTCTGGGTTGCTGCTTCTCGGGGGGGTGGCCATGGGCTGGATCGCTCAGCCAAGCGCGGAACCGGTCTCCGAAGCGGTCGGTATGGCGGTTCTGGTCCTTCCAATCACATCCTGCGCGGTTGCCAAATTCTTTGGGCACGATTTCGTCGATGCGGGGCTCCTCGTCCGGCGCGCTGGTGGCGTGAGGAATGTGGCTAAGTTGGTCGTAGATGGTGATCTTCGGGCAGTAGGTCCTGAAGGCATGCTTGAAATGTTGCTCGTCAAACATATAGCTGAACGGTTTGTAGTCGGTAAACAAGTTGGCTAGGTCCGTGTCCGATCGTCTGCGAATCCTAGGCACCACCAGCCCGGTTGCGCCGGCTTCGAGAGCGTAGCGCAAACATGTCTGAATGTAATTGCGAATATTGCCCAAGCCGCCGCTGTTGTTGTCGCATATGAACACAAGCCCATCTACGTATGTCGTCTCTTCGCAGACGCGCTGTAACGGCCAGCCGATGAAGGGGGCCTCAGGGTCCGAAAGGTCGACGTTGTCTTCGGTCATAGGGGCGCCGAGACTCGACGGTGGACTGGCGTATCCGCCGCCGGTATCGAGCCATTGGAATGAAGAATGCGGCAGTCGAAAGCCCCAAACGGCAATGAGAACGACGATGCACACCGTCGGAACCACTATGTTTCGTCGAGGCATGAAGCCCGCCAACTTTTGGGGAATATGCTGTGCGATGGCTACCATGTTGATGAACGATAAGTTTCCACCTTAAAAGTCGCGTGGTGTGAAGTACAGGTGTTTGCCCCCTGTCAAACCAAGTCTTGGCGGGCAACTTGGGCGGGTCTCAAGGTTGCTTGGCACCTTGCGACAACTTCCAATCGGGCAAGGTGGAATGATCGATTCGATGGTTCAACGGCAGTGCGATGTCGTTGAAGAACCTCGGAAGTGTCACGTCGTATTCAGTATCTCGAAGTGTCTCGAAGGTTCCTGTCCGCTTTGTTGAATGATTGTACAGTTGGCATCAGGTTCGAGTCGAATTAATTTGTCGATGGCCTGATGGAATTTTGTCGTTGAACCCTACTCTTCTTTGGGCTTGACGGGTTTGAAGCTTTCGAAGCGCAGCCGCCGCTATGAGACGGCGAGAATCGAGCGATGAAACACGCTGGTAGGCGAAAACTGATGAGATGTAGGAAAGAAAGAACGGAAACAAAGAACAGAGGCAGAGAGCGAGGGATCGTTTGCTTCTTTAACGAGGCATGATCTATGCTGATTCACCTGAACATAGAGGAGGAGGTTGTTCAGGCCTTGGCTAAACCTTGGGTGAGATGGCATTGGCGGCCGCCAGCGAATAAATATGGATGTCTTAATCACAGCAGAAGCTCCTTCCATGAAGCACTGAGGCATGTTCGTCAGCCGCTCCTTGGTGTCAGGGGTGGCCCTCAGTCTTGTCACCCAAACTATGTACCTTGAACCTTGTCCCCCGCATATTAGGTTAAAGATAATTTCTTGAAGATGCGAGAGTTCAACGGGGTGCAAACACGTTGTCACCCATACCTGTCAGGCATATGCACTAGTTGCACCAAAATAACACGAAGGGACGGCAATGGCTTAGTTTGGATTGGACTATTTGCAGTGGCTTGAGTTTAACGGTGCAACTGCCGATGATGGCGGCGGGCAGTAAGGCATGGTGGATCTATTAGACGATTATTGAGTTCATATTCTTATGCTTCGCAACTCTGACACCAAGAACGGCCTAGGCGACAAATAGTTAGCCAACCTTAGGAAGCGGTTTGCCTATGCCACTTAGGAGCAGAAGTTGGTGGTGTTCGTAAGCGAACCCTCGTATGATAGAAACAACCCAAAGCTTGCGTCCCACGTGTATATCCACGTATACACACCCGCCCCTGCAATTGGTACTGAGCATGTACAAATGTAAGACGCATGTTGGAAACTTCATTTGGTGTGTAACAATGTACAGCATATGCACATGCCACAAGGTATTCAATGCTCCGCTACATGTCTACATGTATGCTGTCCATGCTACACCAGGCTGTCCTGCGTCGTTAGGCCTTACTTATGAATCCCCAGTTGACGAAGGCATCGAATATCTTCGAGCCCTTTTGGGAATCTAGTCGGCAAATTTCTCGCACTTGCTTCTTCTTGAGGGAACCATTGCCCTTCAAGGCCTCTTTCAGGACTTGCTCCTTTATCATTATGTAGGGCTTTGGCTGTATTCGTAACACCTTGCAGAGCTCTACTTCAACCGAATTGAGGAGATGGACGTCTGGCGCATTGTTCAGAGTGAGCTCCAGTGGTTGGAGACCAGAGACAGGTTGAGGGACGTATTTTTGTTTTGCGGGTGTCGACTCGACGCCGTTAGGGACACCATTGGTATGTCCGTTCGTGAGAGACTTCTGCTCGCCATTGGGAGCATCTTGGTTGCCTTGCGATGCTGCACCGTTGGCAGCTGGTCGCAAAGGTAGTTCGGGCGCAACCAGGAGTGCTGCACCGCTTGGCGGCTCTGGCTGGACGTTTTGCTTGGAACGTTGGGCCGTAGCCAGCCGTTCACGGTCCATGGATCCCATCGGCACCGACCTCTGCTGCCGTGTGGCCTTCTCTTGCTCATACTTTTCTCCGCTCCGGAGATCTCCGATCTTGAGATTCCGCCATTCTTGTAGTTGCGCGATCGCTTGCCGCAGGTTCAGTTCATCGACAAGCCCCTGGGAGAAAGACTCGAAGTCGTCGTGGTTCATCATCCTGGCGAAAGGCTTGGCTCTGTTAAGAAGTTCCTTTTCTTCCTTGGTCCTCCTCTTTTCCACTTTTTGGTTCTCTCTGTAATCAAGCAGGTTGTGCTCAAAGATGACCTTTTTACGATCGACACGCTGGGTGAGCCGGGCGTTGTAGATGTCCATCACCGTCAGCTTCAACTCCATTTCTGGCTCCAGTTCACCGGTCCTGGGATTGATGCCATCGCCAGGGTCAAACTGCATCAGCTGAACTGCCTCTTCTGCCTCATTCGCGTACTCGGTCTCGAATTCGAGACGACCCGGCATGTAACCTTGAATCTCGTGACACGACGGTACACTCGCCGTGGGTTTTGTCTTTGGAGGCATTGGTGGTGCATTTTTGAGTGCATCCCGGCGATCATCGATCCTCCGCTTCTTTCGCGCTTGGAATTCCTCGCGAGATATCTCCTGTGCCAACTCCATGTCCGTCGGGCGGCACCGCTTGGGAAGCGGGAAACATGGCGATTCGACGTACGTTTTGATGTAATGATCACGGACTTCGTCTTTATTTCGGTAGCCGCCGATATGGTCGGCAATATCGGCCCATGATCCAAGACCGTATATCTCACAGCCTTCTAGCAAAAGAAGCTCCTCGTCTGCCCCCCACTCGGCATCAAATATCGGAAAGGAGTTTTGTTCGATCACTTTATAAGGGTGCGTGGACGGCTGGTGGGAGTTGCTGGAGGTACCGCTGGAGAAGCATTGTACGCAAAGATCGTATTCGTTGCAGGCAGGGTGGGCGCATCTTATTCGTACCTGTTGGGGTCCATTATTTAGCCGTCATACTTGGCGACAAGTGCGGAAAAAGCATACCGTTGACGTGATGTCTGCAGAGCAGGCATCACAGACATATTTGACACCCCCCTCGCCACCTCTGGTGGCTGTTTTCTTACGAATTACACCCATGACATCCGGCCGCAGCCGACCTGGAGGCTGAGGACGTCGCGAGGTAGACCTTTAGAATTGGTTTCAATGCAGCTATGATGGGGCTGGTCACTGGTTGAAGTGGAAAGTACGTATCCCGATGGAAACTGGAAAGGTGGTCGTTTCGATGGATATTCGTGGTGATTGATGTCGCAAATTGCCCTCAGAAGCCGAAGTGCTGTTACGATAGGGATGAGTGGAGGCACACTAATCCATAAGAGTCTGTGCCTCACTCCGCTCTCTTTCAGCCGCAACCATCACGTGGGGTTGACCGTTGGGGAAATTCAAGTTTTCGGTGAAAAGGATCAAAGTAACTGCGAGCGAGCCTACGACGTTGAAATGTGAAGTGGTGCAATGATCTCTTAAGTTCACTATTCCCAGTGGCGACGTGGGGCCAATTATGAATTTGACTAACTACAAAGTGACCTGTTCCAACTTACCATGGATGTCTGCTTGCCATCAAGAGGTGTTTGAATGATTCGCGCCTGTCCACAAACAAGACCATCGGAGATGCACTTGCCCGAAATCCCCCGAGACTCACATCGCAACCCGTGAGAACGCGGATGCCGCTCATCGGTCGAGAATAGTTCTAGAAGTTTGGCCGATGGAACCCCCGATTCTAGCATTCTCTTTGTCCAATGACATCACATCCATCCCTCCAACTCTTGGCGGGTGAATTGCGATGGTGGCTGGTGGGGAAGTTCAGGCCGAATTTCACGTCACAGTTCATACCCCTCCATTGTCATCCGGCCCGTTTCGGGTTGTGGGTTCTCTTATGGAATGACATGATGGCGCGGAAGTAAGTGACTGTCACAAGGTTGAATGTCTCGTCTTTGGTATCATCTGTTTTGTTGATCCTTCCCTCATCTCTTATTTCTAACGGATCTTTGGCTCTGAGAAGTAGTCTTGTTTCCCCGAATACATTGCCTCGTCGATTCCGCCAGTCCGTACAATTCCACCAAAGATGCCGAACAAGATCTTAGATGACATTTCCCACCGTCGCTATAACCCTCTCAGAGGGTCCTGGTTACTGGTGTCGCCTCACCGAACGAAGCGTCCCTGGCAGTAAGAAACCCAAGTTAGTCGCGACTTTATGTGTGCGTAGCTCATGCTTTGCGAAGAGGTCAGCAAGAGGGGCCAGGAAAGATCGATCTGCCTGAATATGATCCCAAAGTATATACATCTCTCTCTGTCGCGCCTAGAGATGCGCCTGTTGGCTCAACTGTTTACAGTGCTATCTTTGCCCACGGAACTCGCGAGCCTCTGGCGACACCAATCCTGATTATGCACACACCTTTGTATTTGTGAACGACTACAGCGCCGTTAAGGAGGAGCAGGCAGACTATGCGGCCGAAAGTGGTTCATGCGATGGTAAGATGCATAGGATCCCATATTTCATTATCTTACTGATTATTACAGACTTGTCCTCCCTGCTGCTCCGTGCCGAGGGTGTCAAGGGCAAATGCTACGTCCTGACGTTCGCTCCCAAACATCACATCACCCTCGCCGACATGTCCGCCGCCGATACACTTCCCATTATCGAGACATGGACGCGCATCTACGCCGCCCATCTCGCATCCACGAATCCCCTCTCGCAAGTAGCTTTGGGCCTCGGCCTCGTGCAACAAGACGCACCCCCGGAAAGCGTGGTGCCCCCGCCAGCGAACCAATACCGCTACATGCAAATCTTCGAGAATAAGGGCGCCGCCATGGGTTGCTCGAACCCACATCCGCATTGCCAGGTCTGGACGACGAGCACACTTCCCGAAGAACCTGCCGCCGAGACCGTCCAGATGGGCAAATACCGGACCGAGCACGACGGCCGCCACCTTCTGGCTGACTACGTGAAGCTCGAGATGGAAAAGAAAGAGCGCATCGTTTGGCATAACGATGCTTTCCTCGTTGTCTGTCCCTGGTGGGCTGTATGGCCCTTCGAGGTCATGATCATTTCCAAGCGTCACATTCGCGCCCTGGTAGACTTCACGGAGGCTGAGCGGTTGCAATTTGCCGAGACGCTCCAGGAGGTCACGAGACGTTATGATAACCTGTTTGAGACGAGCTTTCCGTACAGCTCGGGCATCCACCAAGCGCCTTTAGAAGGGACACCCGAGGAAATTGAGAACAGCTACTTCCATATGCACTTCTACCCGCCGTTGTTGCGATCTGCGACTGTCAGGAAGTTTTTGGTTGGATATGAGCTGATGGCAGAGCCTCAGCGCGATATTACGCCCGAGCAGGCGGCTGCGAAGTTGAGGGATTGCGGCGGGGAGCTGTACCGCAAAAAGTTGTAGAGGTGGACCATTAGCTGCTGGGGCGTATGGCATGAGACACAAAAGTAAATGGCGTTGGTACTGTGAGCGTTGAAAGAATTGGATTACACATTACACGAAGTACATATCTGGTATCACTCACGGGCAAAGCCAGCTAATGACGAGTATTTACGCCGCTAGGCATATCTACACTTTCGAGGCGCAGCAACGAACAATGTCGTTTGCTAGGCCACGACATAGAATTCCTTCTGCATAATCATCCAAGCGACGCCTGTCGTTGCAAAGAACAGCGGCATTAGCTGTGGCCCGCCCAGGTAATACGTTTTGTACACAGCTCCCTCGCTCACGAAGTGCCCTAGCGCAACTAGATACGTCCACATGGCCATCATGTATACGGGCTCCTTGTCAAGATGGAAGCTGGCGTACAACCGTACGATAGCCGAAATCAGAGTGTAGGTTCCGAAGAGACGAGCTGCTAGCGGAGTGACCTGGTCCATGGTCGCCGCATCTTTGGGGGTGTTGGATGCGGTGGCGGGGATCAGCTTTTTCGTGGAGTCTTCGGGGTTGACCGTCGTTATCTTGGGTGGCAAGGACGGGTTGGGAATGAATTGACCGTTGTAGAAGCGTCGTGAGAAGTGGAGGGTTATATAGTTTTGGAGGGAGTTGCCAACGGCTATTACGGAAAGCTGGGAGGCGATGGTTAGCTGTGCTTCGGGTACCAGAGGGCGTGTACGAGGCGTACTGTGAACATGTAGTGAGGCAAAAAGCCTTGCCCTTGGGGGAGGTATTCCTTGAGCACATCCATCGTGATCGGCTAGTTTGAGGGAGCGAGCTGCGATGTCGGGTTATCGAAACTTTTTTTCGGTGAAGCTTTTATACTCCGAAAGCCCGACAAGAAAAGTTTATCCAGTCAATTGGATCGTACGATGTTAGTAGCGCGTGTGGTCGAACCGGGATTCGACGTAACGAGGCAGAATGTTAGCTTTCGAGCCTCGAGAGTTGAAGTTGAACCAGGCTCAAGTTGACTAGGATGCCACGGTCCTTTGCAATTAACTGGCCGAAGATCACATCACAGACTGAAAACCTTCGGCAGGCGCGTTCAGGGGTCCATTGCGCCTTGTAGTTATTGTCGAAGCTCTTGATTGGCTCATTTCGTTGGCGAAAGCCGCGCGCCAAAAGTCTGACAGCAGAGCTCCGGGCCCGACTTAAAGCCCAACAAAATCCCATACTGTCAGAAAACATCTTGTCCTCCATCTTCACATCAAGCCATTTTTCCAGCTTGATTTCTGACTCACCTGGATTTGTCCGTCAGATGATCAATATGACGACTCTCGGCGATTTTATGGCCAAGTTGCCGCAGCCCCTCCTGTGGGCTTACGCCGGCATTGGAGCTCTCTATGTGGCGAGCAAGGCTTTCAACTATCTCAAGTTTTTCCTGAATGTCTTTGTTCTCAGCGGCACCAATGTGAGTTTTATTTGAAATGTTCGAATTGTGACGGTGTCTCATGTTATTTTCAGCTTCGCAAGTACGGCAAGAAGGGCACCTGGGCCGTTGTTACTGGAGCTTCAGATGGCTTGGGCAAGGAGTTCGCTACGCAGCTTGCCTCCAAGGGCTTCAACCTCGTTCTAGTCTCCCGCACCCAATCCAAGCTCGAGATACTCTCCAGTGACCTTGGCAACAAGTTTTCTGGCCTCCAAACCAAGATTCTCGCCATGGACTTCACCGCCGACGATGCTTCTGATTATGACCGCCTGTCTAGTTTAGTGGATGGACTGGACATCGGCATCCTGATCAACAATGTTGGCCAATCTCACAGCATTCCTACTCCTTTCCTTCTCACCGACAAGAAGGAGCTCCAGGACATCGTGACTGTTAACTGCCTCGGCACCTTGAAGGTCACTCAAGTTGTCGCCCCCGGAATGCAATCTCGCAAGCGCGGTCTCATCCTAACCATGGGCTCTTTTGGTGGCTGGGCCCCAACACCTTACCTCGCGACCTACTCAGGCTCCAAGGCATTCTTGCAGCAATGGTCATCCGCGCTCGCTGCCGAGCTCAAGCCAAGCAACGTCGATGTTCAGCTCTGCCTCTCCTACCTTGTGACTACTGCCATGTCGAAGGTGCGACGCCCCAACCTGCTTATCCCTAACCCGAAGCAATTTGTCCGGGCTGCGTTGGGAAAGGTCAAATCTGGAAGTTGGCAGACTATGCCGGACACGTACACGCCGTACTGGACCCATGCGATTATGGGATGGGCTGTTGAAACCTTCCTTGGGGTCGGTAGTGGACTGGTTCGATGGTACAACTTGAAGATGCACGTTGATATCCGCAACAGAGCATTGCGCAAGGCTGCTCGGGATGCGAAGAAGCAGTGAAGGGAACAATGTAAAAGCGTTTGGCACGCGCAAAGTCAGCTGCTATTATCCTCGCCACATGGCTGTAGCTTGTATCATCGTTCTAATTAGACAAGGTGAATATTAGCAATAGTGCGAATATGGTGAAGCTATGAGGTGGACACAATCCAGTGGCAGCTTGGAATGCCACATGGATGTCCAGAGGCACAACCGTCGCTGCCCAAGACAGCAAGAAATAAACGACCGTCCATAGCTCTGCTCTGCTCAGCCTTGTCTACTTTTACCTAATATGGTATAGCGCAATTGAGTCGCGGAAGCTGCACAAACAGCTGCAAAGCGCGTCCAAGCTCCGTCAGGGATCACGGCCCAAAAATTTCCAGCCTTTCGTCAACAGCCAGCGCGCAGTGAACCGGGTTCAGACGGTCATCCAAAATCAAAGAGCTGTCTCATCAGCGCGCAAAGACAACCGCAACGTATCCAGGCGCCTTTCCTTCCACGACCTTCACTTTAGTATCCCGTCGCCAAATCAACCACAGAATTCTCTTGGTTCTCGAAATATCCAGCAAGGCAACAACACTTTGATGCTTCGGTGACGTCGAAGTACTAGGTGCCTTGCCGCCCTCATTGGCACTTCCCTTCTTTAATCTGCCCCGAGCCAGGCTTCTTGGTTTTTGCCCGATCGGACAATTGAGACACGCAGCAAGGCTCTAGACACACGATGTCTTTCACTCAGGCGACGCCAATGCGGCCTGTGCCAGGCGCTTTCATGAACACTCCTGCCGTCGCTTCCCGATACGGCGCTCAACAGGACCCAACCCGGAGGCGCCTGTTCGCAGATCAACCGTCAAATGGAACAGGTAGTCAAAGTGCCCATTTGGGGAGCCAGGGCCCATTCGATGCCCCCTCAGGCGGTAGCCAGGCTCTTGCGACAGTATCAGGAGAATCAAACCAAGCCGCGCCGCCAAGGTCACCGCTCACCAAGGCTGCTGGCTACATCAACACCGCCCTAGCGCGAGATGAGGCATACCCGGAGCTCGATACGTATTGCAGACGTAAGTCTCCCTACCCACACAAGCATAATCAGCCGCTGACCACACCAACAGAGTCGTCTTCCGAATACGATCTTCCTCTCTTCGACTCGGCCTGGGCGCCATTCCAGAAAACGCAAACGTACGAGATTCCGCAATCAGTGTTCGAACAGTACAACACGGCCGAGGTGTCGACTATGATGGGCCTGTTTGCTGAGCTGAACCATGCCTGGGTCACCATCGACAATTGCATTTACCTGTGGGACTACACGCACCCGAACCCCGAGTTGATCGGTTATGAGGACAATCAGCACAGTATCACAGCTATACAACTGGTGACTCCGAAAGCAGATGTATTTGTCAAGGAAATCACCCACGTACTGGCGATAGCTACCACATCGGAGATGTTCTTGCTGGGAATTGCGGCCGAGAACCAACCCAGTGGGGCCAAGACCGTCCAGTTATACCAAACTCGAATGTCCCTGGCCCTCAAAGGAACCGAAGTGCGTGAGATCACGGGTTCCTCGAATGGCCGGATCTTCTTTTCCACCCAGACCGACACGGATATCTACGAGCTCTACTATCAACAGGAGGAGAAATGGTTCTCGGGGAGAACTGGAAAGATAAATCACACGTACCCGGGCTGGTCTTCTGTCGTGCCTAAGACGCCGCAACTCTGGGGTACCAGGACCAATGAGTACATCGTGCAAATTGTCATTGATGACTCGAGGAACCTGCTGTACTCTCTTTCCAGCAACTCCACTATCCGCACGTACCATATGGAGGCTCCTGATAGGCTCACCAAGGTAATTGAGAAGACAAAGAACGACTGTCTCCGCGATATCACACATGCTCTCAGTGGCAAGTCGACCCTTCTTAGTGAGCGGATGGACATCATCGCTATTTGCCATATCACGTCGACTGAGGACGCCAAGGTTCACCTCATGGCCGTGACCAATACGGGATGCCGTTTGTTCATGAGTGCCGCGAGCGCATCCTACATGATCTCAATTTCGCCCGACCAAGCACCCCAGAGCATGCAACTGCATTCAATCAAGTTCCCGCCCCCAGAGACAAAACAGACTTCGCCAGTATCTCGCGACTTTTATGGTGGACCGAGTGATTACATTGAAGGAAACTCGAAATCGTTGTGTGTGACTCGAAAAGGTGTCAGGTTCGCCCCGGGATATTTCCTCGCCTTCGTCGACAAGGACAATAGGGATCAGCTCTTTATTGCCGCCCCTGACACCGGCCGCATTAAAAATACCGGCCACCCCCAGAATTTGCGCTACTATGAGCAGGGCAATTGGATCGAGGTTGGAAGTCGAGCTGTTGACGTCGGTCTGGTCACCAAGCCATTTGGAGCAACGAAACGGCCCCTTGGATTCGGCAACGAGCTGGCTGTTCAGTTTGATGATCCGGCGAGCGAGATCGCTATTCTCACAAATACGGGTATACACGTCGTCCGGAGACGGCGACTTGTGGACATTTTTGCAGCCGCCATTAGGACCACCGTCGGCGAAGAAATGTTAAAGGCAGAGATCAGCAAATTCCAGGGTCTCTGCGGCCGCGTGGAAATGGTCACGACTGCGCTTGCTGTTGCTTGTGGTCAGGGCAACGACCAACGGCTGGGAACAGGTAGGGGCGCCATGGATCAAGCCACGGAAGACCGTGCAAGGCAGGTTTTCGTCAACTTTGGAGGTAACCCCATGTTGCCCGAGCAAGATGGCCAAGTACCCACCGTGGAAACCGTCAGACCTTCATCACGTCATGGTGCTTTGACCAGGTACCTCAGTCGTCTTATTCGCACACTATGGAGATCGCCGGTGATCAGAGTCGGCGCTGACGCCTCTGGGGCCCTGGCTATCACCTCAACCATCCCCAGCACCAAGCTGATCGCAGTTCAAGAGAGCTTAGAGCGTCTACGAGCGTTCCTTGAGGCGAATAAGAGTTTCATCCAAGGTTTATCTGGGCCGGCAGACCTGCAAAGAGCCGGCAGCAAACAGGAGGAACTCGCGTTCCAGGGGGAACACCAGGCTATGCATGCTTTGCAAGTTCTCATGGCCGGCACCTCCGAGGGTATTTCATTCGTGCTGATGTTGTTCGATGAGCGAGTTGCAGATATATATACTCGGCTGGATGACGATTCGCGACAGCAACTTCGGGAACTTACCTACGAACGCCTGTTCTCTCAACAGGCCGGCAAGGATCTCGCGAAGCACCTTGTCAAAGCTATTGTTAATCGCAATATCGAGAGCGGGTCTAATGTCGAGACGGTTGCCGACGCTTTACGACGGCGTTGCGGCAGCTTTTGCAGCTCTGACGACGTGGTCATCTTCAGAGCACAAGAGCAGTTGAAGAGGGCTTCCGAGACCGGCATAAACCCCGCGAGTTCCCTAACCCTGCTGGCCGAGAGCTGCAGACTTTTCCAAAAAGTAGCGGGAAGTCTTACGCCCGCGAACCTCGAGAACGCTGTGGAACAGTACATTGCCCTTCGATACTTTGCTGGCGCCATACAGTTGTGCCTCACTGTTGCACATGAGAAAGATCGAGGCAATAAGGCGCTGTCATGGATCAACGACCGCAGACCGGCTAATGACCCCAGAGCACGAGCTTTCGAGAAGCGCAAGCAGTGTTATATGTTGATCCAGAACGTCCTCCACAATCTTGACGCCGCTTGTGCCCACGAACCGGACACGATCGACGGCAAACGGACATTAATCGCGATTAAACGCGATGAAGCTTATGCAGTCGTCAACGAGTCGACAGACGAGGTTTTTCACTCCGACTTGTACGATTGGTACGTCCAACAGGGTCTGACGGATCGTCTGCTCAGCATCGAGTCCCCCCATGTCATCAGATTCCTGGAAACCCTGGCAGCCACGGATGTTGGGCACGCAGACCTGCTTTGCAGATACTACACGTTGCGCGGAAGGTTCTACGATGCAGCAAGGGTGCAAGCGGAGCTTGCTCGGTCTGCGTTCCCCATATCCATCAAGGATCGCATTCAATTGCTATCTCGAGCCAAGACCAATGCTAGTGTCATTACCACAGGCATCGCAAGACAAGACCTCCAAATGCTGAACCACGAGGTGACGGAGCTGCTGGAGGTAGCGCATATCCAAGACGATCTTTTCGAACGGCTCAAGGTTGACCCCCGCATACCGCCAGAGCGGATTCCCGAGATCGAAAGCACCCTCGACGGAGAAATTCAAAGCCTCTCGGATGTAAGTAGCGATCACTCACCCCCATTGCTTCACAGTGCCCTTTTCGGTACAATGTCTTGAGAATGTCCGGATAGGAACTAACTAGTTGCACAGCTTTTCAATCAATACGCCGACAATGCAGGGTATTACGATATCTGCCTACTCATATACTACGCAGCCGACTTCCGTAACCCTACCACTATCGCCCAGACCTGGAATAACCTCATCCAACAAACACACGACGAAGTCATGACCTTGTGGGATCAGCACAACAATGCCCTTCGCACTCGCACTACGGTACCAGAGGACGCCCCGGCCCAGCCGTACGAGACGCTGTGTACTGTCATCCAAGACGTACGCCACCGCGTTACCGACGATTCGTTCATCTTCCCCGTCCCTACGCTACTACCGGAAGTTTGTCGGTACTCCCTAGAAAACCAGCAGGACCGCCGGATCAACGCCGATCCCAGCTGGCCTGTCGTCCTATTCCTCAACCTCAATACCAGCCACGATCTTGTTGTGCGGGTGCTGGAAGGTATGTTCGATGGACAAGATGTGCCTTTCCGTGGCCAGGCACGGCTCCGGGTGGTAGAGTGGATTTTGTATGCCGTGCGGTCATGGATGAGAGAAGTGCAACGGAGTGGAAGGTCGGAAGGCTTGCCGCCTTGGGTTAGCGAGATGCTCGCCGGGTGTGAAACTTTCATGCTTTCAGCGAGAGGGGCCAATGATGGAGGCATGGAAACACAGCAGCTGGCAAGGGAGGTCCGAGAAATGAAGAGGAGCGTCGATGGATTCGCCGTTGTGGGCAGGGGCTCATTTGCTAGTTCTATGGGCTACTTGTGAGGCACCTGGTGAACAGACAACTGGGGGGGTGCTGTATAACATCCCGAAAATCGGGTGGAATGGTGAAACAACAGAGAAACCGAGCCAACTACTTAAAGTAGTCGCTTGATACACGGACATAGTTGCAGCTATTTTGCAAAAACGGAGACTCTAGGGGGCGCTGAAAGAGTGGGCTCTGGTCACAATACTGAAGTAATTTACAAGGACTTTGTTGTGTAGAGTATAATACAAGCGAAGTCGGGACGATTTAGTCCACGGCTAGCTTGGACTTGTGTCACTGAATAAAGCTTTTCTGGGTGATGATATCTTTGTTGGAGATCTTGACAATCGGCTAAGTGATTCAATGCGGTGAGGTAGCTCCAAGCAGCAAACAACAAAATCGGTGCTTGCGGGATCCTGTACAAACCAGTATATGAGAAAACGGATTGGTGGGACCTAGTTGAACCCTGTTGAAAGCTTTTCTCGGACTGGTATCGGAATATCCTAAAGATCACTTGAGTTAATGGGAAGTCGGAATCCCCGTCATCCTAATTTTTTCCTTTGTCCAAGGCGATTTGCATTTCTGTCTTCCCTCTCAACTTTCGTCCGAGTCCGACCAGCCTCCTGACAGCCCGTTTCATCTGGGCCCGCGGCGGCGTCGGTGTCAGTGTCATGTCATCAACGTCCGCCATATTGGGACCCGAGCCGTTCTTGAACAACTCGGACACGAACAAGTCTTCGACATCTAGCTTGTCGGCCTCCTTTCCACCCTGGACCGGCGACATCGGCCTATGCCTCTTGTCAAGTAGTCCTCGTTCCGTAAAGAACACCCGGAAAATATGAGTTACACACGATCACGATCCTCACCATCACCGTAGCCAGCTCTTAACCCCAGCAATGTCTCAAGACTAATTCCGAGAAACCCTCTCCTCCGTACCTTCGTCGCTTATTCGTCCGCTTCGCATCGGCCACAACTTGATCCGCCGACTCACACACGTTCTTAAACAGCTGTCACATCAGGCAAACATGGACGCAGCCCCCTCCGAGCTATATGCACTTCCCTCCTGCCGAAGAACAAATGGCCCTAGCGTAATCTTCATTTTCTATATCATCCAGTTTGGATCCCATATCTCCTCCCAGATCGTACAGCCCAGATAGGGGACTATCTCCGCATCGTTCTAGTTCTTGGCCGGCCACGGATCCTTGTACTATTCCAGTAGTTGAACGAATGTCAATTCAGCGAGGCCAGCTTGGCGGTGCGCCAGGACTTCAGGGGATTTCTCTCGGTAAAATCGGGCGAGATTTACGGCGCACTGGGAGAGGGCAGGATGGCACCCGAAGTGATGGAGGAGGGGGTCAATTTGAGGAGCCAGATGCAGGGGACGCGGGGCAGGGGTGTGCGGCAAAGGGGACACCTTGGTTGTCTGTCGATGAGCCAGTTGATAAGGCAGCGGGGTTGGAAGGTGCGTTTGCAGTGGAGGGCGACGAAGCCGCAGAAGCCAGGTTCAGTGGCATGTTTCTTGCTGTGTATAATCTTGATGGAGTTGATATTATCGTCGTCGAGGTATTCGAAAGGGGGGGTGAGGTGGTACCCGACAGATAGCACAATTGGGGTTTGCCCCCCGTGGTGGCAGAGCGGGTCTTAATAGTTTCTCGAAGACATTGTCAAGTTTGTTTCATTGATTGGGTGGGACCGATGCGCATAAGCTGTTTTATCAGGTATAGCGTAGAGTTGACGTGGTGTGCAAGTCTCCCGTAAGTCCGCGGAAATAATATATTTTGTTGAGAAGGGAAAGGGGGATTCGAACCCCGAAGAACTCCATGATCAAATTCGACAGAAGAACGAACTGTGGCATAGTACTTCATAGCTTCGATGGAAACCCCGATTGAACCTTAGCTTACCACTTTGGGTACGCCGTGTCCCTAGCAGAATTGGGGGTAACCCCCTACCGCGATGCGGTAAACTATATCCATGTGGCATCAAACGGAGATATCCATCTGAAAACTTTATGTAAAATTCAAACATTGCACTAACTCGAGAAGTTCGAACCGCATCAATCGCTCAAAACAGTTACACTTGAAAGCACGTCACTGTTAGGTGTGGCATGTCGGATTGCCGGGGGCTGTATTGGTACTACAAAGATGACAAAGATGCGGGGGGACCGATCCCAAATTGGCCCCGAGGGATCCCTGAATACCAATCCATGCCTGCCTGCCTCGGACCCCTCGATACCTGCAGCCACAGCTTGCCACTGTGAATTGACACATATTTTGGCTTGATAGATTTCTCTTTCAGGCATTATATGGGGGCAGATAGATGTCGGTATAAAGGGGTGCACTAGGTTCATGATTAGGTATTTTTCGACTCTTTTCTTAGAACAATAATCGATCCAATACTGTTGGTTGTGACATCTTATGATGTCGAAGTTTGAGTGCTGGTCATAATGCGTATAGTTGCCTGAAACCACAACTTCCCGTGGTAATAGATGATATACCAAGTTTTATGTGAACTAAATGTGGGCAAGTGTGGCCTGATGTATAATAAACTGTTACAATGCACCCATGCACAAACTAGTGTATTTAGAAATTTCCTAGGGACAGATTGGGCAGTCTTCCCCACGCACATTCGTATTACTAAAACAGATCCCAATACTCGGAATCCGGCACCCATCATTTCAGCCACGGTTCTAGAAATCGCAGAGAAACAGCGAAGGAGCAATCTCTATTACGAAAAATAACGATACACAGGATGTAGCAAGGAAGAATATATTGTAAAAAGGTTCCCTCGACGAAGTTTAACTTCGATCCACGCATAATGGCAACTATACCCATCGGAGAAACCGTTACCTAATATACTGCCACGACGTTGCTAGCTTTGGGCGGTCATGCAGATGCCTCTCTGAGGAAACAATTGTGCCTATAAAGCCAGGACAATTTTCTCCTTGACTTTCCTTCTGTCGGTATCCTCAACTTCTGTCAAGGACTTCGCATTTGCACCTTGAATCGGTTAGGATAAAAGCTTTGATACACTGCTACTACTTTTTCTTAACCTCTTGCGAAATCAAGAGTCAAGCACCTTGGTTCTACAAACAATACTTGGAAACAGAAAAAACAGCACTCGACATACTCAACACCGGTAACCGATACACTCGAAAAACTGCTCGGATACACTCTAAAATGACTAACTGCTTCGTCATATCTGCCAACGGCCAGACCATGGTCACCTACAACACCGCATTAGCCTTGACAACTATGATCTCACGACCTTCCATGCGGGAGATCGCATTATTCCCAACCTACAAGGCCTCGGTGGTCGACATCAACAAGAATGACACGGCAACTTCATCGGGCTGCACCAGTCGACAGCCTTCATCATCATCGACAAAGTCCACAACCAAGTCAAAGTTTGCTCCAGCCACTGGTGTCAAGTCCACAACATGTGTCATCAAAGCGAATGAAGAGGCCGGCCGTGACACTGTCTCATACCCAATTCTTGATAGAGTCTCCCACATGGCCGTCGGTGCTGAACGAGCACCTTCGAATCGACTGCCTAAGCAGGAGTTTGTCTCCGGCTGCGAATATCGCAATGCCCACGGCGGCGACATTGACGGCGCCTGCAAATGTCGAGGAAAACACGTCAAGTTCCCAGACACCAAGTTCCTGCCTCACCGATCCACAGATGGGCAGGAGCAGTGGGTGCCAGCACGAGCACCAAGCCCTGCTCCCTATCTGACACGCGTTGAGTACATGAACCGCAACTGGGCCCTTCGATATCAAGAAATCTGCCAAAACTCCGTAATTGCAAATGAGACCATCGTACAATGGGACGACGAGGTGCGCATAGAGCGCTACGGAGCCAAGCCAGCGGAAGAGATATTGTTCATCAAGCGGTTCATGAACAAGCGACAAATGCCAATGAAGCATCAGGACGAACGGTTCAACATCGAAAAAGAACAAGCCGCTTCCAAAGAAGCAATGCTAAAGCACATCCAATGGGAAATCGACACCTACGGCTGCACCCTCGAACGACTTGAGTTCGAGGACTTCGGCTGGGACCATGATGAACACCTCATCTACGAACTGAGACGAAAAAGAGCCGATATAAAAAACACTTCTCACACGCCCGTCTTCAAGCTTCGGGATGCCAGAGCTGAGCTCGTTGAGAAGCTCAAGGCCGCCAACATCAACACAACCACCACGAGGCCAACCCACCCACTACGAACCAACAAGTTCGCCGATGACCACAAGACCAAGCGCTGCATCATCGCCACCAATGTCCAAGAAATGAAAATCAAGGAGGAGACTAAAGAGCAAGTCGAGGCTTTCGATGCCAAGCCTGCCGGACCTGCTCAGCGAAGCAGGAGGATCAGAATATCCAGGGCCAAGCGGAAAAGAGAGCTATTGCGCCAAACGGACGCCATAATCGGTTCCCGAGATGCTGGGTCAGCGAAAAGAATCCACCAACGACAACATCGAGGTCAGCAGAAGCACCCAGTCTCAGGCGCCAACGTCCCTCTCGGACCGCGACCAGAAGCTCGCAGCACACCAGAAGGGGGAAAAGCAGAACTATAGCAGGGCTTTCGAGAAGGCCATGTTTGCGGATTACAATAATGAAAGGGCAATTGTGAAGGAGATGAGGCAGGAAATAATTAAGGTAGGTTTGCTTGTATCGAAAGAAAGGTGATATTCGGGGAAGGTGGAATAGCTTCCGAGTTTTGGGGACAGAAATGGAAACTAGGATTAATTTTACATATAGCAGGTTCTTGATATTAGAAAACCACATGAGAGGTTATCGGTAATGGTCAGGTCGAAGTAAGGGAACCAAATTCTGATTGGGTGAAAAGATGAATTTGTTGCCTGGGTTCCTTGGTCGTTTTTGCCATCTTGGCTGGCAATGTTTGTGACCTCGAACCGAGCAAAGCTCCTTGAACTACATCAGGTTACCTTAAACTGGTGCCGATTCTTTGGTTTAAATTTCCACTAAAGGTCGAATGAAACTAAACATTGCTTAAGGAACATGCTTGTTGAGTGTCTATTTCGCAGGAGGAGAAAGCTAATCGACTGATCGCGGCATGCTGCACGCATACCACTAATTTGTCAGAGAATGGATAGCAAGTTCTCCTTCTCGGAAGTTCCGTCATTGAGACTGCGGAGTCGAGCTCGTCCCGTCCATTCAGACCGTCGTTTGTGAAGGATTTAACTCAACTACGCACTACATGAGTCGTTCATCAATTCTGGATAGCAGATGCCATGGCCGGCTTAGACCCCGTGGCCAACACCCAGCCCATTCTTCAAACGGTGGTTCATCCCATCAACCCGGCTTAAAAACACCTCGTGTATTAATTTCGAAAACCTTACTAAGCGACCAGCGAGATACTTGCTGCTGAGGTGATGAGCTCGAAATCCTTACCGGGGGCTTATCGCATTCTTTCTGACTGACCGAGACCCTCGAGAAAGTATCGACTCACTCCACATTGTTGCCGAGACCAACGCACGAAGAGCTGAGCCCAAGATGATTCAATGTTAGAGGTCTGATAGGGATTTGGCAAAGTAGGGTGGAGGCGTCAGTAGTCGAACAAATATCCGAGGCACCGTGCGACCTCCGTTCACCAGAAAGCGACCCGGGAGTTCAAAGGCCACGTTGACCACAGTCAGAGGCAGGAAACACATCCATTATTTGATGCTTCGATCAAAGAGTGGGGTCCCCTCTCGAAGCACCTGGGCGTGGACTACGATCCGGCCATCACTGAAGTTGTTGCTGATTGGTCAGTATTGATGGTCATCAAAGATTCTGCATACTCGGAAGCATAACGCAACACTCAGTTGCAGCAATGGCTGAGCAATGGCTGTTTGAGACCAGCGTTTCTCTTGTTGCTTACGGATGCATCACGGCATATGTTGGGGGCAACGGCGGGTGGTGGACAATTTTGAGGTCTAATTGACTTCGAGTCTTGTAGCCCCAGACGCCAAGTCGTCGATTTAAAGCTCCTGCAGTGGCACAGACCACTAAGGTATCGTTCTTAGTTAGGTACCCTACAGGGTCCCAACCTGACTTTCTAGACGTTTTGACCAGGCTGTCCACGGCAGCTTGGACCCCATCTCAGCCTTCGCAAAGTGTCACAGCGAGACGACGCCATTACGAGGACCGCAAAAGCCAATTGGGCGTGCAACATGTGTCACCTCCGATCGTAGTGCCGTCATCTAGTAATCATCAGACGGACGGATCATTGGGCACTACCGAAACGGCCATGCCACCCTCACCCATCGCGCAGGCGCTACTCGGCGCATTGCTGCTGTTCACCCAGCCAGCTACGGCAGAATCATCGACACTAAGGGAAGGCGCGCTTCCGTCATATCACTATGGTGCGCCGATAGCAGTCGAGTGTATGAATCGGAGCATGTACTGGCCCCCCAATATTTGTCCATCCCCTGCAGGTAGAATCCATCTCGCTCACCACTGTCGCTTCCAGAGAAACGGGCGAACACATCCAGAATGAAAAGGACGAAATTGAATGGATCCCCTTCCCGTCCTGCAACGAGACGCTGAAACCGCTCGAATTTCACTACGGAATCGAGTCGGAGATCAACTGCACCATCCCCATGGTCGACGACCCCTTCTTCCACCTCCTCGAGTTCTACATCCACTCCGACGCGCCGCTCGCCTGTCGGCTTCCCGCGCGCCCGCCCCCGCACGTCGAGGCCGTTGGCGCCGAGCCCTATAAGCAAGAGTACATCCCGCTGGTCTTCGCGCTGGCGGGGACGCTGCAGCTGAGCCATCTGCATATCAGCACCCACCTCAACGTGCTCCTACACAGCACGCCCAAGCACCACATCCACCCGCACGATAGCGGCGTGTTGGATTCCGGTGCGGCGTATAGCACGAGTCCGCTGAGCCATATGGAGGGGAGCCAGACGAGAAGACTCGTCATTGGGGACCCGCTGCCGTTGAGCTTTAGTGTGCGGTGGTTCCCGACGCCGGCGCTGCCCAAGACGGAGGGGAAGGTGGAGTGGCAAGGGATTGGGGGGCATATATATGCTAGTACCATGTTCTACAGTCTTGTGTCGTTTATTACGGGGGTCTTGGCAAGCGCGGTTTATTTCTTCGGCGTGATTCTACCCAAGAGGTTGCGCGGGAGGGGAATGGGTGGTGCGACGCCGTTGGGGTATGGCATGGGGGTTGGCAATGGGTGGGGGATATCGAAGAGAATGGATTAGAACGGATATCTGTATTGTTTTGGTGACGCATAGGTTTTGTGCATATTGAATGGGCAGATCTCATTGGGGCGGCTTGAACTATTTGTTGATACGGATTTCACATCTGGAGTTTAGGCCAGCATTGGGTTTGCAACTAGCTACGACTGGAGGAATACCATATGATCGTTTGGATGTTCTCGATGCGCACCGGGATGCTATTAGTGATGCCAACAGACGACAGTACACAGGCCGCCAGACTCCTTGCCTTCACTGCAGCTTCCTCCTCTCATCAACAGCCTCAACGCGATTGAGCAGTCTCATGTACATATCACCTGTCAACAACACCGCTACATCACAGTCAGCATTTGGCCTTGTATCACCTTATCTTACCAACCACTCCGATTCCAGAAAAGAGCTTACTCACCAACCGCCAAATACCCGCCATAAAGCCCCCCAAGCAACACTGCCTTCTCCCCCAAACCAATCAACGTCTCATCCCACAACCAAGCCTCCCACATGCACGTCGCGGTTGTCAATGCTGTCTCGACTCCGTACACTAACAGCAACAACTCATCCTTTCCCTTCAACCCGCCTTGTCCGCGTCCTTCTTTGTTTCCCCACAGAGCGCCAACAGCCCACACAGCAACAGGCAAGTGGAAAACGAGTTCCCAAAAGGCGAAGAGAGGGAAGAAACTCGGGATGGGGGCCGGCGGAGGAGCAAAGAACTGATCCTTGTAGGTGGATAGGTAGTACGACCTCAGGTCTCCCAGGAAGGAGAGGGGAGATGTGGGGGTGGACCAGAGGGAGGGGGGGTAAAAGGGGACGAGATCGACGCCTGGGGTTGAGTGGTTAGTCAACCGGAAGATAGATAAGAGGAATGGAGTAGCACCGCGGGATGAGACGTGAAGCTGGGTGCATGGCTATTGGGTAACGGGTGGTACAGGGGAAGTGGATAAGAACGAGGCAATGAGGACTTGGGTCAGGCGGGTCGGTGGGACGAGACGCGCATCCCAAGTGTCGAAATACCCGGAAGACTGCAAAGTGAGCGCGAATAAGATGCGGCAGCCACTCGGCCCAGTGAGTGTACAACTCTCCAAACAACCTTCAATCGTGCATGAATAAGAAAGGTCTAACTCACAGAAGAGAATCGGGATGTGCAGCACAAAGTACACGAGATACACATTATCAAGCCAATGGCGCCGGGTCGAAGGCATAATAGCTGGTGTTATATAAATCCGCCCGAGTCTTCCGTATCGCGTTGATCCCACGTGAGAAGGATGGTAATACGAAGTGGTGGGATCAGACGAGCGTCGAGCGATTGAGATTCGAGGTGGAAATTTGTTGGATTTGGACGAGGTGCTCGGATGAGATTCAATCAGTGCTCTTGTCACCTTTACACTGTACTGTAGCACGGTGGAGAGGTTGAGCTGCTGGACAGGGGTAAGAGATCAAACCCACCCATGTAAGTCGCGTATAAGTCGCGTATAAGTCGGCGTAGTAAAAACTTGCAGTGGACTTCAACATCGAAAACGACTGAAGCTTGCTTGAATGGAACTATCCAGCCAGACGGCCCTAATACGCCGATAAACAATCAGATCGTGTCCCGTGGGTGAAGTTACGCGTCAGCGCCGAGGTGCTTGATCTCCAACTTCTCCCTTTTGCCGCCTCCTCTAGCAGCTTCACGGGCCGCCGCACCGTTGGGCGCCTTCTTGCGCTGTCTGGCCGCGCGAAACTCCAGGAAAATATCCAGAGCCGAGATGGTCTGGCCTAGGACGAACATTTGGGCCAGACTGAAGCCGATGGCGAGAGCGCCCTCGAAAGGTACTACCCTTGTTACACATATGGAGATCTTGCTGATGTCGGCGAACCCCGTAAGGACAGTAGCAACCGACAGGATGAGAAATACCTGGTTGTTGAACGTCCTCACTTTCTGCATGAGCGTTGCTTTGGTTGGCACCGGCTGCATGTCACTTGCTTGGGGAGGGGCTGTCTTGACTTTGACGATGAAGTGAAGGGCAATTGCAGCAAACCCGTCGATGACTGTGAGAAGACCAAGGACCTGGCTGATAATTAGTTGTATGCGATACGGAATCAAGATTTAACCTACGCCATGAGCCGTACGGATATGAGCCGCATTGCCCATTGCCACCACACCAAAGACCAGGATGATGATCAGAAAGGGTGCCATGATGAAGAACCACATAATGTTGACCCACTTAGGGATCCAGGTCATCACATCAGGCTTGTGCATGCGAATGAGCATGTTGCGAAGGCTCTCCAGACCCACCGCCGCAGGCAGGACATTGATCATGACTAGGATGCCGAAGAGAACTGCACATACCGTTGAGAAAGTGGCTGGAGGGCTGCTGACATGGGAAAACGTACTGTGGATAACAAGAAATGCTGCGAAGATTGCCACCGTATTTCCGTTCACCTTGATACCACCTGCTGCATTGACCAAACTGCCGTTGAGATTATCGACCACGGTCGTCATTTCAATGTCGTAGTTGTTGCCATTATTGGTGAAGCGCAACACCCCCTTGGGTATGACATCCTTAAACTGCTTGAGGGCGCCTCGCGACTCTTCGTCGAGAGGGATGGTGCCACTGTTGGTTAGACCAAGAGCTACAAGCGCCAGGCCAGCAATACCCTCGCAGGTCAGCACATCAATGCTCTTCTGCATGACAGTTGAGAGGCTATCGGCATCAAGGATGGATGAGAGATTAAATGTGGTCGTCCCGTTGGATATAGTTGCGTTGCCAATGACGGAGGCTTGTCTGACATCCAGGTTGCCAATGGTGTCGGCGCTTCGCTTCTGTGTTACGACATTGACATTCAACTGCTGGAGCAGTGTCTTAGTGACCATGACGCCTTGCGTCCCAAAGCCCTGGCCGAACCCGACAGCACTGCCATTAAGGGAGTCATCGAACAACACTGGCGTCTCGGGGATAGCTCCAGTGGGGGTGACGGCCTTGTTGTCTAGGAGTGCTTGCATCCCGCCCATTGCGGTGATGCCGTCGGCAGCTCCTTGGATAATCCCACGCGCAAAACCCCCCGCTGTTTTGGCCACGTCAACGTTTCCGAGGACACCACTGACCGCGTTGCCGTCGGCTTGTCCTTGCTCACTCATTTGAGACATGAGTTTACTGACAGTGCCGTTAGCAAGCAGGCGCGACGTGAGACCAAGAGCAAAGTTTTGGGAAATTCCTCCAACATCGAGGGTACCGTTGGGCATAGCCTGCATCGGCAGCAGGCCTGGGTCAGGCTGTATGCCGAGTCCAACTGGAATTCCCTGGCCAAGACCTTTGCCGAAGCCAGAGGCAGCGGAGGGCAGATATTGCATGACAAGATCCTTGGTGTTAGTTCCTTGGGTCAAGTTGCTGAAATCGACGTTCGAGGTAATCGACTGAGTGAGTCCGAAACCGAAAGAACCAGCAAGATCCGGAACGCTGGTACCCTGCGGAGGAGCCACGCTATTTAACTTCAGTCCAGCGACAGCGCCATTTCCAATCCCTTGAGCCAAGCTCAGGACCGCAGGAGGGAGTTGTTGCATCAACTGCTGAGTCATAGGACCACTGGCCAGATTGTTGACGTTGATGTTGCTGGCCACGGTGTTCGTCAAGCCGAAACCGAAGAGGGTGACGATGTCGGGGAGAGCCGTAGCGTTAGGATTGGGTGGAACCACAGTATTGATCTTGAGACCGGATACTGCCCCGTTGCCGATGCCAGTTGCCAGTCCCGAAACTGCTGGACCAACTTGCCCACCGGCGCCGCCAAGTAACGACTTTACGTCGACAGCACCCAGGAGTGTTCCGGTGAGGCCGCTGCCGAGATTTTGGATAGCTGGATTTAGGCCCGACGATTGCACACCGCTTTCTGCAGCGACTTTGGCTCCAACCGCCTTTGCGTTCTCTGCAGTTGACATGTTCAGCCCTGTTGCGGCGCCCTCGCCGATTCCGATACCCAAGAACATGCCAGCACCTCCCACGTCTTGGAGCAGCATATCTCCAATTGATGACAAACCGCCCGAAAGCAGACCCCCTAATTGCCCAATTGGATCAGTAGCAGCAGCTGCAGCACCTTCACCTGCAGCATTGTCGCCAGCAGCCGCACCGCTGATCAGATCGCCGAAACTGGAAAGCTGGCGAGGAATCAGGGATCGTCGATGGTTCCAAGTTCGGGAATTCTCCCGTCTGTTAGAATTAGAGAGTGCCTCGTTGTGTCTTTTGAGCGAATCGATAACCTCGAGGAGCTGCTCGTTGGGAAACCGTGCTGCTAACCACTCCGATGCTCCGGCAGCAACGTCAACGATGGCCACGTAGTTCCGTCGTAATATCTCATCGTGTTCAATCGCTCTCACTGTTGCTGGTGAGACCAGGCCGACGAATTCCCTCTTCCAAGGTCCTTGTGTAAAGTCTGATGGTGTGGTTTCGTGTGAGCTTGCCAGAAGTACTGTGGAGCACGATACAGTAAAGATGATTAAGGCAAGAAGTAATAACATCTTGCGCCATGAGTAAACCCCTCTTGCCTCGATTGTATGGCTGGGTTGGTCCATTGTATATATATATATAAGTTGACGTAGTAGAGGAGAAACAACGACGGAGGGGCAAGGTCGCCAGCGACGTAGACTGCAATGTGAATACATAGACCAAGAGAGTAAGGAAAATTAAACCTAGCCAACGTGCTGAGGGCCTAGAAGTCGCCGCAATTGCCAGGTAGGTAATATAAATAAAGATCAACTTCAAGTCCTCGCAGGAAAACAATGCAAGGTGCATGGAGAGGGCACGTACATCATAAAACAGACTAAGACGTCCCCGCAAAGACATGACTTAGACTGAGGATCACCCATAGGCTCAGCTGTTCGGGATCTGAGGTTCCCACAATATGCAGCCAGGATAAATACGCCTTGCACGGTCGTTACCGCCGAATCTCTCCAGTTAATATACGTTTTCACTTGGAGACTGGCAGAGAGTGGAAACAGCATGGGTTCAGCGAGCCTGCAATGGCCAATGAGGCGACACCTATCTCTGTTTCGAAGTGCCTAACGCCCAGGAAGCTCTCCAGCCACTTCACGACGTCGACACCGTCAGGCGTATCATACCATGAGATTCCTCCAAGGGAAGGCGGTGTCTGGAGCGGGTTCGTCTGCTGCAAGGTCCCAGGGTGTTGGCATCAAGATAATAACCAGCCGGTTTCTGCCACGATCGTCAATAGACCTTGCTTACTGCTTGGGACGATAGGTCGACACCTGCCATCGGAAGGTGCCTTTCGCACAGCTAGAGCCGACGTTCCAGATTCTCTAGCGGGCAGCTCATCAACGCGAGACAACGAGTCCAGACTAAAATTGGGAAAGCCCGGGAGTGAATGGTCTTGTGATGCAACGCATAGGGATCAGCAAAGGGAAAGTATTGGTGGCCGAGATCAGACGGCTGAATTAGTGCATCATGAGGAGGCAATCCAGAAACATTTCAAGTCTGATGTTTGGATGTTTCCTCGAAGGAAGAACGAATGACGATGAAAAGGTCAGACGTCGCACGATTCTCGATCAAATTGCAGGGACCTACGTTAGACCAATCAGAGATCAAGCATAGGGATCTGGTCTTGAAGCTAAACTCTCGATCCAGTATTTAGACCCCGATTCGAACGATGCAAGCCCCAGATCGTAGCTGTCAGCCTCGTTGATCGCCAGTGGTTGCTTGTCATGCAGCAGCGCATTGCAGAGGTGCCTTCGTGACTCAGGTTCTTACTATAGAACGTATGCCCCACTAACATGTAACGAATCCGTGAAATAATCTTGGGGTCCGCATCGAGTCTTCCATTCGCCATCATCCTTTATCTAGTTCTAGCATATCTCTATCGGGTTTATATCAAAGTCGGCTGGTGTAGTTGGTCACTTCGCTGGTAGATAAGTCCCGATTTCAGCCTCGCCCACTTGGGTCGGTGACGAGTCGCGGGTTCGAATCCTGCAGCTGACACACAAGGGGGTTTAGTCAACCCTTATGGCGCGCTGCCCACCTTGTTGACTTCGCCTACCTAGCGATAATAGGGAGATTGGTGCAGTTTAGGATTACGAGCATCCTAGCCAGTCGACCGTCAAGCACTACGTCGGCGGAATATAACTCGACAGCCGGTCCAGAATTCGAATCGTTAATCCGACCCCTTATCGGACCCCCTCTCGCCGCGATTCTTGCGAGCGTCTAGACCACGTTACGGTCTATCCACTTGAGCGTATGGTTGAGATGTATACGCTCGACGAGAACCCCAATTAGCAGATACTACGACTTGTCGCGACAAAAAATAGTCGAGCATCTTCTGCACATCAGCAGCATCCCACCCCTGAGGACGAATTTAAGTGCCACATTACCACACTTATCGGTAGTTCAGGCAGGGGTTGTAGCACAGACTTAGGGAGGGACAGGAGGTTTAGTAGTCGTTTGGCTACAAGTTTACCTGTATAACCGCCCGACGCGGCTTAAGGGCCCGCTATATCATCTATAGCCCCTTAAGGGAGTACTTGTAGAGGTACCGAGGGTTAACACCTACGGCGTATTTAATATTATTTTATATCAAGGGAATAAGGTAGAAGAGGGACTAGAAAAGGATGATTGATAACTGGAGGAATAAGGCTCTACGGCCTTGCTGTTACGAATCTACGATTCTAACCAACGCAACAGGCCCGATGGCAGGCCCAGTGGATACAGGACAAAGAAGGAGGGGAAAGTCACACAGATTGATTGATTGATTGAAATTTAACGTCTCATCACGTGAGACGTGCCGGGCGCAGTGCCGGCATGGTCTATGCTAGTCGAATCTATGTTACAGGGGACTGTCTTCATCTAACATTCCTGTTCAGTGCGATGGGCAGATCTCAGTAAAGAAATTGGTCTCCTCCGCCCATTGACAAAACAAACGAGCTCCCTTGGCCGTGCCTAGGAGGGAATCTATACTATTCTTGGCCATATGCGCTTTTAGATGACCGGGCGTGGCCTTGCGGCCGCGCTTGCAAAAGTAGAAGTGGACTGGTGTCTTTGTCTTTCCACACCCGCAGTTGAGCAGTGCGTCGCGATGCTGGAGTCTCTCGTGGTAGGTCACGAAATCCCCGTGGTGCGACCTCGCTGCGAGTAATCTGCCTAGGTGTTGCCGGGGCAGGCCAAGTTCGGGGGGTCGCGGGTGGATAGCGATCCCTAGATCTCGATACTGTTGAGGGCAGGTAGTGGCCCATCGTTCGTTGAAACTCTTCCAAGTGTAGGATCTCGCGAATCTCTTTATATGTGCGAATGAGGCCGGGTGTTGTGTCTTGGGTGGTTGCTCACAGGCCGCTTTGGCCTGGACATCTGCTTCTTCGTTTCCGGGGATGCCTACGTGTCCTGGGCACCACCAGATATACACTTGTCCCGGGGATGTCCAGGGTTTTCGCTCTCTCTGTGACCAGGTTTTGGACAGCCTCCTGAAGCCCCCGTAGTGCTGCGTGGGCTTCCGCATCGTATACCTCTATCTGAGTGCCCAGTAGTTCGGACCCGCAGAGTAGTCTTTTACCGGCCTGATAACCAGCCCAGCCTGCTCCAGCTAAAGTCCTGTCGCTATGGGTAGCCAGCGAGCCGTCTGTATAGATTATTATATCGCGCTTTGAAAATTCGTTTATCCTTTGTAGAAACGAGCGGGCAGCCTCCTCCTTTGACTGTCCTGGGATATAATTGATCTTGGCGAGGGTGATGGACCATTCGCCAGCCTGCTCCCAGGGCGGTATTTGCAGAGGATCTAGATATTCTGCAGTATCTGGGGTTAGGCTCGCCATACGCCTTAACCTCGAATCGGGGCCCGTAGGATGTCTGAGCCTCCTGCGTAAGGGATGGCGGCTATCCAGTTTGTGCAATCTAACAGAAGCCGCACAGAGTTTTGCGTCGAGTGCGATTTCTGCTGGCGGTAGTGCCGCTTCCCGTTGCAGGATCGGTATTGGCGTGGTCCTATATACAGGAAGCATGGCTCTTATTGCGGTATTCTGCGTTCGATCCATTTGGTCAGCTAGGGATTGGACCCGGTTTGAGATAATGCGTCCATTCTTGTTCTGTCTGGCAAACGGCCACCATGCTTCCGAGGCGTAGAACTGCACGGGGAGCACGCACGCGATTACAGCTTGACGGAGTAGTCGTGTTGGGGCCCCTCTGATTGTGTTTCCTAACGACCGGAGTCCGTTAGCAACCTGTAGAGCTTTAGCTGAGACGAATTTGACATGGGCCTTAAAGCTAAGCTTTCTATCAAAGTAGACGCCTAACCACCTGAGTGCAGCACCGATTTTGATGGGTTGAACAGTGTGGATCGTTCCATTCTGTTGCGTAGTGGTAATGGGTGGGTTTGCATCTCTCCCTCTTCTTGTGAAGTGTATTAGCTCAGTCTTGTCGGGGTCGAACGTGATACCCTCAGACATGCTCCAGTCGAGTGCTGCTTTCCACTCTTCGGCCAGTATAGTGCAATTTTCTTCTAGGGAACTAGAGCTTGACAGTATAGCTATGTCGTCCACGTAGCCGAATCGCGAGCGCTTGCGTCCAGGTCGGCAGGTGCCCAGCTTAAATAGGGGCTCGATATATAGAAGGAGGAGGATCGGCGAGACGGGCGATCCTTGCGGAAGTCCACATTCGAGGTCAAAGGGACACATCATACTTGATACCGATTCCTTGGACCTACTATAACCCAAATAACAGAGGCATAGCGAAGAACATTTATACATCTGGCCAAATTTTAAATCCTGAAATCACCGATCCTTCTCTCCTCATCGGGAGTGAACTTTACGACACTCTTTTCAAGAAGGCAACTATATGTCGATCAACTGTTGGTAGTAATCCGAGTTCTGATCGCAACTCAACCTGGCGACACAATGTCAAAGTGGCATCTCACGAGCCGAGCTCGATTTGACCATGACAAAGAGCCGATCACGCGCGCCATTGCTGCCAGTACCTTGTGTCTCATTCGGAAATAAGGGGCATGAACCAATGGCGTTTGACGATCCGGAACCGACCGTTCGGATGCCCTAGCACGTGCATACTGTATTTGCCTCATTATGCGCCGTATTAATGAACCCTACTCATATCACGCCACAAGAAGCCCCGAAGGATCTCGGGTAAGTTGAACCTAGTTGGCCCGATGTCACCCATGGTTTGGAGATTAGTTACTGGGGTTGCAAATCCAGAGTTCATATGCATGAGATACGGCGATTTCAACCATGATTGGCTAGTCAGTATATACCCCTACATCCACCGCATCCCCTGGCAAACCTACAGTTTTAGACTCCAATCCTCGGACATAGCAGGTTGATCCATTGAGCAATATCAGGGCTGTGCCACAATTATCATCATGCGATAGCACCCGCAATACGAAACTTCGCAACTGCGCAGAAGTGGGGAGCAGTAACCAATCTGCTGGACCTTGCCTTTTTCTGAGTGCGTGCTCTCCGGCGCAGACATGGGAGTGGAAGCATGCTATGAAATGCTTCTAGGAGGCTTCTAATTCAAGTACAATGGAAAGTCGGATTTCGGTTGGCTGCAATTATCCTATACTAGTAGAGTGACTCCCATTACAAGCAAGGGACATTCACAGGCTTATGTTATTGAAGGATGGGTTTATGCATTTAGATTGATAAATTTACGCGTCGAGCGTTTTTGTCAGCCTGTTGTATTGGGTAGGAATTGATGACTGTTTTGGCCATCAGAAGCTTCGTTTGACCGAGCCAGGTTACCGACGTGACGACGTTCCACTCAAACAGCTGCGATGAGGCAGAGCCTTCTAGGTAGTTGCCATGTGAAGTGATTTTGGAATACAGCAAGGTGTTGCCGGTCAGATTATACATAAATTTGTCGGCGCTGATCTTGTCTTTGTCTAGGACGTTGAATGTCTTCATAATTTACCCATGTCGTGTCTCCCACAATGATCCCATCAGCGGATGAAGTGGAAAGTTATTTCCCCAGAAGGCTATGTGGTGGACTTTGATGACCCGCAAAGGCAGCATATGCTCTTGGTCTATGTCTGGAGTGTGGGCTTGCTGCTCACATTGTTTGTCGCACAGAGGTTGTATGTCAAGATTGCCATTTGTAGAAAATTTGGCCTCGATAGTATATGGTTGGCTCTGTCATTAAATCTATTCATGCTGACTCGTTTTCAATCACAACACGAATTGTTTCGGCAGTAACGGGAGTTGGTAGGTTCATATGTCGTAAAATTGAGCATTCAATACCATACCGAGCCTCCAAAACTTAACCACCACCACCATTTCGCCTGCTCAACACCAGGTTATGTATCACCAAGATAAATGTCACCCCTATTTATATACCAAGCTGCGAGCCCAGTTGTGAAACCTGGCTCCTCAGTCTGCAGCCCTTGAGGCAAGGGATTTATACCAGATTCGCTCTCACCTCCCGCCAGCAGACTGGCATCTGACTTTTTAGCATGCTTCTCAGTAGATTCCCTCTCTAAAGAGGGCAAGGACACGTCACTCAAACGCGACTGACGTCGTGCATAATGATGGTTGCTTTTGCCAAAGACTTCGGTAGTGGCAAGCTCCCATCATCGTCGTGAGAGGATAGTTCGGCCGGAGCAAGCGTGGTTAGTGATATCACCTGATCCTTCTTCAAAATGTAAAGTTATTTCTGCAAGCATGGGCGCTTAGTATGCTAACGGTGATGTTCTCGAATAATCGTTTTAACACATCGACAAACTTTCCGCGAGACCCACGAAGTGGCTTCATAGGAGCAATCCAGAAAGCCGGCGATGTGACTAAAGCATTTTAGATGAACCCCTGACTGTAAGTGAATGCCGCATTTATTCCACGTCCATCTGCGCGATATTCGAGATGGGGATTTGGGATATGACACCGTTCCCGGTTCCCGCTAGTAGCATGCTGAAGACATACACGATTCCCTGATACGGAGCTTTCTCTGCGCTGCTCTGCTTGAAACAAAGAGGGTACTTATCATCGCAACTGTGGAATTTCACATCACTTTAGGGCCTATTGGGATAGCGGGCTTATGTCCCGCCTCTAAGAGTGTCTTGTCAAGGCTCAAACTTGGAGACATTGGTGTTTTGATCTCCGGTTATATATTGAGAACTTGGAATCGAGAACAAGTTGGAACTGAGTCAGTGTCTCTTGATGCACAGTCTATGCTACGCAAGAAAATAGCGGCATTAGCTAAGCAGAGTCTACAGAGACATTGTGGCTATTGGCCAGATAGCTTGTTTGCTTAAACGAAGACGACATAATAGTCTCAAACAACATTCATGTAAAGAGGCCATGCCCGTATAGAGTTGCCGGCCAAGTTGGTAATAAAGGAGTGGATGCACGCCTCCGAATGCCTGTCTCAAATTCAATATGACCTCTATCCCGGACTCGGCGGATATCCATAGTCTCACTAAAACATTGCCAAAACTTCTTTAAGACAAGGTGGCATGGTAAACCCGATATGTTGCCATGTTGTATTCCGGTTACCATTTGCAGACATTGTGACTCTTTACACCCGTCCAATAGAGAACCCTTGCACCTGGATCAAGCGCAGATTTCTTCGTACAGTCGCCGATTCGGTCACGAGGAATAACCATCTGTTCGTCATGACTTAGCACTTCAGCGTCCCAAACCTCCCAACTAGCCCAACCCCCCTAAATCTCTCCATTACCCCTATCTCCAGACTCAAAACAACCTCCAACCCACCCTCACTAGCCTCAGTACCCGGTACTCGCGGCAGCACAACCGGATACCTCCTCCCCCTCCAAGCTGGTATCCGCACCGCCTCGCACCGTCCCACTCCCGTGCCCCACTGAAGGTCGTACACCCCCTCATCGGCCCACGAAACAAGGGAAACCCCGTCATGCGGCGGACCCAGCTTGATCGAGCTGATATCTGATTGGGATGCTACGTACGACAATGCATTCTGAACCGCTTTCTCGTGGACTCGACCGAGGGCGGCTCGGACTGCGATGGCGATTGTTGACAATTTACATAATGATTTGTGATCCAGGAGAACCGCGTTTGGGGTTTGAGAAGACGTAGTGGGGTTTGAGAGGGAAATCAAGTCGTCCCACGATGCTGTGGCGGACGTCATAAAAAATGCGGCGCCGACGTAGTCCTTCGGTAGCGGCGGGTTGTAACGGGAGCAGAAGTTGACCGGGACGCCTATTGTTGACGTGTCCCCGGGGCTGTAAGTACCCGGAGGAGGAGTTTCTGCCCGGATGATGGCGCTCCATAGGATGGCCGTCAGAACATCGCTTGAGGACACCCAGGTTACGTCCGTTTGTGTCTCGAGTGTCGTGATATGACGGTTCACCGCGCCCTTCAGTTCCTTCAACGTAGCGTCCGGGAAGAAGAATATACTAGTTTTGAACTCGACGGGGCTTCGATTGGCGTCTTCCAGCTTCGAAACCTTGACCGCAAGCTCCCGTGGCGACAGTAAATTCGGCAAAGTCCCGGACGGCGTTTCCCCAACAACTGATTCAAGGTCAAACAGCGCCCTCCGGTCCAACCACTTCCCATCAAACCCCACCGGCTCCGACCCGCCCGTCCGACAATGTGATGCCCACATCTTGAACAGAGCCCCAAATCCAGTGACATCCGTCGTTCTGTGGTGAACTGCGACACAAAGCAAGAATCCCTCCCGAATCAAGCTCAACTGGGCCCTGAAGACGGGAGCCGGATTCGACAAGGGCGGTTGCGTATCCTGAGGGAGTATCTCAGCTGACGTCAATGCTCCGGGTGAGAAGTTTGCTCTCTTCAGCGTGGGGTAATCCAAAGATGACGAGAGATCTTGCCACGACAGGAGGTCGTCTGGGGTTTGATACGCATCGCTTAGGGAGACAGAGCCTGTTGGGCTACCGTTGCGGACGACGCCTGATAGCAGGTACTGCACGTCGGCCACGAGACCGGGGAGGGCATTCTGTAGTATTCGGGGGATGTCTGGGTGGGTAGACGGGAAACAGAGGATCTGGCGGATGTAGGTGTTTGGCATAAGCCAGTCGAGAGGGGAGAGGTAATTTGATTTGGGAGGCATGCCCAGCAAAATACCCAGAAAAATATATCAGGCGACACCTCGAACAAAGTCCTCTGAAACTTGGCAAGATATTGGGTAGATGGCAGGACATTGGTAAGTTCAGCGTCTGCGTGTCATCAAGTATGCACAGGATTAGTAAGCACAGCGCCAGGAGTACGCGATGAAGAGCACCTCTTAATAATGAAATAGCAGTAACGTCGAAGAGGAAACTGCAAGCACGATGTCACAACAGTCTACAGTTTGGTGCTAGTTACCTCGATAGGGCAAAACGCACAAGAAATGATTTCAGCTTTCTGCTGACCACCCTGATCCTAAACGCCCGTCCATGCAAGGCTTGCTAAAACAAAAAAACCATGTGCCGCCCGGAGTCATGTAATATCCAAGAGAAGCTATAGCAAAATATTTGAGAGTTTTCTGATTCCTATCTTCCGGCTTGGGGCGTTTGTGGTCCGTGTGCTTGTCCACGAAAACAGCGTAGAGACTAGCGTAGAGCTAGTAGTTTTGGCTTCTCAACGGTTTTAAGGAACTTGGGTCTGTCTGAGAGAGGTGCATCCTGGGTGCCATTAAGGCAGTCACGTATTGAAGAATTGGTGGTGTTGCCACGATGGTGGTGCGAAGTCCATGGGCAGAGGGACCAAACGCATTCCGGTGTCGGTCGACCTTCCTCACCAGTCTACGGCCCAGCCATTTCCCTCAAGAAACTCTTCACAGGCTTGTTTCAACCCCAGGTTTGGACGCAGTTCATTGGGCAACAGCGGTTCCCTTGTGAGCGGATCAGTGGGATGCCTCCGAAGGTGTTCCATAATAGAAGCGCGCTCGTAGCTCTTGCCAGTCTTAGTCTGAGGTCACAGTTAGAGACAATTACGCCATCTGCGCGATCGTACGGCGGTGGCTTACCATGACAGGATCGACCATGATACCGAAGCTGATGTCATCGATGGCCCAATCCGGAACGACCCGACGCCTCTCAAACTCAGACCGAGCCTTGTCGAAGGTCTTCTTGAGTATTGATATCTTGTGCTCCCACTCTTGCGCAACCTGTTTTCGGTCGCCTTCGTTGTCGCAAGTGGCGATCATGTCGTCCTTCTCTTGCTCCATCATGGAGATGACCTCTTTCTCGAGCTCCTGGTCTTCGCGTATCCTCTTCTTCTCCATTTCCTCCCACCGAGCTTTCTTGCAATTTAGGACGAGTGTGGTGACTTGCGTGAGGGACTTGTCGTTAGTGATGACGCAGAGACTGTGGGCTTTGATCGCATGGGACAATGCCTCCTCGTAGTCGTGGAGTTCGGAGTGGGCTTGGGCTAAGTAGTAGTGGGCCTTCATGCTCTCGTCGTTGAGCTTCAGGCAAGCTTCACAGTCGGCAATGGCCGAGTCCCAGAGCTTGAGCTTCAGCCTAGCCATGGCGCGATTCGTATACAGGGCGGGATTGGTGTCGTCTGCGATGATACTATATTGCAAGGTACCAGTTAGCCTCATGTCACCGCGGAGGGCCAATAGCGGATGTGGTAAGGCTGTACCAGACCAGCCCTGACCCCTCCTCTACGGCGCTCCGAGGCCTACGTACGCTTTGGAATACATACTTTCCGCGCCGACGTAGTCGCCTGACTGGAAGTACTTGTTGCCGTCATTCTTGAGCAGGCCGGCTCGGTCGGGGTCTCTCGGCATGGCTGGAGAATTTGCCGGGGTATCTGGTTGATTGATGTTCAAGGGGTACCCGGAAGCGCAAGGAGATAGACTCAATATGGTCGAGTAGAGAGGTTGTGAAATGTAAAACGTGTTGAGATGGAGGTGGTCGCATTGGGGTGCGTCACGGCCAGAGCGTCTTATCGCGTGGGGCAGAACTGCAAATGCAAGAAAGCCAGCAAGTGCATTTCATCAGACGTAGAATCACAAAGAAAGACGGAGGACAGCAGTTGGCTGACTACGACATATCATGCAGTCAGGTGCCAGTCAGCTCCGAAAGCGACAAAGAAACATGCGAGGTCGAACGAAGTGCGATGCAGTCTTGCCATCCCGTCACAGCCGACAAGTTCATGGACCATTTGTGCGGCGGGAGTTTGGAAGTTTCGAGAACACAGCGGGCTCTTAAAGTTGGAGATGCGCACTGACAGACTGTCCCACCCTATGCGAATCCGTAGCGGGGTAGCTACGGCCCGCACTTGACTCGATGTGGTTTCACTAGACTTTGGCGGGCAATCTTCTATTAAAGTCAATTTAGACCTTGGAACTCAACACCTGCTCACTACGTGCAGCTGTGTGCAGCTGAGTGCAATCTTCACTTGTCGACAGTCTGCAGCCGCGTTGACTGCCATGCCTGCAGCAGCATATACGACACCTGTGCTGCCATCATGAACCCAGAAGAAGCCCATTAAATCTTGGCATGCTGTGAGGCTCACACCGTTTTCATACTGTTGCGAGGAAATGTGTTTGGCCACTCCCCTATTCATGCTGTTGCCAGCCAGAATTATAGAAATTTTTGTGATAGGGTCAACCGAATATGCATGTCATGCCAGCCCCCTCTATTCAGCTCGATATTCTTATGAAAGACGGAGCAGTCGAGTGAGTTATGCACCGACATAGTATCGAGCATTCAAGGATATAGGAATAGGGACTTTGCATATACTTAAAACACTGTGGAGGACTCCTGCTCTACCAAACACAGCCTATATGACAATGAATCAATGAACTTAGTGGCAAAACTACCTTTACCCCAAACTAGATTCCTCGGTCGTCGTTGCTATGGACACGGATTCATCCTACTTCGTCCAAGCTCAATAATAGGGTGAAAAACATGTCCAGAGTTTTTCTCTTGATAACTTATCTACATGGTCGTTTAGTGTTCCACCTCGAAAATATGTCACTGTACAATGTCTCACCTAAAACCTAACAGTGAGAATCTTGAATAATGGCAAAGTCAAGACGCTAGAAGTCGCGATGTCTAGCTCATCCAAAGCAAGGCGTAGCCTTCAATGCGGCAACCACTTCGCCGCCGCGGCGCTGTTACCTTCCATGATGGTGACTACCTACGCAGTCATCGAGCATCTTGCCAAACATTCAGTAAATATGATTGAGGATACCAGAGCAATATCTTGAAAACGAGAAGCTTTTCGCAGCATTGTGTGATCAGCCCACACGCATGGGATGTCCAGAATAGACATGATATAGCTCATTCCGCCTTGAACAAACGACCTGGGTTGTTTCCGTAGAGCAGATGTACATGAAAATCTATAGATAAAGTGAAAGACTACATTGAAGTATATATAACTTCTGACCTATAGGCATGTGGCATCAAACTGACCAGACGTCTCTGTAAGTCAGGTCATTTCAGGCAGGAATTGCCGACCTAGTTATCCAACCTAATTCGATATTATTGCACAGTTCTAGCATCGCCTGGACAAGTCATCTCTATGGATACAAATATAGACTCGTAGGCGAGATGGCTAAAAACAATGGAATATTCCTCGTCCTTGTTCTAAAACTCAGTATTAGTTAATTTTCATAAAGTCTCAAGTAGAGAAGTAGAGAACCTTGTGGTTGACAGAAGCTTTAGCAGACGAATTGCGAAAACTCGAAGGGACCCGGCCGAGAGCTGCGATGGTCTTCTCAAATTTAACCATCAGTTTTGTGAAAGACACATGTAAAGGCCAAGCTGACGTCTGCCTAGTATCATGTTTATTAGGAGGTGGATGACATGGTGGAACGGATTGTTGAGGCCAACCGACACAATGGTGTGCCCTCGCATAATTCGTGTTTACCATTGCGATGCTAAGGCCGGCTATCGAGGCTCCCAGTAATTTTGCCCACCTGTTCCATCGGGTGGTTTCCGTATGATTGATTGGCATGGCCTGGCATACCTCTTACGTGGGTCGGCCGAGTAGTGCCAGCCAAGCAGTGTAGCCTAGCAACTCCAGAACGCTGCGAGGCATGTTGCATGTTAGAAGCCCAGGTTCGCATCCTAGTTATACACTATTCTTAGCGTTCGGCTGGGTTACCGAATCGCCTCTCGGTATTGTCCTCCAGAATTGCTCCTTTCGGACGGTTAGTGTGACCCTTTTCCCCACTTTTCAATGGACAAACCAGGTTTGGTTGGCCCCAACGATTACCATTCGTTATGGTTAAATGAGGTCGACAGCTTCGCCGACAGGCAAACAGGTTCTGGGAATCATGTCAGTGGTGGAAGAAATGTGTGGATACGGAGGCTGACGACTTGTGCTAGAATACGGGAGCGTACGAGTTACATGCACGTTCGGTGGATGAGACGTGTAAATAATGCCGGAAATCTTCTTAGGAACTCATCGAGTTTTCCTTCTCATCTAGTACTCTTGTTTCCAAAATCTTGACCCTGTTGATTATCAGAATGAGGAGCTTCGTTTCGACCCTCAGCGCCGCTGCGCTGGCAGTGCATAGCGTCTCAGCGCACTACATCTTCCAACAGCTCACTGTCAGGACCACGCAGTACGATGTGTACGAGTATAGTATGCGAAATCAGCAATCTCTCGATAGATAAATACCCAAGTTGAGTTGTAACTGACCTACCAACTCTTTTCCAGTCAGAAAGAACAGCAACTACAATTCCCCTATCACCGGTAAGTCCTCATGTGTTCACACCGCGTCCACTGCATCACTCATACCGACGGAATGGCAGATTTAAACTCAACTGATCTTCGCTGCAACGTTGGGGCTTCCGGAAACGGCACTGACACAGTATCGATCACTGCCGGTGGGGCATTTACTTTCACACTTGACATTGTGTGTGCATATTACCAGGCAGCATTCAAGTAGCACCAGCTGACATACCGCTTAGGCTGTCTACCACCAAGGTCCAGTCTCGATGTAGATCCTCCATCTACCCCAGCACTGAGAGCACACGCTTACGATACGCAGTTACATGTCCAAAGCCCCGAGCGACGTATCAGACTACGATGGTAGTGGAGGCTGGTTCAAAATCACAGATATTGGTGAGCCTTTTGCATTAGGGATTTGTGTGCAACATCAATATTAACAATCGCAAGGCCCCACCTTCTCCAACGGAGTTGCCACCTGGGAGCTATACCGTAAGTTTCCTTCGATGTGCCCCTGCTTTTGATAGATACTATAAAGTAACACCCAACCACAAAGAGAACTACACCTCTACCATCCCCAAATGCGTCGCCGATGGACAGTACCTCCTAAGAATCCAACAATTGGCGATCCACAACCCTTGGCCCGCCGGAATTCCTCAATTCTACATCTCCTGTGCGCAGGTCGCTGTCACTGGTGGTGGAAGCGCAAATCCTGCGACAGTGTCCATCCCAGGAGTGTTCAAGGAAACCGATCCAGGATACACTGTGAACGTGAGCAACCAGCAGTTCGGCTCTGCGCTTGTGGATATGCTGACATAAGATACAGATCTACACCAACTTCAACAACTACACCGTTCCTGGACCTGCACCGGTGAGTTCAAAATAACCATGTAATATCTGCATTGCTGACATTGGGCAGATAACTTGCTAATTCCCCTGGCTCACCAAATGGCAGTGGTCGCCAGGAATCCTTGCAAAAAGTTAAACAAATGTCTTCTTCTGTGTGCATGAGCTTCGAATGATGATTGGCCTGTTGAGTTTGGCAACAGTACGAGGATTCTGGAGTAGCACGTTTGATTCTTTACGTGTAGTACTACGTACATTAAAAAGAAAGCACATGTTCTAACCAAAGTAGAACTCGCACATCTCCATCGCTAAATAATGTGAGACAAGAGCCATGTCATCTGTCCATCTCCAGTCACTAAAGAAACTTTGTAGTTTCATCCAAGCCATCGTTTTGATTTTGCGTTCACCTGGGAAGGGACTAGCAGCAATAGTCTCCGAAGGCTGAATAACGCGCTAACGCATAGGCATTCATATCATCCAATGAAAGGCATAGTGAGGAAATTTTGGCTAGCGTACACGCTACTCAGTCTTGATATTCAATGAACGTCAAGCCCTTTTTCCTATTTCAGTAGAAACCGACTTCGGGCTGCGTTCAGCCCCACGAGAGGAGAGGGTCAAAGTTCTGTGGCATCGAGCATTTACTATAATGAGCAAGGTGTATTGAGGCTGAACACAAGGCCTCAGTTCTAGACAGAACATACTTTGCGCAACATCTATGTAAAAGGCCCTCGTTTCTCTTTTCCTTACGACCGTCAAATGCACACTCAAGCAAGCTTCAAGTATCAATTTCCATCTATCCCACTATTCTACTATCTGATAAACTGCTCCACCATCACAGCCGTGATCCTATACATCAAGATGCGTTTGCCAACCCTCCTCTACCTTCTCTCGGCCGTAAGCGCCCAATATTTCGACGGCAGCACCGTGGGCGGCGTCATCACCGTGACAGACGAGCCCTCCGACTGCATGACCGCGCAATGGGAACTAACCACCTACTTCCCGACTCCCACGGGCCCTCTCCGCGACGCTCTATCGACCTACAGCCGCACCAAGAAATTCACCGCCGATCTTTGCACCAGGAGCGCCGATCTCCCAGCTTCCCTCTCCGACGAGATCAATAGCTACCATTCTTCCATGGCCGTATGGTACTCGGCCAATCTGACCATGCTTGACGCTTTTGCTACGAGGTGCCCCCTGGCGGCGAACGATATGTCGTCGATTGGGGCGTTTGCGACAATTTGTCATGTGGGTGGCTATGGAGGTGAGAAGGCAGAAAGTGGAGCTACGGCCACTGGTGGTGCTGCCGCTACGGGATCGAAGAATGCGGGGCCGAGGGAGACGGGGATGGTGGCGGGCGCTTACTTTGTTGCTGGTGCGGTTGGTGTTGCTGCTGCTGTCCTTTGAGAGTACGCAGGAGTGTTTGAATAGAGCGAGATGTGGTTCAAGTGGACGACCTGAAGCTCGCCAGAAAAGTCTATGCTTGAGAATATCTTGGAGGTCGATATCATCCTTAGACAGATACTTGCTTGTAGTGTGGGTATGATTTTCCTTGGCGAGAACCACGTCTCAATAGATCCCGATCAGAATTTATATTGACGGGCACTTTGAAGCCTGATGTAAGCTCTTCGTAGAAATGCTACACCGATTCCCTGGACTATTTATATTAGCGGTACCATAGCGTAAAAGCAGGGAATATAACTCTTGAATATGGAGGATTTGTACGTTGCTCTATGCCGTTCTTGATAATTCTCCGTTTTAGAGCCCCACGACGATCTGAAGAACGCAATACTCGGCCTACATAAGCACATTCACGGGCGCATTATGATACATACGACCATAGGCTGCAGATAACTCGGGATCCCGTCCGCTCTCCCATAGATAAACTGCAAACCGCTAGATTAGTAGTTGGGTGGGTGACCACCAGCGAATCCCTGGTGTTGTATGTTTTTGCTATACTTTTGCCCTCGGCCGTATGCTAGATATTATGAATATCCGTAGCTATGTTCGGTCTCGCTAGAGGCCTTATCCCTAATTCCAACATTTTTAGTATAATTGATTTTAGCCGTGCTTAGATATCTATCGCCTTTGTTCTAGGTGATTCTATCCAAGTGTAAGTAAGGTAGGGTCTAGTCCCACTTAACTTTGACTAACACAAAAAGTTAGCACATACGACCATAGGCTGCAGAGAACTCGGGATCCCGTCCGCTCTCCCGTAGATAAACTGCAAACCGCTAGATTAGTAGTTGGGTGGGTGACCACCAGCGAATCCCTGGTGTTGTATGTTTTTGCTATGTTTCTTTTTCCTCGGTCGTATACTAGATATTATAAATATCCGTAGCTATGTTTAGTCTCGCTAGAGTCCTTATCCTTAGTCCTAACGTTACGTTTTGTGGTATAATTGATTTTAGCCGTGCTTGGATGTCTACGCCCTTGTTCTAGGTGTTTCTATCCGAGCTCACGGGAGGCTGTAGTGCTACATAAGCTCCAACACTATTTTCTGACACATACGACCATAGGCTGCAGAGACGGGATCCCGTCCGCTCTCCCATAGACACACGTATAATACAAAAGAGTATTACAGTGGTAGAGTGCATCCAGTAATGGATATTGATATAAAGAGCAACATGGAGAGATGCGGGGTTGAAGCTTGTCAATGTGGATGAATAAGGCCAGCTCCGACCTGGATAGAGGCGTTGTTAGACGTATTTGCATCAACGCGAAAGATTCTCCGCTGCAGATGGGATAAGATAAGACAACAAGGTAATGGCCTCAACCTTATCTGTCACCGCGCCAGTGTGTGTATTAATCACGCGTAAACCTGGCGTAAATGTGAACTCTCAATGTCCATCAACTAGAACCTTCATATTGCATTCTTGGCACTCTGATGGACAGCTCAGTTATCCAAGTCTGGCTTCAGCACACTGAGAACGGGAACAGAGGAAGCCAGACGCTACAGTCACCGATCTCTCCAAGGAAACGGTTGGCCGGAGAGAAGGATAAGGAAGAACCAGAAGAAGAAGAAGAAGCAGTGCTAGAGACTGATCCTGCGAGTGATGCGGGTGCCCAAAGAGCTATAGAAATCGCCCTTTCGGAATGCAAGCCAACCTCGACTCTACCCACGAGCCACCCCATCCATTAGCGCGAGTACCGTCTCCGAGACGAGCAAAGCCAGCAGAGCTAGCAGCGCAAAATCGAGCAGATACAAGAGTCCTGTTAAGACGACATCCATGGCCGACCTCTGGGTCCTCTCCAAGCCGTCTCGACAGATCAGCATTGATAAGCAACATGTGCCCGCCGATGTACATGACTTGTACCAGGAACTGAGCTTGATTTCACACATGGTGGGCTTGATTCCCAAGGCCGTCGTCGAACGTTTCCGCCAATTACCCAACACCACGATCCACGCCTTCCAGGTCGATACTAGCTGTAATACCGACGTTACCGTTTTACATAACCAAGTTACACGCGTCGTATCTATTTCGATAGATGCTAATACGTGCTTTGCCGACGAGCACTCGGAGCCGTCGTGGAACTATAAGGTCCATACTCCGCTATTGGAACTGGCGCTGTCGGGTATTCCCGAGGTCGGCGAGTTTAATATCACGAGGGCTAGTCCCTGCCCTATTTTTGTGAAACTCGAACAAGATAAACATCAACGTGAAGTTCAAATAGATACGGTATTTATGCAATCTAAGCTCGTCGACTACTCTATTAACATTAAACCGGAACCCGACACGCCCTTCGCTCACTTCATTCACGACGTGGTGGCGACACAGGAACCCGGCCTACGTACTCTAATGCCCACTATGTATGTCCCGGTACGCCTACGCCCGCAGGCTATCGTCATCGAGACTAAGGTCGACAAATCGCCGACGGATCCACTGCTACAGCTATACACGTGGGCCCGTGCAACATGTATTAGACTACAACAACTGATGTTATTAAACACGGCCGATATTATAACTCAGCCCCTCCTCCAAGCCGTTGGTCACGACTGGAAACTGTGGTTCGCGCGCGACACAGCGTCGCATATCGATTTATATGGCCCTGTCGCTATTGGGAGCACCAAGACCGTACTGGGTACGTATAAACTCGTAAGGTCGTTGCGGGCACTAGGGTGGTGGGCTGCGGGGCCGTACAGGCAGTGGTTTGAGGCCGAGGTTCTAGGCATTTCTTGAGGCATATGACTGACGGAGAGGAAGAAATCGGATACGGTGTCGGGAGGAACTCGTTACTTTATTCAAGTTCGAGTCCAGATCTATTACAAGGTGTCTAAGGTGCATGTACAGAGACTTAACACCTACGAATACCAACGCTTCCACAGCAGCGGAGCCTCAATAAGTGGACGACGCATGGAACAACGAGTAGTGCCACGACCTGGTGCGGCCCAGCTCTAGCCTAATATGCAAGGCGGTCATCCGTATGGTACATTGCGGCTCACTGAGCATAGTAACCGATTTGTGCCACTCAGAAATATGACCGGAGCTTCACAGCGAGGCAGGCAACGCCGCAGTTTAGCGCGCATGGCCCACGGACGACACCCGAAGTCACGTTCATGAATTCCCAAGTTATGAGAAACCAGGCTTGAATGTTGCATATGTTGCGATTCTAGAGTTGCCTTCACTAACCCGTGCCGGATACCGGATCCCGTGAAGTTTTGAAGGAAGCACTAGGTTCGGTTCTAATTCGCGTACTTGGCCAATTCTTTGCGGTATTCTCTCTTGAGTACATTGAAGACTCCATTATTAGCCGGTTGTAAGCCGTGAGTAGTAGGCTGGCAAATAACAACAGTATATATGGTTAATAATGCAGAAGCCCATCTACTCATCCTAAGGGCTTATTAGTAGTAAAATTACTTAATCTAATAAATAATCTACAGTTACGTGGCTACTATGGCCATCTATAATGATAAATCTGGCCGCAGAAGGGTCCTTTGGCTTGGTTAGGGGTCGTATACATCTTTAAGCTAAGAAATCCCGATGGAATTATCAGTCTAGCCAGTTATAGATGTAATCAAGTACCAGCTTGGGCAGATACTGAGATATTCACGTAAAACCGGACGCGATAAACGCGTAATTTCTGCTAGTCCGGAACATAATCGCGAAGTATAGTGTCTAGTAGAAGGATATTTTCAACTTTAATAAGACGGTCTTTCTAGTAGGCTAGATCTCGATAGGGATAGTAGTTATAAATCCTAAAAGACGTAGAAGGCTGAAAATGACTTAGCAAGGCAATCGGGAATAGGTTACCGTAATTTGGGTATTAATTCTTAGGGCTAGGCGATCCCGCCATACATTATTGTCGCAGGCAAAAACTACCTCGCGTCTTAGTACGAAAACAACCCATTGCTAATAGACTGTCGTGTCGCTATTACCGACAACGGCTCGTGTCAGGAAACGGCTAAGCCGCAAGGCAATAGTACAGAGTGGAGGGGATAATAGGCGCTCCTCCTGCTGTAGATCTGGTGGTCACTGGTGGTCACAGGTAGCTATGCCCGAAAATGGTTCATTAATCTCTGCCCTTCCTATCTTCCTCCTACAGGAGACGCAATATATAAATAGCCAAACCCCTAATGGACCCACAATCATCTGATAGCTCATTCCAGGCAGTCCAGGCCAAGAAGTGGCCTCTTAGAAGACCTGCCCCTACGTAGTAAACTGAGCCAGGCACCCACCTAGACCACGAGCGGGGGTGCACATAGTCATGTATTTTACGTACGTCGTATAGTCCCGCACTAACCGCTGGTGCACGGTACATCCTATTGGCCAGAATCAGCCAGTGTCTCGGCGCCTGTTATATTGCGAGCTATGCCAGAATTGGGTTTCCAGAAGATCCTACTTGATTTGTCGGGTCTGTGTCAGATCTGTGTCAGGGCCCCCACAGACCTCCACAACCCCTGTTAGGTAACCCTGTAGGCCATATCCAGTCACAGCCGTATACATGTGAGTTCAAGTGTGTGTATGGATGGATCTAGACATCAGGGTTTCGAGCCAAGGGCATGAAACCACAGAAAAGCACATCTCCTGGAGCATCATTGTAACGAAACCTCTAATAGTCTAGCTGCGTAAACTACTAAAGAGTCCTGTAAGAGTTTGCACTAGTAAGCGCGTCCTGCTGAAGAGCACTTTTGCAATATCGTAGGATGTCTTGACGTATGGAGCATAGTGCTTAGGTAACTGGGGTAACTGAATCAGGGTTATAGGAATAGAGTCGTTAAGGCAGTTTGCCTCACCAATAGGTTAGATTAATGCTTAGATTGATCACTGAAGTAGAGACTGTCTATCTATGAAATGCCTGGGAATCCTGTCCCTTACATACCCATCTCTCCTACACTGATCTCCACTTGGATATGTTGGATATGTTAGCTATCCAAGCTATCCTGTTCCTTGCGTCCTAGGTCACGTGACCTACCGGGGTCTTATTCCTCCAGAGTGGGGTTAATCAATCAATCAACCTTGCTCCTGGTAAGAACCATCAGTTTGTAACAATAATGAATGTGCGTGAATTACCTTCAAAACTTGAATACACTTCAACTTCTGCTGGTCGCCACTATACCGGACTCTTACCAACGGCAAGCATATGTTATGAGTGCAGGTATGTAAATGTACGTGGACAATTCCTTCCTTACGGAACGGTTGTGATTTCCTGCATTACTTGTGTTGGTACTACTGCGACATACACAAGGTACTTGCGTCAGCATGTCAAGAATGTGCCTCTTGAATATGGAGGACTGATACGATGCTCCAAAATAAGTGCTCCAAGACGGTGCTCTATTCCGTTTTCAATTATTCCCCGTTTTAGATATCTGATAGGGGTGTTTCCTCAGGAATATCCACAGCCACTTCTGATGTTAAGGCATCCTCTTCTGGATACCGGTATTCCCAAATGCAAGAGTGTAGACCGCTAGATTAGTAGTTGGGTGGGTGACCGCCAGCGAATTCCTACTGTCGTATGTTTTTGTTACATTCATTCTCGTTTTTCCTAATTTTAAGGTCTATTCCATCTAAACCCTCGTATCTCGATAGGCTGCCTCCTGGCCGCACAGATGAACGTGTTATTCGCATGGCATGAACTCACTAGAGGGCACCGCGAGTCTCTGAAGAACATGATGAAGCTGTTGCGACGTCGGTGCGATGTTGATTCCCTTTCTGTACGGTCACAAACTTCGCTACATCGATTTGCGACCAAGTTGAGAACAAGATGATGAAGCTAGCACAATACTGATGCGTTTCTTGGCTCGACTGTCGCAGATTCTACAATATTCCTTTGTGTGCAAAGTGAGACCTCCGTGTGGACATGTGTTGAGATAGAAAAAAATATACGAGGCAACCCAGTAATAAAATAGATTGGCACAGCTTGACAGGTGAGGTCGGTTTACTCCCTGACTCGGAGCAGTTTCAACAATTTTGTCACTCCTCGAATACATCCGTGATTTGACCGCTTCTAGAACGATTTGAAGCCAATGGGTTATGCAGTATTCCATTGCATAGTCTAGCATCTCAGTACCACATGAAATTCAATTGTTGTTTGATGCGAAGGCAAAATCTACTGCGGCCGAAACATCCCTTTCCTCGGGTCGGCTATGCATCAATTGGCGAAACTTGTTCAATAACTCGGCTTGGTTGTCTCGGCAGCATCGTAATCTGTGCTCACTTATTGCATCTAGGTAAATCGTAAAGCTGCGAGTTTAGCAGTTGAACTGGCAGTAGACAACGGGCCTATCCACCCAAACCCGCCTCAATCTCCTTTTAAAAACTGTCATGTTTGCTCCTGTGCTTACAGCGCGCACTTGGGCAGCGAGACTGACGAAATATATTTTGGCCTTTGGGTCGATGCCATGGATTCGCGGGGCAACGACACCATGTCATTCTGATGCCAAGTCCCGCGCCTTTGGTTCCACAAGATCCAGCTGCTTCGATCCTGTCTAGCATCCATCAGTTCCCGTGTAACCGCCGGTTTGCATCCCGTCACGCGTACAACCGAAACATTCAACACGTCTTACCCATCCTTCGGCAAAAAACACCAGTGAAACCCATTGACGAGTTCCACGACGACGGACGCGACTTGGCGGCACTGGCTTAGACTCTAGTTCCGTGAGCCATGCTGTGACCACGCACAATCTCTGACCCGTAGCACCGCATCCATCGAGTACCGGTCCGTCTGAAAATTATTCTCGAACATGGTGGGCGAATTCGAGACTTGAGATGAAGTCGGCAGACGCTATATGTCGCGCGCACCTGCTGCTGTCTTGTGGGGGCTAATTGCCCGTAATATTTAATAACCTAGCCAAGCACCATTTAACTCGAGCGATTCGCACTGGCACCACGACGAACTGTGGAAGCATCATGGATTACTTGCGGAGAATTTCCAGCCAGGACGCGACGGAGGCCGGTTCTACGTCGGCGAGTGACGACGGTGGTGGCCACGCATACGCTACCGCTGTGTCCGACGACAAGGAGGCGCAGACGACCATTTCTGAAACACGCAAGCCTATGTCCTCGTCACGAAGGGTCATACTCATCGCAACCCTATCTTGTACTTCCTTTCTTGATGTAGGCGAGCCCGCACCGTAACATTGTACATTGCACTTGTGCACTTTTTTCCGAAATCCCCCTGACGTTCTTCTATCTTACAGATCTTTGCCGTGCAGGCAAATGTCCTCGTGTGGCCTCAGATAAGCCATGAGTTCGATATAGCTGCCACACGACAGCAGTGGATTGCGTCAGCTTACAACGTCGCGTTTGGGTCCTCGCTGTTGTTCCTTGGCCGTGTGGCTGATATCTATGGTCGCCGCATGGTGTTCGTCGCCGGTGCTCTGTTCCTTGCCCTTGTCACTTTGACCATCCCGTTCTCACCCAACGAGGCGATGTTCGACAGTCTCCGCGCGCTGCAGGGTCTTGGTGCTGCGGCAACTGTACCTTCTGCTGTGGGCATACTGGGCGTAACCTTTCCACCGGGGAAATGGAGGAACTATGCCTTCGTCGCCTACAGCGGTGGTATGGCTTCGGGCTCTGTCATAGGGAATCTTGTGGGCGGTGTAGTTGGAGGATTCCTGGGTTGGAAATGGGTCTTCTGGTTCGTTTCCTTCTTTGCGGCTTTGCTATCGGCCACTAGCTTCGCGCTCATACCGGACGAAACTCGTTGTGCTGTCGATAACGAGGAGAGCCGACTCGACCTTGACTGGCTTGGAGCTCTCATTATATCCGGCAGTTTGGTCATGCTTCTTTATGCTTTGTCAGAGGGAAATGTGATTGGATGGGGGACACCAGTAAGTGGCGCTAACCTCATACTCCTTTTAGCCAAGACCGTGTTACTGACACTACTGCAGATGATACCTTCCCTCATCGCAGCTTCGCTAGCACTCATGGTGGCCTTTTATTTCTGGCAACGCCACCTCGAGCGCAACACAAAACGCGCTCCACTCGTGCGAGTCTCCATGTTTAGAGACACCCAGTTCACTGCAGCATTTGTGGCCGTGGCATGCTTCTTTGCGTCCTTTAGCAGCTATTTCGTCTTCGTGTCGCTCTTGTAAGTCGAAGTTCAAAGGGCCGGAGACTTGAAATCCCATCTTGAAAACCCAATTGTCTAACAGGAGTTGCCAGTTACGAGGAGTACCAGGGACTGAGCGTCCTTGACACAACGCTGATGTTCATACCCTCGGGAGTATCGGGATGTAAGTGCTTTTCCGCCTGAACCACATTACAGAGAGTATAGGCTAAGGATAGCTAAGGTATCGCATGCATCTTTACTGGGCAACTGTTGTCGCGCGTGCCCGGCTTCTACCTGCTGCTAGCCACCAGCATCTTGGCAACAATCTCCCCCCTTCTCTTTGCAGTTCCCATACCGCCTGACACCACATACTGGGCCTATGGATTTCTGGCTATGTGTCTCTGCTTCAGTGTGGACATTTTTGCGCCGACAATCAACCTGTTCATTGTGGAGCGTCTCCCGGAGAAGGACCAGTCGCTCGGAGGCGGCCTGATCAACACAGCAAACCAACTCGGCCGTGCTTTCGGACTGGCTATCGCAACTGCTGCTCAATCCGGCGTGGTTGGGAGCGATGACGGGCTGCAGAAACAGGGCAATGATTCTGTTCTCAGTGGCCTGCGAGCGGCGGAGTGGGTGCTTGTTGCCTCGGCAATAACGACCTCCCTCGTAGTGATGGGATTCTTTAGGGGCATGGCACAGGTGGGACTTAAAAATCAGGATTCGGATGATGGGAAGTGAAGAGAGCAAACAAAACCATAGCAGATTTTAGATACAATTCAGTAATGGCACCTACAATGCCGGTCGGTCGCATCCAGTTACTCCGTTCGTGATGCGAATGACCACACGGGGCATCTTTTTGGAAATCCGACTTTTATATTATTACTGAGACGAACTACTATACGTATGAAATGCCTTGGAAGCAAGAGCTGAGCTTCTTTCCTACCAAGACTACTGCGGGTCTTCTGGTGGAAGCCTTTCGTGACTTGTAACATCTTTTGAAGGAAAGAACGAACTATATAGTAACGTAAGAAATGTTGCTCCAGAAAATTCGAGTGATTACTTCAGTACGACTAGGTGGCTGTGTTTTAAGCATACTATAAAGCATAAATCTCCTCTTAGTATAACATAGCTTACGCCGTTTATTCTCGTCTAGGAACTCGCGCCAGGTGTAACCTTCAATGTTCACCCGCGTCCTTCGCAGATGGAAGACTTTCATCCGAGTCGTACCTACTGCAAGAATAGCTTGAACATTCCAAACTTCAAACTCCGTCGCTTGATTTAGTGGACTTTGATGTAATTTCCGACCTCATAGTGCATCCTTCTCTGCTCTTATAGTCTCCCAGTATATTTCATCTTTGTCATTGTAAGGTCGATGCCGGGCGAGGACTTGAAAGTAGGCAACAAACATCCTTTTGATTTAGAACCCCGAATCGTCTTTCAACTTCACGGTTAATGTCCTGGCATAGTCTAATGTATAATCAGTGCCATGTGGATGGTTGGCTCACACATCCTCACAACCGAGAAGCACCGTCTGCCAATTGTCCTGATGGCGTTCCTGAATCTACTGCCCTTACCTTATTCTACACCATACACGTACCTGTAAGATCATACCTACCCAACTAAAATCTGAAACCGCTTACCCAGCCAGCTGAGTTACGAAGGTTCCAAAGGAAAAACTGTCTGTCACAGGCAAGAAGTCCTGTCAGCACTTGATACATCTCCCTACACCGTATCTCGGAACTCATTGTTCGATGTTTGGCCCAGGCAACTTAAGAAGGCAGGGGTATCGGTCGTTACCTACAGTGACTGTCAATAAGTCTCCGTACGGCCCTACTTTAAGCACACCGAACACATCGGAATTAACAACTTCAAAGATGAATTGCTCAGCCAATCCCTGTAGTAATTGAAGCTTGTAAACTTAATAACGTATATAGTTCAGTAACACTCGGTTCAGTTAGGCGCTATACCCTGGACAAGATGCCCAAGCCGCGACCCGTGATCATCCTCAAGGATGACGAGGCAAATTTCGGACAGACTAGTCTGTGTAAGAGGAAACAGCAAGCTGAGCCTTGCATGTCAAAGGTCAAAGCCTGTCATCTTTTACGTCAATTACACCAAGCTGTGGCTCAACAGTGGGGTCAAGGAGGATAAACTTGCGTCAAGTCATCGCAAGCAGATGCAAAACGTAGAAGCTTTTGATAATCGTAGGGTTTGGCATTAGTGATCAACGAAAATCCATGTCAAGTCGAGCAACTATGGATATCAAAGGGGAAAAGTGTACTGAGCTGGCTCTTGCAGACAGGGTATAGAGATAGCTGATGTGTGGATTTGTGTGTTGCAGTGTTTGTTGTAGCCTACAGCGGATGTTTTACGTGCCTGCGCTTGTTTTTTCTTTTTTCTATTTCCTTTTGATTATTACTGTGAGGGACTGTATTGTGCTAGCGAACTGCCACCCTACCAAGAAATGGTCACCTGCAGACGAGTCGCAAAAGTTGTTTTTGCCTACTATTACACGAGCACACGCCGAAGACCTCCGCCTGGGGTTGAAGTTATGGTTTTTATCGTAAAGGCGCCGAGTAGACGATCGGCTCGGATAAGTTCGCGCCACGGTGGCAGGGCAGGCTCGGGTGGGCGCTGTGGGCTTGCATTCTCCACACGGGGTACTACCTGCTCGAGTAGACGCGAATCTCGGGTCCGGCGTGCCGTGTTGGCATTTTAAGCGGATTCCAGGGACCTTGGCGGTGCGCAAGCATCTCAGAAAACTCACACCATTTCCTCGTCAGAAAAGTGGCCCATGGTGACACAGTTGTTGGAGTTTCCAAGGAAGTTGCATAATCCTGAGGCCCTGTCAAAGTTTTATGAGCTACTACATATTCTTATTATGCTATAATATATTAATTTCGCGGAGGCAGAGGGTTGGTTCTCTGGCTGCTGTGACAGTTGAGATTTGCAACCAGGACAATAGTACTGCTGTCGCGTCGCCGTGTCTACCTAGCCTGCCTCATCGACGTATACTGGACCACAGTCCACTGCCAAATGGGGTTCGTCTGTCCGAGCAGGCGCAGCACTATGTGTGGGTCAAGGAACAGTGTCTTTCCGCCAGTAATTGCGTTGCTCCATCTCGCTAAGTGAACTTCCGCGCTTGCTATAGTTCTTCCGGTCAGAAGACGCGACCATTTCCCACAAGACATCGGATTCGTACTCCGACGCTTTGAGTCTAGTCTACGTACAGGTCTTCGTCAGATGGGGCCTGGTCCTGGCCCGTGTCCTCCGAAGGCGATATGTTGGGTGAGTTGTCTGCCATGCTTCAGAGCTTGATTGACTTTCCGGATTGATTGTGGCATCCATGTATTCAAAGGGATGAGGAGATAGCTTGCGCCTACTGATATCCTCAGATGATCATGGTGTTTCTGAGAGTTGTTGCCTCAAGCTGTGACTCGCTCCACCTTTGGTAGGCAGAATCAGACAGATCGGGATCGGGTGCAAAGATAGGGGAGTTGTACGGTTCGAATGCAGGGACAGACGATAATGAGGGGTTGATTCAATGTTTGCCTCAGGAGATGGGGCCTGTTTGAAATATTGGCAAGGATAATGTGTAGTCTTCGCTGACTAAATCAGGTTTAGACTAGATGGCTGCAGGGAATATAGTGCTTGTCAATAGTAAGTCTCCGGAAGGCCTGCTTGGTGGCTCAAGCGTTTCTAGTGGAGAAAATAAGTTGGGACAGGCGCGCTTGATGATATGCGAAAATACGCGTTTTACCGCCAAAACACCATCTTTTTAAATATGTTCCACAGCTAACGTACCCCACAAGCAAGTTGGCCACACAAGCAAGTTGGCCACTTTTTCTTGGCACCGTATGAATAACTTCAATAACTTAACTAAACTAAAAAACAATAATTCAAACTAATCGGAATCCTCTTCCTCGTACGTATCTTTATCATTCTCACAAGTACGAGCATTATGTCCGGGCTCTCCGCAGATCCTACAGCGCCGTCGGCGTGGTTCGGCCGGTCTCGTACGACGACGACTTACACGTATATCATCCTGTAGCTGCTGTTCAATATCCCGTTGTGTCAGGGTACGGCTAGGCCGAAGGCAATAGTACAGAGTGATGGGGAGTAATGGGCGTCCCTCCTACGTAGCACCGGGTGGTCACTGGCGGTCTCAGGTAGGGGTGCCCACGATGATGCATTGATCTCTACTCTCTCTATCTTCTTCCCGGGCCTCCGCCCCCCTTACATATAGATAGCTAGAACCCGGCGTCGGAGCCGCGGAGCACTAGTTTCTCCGATTGTTCCGCAAACCAAGACTTCCATATCGTGTCATGACTCGCACGTCCCTACACCAGAGCCCCACCGGCGTCCCACCGGTGCCTATGGCATTCTGTTCTCTGACACGTTGAGACTGTAAGTCCTGAGCGTCTCGTAAACTGAGAGATCCTCCATCTTGTAGCTGTCGATTTTTAGTCCTTCGACGACGGCTTGGCTCTTGATTGGCCTTCCGAAGTGTAGTAACCTCATCCTCAAGTAAAACTAACCGATGCATAACAGCCGTCGCACCACGTGAAAATTGGTCAATAGCCGTAAGTATTGTCGTCGGGGAGCTATTCTGATGCTGTACGATTCTGTTTTTAACGTATTTAGACTGGGATTGCGCCTCGGTTGGGTTATTTGGAGTCTTTGATTCCCAGATTAAGGGGGCGCCAGACGAGCACCCAGGAGGTGTAGGCGTATGTAGTTTAATATCCAGCTGTGAAATCACATATTCCGGGTCGTACGGAATAAGTCCTGTCCTCCTGAAACCTGCCTGGATATTCGACTTAGTTATAGTCGTACGATACGCCCTATAGAATGCCGAAAAGAAATCCTCCTTCGAGATATGGGTTATATGCGCCCGTATTAGGTCTTCAATTTCTTTGCCGTACGACCTTTTAAAAGCCCTAAAACAGCCTACATCGAGAGGCTGGAGCTTATGTAACGAATGAGCAGGCATACTAAGTGTAATAATAGTATGCTCTTTGCAATATAGCTCAAAGTCAGTCGAGGGGTGGCTCTCATGCCCGTCGAGGATAAGAAGACGATAAACACCCTTCGTACGATCCTTCGTATAGCGATCAAAGTGCTGAATCCAGTCTACGCCTCACTCATTTGTTGTCCAACCGTTTTTAGTTACAGCGATTACCCAATCGGACGGGAATAGGCTATTCTCGTACCAGAATAAGAGGTGGTCTTAACCCGCGACAATAATATACGGCGGGATAGCCCAGCCGGACGAATTAATACCCTGGATTACTGTAGCCCATTCTCGATTGCCTTGTTGGACTGTACGAGGCCTTTGTAACGAAACCTCTAATAGTCTAGCTGCGTAAACCACTAAAGAGTCTGCAAGGGTTTGTGATAGTAAGTAAGTCCTGCTGCGGAGTCCTCGAGCAATAATATCGGGGTTTGACGTATGGAGTAGAGTGCTTTGGGGTAACTGAAGTATTCAAGTAGGTAACTGGGAATAGAGTCGTCAAGGCAGTTTGCCTCACCAATGGGTTAGAAGGTTCTGAAGGTCTAAATCCGTCATCTCGCAAATCCATGTGTTGGTTCTGTCGACTTCCTCGGCGGCGCCCACAAAGATGGGTATCGGGTGACATCGTTGTTGTCCTTTTAGGTTTTATTGTAGACCCAGAGTGATACGTGACCCCATGGGGGGTTGCCCTATAGCTAGAGATAAGATAGATAAGAGCTATAAAAGAGCTCTGCCAGGCCAGAATAGCTGACCTGGCCATCCTTTCCCAATACAACAATTCACACCCCATATGCACTCGCATCACAGAGCCAGGCGAACTCCATTTCCTCGACCAGGTCACGCCAGTAACAATGGACATGCAGATTCTCGTCGACGACCAGGCTATGCGAGAACTGAATTATATTGGCGCACCTGTCGCGAAATGGTTCACGAAGATGAATAAAATAATATATTCAAACTTGCAATATTGACCTCATGCCTGGCCAACATGGACCTCATAGGTCTGGTCAATCCTAATTCCAGTCGGCTTGGTCTGCGATGCCATGCTCTGCATTGGGTGATCGCTCTCATGCTTCAAGTACCCAGTGTGAGACCTTCCGGTATGTTTAACTGTCGACCCATTGGACCCAAGGAGCCTGGGAAAGGCTGCTTTGATGAGGGGATTGAGCGCAGGTACTGAGGAGCAGATAATGGCGACGTTGATTTCCACGCCCTATAGCGTTTCCGTTAGCAACACTACCGCATGTTGAAGTCTGGACAGATAAACTACTTACGCTCCAGATAGCAATATTGACTCCATCAACTTGTATCAGTGTTAACAAGGGAACCAATAGTCTGTGGTGAGTAGCTTACAAGAGGAGTCAGGGGAAACGGAAATATCCAGAAGAGACCGCAGCCTCACGATGGATGTAATGCATACGCTTGAGTGATCTAGTCAGCCTTTACTCCACATTTTAGTGTTCTTAAGTACACTCACAATAGACCGAAAGCGAAAATCACCATCAATATGATCTTCTGCGTTTTGGGTATCTGAAGTTTTTGAAGAAGCGGAAGTGGAATCCCAAATATGAATAGGTCGCTCGCAATGTTCAAGGCAGCATTGGAGAACCAGAAGGCCAATCGATTCATGCAGGTGCCTTCTCCCTCACCCCAGAAGAACTTGACGGGGATACACATGAAGGTAGAGCCGAGAACCGTCCAGCATCCATAGACCGCCAGGACGCCGATGGTGATGCTGCAAAGCTTTTGGATACTTGTAATGGCAAATACGCGCTTATATTGAAAGACGATGGAAAGCTTGCACAGAACGAGCGCCAGATTGTAAACCGGAATCGTGGCCCACAGGGATTGGAAGAATCGAATGGCGTTCTCTGGGGGAATGGTTTCGAGGTGAGTACCGAGGCCGAATTTGATCTCTGCAAGCAGCCACTGGTCAGTCGGTCAGAGAATACGTATTCGCTGGATGGACCTACGATGTATAATAACCACCATGTAGCCGATGGATGCGCACTACACGAAGAAATCTGGTTAGCGGTCGTTTCCACCAAGTACATCAACGGCACTTGCATGCTAGCCAAGCGATTCTCACTCCTGGATCCAACTTCACAATGGACAAAGAGAGGAGGAAAAAGGGGCACATACCGCAGATGCTATCATCAGATAGTCATCGGCACCTGCATACCGAACAAGAACCACTCGGGCGTAGAGGCGCATGCAGACTGTCACAAATGCCAGACTTGTGAAGAGCACGCTGGTGATGAGCACGGGTTGAGCTCTTGCGACGATCATTTTTCTTTTCGGTTGAGGTCTGGCCTTATTGGATGAGATGAATTGACTGGTCTAGAGGACGACGACGAAGGCTGATTTGGACTAATAGCATATCCATGCCAGTTCATATGGCGACGAAAGGTGGAAACAACAGAGAGCCCAAATCCTTCCCGGCCAATATATAAGTACTCATCATGATCAATACGCAAGTGATAATTTCATCTACTTATAACATCGGAAGACAGCATGAGGCATGTCCGAGGAGTCGTAACAGAAAACGACAGGGATCAGCAGGTGTATCAGCGCCTGAAGAATACCATCTTTACTTGGCGTAGCCTACATTCTGTTTGTGACATACCATGACAGATGATGAAGGCGCTGCTACGGCCCTGAGTATTCTGGGGCAGGCCTTGCTAGAAACAACAATCAACCTGTTTTGAGAAGTGTTCCATCTTGGCTAAAAGGTCTATTGCGTTACTTCGAGTAAAGAAGGGTTGGTAAGACCCCAGAAAAGCTTTGATACAATCTTTCAAATTCTAAAACACCCCAACCTTCCCACTTACTACGGTATTAGGCCAAAGTTTTCACCCCCTTGACAAGTACCAGTGGACCACTGCCAAGGTAACGCTATACTGATTCTTACCGATTCTTACCTAGCCTATTCATACTAACGAAAAGGTACTTCCACCTCTGATTCCAACTTGCTGTTAACGCGTCCTAATTATCGCGTATGTAGCAACTACAGTAGGGACTAAACACCTTACAGAAGCAGATCGCTAATGAATTCGAACCCTCCATTTCGACGGTGGTAAATCGAAAGCCGAAATTCAAACTACTACGACGTTTTCTTTTAATCTGATTAAGACAGCTTATTAAGGTCGCTTCAAGCCAGGTAGCTAAGCGTTGGCTCGTGCCTAGGTGGAGCACGGTACAAACACACAATTGAAAACTTACCCATGATACCATAGTAAGTCAACGGTCCGTGAGGTGTGCGCTAGCATAAATTTCCAGGGGTAACGCAGTTGTATCGTACGAATGATCGTGCATACGAAGTACGGCTCGGATTTTCGGATTGGCTGCTCTTTGCTTTATCGACATCGACCTCTAAGGTAGTCCCAACAAGGATTACCCGATTCGGTATGTTAGCCCGCACCCTGACGGCGGGGATGCAGGGAAATTGAACAGAATATTGTTTGTCATCCACCTGCAGGTACATAAGAACGGCCGGGGCGTGCCGCAGTCTTGGAACATACCCATAGCCGACCCAATCGGTCGCCGTCCAGATCTATGTGTTTTTCTTGTGTGGCCCAGTAGCTACCAGACCCTCTTGGACGCGCCCCTCGCGTACGTGAGCTCACAAATGACATGTAACGCGGGTACTGCTCTGCGGCGCGGTAGCAATATCATATTGAGGGATTTTGCAGAACTGGGACCAGAACCTGTTTTTTGTCTGGTTTGAGTACTAGGCAGGTTTGAATCCTAGGCAGAATCATTTCCGGTAGTCGTGTCGGAACAAATCCAATTCCATGTTGTGCGGTACGGCTTGCGAAGATTATTATTGTTAATTTTCTTCTGAGCCCTGCGAAACCGTTAAGTTTGGTAATACCGAGGTAAGGGGTTGACGACGACTTATTGTCTTGAGGCGTCGTCTTGTTGACGAGAGACTCAAATCCTCTCAGATTTCTTTTACTCGCGGTGCCAAGTGGACCCTTTGGCCGCTCAAGCTCTGCGTGAATCTCGGGTGCCTTCATATCTTTTCCTGGAATTTTCCCTTGTTGCCGTGGCGCACGGGAGATTCGAACTCGTGCCTGAACCTCTCCTGTTATCCAAAACCTCATCATGGAGTCTGCTGAATCGCCAGCTACGGAGGATGTCTTCAACGCAAAAGAGGCGGTCGAGGACCAACAAGAGCCCGTACCGCACCTCCATGGCAAAACCTTCTTGGCCGTCTTCGCGGTTTGCTTCATCTACTTCGCGCAACTGATCAACGTGGTTGGTGCCGGCGCAGTAAGTTCCGTCAGACTCGATACAATATCTACTTGCTAATGTGTTGCGTATCATAGCAAACCCAGGCTATCGCCGCCGTCTTCGCTGGAAGCAGCAGCAGTGTATGGCTCACCTCTGTCGTGGCCATCATGACGGTTGTCCTGTCTCCCATCATCTCACAAGCCGCCGATTACTGGGGCCGCCGTTGGTTCCTGATATCGCTTACAGCCTGTGGTGCTATTGGGTCCATTGTTGTTGCCAGAGCCAACAGCATGAACATGGCAATTGGAGGGTTTGCTGTCACTGGTTTATCGTACGGAGCACAACCTCTGCTGCATGCCGTGGCCTCGGAAGTGCTGCCTAGGAGATACCGCCCATGGGGACAAGGGTTTACCAACGCCTCAGCTGCCCTGGGTGGCTTTGTCGGTCTCCTGGCGGGTGGTGCGCTCACCAGAAACGGCAATGTGGAGGGATTCCGCAACTACTGGTACATGACCACGGCAATATACGCAGTGGCTACCATCCTGACCTTTGTGTTGTACGATTCTCCCAAGACCGCAAACCAAACAAAGTTCACCAACAAGGAGAAACTCGGGAAGCTGGACTGGATCGGGTACGCTCTGCTGAGCGTCGGGCTTGTCCTCTTTTGCATGGGCCTCTCCTGGTCCCAAAACCCCTTTCTTTGGTCTGATCCTCACGTCCCTGTACCGTTTGCTATCGGTCTCTTCTTCATAATCCTCCTGGCAGTCTACGAGACCAAGTTCAAGGAGGACGGCATGTTCCACCACGGTCTCTTCGTCCACGGCAGGAATTTCGCTATCGCACTGCTGTGTGTCTTCGTCGAAGGCCTCGTTTTCTTCGCCGCTAACAACTACTTCGCATTCGAAGTTGGTGTTCTATATGAGACCGATTCACTTCGCATCGGCCTCCGTTACGCGGTTAATATGGCGGTATATGGCGTCAGCGCCGTTCTCGCCGGCTTGTACTGTTCCACGACGAAGCATACTCGTTGGCCCACCGTGGCTGCGTTCATGTCCATGATCATCTTTTTCGTGCTCATGGCTACTGCGACTCCGCAGACGTCAAACCCGGTATGGGGCTACCCCGTCTTCCTGGGTATGGGTCTTGGAGTCTGCTTGTGTGCCCTTGTCACTGTTGCGCAATTGTCCACGCCGAAAGAGCTCATTGCCATCACTAGTGGCTTGATGATTGGAATGCGATCCCTGGGTGGCTCTGTTGGCCTTGCTATCTGTAAGTCCGCTTGTCAAGTACTAACATTTCGCAAACGCTAATACATTTGCACAACTACAGACAACGCAATATTCAACGGAGAGCTTTCAAGCCACCTTTTCGGCAATATCGCCAACGCGGTGTTGCCGCTGGGCCTACCAGTTACGTCTCTCGGTGACTTTGTTACGTACTTGGCAGCACAAGACTCTGCAAGCCTTATGACTGTCCCTGGCGTTACGGGCGACATCATTCAAGCAGGTGCAGGTGCACTTCTGGAAACTTACAGTGTCGGCTTCAGGTGGGTCTGGGTTGCTGCTGGTTCTCTCACTGCCGTTGCTGCAATTGGTGAGTAAATCAGAGTCCTCGCACCAAGCATAGCACACCTTACTAATTTTTATATATTAGCTGCCATGTTTCTGGTCGATCCGAAGGCGGAGTTCAACATGCATATTGACGCTCCAGTGGAGAAGGAGGAACAACTATATCATAGTTGAGTAATGCCGGTCTGTGGATTTACCGAGGACACCGTAATTTTGAAGAAACGCTCGTATTAATCAATGGACACAACATGCCCATGCTTTGGAAAGCTTGAGTCATGATGTTGCCTTTTTTTTCTCAATAGTTCCAATAGATTATATGTGGCAAGGTTGGAACTGCAAGGAGTGCCTAGACCATTTATAGGGGCCAACACTGATGAGGCTCACAAGTTATAACTCGGTTGTGCTTTCCCAACAAGTCCGTTCCACTGTAGTATCATCTCGTCCATCTATAAGTTACCCAAATAATTGTAGCTTATATGGTCTGTCTTGCCCATCCCAGATATGAGAATACGATGATAGTCTGAATCGATCGGTGTATGTGACTTGCTCACAAGTCAAGATCAGGTTTGATGCATCAATAACAGGGGTCTAACATCGAAAACGCTAGGGGGGAAATAACCGGGCCCATCAGGTCTACTAGGGTAGTTTGCTGCGTGTTGTCACATACTGCAGGGTTTGTGAGTCAAATTGATTCGGCATATCCTGCGTCGCATGCAATTTCTCACTATTTGGTTGACCTTGTTTCGTCTACTTAGACCCGGTTTTACCCGCCTTAAGACCCTTCATGCTCGGGTGGTTTTACTCTATGGAGGCCTTCCCTTTCCCCATCGTTGAACCAAGTGGGCTGGGTTAGACGAAGTCCCCACCTTTTATTTCTCCTAGTGTACTCTTCCGTTCGATGTTACAACCAAGCAAGCTCTGACACTGGGGCATTGGTCTGGTGCTGGGGTAAGTCGACCTGATAGAATATGACCTGCTTCGCAACATATTGAGCCCCTTGAGTCAGATCGTTCTTCAGTACTCTGTAATTGGATCTGTCTGACATCAACCCCCTTCACCTAGCCCGAGAAACAAAGACAACAGAGACGGAATCATGCTTAACATCATTGTCGTTGGCGGAGGAATAGCGGGCCTCTCCGCTGCCCTGGCTCTCCGCAGAGCAAACCACATCGTTCATGTCTACGAACGTTCGGCATTCAACAATGAGGTCGGAGCTGCGATTCACGTACCGCCAAATGCGTCCCGTACCTTGCTTGCCTGGGGCTTGGATCCCGTGAGTGCCAAGTTCGTAACGGTCAAATCAAGCTTCCGGGCCAAGGCAGCGACTCTGGAGAGATTTCATGTCGGCACGACTGAGTCTTCGGTTCTTTCAAAGTATGGAGCCCCTTGGTTTTTCGCCCATCGGGTCGATCTCCATGAGGAGCTCAAGAGGCTGGCTACCGAGACTGACGGAGCAGGTGTCCCAGTCACAGTGCATCTCAAGTCTGAGGTTGTTGGATACGTACGTATAATAACACCCTGCTGGTTATGTAATGCTGAGTTTCCATTCAGGACCCTGTAACACCCTCAATCACTCTGGCAAACGGCCATGTTCAGACAGCGGATGTCGTCATCGGCGCTGATGGAATCCATACTACTGCAATCGAGGCCGTCCTTGGAAGATCCAACCCCCCGGTGCCATCCAAGGACATGTATAACTTCTGTTATCGGTTTCTCATCCCGGCCGCAGATATTGAACAAGATTCCCAAACACGGTTCTGGAATGAGGACGATGATGGCCGGATGAAGTTCTTCGTGGGGGACATGAAACGACTTGTATCCTATCCGTGTCGCAAGTACGTACCCATTGTGCCACTGGTTTTTCAATCGGAATGGACTTCGAAACTGACCTCGTCAAGCAATGAGATACACAATTTCGTCGCCATATTTCACCAGGATGATTTATCGATGATGAAGAAGGAGGGTAATAGTTCCCCTTGACAGATTTCACATGCTCCGTATCGTTATACTCACACATCAACAGATTGGGATGCTCCTGTGGACAAGTCGCAGCTCCTCGAGAGATATTCTGACGTCCACCCGGACCTCAGAGCGGTGCTTGGGTAAGTCTAATAGATCCAAAATCATACAAGACAGTTCTTATACGTGCTCACAAACTACTTCCAGAAAAGCGACCGAGATAAGGCAATGGGCCCTCCTTTTCCGTCCCCCTATTCCTACTTGGACCAAGGCCAAGATGGCTTTGGCAGGCGATGCTGCCCATCCCATGCTGCCACGTAAGACTCGCTGCTCTCAATTTGTCTGATTAACTGAGACTGAAATAAATTTGAAGACCAAGGACAAGGTGGTGCACAAGGAATCGAGGACGGTGTCGTACTCGGACTAGTTCTTTGTGGCGCCAAAGCCGACGACGTTGCAGATCGACTGAAATTATACGAAACGATTCGTCGGAATCGCGCAAGCTTGATGCAAGTCTTCAGTAATGCAGGACAGGATGAGCCAGAACTCATTCAGAAGGAAGCTTCCCAATTCATGCCGATTGAGAAAGTGCCCAGTACGTCATGCACCAATGATTATTGACGAGAATCACGCTGACCATTATTGCTTCAGAGGGCCCAGAAGAATTCTTCGATTATAACTTTGGATATGATGTGGTACAGGATTCTCTGAATCATCTCAAACAGGTTGATCCGACGTTTGAGTTGCCGTTGTCGTTCTTTCAGCAGCAGCCAGGAAGAGGCGCTTATCCTTAGAACCACTTGATTTGTGATCTGTGTGAGGACAGAAACACATCACCAACTCTAGGTTGAAAGCGCCGACCTTGAGAGTGTTATGGGCTAGTTAATGAAGGACTTAAGTTGGACGAGCTCCCCAGAATGTAGGGGCTCGCAACTCCGAGCACAGCCTTGTTCATGATCTAAAGAACACGCGACTCGTTCATACTTTAAACTAGACTTATATAACCTCTCAATGTGTTGAATTCAGAAGGTACGAGTCCTAGCCTCTACTATGGTTCATGATTCGTAATTATCTCATGTTGTTTCCAATAGAAGCTTGACTACAAGATTGATGCTTCACTGAGATCATCTCCTCATCCATCCAGCCTTGATACGATAGACCTACGTGCGACGCGTATGCCACCAAAACAAGGGACCCAGTACAGTCTTCACAATGTATGAATATATTCTGGCCCAAATGCATGCCGCCAGCATCAATGAAATGAATTGCTCGAGCTTCGCAGTTGATGTGAGCAGTTCATTCCCCACAATTCAACCTAGAATCGCTTCCTCAGTGCCTCTCCATAGCTTTAGAACTATGAAATGCACTGGGTCAAAAGCAAGGAACACAAAACCCAGCGAAATTTTCCCCAAGCCTAGTTGGAGGTGGCCATACTGGTGGTCGGCAGAGAAGGGCAGGAAGGTGCCGTAGAGGTTCCATGCCTTAACGTTGACTTCCCAAGTCCTCCACGAAGCGTCCATGCCATTCGCTTAGGGGTTTTCTTGTCTCACATAGGCAAGCCTCGAGTCAATATCGTTATTTTCTGCGTTATCGGGCGTGAAGTAGCTAATTTTGTCCTGGATTCCTCAGAGTTCGGTGACTTGAGCGCTAGAGGACCGCTAAGATGTTAGCTAAAGATCCTACAAGGCTAGTAGGGGCCTCTAGCACTGCAAATTAGTAAACAGAGCGAGCCCTTAGCTTAGCAACCACTTGGTAACCAAGTTACTAACTAAGTCTCCAAATTGATGTGCCTTGGCAACCAAAATCGAGAATTAGTGGGTTGAGCTGTCTCGAGGTTTGTACACAGGTGCTGTTCACTACGGAATTAGTACTTTTGTTTTGTGCTTCAAAGCTATTAGCTGCAGTCGTATATTTATACAAAGTTACTTTTCCTTGCTTGTTCTTTGTTTGGTGCTACATTGGTCAACTGCGGCGAGAGCTGACAGCTAAGGTGAGAGAGATTACGTGGTCAAGCGAGACAGCCCCGCGAAGGGTCCAGGTTATCTTCGTGTCAGAGCTTAAGCCTACTCGTAAAAGTATCGCATTCACGATACCAAATCCTGGTGGAATCCTGTGCTGCCAATCATTCTGCCATTCGAACCCTATATCAGACAAGCACAACATAGCTTCCACATTTGATTAATTCAGTGGACGACACGAAAAGAATAGCCTAACACCACGGGTATGGCATTACAATTCATCAACCAGGGTACGATTGAAATAGGCACGTCTGAGATGCCACGCGTGCTGACATCTTCCCGCATACCAGGGTTACGATGCTCGAAAACATGACAGCCGCTCTGGAATGATCTGTGTCTAACATCGTTCCCTCAACAGCTTGATTCTGAACCTACCAAACTCATGCATCGATGTACAGTGTTTCCACTCCATCATCTACTTCATCTTCTCTTACATACTTCTCGCAGGATTCTTTGACATTAGTGATGCACTGTTTCCGCCCCAATTTTGCTCGAAATTCAACATGGTGGAATCAATTTGGGTGAATTGCGTCTTAGCAGATGAAGCATATGAGTAAGGTATACGCCCCGTTCATTCAGCAAAGTAAATACCCCCCGAGACTTCCTCTGCACATTGGCTATATCAGCGTCCTACGCCGACTTCTTTGAGCGTAAGCCTGGGAAGATTTGTGGAAGAGCTTTGTGTATATTGATTTGGGGTCTTTGGAGGGATCAGGTAGTTATTGTTTAGATTGTGGAAGGAGTGATTGTGGATCCAATGGACAGTAGGGTCTTGAGTGTCCTCTCGCTATAGGAGCCGTTGTATAGGTCAAGGTATAGTTGTCTGAGATCTGAAGGCTATATTAGTTGGTTTTATAAGAAAATGGTACAGGCATGAGGACTACTGAAGCTAGCCGATCAAGCATAAGTGCATCATTATAACAAAACTTAGAATTTGAAGTCCGTTGTAATGGCATAATGAGAACGGATGGGACAACCTTTTCGCATGGAATAACTAAGACAATTTCATTAGCATTTTTACCACTATTCACGCCTATTATCCATTATCCTGTAGCTAAGGGCGTAAAGTTTCAAGAAGGCGTATACATCAGCTTGTTCTAAGGCGTGACATACTTTGGGTCTCTTATAGCTAGCCAACACTATCATGCTTGACCTGTCCTTTTAATTCCCTCCGTTCCACGTAAAATATGTGACGATATCACAAAGGAGGACGCTGAATGTTGCACGTTTCCAATTTACTTTATTGGGCCAACCACTCCTTGCCCCAGGATAGCCTGCGTTGCACATGCACCCCGCAGCGATCATGACGGCATAAATGTAAGTGAAGCTGCATTTTCGTTCTTAAGCCGATTCAAGCCATTTCTTTATCATCGGGAGACTCGCACCATCAGAAGTTCGGAAATCTGCCAGTCGTCCCCAAGCACGATTTCAGATCGACCTAATTATGTCCTGTGCATAACCCTCTAGCCGACAATAACGGGTTTCGTATCAAAACCCCCATTATCCATCTTGGTCACGCATCGCAGTCAACTTCTTAGGCCTATACTGGGTGAAAATGGCGGGTTCGACTATGGCATCGAAGTGCCCTGTCCGCTCAACTGGCACAAACGAATTCCCCGTGATCGACTTCAGTAGGTACGAAAACGACCCGCATTCGGTATCGTCCGAGATATTCGATGCCGCAAGCCAATGGGGGTTTCTAGTCCTTAAAGGGCACGGTATCCCCAAGGAAGACGTCGATGAGATGTTTTGCTTGGTGAGCCAGTCTACCTATGCCCTTACTAGGTTACAAGACGTAGATTTGACGTGGAATTCCTAGTCTGAGCAGTTCTTTCGCCAGCCACAGAAGGTAAAGCAAGAGAAATGGTTGAACATGAAGGGGCAAGGCTACGACCTGAAGGAATCGGTGTAAGTCCATCCCATAACCTGACAGGAACCATCCTCAAGGGCCAATTACTGAGGAATATCTCTAGCATCGGAGTCCACGAAGCCTGCTGCTTCGGCAACGTCGCCGACGCAAACCTCACCAGTCCCAACTTCTCCAGTTGGTGGACTCCCGAAAGACGCAAGCGCATCGAGCAATTCCGATCCAAATGCCAACTCCTCTCCAATAAGATCTTTGAAGCCATCGCCCTAGCCATGGGCCTCTCTCCGTCAACCTTCATAGAGGCCCATTCCCCCCACAAAGAGCCAGGCAACGCCCTGCGATTGATCCGGTACCATCCCCTCGCCGCGCCCCCGGATCCCAAGTTCCCTCGGTTGTGTGAGCACACTGATTGGGGTACCATGACATTCCTCTTCGCGACGACGCCGGGGCTGGAGGTCAGGACGCCGGGGGATAAAGAGTGGGTTGTGGCGCCGGTGGTGGAGGATGCCATTGTGGTGAATATTGCGGATGGTCTGGCGCTGTGGAGTGGGAAGGCGTTGAAGAGTACGTTGCATCGGTTGTCTTGGGAGAGTGTGCCGTTTGATAGGGAGAGGTATAGCATGGCTTATTTCATTAATGCCAATGCCGGTGAGTTTCCCCCCTTCTCTTGTTTCTGAGAGCACAATTTATAGTTGATCTGACATGCCTGGTACCGCAAAGATGCGCCTATCAAAATCCTTCAACGCGCGTCTGGCACTGGAGAAGGAATGTTACGGTTTGTGGAGACGCCTCTTTCTATGTCGGCGACATTTGGGGATTATCAAGCCGTCCGGGTCAAAATGATTGAGAAGCACGACACGCACATCACGGAAGATGAGCTCAGGGTAGACCCTAAATTTCTGGAAATGGTAAAGAACATCGGGGTCGCGCATGGAACGGGGCTGTCTGTTGAAGAAGAGAAAGCCAAAGAGGAGGCTGACGGCTTGTTGGATGCAGCCCAGGTTGCATAATACAGCAGGGGTTTTTCCTAGGCACGGGTTGGATCAACCTAACCACATTCATCACGTCTCTGGTGAGTGAGTTGATATGGTATCTGGACTAGTGGGTGTACACTGGTGGATATTTGGTGGATATGGCTTCTCCGATACTCAACAGTTATAGACCATCGTTGATCTGTGTCTTCGTAGCTGAACGGTGACTGTGTCTGGTCTAACAAAATCAGAACAAAAGGCTTCATTCTATACCTATGTATAAACCTACGTAGGCCCTATTCTAGAAGCTACTGTGATTATACGCAGCCACTATATACCCACTTAGCCACATACCAGCGATAATCCATAATTATGGAGCATCGGTGAATCTATGTCCAGGTTTTGATGGATTTGAAGTACGGTAGGAATCCTGGTGCGCTGCAATCTGATTAATCCGGATAAAGGTTTTGCGGGTTACCTGTCGAGTGGAACATACACATGTGTAACATCGAGCCTGGTGGCGTCAAAACAAACTACGCGACATCGTCTGTAAAAGAAATGGCTAAGCGACACCCGGCTTATGCTGACCCGGCCTATCCTACCAACGCCTTGCTATCGTATATGCTTCACGAGCAAAGCCGTAGCACTTGGACCGAACCGCAGGCGATCGCGGCCGCTATGTATCGTCTGGTCAGCCGCGGCGAGAAAATTCCCATTCGAGCGCCCCTTGGTGCCGATGCCTATGGATGATCATGATGGATATTGAAAGCGTAAAAAAAGACCTGGAAGAACTCAAGGAGCTCAGTTTGGGTGTGGGTAAGACGGAGCAACTTGACTCGATTGGGTTTTTGAAGAAGGCATAAGAAATAGAGGAAAGTCTGGATGCATTAGACTAAGTATCTGCGACAATTTGTAGCATTGAAAGTCCTCTATACCAAAGTATATAACCGCTAAGAGGATCAGTCTCCAAGTCCAGTGAAGCTAAAAGTCTGAATTTTCCCTAGGCAGCCTAGGAACAAAGGGATTATGCCACGCGACACGCCTACATAGAAGTGGCTGTTGGCTCCTTAGAGTTGGAACCTGTAACCCGAAAGTACCATAATCTCATTTAGCACACTGAAGTATTGCCTGTACAGCCCATTTGACAACCGTGACACAAGTTATGCTTCTCCTTCACGGTAGACCAGATGTCTCCCTCGCCTATGTTATCACCACTCACATAATTGTGTTAATATAAGATCTAAGCTGCACCCTGCACCTAAAGTACCGGTTATTCAATATACTATTCTGTAGATAATAACGCTGGATTTTCCGTGATGTAGTGGCTATGTCTACGGACCTCTGCACATGGTCGACTAATGGTACATACGTAGCGATGTCATCTGTCAAACAACCACAGTAAGTGTGACGGGCTCACTGCGAAACTATACAGCTCAACATGGCCAAATACTGTTAATTATCTAACTGAGGAGGAAAGTAAAATATGCGAGTTGTCCCGGGAACACGGACTATGTTTTGTGTGCCCTCGATGGTTCCTTTGGTGGATCCGGACGCACGGTCCTTGCAGCTCCGGATCCCATATCAGGCACAGCCTGTCACAGTAAGATACAATCCACAAAGAGCTACGTTAAAGCCACAGTTCCATGTCCACTAACACCAATGCGCAGAGATTGCATCACACGGCCCACATAAGTTACCTGATATCTTTCCACTTGTATTTGCACTATGAACCTGTTAGAGCTATTAGCCTCCATCTCCTTTACTAATCTCTACTAGATTACTAGGTAGGCCCTTCTAGCTTACTAGTTACTAGGTTCCGGATCGCGAATACTAACAGATTAGCTTACGATAGTAGGTTAGTAAGCTACTTACGTAGCCTCCCTGTCTTCCTAGTTCCTTAGAGTATTGTTCCTCCTTTCCATAGTAGGGTTCTGCTACTATGGAAAGACGCTCCTACTAAACTTAGATTCCTTAAGAATCAGTCTCCCAATATACTGTCAGAGAACAGAATGCCATAGGCACCAGTGGGTGTCAGGACACTGAACGCAAGACACCGGTGGGGCGCCGGAGGGGTGTTTCGGACAAAAGACTCCCGAGTCATGATTACAATCTATGTGAAGCTTTGGGATGACGAGAGTCAAGATCCTTGGCATCGCCGACCCTGCTGTTATGCCGGGTCCAAGCGGCGGCCTAGCTATCTATATAAGGACCATCTTGAAGTAGGATAGGGAAGGAGCAGAGATCAATGCATCACCGTGGGCACCCCTACCTGAGACCGCCAGTGACCACCCGGTATTACGTAGGAGGGACGCCCGTTACTCCCCATCACTCTGTACTATTGCCTTCGGCCTAGCCGTACCCTGACATATACGCACCCATAATAATAGCGCAACCCTAGCCGTTTTTTACACTCCCCGAATAATATCATGAGATGTGTGGTATCCCTGTTACATCTATAGTTAATAGCTAGGGCAGTCGCCTGAGGGGTGTCAGATACAATGGGTCACGTGACCTACTAAGACTAACCTGATTGCCAGCCACTGGGACTCAGCTAAAAGTCCCTCTGCAGAAGAGCACACAGAACACAGACAATAATCAATCCGTCGCACTAAACGGTCACATTACCGTCACTTCATAAGATACGGGAATATCTGACATTTTTTTTTAGCTACACGTTATTATTAAGGGTACTTCCGAGTACTAGTAATCTGCACTAAACTGCTAGTACCTCCCTAATAAATATAGGCACTACATAGAAGAATAAATGCATATACCTCAATTCGCTAAAACCTATATGTTACGTTGGAAGTGCAGCTAGTTTGTGAGTACTATAGGGTTTGTACGTGATCGCAGACTTATTATTCTCGATTAAAACCGAATATAATAGCTATAATTGACAAAGAAAGGGTCTTTATTCCCGTTATCCTCTTCAAATTCTGACATTGATTGCTGCGACGAAGCCGACTCTAGCTTATCCATTACATGCGTCTAAGCGTTATGTTCAAACTTTTGAGAGATGCTTCCGAATTTGCTATAAATTAGGGAAGTTCGGAAGTATCGGTCAAAAATGGCATAGGTGAAAATTGACAAATAGATGTCCTTGACCCATTGCGTTAACAGTGGGTTTAACCCCCGTTTTTAGGCTTGACAAGTAGGTGCAAGTGGAAATCTGAAGTCAGTTGCACTGGCCTTACTTTGCAGGCACTCTGATTGGCTCACCAAATCGCTCGGACCAGGCCAAGCTCTGACGTTGCTTTGATCGCATGAAGCTATCATCAGTACGGAAGAATCCCTCATACCAATCAACCACACTCACAGTTCAAGCCATTGAACAGCACCCAAGATGCGCCGGACACTACGACTTTTGGCCAATGTCAAGCCAGTGCGCTACCTGGAGGCGGGCAACCCGACGGGCCTGACAGGCCTGTACACGCACAGCTCGCCCCGCTCGTCGCTGCTCTTCCTCTACAGCAAAACCCTCGACAAACTCAAGGAAGCCCCCGAATCCTCACTTTACCGCCAATCCGTCGAGGCTGTCACCAAGCACCGCATGGCCATCGTCGCCGCTCAGGAGCCCCCGGGTTACAAGGAGTGGCAGGAGAAGGCCAAGAAGATGCTCTCCGACCAGCCCGAAAGCTTCAAGCTCTCGTCCAATGCGAATATCGACGGTGGCAAGTCCAATATCGTCTACCAGAACGGCCAGGCGTTCATGATCCGACACACGCCATCTGAAAAGGACTCGCGGTACGAGGAATGGGATGGCGAGCTCGATGAGGGTGGCGAGCTTGAGGGTCTGCGCTCAGAGGAAGAGCGTGAGGATTTGGAGAATTTGTTCAACAGACAGCCGCTGGAGCTTTCCGACAAGGTCAGATGGGACCCGGAGCCACAGATGACTGCCGACCAGTAAGGATGACTTGCATCTGTCTGCAGGGGCTTCAAAATCACATACTGATGGGGCAACAGGGTTGAGGAGATTGAGACGAAGATTGGAGCTGGGCTCATCGAGGAGATCGTGCAAGTGGCCAAGAGCGAGCTGCATCTCGCCAATATTATGATGCAGGCCAAGCCGTAAGTGCCCCATCGCGACGTTGATTACTTCTAAGCTAACGTCTACAGATGGGAGAACTTGGAAGAGAAGCCGGTCGAGGGCCAGTGGACCTACTTCGACCGTAATGCAGCATAAACGTCTAGCTTGGTTATGCAAGGAGGGAAATTGCTTCACATTCAATCAGTGAGGTCATGTACAGTATGGACGGTACAATGTACATATTCACGGCATTACACGAGCCCAAATAGTAGAACAGGATTTGCCAAGTCGCCACAACTCCAACCGCAATTATGTCCTGCACTCGCCTGAGGTTGTGACGAGAAAATTCGATCCGTGGCCCAAATTGACTTTCAAGAAATCCTTGGTGGCGTCGGCACATCTCTCACACACGTAAGACTCGGGGGTTGCATATTGATGAGGAACATGCTAAGTGGAAGCCTTGTCGGATGCTGGCACACGTGTGCTCGACCGAATTTGGATTAAACTAGGAGCACATCCGATCAGACGTAGATGAATAGAGCGATGACCTTCTGAACTGGAATGGTGAGTAGTTCAATACAATATAGGCAGATTCTCCCAAGACCATCCAACAATGACCGATGATACCGGGTGCAGGCGTACTGCGGGCGCACTGCATAGATCCAGATTATCTATTAAAATCAGTAAATTCGTCATTTAATAGCCTGCTCTGCGCATGGATGATTTCCACGAGCCGTCCACATGCCTTGAGCATGACATACTGTGGTCCCGAATGTGTAAACGTGTACCGGTAGGCAACACTTTCAACCAACTCTTTTTCCGTGACGGAAACCCACACCGGGCGGGAAATTTGGCCATGGGCGAATTACCAACATTCTGGCAACCCCCCCTTACGCCCGAAGGAAGCGTGCTTGACAACAATTTCCCCCGGGAAGACTGATATGTCATTTCTCACATCTGGTAGGGATTCCAAGCTGCCATCGGCAATTCTGAACCACTTCTTGTATTGAAACCCTTCTCCCCTCGTTTTCTGGAAGTAAAAAGACACAAAACAACACAACAAGGCTCTGCGCGAGGAAAATCTCAACCATAATAGACCGTCTGCACGCTCACGCATCCATGCGAACGGAGCTGCTTTGAGATACCTCGGGGAGAAGGTCCGGACAGTTCGAATGCTAGGAAAGGATGGACGCTTTTAATGGAAGCTATATCAAGACAGCGTAGTCTTATATCTGGTAGTTTTGTAAGCCCAACAATTCAGATACTGTCGTTTCATCTATGACACATCCTTAGAAATTCTAAGTCATTCGAGTCCTATGGAGCTGTCTTTAGAGTCCATTATAGCCATGATTGGCTTATTCTTGGCCTTGCCAGCGGCTATTCAGGCTATACTCTTTACCTGGGCTGGTTTATACCGAAGCAGACCGGAAACACTGCCACGTTCGTCCCTTCTACCAGGTAATTTCCTGTTGCCAGGTTTTATGAAAATAATAAGCCATGATACCAGCAACACCCAGCCCATCGCCGAGAAATCAGTTCACCTTCCTGAGCTTACAATCATCATGGGCGGTCCAGATTCACCTTGACCTGGCCGGCCTCGTAATAATAAAGGATACAACACGCCGCATGAAGATAACTCGGTTAGTGGCCTTTGTTTCCCGCACCTAGCATCAATCAGTGGGTGGAAATATAAGCCTCCTATATTGAATAATTACTAAGCAGATACTCACATCGGACAACCATGTGGTCTTCGATAACCCGTAACAGTTTCATCTCAACTAACGTCAACCATCCAACGAAAAGTTGCGTCGAAATTACTCAGCCCAATCAACATGAGAAATTTCTTCAAGCCATTTCTCGATAATATAGCCTGTCTAAACCTCATTCATATACATCACAAAAGCGATGGGTTGATATGCAGGGATGAGACGCAATTGTCGAACTCAGTCGATGCGTTGTAACGGCCAACGGAGTATATTGGCTTCTAGGTCATCACTACGACGATTTTCATCACTTAACCTGGAGCCGGATGTCAACCTCCTAGCTTAGTGCCGCACCGTTCACAATTATTTAGAGATAAGACTATATGCAACGATAGACGCATGACAAGTTGCTGGATCTCGGGGAACGTCACACTGATTATATAGCGTTCCCTACCTTTTTCGCTTACGTTTAAGAATTGATCCTCTTTCTTCGCTCTAATATTGAGCTATCGCATCGTGAGTTGGGTTATCGAAAGAGATACCGGCTTTGCGTTGAACGCAGCTCCCAGCGGCAACACGCCGCGGCATTGATGAATTAGCCATATGACTTTAAGATGTTGGAAGCGATTGAAACAGCATTTCTCTTTCATTTGATTCACTTGCTGTTACACAGAAATTGAGTAAGTCTCCGGTGATCTGATGTGAAAAGTGTTATGAGACGTAACTATGTTTAAAATATAAGTTAAGTTAAGCGTACTGTTTTTGACCCCCCGAGCCCTACTAATGATTCACAGTGTCATACCCACCACTTTCTGAAACTGTCAGAGAACAGAATGCCATAGGCACCAGTGGGTGTCAGGACACTGAACGCAGGACACCGGCGGGCCGCCGGAGGGGTGTTTCGGACAAAAGACTCCCGAATCATGATTACAATCTATGTGAAGCTTTGGGATGACGAGAGTCAAGATCCTTGGCATCGCCGACCCTGCTGTTATGCCGGGTCCAAGCGGCGGCCTAGCTATCTATATAAGGACCATCTCGAAGTAGGATAGGGAAGGAGTTGTCAGAGCCACAAGTGTCATCCGAGGCGGGCCGGCTTCCACCAGGTAGGAAGCCGTTTGTGGCGGCTAGAGAGCCGTTTGCAGCGGATAGGGAATCGCTTGGTTGCAGATAAGGAGCCGCTGTCCAAGATATTGGCCGAAGTCGGAGGAACACAGACATACGGAAGCAAACATCCAGAATCCAAGAGAGAACCTCGGCTGGCTATAAGTAAGGAGTCGAGACGGAGGAAGATAGAGAGGACAGAGATCAATGCATCACCGTGGGCACCCCTACCTGAGACCGCCAGTGACCACCCGGTATTACGTAGGAGGGACGCCCGTTACTCCCCATCACTCTGTACTATTGCCTTCGGCCTAGCCGTACCCTGACAGAAACAGAGTTCAGGTTACAGAGAACTTCCATAACCAACTGACAATATCACCCCGAAAATCGATATGAGATTACAGGTTGTCTGCACCAGCTATGTATACAAACTCAAGCTCAGTATGAAGCACCAGATGAAGAGCGGGACCCACAAGACTTGCATCAATAACTGCACAATAGATGTCTAGATTCCCAGCCCCCTTGAATGCAGCAACCATATACTCGTCGTAATTATTAAATTTGGTCGAACATTCTTAAAGATAGGGAAGAAGCCTCCAATGTGTGGACAAATAGTAGAGAAACTATTTCGGTGCCGCTGGGAGCGGGATTCCATGGAATCTCTTCGCCAAAACATCCAACGCCAACACACATCACTTACCCTCTGGATCAGTGTTATTTCGCTCGTGATCGGCTATATTTTCCCTGCTCCACGGAGAACTAACGTGTTGGGCGTGAAGGACACGGAAGAGGCAAGAGGCCAACGGATACTACATTGAGCCACATCTACATATATTAGCAGTTTCCTTAGGTTTCACCACGGTTAGGAGACAGAAAAGTGACGTGACATGGGACAAATCTCTGTCCAAATCCTAAATAAAACCATGATTCATGAAGCTTACGTTTTTTGTTTTTAACCGATTCGACCGCCTCGCCTTTTCAGTCTCTCTATCTGTCTGAGGACATAATCATCGAATTTGTTGTAGTGCTAGGAAAAATGAGTAAATACCTGATGCGAGTGCATATGGGGTGTGAATTGTTATGTTGGAAAAGGATGGCCAGGTCAGCTATTCTGGCCTGGCAGAGCTCTTTTATAGCTCTTATCTATCTTATCTCTAGCTATAGGGCAACCCCCCATGGGGTCACGTATCAATACCAATAGCGTGGTCAAAGCACGCTACTCTCCATCCTTATAATTATCCTCCAATTCGTCAGAACTATTCAGTCAAGGAAAACTAGAACGGTACATGGTAGAGTGAATGACCAATGAACTCCAAATCTTTCCTGTACGATGTTTTCCTCCTGTCATTCCAAAGATGGCACAGCGAATAGTGCGGCGAAGAAGGCCATGGTCATATTGGCAGCGGTCTTCGTCGAGTCGAGGAGCTGTCCCGTTTGGAAGTCCTCACCATCTCCTTAAAACACTTGATGAACTACCGAAGGGTAAAAAGTAAAAGACAGGACGACATGTTATTATTTGTGATTTAGTGCGGCACTTGAGAAGAGAGCTCAAAATAATAACCTAGAACATAGAACCGAATGCAAGGGATCTTCAAGTTACGAAAGTTGATGAGGAGCATCTTCACTGTTGTTTGTAGTAGGCTCCAGGCATTTTGCCCTGAGAACACATGGTAGTTCGATTGACTGTAGCAGTCAATCCGTTGTATTGATATAGTATAAAGTATGCAAGTACCTTAAGTTAGCAACAGGGCAGGACTCTCCGTGATATGGACTGCAACTTGACCCGGTATGCATGTCAATAAAATGGTGTCTGGGAGTTTCCAACAGGTGGTACCAGCATTCATCTAATGTTATTTACAAGTACCGGCACATATTCGACATTTACGAAAGTCGGGAGTTGTTGAAAACCCAAAAGCAGGTTAGGATGATCCAGCTGAAATTAAGACATGCATCAGCTACTAGAACTCATAAACATCCCAAAGCGGGTAGAGAACACGTTTGGAAGGTACACATTACCAAACCATGAAATTCATAAATGCAAATCCAACGTGCTGACAGTGACATCTGACACTTGCACATAAAAGATGTGGTCCCTCACGGCCACCCCCACACAATCCGGCCTCGGCTAAGCACCTAAATCCGGAAATCCGGAATAATGGGCAGAGCCCGGCCATCACCGGCGTCATGATGGTTCATCTAACGCCATGGCCCTCCAAAACCGCCGCTCATTTTCCAAGCCAGCGGCACCCTAGGAGGAGAGAGTTTTTGTTCCTGAATCTGCTCTCTTTTTCTCCCCTCGGAAATTCGTTCCATATTATCTATTTATATATTACTGAGTAGAATCTATTAATATTTCTTATTGGCACGCGAAATCCTGATCGTTAGTCTCTTCCAAAAGAAAACCCCCGCCCCGAAACTATGCGAATTCTCGCATCATCGTCGACCCCTCCGTTGCGCCTTCTGTCCACACGACCGCTAGCGAGGTTAGAAAGCAGGCGGTCTTTATGCAATCAGTGCTGGCAAAAGTCCGGGCGGCCACGGGGAGCGGCAAGGACTTCGGCCGCGGCCAGTTTCTTTGCGACGACACGGCCAAACACGCGATTACGGCGCTATTCGCGCTCACGATCGTATGCGACGGTGGGAAATGCGACAGTTGAGAAGGGTAAGCCGAATATGTGCACAATGGATCATGGCAAACTGATCGTGGAGCAGCGCATGTTGCCGACAACGTCGGCCCAATACAGGAATATGACAAGCGTGTCGCGGCAGGCCGACTGCGGGAAGACGAGCATCAAAGGGGCATTATCCAGAGCCTACAACACTTACACGATGACCTTGTCCACTACCAAGCGCGCCCTGTCGTACACCCGACCCTCGAGTCGCTGAAACCTACAAAGTCGATGTTCGGTGGGTGGTTTGGGTCGGGTAAGAGTAAAAGTCCTATCCAGGACATCCCTTCCGATCTTCCCCAGGGACTATATCTCTTTGGAGACGTGGGAAGTGGAAAAACCATGCTGATGGACTTGTTTTACGACACACTCCCGAGTGCCGTCAAAACAAAGACGAGGATACACTTTCATAACTTTATGCAGGATGTACACAAGCGGATTCACCGTATGAAGATGGAGCATGGGAACGAGATAGATGCCGTGCCTTTCGTCGCAGCCGATATCGCAGACCAGGCCAATGTGCTGTGTTTTGACGAGTTTCAGTGTACTGATGTGGCCGATGCTATGATTCTGCGCAGGTTGCTGGAGTCACTCATGTCGCATGGAGTCGTCCTGGTCACGACATCCAACCGACACCCGGATGAGCTGTATAAAAATGGCATCAACCGCGAGTCGTTTATCCCAGCCATCAATATCCTGAAAGCGCGTCTGCACGTCATCAACCTCGACTCGCCTACCGATTACCGCAAGATCCCTCGGCCTCCGTCTGGAGTATACCACACTCCCCTTGACAGTCACGCGGCAACCCACGCCGAGAAGTGGTTCCACTTCCTCGGTGACCGCGAAGATCCTGAGCCTCGATCCGAAATCCAGAAGGTCTGGGGTCGGGAAATCCACGTCCCACGCGTGAGCGGCCGGTGTGCGTGGTTTACATTCAACGAACTCATCGGGAAGGCCACCGGAGCCGCCGATTACCTCGAGCTGATGCGCAGCTACGAGGCATTCATCATCACCGAAGTCCCTGGCATGACGTTCCGGGAGCGCGACCTCGCGAGGAGATTCATCACGTTTATCGACGCCGTGTATGAATCGCACGCTAAACTCGTTCTGACCACCGCCAAGCCCCTGACGCAACTCTTCCTTTCGGCTGACGAGATGAGGGAGTCGCTCGAGAAGAACGGGAATGCCACGGACGAGGATGACGGCATGCGGGCTGTGCTGGAAGATATGAACAGCAATATAGAGCAGCTGAAGGAGTCGAATATGTTCTCGGGCGACGAGGAGAGATTTGCTTTTATCAGGGCACTGTCGAGATTGACGGAGATGGGCAGTCGGGAATGGGTCGAGCGAGGCATGGGGTTGGAGAGCCATGGAGGCAAGAAGGATCGTGATGATTGGAACAAGGTCCGCAGTAGGCAAATGGAGGACTCGATGTGAGTAGTGTATACCAGAGAATGGTTGGTCCAGAAGGATTACACTTTGGAAGCCTGGGCTGGTGCATTACATTGGCTAGATCGACATCATCCGTTATTACTTGGAAGCACCTGATTAGCATTTGCGTATACCAGTTGCGCTTTTATCCTTAGAATAGCATGGTATGTATTTTGGATATTGCTGCTGCCTGTCACAACGATACTGGACAACACAATTTATTGAGAAATCTCGAGCACCGGTTGGGGCATCGCATCAAGTGGATGTCAAAAGGTCTTCTAGCGAGGGCGACCTCCCGGTCCCCCACCTTAAAAGTCGCCGGCTCTGACATCACCCTAATTCTGTTACCTGACGTTACAAATAGCCACTACGGCCGCACGAAGGCCAATAATTACGTAGAAATTTTTTCTTTAGCATAGTCTCTACTATAGAACATGTATACGAACTTTGGAGGCTTTTTGTCCACTAGATGGTACTCTGTGCGCGATAATATAGCCTCGGCTCTAGAATTAGTTAAGAGTAGGCCTAAAAGCTAGCGGCCATAGCAGTACTACGCCACTAAGGTCCACTATATCCTTTAGTATATTTAATAGGTTCCCTTACCCCTATTTCAGTTACGCAGTAACTATGCGAGTAGGTCTTTTAAATTTCTATTGGGATTGTTTCTAGTTACATACGCGTATACGAGTACTACGCGTTCTTGCTTTTGACCTAGCTAGTTGTCAGGGTACGGCTAGACCGAAGGCGATAGTACAGAGTGATGGGGAGTAACGGGCGTCCCTCCTACGTAATACCGGGTGGTCACTGGCGGTCTCAGGTAGGGGTGCCCACGGTGATGCATTGATCTCTACTCTCCCTCTATCTTCTCCCCGGGCCTCCGCCCCTTACATAGATAGCTAGAACCCGACGTCGGAGCCGCGGAGCACTAGTTTCCCCGATTGTTCCGCAAACCAAGACTTCCATATCGTCATGACTCGCACATTCCTACACCGGAGCCCCACCGGTGTCCCACCGGTGCCTATGGCATTCTGTTCTCTGACACTAGTGCTGCTTTACTTCCGGACTGCGCGGGCTGCACGAGCTGCACGAGCTGCACGTATGGTCTTTTGCACCTGGTCGAGCGAGCCCTTGCCCCTCTCCGTATCCATCTGCCTAGCTACGTCTTCTTCGCCGAGGGATGGATCGGAAGCAGCCCGGAGCCGTAACTCGTCGATGATTATCTTCCTCTTAGAAAAGAACTGCTTCTCTGACGGCGTAGCCCTCCATCCCGACCCCCAACGCTGCTCTAGAGAGTCTACGGACGGTAAGCCCTGGAGCCCAAAGGTCCACAGTTGCCACAGCTCGAGCACGGTTTTTAGTCCTCGTGGGAGTAGATATTGGGGTGGCAGGTCCTCGGCAGCGGGCGGAGTAACGGGTCTAGACGCCGTAGGGATGCGCGTCTTCCTATGGGCGCCGTACGGATTCGGCCCGGCATTGGAATGGCCTCTGACCTCTCCCGTCCGCGGCGACGCTCCCGCCCAGGGTGACGGCCCTCTCGGGAGGGGCGGGCTGGCAGGATCTGGCGGGTTATTTCCTGGCCGCCGGGGGCTAGCGTCATCGTGATTTGCGACCCAAGTATCCTTTCCTCCAAAGTGTCTACCATTTGACGCAGGCCTTGTAGCTCCGTACGGATCTGGCCCAGGCTGCGCGAGACCTGCGTGCCCTGGTGGATCTGGACGCCAGCTATTGACCTAAGCTGGCCCGCGACCGCAGGCATGGCCTTGCGAATCATACTGCTCTATGCCTTCGTTAGCGAGCAAGGACTCTAAGAGCAGACGTCGAAAGCAGGTTTATTACCTGTGTTTCCTGGTGGGCTAGAGCGCAAGTAGCCCGGACTTCGCCTGCAAATGTAAGGAACTCCGCGGACCTAAAGATTGGGTCCCGAAAAAGGCGGTGTTCAGGGTATTCGAGCACCAAGAAGGCCGCATCTTGGAGAAGGACCTCGCGTAGCCAGAGCAATACTTCAAGGAAGGCGCCGGCGGCCAAATTCGGCTCTACATCGATTATTGGGCCCGTAACCGACGGGCCGGCCGTTCGCTGTTTCTGCTTCGTCCTTGCGGGCTTGGGAGCCTCGTCGCCCGGGTATCGTGCATGGGCTTCGACCCAGCGGTCTAACTGGGGCCAGACCCTGCGCAGTAGTGCCTCTGGTGGCTTAACGAGCGACCTAGGCACGAAGTAAGAGCCGGACCACTCGGGATCGAAGTCTGCCATGGCCCGCAAAAACTGCAGTGGCAGCGAGGTCAAATAACAGCCGGTCGACTGGTCCCCAATGTTCCAGCGGCCCGCTCGGCGGATTTATACGAGGAAGGAGTATGTCTTAGGCGCCTAAGTCACTACGCCGAAGATGATGGGCGGAGGCTACGTACCTCTGGCTCGGAGACACCGGCCAAGTCCGCGTTTTGTGCACCAGAAACACGCGTCGCGTAGCTCTTTTTCGAGGTCAGAATACCGGCGTCTTTATAAATCTTCTTCGTCCACGAAAGCGCGGTCGCTTTTGAAAATAAGGCTCTTGGCTCACGGTAGTCGCGTCGGAGGAGCTAGGCACCGGGTTAGTGGAGAGACAGTACTCCGGTTGGGGGGGGGCCAGAAATACTTTAATAGTATACCAGTCTTCCGGCTTCTGGAAGGAAGGGAACGTCTCCCTCTCGACATGCCACCTCCAAAAGAACCAAAAAGCCAGCTGGCCTACGAGACAGGCCTGGGGATCGCGGTGACGCAGTGCAGAGCCATACTCTTGCCGCCCGTGGACATTGGCCTTGCTCTCCCGCATGATCGCCATCAAGACGCGGGGCTTGTAGTACTGGGGGACGTCTTGCTGCCCTTCGCGAGGCAGTTCAAGGTAGAAAAGGTCGGCCAGCTCTAATTTCAGCCTACTAGCCGTTAGAATTGCATTCGAGATAGATAGGGAGGTAACGTGCCTATTGCCCTGGCGCATGAGCATGTGGTTGCCAAGGAGGAAATCGACCTCGGTGCGAAGAGCGCAGCCTGGATTTTCGTGCTGCCAGACTGCCCGAGTATGATCGGGGATCTGGCAGGCTCTGTAAGCGTCTTTCAGGGTGCCTACGCCTCGATCTGCCCATAACTTCCTCTTCTCGGACCATGCATTGCGAAGAATACCGTTTTTTAGGGCTTTTATGCTTCTGGCCTCATGGTCTCATGTCTCTGGCGAATTTGTAAATGATATACCCAAGCGAGCCTCAACTAAAGGCCGGGAAGTTGCGGCAGGTTGCAGCTCCGATAAGATAAAGCTACCCCGCCGCCTGCGTCTTCCCCCGCATGAACTTATTTGGTCGCGACTGCCTGATGATGATTGTATGGGAGGCAACAACCGATGACATAACCTGATTGGGCTGATTGGGTACCATTTCATGGTGGAAGTGAACGGAGCAGAGCTAGTATCTTATCCCTGGAATACTTCACTTCACATTCCACCACTTTTCAAGAGCTTTGCCGTATCGAATGTCCACACATTGACATTGCAACAGCCAGAAAATCGTCCGCATCCGCGCATCCGCGATGTCATCAAATCCCCTGAGTCCGTCTGTCATCCTCCAAGGGATGGCAGACGCCTTGTCGCCAAAGCTCGATGGTGACAACACATCCAGTCTCAGTAGCTCTCATGAGGCTCTGGCACTTTTCACGCATGCCTGCATGGTCTCACTAGGCTTTCGGCTGCTGGGATTCGATGAGGAAAGGACCGAAGAATCAAAATGTCGCGAAATGGCACCACGTCTTCCCGAAAACTGGAACGCATCATTTAACACCTGCGCTTTCGTCTACGCCCACTCACAATCAGCCCTTCGCTTTGTCATCAAGACCGACCGCATCGGTGGCAAAGCTGAAATTCGAGGCCTGGCCATCGAGGACGATCGAATCACTCGTGTCGAGGTCACAACTAAGGACTTCATCTCGAACGGCGCGCTCCCAGTGCGCATCCCGCGGAGGGATGACTCGACCGAGGATCGATCTAACCTACCGCAGAAACTGAAAAATGTATTTATTTCGGAGGGGCGCATCACAGATCTTGCCAACTTGATCAAGATCAAGATCATCCAGAAATTATTACCAGCACTACAGAAGGAGGGCTATGAGGAGACGGAAGACGATCGCGTCGCAAGAGACGATGCAGACGAGGCGGGACGACGCCCACCGAGACAGCCGTATATGCCCGACCCGTTACCTCAGCCTGCGAATCCGTATCCCTTCAACGATCCCCTGAACCCGCCACCTCGCAACCCGGTGCCAGCTGGGGATTTCCCACCCCCGAGTTTTGAGGATCCTTACGATATCAATCGGCCTCCCCGAGGACAGTTCCCACCTAACAGATCACCATTCGGGAATCTTGGTGCGGATGACTTGAACCCACCAGGCCTTGGCCCACATGATCCATTCCGACCGAGTCTCGGCGGCGGCGGCTTGCCGCGACCCGGTGGACCCCGGGGCATGCATCCAACCTTTGACGATCCCATGTTCGGTGGTATTGGGGGTGAACCTGGATACGACCCACAGGTGCCGCCGGGAGCCCGGTATGACCCACTTGGGCCGGGAGGTGTGCCGAGACTTGGCGGCCGGCGCCCCGGCGGAGGGAACGACCCATTTGGTGGTGGTGGAGGCTTCGGTGGCTTCGGAGGCTTCGGGGGCGGAGATATCATTTAAAGAACGCACGGCGTTACGATCGTCTCTTGTTCAGCAGAGATTGGCGGACAAAATCACCCCTTTCCTGGATTGGTGGGACGGGACTGGGAAAGAATTGTACCAATATTACGGATCTCACGAGATTATGAGGTTCGCACCAAATGTGGCTGTGGTGCACGAGTGTATTTTGTATTTTAATGACAGCTTACCATGCATCTAACATCGTTCATCTTAAGTACTCTAAGGAGCAAATTTCTCCTAACGCGGATTCCTAACCGCTGGTGCAGCGAAACGAGATAATCGACCTTTGAGCCGTTGGTTGAATACATGAGCCCTATTCCGAAGTTATTTATTACGTCTATGGACTTGAAAACTCGATGAGTTTACTATTGACACTGCAGGTGGGCTTCTTGGCCACACTTGCACGTAGCTCGATATTTTCGGTTCTGTCAGCTTACTAGCCAAAACCACTGCCGGCTCTAAACGTGCGAATCGCACCAAATCTTGAGTCATATAGCATGACTCGGTTTTACACGATTAAGGAAGTCAAAAAATAGATGACTATGGGATAAGAACGCTAAATCATGACTGCGATGCCGAAAACAGCTGCGGAAGATACTTCATAAGCTACAATACCTGACATACTATACTCTAGACTGACCAAGGGTCTACATATCCCTAGTCAGGACTCGTATAGCCAAATGCACAGAGTCGACCGGATTCAAACCCAAAAGGGTCCAGAAATGAAACCCGAACGAAGCTAGATGACGATTTTGAGATTAGTTGCACTCCAGCACGATCCCCCTGCCCATATTGCAAGCCAACTTTCCAAGGGAGGATCAAACAGTTTCATCATATCCGCGAACACAAAGGCACACATGATAGCATGGGGATGGAACTAATCACGAAAGACATACCTACTCTGGTGCTGAACCAGTTTGGTATGATCCAAACTACAGTCCACATCAAAAGTGCCCGGACTAATGTAACTTCGAAAAGAATGGAGCCTGTTACTTCCCAGGCAAGTCTATATTGACTGTCATCTTGATCTAAGCATTCCGGGATAAAACTTCGTAGTAACATTCAACCGACTTAAGTGGTAAATCAATCCAGTTGATCTGGCCAGTGGGGACTAAAGCGACTAGCAGTCCAGATAGTGCGAGAGTCATCAAAATTATTCTTATCCAAACCAGTGTTAGACTGGCCTGGAGCGTCATTTGAGGACTGGAATAGTAGCAACATGCGTCGCAGGCTCACCTGGATCTGCCAATGATAAGCGGAGATAGAGCATAGCGTCATCTAGCCACTTAGGAGAAGGGAAAGTCCATTAATAAGTTGTGTATCGCTGAATGATAGTGTGCACCTAAGTTGTGTCAGTAGCGGGAATCGGTAGTGCGTGTCTCACGGGACCTCGTACGTACTCACCTTCTCGACATAATCGACACGGGGTCTTCCACCGGCGTTTTACACTTCATTATGATAGAACGCACCGATCCAGATAGGCACACAACCTCTTGTTGTCTAGATCGATGGCAAAAACAGAATGGAAAATCATGAGCACAAGAGTTTTCTAGGCGGGTCATCGAGGAACTCCGAGCAGTTGCACATCTTGCAGTAGGGCTGAATAGTCGGGTAGGCTTCCCTCGCAGGAGAGCTTGCAGGCTGATGATAGCAGGTAGGTTGTAGTTTAGGAGTGCTTCATAAGAGACATGATGTGGTTACATTATTCGATAGCGGAGATACCAAATGGAGTTTCTGGCATCAGCAGAATGAGCTGGTCGACGTCCCTAGTCGATATCAGCTCATGAAGGCTGGCCAACTAGCCCGCCCTCCTTCTGGGAGAGAGCCTTCTCAAAAATGTGAACTTGGTGTAACATGCAATCAATTTCTGCACTCATCGATTGTGGTTGGAGCGAAACCAAGTGCGTCATATCCGGCGTGGATTGCATTTTGTTTTGGCTCATAACCGTATATAGGCCCGAAAATCCATGTCAAAAAAGCTTAGGAGGGTTGTTTCGATGATGATAGAGGTAGGTCGAATCAAACAATTAACATGATGCCTACACAGCTCAGCCCAGTCCCCAGTTTTCCAGAGATAGTTGATAAACGGTGCTCTCAGCCGACCTGTCGTGGTCTTTACGCGCGCAACTACATTCAGGATCATGGGTGGGGAAGGAGGCCACAGACTGGCATTCTTGAAATTTGTCCCAACGCAGATGGGTTGTGATTTCGAGATACGCAACTATAAGTGGTTATATTGGCATCGTACACAGTCAATTTGTTTCTGCGGCAGAGAACAGGAACGCTCTGGTAGTCAGACGTCATTATTCGATGAAATGCTTGAAGTTGCTTCCAGCTTAGCCTTGCCCTCTTCGACCCAGCACTCGAAGAACAACGGCCCAGCTTCAATAGCTCGCAGCGGTGTCGTCTTGGCTCCACCGACGTCTTTCCCAGCTTCGCCATGATCTTTGGACTGGATTTGTAGGTTGGGCTCTGATGGCATCCAGTGCTGAGGGTGCTACCACACCATTAGCACGAGCAAATGCAATCAAGCAAGGAGAAGCTTTGTGTGCACATACCCCTATAGGTGCTTCGCCCTCATCTCTCAACTCCACAGCGATTGTGAACGAACAGCCTTCGGGTAATGAAGCCATCTTCTCAGCCGCATAGGCCATCCTGCGGATCCCAGCACGAAACTGCTCGTCCACATTCGTCCAATTCACCTTGTCTCCACCAACTTCTGCCCCTTCCCGACCGTCATCCTCGTCTCGACGAGCCAAGCCCTTTGCTTTTCCCTCCTTGAGACCCTTCCATGCGGGGAACCCACCAACATCGATCATCCATCTTTCCATGGCTCTAGACTCGGCGTCAACAATTACCGTGGCAATGCGGTCCACTGCGCCCAGAACAAGTTGTCCCTTTACTGCATCGACTGCATCGCGAATCCAAGAACATACTTGTGGGTGCCGGGATTGGTGCACAGGCAAGTTGTAGGCACGAGTTGTGAGGAAGGTTTGTGAGGGGTATAGAGAACGGTAGAAGAGGATATTGTGGATTGCCACGGTAAGAAATTGTGAGAATGAGTCTAAGAGCTGGGAAGCTTGAGAGAAAGGAATGAGCGGCGGTTGAGGTTGTGATGGCGCTGGCATCTCGACGTTGTGGAGTTCAAGGAAACGTTGTTCATACCATCACTTAGCTGCCGCAAAGACGCGTCGAGGGGCAGTTTCAAAAGGTGGAGAGCGCGTCGTTAGAACACCAACTCACGTGCTCAAAGCTACCAGAAATGGCTATTGCTATAAAGAGGCTTTGTTCTGAACCCGATATCGCCCATTTACCGAGGATTCACAAGGTTAAATGATCGACGCCAAGAACTTTAAGAAACGGTCAACTAGCAAAGGCGGGACAGACGCGTTCTAGCGGTGGCGAGGCTAAAATCCACAGCACGGCCTCTAAAGCATCTTAGGGATAAATAATAAATCCTGATTCGACCAGCCGCGGCCTGAAGGCATCGTAGGCCTCTGTTCCGACCACAAGACATGCGCATACGGTGTTCCCTCTGAAACACATCAAACACCCGAGCGTGGACATCACAATTTTGAAGCCGTCTACACCCAACTCGACTGGTGGATCTCCAGCTTGTGGACCTAAACGTCGTCTTGGTGGGGGAGTTCGAACGCGACCCTACTATTTCACCACCCAAAGCCGCTCTACACTCAACCCCTCTCGAGTACCTGACACGATTCAGCACCCATCACCACGAACACGACGGCACGATGGAGGACCAGCTGGTTCAGGTGCTGGCCAACACGCAGCTCGCTGCGGAGGGGCCGCGCAAACAGGCCGAACTCGATCTGAAACATGTCGAAACGAATCCTGCCTTTCCTCTGTCCCTTGCCAACATCGGAAGTCATAGCTCCATTGCCCTCGAGGTCCGACAAGCCGCATTGTTGAATCTGCGTCTGTTTATTGAGAGAAACTGGAGTGGCGAAAGCGACGAGGGCCCTGTCATACCCATCTCAGATGCCGTCAAAGAACAGATGCGCCCCGTCGTTCTTGACCTTGCCTTGGGCTCAGAAGACGACCGCAAAATCAAGACGGCAGCCAGGTACGTTGGACTCTGTCAAGGTATCCAGAGCGTATTAGAAAAGTCAAGCTACGGTTGAGACATTGGCTCTGGGACCTTCTCCGAACCCCATTTCTAGCGGGGTGGCAACGCCCCAGAAATCTCAGCTCTGACAGGGTTAGCTGGTTATACTGACTTTGTGAATAGTTATGTTGTTGGCAAAATCGCCAATGTCGATTTTCCAGACCATTGGCCGACGTTACTCCCCACCCTCCTCAACGTCATCGCCACGGGTACAGATGGCCAATTGCATGGAGCTCTCAAAGTCCTCTCCGACCTAGTTGGGGATTGCCTGAGTGACGACCAGTTTTTTACCATGGCACGGAGCATTGTGGAGGTCGTATACAATGTCGCTTTGAATGAGTCTAGGAAGCCTATTCTCCGCGCTCTGGCCGTTTCCGTCTTCCGGGGTTGCTTCGATCTCTTCGATATTGTCAAAGACGACCATCCCGAGGAAGTGAAGGGCTTCGCACAAGAGGCACTTGCGGGCTGGTTTGAATTCTTTTTGCAGATAATGAAGGTCCCGCTGCCCCCGCACGACGGTTCGTCTAATAATCAACCCGAGAGCTGGAACGGAATCGTCGCATTGAAGCTCCAGGTAGTGAAGTGTCTACTCAAGATCAGAAACGTATTCTCAAATATGTTGCTGCCACGCGTTTCCGAGTTCTTCGACGCTGCCTGGGAGGAGCTTTCGCTTTTAGAGGGACCTCACGAGCACATGTACATCGAGAACGATGCTCAAGGGCGGTTGGAGGATTCCGATGGCCTTCCATATACCTTGGACTTCCTCGTACTGGAGGAACTCGACTTCCTCAAAGAATGTCTCAAGGCGTCACCGGTGCAGAAGAAGTTAGAGGCACAACTTGACGCGTACGCCGCAGCACACGAGACGCCCTGGGTGTTGAACCTTATGAGAGTTGCGACGTCCTATGCACGCATCCCTCGGGAGGATGAAGATCTGTGGGAAATCGATTCAGGCTTGTATCTGGCCGAAGAAACCTCTGTCAGCGCAAACTACACACCCCGCACTGCCTGTGGCGATCTTGTCATCAAGCTGGGCGAGTGGCAGAAGCAGCGGGCCCTCGAGGGCTTATTCGCCTACACCAAAACGTTATTCATAGGTGAGGCCACATCGTGGAGAAGACAGGAAGCCGCCCTCTTCTTGCTTAACATGCTAGTGAGCGACTTCTTGGATTGCGACAAGCCCGTTTCCGAGGAGATCGTACAAGCATACCTAGAGTTGGTCAACTATACCATCAACGCCGCCGAGCCCCTTCTGCGTGCTCGGGGCTATCTTGTAGGCGGCTTGCTTGTCCAGTGTAGCAAGATAGCCGCAGGCTTGTTTGATCGTACTGTCGACGCCATCACCTCAGGTGATTCCGACCTTGTTCAGCTGGCATGTATCAAGGCTGCCGAGGGATTTATCAGGAGCAACAACGTTGATCGGTCAAGTCAAGCAAAGGTGGTTGGCGCCGTTTCACAGTGGATCCAAGGCAAGGACATGACAGAGGTCGCAGAATCAGACGATACTCTGGTGACTTTGGCCGAGACTCTGCGCGCCGCAATCAACCTAGACATGAGCATAGCCGTGTCAACCGAGGTGCCAGCTCTGGATCTCCTGTTCCTCATTGCGAAGCATGGAGCCACCAACTGGCAGACTACGATGCTCATCTGTGAGACGTTCGAGGATGTGGTCCAGACGATGCGTGATGCTAGTTCCTATCAAGCTCTCTGCGCAAAGGTTCTACCGACTTTAACGGGTGCATTCGATGTTGCTAATGTCACAGAAGATAACCCCTTGGTTACGGTACGTGTTCATTAAGCTCTGCGCTTCATCCAGCGACCATTTTATGCTGACGAGCAGTAGTTCGCGACGGAGTTGATGGCCTCTTTGACTCAATATGGCTCAACACCACTTCCTCCCGGATTTGTTGCGGCATCGCTGCCGAAACTGACACGCCTTCTCATGGAGTCGGGCGAAGGTGAAGTCCTTCGACCTGGTGCCGAGTCCGTGAAATATCTCCTCTCGCATGATCACCAACAAGTTTTCAGCTACCACGACGAGAACGGCCGTACCGGACTGGAGGTTTGCCTTCATATCATTGACCGTCTACTGGGTCCGGAAATCGAGGACAACGCCGCCTCAGAAGTTGGCGGTCTAGCTGCTGAGCTGGTTTTAGCAGCTGGCCCTGAGCGACTCGGCCCCTTCCTGCCTCAATTACTTCAAGCTGTTGCCAACAGATTGGCCACCGCACGGGCTGCTCCTTTCATCCAATCACTGATTTTGGTCTTTGCGAGACTGTCTCTTGACAGCGTTCAAGACGTGGTGGAGTTCCTCAGCACAATCCAAATTGAAGGTCAAAATGGACTGCAAGTTGTACTGAGCAAGTGGCTGGAGAACTCCGTGAGCTTCGCCGGCTACGATGAGATCCGTCAGAAGTGAGTTGTTGATATAAACAAAAGAAAAAAAACGCTGAGCGCTAACTCATACATCCAGCGTTATTGCCCTTTCCAAGCTGTACAGCCTGGGTGACGCCCGTGTCGCACAGACCATGGTAAAAGGCGACCTCATTGTTCCCGTCAGTAACCGCATCATGACGAGATCAAGAACGAAGCAAAGTAGGTCTCCACTATCACCCACTTGACCTTGCGATTAATGAATGTAGCAGCGCCTGACCAGTACACAATCATCCCTGCCCCTCTCAAAATTCTCAAGGTTCTAGTTGAAGAGCTCATGTCCGCCTCGGGCATCCAGAGCGCCGCCGTCGCCGCTGCTGCTGCCGCGGCCGAGTTTGCAGATGAAGATGACGGCGAGGACGGTTGGGAAGATGACCCGGACACAGTCGATTTGTCGTTTGGTGGAACCAAGACGGATCTTATGGGCTTCTTGGAGTCAAGCAACATGCGCAACCGCGACGACGAAGCGCAAACTTACCTCACCGAATTCTTCTTGAAGTCTGCGCGGGACAACACGGCTGACTTTAAGAACTGGTACGAGGCGCTGACGGAGGAGGAAAAGTCCAAGCTGAATCAATTGGCCAATGAGCAGGCCTAGACGCCATGATTCCCTGCTTGCCCGTCCTTCGATCAAGCTAAAAACACCATTGGGGTCTATACCGAAGCTGGGACGCAGTTCGATGGTGAATCGGTTACCAAATGGATCATGCGATATGATACCGGTGCGGTTGGATGAGTAAGCAAGCATACTCTACCGCCTCCGCGTCGCCTCGTCCCCGCCACTACTTACCTATGAGGCCATACAGTAGATAGATTAGTTTCACAACGCCCAAGATGCCGGGTTTGATGGAAGGAAGATGACCAACAAAGTTGACCAAGGTGCCGCTGTAGACATAACGGTCGCTGGTCTAGCTAGTGGTCGAGACGTGGTATTATACTTCAACGTAGTGATGAGATAAATTTATAGTACGAAATATATGACTTTATTCTTGAGGACCGTTTATTGTTGCTTCAGAGCGACGAAAAGGCAATGTCCACATGTGAGCCGCCCAAATTGGAAAGCGGGTCTTGCAGCAAAGAGCTGGGAGGCGACGGGATTGCTGTGCGTGTTGTCCTCGAGAAACTGGCCAAAAGTACTTTACGACCCCTTACGGGCACGCATACCTGTCATACTTAGTGCCATAGATCTACGGTATGGACACTGAACAGGGTGTCGGCTCTATTTTTACTATTGAACAACTACTTGAGTACAACCCTCTGTCTTGCCTACTATGTTTCCCCTAGACTCTAGAGACAAAGATTATTCTCAATATGCTCATATAATAAAAGAGCAGTGGAGAAACGTGCAAGAATATTATTTATAAGCATTGAACCTTGAGCTGCGGTTTTTCCTCCTACAAGACGCCCTCCTTCTAGAGATAGCTAAAAACCCCTATTCCGAACTACAATGCCCCGAGTCCTCGAGTTACGGTCTCCCAAGACTTCCATACTATTCTGTGACCTACAAGCCCAAGGACTGGCTCTCCACCTGTGCCATGCGCCCGGTGCTGACATCAACAAACATGCTTGTTGGAAGAACCGCCGCCGCCAGCGCCACATACCGGCCTTCTTAGGGACGACACATTATTCCTCCAGCGCCTGCTTAATACTTTGACATTCCCAAGACCTCAAGTCTTGTCGTCTATAACATCAGAAGGAACTTACGAAACTCTTCATTATAGAACATTGTCTTTATTAGTATTGACATTGACACATTAGGCGATGAATATGAAAGACCTTCTTTACTCTACCCGATCCAATTCAACGTAGATACTCATTACTCAATTGATACAAACAAAGCTTGATCGACACCTCAATAAGTGAAGGCTTCACCAACGTCATGAGATCGTACCAAATCGTCATTGGGAATGCCAAATCTTGCCGTAACGCAGCTCGACGTTTTCTATTTGAAGAAACACAACCGATTGCCACATCCGTAGTCATGTCATTGTTCGCGCCTCTCATTCCAGGTGATCCAAATATCGTGCTAGTTTTCCACAGACCCAATAGCAATGTCAAGTTCCTGAAAATTATCGGTATCGATACGTAACCGTTGTGTATTATCGACGTTGTAAAAGCAGCGTAATATCCTTTCAACCCGCATCATAGGCTCGTTTGGGATGATGCGCTAGATGCCACTGGCGTTCTGTTTGAAAATGTCCATGCCACTAGGAACAATGTATAATTTGCGTTAGTATCTTTGTTTGGCATTGCTGTGAAGGATGCCGAGCGGCTGGAATGTAAATCCTGTGAGGGCTAGCGGAGACTATTCAGGCTCGTCGAATAGGCTCCGCAACCGTTTACTTCGATCGAGAAGAACCATGAGCGAATAATTCATTGAATCAGACCCCCGCGGATCTAAGATAATGACACAAACTATATCGCTTCTTAAATCTAGCCTTGTACTAACCAACTGCAACTGGTATTTGCGGAGACGTAGAAATTTTGTTTCATACCTATTCTCCAACCACCTTTTTTGATATTTGGTGATTATAAGCTGCTTGTATAGCCCGGCAGTGGTGATATATCGTCAATCTCATTGCAGGTAGCAGGGCTATTGCGGAAGGGAATCCCTGGTATGTTCGACTCCAGGAAGCACCACTTGACATATGATCACGAGCCAATGATCTCCAACAGCACGTGAAGACATTGTCACTAGGTTCTTACTCCCTAATCTCAGCAGGTGATCTGCAAATTGGCTGAAACCAACCTCAAGTGGATATCCAGCCTAATGAGGCATTGGTAGCGACTGTCTCCCAGAAACGCTTGCAAGAACCAGCCGAAAAGCTCGAAGTAACCACTGGCAGATTGGTGGTTTTGATACGAGTTTTGCGGCTCAAAACAACGCCGAATAGACACAAGTCCTTGGGTGTGCCCCAAGAGCTATAAGTCTCCTTTATCGACTGCTTTTGGCTGTCCATTGGCCGCAATGTGCCCTTAATGCTTCTGCACGTCTGTAAAGTCCATTCGAGCCTTGCCATGCCGAAAATTCCATACTAGGTAGAAACAGCGATTGGCTGCTTACTCGCTCTCGTGATTCTGCACTGGCTTATCAGCAAAGTTGGTCCTTGGTGACCCAGCCCTCGCCGGCCCAAACCTTGAACTGGGACTAGTCCCGTCCGCTCCAAATCGAAACGTCATCGTCCATCTCTACCGCCTCTCCCTTCCTAGAAGTCTTACGAGTGCTCTCCAGGTGTCCGATGCGTATGACTTGCACACCACTGATGCACGTGTCATTACCCTCCAATCCACCACCATCGATTGGCTCCTGTTCACGCAGATATGGCGCAAGAGGCGTCATTCGCAGGTCATCAGGTCGCCAGGTGTGCAGACGGTAGGCGATTCACGCATCACCCGAAACCAGCCAATCTAGACAATGGAAAGTCTATGATGGCTCCGGACACTACGGTCGCATGGAGGGGTTCCTACCCTCTTTTATGTGTATGCCATCTTGGTGTATATAAACGTGCTCAAACTCCCTCTACACACCTTGTTGGTCAGACATAATATCTCAAACCATTCAGTCCAATCAAAACTTGCTCGAACAGCCTCGCACTAAAATTATTTCCATTAATCCAACTTTAAAACACACAATTATCATCATGGGTGGATGCAACTGCGGAGCTACTGGCGGATGCTCGTGCGCTGCCGCGGGACAGAGTTGCAACTGCGGAGGAACTTGCTCCTGTTCCGGATGCGTAAGTTTCTTTAACATATACTTATGTTCACGGCAACTGACTGATTCGGTGTTGCTAGAGCAAGTAAACTGTTCCAGTTACCCTGGGCCGATCGACCTGACAAGCAATGTGCCCGGGGAGTGGAGGTATTTCAATGGTTTGGACGAGAGACCGGATGTTACTGGATTATGTTCTCGTGCGCAATTGAACGAAGTCACTCGTTAACACAAATCAAACCTATCGTTAACTAAAAACCATTCGTGTCTATGAATAATGTGGCCTGAGGATGCGTCTAAGCCAGTGCGATTGGTGTGAACCCCTGGCCAATATCCCATAATCTTGCACGAATCAGTTGCCCTATAATAACATTTGACCCGTAAGGCTATTGTTCAAATGTAGTACTTTCATTACCATCCAAATTCTCGGCTTCTGACTTTAGATATGTGACATACCACAAAATACCTTTTCACACACTCGTCGAAGCTGTTCAAGTAAGTTCTTCCAACTATATTCAACTTGCTACGCCTGTTTGAACCCTTTGTGTCATCGCTGTCTCGACTGAGGAAGTAGCAACCGGTTCAATGACTTCAGCGTCATAGCTCACCACTCGTCTGTGTCATCGGAAGGTCGTAAACGTCTGGGAGTCACATGGCACAGAGAAATCCTCCGACCATCAAATCCTCATCTGAAGGTCTCTCCCGGGGTACAAATCTCGAGAGTGGAAACCAGCTCTGGAGTCTTGCTTCTGAGTCCCGCTTCTAGCTCCACTCAAATCCCGTATAAAGAGCCTCGATAGCTCCCTCGTTACCAATACTCGGTACTTCAAATGCGTATGTTGGATCCGTCGGTTTGGTCCTCAGTGAACACGCCCAACCTGCGATGCCATCAGCAAGCGTCCTCAAAGCCCCGAAAGCGACTTAGGGCCTTTTTTGGAACCTCCTAAAGTGAAAGAGCTCAGGGATTCGACTTAACGTGAATACCTCTTCAATAGGGTTATCTAAACCAGGACGAAACGCATTCGAAATATAACTCGTCTTCTACCTTCCGCGCGGGAAACACTCAAGTATACATCTGCTGCCTGAACCGGGTGGTGGCTTTTCATATGGGTAGGTTGCCACTGCGTTTACGGGAGGTTCCCGTGTGTTGCGTTTCCGAAAACCCATCCCCTCTGCACCCACGCGCGGAGCGTTTCGCTGAAGCTACGTATGAGGGCCATAATACCCCCGAGTGTTTACATAATTTGTCTACCAGAACATCTCGGGATCATACACCGTGCATCTGGTGACGTAAGGGGGCACAGGGCCATGGTGGCGATATCTTTCCGCCAAGGCCTCGTCTTGTTGCGAGTGCGCTTGAAGCTTGAAGGGTTATGTTCGGGCTGTCTTGGTGGGTTTAGAGGGTGAAGACAAGAGACTCGTACGTTTTCCTTCACATACAAACCAACGAAAGGCCAGTCAGCCCGAATCGACGAAAGGGTGTCAGTCATTTTCTCTGTTGCCCCTCATCGCGATCAGTCTCAACTGAAGGAACGCGTGGAGATGCGGGTGGTGTACATCAACCAATCCTATTATGGAAGTATAAGTAAAACAATTGTCTGAGCGGTGGATATGGATGTGGATGTGAATGACAGATCCTAATGGAGTGTGCCGGATGGATGTTTCGCGCAGAAGCAAAAAAGGTCGGTAGATGAGGACGGGTCAGTATAGAAGGGCGGTGATGTGGTGAGATGGAGGACCAATTTGCTTTCCTCCAATGGAAAGACGGACAAGGAGCAAGCCTCAAGGCAACCAACCTCACCAATCTCAACGTCCCCTTCCTTTCGGTTGACGGTGGATTGGGTTGGTTTGGTGATCTTGTTGGTTGGCCTGTAGTGGTGGACACGCTGATATCACGTTACCGGTTTCGTGATCCTTTGCTTGGGGCCGATGTGATGCGGTTTTAGGCCTTCCACGGCTACGGCAACCGCAGTTAAACTAATGTAATCAACCAAGTCTCCAATTTGGTATGGCTTGGCAACCATAATCTGAAGGTTTGTTGGATTGTGGTTGTCCATCTACGCCAACCCTGGACAACCAGATTGAGTTGAGGAGGTTGCTTCGAGGCTTGACAACGAGGACAAGTTTGAGAAGATGGCGATAGGGAGGAAAGTAAGGAACACTTTCGTTCCCCTTGAAGCGAAGGATGTCTGTCGAAATGAATTTCTTTGAGGGCCATTGATTGTTTACATCGTTTGTTTACTTTCCCAGTTTGAGGCAATTTCAGCGGAAGGAGCGCGTGAAAAATTGGCACCTGTAGACCTCAAATGTTTCTGCCGAAGACGCAACAATTAAATTAAGGACGAAAATTTGAATACCCTTGACATGCTCTCTCAGACGACGTCGACTGCAGAAGGATGTGGTTGATGGGTGCGATGGTGGGCGGCTCATTTTGAGTATCTCTCCCGAAGTAAATGAGCGGTATATCTTTGTGCCGATGTTGGTGCTTGTGGCTTGAAGTTGGATAAAGTAGATGTCTGGAGGATGGGGGGCTATTCGGACTGCCAACCCGTTGTTGAATTTGCGCCCTCAGGCACACATCGGGAAAATCGTTGGGCATTATCAGCATTGATTTTCGACCGATCAGATCAATCAACAGAATGCTTATCAGAATGCCAGCAGCCATCCTGTCCCAAACTTGAAGGTAATGCGGTATCAGCACCGTGTACGTCCTCCTGCAATTGACCACATCCTGGTCCATGACCAGTCAATTATGCTGCGCTACCTACTTTTTAGCATCGTTCACTAGGAAGCAGTAGTGGGACGTGTGGTTCTGTCACTACCACTCCACCTATAGCACGAATGCAAGGTGCCAATCTCGTCCTTACAGTCCACTTACAATGCCTGCTTCCCCAACGTCGTATTGGCCGAGTCTCACGGCGGACACCCGAAGGATTACTTGCGAGTCTATTGCCACATGTGATTAGACCAATGTGCTTCTGGATAGGCTCACAGGAAACTTCAGTAAATCATGTAGCTCCAATCATCAATGTGAAGGAATGCCACCCGAATGAAAGCCCCAAGCAGTCCCGTGGCTTCTACACTGTGCGGCTCCAAAGCCTCCTTCAACGCCTTTCCTGTCCCATCCCATATGCTGTGCTCCAAGATAACCATGACCGGGAATAACCTTGACCGCGGTCCTCTTGGCCATCCGAAGACATCATCTTGTCGATAGCCGCTTTGACTTCGTCCTACATAGGGCCAGGGTGTTCCCTGTTATTAGTTGATGACATCCTTCGTACTAATCGAGTACAGCTAAGCAGTGACGACGTTTTATAGAGATACTATGGGATGCTTAGAGGAAGAAGTGAATCTTGATACTGTGATAGACATGCAGCCACAGGTTTCACGACCTCATACTGTCATATACATAAGGACAAGCGCAACAGGAACGCTACCATAATGTCTGCAGTTTTGGGGCTAGTGCGGCCACTAACAATAAAGTTGGACAATGGCATCAGCTGTAAGCAACCGATTGCAATGATCATTGCCCACAGCCAAAGATCTCCAACCTCAGTGTTGGAAGTTCGTGATGTATTATTGATGTTGAAGTTCAGCGTTTTTCTTTGTCCATACACAGATCCGGCAATACCCTTACTTGCTACAATTCTGAAAAGACTTGTAGTAAAATCGAAGGGTGGCATACAGTGCGTGGACATGAAAACACTTTCCAGTGAATGATTCTGATTTGATGCCGTTGCACCTGGCCCATTCCGGGCGATGATAGCGGCAGAGGTGAGCATGCTGCCCATGCGAAAATTAAACTGCTGCACCACAGTGTGCATTAGTCTCGTGACGATAAGATCGAAGGCCATTCTTATTTGGCACCGCAAAAGATCAGCATTCTCTGCAATTGCTCAAATACTCAATCAAGACTCCTGGATCCTGAGCAGAGGTACCCCGACTCTGCAGGTGCCCATGGCCGCCACTGGTCCCATAACCACGTGCTCCATCCATGCTCATCCATGAACAATCTTGAGCAGCAAAAGATCATTGCCATTAAGCACACCAGCACCAAGACTTATTCAAATTACCATTTGAAGAAAAAACCGGTACTTGACTTGCCCATATTCTCTCTTGTCTGTCACCTGCCTCGAGCAAACATCTCATGCCACTTTCCCCTGGCAACAGGAGCAGCGCCGGACGCGCCTTCGGTGGTAAGCTCCACCATGTCATGGACTGTGGATATAATCTTGAGTCCGGCTTGAGGAATATCTGAAGACGACGCCGCAGTCTCACAAGGGGACAGGAGCATGAGGGCATTGGATGTGTTCTTCTGCCGAAGAGACCAAGTCTGGCTACCGTGTTTGAGGACAGCTGAGGTTGTGGACGACTCTAAGGTCAACCTAAAGACAGGCATTAGCATGTGTGCTTTGAAGTGGATACCGAGGGCTTCAGGTTACACAGGGGGGTTTTCGGATTCGAGAAGAGCCAGCAGTTCCGAGGGTAGCTCCAACAGCTTGTAGCCCACTCCATCCGCGGCATGCGTGAGAGGAATACCCGCAGCGTCTTGGGTTGCCATGCTGTTCAGCTCACCGGGGCGTGATGTGGGAGATAGTTGAGCATGTAAAAGTGCGATTCAGATGGCAAATCGAAAAGGGAATAGCTCTTGGTGACGTTGAATTAACGTGATGGATGTTGCTAAAAACAGCACGGAGGGGCAGCTTCGGACGGGATGTTTACTTTTTGGTGGGACAGTCTGCCATGATTGGCCAGGTTCTCGAGCGCGTTCGCGTTTTTCAGGGTCTCTCCCAGCCTCATGGAAATCTCCGAGTGGCACTCCAGCCCTTGCCAAGGGCCCCAGTCGAGATCCGGAATATTTGACAAGCAGCCTTGGAAGGCGCCCACCGCTCCCCAACCACCGCCCACATTCCACCGTTGTCGCTCGTTTCAGTACCACGTCAACAACAACCGCAGCATTCTTTCTCTGGCAAGTCCTGGCCGCAGTTCGCTCTTCTTGTACATATAACCGGTTTATTAATATTCGAGTGTCATATTTGTGGCTGGCTATTCGTTGCTTTGATCGTCGGCAACCTTGCGTCTTTTTTTCTTGCAGCAGCCAACAGTCCAAGGCCCAGACCCCGATCCGCCCCCCAAAGTAAACAAATCGGGTCTCCGTAGCAGCTGTGCGCCCGGTCGCGCTACGCATCGGGACATCGCGAGCGAGCGTGTTTATTTGAGGAGATTCACGAGCGTCTGTGCTACTCGACCCCGTCAGGCCCGTCTTCGCCCAATATCGAAGGCAGCGTCACCACGACAATATTTACTGACGCTCGAAGCCTCGGGTCTCTCGCTTACCCCTCCCCCCTCCCCCAGCCCCGACTACGTCGCCGCCTCGCCTGCCCTCCCGAGACTCAGTAACCGTCCCTTCTCGGTCTCTTCAGCATGAGAGCGGCCCATTGAAGCGGCCATGGTTCGCGTCACCGAGGAGCTGGCGCTATCGCCAGAGCATGTCACTCTTTACTACACCACAGACCCGTTGCTCGGCCACCTACCAGTGCTGATCTTCCATGGGCCGTCGACGACTGCCAACTACACCTTCAACAGCTCCCGAGTCCAGGTCCACATCTACAGCCCGGCCGGCTTCCAGTCGTTTCCTCGTGTCACCATTTCACCCAATTCTCCCTTCTACCAGGTCGTCAACTACTTGCCGCGCGAGTTTCAAGTCGATGAGGTCTACCGCGCCCTCGCTTTTGGCCTGTTCAAGTACTTCTCCGAACTGCCAGAGGGCGTCAAGAACCACATCAAAAACCAATACCCCACCACGCGTGGGCGCAGGCCGGGCTCGTCCCCAGCCCTGTTCGGCGAGCAACATGCCGCCGACATCGCCAAAGCCATGATCAAGGCCGACAACACTGTCGAAATCGCCCAGAAGCTGCAGATGGCCTTGCAAACTCAACACATCAGCAATGTCGACATCGACCTGGTCCTCCCGCCCGGTGCAATCGTCCCTCTGCAAGCTACGGACCTGGAGGATGTACCCGAGGACGAGGACGATATTATGGACCCTACTTTGCGGCAATACGGCATGTACACGCCCTTAATCAAGTTGCTTGGAGAACCGATATTCCTGCCAACGTCCAGATTGCGCCGCGCACCCTCCAAACCGTCGGCGCTCAATAGGACAAGATCGTTCTTGAAGGACCAGAAGATCGAACTGCGCCGGAAACTGGCAGAGTTGGTGGACACCGAGGAGCGCTATGTCATGAAGATGAACGAGCTGATCAAGCATGTTGCCGACGAATACAGACAGAAGGCCAAGGAACGGAAAACGGACAGCTTCAGTCCGTCGGTGGAAGACGTCGAGAAGCTCTTCCCCCGATCATCCGACCGGATATTGCAGGTCAACTCGGCTTTCGTGCAGGATCTGCGCAAGGTCATGGACGAGACGGAAGAGGATGCCTTGAAAGACATGGAGTTCGGCGTCTCGATGCCGAGAGCTGGGCCCTCTGGCAGCTTTTCTAGTCGATCCAAAGATCCAAGCGGGACTCTGGCGATTGCGAAAGTCATGTTGGAGTGGTTCCCTCAGTTCACAGACTGCTACCAGGACTACATCCGCGCCAGTCAGAACTTCCCCCATCTCATCACATCCTTCATCAGCCAACAATCCAGCTTCTCGCAACGAGTGGCTTCAACTGGCGAGCAACACCTTCGCTCGACCGTCATTGAGCCGGTCCAGAGACTTCCGCGGTACAGCTTGGTCATTGATCAAATCGTCAACTGTCTGCCAATCACGCACCCGGCTCTTCAACCAATGTTAAAAGCAAGAGACATCATCGCCAACATCTGTTCCATGGATGATCCCCTCGCAGACAAACCACATGTCAGCAATCGTTTGCGCAACATGGTTGAGAGTTGGCCAAACGACCTCGAACCCAAGGGTCGTCTCATCGCCGCCATCGATTTCTCCGAACTGCCTGCGCCCTTCGAAACGGATGCGCCAATCGACATACACACTGGTGAAAGAGCCGGCATTTTCTTGCTGTTCTCCGATTGCGTTGTGCTTGCAAAAAAGGTGTACGGAGGGAATATGACAGCACGCGACCTACTACGAGAAATCGACAAGCCATCAGCAGCTGGACTCCTGGCAACCATGACGAATGCAGCAGGTGGTCCAGGATCATACGAGCTGGCTTTTGCAGGATGGCATGACCTGCCCAGCATCCGATTTACCGAGTCGGCGGATGGCCGACTGGTGTGGATGACTTCGTCCAAGGAGATGAAGGGTGCCCATGCCGGAGAGCATGTCACGAGCAGGGCCATAACATCGCGCTGCTTCCAACTGGAGGAATTGTACGAAAGCAAGGCAGCCAAGTTCACCGAGGACGTCGTCAAAGCCAGAATTGAAGGTCGGTTCAGCGAGGCGGAACGAGAAGACCCTTCCTGGACTCTACGGTCTGTCCGCATGCCTGATACCGGGCTCGGTCTATATGCTGCTGTTTTCCAAGAAGGGCTGGATCAGCTTGTCGAAGGTCGCAAGGAGCCAGCCCCGATCCGAATTGTTGTCGACCACGAAAAGGGAACCAAGGGCTCTCCCGTTGGCCACTATGGTGTGGAAATCGTGTCCGACGTGAAGACTGGAAGCGGTGACATGACCAAAGTGGTTGTCATCACAATTGGATTGTCTGGCAAGAAGTCCACGGACGAGACCGTTCTGGAGGACTTTTTGTCAACCCTGGCCCGTCGGCGTAAGTAACAACGTCCCTCGTTGCATACCCACCACGCAAAATACTAACGCTCACGGCAGTCATTCAACTTTTGAGCACACAATTTAATCCTTCTAATCCGGATCTCACTCATGCGCTGGTCTCGTTTCACATCAAAATCCTCAAGGGGCTCGGGGCCACCAATCGAACGGAGAAGACGCGTTCATTCCTGGGCACCTCCCCGGTGAAGATGCTCACCAGTTTCCTGGGCGGCGGAAGTACGGATACGCTTGGCTCGCCTAGTAGGTCCCAGCGCACGCCCGTGACCTCCGTCTTTTCTCCACCTATAAGCAGATCGAACAGCTCCACCAGGGAAACAGCCTCATTATATGGGTCAGCCAAGAGCAAAGACGGCATCCGGATGGGCATCGAAGACGACAAGCCGGAGAACCCCCTCGTTCGACTCGAGCACACCTTCACGGGCTATATGGCTAGTCTCCAGGCTCGAAAAGGCAATTTCATCGGGCGAACATTGCTTAACCGCTCGACCGTCGACGAGCTCAGCGTCAACGATCTGTACAACAAAATGATCGAAAGTCCGTTCGACATCGAGATCTCTGCCGATGTCAGTGCCGACGTCGTATTTGTGGCATTCGAGAAATTCGTACGTTTTGCATGGCGCGACCAGATTGGACCAATCATGGCAAGAAAGGCTCTGGATGCACTCCAAGAACGAGCCTCCAAGATAGTGCCTGGTGACTTTGCCGACTTCGTTCACTATCTTTTTGCCGACATGGCACCGCAAAATCGTCGCGCGTTTACGGCCCTTATTAAGCTGCTGGCGGACTTGCTCGACGGCTGCGGCAACGACGGCGATAGAGGCGCCCTCACAGTTGCCTTTGCTGAGCTCTTGGTTGAGGATGACAGTGCACACAATTACATCAACCTGTTGGACCGCCTAGTTCAGGATTGTGACCGCATCTTTGACGGAGGTTCAGGAGGGGGTTTCGATTTCAGCATGTTACAAGGGAACTCCGCGTTTGATTCAATGAACTCGTTTACCCGTAATGCGAAGTCGCAGAACGGATCATTGACATCAAACACATCCTCCCTCAGGAGAAAGCTTGGTTTCGACACCTTGTTGCGCCAGAACAGCAGGGACGAAACGAGGCCTTCGGTGTGGCGGACACTGAGCAAGCACGGCAGGCACCCCACCACAGGTGAAGCGTCAAGCATGTCCAAAGCGTCTGCTGGAAGTGTCAAAACATCCAGATCGAAATCCATCGACACCGGTTCCGGACCCAATAAGCTCAGGCGTCCAGGGTCTCGGGATCGGCCGCCTATCGCGGGTGCATTCGATGACATCGTTACTCGGCCGACCAGTTCGCATCGTCTCGAGACTATTGAGGAGCCAGTCACTAAAAGCGGCAAGAAGAAGCGCCGCAGCTCATTATCGGATCTCAAGTCACTGCTGGAAGCAGCAACGCTCGAGGAAGAGACATTGCAACAACCATTGACGGACATGAAGCCGACTTCTGAAAAAATCAACTCGAGTCCACGCACGTCCATGCCGTCGAGGATACCCGTGAGCCCCACCTCAAACACTCGCGCGCCGCCACTGAAGGAGAATCTGACCTTCATCGATCCCTTCAACGCACCGGCCGCCGCTCCGACAACTCCGGCCACGGCACGGTCGTCCCCTCCTGCATCACCGAGAAAGGCACACAGTAAAGGCCTATCGAGCTCCAACATCCCGAATCTCCGAACTTCTCGCATCGCTCGAGCCAATTCCGACGCCCCTTACCGGCAAACTACTAGTCCTAATAAGTCGACCACGGGCAAGTTGCGCCTGCAATCGCCGCAGAAGCTTCGCGAGCGGTTGCAGACGGAGAAGCAAGCAATTGAGGCAGTCGATGCGAGTTTGCAATCCGAACTCTCCAAGATCACAGCCGATATGGCACGTGTCAACTCCTCATTACCCAGGTCCGCCACAACCGACATCAGGAGACTCTCAACCAGCATGTCGGCTCTCGAATCACGTCTGCCCTCCCTCGTTAAAGAACTTTCAGACCGTCAAGAAGCCCTCCAGCGCGACATGGACAACACGCTCAAAGCCACTGAGGCCAAAGTCAAAGCCATCGATCAGCTCTACAAGGAAGCCACCGCTGAGAACGAGCTACTGTACGAGAGGTTCAACAGCGAGCTCGCCAAGATCCTGCGCGCTCTGAAGGGCAAGAGCAGCGACAAGGAGGAGCTGATGGCCAAGGTGAAGGAGTCGAGCGATGAGACGGCTAGGGTGAAAAAGGAGAACGCCAGGCTAAGAAGGGAGATGGCGAGTCTGAGGACGCTGGTAAAGGGGGCTGGCGATGCGGCCTAGAGGGTTGGCTGGCTGGTCTGGCTTCCGGGTAGTCGATTGGTCACAAAACTGACCCAGCGATGGATCGCTCGATTGAAGAGACTGGCAAGAAAACTGGCGTTTTGGTTGCTTCGAAGCATGTGCAGGCTCAATACACTGGTCAAAGGGACGGAAATGGCGTTGTATCGGCTGTGGGAGTAATTATTTTCTGAGGGGCTCGGCCTTGGTAAACAGGCTTACGTGAAGTTGATGCTGACATGGACGGACGGACATGTTGAATGCGGTATTATTGGGGATGAGATACAACCCCGAATAGATGGCAACACGAGGATGAATGGATGGATGGATGATTTGAGATGTCATGATGTCAATGGTGGAGAGAGGGGCAGGCTCTGTAGGGATAGGATTGCCTTATGCATTCATGATAGGAGTGTAAAATCCACGATATTCTTCATCAATTTACGGTGAGACACAGTGATACTACTCGCGCTATTTTTACTACCTGCAAGGTGATACTAGTAGCGTAGCAAGATCAGATTTTCAAGGTACTTCTACGTTGAAACGGAATATGAATGGAGGGAGGACCGATTTATTCCTTTCCCAGGTAACATGGCCTAATAACAATTACGACACAATATCTGCCTGTCATTACGAGGGTCATCCATGTCGGGATTCGATCTCAACCCGCCTGTCTCGAGGCTGTGTGTGCTCTAACTACAAGTCGAAGCCCAAATATCGGTCACGAACTCACGAAGTGGTCCTTTTTCACAGTAATTTTAAGCCTTACGGAAGGGGTTGGCTGATTTCGCCCCGTCGCTGTGTGATGTTCCTAGCATGCCTTGAAATGCTGATTCCAGAGCTAATCGGAGTAACCCACCCGGAGCGGAGGGGACTTAAGCGGAGGGGACTTAAATAGACGGTGGCTGTTTTTGGGACTTTCCAATGTGAGGTGCTGGGAACCATGGGCGTGCCGCAGCTGCATAGCAATTTGAAACCACCCAGAGGGATGGGGACTCGGAGGAGGGGGGGATTGCGAAAGTGCGAGTGCTCAAAGGAGGCTAGGCTATATAGCAATTTTAATCCACCCACCTAGAGGGACGGGGGCTGAGGGAAGGGGGGGACTCAGCCTCGTTCAAAAGAGAATATGGTGTGGTAGCTCCGATAAAACAGCAATTTTAACGGGAGGGGACCTCAGGAAGAACATGGCTGCAGCCGACAGCCTTGGGTCTGTTGAACTTCGTTCAACTTTGTCTAATTCTTTTTAATCTCGTCCATTATACTATGTACTGTCCTATACAAGCCTACGGCTTATGAAGACAGTAGGTCTAAAGACCCGAAGTATAGCGGGTAAATTGCCCAGTCCTACATGCAAGTCTGACCCTGTACCGCGAATTTATATACTTCTTAATTATTGTTTTTCCCTTGCAATATCATGGAGGATTGTGATGTTGATTGAGCTAAGTTAACCTCCGTCAGGTGTAACGGTAGAATGTTACCTATCTAACTAGTGTACATTGTTACGGAGTAACTAGGGCTCCGCCAGTGGACTGTGTGCCACTAGTCCTCTGTTACAATATAAGCTTTCTGAATCAACCCGGAGGTTGAGATCAGTGGGCTGTGGATTTTAGTAGGACGCCCAACTCTACTAACCTAAACCTTGTCCCAGCACTTTCGTATTGATCATGCGTTGTCTCCACAAACCGCCGCCGGATTCGAACCGGCTTTGCTGTAAGAGGAAGGCTTGGGGCTCCCCCCTCCTCCCCCCATCCCTCTGGCTGGGTTAAAATTGCTGTGAAGAGGCTTGGGGCTCCCCCCCCTCCGAGTCCCGATCGTACAATAACGCTCCCCCCTCCTCCGAGTCCCCATCCCTCTGGGTGGGTTAAAATTGCTGTGAAGTCCTTTTAACGTTAACTGGCCCGCTGCATGCATGAAGAGGCTTGGGGCTCCCCCCTCCTCCGAGTCCTTTTAACATTAACTGGCCCGCTGCTGCATGCATGAAGAGGCTTGAGGCTCCCCCCCCTCCGAGTCCCGATCGTACAATAACGCTCCCCCCTCCTCCGAGTCCCCATCCCTCTGGGTGGGTTAAAATTGCTGTGAAGTCGCTTCACCTTTGTAGGCGAGAACGGCAGATTGGACAGAAAATGGAAGACATCATTTATACTTACCGTGCAGTAAATACCTGCAGGACACGCTGATTCTACGCTGCAATTCTAACCCTCAAAAAGAAGAGAGAAAACGTGGAAAACAGGACGTTTTGTGCTGATCAGCTCTTTGAAATTTGCAGAACCAGAAGTATCACATCATTCCGACTCACATTATCTACGTATTTTCTCTCTCGTGGAGATAAGAAGCTGGATGGGTTTACTATCTGGTCAGGTGAACAGTAACTATGCAGCTTTCTGGTACGTAGCCTCAGCTGTCCCAAAGGGCCGTCTACTCTCGAACCCAATGTAATACAGTTGCCATGTTCCTACTAGAATAAGTGGCGAGGAATTGTTACAAGACTGAACCCGATTTCTGAGCGTTTTCTCTACAATACCACTCGGCGTATACAAAAGGAGTTACAACTAACGAATGCTCTATTATCTCACTGTGGATGCTTTCCTGGGTACTAACGTACCTTCTTCGTAATAAATACAAATTGTGTCATATGGACGCCCTTCATTGATACCAATATGATGAACTATGTACTATCAATCTTCAATTACAAAACTAAACCGGACCGGTAGAAGATCACGATTATAAAGGTTAAGTGGGGAAGGAATGAAGTGGAATGATTGGTTCGCAACATGCCTACCTTTGTACAGAACATCGCCCTACTTTCCTTTGTAGTAATTTCAATATCCAAGGGGATAGACACATAAATAAGCAAAATTATCTGGTAGAGTCGTCCCGAGTCAAAATTATATTGTCGTTTTAGCACTACAACTGATGTTATGTAGTTGGCATTCTCATTCTAGAGACCCTTTCCGCAAGGCGGTGGGAAGGAAACTTGGGTATACGTCTTGAACGGGAGAGAATATAACAGGAATGACTGCCGTTGTCCATGAAATAACACAAGTCTCCAGGTTCGTGGGGTAACTACATTCTTCTTCTAGACCTTTCGATTTGAGACTGACTGGTCATCAAGCAAGGCGCGGCATACGAGAAACATCTACCAAGCGAATATTAAGCTCAGATACCACCCTTTTCACTAGACAAAACGCCAGCAATATGATAGTCAGATAGCGCCATGAGATAATACTCTAGCTGATTTTACCGTGCGACCAATCAGCTAGTACCTGTTTAAGTTGCATCTCAACATGTTCCGTAGGCTAAGGGGAATAAGGATGGTTCATAAACATTCCTCGATCGTACACATGTCGTCCTTGAATCATGGTCGCGATCGCAAGGTTGGTAAACCACGCCAAATGTTTGGTCAGGAGCAACAGCGGGAGCACGGTTCCCTATTTTACGAAACTAACGGACTGCCAAAACACGGGTATACTTCGCTGCCTAGGAAACGAGTTGGGCATAGCAAGGTACCAGTTAACAGATCTCTGCCCCCCATCTCGCCCTCAGGGCATCAGGCCATCAGCTTCCTGCCCTTATAGCTTCATTCGCAAAAGCTCGTAAACATGCTGTAAACCTGGGCTGGCCAATTATGTTGTTTCATTGTTGCCCCCGCGGAAGGATGTGGGTACAAGTTCTTCACCACTACACCCTCAGAGCCACCATATCTACCTCTTCCCTATGAAAAGAAAAGAAAATTAACATCGACTACAGTCTAGCCTACGATTAATACTAAACTCTACATACAAAACTCATGCATATGCGCTTGGCCAATGTGATCGGCAGCCAAGCCTCAACCCAATGCCCAACGCCAAAGTCAGTCAAAACGAAAATGCCATGGGGTATCATCATGTCATTGAAACCACTAGTTAGTTCCTGGCCCGTCCGAATGCGGCATGCGGACCTTGTGGGTTTCCAGCCCTGTTTCGAATCTCCACCCGGTGCGGGTGGTGTGCCCGTACGGGAACTGGTGGACGGGGACCTACTCCAACCATGGGAATCTGCGGGATCGGAGGCATGTGCTGCAAGTGCGGCATCTGCGGCATCTGCGGCATCTGTGGCATCTCCGGTATTTGTACGCGTTGGGCAATATTTCTTCGAATATCTGCCACGCTCCGCCGCATCTCTTCCATCCAGGGATCGTCCTCCTGCCCATATGGTCCATCATTGAGCAATCCAAAAAGCCTCACCTCGGGGAAGCCCTGGAAGTTGTTGACGTTGCTGAATGGGACTATAGCAGGCAAATCCGCATTTTGCATGCCAAAGAAGACGTCTCCATTGCGAAGAGCAGCCTCTACTTGGGCATGTTGAAAGGGCGCGGGCTGGGGGTTGAGATTGCCAAGCACACGCTCTGGAGCTGACTGGGTTCGATGGAGATTGCTTTGGGGATTTGGGTCCGGGGGTTTGGCCGGATTGGCTAAGCGTCGCCGCGGTCCCTCGCGCATTTCGCGCATTTTGACCTCAATTTCATGTAATTTGGCATAACGCCTCTCCCTCCGCTCAGCCCAGTGCTTAGGCAAATTCACCTCATCATGAGGTTGGTGAGCTGGCGGGGGCGGCCCCAACGGTCGCATCCCTGGCGGTCTGGCCTCGAACAGAAGCGGTGCTGCACCGGCATGGACCGCCGCTTGTGCTTGGGCTTGCAGATCCTGGCGTACTTGACGGGCATGAGCCATGACATGGGCAAATGCCGCTCGATGATGGAAACGTGGGTCCCGCTCTTTCCGCTTTTGGTCGTCTTCTTTCACCTTTTCCGACACCTTGAACTCCAAGAATACATTGTCCTATTTGATGCAAGTTAGCCAGTGTTCTTTCCCAGTATCAACTGAACCGAGCAAGCAAAGATTAGCATAATCTCTATGGCATGTGCTGCATCTACATTCTCTACTATAACTGAGTAAAGTTGCAACGGATGGCGCGCCTATGAATGCAAGTGTGGGAAAAGGGGCTAAGATGGAATATCTGGAATTACCACGTCCGGGTTTTCCTGCGCGACCTTCTGCCGCATCTCTTCCTCGGCGCGGCGCACTTCATTCTGGTGACGCTCTTCGGTAGCATCAAACAGAGGACACTGCCCTTCTTTGCCGCCGCGACTGGTATCGTTGAAGTGGGAGTAGTCCTTGACGGTTTGCCGACATACGTAGCACTGGATGGTCCTACATCGGGTGCAGGTTATCTTGTTACAGCCGTCCTGCTTGATAAAAGGGTTCGAGCCTGGCGGTGTAGTTAGCATTCTGTCCATAATGCCCGATTGAAGATTTCACAGGGGCGTCTGTATGCCACCGCGTTTACCACTGCTTGTTGTGGAGCTAACCTACACTTATTGCACTTCCGGATCACTGCCTCGCTCATCGCCTCCTCGATGGTATGCCGTGCTGAATGACCCTCCTCGAGCTTGGCCTCGTCACAAGTTTTTGGGATATGTGTCTCTTTGCGGCAAAGTCGGCAGCTGACCACCTCGCACTCGGGATTGGCGCATCGGAACTCTTTGTTCTCCTCGACCGTCGGATACTCCATGGCAAATGGGCAGAAGGGGCACGTCTCGAGGTTCTCGATGCCTGCTTCCCGCAAAACCTCCGCTTGCTCGTTACGGTCTAATGCTGTCTGTAGCTTATTGTCCAGGAACTTCTTCCTCTGGGATATAGAGAAGCCAGCCTCACAGTTATCCATCGACATACAGGTCAGTTTATACTTGGAGTAGCCAATGATGGTTTCGGCCTGTTGTTTTGCACAGCCTCTGCAGAACCAATGAACCGTGTCGCCTTCGCAGTGTACCATCCGATTGATTGGGCAATCGTCGAAGCAGCACCCACACTCGGCCATTTCTCCAAGCATTCTAGACCTTTCAAGGTTGGAGACCTCTTCCGCTTCCTCTGCCAGCTTTGCGTTCTTGCCATTGCGCACCTCTCGCGCTGCCATGAACTCACTTATGGCATCACGTTCCACGGGACCGAGGAGATCCATTTGTAGGGTTGATATGTTATCAGGCGTGTATTGATCCAAAATTTTGGACATCGATCTTTTGTTCTTCCAAGGTGGATTGTTGTCGTCCCAGCGCCGGATGCTGTCATCAATAGTCGTATACGCTTGAAATAGCGATGCTGACGTGTTAAGCATGTTCTTGATAGTATTCACGGGAACCTTTGGAAAGTCTTGGCTTATCAAAGTCGTGGCAAAATGCTGATATGTCTGCGTTCGCATCCTAAGGACGTATTCAGGGTCATCAAGCTTCGACTTGATGTCGTTTTTGCCGGTTTGCCCAGGAGCGTCATCCTTGTCGTCCCCTCGCTTTCTTTTCTTGGGGTTCTCGCGTCTGGGATATTGATGGCCTTTTTCTTGCTGGTCCAAAATTGTCGCAATAATGGCCTCGGAACTGAAGCCATGCTGCTCCGCAAGCTGATCCAGATGATTGGGGCAAATGTCCTCAAAGACAACCAGCACGCTAGATTGGCATGTCCGCGTGTCAGGCTCCCGCTCCCGGGACGTCAACCCTTGATAAGGATCTGAGATTTCCTCCACACTGGCCGGAGAAGTTGACATGGCTGGTCTAGACGCGCAAAAGAAACCAGCACGCCCAATACCTTTAGACACCTCAATATTTTCCTGGTGGCGACTGGATGCAAGACGACGGATAGCCGCCGAGAGCCTCAGACAAACCTGCCCCATCAGAATCAGCGATCGGAAACATCAAGTTGAAAAGCATGAAGAAACCAGACTGCAAGTAAACAGGGCGGCGACCATAAAGTCGCTGATACTGGTGTCGATTTGTTGAAACCTGGTTGGAGAAGGCATTTCTTGAATTCGTGGCGGCACGAGTCACAAGCTGGACAGCGAATAGAGCTTGATGCTCAACAGGCTCCAGCTGCAAGAGCACAGCCCAAAGTATTTCAATGTGGCATACTTTGAAAGAGCCAAATGCGCTGTTTGACTCGGCGAGGCTTGAGAAGTGGAGTGCTGTGTGCACCTGTGAGGCAGAACACTGGGCAGAAGTGCAGATGAGGGCAGAGCCACTTACGAACGAAGTATTAACACGCTAGGCGCCTCAAGACTCTTATGAAGCAGTCCCAGGAAGTGTGATTCATGTGAAGAGATTCTTTGGGATCGAAGTTCATGTGCAGACTGAAGATGGGTCGGCTTCGCTTGTGTTCCCAGGTCGCACCTGCCTTTATTGCCGATGACACGCTCAGCGACTCCCAGGCGCTGTCTGTGGGAGCGCAAAGTCGATTCCGGCGTACGCAGTCTCAACAAACGAAGCGACCCGGTGGGCATCAGTAAAATTCTCAGTATGAGAATGAGTAAATGAATGGTTCGCTGCGGTAGACGGTGGTGGCTGGACAACGGTTTGTCAATGAATTACGTAGAATTGGGGACAGAAGCCCAGCCTGCGGGAATGAGGATTAATGTATGGCTGGAAATCCAAACTAGGTACTCATGAAGAGGAGGAGTGCCTTGGGTATGAATGGATAAGGCAGGCGCAGGCATGAACATCTATCGAGGTTGAGATGAGATGCTCAAAACTGAGCAGCCGCACGACCAACAGCTCAATCGGCTGATGGGTTGCACGATTCGCGGGGTTGCGGCTGCTTTTTAGAATTCGGCCAACACCCGAGATTAAGCGATCCAATTGTTTGCTTTAACGTCCCACACCTACATCCGGGACACCCCCACATGTGGGACGCCCTAAAAATGATGCTGTATATTATAACCATTAACTTCAACCTTTTTTTACACTTATTCTAATGCGACTACAATACAGCTTTCACCATCACTAGGGTTTTCAGACTCGCTAGACTCATATGTACTATCCTCAATTTCACCAGCCTCGATTTGAGCCTTCCGAATAGCCTTGATATTAGTAAACTTCGAATTTGGGCTCATCTTGACCTTCCTCCGCTTCCTAGCCCTACTAGCCTCAAGCTCTGCCTCTATTGCCTCAATCTTTCGCTGTGCGACAGCTAATTGGTAGTCCTTCTCGTCAAAGCCCTTTTGAACTTTCCGAAAGAGTAGCCGCTGGGTATTTGGATCACTATCAAGCTTGCTGAATAAGCTGAGTTGATCTTGGAGCTCATCTCTCCTCTTAGGCGTTGACCAGGCTACTGCTGATGTCTCTAACGCCCAGTCCTGACTACCCTTACTATCAGAGTACCCTTTGCAAGTCTGACTAGGCTGTCTGATTGGTGCTGACGTATTCTCAAGGAGCAGGGGGCTTGTGACGGCCGGTGTCACGATGCCACGAAACCCACTAGCTGTGGACCCGTAGGAGCACTGGCCATCTGAAGGCGGGATTGAAGATCCTCAGATGTGAGCCAGCCTGTTTTAGTTTCTCTTTCTTTCCTTGTCGAGAATTGTTAAGTCAATACAGTGCATTAGAGTGTTTTGACTCTTCAATTGTGCTCACCGTGACACTTCTCTGGACCTTGACTGAAGGGTTCCTCTTGATAAAAGCCTGGACCCAGTTCTTTCCAAGTGGTTCGGTGTCTCCGTGGATCTGTAGGATACGCTCGGCGAAGTCTTTGAGCTGTTGATGGGTTGGTGGGAGGCCTAGGGCAGCCTGGATTCGAACCCATTCAGCCAGATGAGATTCCTGGGCTGGAGAGAGCCTCTGGTAGTCAGCGAAGGCGATATCTCTTGACTGGGCTCCCTGAATCCGTCGTGAAAGAGTAGACCTTGGGACACCATGCTCATATGCTGCTTTTCGGAGGCATTGACCGGTAGCTATTGCTTGAAGAGCTCGATAAATATCATCTTCGGTATATTGACTCATATTAGTGTAAAGAAGACGTACGTAAAATTTCGTAACGATTGAATTGATATAGGTAAAGAAAAAAGAGGTTGAAGTTAGAGGCTAGCGGTGTTGATGAGGCATTTTTGGGTGTCCCACATGTGGGGTGTCCCGGATGTGGGTGTGGGACGTTAATCATAATTCAATATTTCAGCATCGCTGGCTAGACGATGGCTTCACTTGAAGACAAAGAAATATTACAAGGAAGCCTGTCGCCTCAGTTTCTCATCTGCAGAATTTGGCTGTAAGGCAGTCTCGAATCGTCTTTTAGTAAGGGAGCAAACCAGACTTGTATGGATGCAACATGTAGATCTCGGGACTAAAAGTAGAAAAGCAAGGGGCAAACCCTTACAAGTCCCCCGATATGTATTTATGCAGCTTTACGAACGAACGGCTAAATGCGATTATATAGCTGCTTTCACCCTACACAAGCACCGGTGCTTGTCACGCTTTTCTGGCCCCCTAGTACTTGTACGGCCTATTATAAGCAGCGCGTACACCCTAGTACAAGCACTGGCGAACGTACCGGCAAATACACCAGCGAATACACCAACGAACACACCAGCCTAGCGAAGGGACTGGCGAAGGGGAGGAAATGCAAACGGACTACGGGAAAAGGATAGCCCGCCATGAACTATTGGGAAACTCGGCGGTGTCCGCTGTGGAAATGTAGAGTTGTCGCACTTGGTTGTTTGTTCGTATGAACAGGTATATAGGGGTAATGTCAAGTTGACGACTTTGGAAAGTCATCAAGATGCTGGACATTAAACAATACCTGGGGCGTAATGCTACTTCACTCTGTTCAAAATCACAATATTATCATCACGGTATATATTTACTTGCCACAAACTTGAGAGAAAACTGACAGTAAATCCTCAATCACCCCTTCCACCGCTCCTTGTTTGCTTCCATCCCAAATACAGTTCCTCCGCCCTTCACATGATAGCAGTCACTTCGTCCCTTGCCTCAATTAGGCGTTTCTTTAAATAGACGGCCAACTGATCGAGCATGCACATACCTATTTAAATCCCTGCACACACCATGTTGAGATCATGCTGCTGCGTCTTAGATTTTCCAAAACCATTCCCATGGGCCTAGTTTTGCACCACAAGCATAACCATACAAGAACTGCATGGGACGACTGTATGCTCTTACCCTGGCGTCTAGCATTCGTCAAGGGAAAGACCAATTAAAACCTTGACTAGCTACAATACTATTACGTGATTATTCTCTCCACTACGTCGCATGCACTGTCAGGGCACTTGAGAAAAATAATGTTGTTGTTCTATCCCACCAGTGTCACACCATTTTGAAGATGCGATCAAAAACATCAGACATCTACGGAAGGTTTGGGTAGTAAGACAGGAGTCAAGTTCTATAGCATACGTTGTCAGGTAAATTCTCGCAAGCCGCAAAACAGTCTATCTCCAACGTTGAACTTCTAGAAACAAACCAACAAACATGAGCTACTTTATTCTAGACCATGATCTTGAACAACAAAACATACTCCCTGATGGTGCTCATGAGCATAATTCTAGACAACCACGAGTCAGATGCACAACCAACAGTGGACCGTACCAACCCTCGCCCCTACATCGCCACTGTAAGTTCACTCAGCACCAGCAGTACTTCTCATTAGCAACCCACTCCACGTCCTCCGTACGCCCCTTACCATACCACTTCAAGCTAGGAATACTATCCGTGTCCCTATCCACCCACTCGTGGTCTAGTCCACACTTATCCACCACATCTTTCACCACCCCGTTGGGATTCCACAACTCAATCTTGCCCAAATTCCAATACCTGGCCTCCTCCTCCGCCACTTCCATGACCTCTCGAAATGACCTGGCCAGTTCATCCACGGGCACCGACTCATCTTCGACGCCGAGCCGCAGGATACACAATGTATTGTTCTTCGAGTCTTGTGCGTCTTTATTATAGCTCCTCGACCAAGTAGCCCATACCCTTTTGCCCTCGGGCCCGGAGTATGCACCTTTGACCATCGAACGTCCCTCGTCTTTGATTTGGCGGAGTCGTGCGATGATGTCGTCTCTGTATAGATGCCACCGCATGGCGTCGTAATCCGGAATGAACGCGAACCTCGCCTTTCCCTTCCCACCACTTGCCATTTTGGCCCTAAGCACCAACTCGTCCAATTTGCAGAACGACTCCAGATTCTCGTACGTGATAGGCTTCGCCTCTTTGTTCCCATTCTTCTCTTTGCCGCCATTTACAACAGACACAGACTCAGAACTGAAAGGGAAAGTCACATGCCGACTAGCAAATGCTAACCACCCCTTCTTACCATAAAACTGTTTCCCAATATCACTCCACAGCGCACTCGCCACAGCGCCCTTCTCCCTCGCCCCATTTTCGTTTCCTTCGTTCGCAACGCCACCAGCTTCCCTCAATCGCTCCACCAAAATTCCCAACATCCTACTCGCATACCTCTTCCCTCTAAACTGCTCCGCCGTATACACACTCCCAATCCCATATGCGACTTCCTCGCTCACCAAACCCGTCTCTGGGTCCGTGACCAAAGCCCGTTTGCGCAGACTCTCCACGCTGGAAAATACTAGGCGATCTTGTTCAGCCGATGAGGAATTGCTGGTAGTGGTGGTGAGAATCCAGTGCGCCATTCCTCCATTGGCGGCCAACGGAATCGTGGTTAGGTACGGTTCGCGGATAAGATAGTCGTCGAGGCTTAGGCCGCCGCCCCACTCGGCCCAGTTGCGTTCCCAGGTATGCCGTTTCTCGTCCGGGGTGGGGTGTGTCAGGATCAGGTCTGGGGATTCCGCTTGGGGGAGGTCGGTTAGGGAGCCCATTTTTGTTGATCGTTGCCGCTTTTAATTTGTTTTTAATAATAATACGTCTTGAATAGATGCGGATGCGTGATACGCGGTAATGGCCTAGGTCTCGCGGTTTTTGTGGGCGACACACTTGGTGATGAAATCGTAGGTGTAAAAGTATGCTTATTAGGTTTTGCGATGGGAGATAATGAAGCGGTAGGAGAAGATTGTGCCGGGATATGGTGACGAGACGTAATGACAATCTGGAAGCCCTCCCGGAACGAAGAGGCCGACGTCAGGTACGATAAAGACGAGTGGACGAAGAAGGGGAGGGAAGCGGTGGATTTCATAGTCGCACTCCAGCCTTTAAAACCTTAAGTACTCAGGTAGCGCTTCCGAGGCTAGTGGTGGGCCAACATGAGCAGGGTCTATGAGATCAGATGAGTGGAAGCCCGCCCGGCCGGAATCTGGATCGAATTCGAATGGAAAGGTGTGGTTCGCACAGATTATAGCGACTTGACAGGGATTCCTTGTAAGTCGCATATATGTTGGGGAGGTAGGTGTAAGGGGCGTCATTTCCGGCAGCCCGTTACGTTGACGTACTGTACTTATGTATCCTGACTTACACAAGCTTATCACGTGTTTACCCCGGATTTCGGAGCACTTTTAGTCAACGTCGGAGCGATCAGCGGTCATTGGGTAGGCCATGTCTGGGCCACGGGTCAGGTGTTGGTCTTTAGTCTACGTCCGCTTCAAGATCTAAGGCTCGATCGTGTTGGCAAAAGTACATTTGGAGCTTGACGGATTTAATCATGCAGAAACTGGGAGAAACAGGTTGTGGTGAGGAATGCAACATTGCTGAAATCCGGAACCGTTGACTTGGGGCTTACATTAGTGCGGAGCCGATGGAAGCCGCGCCGGCCCAAGACTCGGCGGGCTGGGGCAGGGAGGTCACGAAGCATCGTTGGTGTGGATGGACTCCAGCACTGGCTGCTGCCTTCGAACCCTTGATAGAGGGTCTGGACTAGTGTTCTTGACGTACATTAGTCTTTGGGTCTACTTATCATGCCTCTAGGAATACAACCATGTGCCAGTGATTTATCTACCTTGTCCGCTTGATCACCTCATACCGGACAAGTGCAACCAACCGTTTCTGATTCATGCTTTTTAGTGGCCATGGCCATCATCCTCCGCGCTCTGCTCGGGATCAAGCTTGATTAGGGTGTCGATGCGCATGATGCTGATGCAGGCCTCAACTGCACTCTTGAGTTGCCGCACCTTGCTCATACTAGGCTCCAACACACCGGCCTTGATCTCGTCGACCACCTTACCCTTCATCAAATCCAGGCCATAGTTTTTGTAGCCCTTAACACGAGCCACCATCTTCTCGTCTTGACTTGCATCGCCCTCAAGTCCCCGCTGTGATACTGCGTGCCGCGAACGCAGCTGTGCCACCAATTCACTAGCGTCTTTCGCCGCATTGACGGCCAGCGTCTTGGGGATCACGAGTAGAGACTGTGCAAACTCGCCGATCGCCAGTTGCTCTCTCGAGCCAACTGTTCCTGCATACTCCTCCAGATAGATGTGAAGTGCTGTCTCTACCGCACCGCCACCAGGCACGATGCTTCCACTCTCGAGGGTACGCTTCACGGCACACAGAGAATCGTGCACTGATCTCTCCATTTCGTCAAGTGAGTAGTCGTTCGGGCCTCTCAGCAGGATGGATGCTGATGAGTGCGACTTCGTACCCCTCACCAAAATGCATTCGTCGTCTGATATGCGCTCCTGTGAAACCTCATCCGCGTGACCCAGATAGGATGCCTCAAACTTCTCGTCTCCGTTCAAGTCGGATAGCGTGCTGAGGAGGGTTGCGCCAGTAGCCTTTGCGATTCTGCGCAGGTCTTCCTTCTTACACCGCCTGACTGCCATCGCTCCACGTTCAATAAACAACTTCATCACCATGTCGTCAATGCCTTTAGTGGTGAGGATAACGTTGGCACCAGCTTTCAGAATCATCTCGACTCGGTCAATGATCATTCCGGATTCCCTGGCACGGATTGCCTCGAGTTGTTTTGGGTCATCGACTGTGATCTGCACACCCAACTTCATGCGCTCCTTTTGCAGGTTCATGTCGAGAACTGCGATCTTGGCATCCTGCACCCGTGTCGTCATGGCCTGCGAAGCGACTGTACAGTTCAGAGCATAGCCCTTGACCAGAATCGATTCCAGAACGCCCTTGCCATGTGCCTTGAGGATGTTGACTGCCTTTACCGGGTACTTGGTTTCGTTCTTGTTGTTCGTCGTCTTGACTGCTTGCATAGCATCCACCACCATGTTTGCGAAGAAGTCGGAGTCGGAGCCGATAATCTTGCTGGACATGGATGTCTTGGCGATATTCAACAGCGACTCCCGGCCCAGGTTCTCAACCTTTATGCTGATGTTCTCGTTCATGTACTTGATGGCTTCGCGCATGGCAAGCCTGTATCCAGTGATGATGGTAGTCGGGTGGATTTTGTTCTTCATTAACTCGTTTCCTCGTCGTAGAAGCTCGGCGGCAATGAGGACAACCGATGTCGTACCATCGCCAACCTCCTTGTCTTGTTGATGTGCCAAGTCGACGAGGATCTTACCGGCGGGGTGCTCGACGTCGAGTAAACTGAGGATAGTTGCGCCATCGTTGGTCACTGTCACATCCTACGAAAGGTCAGCTTAACAAGCGGCATAGAGTGGCACGGCGGGGTCACTTACACCGATGTCATCCACCATCATCTTGTCCAGACCACTGGGACCAAATGAGCTCTTAACCACATTTGCGATTGCTTGTGTAGCAAGGACTGAAGAGGACCCAAAAGTCAGCGATGTACCCCATGCAGCAGCTCCAGTGCACACTCACCGTTTTGGTCCCGAATGTCTGCTCCGGATATCTTCTGACCGCCGAGGAAAAGAGTCCCATTTCTGGGTTGCTCGAACATAGAACCCATGATGGCGGATGTTAAAGGCCTTTCTGCAGCTCCAAATGGTCTTGTCTTGGGGTGGAATTGCGAAATGTGATCGTTACAAGCTTGAGGCTGCCTGTTCTTGTTGGACAGCGCCTGCCTTCAGGTCGTCAACCTTGAACTTTTTGCTGTGGCGCGAAATTGTTTTTGCTTGCCGCAATCCTTGCATAAGCATATTTTGTGCTCACTAAGTGGGGCTCAGTATCGGGGGTTTGCAACTGACGAATCTTGCCCCGCGCATCGGGTCTCTGCGAAGGAGGGGTCGAAATTGTCGCTGCAGCCCCGAGTGCAGCGAAGTTGAGCCGCCTCCATTTGCGACCCAAGCCGCCGAGATTGTGACTCAACTCCTTCGAAGACTTTCACCTTTCCTTCCTGGTTGCCAATTGGCATTGAATCCCTCTCCAATATTAGAAATCATGGCGGAAACCGCTGAGCAGTCGAAGAGTGCGCTGAAGAAGGCCCAAAAGGAGGCCAACAAGGCCGCCGAGAAGGCAGCAAAGGCAGCAAAGATGCAAGCAAAGCAGACTCTTCCTTCCGTTGGAGGCAAGAAGTCGGAAGATATCATGGGTATCACAGCCAAGAAAACCGAAGATTTTGCGACATGGTACCAGGAAGTTGTACTGAAGGCCGAGCTGGTGGAATACTACACCGAGATCTCGGGTTTCTTCATCATGCGCCCAGCAACGATGTACATCTGGAACGTCATCCGGAAGTGGTTCACCGAGCACATTGAGGAGATGGGCGTCGAAGAGACAAATTTTCCCATGTTCTTATCGCAGAAGTCACTCGAGAAGGAGAAGGATCACGTCGAAGGCTTCGCTCCCGAGTTGGCCTGGGTCACCAAGGCGTCAGTCTCCCCGATAGCACTGAAATTTGGTCGCTGCACAAGGCTAACTCCCGCTTGTTCGTAGTGGTGACAAAAACCTCGAGGTTCCCGTCGCCGTTCGTCCTACCTCCGAGGCCGTCATGTACCCCTACTACTCCAAGTGGATCCGCAGCCATCGCGACCTCCCTCTGCGACTAAACCAGTGGAATTCGGTCGTCCGATGGGAAGCAAAGCAAACCACACCTTTCTTGCGAGCGAGAGAGTTCTTGTGGCAAGAGGGTCACACTGCTCACTTGACGGAGAAGCTTGCTGGAGAAGAGGTTTTGGAGATTCTCGAGCTATACGCTGGCGTTTACGAACAACTCTTGGCCGTCCCCGTCGTCAGGGGTAAGAAGACCGAGAATGAGAAGTTCGCTGGCGGCTACTACACAACGACTGTGGAAGGCTATATCCCGTCCAATGGACGAGGTATCCAGGGTGCCACGTCGCATTGTCTGGGGCAGAACTTCAGTAAGATGTTTGACATCACCGTGGAGGACCCAGCGGAGAAGGGAAAGCATATTCACGTCTGGCAAAACTCCTGGGGTCTCTCAACTCGTGTCATCGGTGTCATGGTTATGATTCACGGAGATGATAAGGGCCTGGTCCTTCCCCCTCGCATTGCCAAGACCCAGTGCATCATCATCCCCGTGGGTATCACTGCGAAGACCACCCCAGAGGAAAAGACAAAGCACTTTGAACAACTTGCTGAGATCAAGGCTACCCTCAAGAAAGCCGGTATCAGAACCGAGGATGATCAGAGAGAGGGCTACACCCCGGCCTGGAAGTTCAATGACTGGGAGCTGAAGGGCGTCCCCCTGCGAATCGAGTTTGGTCCCAAGGATGCCGCCAAAGAGGTAGTCAGCTTTGCGCGACGTGATACCGGAGAGAAGGGGACCATCCCCATCGCCGAGCTCACCACCAAAGTTCCCGAGCTGCTTTCAACAATTCAGGCCGATATGTACAAGAAGGCCGAGAAGTCCTTCGACGAGCACCGTGTTGTCATCGAGGACTGGGCCGAAGTTGTTCCCGCCTTGAATGCCAGGAACGTGGTCCTCATTCCTTTCTGTCTCGACGGTAAGTGCGAGGACAAAATAAAGGAGCTGACGACCGGCCAACATGACGAAAACCCGGATACATCCGTTCCCCAGGCTCCTTCGATGGGCATGAAGAGCTTGTGCATCCCCTTCAAGCAGCCCAAGGAGGTGGCCCAGGGAACGAAATGCTTGAACCCGGAGTGCGAGCGTTCCGCCCAGCAGTACGTCATGTTCGGTAGAAGTTACTAGGCTTCGGGTCCCATTTCCAGAGTTTGTTTCATGAGGTGTCGTTACGAAGTTACATGAGGGCAAGGTGGTTTGGTTCGGTGGGAGGCATGGCGTGGCGAGACATCAAAAAGCGGTTGTTTGTCGGAAGAATCTTGCTTGCTGCTAAGCAGATCAAGACATAAATTCTCAGACTCTGCATGATGTAGTTGATTGCGGCAAGAATACCATTTTCGGTTGCTATCACAGATATTGTTGGTGATGTTACCTATCCATGAATATCTGTACGTGGAATCAAATCATCGGGTTGCACGTCGCATGTACCAAATTAGAAGCGTTTCTTCAGGTGGCGTTTGTCTGCATCTAAGAAGAGCTGTAGCATCGCCAGGCATTGCCGGATTCTGTTCGGGGACGCTGGCTCTCCGTGTAGATTTCTCTTCGCGATTCCTACGTTGAAGAATAGCCAGCTTGTTCCTGCTGAACAAGTACATATCCCTGATAAAACTATAAGTCACGATGCTTGCGACTTGATAGAACCTGGTTATAAGAAACAATCATATGATCTAAATAAACCAGAGCAACGGACTATTTCTGTATTGTGCCGTTCGCACTTCACCAATATCATCATGGGCTCTGAGAAGCTACCCTAGAAGCTACCCTAGAACTGAAAGTGATGAGTGACCTTACGTCAGCATTTGAACACAGCGGATGAAGCCGGACAAATGGAGCTTCGACCAATCACCAAGTTTCAATTTCAGAGCGGCACGGGCCACCATAACTTTTTAGAGGCAAGCTTCGGAAAGCGACGCTTGACAGACATTATCTCGTAAACACCTCAAAGGGACGAACTGAGACGTTGCAATTGCCCACCTTCCCCTATCGCCATGGCGCCTCTCACAATCGCATCCCGCGCTCTCGCGCGAGAGGCCTCAAGAACCGCCGGCCGCTTGACCACTGTTCGCGCTATCAGCACCTCGGCCTCCCTGCGCGATGCCCCGGCTGGCAGTTACTCGAGTCCCTTTAAAGGCGAATCCAAAGCAAAGATCCCCGACTGGAGCCACTACGCGGCCAAGGGCAGCGGGAGCACGAACCTGCTGTTCAGTTACTTCATGGTCGGCACCATGGGCGCCATCACTGCCGGTAGCGCCAAGTCGACTGTCCAAGGTGGGTGCTGCATGTGGCACGAGATCAAGGACGATGAATCAGCACCCAATGATTGCGTGGAACTCTCGGAATCTGCCCTGGAGCTGTCATTTGATGGATTTCCGTCACCTACTGAACCCTAGCTAATCGAACGCCAACAACAGAATTCCTGAAGAACATGTCGGCATCCGCAGATGTCTTGGCCATGGCCAAGGTCGAGGTTGACCTCAATGCGATCCCCGAGGGCAAGAACGTCATCATCAAGTGGAGAGGCAAGCCCGTCTTCATACGACACCGCACCGAGGGCGAGATCGCGGAGGCAAACAAGGTTGAGGTCTCATCTTTACGAGATCCCCAAGCGGATGAAGACCGTGTCCAGAAGCCCGAGTGGCTGGTCATGTTGGGTATGTATCCCTTTCCCGTTTCTACATAACCGGTCAGAGAATTGGCTTCCGGGCCGTTCTGGCTCTCGCGGGCAATACAGCAACAGCATCATGCATTGCAAATCAGTCAAAGCGTATCATGCATTGATCGTTTATCACAACGGCTAATATGTCCGACTTGGTTTCAGGTGTCTGCACGCATCTGGGTTGTGTTCCAATTGGTGAGGCTGGCGACTATGGTGGCTGGTTCTGTCCCTGCCACGGTTCTCACTACGATATCTCTGGACGCATAAGAAGGGGACCCGCTCCTCTCAACCTCGAGATCCCGGCCTACGAGTTCCCCGAAGAGGACAAGCTGATTATCGGTTAAATGCGACTTGGGTGTATGAATACTAGACTGGCGGGGAAGGTGCAAAGGTGGAAGGTGATGCGTCCCTCTGAACCGACTGGGTGCTAGTTGGGCGGAACTAGACGTCATGGAAAACCATGAGGGTCCACTGGGGGCACTTGCTTAGACGTTCTCTGGCCTTGCCGATCCTGTACAAAACAATACACATCGAGTGGAAAGAGAGATATGCCTTATTTGTTTATACTATTTGTCCTTGAGCCCTCTGCTATGCTTGTTGGTCGGCGTCCTATGTTTCTGCTTGGGCGTGGAGTCTCAACTACGACTGTCAAAACATGAAAACGCGTTCATGAAGTGATCTGTCCTGGGCATGGAGACGAAAAGGTCTGTATTATTACAACCGTGAGGTTGTAATCTGCAGACCTTCCAGGACAGCCAGTGCTACGGCAGCACGAGATACGAAGGTAACCTCATATGTTTATGTTTATCAGGGCAGCACACAGACCCTGCAGAAGATGTCAGTGGGTTATCTTTCCACAGCCCCAGAGAATAAGGTAGGTTAGAAGTTTATTACGCCTGTTATCGCAGTGGGCAGTGCCCTTGCGTTCCAATAACCTACGAGCCTCCTCAGTTGGTGCCAATGCCGCCTTAGAACTTATGCCTAGACGCCACACCACACCTTCGGATGACATGTTCGAAATGTGACCGTGAGAGTGGAACCAAACGTTGGTAGACGTTGAGGTAACCTTATGCCTTGCGGGCGTTGGGGGTGACAAGCAGATTATATGCTAGAACATATATGGGATATCCATAAGGCGTACATCAGCGCATTTTACGACGATCAATCCTGACTGATTTCGTCTGATGCATCGCGTTCCGTCTGTTATGTAACATCAGACACCCACACATGCTGGGGGTGCTTGGCGGGAAAACAATTACTTGGCCCTGATATCGTCCTGGCATTGAACCATTGGGCCGGTCAGCATTATGTGTGCGGCAACCGTGCATGTCATTGTGCACATGCGCAAGACTTACTACTGCATAGTATTCTTGATGGACGCGGGACATTGAGGTGGGATAATGCCAACCACTATACGGCACATATCACTCGATCCTATCATTGTCCTCGTCCTAGGCGTAGCCAAGCCGCACCACTTGTGGCATTGCCCTAACGTATGACTCTCCCCCACGATGCGTCCCTTTACTTTCAGACGATAAGAGTCTCGTCAAACGCGTCGACAAAACGTGAGAGCAACGTGAAGCGGTGGAGACCCCTACGCGTCCATCGTTCGTCGCCCGAAGTTTCCATCGTCCTCTAACAACACTCAGTCTGCGAAGCATACAGTATCGCTCTATCATCAGTTTGACCAAGTCTAACCTGGAAATTCGAGATGAACGGGATCGAAGGTGACTAGCAGAATCGACGATAGCAGATGCAATGACCGCACGTGAACGAATTGGCGCCTACAACCATGGTAATCTACTGCCTGTCCACCTGAAGCACTCACAGGGCCCACCTTCCGCGAAGGTTTCGGGAAGCCCCAGAAATCTCCCTATGTAATAGTGACCCGTCGGAGTTCGGAGTTGGGTCATTTAAACACGAACTTCAAAAACGCAATTTTGCTTAGCCAAACAAAACAACAGGGTCAAGGTCAATCCTCTGAACACGATGTCGAAAGAAGCTAGGAGAGCCCCATTGCGATGGGTTTTGGAGCGACGTTGAATTTTACTAGTAAGCGATGTCAGAGCTTGTCGCAGAAAGTCTAATCCACCCTTGCTCCTTGCCCGTTTCTGGGAGCTTGCAGGGGGTCCTCCAGGACCAATTCGGCTATCTGGCCAATCCCAATCCGCGCGTACCTCCTTTGCGGCTCCTCCCAACTGTGAGACGGCTCGGGTAACATATGCAGTCTCATCTCGTTTTCCGTCTCATGTCTTCCCAAGTTCTAAACAAAGCAATGACTCCATTGAAATTTCGTTTGCAGCACAGTGCATCGCAGCATTCTAGAACGTGCCACCCGCTCTCTCGAGCCATTTGACTCACGCAAGCGGCATACGCCAACACTTCGAGACAGTGCTAGGACTACCGTGTTGCAGCTCGTTAGCCGATCACTACGTGGGTGGCATTGACTCTACTTCCCAGCTTGCCTAGTTTGGAAGTCTTTCCTGGCTTCACCCCAGCACATCAGCTCGCTTGGGAATTCCTAGCCGCTCACATTCCCGTAGATGGTGCAAGAGCCAATCGGCCCTGCCACCAAGTGACCTCGGCTTGATGCGCCGCACCAACCTCATATACTGGCTCAGGCTTGTTTTCTCATTTCCCTAGTGGAGGCAAGGCCACCCCGGAGACCAGTTCTGCCGAAACTTCGCGCCGCGCAATATCGACAGGGCCGCAGGCGAAGCACATGGGGCCCCAGCCTTCGAAAAGACCGCCTAGGGACCGCCTAGGCGGCTCATCGTCCGACGTCTTGAGAGATCCGCAGATCATGGGCTCCTAGCAAAGGATCAAGGAGACCTTGCCATTCTGGGATGAGACGTCAGATGGAATCGACCACGGCTTCTGTGCCGTTCCTGGATTGGAGATGTGCGGGTCCATTCCCCGAGGCGACAGGAGGCAAGTACGTGCAGTGATACCTTCGCTCATCACACGCGCAGGTATATATGGAGGCGCATCCGTCCGATGCTAGCCAAGAGACTCCTTTCTTTCTCATCCAGCTCCAGTGCCTCTCTTTTGGTTACATTCTTTTCCAGTTCTGTGAACTTCTATTGTTTAGTATTCTCTACGTTCTTTACGTTTACTCCACACTCTCGGCCGGCCCCAGTTTGGAAGCTTTCTATTCTGCAATTTAGCTGGATCGCTTGTTATTACCGACAAACCGACATCATGAAGTTTGAGACGAGTGCCGCAATTATGGTCATGCTGGGCGTGGCTTCTGCCCGCCCCGATGCCATCAGGCTTGGCCCTGCCGTTGCCCAGCGCCAGCCCATTCGCGCTGGAAGACTGACCAAGTTCCGCCGAGAAGTTCCTCGTAAGAATACCTACCCACAGGCGAGCTGCGTTCGGAGCAAAAACTAACAAGTTCTACAGAGGAGCACTCCCACGAGAAATTCCTGACTAGCGTCAGAACTTCCCTCAACCTCGATAACGTCGACAACGTCGCCGACCCCGTCTTTGCCCTGCTTGGTAACGCTGCTGCCGCCACTGGTGCTGGTGACGTTACTGACCTGGACTGTCTCCAACAACGTGTGGCTGACCAGGCCTTCACCAACGCCAAGGCGGCTGGCGATGTCGACGGCCAGGTCGCAGCTCTGATCTTCCGTACTCTTGAGCGCAACACCGCCGGAGTTGGTCTGGCTTCAGTCCTCTGCACCTCCGAGACTGCCACCAACCCTGAGGTGGCTGCTCTCCAGCAGCACCAGGATCCCGCGTCCGAGGGTGCTGCCGCTACCAACAAGCAGGTCGCGCTCGATCTCGCTGTCCAGCTGAACTCCATTGGCGCTGACCCTCAGCTCGCCCTTCAGTCTGGCACCTTTGCCGCGGGCGATACTGCTGACGCCACTGGTGTTGGAAACACTTGTGACGACGCCGACGACACCGAGGGTTGCATTTTCACCCAGAACCTCTTGGTCGAGGATGCGACTGCTGACGAGATCGACGCCGCTGTCGCTGCTGGAGGTGCTGCCACCACTGGTGATGCTGGAGCTGCTGCCGGCACAGACGACGCAGCCACTGGCACTGCCGATGATGGATGCGCTACTGTGGCTCCCACTGCTACCGCTGCTACCGCCACCGCCACCGCCACCGCCGGTGCTGCCACTGACGCCTCAGACGATGCGACTGCCACCGGTGTCAACGTCAACTCGTTCACCGGATCCACTGGCTCGGCGCCTGTCCCCGTCATCTCCTCCAATGCTGAACGTCCCTTCACTGTCAACGGTGACAGCTTCGTGGGCCTGGGCGCCGCCATCCAACGTGCTTGTGATGTTCAGAAGAACGCCTGTGCCAACGTCGCTAACAGCGGTGGCGGTGGCTCCGTCGCCGACTGCGAGACCCAACATCAGGCCTGCCTCGCCGCCAACGGCAAGAAGCGCCGCCAGGCTTTCGACACCGGCTCGTGCGGATCCCCCGCCATCAAGTTCGCCGAGGGTCTGGACGGCCGCACCGAGGCCAGCTTCGCCCCCGTCAACACAGATGACTTCAACCACGGCTCCGCTAACGCGCCCGGCGTCATCACCGGTTTCATCTGCCAGCAGCTCAACGACAAGTGCAAGGCCAGTGCCGCCACCCTGGACGCCTGTCAACAGGGCGCTGCTGCTGCGGGCGCGTCCGAGGGACAGGATGCGGCTGATGCTTTCAACGCTGCTTTGGGCGTGTAAATTTTCTCTTCACGTTTTCTTATCTTACCCTACCAAACGGTAGTGTGTCTGAATGGTGTCGAATTGTTTGGAAAGCCGGGCAATGAAAGGCAAGGAGGATATGTGGTGTAAGATAGATGTATGCGCGGCCTACTAGCAGCATAAAACGTGGAGTCTTGGGGAGGGATTTTGAGCCTAGTGAGAGGCGCAATCCCTTTTCTTGACTCCTTGGGGCGGAAGGAGAGGAACTATCATGTATGTTCTGCGTAGTGGTAATAACGATGTTATGACAATTGAGTAACATTCACACAACCGTTTTTGCAATCTCCTCTCATTTCAAAATGCAATTCGTGGTGGCTAATGCAGAGCTGGCAGTGCTGGCTGCAATACTTAACAAGACGAAAAGACGTGAAGTTAAGCTTGGATTCAAGTTTGTCAAGTTAGCCGAAGAATGTGGAGTTCGAGAGATTGAGTTCAGATTCTTGGTATGACAAGGATCCGATCTTGTAATGTTTGGGGCGGGGAGGGTGGTATTTTCTAAGTTCCGGGTGGCCTCGCCAAGTCCAAGCGCGCACACACACTTCGTACTGCTATAGTAGGGACCTTAGTGCCATCTAACCGATTCAATGATGAATTTGTCAGCATTTCGACATTAGGTGCTGAGTCATCCAACTCGCGTATAAGCGTGTGATCATAAGAGGTCGAACTGAATATGAAAGTTAATCAGATACCGTAAAGTCGTTCCACATTTGACAACTTCGTTTATTTTTTGAATTTGGTGAAATGACGATTGGATTGCTCGGTTGAGTCTAGGGGTTTAAGAAGTTCCTAGGATCGTGAAATTCTAAATAAGTGACCTCGGCCGGCGTTATCGGAAAGTCAGGAAAGGCGTGAAAATTGGCAACAATACATTCTCAGATACCCTCCCTCGAATCAGAGGATGCCTGAGTTCTCCTTCGTCAACGTCTCCCACCCCGGAGAGGTGAAGGCCTACTCTACCAGGATCCGGCGGCACGTCATGAAAGATATTGGCAAGGCGGGGCGGAAACCGAGAGGGAGGAATCGCCGGAGGGAGACGATTATCATTAATGAAGAAGTAGAGGTGGCGGGCCTGCATGCAACAACGGGGGAGACCGTGTCGGCGCTGGATCAGGGAGATGAGGAGGATGACTCTCGGGCTTTGGGTCGAGTAATAGGAGGGCATCGGAATCTGGCTGCGAGTCCCAGCAATGATACATGGATTGGCTCTATGGTGTACCCCTTCGAAATGAGCGAGAATCAGCTAGAGTTGGCGCGGTATAGTATGTCCATTTTTCTTATCCCTCCTCACTTCACTGTCGTGCACAAGGGTTTCGACTCCACTTCCGACCGACAAATGCCTAGGGGTTATGCATACTGGAAAGGTTTGACTCATGAAACTGATCAAAATTCCACGCAGTAGTGGAGGACGCTAGACTTATTTACCAACCGTTCCGATTTGCGTGGCTATTTACGGGATTAACAGACCCGGCGTCATGGAACATCACGCTGGCTAACGCCGCGCTCTTTCGGGGGAACAAGCTGGGGGCTAAGAACCGGGAGTTTGATGCAGATGAATTGGCCTTGAAGTACTATACCCGGTCGCTTGAGTCGGTTACGAGACGGTTGGTGGATCCAAGGAAGAGGGATAGCGAGGGCATGGTTGTTGCCGTGGCGGGATTAGTGTGTCATGATGTGAGTTCCATTCCATTTGTTTGTAGTTGGTAACATCTGTGAGTCCTCCTGGGAATACAGAGAGCACAAAGAGCTAATGTGTGACGTTTCAGTCATCCGTAAGAAATTTCGAGCGAATGCAAGTCCACATGAAAGGATTGAAACACATGGTGGGAAATAGAGGCGGGCTCGAGAAACTGAACAATCCATTTCTCAAACTCATGATATCTTGGTAAGTTAGCACCCTCACCACGGCCTACGAAAGACGTACTTACACGCCATAAAAGGCTAGACATCGAAGGAGCTACCTCTCTCAACATATCTCCCCACTTCCCAACACTCCAGAATTCTATCCATGAAATCGAAACCGTCACCTCCACCCAATTTCTCGAAACCATCCTCACGAGCTGGGACCACAAATGTCGAACCCTGGGCGACATCCACGCGGCTCTTCGCACCACCGCCGGTGTAGCAACGTACATCAACCAGCAGACCTCCATGGCCACCGCAGATGCCGGTTCCAACTTCTGGCGCGACGATATCAACATGGCCCGCCTCCTAGGCCCAGCGTACCAAGAGATCCTCCGACTCGAGGGCAAACCCCTGCCTCATGACATCACGCATAAAGACTACTCCACCATCGCGGCCCGGGAAGCTTTCCGCAGAGCGGTGCTGTTATTTTTAGCGGCTGTCAAGATCCGGTGGGGGGCTAGAGCGTACGAGTTGCCGCGGCATTTGGATGCGTTTAGGCAGATTGCGAGGTTGCCAGGTGTGCAGTGGGGGGCGGTGCCGGAGATGAACTTATGGGCACATGTGGTGGCTGCTTTGCTCGAGGAGAAAGACAAGAAAGAGGATATGATGGATAGTTTATCTGGGGAGATGGAAGTAGAGAGGATGTGGCATATTGAGACTATTGTTGGGATTATGGGGACTTTGGGGCTAGAAAGGGGAAGGGAGGCTGTCGATGCTGCCAGGGGCATTGTGTGGGTTGAGGACATTTTGGGGGAGAGGGCGGGAGTCTTGGAGAGGGAGATTGATATGTTTCTGGAGCGATGAGCGGAAGGTGTGGGTGGAGTGGGGATGGAGTGAGGGGGGTTTTCCTGTGCATAGAGGTCAGTACATTGAAACATGGTGTTTGTCTTATGGATGAAGTTCAGCATAGCATCGGGGATTTTTTTGGTTTGTTAGTCCCTGGGCTTGACCAGGGTGGATATCTAATGCGCTTTTGGAGTGAACTATTTCTTTCATCACCTCCGGTGCTATAAAAGCCTTCTTGAATGGTATAGGTGGGAGATTTCTGTCCTGACTTGACAATTGGGGGTACGGTACGAACGTGGGGCAATTCTCACTTTCGTTGCAGCCAGAAACAACATCGTCTTGTTGACAAAAGGTGCTGTGTTGGTATTCTAGAGGTGCGAAAGTGGGGAGGGAGGTATATCCAACTTGGCCGGAGGACCTTAGGAGTTGGTGTAACACTGGAGTGGGTTTGGTAACGTTCGTTGCAGCGTAGTCTCCATGTATGCAATTCCCTACGGGTGATCCATGCGCTCAAATCATTATAGTGTCATAGTGAAGTGGAATCATAATTCAGTCAACATATCATCAAAGACACTGGAGCATCCGATGCGCTCTGGTTTCACTGATTAATTGCAATATTTTCGTCTGAGAATTTCGATTCCTCCACCTCCGGAAAAGCCTTTGCCTAACTTGAGAGACAGCCAGTTGCTCACATACCAGCTGACAGCAAAGCTCTGGCCTCTCTTGTAGTGCTTGGATGTGTCTGACGAGGTACTGAGCTTAGTACATCCAAGTTCCAGAAAGTGGAAATCAATCTTTCATATTGACAGAAAAGCTGTGAAGAATGTGTACGAGACGAATGAGGTGAACATATTGGAGGAGAAATTGGCACTTGCCGAAACCAGGAGCATCTTGATCAGTGCCAAACTCTGATCCTATAACTATCTTCTTTGTCTCAAAATGTGCCATAGCTTGACACATATACACAAATGAACTGACTGAACTATGATCAACCAGGAAAGAAACAGCACAAAAATTTGGCAAGGTCATCGAAAATAGCCAATGAAACTCGAGATCTAGCTGTTCTACAGGAAAGACGCTGGTCCTATCGGTTATGACAGAAGGCTAAGCCATGCTGAGGACTCTATTAGGAGCGATGCACCTGTCGCCGCCAGTAATCTCACTGATATTTCCAACGATTCAGAGGTAGTGAACCAACAACACCTCATGCGTAGTATATATCATTCGATAGGAACCGACGTAGGTGGTAGAGTTTTTAGCTGGCGCCAGCCTCCGGAATGGCCCTACGGTTTGGGCCCAGCCCAATGCAACCTAACCCTCTGGATCGGGGCATACCCGCTTGATACCCAGTGAAAGAGAATTTAGATAACCTTTCTGATGATTGAGTTACGAGAAGGGTGGATTCCAGCGCAAATATAGATAATCAAGTCTCGGGGGCGAAAGCTAAGATGGACTGTGCTCTCCTTTCACGATTTACGATTTGGGTGCGTATTTTCGATTGCCTAGTCGCTGTTAATGTGAAATCGATATCGAAGTTATAAACTGGTGTAAATATGATCATACCGTGTGTCTGTATCACAAAAGATTGCTGATATTGTCTCATGTTTCGATCAATCGAGCTCCAGCTAATCATCTGATTATATCATGCGAAATGAGAAATAAAATAGTCGTGAATGGGGACATTCGGAACCGTCCAGTTCTTTCTTGCCCGGACAAACCAAGACGCCAAGACGCTGAGCATAACAACGACCACCACTGGGACACCATAACTCATATTGCTGGCAGTGACAGGGATGGCTGTTGGTAACGGCAGCCAGATAATGTTGATAGCGAGTAGGCTAGCGCACACAAGTGAAGGAACAAGCCGTAGCTTCCCAGGTTCCACTCATCCAGCTTCAAATTAGGAGTGATGAAGCAGGCGACTACGAACGCAGAGATGGCGATGAAATAGCTCAGGTAGAACATGAGCCAGGCCATGCCCGTAATTGAAGACAGTGCCACGTCGCATGTTGCGCTGCTGATGTAGAGGAGACACAGCCAACAGATGATTGACAACTTTCAAAAAGAAAAACTGGGAAATGATATAACCGCGCCCGAGAAAAGCTGCTCTGATGTCTGGATCCCGGAGTAGCACTTTCGGGAGTGCTGGCATGCAATATGTACATGCAATTCGCCACAATGAGGAATAGCGGCTGTGGAACATCAACTGACCAATGGGCTCTACCATACCACTATGAACCGTTACATCGGCTGGCCGTTGGCCAATCATGTATGTTTCTATTCTATTCCCAATGGAACAGTTCGCCATACGGTTTTTAGGGGGCCTTCAAGCAAACAGGTCTTGGCGAGCTTGAATACGTCGTCAGGGGCAGGATAAGTTGCGGCTTTAGGCTCGAAGCGCGCGATCATGGAGGGTTGACTAAAGGGGTGTGGAAGGTATGGGCAAGTGGCACTTCTGACGACGACACCAAGACGGCCTGGAAATCGTACGATGGGGAGCCAACGACAATCTGTGAAGTGCACAGCACAAGTAGGAGCAGGGTATGGCACGTGAGAACACAGCGGCAACTGAGTATTATGGGTATCACCTGTTCGACACTGACGAGTCGGCTCGCCGCTGAAGTCCGAGGAGCTCATCGTCGTTTCAATGCACCCTTGTCAGTGTAATCCGAGAAGATGCAGGCCCATTGCAGTGATGTTTAGGGGAAAGGCAATAAGATCCCCATTAAATAGATCTTCCTGGCCAAACTTTTGGCAGCGCTAGAGAGCATGTTGTCAATCGTTTCCACCTACTTAAAGGCGACAGAGTAAGGTTGGTTGCTAATGTCATAGAGTAAGCAGACAATATAGTGATGTGAGACTTGTCCCTCTAGTTAGTAATACTTGTTTATTCCTCTTGAACGTGATCAACTCTCGACTTAATCAAACCCTTCAGTGATCCTTCCCCTCTACATAGTAACCCATACTTTATTTTATCCTAATGTAATCTCTTCAACTCCTCAACCAAATTCCGCATCGACTCTACATCCGGCCCCAATCCCTCCACCATCTCCTCCTGCATCCTTTCATCTTGATCGAGGAACCTTTCAATCAGCTCCCCATCCACAAATCGGAACGGCATCTCCGCCTCGCGCTCCTCGTTCCGGAACGAGCGGTAGTTGTCGAACTTCAGCAGACCCGTCGACTCGATCATGTTGGCGAGCTTGGATTGGAAACGGATCAACAGGTCTTGGTGTTGCGGCGCGATGGTGCCGAAGAGGTAGACGCCGCCTTCAACCTGTGAGGGATGGTTTGGTTAGAACTATTGCTCACAACGCTGGATATAGGAAAAAGAAGAAGTAGGGGAAACATACCGTGCCGAGAAATGCCCTCGGAACGACGACAGCATTGGGAGTTGCGTCAACCGTGACCTTCCTGGCCCTGTTGACCATCTCGCCGAGATTCAACTCGCTCGTGATTTCCATCCGCTTCTTGTCCTCTTCCGTCACACCTGCCTCGTTCCTCCGTAGCACCATGAGGTTGCCATTAGCGTCTGTTTCCAGCCACGAGGATCCCTCAACATGACACACAGAGGTCGCCCAGGCAGCCTGGTGGTGTCGACCAACATCAGTCAGTTTCGCACACTGACCTTCGGCTGGTGGGGTGAACTGGACTAGGGTCATCGACTTCATCAGGTCGGCAACTGCTATGGTGTTCCCTTCGACAGCAACATCGGTAGGATAGGTGGAAGGTCGGTATGATGCTAGCCGTTCCAGGCTGCAGCTGGTAGTTGACGTCTCGTTATACTGATACACAACAACAGTTTTCACGAGGGCGGCCACGATGTAGTCACCTATGGTTGCCAGGCCTCTACACGCACCCTTCAGACCACGCTCTCCTACCAAGTACGGGTTTCTCTCGCTATCGACACCCAACACTAAAATGCGTCCTTGGTATTCGTCTCTTGCAGCTGAAACTCCTGGCTGGATATCATTGATGCAGCTGGTACCAACAATGAACCTCTCTACCCGATTGCCATACGAGTCGGGCAATTCTACTCGTATGACTGCTTCAATCATTTCAATTCCGGTAGAGCCGTCGAGTGGGAAGTCCTGTCCGACCTGGTCGAACTTGACTTCGTCGACCAACTTGAACACACTGGTAATGATTTCCTCGTTGTTGACAACCTGCCTCTTCACGCACCCTAGGCCGAAAACCCTCTCGGCCTTGGAGTACGCTAGTCTTCGCACTGTCTGGCCCATCTCGAGGGGTTGCACATGCGTGCGACGTTCGTTGTCAATGACGGCGACCTTTAAGTCTTCGTCCGTCGCCACTACGATGGAGCCTGGGAATGCTTCAGTGTCGAATGTGCACACACAGGTTGCATCCTCTGCCGTGACGGCAGAGTAGACAATTCGACCGTCCGCTCCATAGATCAAACTTGGGTGTTCGCTTGTGGAGAACACATTGAAGAGTTCAGGTGCATTTGGCCGGGGCTGGAGTTGAAGTCGGGCATGCCGGGTACCCAGCACAACACTCTTCCGCCCAGACAATTCAAAGTCTGTTTTAGAAACGTTGAAGGTAATGACGAAGCCGTCATCCATAGACACGAACAAGGTAGGCCCCGAAGTTTCCGGTGGGAGGATCTGCGCCAGAACAATATCTCGAGGGACTGACGTGTTGTCGTCTCTCCTTCGCAATAACTCCCCATGCAGCGGCTCTAAGTTCATCATGTTCACGATTGAGATCGATCCAGATTTCCAGAATCCCACCACGCCAATTTTGGGATATTGCGGAGGCGTATGAATGCACGCCACTTGATCTTGGTCCCCGAGATCTTTCTGCCCTTGGAATATCAGGTGGTCCTCTATTGCCAACGACACAAGACTCTTGCCATCGATGGATAAAAGAATATACGTATCATTCGCCGATGCGTTGGTAATGAACCCATCAGCCGGCGTCCAAGGAAAACCCACTGGACCGCTCTCGTTGGAGAGTAGATGAACAGCATGCGGAGTGACTTGTAGTAACATGCCGTTGGGGAGATTCTGTGCTAGTAGTGTCTGGTCCTTCAAATTCATGTCCTTGAATGATTCGACTTCTTCAATTTCCCCAGTCGGATCGAACAAAAACACTCTGGTTTCCGTCAAAAGCGAGACGATGAGTGTGTCATATTTGGAGTTTCCACGAGACCGGATAGGGAACAATGCTCGAATGCCTTTCATCTCGGTCAACATTCCGATGTAGTCCAGTCCCACACCACTCCTCACAGTTCGTAAACTTCCATCTTTGAAAACGCCACTTCCCGTGACTATCTTGGCTTGGCCTGAAGAATACTCATTGGTGGTTTGTTCATCACCCTCGCGATTGCCCATGTCCATGATATTGAAGTCCAAGACCGGAGAAATATTGGGCATGGGTAGTTCAGGGACTAGTTCCATCTGACCATTATTGATGTCGACCCGCCAGACTTGCGAGTCACCATAATGCGATCCGACGAAGAGTAAGTTGTTCCCTATGTAGACTAGGCTGTTCGCCCTCGAAGTGGACCCAATTTTCTTCATGTGCATACCGGTCACCACGGCGCCTTCCAAGAGAATCGTTAGCAGCCACATAGTTCCGTAATCGTCGCCGATGAAGTAGTGCGACACATCGTACTCAGCCCAAGCGACGAAAATGGAAGCTTCTCTTAGAGGAGTTTCCACTCTCTTCTTAGCGGCATCGTCGTAGTACAACAGTCGCATTTCGCTCACAACGATCAAACCACCAAGCTGTGCCCTTGCTTGCGCAGCGTTTCGTACAATATATCGTTTTTGCTCCTCCTCGCCCTTGCCGACAGGTATCAACATAGAAGCACTGGGGTCATGAATCTCCATAATATCGATCTGGTCTTTGGCTTCGAATCGGGAGATCTCGGTGTTGTTATCATCGGTGAAAAGCCGATATGTGACGAGATGGGAATCTGGGATATCGGTTCGGGTCTGGTACAGGATGGCGAGCTTGGGGTGGCCCGTTTCGGCGTGTAGGAAGGTAGCCGACTTGATGAAGAGCTCGCGGATTCGAATTTGGTCCATCCAGTCGATTTCTTTCCTCTTGGCCTTGTGTACCTTCATGCGAAGCACATTCAACACGCCCTCCCAAAGCAGGACCACCATGAAACGTCCCGTGGGATCCGCTAAACACTTGTCCTGGCTTTGAGAGTCGCGCATATACTTTACATTAACATCGAAGAAGGACGTGGTGGTCTCTAAGACTTCTTCCTCGGGATTCCACAGCAAACTAAAGTATTGGAAGCGTTCGGTTCCGACAAAGAGAAGGTCGGTCTCGCTCTCTCGTGGGCGCATCTTTTGCATCATGCTAATGGTGCCATTGATGACCTTGGTGTCGGCTAGCTTCAGCAGCTGGGTGTCGCCGTCGAACTTCCAGAACTCGAGTCGGTTCGCCTTCCTATCATGGTTTCATTAATGGGGTATATCGGCCAGCCAATGCAGATGCACTCACGCAACGACCAAGCAGTCCTCCTCGTCCGGGAATAGGCTGGCTCGCAAAGCATGCCGAATACTGTTCGGCCGGTGGATCGGGGCTATGTAGGCCATGTTGAATCGTTGCGCATGGCTTCACGCAGGCAGGCTGGAAGTTGTGCGGAACAGCAAATAGGTATTAAAGGTGGTTAAAGGTGGTAGACTTTCCCTCCATAGAAGTGACAGGAGCTTCGAAATAAGCATGTAGAGAGCTTAGCGGGGCGGCTCAATGATGCAACGCCCGGAGATACGAACCTGGCGATAACAATGTGCTAACATGCAGGGATCAATGACCGTGCAAGGGCAACCTACGTTATATACAAATAGGTAGAATTATCAGCTTATGTCTGTTTAATTACTTTTCCACTATTAGTAAGCTGAACTATAATTAGCTAGTAACTTACAAGACAGCGTTTTGTAACGAAACCTATAATAGTCTAGCTGCGTAAACCACTAAAGAGTCTGTAAGGGTTTGTGCTAGTTGTCACGACCTGGGTTGCATCGCATTGGTAGAGACCTCGATTAGGTGCTATCGACGAAGATTCTACTCTAAGGAGCGAAGGAAAGAAGATGACAGCTTAGGTTTGAGGGAGCGCGACTAAGTCATCCACGCTTGGCGGGGCTCCTACAAGGGTTATGATTGGCTTCCCATCTGACACTGCCACGGCAGGTGTTCCAGCTGTAAGTCACCTGGTTGTAGTGAGTTGACCTTCACAAGAACCAACGGTTCGTAACACGTTTTAATTGATTTCTAGTAAGTTATTAGCTTTGTGAACCGAGAAATCCAGTACGCTAGATAAGATAAAGTACTCATAAAAATAGAAAAAAGTATTACTAACAGTATAGAATACTATATAAACTATATAATAACGATACTAAAGATGAATAAAAGAAGCTATAGTTATAAGCTGCGAAACCACTAAGAAGTATTGTGCGGTTTGTGCCAACAAGATAAATCCTACTATGGGGTCTCCATAATGATAGAGGTGCGGATGAAATCTGATTGACAATGGGTACTGATTACAGAGCTCCCATGGATTCGATTGATGCTAGATTGATCACTGAAATAAGGACCGTCTCACTATGAAATGCTGGGGCCTCGTCCCGTATATTCCAACTTGGCAGTTGCTGTCGAAGATGCCGAGCGCGGTGTGCTGTTTTCATGCACGTCTAACACATTGAAACAATAGCGCTACTTATTATTCAACCCCCGGCCACGCGATCGTATCGCAGCAGTAAATAAACCCCCTGTAACTACTCCTCCGCAGAGAAATTGAAATGGGCCACTTCCATCTATGTCTCGTTCAATGATCTAGCTATAGTTAGCACGGCTACAGCGCCTCAAGCGGATCAACAAGATTCAGTAAGTAATGACATGGTGTCATAATACACCCATCGACTCCTGGCACTACCATCTTGAACAATCTACAAGATGAAGCGCATTTCAGGTCAGCTTGTGTCTGTCCCGCCGACACAAGCCAACTTCTCGGACCAAGACGAGGAGCTCAATGAAGAAGATGAATGCTGGACAGACCTGCAATTGGCAGCCAAAGATGGCGACCTGACCAAGGTCGAATCACTTCTCGCTGCGGGAGCAGACGTCAACGCCGCGCCGACAGGCTACTATGGAAATACAGCCCTGCAAGCAGCCTGTCTCTTTGGACACGACACCATTGTGAGGAAATTGGTGGAGGCAGACGCGGACATCAACGCGCCGGGCGGCAATAATGGAGTTCGGTCTGCACTTCAACAAGCTTGCGTCGTGGGAAATAAATCGACGGTGGAGTTCCTGATAGAGAACGGAGCCGATGTCAACGCACCTGCCGGAAGGTACTACGGACGGACAGCATTGCAAGCAGCGACAGAGGCAGGTCATCTCGAAATCGTGCAAGCGTTACTCGAAAAGGGGGCGGATATCAATGCGCGGCCGGCAGGTACGGCGGGACTTACTGCCTTGGGGGCGGCTGCGGCGTGTTGCCATACCAAGATCGTCGAGCTACTGCTTGAGCAAGGGGCGGATGTCAACGTGCCACCAAGCCGACACAAGGGGCTCACGGCCTTGCAAGCTGCGGCTCTCAATGGCAGTCTGGAGGTTGTCGACATGCTGATTAAAGCCAGCGCGGATGTCAATGCCCCCGGATCGTCATTCAAGGGCGGGAGGGCATTGCATGCCGCATCTGCGAAGGGACATGTCAAGGTTGTGGAGAGACTGCTTGAGGTGGGTGCAGATATGAATTCTACGTCGGGCTGGGGAGGGAAGACGGCAATTCAGACTGCTGCCATCTATGGGCAGGATGAGGTGGTGGAGCTGTTGTGGAAGAGGGGGGCTCAGGGGCCTGCTACGGGAGGGACGATACTGTTCGATATATGAATACCTCGCTGCTTTTGAGCAATTAGGTCGAGAGAAGCCGAAGTTCATAATGCTCAAGACGTGAGCAAGGCCCATTGAGACATGGGGGCAATCCTAGGACTCAGAGAAGCTACGGCTAGAATCACAATACGAGGCAAACTGAGTAAAATGATTCGCCACTCAGTGAACGCCAATGACCAGCTCACTCGACTGCCATCACATGATCCCCCGCAACCTGAAGCTGCACCCTCCACAGACTCTCATCAGCACACACGAACATCTCCCTTTCCTTGCCAAACCCCAGATTCGAGCATCCCCCCGATACTTCCACTACACCCAACAACCTCCCTCCTGGACTCCAAATCTCAACCCCGTCCCCACAAGCCACATATACATTCCCGAGTCCATCACATCTCACTGCTCTAGGAACCCCCTTCATCACAAACGCAAACACCCTCTTGTGCGCCAGGAAGGGCTCCCCAGCTCGCGTAAGGACATCATACGCGTGAACCACCGTCTCCCTGGGTAAATTCAACGTCCCATCCTTCTTCGCCGCACCTAGGTCAGTGATGTACATTGTTTCCTCATCGGGACTAAAACAAATCCCGCTCGGCATCTCGAGCCCATTCGCTACGACACGCAGACTACCCGTCGATGAGTCGAAGCGGTATACTTGGTTTGGCAGTCTAGGCGGGGGCCGAATCTCAGCTTCGAATCCGGATGAGGAGTCTGTGAACCAGATAGCCCCGGTGCGGTCAACGACGACGTGTTGAGGGCTGTTGAACGGTCTATCCCCGTATGCTGTCACCAGCGGCACCGGCGGCTTGCCGCTCTTCATATAGAATAGCCCACCGGACGCAAGGATGCCGAGGGCGCCTTGGGAACAGTACAGAATTCCATCTTTATATGCCGTGGCGCCGGCGGGCATGGACATGACGCCCGGTGGACGGAGTTTCATCCATTCTGCGGCTGAGATCTGGAGGGGGGATGACGAGGTATCCGCACTATTGGGTGCTGTAGGAGAACGCTGGAAGGCGACTTTGGAAATGAGTATTATGGGAAGTTTGGAACTGCTGGTTGATTGCAATAGGTTGGAGGTGAGATATAGCTCTTCGTCCTGGGGAAGATAGACGCAGGCGTTGTGAAAGAAGGGGTTGCGGGATGAGGAGGCGGAGGAGAGGAGGAGGGAGTGGGTTGGGGAGGGGCCCACGATGGGTGTGAGGTCGGGGTGGTATTGTTTAATGGTGAGGATATCTGATCTTGCGGGCGATGGTCTGCAGTGTATGTAAGAGTCAGTGATCAAGTTTTATACTGGTGGGTGAGATGCAAGCCAATGATCGGAGAACAGTGAGACCAAACGGGTGCACTCCACACTGCTCGTCGGATCATACCGTGCCCGCAAAGCATTGCAGTATTTCGCGTAAGGAGCCTGGCAAGCTCTATGAAATGGAGACCATTTATTTCAACAAATACGTGAATGATTATGAGATTGACACTCACTTGGATGAAGATCCAGGTCGCAGGTCCACTACCTGCATTGTCATTAACTCAAGTTACGCATGTACACACAGTAGGCTTACCTCGATACGGGTATTCTCAACCTGGATTTCAGTCTGTGTGACGGCGGCCATGTTGATGCACAAGTTTCTAGTTGTAGGTTATGAATGAGCTCAGCCTCCAGTTCCCCCACTTCAGTAAACCGCGAATGAGGATGGGAACTCGTTGTGGTAGGTGTCTCCAGGAAATTAATCGCGTTCCAGATCAAATTGATATCTGGATTGAATGACTTCGAAATGGGTCTTACCAGTTTATGAGGAGTGGCGGACACAAAGACATGCCATAGCAGTTCAAATTCAGTGAGCATGCAGTGAACAAAAGGCATTAGGTTGAAGAGGTTCACACAGTTTGGGGTACAGTATATTAAAGGTACATACTGTCCATCAATGCTCAGGTCGGCTACACAGGGGAGAGAAGACCAGGCAGACCAGGCTTGCTTGAAACCATTACAGTGAAGTCAATCAAATGCGTCAGCCGTGTCAACTCAGTCGGACTTGAAGTCTGAGTTCGACCCAAATCCGGCCGGTCATCAAGCGATTTGAGTGATCTGTGTACAATGTGCATCAACATCGCATACGCGGATCTCGTGGTCTTGACCACGCCATCACAAGCTGTCGGCATTAGCATCCCCATCGCTGCCGTCCTCATAAGTTGCCGCCCACCAATGTCTGCCACTGAACTCACCAGAAAGCCCAGAGCTCAGAGTATCTGCACAGTTAGAGCCGATGGAGATCGACATGACGGACGACTTCAGGATCAAAGAAGCCACCTACAATGTCGAACCGAAATATGACAAGCAAGACGATATGCAACTAGATCCAGCAGATCTGTCACTGACGACAAACTAAAACCAGCAGTTGTCATTAATAATGCCGATCCTGTGGTTATGTCCAAGTCTCAGGAGTTCGATGTTGTCCAGGCGAATGGGGCCAAGGGCCTGGTCTATCTGGTAATTTCACAGGTCGCAGTAACCGGGCGAGTCGTCTCACGTCACCGTTTGTCTATATGGAGAAGCATCATCTTGACCTCGGATGCGCGGGTTATTCTTGCTGGTAACAAGCAGTAGATGTGCGTTCCCATGTGCCGCGGCTTGACTGGCTAAGCCTATAAGCCAAACAGCACTGGCTGTACGACTGCTCCAAGGCAGCCCTGCAAGTTGGCTATGACCAAATCCTGGAAGAAGGATTCCAAGGGCGCCGCTCAGGAGCAGTACCACGTCATGTTCCGAGCGGTCAGTCACAGTTATTTTCGACCAAATGACCCGCTTGAGTCCGTCCGGTTACTGGAATCGCGCCGGGGAGAGATGCGACGGAATTTTGAGAGTTTGAATAAGGGAACCTGCAACAAGTGCCTTGGTAGCTAGTCCTTGTAATGGGTGCTCGGCGCGGCCGGTCGGTTGTCTTCGTGGCAGTCGTGGGGGTCTAGAGGACTGCGCCGATATTAGAACCACCCTTTCTCTGCAGTTGTCGACTCCAAATTAGATCAATGCCTAGCAAACAATGGCTGTGAATTCGGCCTTGTTGATATTCTCCGATGCGCAACCATGTCTATACATATACAATCGGCCAGCATTCCAGTGTAGCCAGGTCGTTGGGCCGATAATACACCTCGTCCTCACTCATCCATATAAACACCACCTAGTGCTTCGCCGCCTTCTCGTCTTTGTCTGCCTGGTCTAAGAATTTCCTGTGTCCTGGTCAGCTGCTCATGGCCTCGAAATTTCAGGGTTTGTTTGCTGCGCACTTGATGAAGTTCTCCTCGTCGGAGCTGGAGGCGTTGATCGGAGGGGTCTGGGTCGCAGTCTTCTTGCTCGGGCCGCTAAGAGCCAAGAAGGTACCCCCGAAAAGAGTGCTGAGGACACCCATGGCGAGCTGTTAGAGATGATTATGTCAGTGATGGATTCTCAATTCGTCTCAGGTTTCCCAACGAAGGAGAGGGGATTCCGGGACCGGCGCGATTGGGGTCGAGACTAACATAGTGGGAGCCAACTTGGCGACCGAGAACAGTGTACATCTGAACCATCTTGGCGACTGAAAAGCGATTGACCTCGTGAGAATGGTTCAGAGGTGGCGTGGTAGGTGGATTGGAAGTTGGGTGTGCGATTATGGAGGTTCTCATCAAAACTGCTCATCAAAGCTTCCGGGCTGGATTTCTCGATTGGGGGCGACGCACTGGCCACCTCGAGCTTCCGCGGCTGGACGGAGCAAGAAATCACCGAGCAAGGCCCCGCTGTAACCACGGGTCAGCGCGGGTTTATTGCTTACGACGTATGAATGCTGCACTCATCCTGGTTGGCTGGTTGGCTGGCGACGTCACAGCATTGAAATTCGTCCATCGCGACCGGGACCTTCGAAACAGCCCCTTCCATCCTACCCGAGGTATAAAGCGCTAGTTCAGTAATTTTGCACTGCCTGGCCCTCTATATTCATTTTTCTTCTGTTCTGTTATCCCGTGACCTACCCAAAACACCCATTTCGCGGCCGTTACAGACACAAACCCAACCATGTCGTGGTGGGGAAAAGGCCCCGACAAGCCTCAAGCTTCGACCGACTCGCGGGAAACCAAACAATCTCCCAACAGCAAGCCCGCGCCTCCCGTCCAGGCCTCGCATCTGACCGATGACCCCCGCCGCGATGCCTCGAAATTCGACCCCGACCACCTGCCGGACCGCAAGCAGCTCCCTAAAGGCATGAAGCAAATCATGGACAGATCCGACAAAGACGACAACTTCTTCGACGAGCTAGTTGACGGCTATGTCCCCGACAGCACCGAGTCCAATGTGCGGTACGCCGCCTACGCAAACCGCATCCGGACCATCATGCAATCGGCCCATCGCTACGTAGCCTACACGTCCGACATTGGAGAGTCGTTTCGTCCCGTAGCACACCCGTGGCTTGTACGAAGCGCTTACGGCGTCAGTTGGGCCTACATCCTTGGTGACGTCAGCTACGAGGGGTACAAGGCGTACTGGCAGAACCAGCGGAAGCTGAACCCGCAGCTGCAGTTGACGGAGAAGCAGCAGAAGGCCACGGGGCTGACTAACTTCACGTCTCCGGCGAGCTCGGCGCAGACCACGCTGCCGGAGACTGTAAAGCCACTTGAAGACTGGCGGACGGTGATGGTGCAGAGGGGTATTTTTCAAAGTTTGGCGAGTATGGGATTGCCGGCTTTCACGATCCACAGCGTGGTGAGATATTCTGGCCGAGCGATGAAGGATGTTAAGAACGTGAGACTGAGGACGTGGGGACCTATTGGATTGGGTCTCACTGTTGTCCCGTTCCTGCCGACGCTGTTCGATGCACCAGTTGAGAATGCGGTCGAGTGGGCGTTCCACAAGGGATTTCAATCATATGGAGGTCAGCAATACGTAGGAGATTTACCGAAGACGGGTAGAGAGGAGAATCTGGCCAAGAAGCCAAAGGATAAAGAATTGTAGGAAACAGCCACTGCTCTGATGATTTCTGGTCTGGTAACGGCGTTCTGAGTACTTCCTACTCCTGCCCTATTCCTGCGGTTTTGGTCGTTAACGTAATATGGGGAAACCTAATCAGTCTAACTATAGATGTATCACAGTGTAAATATGGGACACAGATAAGACTCCGCTGAGCAAATGATATAAAAAGGTAAACGCTCTATAGCGCTTCAGTTTTGGTTGATGTATCCGTCAGCCACCAACGCCGCCCATGCGCTCCATCATGTCTCATCAAATCTACCGAATACCTATTTCATGTCGATTAGGTCTGGGACTGGTGGTCCAACGCCTCTAAGCAAGACGACTGTATTCCCACTTGTCAGCGCACTGCCCACCTTCTCATTATACTCCAACACACGCCCCCCTTCCACATGGAACACTCGTAGCTTGTCTTTCTCCTCTGCCGACGAGTTATTCACATTCTCCACCTGAAGCCCCTTAGCCGCTGCATCCAACAATCGTCCAACAACCCACTCTTTGCTATAAAAGAACTCCCCCTTCGGGAACTTCGCCGTCGTCGTCTCCGCCTCTGCCTCAACATACAAATACACCCTCTTCTCAGGCGGCAGCTTCGTATCCCCCTTGGCCGTCTTCTTCAACTTATTCACGGCCACCAACCGCGCACTCGCTGTCGTCGGCTTCGGCTTCGGCAGCGCCCTGGTGGCCTGCTCCCGCTTCTGCATTCCCCAAGCCTTGAACTTGGCCAGCGCGCTCTTAGCCTCGCGGCCGACGTCGAAAGTCTGCGGCCGCGCCCCGATGGGAACTAGGTTCGCGCAGTCGTGTTCCTCGCCCAGTCGGTGCTTGAGACAGTAGTCCCGATTACATTTATCGCAGTGCACCCCCGGCACCAGCGACGTGCCCACCGTTGTCTTGCATTCGCGCGCCGCGCAGGGTTTTTGAGAAACGAAGTCGCGCATGCGCTTGCCGTCTCCGGCGCCCGGGCGGGCAAGTTGGGCTTGCCGGCGTCGACGTGCCCAGGCGCCTTCGCTGGCGCATTTGTGCGCGGTTTCGGTTCGGTGGTCTAGGCAGAAGGTGTGTTTGCAGGATTGGCAGAAAAAGGGGAGGAAGTCGAGCTGATTGCAGTATTCGAATTCGCAGTGCTTGCCGATGAGGGTGGGATCTTCGGCTGTATCCATTTTCACGTAGGACGTGTCCGGTTCGGTGGATGAGGAGGATGCCACCTTGGAGGAGGGGGGCGTCATGGCGGTCGGACTAATGAGTAGGGGAAGATATACAAGGACGAGAAGGGGGCAATTAGGCAAACAGTGTTCTCGTAAGCTGCCCCAGGTGACACGTGCGGTAAATGAGTGTGGGCGCGGCCGTCTGACAAAGCGAAAGAGGCGAGGGAATGGGCAAGAAAGGTAGAAGTTGATAGAGGCAGGCAGATGACGAGGTTGCGCAGGCAGGCGCCGGCTTATCATCAACAATGTTCTTCGGGGAAGAAGGACCTCGAAGCATCCGCTGAGCCGCATAAGGCTGTCGGGTAGTGGGGTGGTGCGCTAAACCCCCGCTAAACTTAATTGCGTCTCTGGGATCACCCGCTGCTGTGTTCGATGACGGCGACCTTGATTGTTCCTACGCTAGGCAAGATTTCATGTTACCATTAAATTGGAAACTGGTTTTCCTCATTTAAAGCCAGGCTTCCTTTCTCATACCTTAGAAACTGCACATCGCGACAGGATGCCTCCACACGTTCCGCGCAAGAGGCTGCGCACTCCATCGCCTGTGACGAGTGGACGAATCACCAAATCGGCAGCCAAGGGCAAGGTGAAGGCCAGCCCGGCAACAGCACCTCCACCCCCAAAAACGACACATTTTGAGGATTCAGAATCTGGAGTAAGGAAACGTTCTGCTGAGAAAACTAGATTGGCACTTCAACAGATGTACGACAATGACGATGCCAGCAGTTCTCTCAGTTCGCTCTCAGACATTGAATTCGAAGATGTCCCTCCCGCCAAACGCCAAAGATTGGAGAAGGATTCTGACAGCGAGGACGAAGACGAGCAAATGGAATTTGAAGATGTCCCTAATCTCGAGCCTCAAGCGGAGCCGGTCGTGTCTGGTGACTTGTCTATCTCATGGAACCAAGGCCACTATGTACCTCTATCCAGCGATATGGGAAAGAAGAGCGCCACCAAAAAGGAGAAGGCAGCCCGGATTGTAACGCACTGTATGCATGTACAGTTATTACTATGGCACAATGCCGTTCGCAACTCATGGTTATGCGACGTGGAAGTTCAAGCTATCATGATCTCACACTTGCCTCCCCGCTTGTGGGACGAAGTCGACCGGTGGAGATTGAGCAGTGGCTTGGACGATCCTGAAGAGGTCGGGCCAAAGAAAGGCAAGCCAAACAGGAAAACAAGGTCCAAGGGGAAGCAGCCTGCTGCCAGACCTACCAGAGATTGGAGCGATGCGGCGGATAGGCTTGAGAAAGGAGTTCCGGACATGAGCCGTGGCGACCCGCTCTTCAGGCTGTTGAAAGCGCTCTGTCCGTGGTGGAGACAGCGGTTCCGAATAACGGCTCCCGGCTTGCGAAAAATCGGATATATGAGTGCTCGGAGGCTTGGCAAATGGTCACGCGAGTACGAAGAGGGAGAGCACGACCCTGAGAAGTTTGGCGAGCGCATCACGAACTTGGAAGAGTTTCGAAAACGTGCGCAAGAGTGCACCGGCAGCCGTGACGTTGGGGCCCAGCTCTTCACGGCCCTATTGCGCGGAATTGGACTTGAGGCCCGCATGGTTGCTAACCTCCAATCGATTGGATTCGGTTGGAGCAAGGCTGAAGAGGCTAATGAAGAGAAGCCGGAAAACCAGGGCCAGAAAGCCGGTACAAATGCTACTGATACCCCGAATGGTTATGAAACGTCAAAGAAGACTGTACTAAAACGTCCAGCAAAACAGCGCGCAAAGAAGAGCGAGAAAGATGCTTTAATGATCGAATTGGATGACTCAGACGAGTTTGCGGATCCTCTGAGCGAGGAAAGTGACGACGATTCGATTGTTGATGTCACAGCTGAGCATCGCCAGCCTAGAACTGTAACCAAATTGTATGATAAGGACCTCGACTTTCCACATTACTGGACAGAAGTACTATCGCCTGTTACAAAAACGTGTATCCCCGTTGACCCAATTGTCAAGTCCGTTGTCGGTACGAACAGGGAACTTATCGAGTCACTAGAACCCAGAGGCGGCAAAGCGGATAAAGCCAAACAAATCATAGCCTATGTGGTGGGGTTCTCTCAGGATGGCACAGCAAAGGACGTCACGGTTCGTTATTTGAGGAAACGGCTCTTCCCAGGAAGAACTAAAGGCGCACGAATGGGGGTGGAGAAGATTCCAATCTACAACAAGCATGGCAAGGTCAAGCGATACGAGCAGTTTGACTGGTTTGGGTCGGTGATGCGCGGTTATTCTCGCGGTGGACAAAAGCACCCCATCACCGAAGCTGACGAGCTTGAGGATTCTACGGACCTGAAACCCGCGGTGCCCGAGAAGAAGGAGGTTAAGGAAGGCGAGGAGACACTGCAGTACTATAAATCTTCCAAGGAGTTCGTGCTCGCGCGCCATCTCAAGCGGGAAGAGGCTCTGCTGCCTACTGCCAAACCAGTAAAGGTCTTCCGCAACAAGGGCAAGGGTGGGAAAGTGGATGAAGAGGATGTGTTTTCACGCAAAGACGTGGTGGCTGTCAAGAGCGCAGAGACTTGGCACAAACAGGGTCGCGCACCAAAGGACGGCGAAGCGCCGCTCAAGCATGCACCATACCGAGCAGCGACGACGAACAGGCGCAGAGAGCTCGCAGAGGCGGAGGCGAGAACGGGTGGGAAGGTACTGCAACCACTTTACAGCTACGAGCAGACGGATTGGATTATTCCCGACCCGATTGTGGATGGCCAAATTCCGAAGAATGAGTACGGCAACATCGACATGTTCGCCGAGCACATGTGTCCCGAGGGCGCGGTGCACCTGCCCTACAGAGGCGCGGTTCGTGTCTGCAAGCGCCTTGAGATCGACTACGCCGAAGCAGTAGTTGGCTTCGAGTTTGGACACCGTATGGCTGTTCCTGTGATTCAAGGCGTCGTGGTCGCAGAAGAACATAGAGAACGCGTGATTGAGGAGATTGAGAAGGACGAGGCGGAGCGCGCGAGAAAAGAGGACGAGAAGAGACGTAAGGCGGTGTTGGGCATGTGGAGGAAAATGCTTATGGGGTTGCGGATTGCGAAGAGGATACAGGATGACTACGGTCATATAGAGGATATGGAGGTTGATGGCCATGATGGCGGTGGTGAGGCGGACTTCAGGGCTATGCAAGAAAGGGATGAAGATATGGCTGGGGGTTTCTTGCCTGAGGGTTATGAAGAAGAAGATGCCGAGGAGCCGGAACAGAAATCGGGTTACTTCCCGGTAGCACACGAGGATGACGAAGACCCTTTCGAGGTGGAAGATGGCCTCCAGGAGCAAGCGGGTGTTTCGACTGAACCTGCACCAGACGTTGATGCCGCAGAAGATGAAAAGGATCCGGCAGAAACTGAAGAGGAATACAAGCCAGCGCCAAAGGGCAGAAAGATGGTTGTCAAGCCAAAGCCAAAAGCCAAACCCAAGATGAGAACGTCAACGAGGAGGCGAACCCGGAGGACTCAAGTTGAATCTTCTGAGGAGGATGATCAGGAAGAAGATGACGACTTTATGGAAGATGGCGATGATTGACTATGTCGAGATGCGGCCTCTCATTACTTTTGACAACGAAACACGACATCTTCCGAGACCAGAAAGGAGCCACATGTTGCTTGACCTCCGAATCTGTGCATCCTGATCAAGTTATCATCTCACGAATCCGAAATAGCCCCGTGTCATTCAACTGGGGCAACTGACTAGTATTTCGACTACTGGGCAGCTGTGCTACTTCGCCCCTTTTCGGAACTAGAGTTATTGATTGCCAATCTACGGGACTTGTAGGTTGTCAGTCACGGTACGTCTCACTGGAAAACTCCGAATCCATAAATTTGTCTTACTGGTTAGGGTTGCACTCTAAAGCGGTAGTTCGGACCGGGGACGGCGTAGCAGCTCCCGGAACCCGGCCCTTATGTATAACTGGGAGAAATAAAGCCATATGCCGAATTGCCTGAATGGGCTCCTAGGTCCAATAACGGAGGTCGAGTATCTGATTGGAGCGCGTATAACAACATTCAAGTTCATTGTCCACCTCAATGCTCACATAGATTGGCAGAGTAATGGTCGTCAGAGCCGTTCCGCTTCGCACTAATGATGCGCGCCGATGATGGAATGGCAGGGTTAATAGGTACGGTAGACATTTGACCCGATCAACTAGCGGGATCGTGGGTGATAGCCATGTATAAAGCAGGGAGACTCACCACAGAAGAATGGCTCATATGAAGTTGTCATGTCTTATTCGACCAAGATGTTGCCTTTGACTGTCCTTATCGCAGGAGTATATGCTGCCACTGCTACCGTGACCAGTCCTCAAGCTCTTCAACCCCATGAAGCCACTTTGATGACAAGACAGACATCCACTCTCCCCAGCACTTTCAAATGGAACTCCACCACCGCCCTCATAGGCCCTAACAACGACGGCCATAATATCGCTGGCATCAAAGATCCGTCCATCGTCGAAGTCGACGGCACCTATCACGTCTTCGCCAGCACGGCGCAAGCCTCAGGCTACAACCTTGTCTACTTCAACTTCACCTCCTTCGCCACCGCCAACTCCGCAACCTTCAACTACCTCTCGCAAACCCCCATCGGGTCGGGCTACCGCGCCGCGCCGCAGGTCTTCTACTTTGCGCCCCAGAAACTCTGGTACCTTGTATTCCAAAACGGAAATGCGGCTTATTCGACGAATAAGAACATTGGTAATCCGAACGGCTGGAGCGCGTCAACGAATTTCTTTAGCGCGGTGCCCGATATTGTGACGCGTAATATTGGGAGTGGGTATTGGGTTGATATGTGGACTATTTGTGATGCAACGGATTGTTACCTGTTCTCTTCGGACGATAATGGACACTTGTACCGCTCGAGGACATCACTGGCTAGTTTCCCCAAGGGTATGGGGGATACGGTTATTGCTATGTCGGCCTCGGATAAGAATGCATTGTTTGAGGCGAGCAATGTCTACGCTATCGAAGGAGGGAATTCATATCTTCTCCTCGTCGAAGCCATCGGCAGTGACGGCAACCGGTACTTCCGCTCCTGGACATCGAGTAGTTTGTCGGAAAATTGGACTGCTCTTGCTGCTACCGAAGCCAACCCCTTTGCTCGCGCGAATAATGTTGCTTTTGAGGGCACAGCTTGGACACGGAGTATCAGTCATGGCGAGATGGTGCGGACGCAGATGGATCAGACTATGACGATTAGTCCATGTAATTTGCGGTATTTGTACCAGGGCTTGAGCCCGTCGGCAAGTGGGAGTTACAATACGTTGCCTTGGAAGCTGGGGCTGTTAACGCAGACGAACTCGGCTTGTTAGGGATGAGATTACTTACTTAGCAAATCTGGGTAGTAAGAATTTCAACAAAGGGTGGCCATAGATGATTCCATCCAAAACATGTGTGTACTTCTGATTTGCGCTCGCAGCTGATAATATCACTAGCTGTCAAACTTATGCTGTGTTACATGTGTTTACATCATATATCTTGCAAGTCAAAATACAATTTCCAGCACAGCTAAAAAAGATGATCAAGGGACTGATACAGCAACCAGCAAGTGTCATCCAATTTCAGGAATTTCATAATACTCTTCTATGATGGCATTTTTTTGTGAAACTTTCATGTAACAAAATACAGCTATGACAGGAAATAAACTAGCTGTGTCATGAAATTCCAATGGTTTGGACAAGGAGACGGTTGAAAATATCCCGTTTTCATCTAGTCACCAGTGAGCCCTTTGTGTTTTAATAATATCCGTCTCCTACAATAGTAGGCCACGATCAATCAAGAGACAAAGGCTGCCAACACAATTTCCATCTTTGTGCACTAGCGATGCCAGTAAAGTCTCTGATCTTGGTGCTTGACATTAGTCTTCGAATCCCTCATTATACGTTTTGCTTCTCTGACAGCCAGTCTGAATACTGTTCATTCGTCTCTAGCAACCGGTCGCCCAAGCGAAAACTAGCAACATGTCTCAGTTCAAGTGCAGCGCTCCTGATACCCCCATTTATTCCCTCTTTACGGTCACTGATTCTGCCGTAAGCGAAAACCTTCGCGAGTCTCATAAGGAGCGCATGGCGAGATTGAAGCGCAGGCGAGAAAAGAAGCACTCCGTCCAAGACCCGACGGGCCCCAAACTGGACATGCCCAACTCAGACGAGCCCGAACAAAACGAACCCGACCCCAACTCTCCCTCTGGGCTTTCAGATTGCCTCCAAGATGCCTTGGATGACCTGCGAAGAGGCTCCACCGCTTCCGATGCAATCCACCGAGACGAAGAAGAAACCGAAGTCCAGCCCGCTTACTTGGATCCCAAGTGGGTACAAAACACCGAGCCAGTCATGGAATACAGAAAAGGGGGTCTCCACCCTGTGAACTTCAAGGACAAACTCGGGGACGAGAAACAACTAGAGGTGGTGGCGAAGCTCGGATGGGGCGCCTTCAGTACCGTCTGGCTGTGTCGGAACACCCGCGAGGAGAAATGGTGCGCGGTTAAGATCCTCGCGGCGGAGAAGTCTTCTGAAGACTGTCGCGAGCTACGAATAATGAAGCGATTTCGCGACCGAGCGGATCCCTCACACGTGCTGCTACCCACAGACAGCTTTTGGATCCAGGGACCAAATGGTCGTCATTTGTGTCTGGTGATGCCCGTCATGGGTCCCTCGCTCGCGGACTTCATGTCCCAGGGCGAGATCGAACTGCCGATCATCAAGGAGCTTCTCTTCCAATTGGGCCACAGTCTAAAGTACCTTCAGCAGCAAGGCATCGTGCATGGAAGCTTCAGACGCGTTAATATGCTTCTCGGACTGGAAGACATCAGTCACCTATCTCAGGAGGCGATGATCATGAAGCTGGGAAAGCCACTGCGGGAGCGTGTCCGAACCGCTGAGGGGAAACCGCACTATTTCCGCGCGCCAGAGTATCTGATCGAACAGGCTGATATGTCGTGTGTCGGCGTCAAGCCAGAGATCGTTATTGCCGACTTTGGCATGGCGTTTCACGTTTCTGAGAATATGGACGAGAACGGTGAGCAGCATGACTACAGATACACAGACGGGGTGAACACTACCCCCGAGGCTTACTTTGGCAATCAGTTGAGTTTTAGTAGTGACGTTTGGGGGTTCGCCATGTCGATCGCCAAAACACGACTGCACTCGCTGTTATTTTCTAAGCCGCCGAATTATGTTAAGAGTTTAGAGATGCTGCTGGGTCCCCTAGATCCGATATATCGTGAGGCTTATTTCAGACAACAGGAAGAAGAGACCGAGGAGCCTACAAAGGAGGAGGTGAGACGGAGAGGGCCTGATGAGCCTGTTACCATGACCCAGGAGGATTTGATCAAGGCAAGGGAGGTCGTTGCAGCGGCAGCTGGGTTCAGTGAGTCGTACCCGGATGTCATGCACGTACAGCTGGCTCGTGATCGGGGTTACAGGTTTGGTCCGATTGGCGGCTTTGAGGATATTTGGGTTAGTCGGAAAGTGCCGGAAAAGGAGGCCACTATCCTTGCCGATCTGTTCTACAAAGTCTTCAAGTACAATCCTAAGGAGAGAATTGACATCGATGCGGTCTTGCAGCACAGGTGGTTCAACGGAAGGGCAGGGGCACCAGTTGAGGTCAAGTCTGAAGCCAAGGTAGACGATGTACCGAAAAACATCGATGTTGAAGCACCGAGTGAAAGAGTTGCCACAGATGTGGAAACACAAACTGAAATAGATACTGTCGATGCCGACACCCAAACCAAAGCAGATACCAAGGACAAAGAGACCCAGACTCAGACTAAAGTCATCGCTAACGACACCGAATCCCAAAAGAAAGAGATTGAAAGCCAGGAACAGGAAACGACACCCAGCGACCCCAAACAACCGGAGCGTTTATTCTGGATTGGATTCTTGATAGTCTCCACCATTTTGATTATCACCATCATGGCTGGGCAGTATTTAGGCGTGGGTCAATCGCCTTTCTGCACTGATCAAACGGGGTTCGTGATGTTTCGGAGCAAAGTCATCTCACCCAGCTCGACATACTGGGAGGGTGTCATGTTAAGTTCTGGCAGGAGCAGAGTGTCGGGCAATCTTCTCAATGGGGATGGGCAGTACCCAAAGGGTGGGTTAATTGAGATGTAAAGTTTGCTCCTGGGGATCAAGACGATCCGCACCATATTTTAATCTTTGGGCTATCAGGCAGCTATAGATGATAAAGCTATGGAACAGAACTAAATCAATGGTTATGAGGGGGTTTATTTTGAGGAAGTGGAAGGTGAGGGAAATCCTACCGCTTGGAGTAGGCATCTGTACGAAGAACTAAAATCTATAACTAAGTACACAAGAACATGTGTACTTTGTAATTATGCAACGTTGAAAGGCGCAATAAGACTGGTCATATACCAGCCCTCTCATTGGGGCGGGTTGACTAGTTGTCAAGGTGGTTGCTACAACCAGCCGGAAATGAGATCATCGTCAACCCCGCCGGCGCCATCTATCAATTCCGAGCTGTTAGCCAAGTTATTTGACCGCTGCATCGTTATTTTCCGTGTTTTCGATCGTGAAGTAGCTAATTTTATCCCGGATTCCGTAGAATTCGGTAACTTGAGCGCTAGAGGAGCGCCGAGATAGCGAAAGTTCCTACAGGGCTAGTAGGGGCCGCTAGCACCTGCAAATTACTAAAAATAGGGAGCCCTTAGCTTGGTAACCACCTGGCGACCAAGTCACCAATAAAGTCTCCAAATTGATATGCCTTAGAAACTCTGGACAATTGGTTAGTTGGGTTGGCTGGCTGACGTCAACCCTTGGCAACCAGGTTGAAGTGGTTCGGTTGGCTTGCCCACATCTAGATCCCAAGCCCCGTAATATGATTGGGTGGCTGAACGATGATACCCCTTGCTCTGTAATTTCCCTGTAAACCCCGGACGCAACAGTTGGCAGACTGAGGCGGTGGCCCATACATGTCAGGAGGTAAAAGTAGCGTTCTGGCAATGTCCAAGTCTGCCATCGGTAGTCTTGGAATAGCCTGGCCATGATCTCACCCTTGGGCTTCTTTGCGTTGTACTGCAGTATCCTTGGCGGACGACCTTAGTGCCCTTATCGTCCGTGTCTAGATAATGCTTTACGAAGTGGTTGATCCAGTATAGGCCTAACGGCGTATAGTCCCCCTCAGCCTCAGTATTTCCTGGGCGAAATCGGTGATGAAAACCTCGCTAGGAACCCTCCAACATAGTTCTTCGGGAAGAATCTAGTTGAATATAACCTCCTCTTACTCCCTAGTAAACTTCCACTGGTCGGAGGTAGCGTCGCGATACCATTTAGTCTTGTTAAGTCGGTACGAGAGAGGGTTAAAGGGTTTATTCCGTAGCCCGTGGCCGCCGAACTCTGAGAATTTCCGCTACGGACCAAAAGATAGCTCGATCGATACGCTACTCAAAATCGGCAGAATTGTGTCCGGTATTTAAATATTTTGTTTTTATGCAACCATTGCGTATTGAAGAGGCGTTATGCCTTCTTTTCTTCAGACTACAGTTGAAAATGGAGGTGCATTCAAGCTCGGCCGACAGCCCGCCTAAGTACTGTTCGCTATGCTGCACACAGAAGCCCTTTGAGTAAGTTTTTCCCTCAACCACTTGAAACGCTACTGGACCTGATCCCTCTTTTTGGTTCTCCATCTTTAAGTACTCCGTCTCGAAGCTCGTCTTCATTGGAAATTTGAGCATTGAAGGCCGCGCGTCTTCACTTCCAGAAATTGCATCCTCTACGCAGCAAAGGCACCACTTTTCCGTTCGTAATGCACGCGAAGTGGTCCCATGCTTTCGCGGATTGCCACAGCAAGCATGCTCCGGCCTGCTGGGATGCATTCAAGATTCCCCAAGCGGTAGGCTAAGCCTTCATCCTCACTCCATGCTCGAGATTCTCTGCTAAGTAAACCAGCTTCTCAGCGCACCACATGCGGTCCAGTCATCAGCACTGTCGGTGTTGCCGACTGAGCTGCTGCTCAAGATCTTTGCCCATGCGAATGCGTTCGAACAACTGTTTCTAGCGCTCACGTGCAAACGGTTGCTTGCCGTCTACTCAATGACCACCATGATAATCCCCTCGGCTCCAAAGCACCGCTCTGTTCCTTCTCTGAATTGCTCTGCAATGCTTCGACTGATATATGTCATGCAACCACTAGAAAAGCACGGGTACCCCAAAAAGAATTGGGCGCCTTGCTTGATTGCTACCGGTATCGGCCGAAGAGAATGAACTACTGGAAAGGTATAGACAAGCGTTATCCTGCGGGATCGTGTGATGCAATTCTGAAAAATTACGACTTGGTTGTCAAGTATTGGAACGACAAGTAGTCGTCCTCGTACCAGTGTCCGGAATGTTGGTGTGAAGAACGCTTCAGAAATTACGGGCATCTAATTGAGAAGGGCGGTAAGGGATACAAGTAAATTATTATTATTATTAATTACACCGTAGGCTCGAAGCCCCCGGTACCTCTACCAGTACTCCCGTATGTCAAACCGTGCCCTAATGGCTGGAATAAATACATACGCTGCGTCGTCGGTTCGCCCTATTGGCGACGGCATGGCGTTCACTACCATACTACGTTGGTTCTCAACCTACCAACAAAGTCCCCCCTGAGAAGATCGATACTATCTGGGCCTTGAAGCTGTCCGACCCGTCCCTAGCAGCCACCTTACAATAGTCCCACTAACTACTGGTTCTCCTGTTGCCGTTGCGAGGTCTCTGCGAGAGTATAGTGGCCGCGGTGCGATAGCGGCCCGTAATCGTTCCCTCGGTCCTTCCAACAGCCCTCAAAAGAGGATTACGTGCTCTGCCGTTTCAGGGGCGTCGCCACAGCGGCATAGCGGCGAGTACACGCCAAAAGCCCCTGTCTTGAATAAGAAGGCTGCTAGTCCTATTTTTTCCGTCCTGATCTGGCACAGCGTAGACGCCTCCAGCCGGTTCAGGCCGAAATACTTGCCCCCTTTCGGTATCTGCATCGAAGGGCCCTCCGGTTCCTCAGCGATAGCGCGTCGCTGGCGATCGTGATGCTCTGCTCCGGTGAGCCATTTCTTCCTCCAGTGGCCGAGGAGGGCAGCCGGGACCTCCATTTCCTCACTCATCCACTCGGAGCCCCGGGCCTCCTTCTCCATAGTGTACCCTGCCGGTCGGAGTAGCTGCGACGCCTGCTTCCTCTTCACCGGCCTATCCTGCCGGAGTATATGTGACGCTTTAGCGCTCGCGCTGCGAAGCAGATTTCTCTTCCCGCTAAGCCGCAGCCGTTCTTCAAACTTAGCAGCCCGGGCACTAAGATAGAGGTCTAGTGGCGGGATTGCTGCTTCTGCTTCCAGGTGGCGAACCGGCGTCGCTTTGTGGGCGCCACAGACTACCCGGAGGCACTCGTTCTGTATCCCCATCAGGCTCTTAGCTGGCCCGGCCGGTTCCTCACTTATAGTATGCCACGCAGTCGCCCCGAAGGCGATCGCGCTACGGATAACCACCGTATATAACAGCCTCGCCCGTATAAGATTGCAGCCCCACGACATATTGACTAGCTTTGTCAGGGCTAGCTTTTGAGTTGCCATTTTTGTTTTAACACGCTCAACATGGGCGTGCCACGTCAGTTTGCGGTCGAACCAGACTCCTAGGAACCTCGCTGAGACTACCGGCGACACTGTGGCGTCCCCAAGGCGAATACTTTGCGGCAAGGGCTCTCGGGCCCTAGTAAAGTGCATTAGCTCACTCTTGTCAGGGGCGAACTCCATCCCGTGCCTCACTGCCCACCGCTGACGCGTAGCCCATGCGCCCTCCAACCGGCGGCAGGTCGTGTCTGGATCGGTGCCGACGCTTAGCAGGTTCGTGTCGTCCGCGAACCCGACTACTAAAAGTAGTGGGTGCTGCTCCGCTAGCTCCTCGTACAGCGTTGAAATGTATAATATAAACAGTATCGGGGATAGCGGCGACCCCTGGGGGACGCCAGCTCGTAGGGGGATTGGCTCTGACTCCTTGCCATCGAACCGGAGGCGTACCGTCCTACCCTCCACAAAGCTGCGTACCCACTCCTGAACCCACTCCGGGTAGCCTTTCCGGGCTAATATGGAAACCAGCCGTCTGTAATTGACCGTATCGAATGCCCCCTTGATGTCCAGATGTAGCAGCGAGGCGATGCCCCCGCGTCTCCACGCCGTATAGACCACATCCTGAACTATACGTATTGCCAGTTCGGTGGACCTCCCAGCGCGGTTACCCATTTGGCCGTTTGGTAGTAGGCCGGCCGTCTCAGCTACTTTGGTGATACGCTGGCTCATCGCCGTCTCTATTACCTTCCCTACCGTGCTAAGCAGGGAAATGGGGCGCCAGCCGCCAGGGTTCTGCTTCTGAGCTATCGTTTTATTAGGCTTAGGGATAACAACCACCCTCGCTGAGCGGAAGCGCTCCGGGTAGTACCCCAGCCTAAAGCTAGCTGTTGCCAGATCCGCTAGGATCTCCCATAGGGGTTCACCGCAGGCCTTTAGCAGGCCAGTGGGGATCAGGTCGTCGCCGGGAGCCTTCCAAGCAGCCGTTCCTTTGATTATAGACTCGATATCCATTGTGTTCACCTCCCTAGGGACGTTCAGCTCTGGTCTCGTCTGTAATAGGCCACGATCGAGGTCCGATAGATCTATACACGGGTCTGGGAAGAACCTCTCAGCTAGTAATTTTGCCTTCTCGTCATGTGTACGTGCCGTAAGCGTGTCGCCGGCGTCCCTCCGGAGATCTGGCAACCCGTGGGCCTCAGGGGGGGCCCAGCTCCGTTAGTAAATTATAGACGTGATGCTGCCTTCCGGCTTGGAGTGTCTCCCTCATAGCAAATAGTCAACTTTCCGCAATGTTTACTCAATGCCAGCATCGCAATGTAGGCTAGACTTCCTGAACTCGAAGCTGAACACAAGTAAGTTCGGGATCAGGTGCCAGAAAGCCGTGCTTGTGACGACGGCCCCGCTGAACAGAACAAAATGCGCCCGCCCGATTCAAACGCCTGGCACGAACGGGACGGTTGTGTGTTCGGAGCTGGTACGAGTTATGCTTGCACCTGTTGGGCCTTCAAGGCTATTGCACCAAATACTGCCAGCTTGTGAGGACGTATGGCCACCTACCGTACGTTATGGCCCAATGTGACCACCACCCCTTGTACAACGCAATTTCTGTCTTTGGGGCAGGCACCGTTCATTTCCACCTATATAAGGTCCTTCTGGCCATAGTTCACTCCTTTGAGAGATTTTTAGAGATCATCACATATTCAATGCAAAACCATTTGCACTTCGGTCCAATAGCACCTCCCTACTGTTACATCAAAAATTTACCTCTGGTATTATATACGAAATAATGCCTTTAAGTACTTACTATGGAATTGGTGGCCTAGGTCATGGTAAGGTACATATGAGATATTAGTACCCTTGCGCGGCTTGGGACCTCCCCTCCGCCCCTGCCCCTCCTTCTCCTACCTCTATTTCTCTTTTTCACCTTTGTATGTAACGTAGTCCACGGTCCAATTGCACACTTTGGCAGACCTTATACGACAATGTATAAGTTAATTCAACCACAACGCCTATCATCAATTGAAACTACTCAGAATCGTTATCTTCAGACGTCTCTACATCATTTCCACAAGTGCGCGCATTATGTCCGGGCTCGCCGCAGATTCTACAGCGCCGTACACGCGCAATTCGCCGCCTCGTCCGACCACCAATTTGACGAAATTCGTCATGTAACTGCCCATCAACCTCTCGTTGAGACTGTAGGTCCTGTCCAGCTTGTATAAGAAGTGACCCTCCACTCTGTAGCTGTTTTTTCTTCGCACGGCGACGTCGACTTAAGGTCTCATTTGCCTTTCGAAGCCATTCGACCTCGCCTTCTAAAAGGGCAAGCCGATGCATAACCTTCGTTGTACCTCGCGCAATCTGATCTATTCCAGCAAAAATTGACGTTGGTGAGCTATTTTGATGTCGTACAATCCTATTTTTCACATAATCGGTTTGTGATTGGGCTTCGGTTGGGTTGTTCGGAGTCTTTGATTCCCAAGGGACGGGGAGACCAGCCGAGCTACCCGGAGGTGTTGGCGTATGTAATTTCACATCGAGCTGTGATATGACATAATCTGCATCGTACGGAACTATTACTACCCCTCGGAAACCTCCTTGGATATTTGAAACCGTGAAAGTTGCGTTGTACGCGTTCAAAAACGCCGGTAAAAAGTCTTCTTTCGAGATATGACTTATATGTGCTCGCACGAGATCTTCGATTTCTTTTCCGTACGCTCTTGTTAACCCGCGAAAACAACCAACATCAAGAGGCTGGAGCTTATGCGACGAATAAGGAGGCATACAAAGCGTGACGATATTGTTAGCTTTGCAATATACCTCGACATCGGTCGAGTGATGGCTTTCGTGACCGTCGAGGATCAATAGGCGATGAGTACCTTTCGTACGAGACTTGGTGTGATGATTGAAGTGTTTTATCCAATCTTCGCCTCTCTCGTTCGTAGTCCAGCCATTTTTAGTAACTGCGATAACCCAATCAGGCGGCAATGGGCTGTTTTCGTACCATGACGAGAGGTGGGTTTTGCCGGCGAAAATAATGTACGAAGGGAGGGCATAACCGGACGACCCAACGCCTTGAATAACTGTAACTCATTCCCGATTTCCTTGCTGGGCTGCTCTAGGCCTTCCGCGCCGATCAGAAGTCGTCACGACCATTTCGGACGAGATTTGGCCCATCACAAAACCGGTCTCGTCGAAGTTGTAGATATCCTCCTTCTGGATCGCGTATTTCGCAATTGTATTCCGTACCAGGTCAAACCACGCGCGATACGCGTCGGGGTCTTCGCAGAGGACTCTCTGATAGTCGATCCTTCGATTTAAACGCGTCCGGAGGTGTGGTTGTCGTCTTACGAAGCTCGAGGCCCAGTTGACGCCGACGCGTCCCGCGTCGCGACTTCGAAGTAATCGGTTGGCCATATCTTCAACACCACTCAATCGGGGAGGAAATGCTCGCGAATATAGGTCAGTTATATGTCGTACGATTGCCTCTTCTTCGGAAGGAGTCAACTTTTGCGTTGGCGATCGCGTAATCGCTCGAGCGGTTTTACCGTCGCGTCGATACGCAAGGGTTCTAAAAGGTACGTTATAGATCTGACCAGCGCGACGTACATTTAATTTTGGATCAGATTGAAGCGCATGTAATGCTAGAATCATATCACTTTCATTCCAAGAACCAACCATAGTTATGTGGTGAAAAACCGCAGGTCAAAGTGGTAGCGTACGAAAATCTGCCGAAGTGTGCAATTGGACCGTGGACTACGTTAGCTTATAACAATTATAGTGTAAGTTTCATATTTTAGATACTTATAAATATTACGTATTGAAGCAGACATTGTACCTGTACCGGGAATATGCCTCAGTGTTGGTAACTCGGACTGAAGAAGGTAAGGATATGGCGAGCAGCGAAAAGCTCCGCATCATGATCATGTAAGCTCAAGACTAGTAACGTTTTGCAAAGGAGTGGAGATTAATGTAGAGTATTGAAGTAAGAATATTATGCAAACTTGGTTATGTTTAGGTCCAAATTTACACTAGGCCATCTCTGTTAAGCAGTAACTGATTTCATAACCCCACAAGATTAACATGTTGTCTGTCAGCACAGTGAATTCCTTACTCAAATATCTGAAGTTCTGTGTGAGACTGCGCCTCAGACTCAAAACACTCGAGGGATGAACAGGACACGCATACTGAAGACACCAACTCGAGGCAGGAAGCCTCTTTCGTGGCCGTGAGGCTACTGTGAAAAACGTTCGCATGCGTCTTTTCAGTTTCGCTACGCATGATTAGCTCCAACGACATATCATTTAGTCGATTTGCTACGTTTAACATGTTCTCCTTGCCGTTCTTTGCTTGTCGGGCCGACTCTGCTTCGACCTTGGCACACCACTGCTAAGAAGCAGCAGGGTCTCGCGAACAGTCTTTCCTCTTAAGACGATCCATGTAGACCTTGACAAAACTGGCGAACAAGTACTGATTCTGTCACAGCAATTCGAAACCCCCGTACCAGCCTTTCGTCAACGACTTCGATCCAACGATTATCGGCGATAAACATCGTCTTTGTCGCCTGCCTGTACTGCCTCTTGACCATGCCATTCCACCACTTCCGTAAGTATGACCGATGGCAAAATGCAGCTCTGGGCATCTTAGTTATTGAAAGAACCATCTCAATCGATCTCATTCAAGGAGTTGTAGGTGGACTTCGGAGCAGAGGTGGTGACACCGTTACCACTGATGCCGCTGACGCTGGACTAGCTGTCGCGCACGAACTCATACGTTTTGATGTCACAATAGGAGAGCTTTAGGTACCACATTGGAAAAGCCAACGGATTCTCGTACCATGTATACTAACTATGAGGTCCACGTTAAATTACTAGAACAATATAGTGATCACTCTTCAAGTATCACCAGTCGCTGTCAGCTATGACCAAGAAGAACTCGAGGTAGGCAGCCTAAAGAGGCGGCACGTGGAAAAATATGGTTACGGAACTGGTCAGGCGTGTTCACAGATAGCCGCGAAACTTTGGTAAACATATTCGAAGTATCGTGAACAGTTATCTAGTAAAGACCTAATAAAGGTTATGTCAGCGGTGTTAAGGACTAGAGTGGTCGTTATTTCCACAAATGATAAGCTGAGATGAGCAAAACCATGTGATCGATGGTCTGAACAGTCGTCCGGAAAACCCGGGTAAACAAAAGGTTTTGCCCCCCGCAACTCTATAGCGTCGGCAGAGGTTTAATCGTCTTCGAATACATCCTCAGCTTCAGTACTGATCCACCTGTTACATCTCCATAGGCGAGGAAAATCACCACCAGGCAAATTTCGAAGTTTCGCAGGCGGGATCATGTATTGCTGTTTCTATTCAGCATGACTCTGCTAGGTTTTTGGGGCACTGAAGTGTGAAACTCTATCTGCGCCAAGAGCCCGACAAGTAACTGTTATCGTTGAATTTGTGAATGACCAAATTGTAACATATATCTAACCTGCACGCTTCGATTACTCTATACCAAAACAAGTAGGGCATGTGAAATTTTCACGTCAACGACACCTCCGTGGCGTCACATTTACAGCTCGATTAGCTGCACAGGCCCATTGGAAAACGTATCGATCGCTCTAAGCATGCGCCCTAGTTCTGTTCATATCATGTATGGGCACAATCCTGCATCTATATTCAGGGGTGCTCGGACATATTGGTAGACCGTCAAAGCTTTTACGCCAAATTGCCAGTTTGTGAGGCCCTATGGCCACCCAACGTATCACATAATTACAAGTCTATCTCTGGAGACACTCTGCTTCCAAGTAAAAAAGTCTCCAGAGATAAACACAATCAATGCAATATAGTTGCATAATTGGTGCAATACATGTTGTGTGGAGCAGATATCCCACAACCGATCAGAGTCAAGAAGTCTCCCGGGTGGGGAGCCGAGTAGGGATCTTCACTGGTTGTTTTCACGATCTAAACCTCATCTTCACTACCGGCTTCGATGCGAGACGGATTCACGAGTCATGCTCAATCGATTGGCACAACAGAACTCCTTGCTACTTACTGTCATTTGACACTGTCAAGATTATAACAGTTGGACAATATGGGCCCTGTGGGCCATGTGGGTCCTATACTTGCCACTATCGCCACCTAGAACGGCGACCATCCCCACATACCTCTATTACGAGAAATGTGGCGAGGATAGAACATTCCCTACTTATCTATATGCTTCTACAACTTGTCTGAATTAATCAGCAAGTCTACCATTCATTGACTATATAAGAACCCTTTTGTTTCCATACATAGACCCTCGAAGAGAGGACCAGAGTTAGCTACAATACATACAGGTTAGGCATATGTGCCCTCCTTTTGCTCCTTCAACGGGAACATCAAATCCAAGTATACCACAGCGCCTCGGGCGCGTTTTTACGCGTTTGGAGAGTGCTTCGGGGGACTTGGTACGTTTTTGCCGCTTATCGGAGACCAAGTTTTTGGTCATTTTGGAGAGCTTGAAGGGCTAGCATTAAGTCTGCTTCGTTGTATGACTTTGCCATAATTGGTTGTTGAGAAAATCAAACATTAAGTTGGCCGGTCGCGTTGGCGCATGAAAGTGGCCAGCTCGGTGTACATTCACGTTACCGATAAAAAATCTTCACTTTTCCTACCTAAAACAACGCCTAACCGTATTAGGTTAGATAAAACCAGGGTCAACAACAAGGGTCACGATGCCCTCAGAATCTTCCATATAACCGGTCCGGTCAGATCGATCTAATGAACAAAATGTGCTACCGATCGGTATCGATATCGGAATATCGGACCGGTCCGGACCGGTATCTGATCGATTGGTTACTCTGATATGAGGCCAAAAGGGTATCTTTATCAGGGTCTAGCAAATAACTTGCTAGACGTCCTGCCGTGGGCTATTGTCTGCCAGGTCGCTGATCTTCAAGAGGGTAACAGGTGGACTTATTACTGCTTGGTCTTGGTGGAAGTTTTTGATAGCGGCCTTGATTTAGTGGAGGCTTCAACTTTGGTGAAGGGCAGAGCGAATTTGGATAAATGGCATGATGTGGTCATCAATAATAGCCAGGAGAGGGTGTTGTTTATTGCTACCTTAACAGTAAAGTCACGAATAGTACAGTTCTAAATGAGGGAGAAGTACCTTATATATTTAGAGAGCAGAGAATTACCCGTCAAATACACATGCCGATGCACGACTGGAACGACTTTCTCAACCAGACGTGGTAAAAGCAATATGATGCATAAAAGCGAAACAAGGCCCTTCCCTAGCCAGGCCCAAACAACAGCCTTTGACATGCGAATCGTAACTTGCTACATCTCTCACATCCGGGTTTCAACTTTAAACAGCAATGTGGTCATTGTCATTCGAGATCCAAACCTGCGTTCTGACCTGCCCACTGAGCCCTTGCACTCGTCCTAAGTGGACCCGAACATGCTTATCCATTGCGCCAGAATCACTTCTCCATCTACGATCCTCTAAATCGCGATCTTCAAGTAGCTCGTTATCGATCAAATTGCTATCAACAACATAGTGCATAGCCCCAGCAAGCGTCGATGGGGCGACCGGTAACGAAGGTGTAGTAGTCCACTTAACAAAAAAGAAGAAGCTGGCACCGACCAAGAGCACCATAACCGACAGGACGGCGGTGGTGACCCAGTAGCACAGTATATGGACGAACTAGGTTTGCTTACGTTGGTAGGGCATGTTTGCGAGGAAGATGGGCAGGAACTCGGACGAGAGGGCCACGAGGGAAACGAGGAGCAGGAACCGATGCCGGCATAGGAGGGCAGCGTGGAAGCCGGATATGGCATTCGTAGGGTGCGAGATGTGGAGAGATCTTGGTGAGGAGGAGGAGGTGGAGCTTAAGTTGGGTAGACAGTAATAGGGGGAGATCGTGACGATGGCTTTAGTTAAAGGTTTAGCTTAGCTCGGACTTGGAAATTCGTGGCAACGTGTTGACATGGGCAAAAGCTGGAAAGGAGAGGAATAAAAGGGGAGAAAAGCAATAGGGGATAGATCAGTTTGAGGTGACTTACTGTTGAAAAATATAGCCCGGAAATGTGCTATGGCGCTGCCCGCGGCAGTGAAGAGGAAGGTAACACCGAAGGATTCGCAGTCCATGAACTGCTCCAAGTGCGACGTTATGGAATAGGGAATGTTGCGATAATACAGGATCACCGTCATTAACCCTAATAGAAAAGACAAGAAGAGGAGCCGGCCGAGATGACCGAGTGAAGAAGAGGGCATGACTAGCCAATCTTTGGTCTCGCCCTTTGCCGAGACCTTCACATGAACGGGACTGTGAGCCGACGCGGTGGAAGTGGCAGAGGCATTTTCCGAAAAGCAGTCGTTTTTGAATTCCTGAAGCAGGACGATGCCATACTCAACGCGTGGTCGGCTGTCGTTGTGTCGGAAATATCGTAGCGCGAACTGGCCCTCGCTCAGCCGCTTCTTGTATTCCTTTTCACTATCACCAGAAGCCAGACGCAATATTCTCAGGTCCCAGTTGAGGCTCAGCTTTGCAATACCAGCAATGCTCCAAGGGCTATGTCGCATACCCGTGCCACAGCCCGCCAATAACATCATGATTAGGAGAACCAGAGCGGCCTCGAAGGCAAGCGAAACGATGATGATCTTGGTCGGCCCGTCGAATACACTGAGGACCATGGCGCAGTTGCGCGGGTCCCCAAAGGCGCAGCACCCCACTAATTTAAGCTTCATGGCCTTTGGGGAGAAGGGGATGATGAACATGGATATAACCTTCGCAAAAAGGTGAGCAGTGGCAGGACGCGTCTTCGGCCGATGTGGGAAGCTAGTGATGTTGATGATGATGTCTTGAGCCAGCTCCACAGGCCCGATGTGTCGTAGCAAAGGGAGTTGCGGCCCGAGGCACCGTATTTGTAAGTCATCTCGTGCAGCGGCTGAAAGAGCTGAACGTTAAGATCGAGTATGCGGATGGGTATAGCAAGCAGGGCACCGAGGAGGGTGGGCAGGAACATGCCGATGAAGTATTCCCCGTCGCTGAGATAGTATACTGTCACTTTCTGATAGGGGTGGTGAGTGTGGTTCGCTGAAGTAGACGCTGTAAGTGGAACGCTTGATCTAGAAGGGGTCGTTGGTGTGCGTTTGTTAAAGTAAGTTGTCGGGTTGTCCCTTTCCAGGTTGCCGGTCGCTGTGCGTGCCTCCACAGTCGGTATGGAGATAGTTATCGATACATGGCTGTACACTGACGCGGGTGCTCCTACAGAAGCCATCGAGACGATAGTCGGCAATGTGGTGATGGTGTCGGTGGTCAATACGAGCAATACGTCTCTCTTTGCTTTCTTAACGGCAGTGCAATCTGTATCACTCGAGTCGCGGAGCGAAGTGATGGGCTGCGTACCCGGCATGATGAAATATGAATTGGGCACCCCAAAGGTAAGGGACATATTGGCGGGTAGGTGGTAGCACAGGAGAGAAACGGCACCAGCCCGTCGTATGCACCACGGCAGCAGCCGGTAGTCAAGTCCCATGGAGGTGCGGTCCCCCACACCGATGCGCAACCCGTTACATATGTCGAACCTGGGGGGAGAATCATTCCAGGAGTAATAGAAACGTCATAATCAGGGCCATCGTCGTGATCCGATGCATGAACACAGACATAGTCTCCCGCTAGCAACGACTCGCAATTCTGCCCCACGCCTTGGTTCCAATCGTAGAATTGCTCAAGACTGATGTCGTGGTGCCCGGCAATTTCCAGACAAGTATCAGATGGAACGACAGAGTAGAACTGGTCGCATGACGTGACCATCCCGGGCTGAGTTGGTGTAGGGGTGACAACTTGGTTATCGGCTCGTAGGATCAGGGGATCATCCTCGTCAGTCGGTGGGGTCAGGCTACCAGTGATAGATCGCCTTTGGAGATCGCCTTTGGAAGAGAATGAGACCCGATAAAAGACAGGGCTGGTCCATCAAGCCCCTCGTAGTCGAGCCCAGAAGCTGAAAGCTACGTCTTCGCGATTGTCTCCGAAGCGTCATAATGTTTGAGTGGGAGAGTGTGCAGTGCGACAATTAAAAGTGCAATCAAGGTGAGCAATGACAGGAGTAAGTCTATGAGAAAGGGCCAGCGGAGCGCCAATGGCTCATAGTTCGGCTGGTAGTTGGCATACCCTCCGCCTTGGTCAACGCTGGAGTCATAGAGATCCCGAACGGTGCTTCCTCAGAGCTGTCATCCGGGACAGCTGGGTTGGTTGCCGTCTCAAATCGCAGGTTGAACTCGTCGATTTCAACTTTGTCACCCACTGGATGTCATGTTGCGGTGAGGCACGCCTATTATGTCTTGCACTCTCACGGCTGAGGATTATTTGCGGGGTATCGGAGCTGACCAGCAATAGGATCCTCAGTTTGCCTGGGGCTGTGGGGGCCGGACGCTGCTGGCAGTGCTTGCAAGTGCAGGTGTAAGTACGACTCACGAGGCTGACGGTTGTACTTGTAAGCTTGTGCGAATACCTCGGCAAACGCTCGCACCGGCGCAACGGCGCCCACGGCACCAGTAATGCTAGTAATAGACCTCACGGGGTCCGTTCCTCTACAGGACTGGATTATTCAACGAGAGTGAGGTCGCGCTGATGTATTAGGTATGTTATTAGTCGGCAATAATCACAATGCTACTCCTGAGGTTTCGGTTAAAATCAAGTTTGCGACACCGAATCTGGAAGTTAGTGGGATAGACTGTTGGATGTATGTGTGGCTTAGGTAGGTAATCTCCCAGTCATACGGGTGGTGTCATTCTCGACGTTCAATGGAGATAACGGCCTGGAGTACTCAGCTTAGTTCGCGCAGGTATGACCTATAACCACCGCACCTAAAGGCAGAATCTTGACCGTTGTGACACTGGAACCTTTGCTGTGGAGTATGATTGGGCGAGATTTGGTGCTTTCCAAGGCGAACTAGCTGTTTTCTTAGTTCGAGACAGGTTTTAATCCTGTCTACAGAGCTTAATAATAGCGACCGAACACCGAACTGGAAAGAAACAACCTGATTCAAAATATAAAATGAATATTTTTTCTGGGTGCAAAGAACATTACAGGTACGCTATTTCAGTTATTAGTGTTAGACTTAGCATATTGTTTGAACATATAACGCCAAATGTGATCAACAAGGAGGCAAACAGGAGATAAGACAAACCGATGGGAATGACGTAAATATACATTCGCATCTACACTTAAAGCCAAAGGTAATGTCTCTATATGTCCAGGTGCCAGCAAAGTACCGTCCTTCTCTGCAGCTAGCTACTACGTTTATACTACGCCCGTCATCATGAGTGCCCTGCAGTAGTGCAGCTATAACACACTGCCGCGGTACACTAACACCACCCCAGTGCATTTTTAGCACACTAGTGTATTATAACTGTATTACGCCAGCATTACGCCAGCCAGAAGTGGCACGCATTACTATTAATAGTGACGGTACAAGAGAGACCCCATGCTTCCGAATCACGTGTTTTCAGATTACATTACTAGGTATGCTGTAAAAGGCTTGGGTTCAGGGGCTCAAGTGAACACAAATTTTATCATCGACAGCAATAGGATATGTTGGCAATACAGGTAAGAGGGTTGCATTGGTGATAATGATGATGGGACTGAGTCCCAAAGGCTGCAGCTACGGAAGGGCTATCTATGGGAAATTAGCCCAAACGCTGCACCCAGCACACAGGCGGTATACCTAGGGCACGTAACAGATAGCATGGCCAATGATACGTATTTGGCATGAACTTATCATTAACATTACATAAAAATTCCCACTCATCTCACCTCCCATCCCCAGGCTCCAATGGCACACACTATATCGTTGGATAAGATTTAAGCATGCGCAGCGACACCAACAGCAATTGCGTCCTCAATAAGAGACAGCAGGGTATCCGGCTGACTCAAGAAAGCAACATGGCTGGAGTTGATGTTGTACACTGCCGAGCCCTCGGGGAGCAGAGCCTCCATCTGCAGCTGGGCAGCGTAGGGAAGGGCACCGTCGAGCAGGGTGTGGATGTAAGCCTCGGTGACGTTGTCTGCCCATGGCGAGTACAGCGACGCGTCGGTGAAGACCTTCTCCGAGGTCCAGGTCGTGTACGATGCCCACTTCTCGGCCTCGGCAAGGGTCATGTCGTTGAAGCCGACATCGATGATCTCATCTGCACTCGCGTAGACTTTGGAATCCTAATGAAGAAATGCGGGTTATCAAAGCTGCATGGCAGATATACAGGGCGTAGATTTGGCAACATACGGTGACGTTCATCCAGGAGAACCACTCGTTTCCGAGCATGTTGAAAAGCGAGACACCCTCAGGGCACATGAAAGCCGCGAGGTAGATGGTCTGGATGACACCTCCAGTCTTTCCAGCCGCCTGGCGAGTGGCGTAGTCTCGGCCCTGGACCGCATTACCCGCAATGAGCCCACCGAGCGAGTGGGCCAGTAGGACGACGTCCTTGCCGGCATCAAGAAGCGGGTCCAGAATGGCGGCCGTGGCATCGACATCAGCGGCGAGGCCGCCGGTCTCCGAAATGCCAACACTTGGCAGCGTCACCTTGGAGGTCGGGTACCCCGCGTCCGTCAGGAGGGCCATGAAGTCCTCCCACGTCGGGTCGATCTGCCACGCACCGGGCACCACGACCACGGACGGATTGGCGGCCGAGACGGCGGATAAGAGAGGGGCGGCCAGAGCCAAGATGGAGGAGAGTTGGGAACGCATGTTCAAGTTCAATAATTATTTAACTTAACTTATTTTTGGGGGGGTGGGCGGAGTGGGTAGGTGTTTGATAAGTTGTGAATAAATGAGTGACTGGGCTCAAAGGAACGAATGAGAGACGAAGAGCTGAGTGATCGCTGATGCTTGGAGGTGAAGATCAGCAAGCGGTCGGTCAATACGAACGAGGCAGGATTCTCTTCCTAGAAGTAGTCACGGTCGTGCGAGAGGCGGGTTGGCCGCAGTTCATTGCAATGTCCGACCCAGGTTCGAACGGAGCCCACTTGGGTTGTTGTTCGATCCGCTCTGCTGGGATGGATGACGATAACTGAGACAGAACAAGCTCATTGCCCCGTCTTGTGAAGCCCAGAAAAATAACGGAGCTTTGGTCCGTGGAGTGATAAAGCTTGCACAAACCGCGCGATGGCAAGGCAGCTGGGCCACAGGTGGATTATCGAGCCACCCGCAAAACTGATCTTCCACACATCCATTGGCTACGCTATGGAGGTCTCCATCAACTTCGATTGTTGTGTTCGGGTCGACTCGCGGCCTCTACAGCCGAACTCTGATCCCTGGTCGGCCGCAAACCCTGCCCTAGAAATGGGAGTAGTGCCAGCCGGATTCGGAAATCCGCCGGCGGTCCGACTGTACGACCCCTCAAGGTAATAAAAGCTGCGGCTGCGTCAGGCATGACCCCAGCTCATTGGGATCCGCAAGTATTTCATCACCAACACTCAGCAGCACAAAAAGTACATGCTTTAACAAGCCCCTTAATATTCTCGAGTCCATAATACCTTTGAAAGCTACCTGTTACTCGCTGTGCACTAGGGATAAAAGAATCGAATTAGAGATCTAGGAGCTAGAATAGCCGCTCGATAGCCCAGATTTAAACCTTAAAGCAATTATGTTGGCGCGGATAAAGGACTAGCTTAAAAATGGGTGCGATTTATAGTCTCATTTGAAATAAGAGCTATTCAATGTACTGCTAGCAGTTCAAGAGGCTTTATAGAAAAAAGTCCAGCGGTTGCTATAGTGTCAAGTAAAGAAGTGCGCCTAAAGTGCAGGAAAGTAGTTACGGAAATATAGTAGTTAGTTAATTAGATTGTTATTTGCAGCATTAAATTATAGGAAGTTACATTAAAAGTTGACGCCGCTGCTGTGACTTTTATTACCCTGGTTGGTTGTAGCGTCACTGGATTCAGGGGTCATCCTACCGTATCGTATCTTCAACAATCTGTCGATTCTACATACCCACTTCCGCAACTTCGGCTCAGGTTGCGACTTAAACGCATTGACAGCGATGATGCCTGAAACTCCGACTCGGAATGCTTCAAAGACCACCCGAGTGGAGTTGAAATCTAGCGTGTTCGGAAGCTCGCTTCCTTAGCACGTTAACACTCAACGCCATTCTCGCTACTTTGTACAGAAACATTCAAGTGATTCCCATTTGAAGAAGTTCTGGTTGAAACAGTGGAGCCATTATTGAGGGCTGTATTTACGTAGCGGAGCTCTGACGTTCAGATTTAAATTTATAGCTCTCTCAATATGCGAATTGATTGTCACGATCAAGGGATCTGTCAATCCCCACACTCGCAATAACCCATGAGATGACGACTTCGCGTCTAGTTTATAATCGCGCAACCCCGAACCATATTATAATGTTGTGAGTTATTCTTGGGGTTTCTCCATTTTGCTTTGATTATCCACCCGAGCATAGAGTGCTGTAGACGTGTGCAAATGAGACACGTGCTTCTGCCGGAGAGACCAGGTTTACGTAGCGCGTGCATTACCGAGATGTTTGCACGCATCCATTGCAGTAGTTGCCAGATACAAGGGGTCACATGATTGACATTAATGCGGGCTGATTAAGATTACCAGCCAGCCATTCGGACTTCGCCCGAATCCTTCTGCAGAGCATACAACAACCACAATTGATTGGACCGATCAGAGGTCACACAGCAAGATATGTGAACATCTGACAGTAGTCGTGCGGGACAAATTCACAACGATTTGAGGTTCCTAACAAGAAGGATTGGATTGAGTTGGGCCAAATGCAAAGCATTCACTGTTTCATGGCGGGATGCTTTGTTCCCAAGCAGCATATGGTTCCTAATGGTAAGGTTGTATTTGTAGTTTATTTTGTGTGGGAGCTACGTCGCCCCCCTAACCTGATGTCTTTTTTACCACAAAGCAGCAGTGACCGTCAACTACCGCCCTACTTCAGACGTGACTCTATATCCTGCACAGCGCTGACAACCTGGTCGGGGATGCTCAGGTACGCACAGTGGCTACTCTTCAAAGTCACGCTGATAGGCTCAGGTCCCAGCTGTGCCGCCATTTGCTGCTGAACCGGGTATGGCAGGGCGTTGTCATCCGACAGGAAAATGTATGCGCACGGCACACCGTTAGCCCACGGCTCATAGCTGGATGGCGTTCCAAACAGCTGGATCGAGGTGTGTGTCATCTCCTTGCCCCATTTCTCTTGAGCTTCCGCACTCAAGTCGTTGAAAGCAACTTGAGGGAGCATCTCGGCGACTCCTGTGACTCGGTCACCCTATGTTTGCTGTTAGAATCCAATCCAATGGGGTTGAGAGGGCTTGCACAAGGTGGTTTACTAACCTCAATCTTCATCCACGGCAGCGGGTTTCCACCCAGCATGTCAAGAATGGCTTTGCCCTTGGGAATCATGAACGCAGACATGAAGATGATGCCAGCCACGTTATCGGCTCCGGCGACAGCATTGCTGCCAATCAGGCCACCAGCCGAATGGCACAGCAGAATGGCCTTCTGCCCCTTCTCCGCCTCCTTCTTCAGAGCTGCCTGCACGGCGGCCACATCGTCTGCCAACCCAGCCAGGGGCAGATCGGTGCCGCCAACAGTCGGCAGAGGCACGACTACGGATTGGTATCCGACATTCCGGAAGTCTTTCGCAAGACCCTCGTATGCAATCGGCTTCTGCCACGCTCCGGGGATAATAACGATGGTTGGCTTAGACATGACGTGTGGTAATGGATGATGACTCGCAGTAGGTGAATTTGGATGGTAGCGATGTAGAGATGCGGCACAGAAGGATGCAAGTAGTCATCACCGAAGGCCGAAGTGGGAAATAAAAGTAGTCCTGTCTCGTATCGCCGTGCGTCGGGGAGTTGTCATCAAGTACTATGGTGTGGGTAAGTTTTCAATTGTGTGCTTGTACCGTGCTCCACCTTGGCACGCGCTAACTCTTGGCATATACATCCAATACAATAATAATAATATTAAATACGCCGTAGGTGTTAACCCTCGGTACCTCTACAAGTACTCCCTTAAGGGGCTATAGATGATATAGCGGGCCCTTAAGCCGCGTCGGGCGGTTATACAGGTAAACTTGTAGCCAAACGACTACTAAACCTCCTGTCCCTCCCTAAGTCTGTGCTACAACCCCTGCCTGAACTACCGATAAGTGTGGTAATGTGGCACTTAAATTCGTCCTCAGGGGTGGGATGCTGCTGATGTGCAGAAGATGCTCGACTATTTTTTGTCGCGACAAGTCGTAGTATCTGCTAATTGGGGTTCTCGTCGAGCGTATACATCTCAACCATACGCTCAAGTGGATAGACCGTAACGTGGTCTAGACGCTCGCAAGAATCGCGGCGAGAGGGGGTCCGATAAGGGGTCGGATTAACGATTCGAATTCTGGACCGGCTGTCGAGTTATATTCCGCCGACGTAGTGCTTGACGGTCGACTGGCTAGGATGCTCGTAATCCTAAACTGCACCAATCTCCCTATTATCGCTAGGTAGGCGAAGTCAACAAGGTGGGCAGCGCGCCGTAAAGGTTGACTAAACCCCCTTGTGTGTCAGCTGCGGGATTCGAACCCGCGACTCGTCACCGACCCAAGTGGGCGAGGCTCAAATCGGGACTTATCTACCAGCGAAGTGACCAACTACACCAGCCGACCATCCAATACATTTTACTAGTACTTTGTATGCATTCCGTTGGCCGCGATCACCGCTTCGCACCTCTCTGGCATTGATTTCAAAAGCTCCTGTAAGTAGCTCTCAGGTAATTCATCCCAAGCCTCCTTTACCCATATCCAAAGACGATCATAGCTAGGCTTTTCAGTAATACCGTATTTATCTTCAATGTAGTCCTTCATCCAGTTCCAGCACATCTCTATCGGGTTTAGATCAGGGGAATAAGGTGGCCACTGGACTATATTAATGCCCCTATCCGTAAGATCTGTGTATCAATTGCCGAGTGAGCGGGAGCGCCGTCCTGCATTAATGTAAGGTGTGTACCGAGGTCTCGTTGACAGAGTTGTATCCAGCCATCGATAATAGGAATTGTGTGGGATCGATATGTCTCGGCAGTAATAGAACCCCAATCCTTTTCCCAGAAGATTCCCGGTCCTTTTCCAAGGCCTGAGAAACAGCCCCAGAACATCCAGCCTTGTTTATGTTGGTGTCGTTCGATAATACAGGCCGGGTCCCATTCCTCTCCTGGTCGTCGTGTAACGTACTGTTTTCGATGGTGTCCTCCTGTAATCCATGTCTCGTCGGTCCAAAGTACCTGAGCCCATTGCTCTGGTGTCCAGTTGATATGTTCGAGGGCCCAGGCGAGGCGCTTTTGTCGGTTAACTTCTGAGATAGGAGGCTTTCGGCGCGCAGTATGTCTCTTGAATCCGAGCCGGCGGAGGGTAGTTCGTATAACGTAAACTCCGCAGAGGGACTGGAAAAGGATGATTGACAACTGGAGGAATGAGGCTCTACGGCCTTGCTTAGAACTAGTTACATATGTAATGAGCTCTTCTTGCTCACGAGATAAAGTCCGGGGTCTACCAGATCTCTTAGCTACCTGGCTTGAAGAGGCCTTAATAGCTGTCTTGATCTGATTAAGAGAAAATGTTGTAATAGTATGAATTTCGGCTTTCGATTTACCACCGTCGAAATAGAGGGTTCGAATTCGTTGGCGATCGGCTTCCGTAACGTGTTTAGTCCCCATTGTGGTTACTGAAACGCGATAATGAGGACGCGTTATTGACAGCAAGTTGGAATCAGAGGTGGAAGTACCTTTTCGTTGGCATGAGTTGGCTAGGCCAGAATTAGTATAGCGTTGCCTTGGCAGTGGTCCGATACCGTAGTACGTATACACGGGCTCGGAGGAAAAACATGTTCCTAGCTCTCTAGCCCTCAGGCCCTGCGTATCAAGCACGTGTGATGTTATTTTCCCTCTCCTTGCTCATCCATGCTGCGACATGGCGTCGAAAAATCCCTGGCTGGCGCCCCTGAAGGGAATCCCTGGGAGCCACGTGTGCAAGGTATTTACCATCGCATGTGGCGCAAACCGGGTCTGATGGTGACGACTTACCGAGTCAAAATATTTTGGAGGAGTGGATCTATCGAAAATTACAGCACTCTAGGCTTGCAGGATTTTATCGTATTACAAACCCCGTAATATTTGGTCTTCCCTTCGTTTTCAGTACTGTGAAGGGTAATAATACCCCTGTCCAAGTATACCCGTACTTGACCTCTCACTCAATTTGCATGCGTTCATCAATTGCTAACAATTTGCATGTCTCCAGAGTTGTAATGCCTCGGTGAAGTTGCAAATTAACAGCCGGGTTCCTCTGAGCCACCCTGGTTGCTGGTCCGTCGCCCGCTCCCCACCACCCCCCTCATCCCACCCCGTCTTGAGGCTGGCTCCACCGCACCTTGCGGAGTTGGGTCCTGAGCTGTGGATAGCCCTCGAAAATGATGCAAGTGCCCCTTTATCATTACTGTCGTCACCGTTACCCTGCCATTCTTTGTGGGCTCATGGACCCCTTCGTGTGTATTTGGGACTCGAAAGTTCCGGCACGAGCCAGATATGCCAGGTACCCGAAAAAGGTAGGCAGTGCCTTGTGCGAAGTACAGGAGCTAGCGATCCATGATCTGAACCATTTCTATCGGAGCCCGTCTCGGCCTCATTGCTTTACACTTGCCACCACACTCGGTCACATACATAGATATTCCCAAACAATACTGCTTCCGTATATGATGTCCTATTGCGTCAGTAACCATTGGTTCGGATCAAACCCCTACCTGACACCCGTGGAGAAATCTGTCAATCAAATACGACGTGTATCGGACAGTCTCGGCTTGTTTGGGCTTGCCTCGTTCGGGCTCCCGGACCTGGCCACGCGTGAGGAGCATGTCAGATTTAAAGACGAACCACCTTTACGGCAAAAGTGGAGCCATTCTTCCCATTCAAGTGACGATATACGTGGGTTGCATGCAAACCCATGGCGGGAGCCGCAGCTTTTGGGTATGATCGGACGGTCAGACACCTCAAGGAGTGCGGGAAGGATTCTAGAATTTCATGATTGAAACCCCACGACGAAACAGGAAAACAGCTGATAGATGGTTCTGCTCTTAACTTCCATACCCTATTTGCGACTGTGATCCATATTCTTGTTTTCCGTCTCCAATCAATTATCTTTCCCTCGATTCCACAGAAACGCCATTCTTTCCCCGATCATTATATTCGATCCGGTGGACTTTTCAAGCAATCGAAAGTGTCGATCGCTAGCACTTATACGCCAGTCGCCGGTCGCCAACTCCCCTCTTTATCTGCCCTCGGGCAATGCCGTGGAAATAGTCGCCAAGATGCCAACAATAGCAGCCAGGGCTTACGATGAAGCCGCCGCGAAGGCGGCATACGTGCAAAAGATGGCAGACATAGCGGCCACACAGGATCTATCTCAGGACTTGCGATCGAATGCCCGGGCATTAACAATCGCCTTCACTGTTCTGGCCGCCGTGGTGGTTGTGATGCGCCTTCTCTCAAGACGGCGCCAGGGGGCGCCTATTCTTATCGACGACTGGTTGATCATCGCATCGCAGGTTCTGCTGTTCGCCAATTGTGCTATGAATATGGTTTGTACGTAATTCGGGTTGTTGTTTTTTTTACGGCTGGGATTGACGATTTACTATAGTGATTGACTCGGGAGTTGGCCTCCACTCGGGTTCACTCACACTGGAGCAGTTGGAGAAGATGAACATGGTATTTGCGAATGGCTGGCTTCCGTTGATAAATTCACCACTAACACAATCTAGACGATGGTAGGGGCTGAAATCTTGTACGTCACGGCCGTCAACATGTACAAGATCTCGCTCCTGTTCTTGTACTTCCGCATTTTCCCCATGCGAAACATTCGTATCGGCGCGTACATCTGCGGTGGCCTCTCCATGCTTTGGAATCTCGCTTGTATCCTCGCCGCGGTGATCCAGTGTTTGCCTCGCGAAAAGTTATGGCATCCCTGGAAGCAGGGAACTTGCGTCGACCTCTTCTTGACACAGCTATGTATCTCAGTCCCGACGATCCTTCTCGATATTGCCATTCTCTGTCTACCCATGCCGCACGTATGGCGTCTGAAGACAAACATGACGCAAAGAATATTCCTCACCATCATCTTCTTATTGGGGTCGTACGTTGTATTTACAAGCATTTACCGATTCGTCGTCTATCTCGGTTATAACAGCGAGGACAACTCCTGTAAGTCAACTAACCTACCCCTTTTCGGCGTCTAATGACTAACGAGTGACAGACACCCTCGGTGAAGGCATAGCATGGAATATCATCGAAATCAGCAGTGGCATCGTCTCCGCCTGCCTCCCCACCCTTGGGCCCCTTGTGCGCCTCGTTTTCACGACACTCTACTCCACTCGCACCGGTAGTAAGGGAAGCAAGAATGTCCTCGGTGGGAGCAGCTATGTCCTCGGTGGGAGCAGCTATGTCCTGAAGCGATCTGACGCCGCCGTCACCATTGGCGGGGGCAGTTCTCACGTGCGGACGGGCAATTTCACACGGGAAGAAAGCAAGTACGGTATCATGCTCGACGACGAACCATATCACGACTCGTCTCGCCGGGGGAAGATGATTACCACTGTGTCTCACAACCGCGACTCGAGCGGAGATAGGTCGAGCCATGATGAGATACCGCTCACGGCGATAAGGCAGGAGACGAGGGTCGAGTGGGTCACGGAGGAGAGGTCGATAACTCCAGGTGAGGAGCGGATGGTGCATAGCCAGGAGGGGCTCGGGCGGCAGTGAATGATACCCGTTGTGCGTTTGGGTGGTTTGGGTTACGTTGAATGTATAGAAAAGCTGAATGAGACGGACATCTAGATCATGCGCTATGAGGCTGCAGGTTACTTTAGGACTAATTTTTAATTCATGAATCACAACAAAACAAGATCGATGAAGCAGTCTCATGAACTTGCGGCTGGTCTTGCGTTTTACCTCGCAGAAATGAGGATATGAGCATTTCCAAAGCGCCATCCCACCCATATCTTGATTCTGCGAGCTCTTAATTCGTGATGAACCCTCTCGCTCGAGATCATAACCAGATTTGTGTCATTTATCGCTTCACTTTAGATCGGTCATGGATTTAATAGCGAAGGACATCAAAGCCGCCAAGCCAGAAACCATTGTTTCCGCCGTCGCCTCTCCTTTCCCAAACTAAAGGAAAAGTTTTCACACACCTTGAGGACTGACTTATCATTTTTGAGAGTACGATTCGCAAACGCATGGCTGTTATGACGGCTTTGGGTAGTTCTGGCTTCATTGGTCTCATTTCAGCATCCTCAATATCAAACTAAGTTGGATCATGTCCAGAGTATAGACATAGGCAATGTGTTGAGGTTGAAAGTCTCGTTGCTGTGCCAACTCCCTTTGGTTGAGCTGAAACTTCTTCATAAGCCCTGCAATACCAACTGACACGATGAGATTGTTGAGACTTTGGGTATAAGTAAGAGATTGGAAGTAAAAGTGCACATGCATCAGAGTGTGGCTCTACACGGCCCAAACGAGGCCGCAATAGTCCAAATCTGGATATAAGCCCGTAAGACTCGTCGACGCATGGGCTCTGGGGCGAATTTTCGTAAACATTGTCGACTAGGGCAGTTATATCCGCCTCTCGTCGGACTTGTAGTCTGTGACCCTAAGTCGTGGCCAGGCCATCCCCAAGGTGGACCAAGCGGGGCCGATGCCACAGCAGAGGTGGTGAAGCACGGTTGAAGAGGTTAAAATCAGTAACATATCACTCATTACCTTATGCGAATGCACCATGATCCCTGTATCTACAAGCGGGACGCCACACCCAACCCTCATTCCTCCGAAACCGACCATTCAGTCTTAACATGAATGGCCCCGGGCCTCTCCAGCGATTTCACCTCACGCAACCCCTCTCTATCCGTCTCGCCGCTCCCCACGCGCGGCTCCGACATGACATTCGTGCTATGATCAGGCGGTGTAGGGCGTAGCTGTATCAGCGTTGACGTATCCTTGTCGATATCGTCAAGCACCCTGGTCTCGAAGCTCTTAGGAGTGCGGCGGGTGGCGGGGGGCCGAAGTTGCATGGTACCGGTGGAGTAGGTGCCGCGGCCGAGTAACGGGCGCAGGGTCGGGATGCAGGCCGCTATTATGCCAATGCTGGGCTCGAGGCCTTCCCAGATGAATGGCACGGTCAGGTCATCAGCTATGTTGGAGTCCCACTTGGTTAGGTACAGGCGGATGATGGAGATTATAACGGTGCTGAAGTAGGGGGGTGGCTTGTTAGTAACTGTACCTGGCTTGAATATCATGGGGGTGGGACGGTTAGACAGCTTGACGGGTCTTCTGACTTACAGTATGCCAAGGCTAAAAGCGAATAATAGCGCCGTCTTGCTCCAGAACGGCATACGTAGAGTCATCAAGTACTTGAACGGCAGCACCAGGATGGCAATATCAGTGACGATAGTCATGGCGTCTATGGACCTAGCGAAGGCGGGTATGTCGCCTTGCCATGTGATGGGAATAGAGAAATCCCAATTGGCGGCGACGGGCTGCACAATGAAGATGTTCCCCACCCAGGTCGCGGTGTACCATACCAGCATCATGGCGGCGATGACGCGGGTGAGGATGGCGATGATGGGGAAGGGTAGGATCTTGGTGTAGAGCGCGAGCACTGAGAGCTTGTAGAAGCAGCCCGAGGCGAGCACGATGAAGATGGATGCGAATTCGATCTACGATTTGTGAACTTTGTCAATCCTGTGATTATGTCAAAGGGGGGAAACGGGATATGAACCATACTTTCTTTTGAACGGACACCGGTCCAGGACCGTAGGTCTTGGTGAGGTCGGCTAAGCCCATATACCCCATGCCGCCCACCAAGCATGCTGAATAGCACCACGATCGTCAGTTCCCCGAGCCACGATGGACACGCAGATAGCCATGAGTCTATGCATAAACTCACCACACATAATCTCGATCCAGTGCCCGATGACGAGAAGCTACGCACACAACGAGATTAGATTCTGTAGCGGCAAGAGTGACATCTTGTTCTCCCCCCATATTTCCTTTTCTTTCTCTTTCTCTTTCTGATCTCTGGTAAAAATCGCTCTCAGCTTACACACGACACCATGATAAACCAATCGCTCATATCCAACACCCGATAGGCCATCTTGCGAGCCAAGATCCGGAGCCCGACCGCCGTCACCGGCAGGACGCTCAGCACGACGCATGCCGCAATGATCTGGACTTGCTCCGTCTTCTCGACGGGGAACAACATGGCTACGAGTCGTCTTCGTCGTCTTCGTCGTCGAGGGGTTCGCATGCCGCGGCAAGCACGACAACGAAGTTGTGGGGAATGTAGCGGTCCGGTCCCGACAATCGACAAAGATAATCACGATGGAACGGGACAAGTTAGGTTCGCTCTGGCCAACCGGGTCCGCGGTTGCGGTTGCGTCAGCTGGGCACTGCGTTTTATTGTCGCACCCACTCCTCGATCGTTTGACCGCGCCCAGGAAAATGAGCCTGTTATCATCCAACCCTCCAACCCCGGTTGCCACCGACCACCGACATGGGGGTCGAATAAAATGACGATCACCTGCCACTTCCTCACTAGCTCTCACCTTTCAACTACGCGACTGGCCTGTCAATAGCGATTTGAGGGAAATTGCGGCAGTAGTCTCGACTTGTCCTAGTGCTTGTGTGCATGATTTCCCTGCATAACCAACTTGTCGGATAACAGGCTTTTGGGGTTGTTGGGGTTGATTTCGTGGGAACCAACTGGCTGGAAGTAGTTGAATCGTCTGTAGACGACCACTTACACATCGATGTCTTTCACTTTAATCTTTGCTAACATAAAGCAAAACGAACACTCGACTTGGTAGCTGCCATAGTACAGTAAGTAAAGTACCTAAAAGCTTATGATCTACTCAGCTTCTTGGATTAGAAGATGCGGTGCTTGGGTGTCAGATGCTGTTATTTCATACACGGCTCGGCCAAGGGACAGGCTCACACGTTGGACTCGTTGTTATCATCTCATTTAGTATTACAAGACTTGTGTACCTCACGAGATCAAAATATTTATTTTCCTTTTGTCCAGTTAGATTTCTTCGTTGAAGCCATACGCCAAATGCTTTACTAAATTTCTCATCGTTCCAATGGGAGTACGGGCGAAAGCAGTCCAGCTACTCATAGTCCCTCGGAGCAGCTAGTGTTGGGGACCCGTTCGACGCGGCATGAAGGATCGCCAGGCTACACGAGAGCCTATGAACGGACCGTCTCGGTACCAGCCCCCGACTGCATCGAAGTCACCAGGGCCGTGAGCCTATCAATCTTGTTCGAAAGCTCCGAGATGCGGACCTCAACATTGCTAGGGGCGTCCGTTGCATCATCCTCCGTCACCTGCGACCGAGCCGGCGTTGACGACGGCTTCTGAATGACGTCCTGGCTTCTAGGGCGCGCGGAAGGAATGTCCGGTCGGCGAGATCCCACCGCTGGCGGGTGCATTGAGTTTCCTTTCATGGTGCCACGGCGTGGGCCACGGAACGTGTCGAACCCGTCGTTTGGTGCCCATTTGGAAGTGATCAGCTCGTACAGCTTGATGGCCCCCACTACGGGGGCATGGGTCGCCTTGAGCAGGATGATTCTCGCACGACGGAACTTATCGTTTGAGGGGAGGAAGAGGCGGAGTGGTCGGAAGATGACGAGGGCCAGAAGATTGAACGGTGGGTAGAAATGCGTGAGCCGGTTACTAGTCGAGGCTTCCAGCACATACACACTGTAAACGTAGAGGTACTCCTCCCGGGCGTGAGAGATAACACGGGAGAAGCTGTTGCTGAGCATACCCGTCAGGGAGCCCATCAGCAAGATTGAACTCAATGTGACGAAGATCAACATCAACGGTGGTCCTAGGCGTCATATCAGTTATGCGTTTTCTAGGCATGCAAGCCACCACACTTTGCTTACCAAAGATTGGATCGATGTCTTCCATGATGTCGAAACCAACGTAGGATGACCCGAAGAAAATCTTCGTTACGATCATGGCCATGTGCGGGAAGGTGAATGTCTCCCTGCCAACGAGGGAGAATGTCGTCAAGAATCCCAAGTACAGAATGACGACCAGTACCATGAACTTGACGAAGTCTTTGCCCATTTCTTTGAGACAAGGAATCAACGTGCCCCAGTACGGGCTCAAGCTGAGGATGGAGCATATCCTTGGCACCATAAAAAGTGCTTCTAATGACAGCACATCAAAGGCGATATCGACCAGCGTGTAGTCTTCGCTGTACAGCCCGACGAATCCTAATATTCGCAATGAGCTCAAGTCTTATAGGGAAGCTGAATGGGGTGGGTACTTACTCATGGCTGCAAACACGATCCCAATCGCGATCATAATCATGTCAAATAGATTCCACACGTCGGCCGCGTAGAAGATGGAGCCTGCGTCGATGTATTCACTGACCTCATCATAGAAGAATGCGGCGAACCAGATGTACAGCAAGATCTCCAACGGCGTGATGGCGTAACGGTTCTGCTCAATCAGGACGGCATAATACAGAAATAGGAATGTCCCAAAGAACATGACCTCGTATGCTTTGAGATACTTGGGAACTCGGAGTCGGGAGAACGGGTCGGCCGTGTGCGCATTGTAGAACCTGGGTTTCTTCTCCGAGTGAACTGACAGGCGATCCCAAAACATGATCTCACCGCTCCAGATTCCGGTGATAATCTTCTGCACCACATGTTGACTGAGGAATCTTTTGGCATCGGCGATGGCAGCAATCTCAAGCGCATTCAAGTTGATGAATGGGGCTGTGGGATCGTTCTCGTCCACTTCGTCGTCCGAGTCCGCGTACATGCTCATCGTAAGCTTCGACAGGGACTGAAGTAGCTGGCTGCGTTTCTGTGTACCTGTGCGATGACAGTCGGCACGTTCATCCATGGGCGGTATTGAGGGACTGCCAAGCAGGGCTGTGCTTTCATCACTTTCACATTGTTCCGGATGTGCTTCCAGGTCATCTCGATTCCCATTCATACCATCATTCGGTTCTGGGATCTCGTATAGGCAGAATTCCACCGCCTCTCGCTCCGACAGACGGGTGAGGAACCGCCATGCCACAATCTCGCAGGCGTTTGCACGTGCTTCGCCGGTGCCCTTGTCATCGGAAGCAGTACCGTAATGCCAGCGAAGTGCCCTGATATATATGTTAGCATCTATGTTGTGGGATAGAACTGCGCCTAATCAAAGGAGCTATTGTATCCAGTTGTTGGCATGAATCGCCGATTTTGGTGAGGTCATGACTCGAGGAGCAGACCATAGTGGATCCTGTTTTGATGCAAGGAGACAAGAAGGAAAGGAGGAAAGAAACTGCCCCGAGCAGGTCACCGTTCATCCAACAAATTCGAGGGCCCAAATTGGGCATGACCTCAGATAGGAAGCGGTTGGACTCACAGCAGAGCATTCACGATGGCTGGATTGGTGACTTTGGCGCTAATATGGTCGACCAGAGTTCGGAGACAGTCGCCAGCCACCGTGGTCCGGAGTTGCTCGAAAGTACTTGGAAGGTACACCACATCGGCGATATATCTGACAGAATCAGTATGCTTGTTGAGCCCAGATACCAACTGACTCTTACATAGACAGCTTCTTCACCACCTCACGAAAAGTATCGTCGTGGCTGATATCAGGGAGCTCTGAGTCGTAGTGAACCCAATGAGGCGAGACACCACGGTCTCCTTGAGAGACCGGACGGCGTGACTTGACACGAATCGGCATCCTGACGATTCAATCGACCAACGGCAGTGACGATGAGAACGTTCCAGTATGTTCAGCAAACTCGGGAGGTTAGATTTTCGAAAATTATCCATGGAGGCTGAAACAAGCGTCAGGGGTAGCTTTAATCTTCATCTGTGAACTTTCGATTGTGGGGTGAACGACGGCCCGTGCACAATGTTCGGCCCAGAACGCCGGGTGCGTTTGGCACCAGGGGCTAGGCCGATTTGGATTTGACTGGAGCGGAGATTTGCCGTCGAAATTGGAATCTGACTGCAAGCACGGGGAGAAAGGAAAAGAATGAATATGACGGAGCAACTGGATGTTGCGTTTGTGTTACTTCATCTACCTGTTGGATCTGGCATCGAGCGGGGCTTTCGCAGATCCTAAGGGGTACTTCGTGTCTTCTCGGGTAGCGTCGTTCTCTTTCCTTCCCCTTATGTGCAAAGCTTGCTTACGGGCATAGCAGGTCAAGACGAGACCGAAAACACCCTGGACGAAGTCATAGTATCCCAAGATTCAAGCTAACCGCGGTAGAACCCTGCTCGTTACCCGTATCTCGGCCATCTCTCCGCTTGTCATTATGTTGCACAACCGATTGATAAACGTCGCATCACGCCGACGTACATACGCCTCACCAGCCAGCCTATCTGTAAAGATCCACGAACTATAACACGATGACTCAGGTGATACAATAACCTTATTGATGCCTTCCACCAGTGTAGGAATGACCTATCTATGATAAGAAGCCACAGAGGTCTAGAATGTTACGAACCGTTGGTTCTAACCTGGCCAAAACCAACCCGACAGGCCCTACAATAGGCCATGACGGAACCCCGCAGGAACAAAGCCCCATAAGGACGGAAAGGAACAACTAGGCCCCCGACTAAAGGAAGAGGTCACGTGATAGGGACACGCTTGGCAGAGTGATCCCCTACTTGGGATCACCAGGAGCGACGTGATCCAAGTGATCCAACGAGATCAGTGAAGGAGAGATGGATATATAAGGGACAGGACTCCCAGGCATTTCATAGATAGACAGTCTCTACTTCAGTGATCAATCTAAGCATCAATCTAACCCATTGGTGAGGCAAACTGCCTTAACGACTCTATTCCCGATTACACTACTTGAATACTTCAGTTACCCAAAGCACTATACTCCATACGTCAGACCCCGATATTATTGCTTGAGGACTCCGCAGCAGGACTTACTTACTAGCGTCGGCTGGTGTAGTTGGTCACTTCGCTGGTAGATAAGTCCCGATTTGAGCCTCGCCCACTTGGGTTGGTGACGAGTCGCGGGTTCGAATCCCGCAGCTGACACACAAGGGGGTTTAGTCAACCCTTACGGCGCGCTGCCCACCTTGTTGACTTCGCCTACCTAGCGATAATAGGGAGATTGGTGCAGTTTAGGATTACGAGCATCCTAGCCAGTCGACCGTCAAGCACTACGTCGGCGGAATATAACTCGACAGCCGGTCCAGAATTCGAATCGTTAATCCGACCCCTTATCGGACCTCGCCTATCCGATAACGCTCGTCGGCGAACCCGTCCCCTCACGATAGAAGGCGCGCAGCACGCCCCCTCGCCGCGATTCTTGCGAGCGTCTAGACCACGTTACGGTCTATCCACTTGAGCGTATGGTTGAGATGTATACGCTCGACGAGAACCCCAATTAGCAGATACTACGACTTGTCGCGACAAAAAAAAATAGTCGAGCATCTTCTGCACATCAGCAGCATCCCACCCCTGAGGACGAATTTAAGTGCCACATTACCACGCTTATCGGTAGTTCAGGCAGGGGTTGTAGCACAGACTTAGGGAGGGACAGGAGGTTTAGTAGTCGTTTGGCTACAAGTTTACCTGTATAACCGCCCGACGCGGCTTAAGGGCCCGCTATATCATCTATAGCCCCTTAAGGGAGTACTTGTAGAGGTACCGAGGGTTAACACCTACGGCGTATTTAATATTATTATTTTTACTTACTAGCACAAACCCTTACAGACTCTTTAGTGGTTTACGCAGCTAGACTATTAGAGGTTTCGTTACACAGTCGCAGAGATACACTCTATAAGAGATATCCAAGCTCGAGATCCAGGCTGTTTCTTCCGTGTAGAACGAGTCTCAGATGATCCTAGAACAAGACCATTTGATCCTCTACCTTCTAGAATACCTGTCTCATACATATTGTATCGATTCGAGGCCTTAATAGCTTTGATCTCAGGGATAGCGAGGTATTTGAACCATTGCCTGATCTGTGACGCCGGTCACGATGCCTGGCCCCTGGGCCCCTGGATGAACACAGGGACACCCTAGTATGGGTGTCCCACCTGTACGCGCTGTCACGACCTGGGTTGCATCGCATTGGTAGAGACCTCGATTAGGTGCTATCGACGAAGATTCTACTCTAAGGAGCGAAGGAAAGAAGATGACAACTTAGGTTTGAGGGAGCGCGACTAAGTCATCCACGCTTGGCGGGGCTCCTACAAGGGTTATGATTGGCTTCCCATCTGACACTGCCATGGCAGGTGTTCCAGCTGTAAGTCACCTGGTTGTAGTGAGTCTGCGAGGGTTGACCTTCACACGCGCTGCCCTTTTCCTTATAATGTAGGAAAGGGCACTTGCACTTAGATCTCTTTCTCTCTCTTCTTCAGTTTAGTATTCATCAACAGGGATAGACTGATGTCGCAACCCTGATTCGAACTTGCAGTGCCTCTGCCGTGTCACATGATCACATTAGCTGAGGCTCCATTAATACGCTGGGAATCGATAGCTCTGCTTCTCTGGACCTTGACTGAAGGGTTCCTCTTGATAAAAGCCTGGACCCAGTTCTTTCCAAGTGGTTCAGTGTCTCCGTGGATCTGTAGGATACGCTCGGCGAAGTCTTTGAGCTGTTGATGGGTTGGTGGGAGGCCTAGGGCAGGCTGGATTCGAACCCATTCAGCCAGATGGGATTCCTGGGCTGGAGAGAGCCTCTGGTAGTCAGCGAAGGCTATATCTCTTGACTGGGCTCCCTGAATCTGTCGTGAAAGAGTAGACCTTGGGACACCATGCTCATATGTGTGACGGTCAACCCTCGCAGACTCCCTACAACCAGGTGACTTACAGCTGGAACACCTGCCGTGGCAGTGTGAGATGGGAAGGCAATCATAACCCTTGTAGGAGCCCCGCCAAGCGTGGATGACTTAGTCGCGCTCCCTCAAACCTAAGTTGTCATCTTCTTTCCTTCGCTCCTTAGAGTAGAATCTTGGTCGATAGCACCTAATCGAGGTCTATACCCATGCGATGCAACCCAGGTCGTGACAATATGCTGCTTTTCGGAGGTTTTGACCGGTAGATATTGCTTGAAGAGCTCGATAAATATCATCTTCGGTATATTGACTCATATTAGTGTAAAGAAGACGTACGTAAAATTTCGTAACGATTGAATCGATATTGGTAAAGATAAAAGAGGTTGAAGTTAGAGGCTAGCGGTGTTGATGAGGCATTTTTGGGTGTCCCACATGTGGGGGTGTCCCGGATGCGGGTGTGGGACGTTACTTCTCATTAGTATGAGTATGATCATCGAACATTATATGATTTAAATCTTGTCTGATTGAGACCGGTTTGTGAACAGATCAGACAAGCTATCTCATATGTCCGCTAATCGGTGAGACAAAGATATTAGTCATACCCCAAGTTGGGGCCACTGACTCGAAGACCCCGCCCAACGTACTATAAAAATACAACGTCGTCTTCGAATGCCTGAACTAACCCCTCCCTCGAAAATCCTCCGATTACTCGAATCTGCCAGATGGAACTCTCCTTCACCACCCTAGACGTATTCAGCACCAAACGCTTCGAGGGCAATCCCCTCGCCGTAGTCTCCATCCCCGCAGCCCTCAAATCCAAAATCTCGCAATCCACCAAACAGAAGATCGCCAAAGAGTTCAATCTCTCCGAGACCGTCTTCCTCCACGAGCCTCTAGAGTCCAACCCAAATGAACTATATATTGACATCTTCACCGTAGAATCAGAACTCCCCTTCGCCGGCCACCCCACCATCGGCACCGCCGTCCTAGTGAAGCACCATCTCTACCCGTCTGTGGAAACGTTCGTCGCGAAATGTGGACCCATTAGTTTGGCGCCCGGCAATGGGAACGGGGGAGGAAAGGCGATAAAGGCGAAGATTCCGCATGATGTGCATTTGCACCAGAAGACGCTTGCGGATGTCATTCCGTTGGAGCAGCGGGATACGTATCCGGGGTTGTCGCATCACAGTCTGGAGATTCGGGAGGCGGAGCTGAATGCGCCGGTGTTCAGTATTGTCAAGGGTATGACGTTTGTGCTTGTCAAGTTGCTATCGGTCGAGGTGTTGGGACAGGTTCGGCCAGGTCGGTTGGATTTCAATGGCTTGCCAGAAGCATTTCTTGATAAGGACTGGGCCGAGTCGTTCGTGGCCCGGTACTACTATGTTGAGACGCCGTCTTCTGATGTAAAGGATGACGGGGCTCGTTTACTACGCACTCGTATGCTAGAATTGGGGCCTGAGGACCCGGCTACAGGCAGTGCAGCGAGTAGCTTGGCTGCTTATTTGACTTTGTCGGAGAAAAGTCCAGCGGGCAAGTATTTGATGGTGCAAGGGGTGGAAATTGGGCGTCGGAGTGTCATCAATGTTGATACGATGGCAGAGGATGGAGAGAATGGGTTCAGGTTGAAGGACCTATGGCTTGGTGGTGAGGCAGTAGTGGTCAATAGGGGGTTGATGGTGCTTGACTAGAGGCTCCATCACGCCACATACGCTGTCACTATTATCAAGGTGTGGGTACGTATCGTTACTGCTTTGCTTCGCACTAATTTATCCAGTGCCTATAACAGTGTGTTCATCCTCAGTCCTGCCTACCTCCGGCAAGTATGATTGTTGCAAAGCGAAGACCAAATGCAGTTCTGGGTTTTCCGTCCACATGGCCTCCGTCGAAGTTACCATTTATCCGGGCTCAGCCAACCATCAGAAGGTGCTGCGTTTTTGCTGACACCTTCTGCCTTGCCAATACCGTAGCCATTGGGGCTGTTCGACGCATAATCCCAGAAATCGTCATTGCCCCGAGAGCCCCTCTTGGTGTCATTTACGGTCGCATAGCGCCAGCCATTACACTTCTGCAACACCATTTTCGGATCTCCCTGGTTGTAAGTGGCCTTGGAACCAGTTCCATTTGTCTTGGGGGCAGCGGCTTTCTTGCCCTTGTCCTTGCGCTCAGAACCAGCAGTTGACTCCTCGACAAAGAAGTCCTCCGCACGAATAGTTTGAGTGACGGCCTGCTTAAGGGAGGCGGCGCGATCGATGGCTTTTTGGCAGGCATCACACGGTAAGCTACTCCAACACCCACAATGCTCTCTGCCGTTGTCGTCCAGTAGATCGTAGAAGTGCAAGTGACGTTTAGTCATGTGGGTGATGAACTCGAATGCGATCTCCGACGGTAGCTCGTTCCAGTTCTTATTGAAAATCTCGATGCCCTGCATCATCTTGGGGTGGGTCAGGAGCTCGAGGAAGAAGGCGCGGAGTTTCGAGGTGTCGGTGGTGGCTTCCCAGACTCGGCTAACCAAGTGGTACGGCTTGACACGGCCGCCGATCCAAATGTCCTTCCAAATCGTGTGTGCATCCGGGTAAGCGGAGACCCTGGACTTCGTTCGGACCTTGTTTAGCATGTAGCCGATCATGTAGTTTTGCAACTTAGGGATTCCGAGATAGTCAGCGAGCAGCCAGAGGTCGACACAGTCGCGCCAGGTGGGCGTCTCCCACTCCTCGGCGACAACCTTGCCGCCCCAGACTTCGGTGATGGGCTCCCACTCCAGAGTGAAGGATCGAATGGAGAGTCGGGTGATCCACTCAACGAGAAGGGGAAAGACCGGGGCCCAAGCATGGTCCTCGAGCGTGACCTTGAGGGTCTTGGACTCGAGCCAGCTGTTGGCAAGGCAGGCGCGGAAGTAGGAAGAGTAGTGCATGGTCATCTGCGCGAAGATGGGATAGACCTTGCCGTCGGCGAGTTGGACCTCCACCACCTTCATGGGTTCGGAGCCGAACCTAAGAAGCATGTCAGAAATGCCAGGATTGCCAGGTAGGGAAGAAGGGAACATGAGAGGGCAGTTGGGGAAGCTACTTACTCGAAGGTATCGCCAGAATCAGCCATCTTGGAAGTGAGCTTGTCGTGATCGAAGATGGGGTGAGTGTCCAAGTAGATGTTTTGGTCTGGAGGTGAAGCTTAAAGTCAGCGCGGTTCCTGAAGCAGTAGTCAAGGCGTTGTAGGTGAAATAACTTACAATTGTGATCTTCCAGTTCAGGTCTGGAAGGAAGAAATTTAAGAACAGAGGAAAGTATGTGAGATCAGAATTGAAGCCGATGATGGTTTAACATCGAAAGGGTCGAAGCGTGTGCTTTCCTGCAGTCCGGGGACAGGCCGGTCGACTGGCCGGTGGCTGTGGCCACATGAACCGCCTGGACCCCCGGGACCCGGCGGTTCTAGCCAATTACAATGTAACGGAGGCCGGTGGTGTGAGCGGATTGAACCAATCAGAGGGAAGCCTGGAACTTTTCCTCACATAGCACCCTTACAAACGGGCACGTATTTGCTGTGGTAACGGAAAACTTGCTCGTAGATGGGAAAGGCAAGCCTTTCCAACAAGTTTTAAATGCGGCAAGTGCACAGAAGTAGACGAAACTGACACAGAAGATCATTCTCACGAACAAGCTGAAGTACCTGAGTAACTAAAGTACTGCAGGAATAGATGGTATGCTTATCTGTTGGCTTGAAAAGGGGCCATCTCACAACTACGTGAGAATTAGGACGGTTTGTGATTATGCGTGGACAATATCCAGCATTAGCAGGCCTAAGGCAGTGGACATGGATTCACAGCACACTGTGGGATGCTGGATGAATCTCACCACGAGCTGGAAAACTGTTGGAAATGCATGTAAACTTACATAGGGCTGAAAGTGGCCACAGAATTTTCTGATATCATTGTGATCCTTGTGAATTACTTGTCTAGCGACCGTTACTTGAAACCCATGAAGTTTTCTATTCTGAAGTCCTTTGTTGGCATTACTTGCTTCAACCGCAGTAGAAACACCAGTATCATTTGGTATCCTCTAGAATGTTCTTACGTCACGTGTGGTCCCAAGTGGATTAGGTATCCGATATGCAGTATTCTCTCTAGGAGGGTGAAAAGGATATTGCAATCGGGGAATATTCTTGGACTGTAGGCTGTATTCAATCTGTAGACATTTCTTGCAGCCTAGAAAGGACCTGGCTTTGTTATGTTGTCTTTTGGAATGACTAATTTTTAACCCGCTTTCGCTGCTCTTTCTTTGTCCGTTTATCGATCCAGAAGTCGCAGGAACTACCCAGAGATCCCATCCCAGGTATTCAAAGGCTAGGCTTACAACAAATGAATTATCATTAATACATGCTCACTCAAGACGTTTCTCCACGGTTTTAAAACAGCTCTCCCAGCAGAAAATCAACACCCAATGGCTCTAACCTATTAAATACGCCTCTCTAGCCTAGACTCCAGGTGAGTCATTAAATCCCTTCCTCAGCTTTCCTTCACTCTCAATACGGGAAAAAGGGTTTGGAAGTACTGAAACTTAACCTTTGATTCACCACTGAACTAGAAGCACTACACAATGTCAACGTTGAGGAACTTCAATTTAAGCAAAGGAATTGCCAGCTAAGATGTGAGGCCGAAGACTACCCGTATCGGTCTACAATGTGTGGGAGGTATCACTGCGTTCTGGCGTGGATTCTAACTTAAGAGGCGTTTGGCTATTATCCAGCAGATGGTAGTAGTGTCGCGACACTGCCCGCTAGGACAGCGCCAAGAACCATTTATCTGAATCAGCGGTGAGGTCATCAGTGAGGTAAAATCAACCTGTCTCACGACCGTCTAAACCCGGGTCATATTCCTTATTACTGGGTGGATAATATAACGCTTACCGAATTCTGCTTCTGTATGATAGGAATAAACGACATCGAAGGATCCAAAAGCGGCGTCGCTATGAACGCTTGGCCGCCATAAGCCAGTTATCCCTGGGGTAACTTTTCTAACATCTCTGACCGCAAATTTCGAGGGAATAAAGGATCGATAGGCCACAATTTCACGGTTTGTATTCGCACTGAAAACCCAAGCTTAGCAAAGGGGAACTTAAGAGAGACTGTTTTCTGGTTGAATACCCACCCCCCCCCCGGACATGCAAATATCCTTGGAATTTCTGATGGAACTCTGGCTTTTGGCCGAATGTCTCCAGATGGGCCGTCTATAGAATCGGGTTATAGAACTATACTTCTGTCGTTCTCATTTCCAGGGACAACTCAGGGACGACCTTGCTATATTTATAGAAAACATTCATGCAACACTTTGGTTGCTGTAAAAGAACCATATGTCCCACTATACCATACATGAGGATCGATACCAAACTCATTTAAAGACCTCTTAAGGAAGTGAAGACAATTTTGTTCACTTTTATGATAAAAAGTATCAGCAAGTCACGAGGGATATTGAGCAGGTGCAGGGGGCTCTGGCAATACAGAAACTCTGGGCTAGTAAGGTGAACAAGGCATACGTTAATATTTGGGGTTATCTTTGTAGCGACTACATAAACCACCGACTTGAGAAATAATATGTAGAGGGGCTGCGGGTTTTCTATTCAACGGCTGGAAATCGAAACGGTCACCAAGTGATCACGCAACACATATGAGCATTTAGACCCATCAAGCTTCCTCGCAAGATAGATAGCATCGATATTTCATATCATAACTGGAATAAAATGTAGCCCATAATGACATGAATTACCATGCTAACACCCATAGCCACCATCCAAGTCCCATGTCATTATCGTCCTTAGAGACGGTGATATCTACACCGTCGACAAGCCATGATGTGACACTGTCGACACTCAAAGATGAAAAGGGGCATCTCATTACCACACTCCTCACAACCAGCAGGCCCTCCTCTTCTTCTCCAGCCCTCGTGAGTGCATTCGTGGTTCTGGACCAAGCTTTCCATTACTCTCGCCAATCTCTCCCACAAGGCCATTCCCGCCACCGGAACAACTTCATTAGGTGGGTTCTGTCCGGCGGCTTCGGCAACTGGATCAGGAGCTTCCTCCCCAGCATTCGGGTTCTGTCTGGCGGCTTCGACAACTGGATCGGGAGCTTCCTCCCCAGCATATGGGTTGTCTCTTTCGTCTATAGCGACAGCTCGCGTGTAGAGCCGATTTTCATCCCATTGCTGGCATTGGCAAGTCTTCCATTCGGCACCGCAGACGTAGCAGAACTGAGCACCGCATCGGCATCTGCAAGTTGATATATGTGAGTAGTCTGAGCATAGGCGAAGTAAAAGTGTTCTAGGGAATTGGACTCACGTCATATGGTTGCAGCCAATGTTCAGCTCCACCATGCTGAAGCAACTGTAGCACCGCTGCCAGTGCTCCTCCCTCGCAATCTCAATCACCCGCTGAAGTTCTAGATCAAATGGACAGTCACCACCGTGAGCAAGACCCTTGCAGGTCGTACAAGTTTCGGCATCACAGTCCGCACACCGTGCAACACCATCGATGCAATTGGCTGGCGTGATGAATGCAGAACAGTTAGGGCGATGGCAATATGTTCGGTTCGGAGTCGAAAACTCGACAGATTTCTGTTGGAACTGGTGAAACAGATCCGCGCCGAGGAAGAGTCGGTTTTGGTTGGCGGGGATGGGCTGGCGACAACATCGCGGTGGGAACAGAGATTCGTCCGTCATAGCATCACAGAACAGATGGGAGAGACAGTCTCGACAGTATTCGTGGTTACAAGGGGCGCGGGCAAGGTCAATGAAGTGTGTTGTTTCTCCACAGGCCTGGCAGTCCCGTCTCTGGGATTTCTTTCTTGGCTGCCGAGCCGCAGCCGCAGACGAACTCTCTGGCTGATCTGATTCATCGTCCAGGCTCGTAGTGTCTTTGTCGCTTTCGTAGTCCGTGTTTTCGATCCCAGTAACATAGAGGCAGTCGAGCTTCTCGATTAGTTCCAGATCCGCGACCGAATTTCTGGTGGCCTGAGCAGTGTTTTCGTTCCCAGACTCTCCACGAGAAAGGGCTACGGACATCTGATGGGCATTATCGGCCATAGACTCCTCTTCAACCTGAGATATAGTTTCTGCGTCAGCGCGAATGGCATCCCGGATGCTCTTCGTCATTCGCCTGTCATAACAAAACGTCGATGCGCCAGTGAGCTCCTCAATGTACAGTTGGAGAGCCAACTCGGCGTCAGACAGAGTGCTTTTGGCTTTTTTTCCTTTGGATGACGACTTAAGTTTTTCGGCATCTTCGCGGAGAAGAATGAGGATCAGGCTTAGGCTTTCGTCGTCTGCTGCCGTCCAGGTTGGCGCTACGAGCTCTTCTATCGCCATGGTTGCAGTCTGCAGTTTGCTGATCTAGCAGAAATTGTTCCAGTTTGGAGAGAAAAGAAACTTGAATAAGGGGTTTTTTGTAAACTTTTCATGATTGGAAGAACACATTGCTGGTTGTGGGATATATGCCCGTTTGTCCTGGCCTACCAGTCGGCCTTCCCGTCGTGCAGGGTGCCTAATATTAATTTGGCGCAAACAGTGTAGATGCGCATCTAGTCTTTGAATATCAAAAGCAAACTTTTATTGATGTTCTCACTGCATGTCTCGCAATACATCACTGGTATTTTACGCTTAGTAGCGGAGTGGCTTTCTGGATCATCACAAAGATAGCAAGGAAAGGGCTGGTGACTGGCTGTAGCATCCACTCAGTGCAGTGAGACCTCATGTGTGAGCAACACTCATCGCATTAGCCGGTCATACTAGCACCTTTTGTCCTGGTGTTAACCCAGATTTTGTGTGCATAGAGTGGCCCAATTCTCTGCCTGTTAAAGTCACTGTGACTGATACTAGCATTCTGGCTAACGTAGTCCACGGTCCAATTGCACACTTCGGCAGATTTTCGTACGCTACCACTTTGACCTGCGGTTTTTCACCACATAACTATGGTTGGTTCTTGGAATGAAAGTGATATGATTCTAGCATTACATGCGCTTCAATCTGATCCAAAATTAAATGTACGTCGCGCTGGTCAGATCTATAACGTACCTTTTAGAACCCTTGCGTATCGACGCGACGGTAAAACCGCTCGAGCGATTACGCGATCGCCAACGCAAAAGTTGACTCCTTCCGAAGAAGAGGCAATCGTACGACATATAACTGACCTATATTCGCGAGCATTTCCTCCCCGATTGAGTGGTGTTGAAGATATGGCCAACCGATTACTTCGAAGTCGCGACGCGGGACGCGTCGGCGTCAACTGGGCCTCGAGCTTCGTAAGACGACAACCACACCTCCGGACGCGTTTAAATCGAAGGATCGACTATCAGAGAGTCCTCTGCGAAGACCCCGACGCGTATCGCGCGTGGTTTGACCTGGTACGGAATACAATTGCGAAATACGCGATCCAGAAGGAGGATATCTACAACTTCGACGAGACCGGTTTTGTGATGGGCCAAATCTCGTCCGAAATGGTCGTGACGACTTCTGATCGGCGCGGAAGGCCTAGAGCAGCCCAGCAAGGAAATCGGGAATGAGTTACAGTTATTCAAGGCGTTGGGTCGTCCGGTTATGCCCTCCCTTCGTACATTATTTTCGCCGGCAAAACCCACCTCTCGTCATGGTACGAAAACAGCCCATTGCCGCCTGATTGGGTTATCGCAGTTACTAAAAATGGCTGGACTACGAACGAGAGAGGCGAAGATTGGATAAAACACTTCAATCATCACACCAAGTCTCGTACGAAAGGTACTCATCGCCTATTGATCCTCGACGGTCACGAAAGCCATCACTCGACCGATGTCGAGGTATATTGCAAAGCTAACAATATCGTCACGCTTTGTATGCCTCCTTATTCGTCGCATAAGCTCCAGCCTCTTGATGTTGGTTGTTTTCGCGGGTTAACAAGAGCGTACGGAAAAGAAATCGAAGATCTCGTGCGAGCACATATAAGTCATATCTCGAAAGAAGACTTTTTACCGGCGTTTTTGAACGCGTACAACGCAACTTTCACGGTTTCAAATATCCAAGGAGGTTTCCGAGGGGTAGTAATAGTTCCGTACGATGCAGATTATGTCATATCACAGCTCGATGTGAAATTACATACGCCAACACCTCCGGGTAGCTCGGCTGGTCTCCCCGTCCCTTGGGAATCAAAGACTCCGAACAACCCAACCGAAGCCCAATCACAAACCGATTATGTGAAAAATAGGATTGTACGACATCAAAATAGCTCACCAACGTCAATTTTTGCTGGAATAGATCAGATTGCGCGAGGTACAACGAAGGTTATGCATCGGCTTGCCCTTTTAGAAGGCGAGGTCGAATGGCTTCGAAAGGCAAATGAGACCTTAAGTCGACGTCGCCGTGCGAAGAAAAAACAGCTACAGAGTGGAGGGTCACTTCTTATACAAGCTGGACAGGACCTACAGTCTCAACGAGAGGTTGATGGGCAGTTACATGACGAATTTCGTCAAATTGGTGGTCGGACGAGGCGGCGAATTGCGCGTGTACGGCGCTGTAGAATCTGCGGCGAGCCCGGACATAATGCGCGCACTTGTGGAAATGATGTAGAGACGTCTGAAGATAACGATTCTGAGTAGTTTCAATTGATGATAGGCGTTGTGGTTGAATTAACTTATACATTGTCGTATAAGGTCTGCCAAAGTGTGCAATTGGACCGTGGACTACGTTAGGTCTTATCGTGAATTTTCTTTTTACAAGTTGATTTAATAGTCCATACACAAGAACTGTTGTGGCTCCGACAATCCCACGAGTACGTACACGAGGGAAGCTGGGTGGACAGTGCTAACTTGCTCAAAATGCCCTGCTACAAATGGACAAGGCTGAACGGAGTGTGCCGAGTAACTCGTAAAGTGGCAACGCACGAATGGGAAACAGACGCTAACCCCGTAGTGACCTGGGTACAGAATATCAGTTCCATGGTCAGCTGGAAAAATGGAGAGCCGGAGTTCAACATAAATTACAAGAGAGAGTCTGCTAAGCGGATGCAGGATACACCGTAGAAGTAAGCGACAAAGCCTCAAATTTCTGTATACCGCTAACCACCGTTTAGACCGTAATATGCCTTGGCCGAAATAATCCAAGGACTAAATGGCCCCTCCACCCCTTGTTACACAGCCTACGCTACATTGGCTCGCGATCCTCATCTCATTCCAGGCCTTCAGAGACTAATATACTCGGGAAGCCTTGCTCTTAGGCCGCCGATGAGCGAGAGCTACTAAGTCTTGGACTGGGCGGATAACAAGTTGCATCAACCAGTTTTCCCCCAGTGGACCGTGACCGGACCCAAGAACAAACCCAAAAAAGGATGACTCCTTGTGGGGTACTCAAGCCTTCCAATGAGCGCTGCAAAGCGTTGGGTGGCCAACCCCGGCGTGGATAGTTCGAAGAGTACGATGCCGGCAGCCTGTTGGGCTATTTCACAAACGACTGTGTAAAGGAAAGGACCGCTTCCGCAACAAGAGGCAGTAGGCTTGATCCTCATGGATGAGGTGCCAAATTCCCGAGGCATTGGTTCTCGCATCGGGCTCTTTATCTTCCTCGATAAAATAAGGAAGCACGTGCAAGCCCAGTCTTTCTGTATTTTGTATCGGGCTCTCTACAAGCACTAGGCCCCAGAAGTTGGCGTTGGGCCGTAGAGCACTTCGTCGAGACGGCGAAAGAACAAGAATGGCCCCGCCCTAAGAAACATGTAGGAAACTGGATGAATTTCGCTACAGACGAGAAATACATCATTTCCAGACTTCGTGAGAGCAAGAACAGGGCGGGGCGTACCACTAGATGGGCACGTCATGGACGGGAGAGGCGAGAAGTAGTAAGACAGATCATCGTTCGGATAACGGCCGAGATTTTCGACCATTCATTGCGGACTTTCCTTTGCCCGATTTGAAAGGCCATATCTGCCTTATGGCTATTCGTGGCCGCGCTTGGGATGCATTCAGAAGTGTAGCCGCGTCTCTCCGAGATGAGGTGGTACTACATTGGCACCCCGGCAATAACCCAGTCGGGAACAAGGGTCGTTTCAGGATCACCATCTACGAGGCTGATGCTGGGGAATCAGGATCTCACTTGGCATATTTAGTGTAGAAGGGCGATGAGTCGAGATGGCCGGGATACTTAAATCTAAGCTGACTGGGAAGTATCTGCAGGTGTTCTTTGATAGTCAATAAGGCTATGTTTTTATAGAGACGTCCGTGCTGCCGCAGATACAGATGCGGTTTGGAATGCGACTTGGACAGGATAGTCTTATTGGGTGTTTATATCACGTCGATGAGACCGAGTTGCTGTAACAAGAGGGGGTGACTGCATTTGTTCCCGGTAGTTCCAGGGCAGATCTACGAGCTATCAGAACCGGTACCATTTTAGCACGTGCCGTAAATCTAGGTATGGCCGGAGCAGCTGGTCGCGACTCGGCCTCTGGTTCCAATGTAAACAGGGTGAACCCAATCCGTTACCTTGACTCAACTCTTAAGCCTGATTGAAACACATCGACGACGGTTAGCGGCAGGGCAACTCCGACCCTGACCGAAGGCCCGCACGAGGTATTGAGCAGTGGAGCTGAGATGCGATCTCGTTATACTTGCCGGAAGCCTTAATTTCGCATACTGCCAAGCGCTGCTCGGTCCTGCGAAGCTTTATCGTCTGTAGCGGCCATTGCCTGGACAGCAGCTTGGAGGGCAGCGTCTCGGTCCATCTGCAAGGTGGGATGCGGTTGGCAGTTGAAGTATAGGCACTAGCAAAGATATACCTTAGGCGCATGTATGAAGTGACGTTTAGAGACTCAGAGTTAGAAGACGTGGTTGCTGCTGTTGCTGGGCTAATATCGGCAGAGTGTAACCCCAAGAACTGCCAAGACGGTGAAGGTGGCCTTACTAAATTATGCCCACATTCCCCGCAATACTATGGCAAACCTAAGACGAGGCAGTCCATTCAACTCTCAACCAAATTTCCGAATGGTTCGACTTGGATTATACACGGGCCCCATATATTGGTCCCATTACCACAGCACTGTCGGACTCCAAGTATTAGGAGCTGTATTGGTACTATCAAGGTGCGTGACGGACCAATCCCAAGTTGGCCCCGGAGGATCCCTAAATACTACAACGGGTGCCTCTTACCCCTCTACACACGAGGCCACAACTTCCTACAAGTACCATATTTTGTTTATTGTCTCCGAAGCGGGGCACTAGCAGCGACTGACGTTTCACTGGTGTGGTTAACCCCATTAGTGACACCATTCTATACATATTTCTCAACTCACAAAGAGCAGACAGCTGACAGCTCCAGCCAGGCAGAGGTGCTGACAAATAGTGCTATCATCGCGAGTACACCAGAACTTTCCAAAGATGATCGCTGTAACATAAATCAATCCGTTCCCCTGGGACACTCTTTTACAAAGTAATCAAAAAATAGAATTTATGTTCATAAACTACAGCGCCAGTATTTCATCAGAAAGCCGGAAAATAATGACTTTTCCAGAATGACATCCAATCACTACAGTAGAGCCATACACAGTTGAACAAGATGGTCGATAATCTGCTGTTAACCAAAATAGTTTTTTTCCGTGCAGAGTTATCCAGCAACGATCGGTGCTTATACCGTAGCCAGAGCGATGATCTCGACCATTATCGGGTAAAGTTTGACCAGAAGACCTGATAATAATACATCCTGTCGCTCTTGTAAATTCTAGCGTACCTTGTAGAGAAATAGCAACACTATCGGTGCAGAGGAAGAGCCCTCTGTGCTCAAAATATAAGGTAGAAGAGGCGGTATCAATTTTCCTTATCTGTAAACACTGACCCGTGTTAGTCGACCAGATCCGGACGGTGCTGTCGTATGAGGCCGAGGCCACGAGCTTCGAGTCGGGCGAGAAGGCCACCGAGCTGACCCAGTCGCTATGGCCCTTGAGCGTCCGTGTGCAGTCGCCCGTCTCGGCCGGCCAGATCCGGACCGTGTTGTCTGAGGCCGAGGCCACGAGCTTCGAGTCGGGCGAGAAGGCCACCGAGCTGACCCAGTTGCTATGGCCCTCGAGCGCCAGTAAGCATTGGCTCCAACCCTCTTCTACTTTTGGCATAAGATATATGCAGCTAGGTATTTCCTTTTTGAAAACAGTTCGAACGATACTCCGCTTGGGCGCAAAGATGAGCGCTGACCAATATACCTGGAGAGGCGCCTGTTGAATAACAGGGGCTATAGCTAAGACAAAGCGGTGAGCATTGTCCAGGAAGCTCAGAGCCTTATTAGCATCGGGCTGACATGTATTAGTACTAGGAGTGCATACAGCTCGATCTTATCTTACCTGGACAATAGCTTGTAACGCCTTAATCGCCTGAAGACTTTCAGATGCTCTCCCAATCAAACTCAATGCCTCTAACCAGTGTAGGAGATGATAGGTAAGAAACCTATGGACGTCATGGCCATCTGAGATTCGTATATGCGCTTGTGCTACGTGGTACGCCCAATAGAGGCACGCGTACTGTACTTCGGGCCCTAATTTATTGCTTATTTTCTGAGCATCCACGCTCGACCGGGTTGTTCCTGGGTTTCGGATATCACAGATGTCGGTGCGTAGGGTTTCACTCATCACCCGAATATATTCTGCAGCCAGTCGCTTATGGGTGATCTGTTCGTCGACCCAAAACCGGTGGCTTCCGCGTCTTTCTGGATCGAAGAGGAAGTCGCGGAATGAAAGGTGGAGCAACCTTACAGTCCCACTAGGTGATTGAGGGACGTTTAAGACCGAATGAAGTGAACCAGAACAGTGTCAATAGTCTTCTCAGTTATATTTAGTAGCAGCGCCAGGGATGGTACCGAGAGAGGATTCGCGAGACTAATAATAGAGCCAACAACCTCCCGAAAGCGTTCCATGACCTCATTCGTTTTTTTGCCTGAGAGATCGACAAGAAGCTTATTCAACACAGGCAAATACGTTGCGTTCAGCTGAGAGTCCTGGGCCGTCTCTCGGTAGCTTATGATGTCTTGTAGCTGGTCTCCAGGGTCCCCTAGCCTTCGATCGGCGATAAAGCGACAGACAGTAGCAGCAAAGATGAACAGCGGTACCGACATCTCGACTAATATCTGAATATTTACTTCGCTCGGCCACGTAGTAGGTAGATGTCGGCCTTCTAGCACCGAATTATTGTAATCGTCCCTGACCTGTGCGAGCTCATGCTCAAGGAAAACCCATATGTCGTGTTCAATGACGGGTCCCGCCACCTCGTGAAGGATGAGACCTTGGTATGCGCCTTTGATAGCAGTAAAACCAAGACGAATAGGAAGCTCGGGCCTGCTGGTAAGGAAGATCTTAAGTCGCGGGGACTGTAACCCTTTTAACCTCGAGAACAGGCGAATAGAAGCTTGACATCTGGTTCCTGGGCACACTCATCAAGTGCATCGACAACGAAAAGGAGTGTGCGGCTACTGTAAGCGTCCCCGGAAACCTTCGATAAAGGCTCGAGTATAAGCTTTTCAAACTGCTCTTGCATCCCTTTTCCAAAAATTAAGAGATCGGAATTAATGGCAGTCTGGATATGCGGTGTGACAGCCGGCTCTCGTGCAACAAGCTGAGCCGCTAGTGTGGGAAAAAAAACTTGGACGATCCACTCCGATCTCCTTCGCCTCTTTTGAAGAAAAAGCTGCCAGCGAGAAAACGGCTTACAGATGCAACATGCGCTAAGGTACGTGAGATAGTCGATTTGCCCGTTCCTGCCATACCGTTCAGCCAGAATATCGCTTCTGTGTTCGGATTCTGAATCCATTCGTTGATCTCCCGCAACAGCTCCACTCGGGTTTCTTGAAGGCATGTCGGGTTGTGTTCCTCGTCATGCGAATCAAAGGCAGCTCCTTGGGCGATAGGAAGTCCTCTAAGTACCGTCTTTTGATCAATATCAAGTATAACCGTCCTGCCACGCGATCTTGTTAGTGTAGCGCAGAGATCCAAAAGATCCAAAACAGAGAGTCACTTACATCTCGTCAACATTCAAGGCCAGCGATATCGTCTGCGTACATCGTGCAAGACCATCAATCATTCTCTCGATATCCTTGCTCTTAAATGGCCATTTCAGTGCGCGTATCCCTAGTCGCGTCATTGCTGTCCTCCTCTTCCCTGGACTCAGTTTCGCTTGCAACATATTGAGCTGCGCCTTTCCATCTTACAGCGCAGATTGTAGCTTTTCGGCTGTGCGGAGACTTGTCCCTTGAGGGCCTTCCAGGAGCTGATATACGCTCTCGGTTACAGTCTTCAGATTCGTCACTTCGTTCTCGACTCGCCCGATATCGTCTCTCGCGCTCGAAACATCTTTCGAGTACTGCGCACAACACAGAAAGACTTTAGCTGCTAGTTCGATCACGGCGAGGGCACTGGCCGCTGTGCCGAGCACTTCTGTCATCGCAACCTGACCGTCGTTTTCCACTGCGTCGACTGGGGCCGGAGAAGAGCAAATAGGCGTGGAGAGTGTTCAAGGCCGCGGCTGGTTTGGCCTTGGAGAATCGCAGGTCCAGTGCGAAGCAAGCATGGCGGCCATTGTCGTGGTCGTTGCAATTAGGCTGAGCTGGTCACGGGACATGCACATAGTGCCAATCAGGTATTCTCAATCAGGTCCTGTACCCTCTCGCAGGCGTTACTGGCGTGGAGTCCCGAACCAGAAAGTGGCACCAATGGCGGGTGCGTAGAGTATTACACATGTTGTTAGATTGTCCTTACGCTTTCCAGCACAATGGGGGCGGGGCTGTGGCTCTTCCCGCCAAAGTTCAACGTCTGTCCATCTCGCAACACACAAGCACATCCACAAACACATTCGAGATGGCACCAAACCTGGCAAAGGCGATACGCGAGCTCGCTCAGGGCATGCATAAGACCAATAAATTCATTAATTAGCAGATTACGAGAAAATATGGCTGCAGCACGCGATCCGTTCGATCCGAACGAACCTACGATGCTTTGGCACTACCAGAGCCGCTCGAAACGCCGTCATACGACCTCGACGCATCACAACGCCGCCCATGCTCAACGCCTTATGCGACCGCTTAATAGAGGAGTTTGATACGTATCAAGATGAGATGGTGGCATTTACCGCCGACAAATTCGACACTATAGTGACAAGAATAAGCGTAAGCAGAGAACTGGCTTAATCGGATCGTCTAAGAAAACGGCACGGGGTGTTTCTAAGAAACACAATGCGGACCTACGTGACTTTTATAGTTATGTAATTTCAGACTTCCATTCCTACCATCCTATGTACATCGATGGATCGGGCTACAATAAGCGCCGGGTTTCGACGATCAGTATGGTTTCCTCTAGGCGTATCACCAGTCAAACTCCGCGGTTCCGCCGTAGTCGTAGATGACAGATCTTGCCAGCCTATGCACAGGACGGCATCTTATTCTCGTGCATCTTCTAGGGATCCACGCACGCTACTGTGTTCGAAAATTTTACCCAGGAACTTTTGCCCTTACGTAGGAGATGGCCACAGCCCGAGTCCGTTTTAATCATGGACAATGCGACATTGGATCAGCCTGAGAGAATATAAGAGCTGTGCGATAATGCCGGAGTCAATCTTCCATTCTTGCCGCCGTACTGGCTGGTCTTGATCCCTGTTAAGAAGTTATTTGCTAAGTTTAAGGCCTATCAAGCGAAACGGGCACCTTTATGACCCGCAGCAGGAACTTACTGCCTTCCTGGAGTGGTGCGTAGATGTAATAGTATCAAGAAAGTTAAGAGCAGAAAAATATTTGCGGTATGCCGGGACATCTACTATAGTATTGAAGACGCACCGTAGAAGAAATAATACAATATCATATTGCAGTGGCCCGAAGTCTAATCAATCTGAATACTCATTACTCATTGCACTGTTTAAACCAGACCTTAACATCGTGGATGAAATATCTTGTAACACCGCGCTTCACGCCATTGCCTAGTAGAAACTGGTGCTCAAATTTTAAGCCTTTCGAAATTTGAACTTCAGGGCTACGTTAGCCACTTTCGAGCGCTGCTGTTCGCAGTATCTTTTCACAGCTCGATCTCTTGATACCGGAATTTCGACGGGACTGCGAGGTACGACTGCTGGCCCGTCTGTTCATAGTTCTTGCAATTGGCCGGGCAAGACACTGGCGATCTGAATGGTGGAAGGCTTTTGGACTTCAAGGAAAGAGGTTGCGCTTTCGCTCCGTTTGTTGCCATTCTTCAACATATAGCTGGATACAAAAAGAGTCAGACACATAATCATGACACTTAATGGTATGGCCTTGTTCGATATACTAAATGCCGCTTCTAGAGTGGTGCGAACGCAGCCTATACTGCCTACTCGCCGCCCCGTCACGCGAGCAGTACATAGGGCCTTCACGAAATAGAGGCGCCGATGTTCAAAATTCCTTCTCAATAAAGTTCTATTGAATGTCTAACTTGTTAATATACTTTGCGACTAGAGCGATCTCGAAGAATTACTGTAATATTAATGCCATGCATTCACACTGAGTCTTGAGCTGGCAGTTTCTTCCTGGCCAGCCTCTCCAGCTTAGGCTTTTGCAGAAACTGAACCAGTAGGCACCAGGTGCGACAACAGACTTGACTCCGTGTCCTTCATGGGGACTTGACCGTTATATGTCACTTTCCATTCGATTGAGCAGCGGATGCAAACTTGAGAAAGCAATACATGATTGTACTTCATTCCATATACACTCTGCGTCTAATGGCAAGCAGTTCAAATAGACTCCAGTGTTGGGAAATCACGAAGTATACCAGGTCTGAAGGTATGGGTATTCATTGCAGTTTAAATCTACCGGTGGACCTATAATCTATTGAACGAAATATAATCGTAAGAAAAATAACGTCGTTTTGCTCAGTCTTTGATGCGAGTGCATATGGGATGTGAATTGTTGTATTGGGAAAGGACGGCCAGGCCAGCTATTCTGGCCTGGCAGAGCTCTTTTATAGCTCTTATCTTATCTATAGCTACAGGGTAGCCCCCATGGGATCATGTATCAAGGTGATTCTCATTCCAATTAATGATTGGTGATCGGACTCTTGTAAACACCGACGTGGGCCAGAAAAGGAATAAGATGTAAGCACGAGTACTGTTAATTAACGCCTGCGGAGTAATTCGGACTCTTCCAAAGTCCGAGTCTCAACAGAACGGGTTCAATGCCCGAGGTTTATTTCAGAATCCCTCCAAAGTATTTATTTACTAGCAAGCATCCATGTGGTTGTTTGAGCCGCAACACATTCCAGCCTCCTTTTGCCTATCTCGCGGTTTCATCCCATGCTTATTGGCAGGTCGACGTTCACTCCCGCGAGGCCAGGTCCGGGTTTCCCGCCCACGTATACGCTACTAGCCTTCGTCTAATGACTTAAATCTACCGCTTTCTCCAGTGTTTTGGTTCTGTTACTACTATAGCGTTCTCAAGTTGACGCTAAAGTGTGGAACCGAATTGTCGGCCTCACGCGGCAAGTGCTGCAACCATGAGTAACCTGGCTATATCTCCTGAGACGCCTCTCCCGCCCTCCAGGTCTCCAAAGCTGCAGCGGGTACTTGCTTGTGTGCTCTGTCAGCAGCGCAAGGTCAAATGTAACCGGAGCTTCCCGTGCACCAATTGTATTAAATCTAGGGCGCAATGTATACCCGCGACGCAGGTCACTCATCACCGAAAAGACATGTTTCCCAAGCGAGAGCTGCTAGACCGTGTTATCAAGTACGAAGACCTACTTCGTCGAAACAATGTCCCATTCGAACCCCTTCACAAGGATCAAACTGGAGAAAAGCAGACTCCCAATGCCGGTAACGAGTACGTTTCGGTCGATGAGCAGTCGAAGGACGTGGGGATAGATGACTCGTCCCCCTCGGGAAATATTAAGTCTGAAAAATCAGAGGAGGCCAAGTATGCACTCAGCAACAAGGAATCTTGACTATTACTGAATCTTATCAGGGCCGTATGGAATGCCATGACACAAGGGGTATGACTACATCGAATACGACTCAAGCATTACTAACGATTGGCGTAGTTACGAGACCCCGCTAAAGATAGCGACTCATCCTCATCTCCTCGGGACACCCCAGGCCTTGGGGTCAGGACGGCATGGGATCATGTACACGAAAATAATGATCTTCTCTTTGGCCCATACAAACCCGTCGACCTGTCTAGTCTCCATCCCAATCCCGTCCAGATCTTCAGGCTCTGGCAGATATACATTGACAATGTTAACCCTATGCTCAAAGTCACACACTCTCCCACTCTGCAAAGCCGCATCATCGAAGCCGCCAGTAACGTGCGCAATGTGGACCCAAACCTGCAGGCGCTCATGTTCAGCATCTACTGCATGGCCATTCTAAGCATGATGGACGATTGCGAGGCCATTTTTGGCGCATCAAAAGAAGCCCTTTTGAAAAAGTATCATTTCAGCTGCCAGAAGGCTCTCCTGAACGCCAGCCTTTTACATACAAGCAATCGCGACTGCTTGACCGCCTTTTTCCTCTATCTGGTAAGCATTAGCAAGTCATTCTACTCGTACGTGCTCACAACATGTAGGTGTCAGTCAGACCAAGTACCAACCCCCACTCTCTTTCTTCCCTGCTTGGCCTCGCCGTTCGAATCGCACAGCAAATGGGTCTCCATAGCGAATCGGCCTGCGCCAAACATCCCCCTTTCGAAGCCGAGATGCGTCGACGCCTCTGGCGGTCTCTTACAGTCTTTGACACTCGTATTGCTGAAATTGCCAGCATTGCCAGCTACAGGCCATTGGCGCTCGCTCCCACATGGGACTGTAGAATCCCCCTGAACGTAAACGACTCTGATCTTCGACCGGAGATGAAGGATCCGCCGACGATGCAGGCAAAATCTACCGACGCATTTTATGTCGTTGTGCGAAGCGAACTCGGAGAATTTGCCCGCCACATCACATATCCCTTTGAAATTACTCATTCGGCCGCGAAGGCGGGAACCAAGAATGTGCAGAATAGTCCCATCTCAGGGGCCGGCGGAGCACTCACCGCGCTTGAGAAGAGGATCGAGGACGAGTATCTCAAGTTCTGTGACCCTGAAATCCCACTGCACTTCATGACACTATGGACGACACGCGCGTTCCTGGCCAGATACAGACTCATGGAGCACATTTACCAATTCTTAGACTTGACGGTCCCGCAAACGGACGCTGAGCACGACACGGCCAACGCGCACGCCATTCGTTTCCTCGAGTGCGACACGAAAGTGATCGCCTCACCCCTAACTAGGGGCTACATCTGGTCGCTGCACTATCATTTCCCCTTCCCGGCCTATTTCCAGATCATGCAGGACCTGAGAAGACGGCCGGTAAGCGAGCATTCCGATCGCGCTTGGGAGGTTGTGTCTGACAATTATCTCGCGCGTCTGGTTTTCGGGGACAAGGAACATGGACCACGGTTCCGTGTCTTCACGTCTATGGTGCTTCAGGCTTGGGAGGCTCGGGACGAATTGTCTATAAGGGAGAGCCAATCGTGCAGCCGCCGAAGATTGTGGTGCATCTTAGACATGTGCTGTCACAGGCGTCGCGAAATGCGACTGGTGAATATTCAGACGAAAGGAGGGAGACGGATGTTGATGATCTGTCGATGTTTATGCCTACGAGTTTTGGTGACGATGGTATGCTTAATGGATACGCGGGAACGGTGCCAATGACTTCCCAGGATGCAATGGATATGGACCCGAATATATTTTCCTGGCCAGTCATGGATTGGAGTTTTTCGAATACATCGGATGGCAGAAGATTGTACCAGGCCGATACGACAGAGGCATCACTTCTTAATGGAGAACAAGGGATGGCTGCGGGTCAAAGTTCTTGGATATGAGCCTCAGGCAGAGTGACCAATCGATCGATATCGATCAACATCATATTCATCCGATCAGTACCGGTACAGATTACTAAGCAACCGGTATCGATCGGTATTGATCACATATAACCGGTCCGGTCAGATAGAGGTCGGATCGATCAATAGCGGTTGTACGGAGTTGTTTATTTTTAACGGTTTTGCGCCCAATTAGCTAATTCGCGTGAAACCTCACCATCCAATTCAACGTTTGATACCTTGTCAAGCAGATGGAGTGGCAACTCAGCCTGATAAACGCCTGCTAAACTCCATGACCTGATACATTGTGATGCCCCAATAACGTGGCGTTTTAGGCGAGATCTTCGTGCTGATACCATCTCTCCTACGCTGTTAAACTGGCGTTCTGTTTCTGCTTGCGCTGAAGGTATCGTAAGGAAGTCAACAGCCATATAAGACAGTTTGGTGAAACGTTTTGCGCCAATATCACGCCACCAAGCTACTGGGTCCTTTAAATATTGGTCCACGTTAACCACAGGTTCTGCCAGGTAGAGGTCAAGCTCGTCTTGTTGTGATTCTTCCTGCCTAATCGGCACCGGCTTGGTGTTTCTGCCCTTTCCTTTCCTTCTCTTTACTATTGGCTGTGTATCTTGTGTACTTTGCGAATCAAGGACCTCGGAGTCGGCGTCGCTCATATAAAAACGCTTGCGGCGTTGAAGCATCGTAAGGACTGGCTGGTTCTCAGCTTCAGCTAAAGGGTTGGTCTCAGGAAGGGGCCTAGACGAGGGTCAGTTAGAGATGAACAGTTATCTAGATATTATACTTACCTATTTTTATAGTCACCCTCCCAACGCTTCCTCAACCTAGCCATATAATGCTCATGTCAGACCTTATAACTAACAAAAAAATACCTCATTCTACAACGAGTGGGTCCCTCGTCTTTTGACGGTCAATTTGGTCCAACAGCTCACGCCAACTCAGCTCTTGGCGTATAGGTTCAGCATCAAAAATGGCTTGCAACCCACTCATTTTCATGGTCGGGTTGAAGATAACGGCAGCGGGGTACGCCAGATTCGTCAGCTTATCATAATACTGCTGCAGCTTCCACAGGCCAACCTTGATGTGAACCTTTAGGAATCGGCGCCGTTGATCATCAAGATCCTTGAAAATCTCGAGGTTTTCCTGAATAGGAGGACCAGCAGGATTATCTGGGTTATCGCGTTCAAGATAACAGTTGCCCTGGGCACAAGATTCGAGATGAAGAAGTAGGTACTCCATCTGAGGAAAATACTGATCAAGTGCGCCTTTAGGGCCGTTGCCCTGAAGCTGTTTTGAGGCGTACTTGAAAGGGGCAAGAACCTTCTGAATTACCTCAACCACACGCCATTCCTGAGGACCTAGTCGAAATTCAAGAATAGGTGGTTTATTCCCCGGTTTAGAACCAGCCGATTCCCACTGGTCCTGGAGGTTTTGGTGCAAATGCTGAAGCGGCCGTTGTAGCTGCAAGGCGCGCGCCGCCATGGCTTCGTCGCTTTGCCAGCGCGTTGCGTTGTTATGAACCCATTATTTCACGGTTGCTTCAGGGTCAACCTCTATCTGGGCATCGTGAAGGGCGCCGACGAGCTGACTGCTCCTGTGGAAGGAATTGCCGTGGTTATGAAGCTTGCCAAGAGGGCCACGTTTTTGATACCTCGCCATCGTCTGCCTGTTGATCTGATCAGGAGCATGATAATCAAAAGATTGCAAAACAACGCTAATCTGGGCTTCGGAAACCTCGTCTTCATCATCACCATCCTCGCTGCCGCTGGGAAATGGGTTAAGACCTGATAAGTTATCAAGGTTTTCATCCTCGTCGTCTGATTCTTGCTGACTTAGCTCATCCTGCAGGTTATCACGAAGCCCATCAAACGCAGCATCTAGTGCTTGATCCTCTTCCTCCTCATCTGCGAAGCTCTGTTGACCCCAAGTTGCCAGTACGTTATCTAACGGCAGCCGTTTGCAACCATCACCATATAATAAGGCACGAACGGCGAGTTGCAAGGCGTGAGGAGCACACTTAATGTGCCTCTCCTCGCCATCAAACCCGAGCTGTTGGCCAATAACCACCATAGTAGTCCCATTATTGGACTCGTTATCCAAGGTACAATAACCAACAAGATCCTCAATTTCGAAAAAGCGCAAAATTGCCAATACCTCGTCGGCTACGTCAGATCCTGTATGGCGCTTGATCAAGGCAGGAAGACCTAGAAGGATAGACCACCTCTTGAAGTCCTTGTCGATAAAATGGGCGTGGATTCCTACAAACGAGGTGAATCTCCTTGAGGTCCAGCCGTCGAACGTTATATGAATCATCCCACGTGCTGTACGAAGCAACAACCTTACCGGCGTCACGGCTCGTCTATATTCGGCCAAAAGGAGGTGGATCATCGATTCGGAGTGGGGTAGGTCGGCCTCTTGAAATATTACGTTGTTGTACAACTGCTGACGCCACCATCAAGGATTATCAAGGATTCTAAAGGATAGATTCGAGGTGGCCAGCCAATCCATAATTAGGAGGTTGTTTAACTGTTTATTAAACCGTAAAGAAACGCGAGAGTGGAGGGCTTGTTGTTGTGGTTGATTTACTTCGACCATCGAATCTAAGGTACGTTGGGTGCCAGCTTGGTGTCTCGATGCTAATAAGGACGTGATTTGAGGGCTCTATACGAAAGAATTGGTAGTTAGGCCCTCATTCTTCGTCTATTTGGCTATAACACGTACCTCGATCTGATGCTTGGCTTTTAGGTGCTGCTCAATTGATCTGCTCGTTGAAGCAACATATTTGCAATGCCCAGGAGGGTAATTAGCAAGAAAGCAAAGCTCACATACCCAATAAATCCCGTGCGTCTTGGATTTATTAGGGTCTTTTAGTCGGTAACCGTGTTTCCACCACCATTTGCGCTCTGCTTTGGAATCGTGGCCATTTAGAAGACCTGGATACCTTGCCCACCGTTCAGAAGTCCAAAGAGAATAATCTGGGAAGCCAACTGGCTGGTTATCTTGGCTTCTAGATGGCTTTGAGGCAAATGAAGAAGTAGGTGAAGAAGGCGCGCTTGAAACCGTTGGTAACGTCATCTTAGTAGTAAGTTCGAATAGACAGTACTTATTGCAAAAGCTGATTTTGACCATAATAATAGACGTACATAACGTGAATGTACACCGAGCTGGCCACTCTTACATAACCTCGCATAGAAATTTTACGATAGTAAAACCACAACGCCGTAAATCAATTGAAACTACTCTGAATCTTCCTCTCCAGAAGATGGCAATGCGATCTTACAAGTTCGCGCATTATGCCCAGTCCCGTTGCAAATACCACAGCGCCTCGGGCGCGTTTTTACGCGTTTGGAGAGTGCTTCGGGGGACTTGGTACATTTTTGCCGCTTGTCGGAGACTAAGTTTTTGGTCATTTTTGAGAGCTTGAAGGGCTAGCATTAAGTCTGCTTCGTTGTATGACTTTGCCATAATTGGTTGTTGAGAAAATCAAACATTAAGTTGGCCGGTCGCGTTGGCGCATGAAAGTGGCCAGCTCGGTGTACATTCACGTTATCGTGAACAGTTATCTAGTAAAGACCTAAGTACCCCACGGTCCAATTGAACACTTCTTAAGACCTCGTACAATAAGATATAAGTTAATTCAACTATAACGTAAAAAAATAATTAAAACTACTCGGAACTATCTTCTTCAAATATCTCTTTACTATTCTGACAAGTACGCATATTATGACCGGGCTCTCCGCACGTCCTACAGCGTTGCTGAAGTATCTCTGGCCTCCTCGTACGACTACGACTCCAGCACGATTTATTATCTAACTCTCCGTTAACTAGCTTCTGAGACTGTAAATCTTCTCCAGCTTGTATACGAAGTGATCCTCCATACTGTAAACGTTTTTTTCTCGTATAACGCCGCCGGCTAAGTGTCTCATTTGCCTTTCGAAGCGCGGCGTTCTCACCCTCTAAAAGAGCAAGCCGGTGCATAACCTGCGTCGTACCCTTCGCAAACTGGTCAAGTGTAGTAAGTGTAGCTGTCGGAGAGCTATTTTGATGTCGTATAACTCGGTTTTTCACGTATTCGGTCTGGGATTGTGCCTCAATTGGGTTATTTGGGGTCTTCGACTCCCAGATAATAGGAAGGCCAGACGAGGTACCCGGAGGTGTTAGAGTATGTAAGTTCACATCTAACTGCAAAATCACATATTCCGGATCGTACGATACGAGTCCTGCCCCTCGGAAACCTCCCTGGATATTTGATATCGTAAAAGTTGCCTGGAACGCTTTTAAGAACGCGGAGAGGAAGTCCTCCTTCGAGATATGGGTAATATGTGCCCGCATAAGATCCTCAATTTCTTTACCGTACGCTCTTTTCAGTGCACGAAAACAGCCGATATCGAGAGGTTGGAGCTTATGCGACGAATGAGCAGGCATACAGAGGGTGATAATAGAGTTCTCTTTACAGTAGAGCTCGAAAGCGGTCGAGTGGTGGCTCTCGTGGCCGTCGAGAATTAAGAGGCGATAAACACCTTTCGTACGAAGCTTTGTATGTTGATCGAAATGTCGAATCCAGTCCTCGCCTCTTTCATTTGTAGTCCAGCCATTTTTCGTAACCGCGATAACCCAATCCTTTGGTAGTAGGCTATTTTCGTACCACGAAGATAGGTGAGTTTTACCAGCAAAGATGATATACGGAGGGATAGTATAGCCGTCCGATCCGACGCCCTGGATAACTGTAACCCATTCCCTATTCCCTTGCTGTACTGCTCTAGGTCTTCCACGTCGATCAGAGGTCGTTACAACTATCTCGGATGAGATTTGACCCATAAGAAACCCAGTCTCTTCAAAATTATAGATATCCTCCTCTTGAATTCCATACTTATTAATTGTATTCCGTACGAGATAAAACCACGCGCGGTACGCGTCGGGATCTTCGCAGAGGACTCTCTAGTAGTCTATTCTTCGATTAAAACGCGTCCGGAGGTCTGGTTGTCGTCGTACGAAGCGCGAAGCCCAGTTAATACCGACGCGTCCTGCGTCGCGTTGGTGGAGTAGTCGATTCGCCATATCTTCAACACCACTTATTCGAGGAGGAAATGATCGTGAATCTAGGTCTAATATGTAGCGTACGATCGCGTCTTCTTCAGAATAGGTAAGCTTTTGCGTTGGTGATCGTATATCCTGTCGTGAAGTACCGCCGCGATATCGGTGACGTAAGGTTGTATGAGGGATATTATAGATCCGTGCTACGGATCGTACGCTTAGTTTGGGGTTATTTTGAAGCGCTTGGAGCGCTAATTGAATATCGCTTTCTTCCCAATTACGTGCCATTGTAGAAGGTGGAAAATAAGGGATAAAACCTAGGTTGTACGGAAATGCGCGAAAGTGTTCAATTGGACCGTGGGGTACGTTAATAAAGGTTATGTCAGCGGTGTTAAGGACTAGAGTGGTCGTTATTTCCACAAATGATAAGCTGAGATGAGCAAAACCATGTGATCGATGGTCTGAACAATCGTCCAGAAAACCCGGGTAAACAAAAGGTTTCGCCCCCCGCAACTCTATAGCGTCGGCAGAGGTTTAATCGTCTTCGAATACATCCTCAGCTTCAGTACTGATCCACCTGTTACATCTCCATAGGCGAGGAAAATCACCACCAGGCAAATTTCGAAGTTTCGCAGGCGGGATCATGTATTGCTGTTTCTATTCAGCATGACTCTGCTAGGTTTTTGGGGCACTGAAGTGTGAAACTCTATCTGCGCCAAGAGCCCGACAAGTAACTGTTATCGTTGAATTTGTGAATGACCAAATTGTAACATATATCTAACCTGCACGCTTCGATTACTCTATACCAAAACAAGTAGGGCATGTGAAATATTCACGTCAACGACACCTCCGTGGCGTCACATTTACAGCTCGATTAGCTGCACAGGCGCATTGGGAAAACGTATCGATCGCTCTAAGCATGCACCCTAGTTCTGTTCATATCATCTATGAGCACAATCCTGCATCTATATTCAGGGGTGCTCGGACATATTGGTAGACCGTCAAAGCTTTTACGCCAAATTGCCAGTTTGTGAGGCCCTATGGCCACCCAACGTATCACATAATTACAAGTCTATCTCTGGAGACACTCTGCTTCCAAGTAAAAAAGTCTCCAGAGATAAACACAATCAATGCAATATAGTTGCATAATTGGTGCAATACATGTTGTGTGGAGCAGATATCCCACAACCGATCAGAGTCAAGAAGTCTCCCGGGTGGGGAGCCGAGTAGGGATCTTCACTGGTTGTTTTCACGATCTAAACCTTATCTTCACTACCGGCTTCGATGCGAGACGGATTCACGAGTCATGCTCAATCGATTGGCACAACAGAACTCCTTGCTACTTACTGTCATTTGACACTGTCATTTGACACTGTCAAGATTATAACTGATGTCGGCTTTTCCCGCAGACCTTTCTGTTTATGAACGAAACCCTGTTCCTAAGGACTCTCAGAGATTTCCAGACAAGCATCTCCATCCTTAAGACGACTGTGGTCGAAACTTTTCCTGCCATGCGAAAATGTGCACAATAACGAGTTCACATCTAGTACGACGTCAGGTGTTAACGTACACAGAAACAGAAGCAGTGAGGCTCGCTAGTATCGTTGCGGCGATATTTTCCAGCAGTTTAATTATGTCGCTACTCTGTAGGTTTCCCTGCTCTATTTTGGAAAATGGAAGCGTTGCTAAGGTCCTCATACTCAGTGTTGAAATATGTCAAGATCAGCGAGTGGTCCAAATTGACTTACGTGCAATGGTGTATGTAGAGACACCCTCTGATTACCTGAATAAGCCTGACATGCTGGCTTCAGTGGTCCTGGCAATATACACTGGTGCATTCATCTTCAATCTCAGCGCCGCTGTGTTGCAGTTTGGCGTGGACCTCAGTTCTACGTATGGATCTTGTGAGGTGGCGACTTTGATATGTCTTGCGCTCTATGTTTCAACCAAGGTATGACACCCAACTGTTGTGCGAGCGCTTTGAAAGAGGCTAATGTTAATTCTAGCTCGTGAGTCTCATATCAATTCTGCTACCATCGCTACTTCTGTCCTCACAAACCAAAACAGCTAGTCTGGTTATTTATGGTAGAGAAAGCCGTAAGTTCCCCGAGTAAAATTCGGCACAAGACTAAGTTGAGGACAGCATGTCGTTCGTGGTAGCAATACCAGTCGTCTAAAGTCCAAGCTCTATATCTTCGACCACGCATTCATCATTGGTTCGTTTTTGTTCGATATGCGGAACTTCCAGCTCTAATTACTGTAACAAGGCTCCTCTATAATCGTGATCACACTCCTTTTCGTATTGTCAGTGTATCTCCATGGGCACACGTCAACCAAACTGGCTAACCCCCGGCGCAGCCGCATTAACAATAAGGACCCTGAGACAAAAGCTTGCATCATCGGGGTGCATAGGCGAGCATTAATTCCCGCAGTGATATGGAATTTTCTCGTAAATGTGAGTCATGCTTCCTCGTTGATGGGTTCTTTACGCCACCCAAACAGCAACCCATGTGTATTTTGTTGGACGCCGGAAGCTGAGTCATTAGTATAGTTTTACCTGGCTATGATTTTCTCATTGCGCTTGTGGAGTGGGTTCCGGTTTCTCTATTCTTCGCGTCATCAAGGACTGACTGGGCCATGCACATTAGACCATATTTCCCGATTGGGTTCTAAAGTCTGTGGAATACTTCGACTTGATAGCTCGCCTACAGGCCACCGCCCATTAAGCCTTCAAACGAGAAAACTCGCAATCAAAACATTCTGTGGCGTTGCTATCATGCTATCTACTACTGCGAGGTACGCATTCTCACCCTCTTGAATAGGGACAAGAAAATAGGTCGAGATTAATTTTACATGCCCAATAGCAATCTAATCGTACTTGCGAGCTTAGACGGAGAGCCAGCTTGGGCTTGTCTCTTATCATGCAAGGCAGATTGTGAGTCCCATCGCTGGACTTCAGTTAAAACGTCCTTGAACCCACAAAACTAAGCAAAGCTTACGACTTAGTGCTCATTAACGTCTTAATCATCCATTGGGTGACGTATAACCCCCGAAGTCAAGATATGAGTGCGATTGAATCGTCCACTTCCGGCGAGGCGGCCCATATATGTAGTCATGCGGAGCCGATGTCCACAAGACAAGGAATTTTGAATTACGCACTGCCACCTCGACGAATGAGGCCTAGGAGCGAGATATTCGTTCCTCACGTTTCGCGCAAAGGCAAGTGAGAAGACTGTTTGACGCGATACCCTTTTCACTATCTCTTTGTCTTTTGGTCACCAAGCTGACGTTGACTTCAATAACAGTGCTGTTTGACACGAATGATGACTCAGATGAGAAAGACTGGCAGTCAAACGAGCATACGGGCGTTGACAAGCACGACGGCACAGATAAATCAGAGCAACATGGGGTAGAATTTGAGAACCGTCACGCGTCGGATGGGCTTGAAACAGTAGAGAAGGTTTAATGGCGATTTCCCGTGTGCACTTGTGGTGCGCATCAAGGACAGTTGACCCCCTGCGAGAATTTCTGGGAGAGCTTTAAGCATTCTGGCTGCGTTGGGTGAATAATAGTTCGTTAATATGCAAATGTGCTGACATTATTTAACCTACTTGCTGAAGAAATTTGAATGTTATATTTGTTGTTCGCGGAGAAATGGAAGGATCCGACGGAATGTTAACGTACGATTGCGTTGAAAACGCATTACCGTTCTCCGAGATAGAAGTCCTACAGTAAACGGCTCCCAAACTTCGTTATATGCTACTAAGTGAGGGATTCAATCCTTTATTGATGACTCTGTGGCGATCCTGTCTGGATTGTTGTATCTGTAGCTATTTTATCTACGGGGAAGGGTTTTGACCCCACCAAAGTTCAATTGCCGCTACACCGCCTTCGGCCTAGGACATAACCGTGGCGCTCAATCCCACACTAAGAACATTTTTCTACTCTACCAGAAGAGAATCAACCTAAGCATGGAGTAACCAACGCTTTCCACAGTATTTGTCATGTCTTGACTTTAATCCCGATCTGGGGCAGTTGTTCTTGCATCCACATACTTTGTATTCGCCGTTGCTAATAACCAGCATGGTCTGACTTATTGCTGCCCAAACAAGAATATCACGGAAATTTCCACTAACGTACCCCACAAGCAAGTTGGCCACTTTTTCTTGGCACCGTATGAATAACTTCAATGACTTAACTAAACTAAAAAATAATAATTCAAACTAATCGGAATCCTCTTCCTCGTACTTATCTTTATCATTCTCACAAGTACGAGCATTATGCCCGGGCTCTCCGCAGATCCTACAGCGCCTCATACGACGACGACTTACACGTATATCATCCTGTAGCTGCTGTTCAATATCCCGTTGAGACTGCTTAATATCCAGCTGTGAAATCACATATTCCGGGTCGTACGGAATAAGTCCTGTCCCCCTGAAACCGAGGGACATTGTAGAGTTGGGCAGCGCGTCGGATGCTTAATTCGGGTTTCGATTGAAGCGCCTGACACGCTAGAGAAGTGTTCATCCTGAAGTACCGGGCGCTCACTCTGCGTGCTACAGCAGTCAGAGACGGTACTGTCGTCCGCGAGGTCCACATACACGAATAGGCTGATGAAAGTGGAGTAGATATGCAACTCGTGAAGCCCGACGCATCACTAGGGAATTCAAGAGTCTTCAAGGTAGTCATTAAGCACTTGAGCTTTAGTAGAGTTTTGGGGCGAATAGTAGGCTGAATGAGTAGCCCAGGCTCGTCCGAGAGGAGAAACGGGGTGCACTAACCTGTGAATTGCAATTCTGCAGTCCAGTGTATCGACAAGTATCGTCAGCCCTTTGGAGGCTGGACAAATGCCCATGGTTTGAGTTGAGGGGTCAGAGACTAATAGGACGGAACGCGTACATTTCGCGTGTCCTCGCCACGGACGCAAAGGGTATCTCTGAGCCCGGCCCCCTTCAATGAAATCCATATGTGGGTGAAATTACTGTGCTTTAGAATTTTGGCCACGGGCTTGCGGTTCTCTCTCGCTCTCCTAACTTCGGGGAGCCATCATAGAATGGTCAAGCAGCCCCGCAACCTCACGTCTCACGCTGGAAATAAGATGCCGATGAACCAGCTTCAGGCTCTCTGTAGTTCCAAGGATATACATTCGTTTAATTTCTATTAACATAGTCCACAAGCGAACGGGTCACGCCAACTAGCAAAACATGGAATTCAACACGATTTCGCAACCACAACGCCGTGAATCAATTAAAACTACTCAGAATACTCTTGCCCAGATGATTCTATCTCTACCTGACAGGTTCGCGCATTATGCCCGGTCTTCCCGCATACGCCACAGCGCCGTTGCCGTGGCTGGCCACGATTTGATCCAGCGCTATTTCCACGCATTTCCTGCTGTACTTGCTGCGCAACGTCCTTTTGATCTTGAAGATCTTGTACGTCTTGTGAATTAAGTGATCCTCCAAGCGGTACTCGTGTCTTTTTGGCCCTGCGCCGCTTGCTAATTAGAGCATTTGCCTCTCGAAGTTCGGCGACCTCAGCTTGGAGTAAAGCCATCTTATGCATAATACTCCGCGCTCCTTTCGAAAACTGATCGATAGCATCGTAAATTGACGTCGGGGAGCTATTTTGATGCCTAGCAATTCGAGATTTAATAAATTCGGATTGCGAAGTAGCCTCGGTTGGGTTGTTTGGCGTCCGAGAAGCCTAAGGAAGGGTTTCCCGCGTAGGGGGCCGCGAGGACGTTGGAGTCTGTAATTTCACATCCAGCTTCTCAATAACAATATCTGGGCTTAAAGGCACAAGCCCAGCCCCTTGAAAGCCTGCACGAATATTGCTTTCGGTCAGGCTCTTCTTGAACGCGTCGCAAAATGCCGGAAGAAAGTCCTCCTTTGTGATATGCGAGTCGCGTAGCAGTCGGTTTGCCATATCTTCAACAGCACTTAGCCGGGGAGGAAATGCTTGCGAATCTAGCTCAATTATCTTTTAAATAATCGTATTTTCTTCTAGTTTTGTTAAATTCCGACCGTTGGCTTCGATATTGCGACGTGATTGACGTTTTTGAAGACGCGCCTGGAGAGTAGTATTCGAGACTTTGTAGATTGTTGCAGCACGTCGGATACTAAGTGTTGAGTCATTTCTGATAGCCTGAGTTGCAAGGAGTAACTGAGATTCTTTTTGAGCAGAATCCATCGAGAATTAGTTGCGTGGTAAAGTTAGGAAGTTTAGTTCTATTTTTTGCTATGGGCGTGACCCGTTCGGTTGGGTGACCCGTTCGCTTGTGGACTACGTTATAAGCGCATGAAGGAATTTTCTTCCCTTCCAAATACCGTTCACTACTTATTTATCCTTTTTATGCTTCTATACTAGAAAAAAGACCTCTCTACATTTATTACAGTCTTATTTAATATAGCAAATGAATGAACGTCTAAGATGCCAGAGTTTCAGTCTCGGCGGATACCGTATTATGCCTTGTCCAAGGACTGATCAACTTGTCTACCATCACAAGTCGATTAGGAGCCAAAGCTTGCATTTTTGTATCACAATTTACAGGAGCTGCGTTTGGTACATATCTGCGTTAACTTTGTGTTCTTTGTTGCTGAGATGACATGAGACCATTAATGTAGCTTTTACTCGCCATCCGGGCTTGTTATGAGTCTGGTCGAACATGTTTGGAACCTTTTCCCTTCGCAATGTCGAAACTTTCCTTTCGCGAACCCTAGATACTGTATATAGCTGCCCGAGCCGGTTTGGGCACCACATTGGCATTGGAACAAAAGATACACGCCTTGGGTTGCATGGGACGGGTCCTGGCATAGCTCTGGCGTTGTCACCCTCAAGATGATTGGACTATGCGAGCAAACAAACGGGCACACTGCTCCCGATTTGCGCACCCCTACTTTCGGTACCAGGCGCCTCCATTACCGGCTTTGTCAAAAGTTGTTTGTGGTACTGGGGCAGGGTTCTGTTCATCTTACACGAAAAGAATTCATTCTCGCACATTTCCACCAATGATCTCTCTGTTACTTTGAGTAGTTTAATCGTGTTCTTGCTTGCATAGACTCGATGCGTCCCTTGCCTCGTTATCTGCCCAACCGTTGCTTGGCACGACGACTTGTACCACGACTCGACTGATCTTGCTCCCGTACACATTGGCACACTCTGACCAGGGAAATGCTGGTTCACCATGCAGGCACAAAACGTGAGTTTACGCCGTGTCACCTAAGCAGAGCGAACTTTCGACTGAGAATGCATTCGGCCTAGACACCCCTGGGAATAAGTCCAACATGCATAGAACGGTTTCAGGACCCGGAGCCCTTACATGGAATAAACTGGTCTGCCACATGTTTGTGATTTGAAGGATAACAAACATCAGGTCCCAGGTACTCGCTCTGTCGGGCGAGTGGTTCATACATATTTATCAATGTACCCTTTCCATATCGCAATTTACAACCCACAAGTGTCTTTCTAGAGATTGAGAAGTGCCCCTTTTTCTGCAAATATCATTTGCAATTTCTCCAAGCTATTCTACCGATATTTAACCCCTTAAGCTACGAGCTGTTATTATTCCATTGCAGAACTGCATCGCTCAACGGTATTAATCGTCAAACACTGCCACTATGAACGTCCCCGGAGCGACCGGAATATCTACAACAATAGTAGCGACTCTGATTGTTGCTCTCCGGCTTTTCACGAGACTTTCTGTTACGCGCCAAGGATTGGGACTCGATGACTGTGAGCTCCGAACCCACCAATGTTCATGAAACACTACTGATTTTTGCGGAAGGTCTAAATCTCGCTGCCTTGGTGCTCGTATGGGTGTTTTTGGGTGGTTTCTTCCCATGTGGGTCTAGCAAACCAAGGTGCAGGGCGTCTTTGCTAATGCTGCGAGACAGTCTACGATGCGATCGATAATTTGTTCCAGGCTCAAACCGAGGAGAACAACCGACGGTTCGAAATAGTATGTGTTTACTAACCGTTTTAAGTTGTTCGTCTCAGTTAATTTTTCCGTCATAGTACAACGCCGTTACCGGAATCGCCTTTACCACAGCCTTGGCTCTCAGCAAACTATCCATTCTGGTGTTCTACCTCCGCCTTTCCCCTGTTCGGTCCCATCGGTACCCCGTTTATATACTCATGAGCTTACTCTGTCTATATACCCTGGGGTGCAACATCTTCTCTCTTCTCATATTTTCCCCTCTGGCCCAGAAGGTGAAAGATGCAGACACAATATTCACTCCCCTATACGCCATAGGCAACATCGTGATTGACTTTTGCATCCTACTGCTACCTATACGAGCCGTTTTGCCTCTTCAGATGAGTGCGAAAAGAAAGGTGTTGGTTTTGATGATCTTTACCACCGGCACTGTGTAAGTGATGGAATATTTCACAATCTTTCCCTACTGTTACTCCTTGCCCCTTGGCACTATCTTATCTAATAGGATGGCAGGGTTTGCGCCTTTGCAATTTGGAGAGCCACGTGCCTCACGTTCATCTCCAAGTCACTGCCGACGAAAACAGCGATATCGAAAGAGTTGGCTATCTGTTTCGGCGAGGTAAATGGAGGAGTCATCTGTGCAGCGGTGCCAAGTATCTCAGCCTTCTTCACCAAGTTTCTCCCCGATGTCTACGCGTCGTATGTCAAAGGTTCACAAAGTTCGTCATCCATTGGCAACTCACCTTTCTCCACCACTGAGAGCAAGAATGTGAACCGTCGTCAAACCCATGAGCAAAGTTACAAGTCTCGCTCGCATGAAGCTGTATCGACTTCCCATCATATTTGAAGAGCCATTTGTGGCATTGACCTTTCTCTTAGTAGTTCTTGGTCCAAAGTCTCTCTGAGTAATCGTCTTTCAAAACCTGAATTTAGGTGGACAAAGGAAGCTAGTCGAACCACGACATGACCTAAAGGCGGCACTCTGGCAACGGGATACTGTACTAGCGAACTATATCTTAGAAAAGACTAGAACGCATTATAAGATAAAAATGTGACAACAGTTTGCAACACGCTTTATCGTTTCTCGAACTGCTTGATTTAAGTTGTAGAATGTAATGATCACCCAGTAGGCCACATCATCGGCATCGTTTTCCCGGAGGATTTCCTGCAGAAGAACGTGATTGACGTCGGCCTGTCGGCGTTCCCAGGCGATATTATGGCCAAAAGCTTTGATAAATGCACAGAAGTTGAGACTGGGCCCTCTCCACTTGCTGCTAAATACGAACCCAAGACGATCACTGGTGAACAACTGACCTAGATATGAGCCAGGCGTAGCTACGTCCTTGAGCGTGCCAAGTCGATGAGTTGCTCATCCTGCAGGAACTTTCCTACTCTGCAGCAAACGATTATTTCTGCGTTCATTAAGGGTAACGAGAATGCTCATTCATATCTGAGCGTCCGGGTAGAAGTGATGCAGTGAAGGTACCATTTAAAGGGGATGAAGTCGGAAGGGTGGAGAGGATATTGATGCGGTAGTAAGGCTGAAAGACTTTCTAATTCTCGTTTATTATATTGCCTATAGCTCAAAGACTTGCACGCCTGGGGAAAACTTTTGGCAGACCATCAAGCGCAGCTTTCTAATAGAGGTACAGGCGCTAGAACCTCCCAGCTCCATGATGGTCTTGCGAGGCTCGCGGTGTTTGGGGGATTGCTTAGATGTTGAGATGACGTTTGCGATGGACCTGTCGGGCCGCACCGGCCTTAGCCCCCAATGATTGGTTTTCCGCTTCCGGCTACAACTGCCAGTTGTCAGGTTTCTGAACCCTGTGCGCCAAATGCTCTGGTGTATCAGTCACTGTTATGCTCAGACATGACCAGCATTCTTAAAATGTGCAGCCAAGAGGCACAATTTTCTGTACTTAGGATCTTTATAGCCACTCTCGCCCCTTTTGACTAGAAGAGACAGAGACACATTTAATCCCGTGTTTTGTTATAGCTGGCAATAAGTACGATACCTTCGTGTCAGCTCAACATAGGATTGAATTTGTCTCTGTCTCTTCTAGTCAAAAGGGGTGAAAGTGGCTATAGAGACCTGAGGTACATAAAAATATGCCCCTTATCTGCTTACACCAGAGCAAATGTTAGATACTCTAAATCAGCCGTCAAGCATAAAAGAGCTAGGAAAAGGGGCGCTATAGAAAAAATGGCTGGTGCGGTCCGACAGTTACTGAACATCATGGTGGGGCCGATCTACGCCAATCAGAGGAGGGGAGGGGGGAAGTGTGAGGCAGTCGTGAAACCGGCTTGGGGCAAGGGAATTAGGCTCAAGGTTTTCCTGATTTTTGTTGCAATAATTCATCTCAAGAACCCTTTCTGCCACTTACTCTGGACATGGGCAGGGCGAATATTATTTTCCCAGCTACCAAGTTTCCGGTGAAGATGATTATTTCCATTATTAGATACTGTTCATTGGTACACAGATAGCCCAAGTAGGAGATGCTCCCACGTTCCTGCAATTTAGTTGCTTGGCCAAGCGTGTTTATCTGCTGCCTAGACTGTTTGGATCGAGAATTCTGGCGCGCTGACTTGAAAATTGATATAATATACTTGTTGCAATGCTTGGTTTATGCTGAACAGAGAGGCAGTGCTCTGGCCATATTTAGGGGCTGCCGCCTTGTAAGTGGATTCGTCGGTTTCGTACCGAGCAGCGATCTTCTCAACAGGAGTAGCCTTGACTCAGCTGCCAATAAGGAAGCGCTCCTAGTTTAAATCAGACATCACCCGTCCGCCAAGAAAGGATACAGAACTTTGCCGGGATCTTTCCACGGAATGAGCTTATTTCACAGGGTGGAACAAGCGCCGGTGTGCACTAGATGGTTACTGATCTAGATTCAGCCATGTAGTTAAATATGAAAATCATACGGTAACTCCGCTAATGGCTTCCGTCTTTTCCGCCTTTTTCCTACCTCAGCTTTAAGAAATCCCCCCTAATCAAGATTCTATAGATCCTCGCGATCTTCCCTATCAAAATGCCCGTGTGCCACTACAGCGCGTCTACTCATTATAGAAAACCTCTTAGCTGAACCACGCCGTCTCGGTCGTGGATCCGAATAAGGTGAAATTGCCTACTCAAGGATGTAGTCCATCGCATGATCTGTTTTCGTGTGTGAACCCTCAGTCTGCCAATTGCTATTTCATGTCGCGGTAGCTTTCGCATAGCAGCTGAGCGATATACTGGTTCGACTGAAAGCCGATGGCTGAAAAGGTGTCAGACCTTATAACTACCAAAAACACCTTATTCTATAACGAGTGGGTCCCTCGTCTTTTGACGGTCAATTTGGTCCAACAGTTATGAGCCCGGGTTTGCGTCTTAAGACTGCAAGATTGTCTCCGGTATTATCAGTCCTCCAATTCCGCATAAGATCATCGGCAATGGTTCGAGACGTAACTAGCCAAACCGCGTCAAAAAATAAGAGTTTTATTACAGAATTCATCCTCAAGGTAGAGGGGCGGACAATAAAAAGATGTTCAAGACCCTGCAGACACCGAAGATGAAAAGATGTACGACGGCCAACGAGGCCAACCAACGACATAAGCCAGATGCTACTACAACTTGACGATATCTCTCCAAGCTGAGGGGGTGTGTCAGACCTTATAACTACCAAAAATACCTCATTCTACAACGAGTGGGTCCCTCGTCTTTTGACGGTCAATTTGGTCCAACAGTTGGCGATGCACTCATGCAGAACAAATCTCAGTATATAATCAGAGATTCGTCTTCCAGCTTTTACTGTAGTGAATTCTGATCACATCAGAATTGGAAGTCATTACATTTGCGCTTCGATTGCATCATTTCGTAACCAGTAACAGCATTGGTTGCCAAGCACGATCCCAACGTTAGATCATCAAACTTTACGTTCTCCACGGGTACCACAACCATCATACTGTTATTCATTATCATTCTACGCTCAGCCCCGTCTTCCCCACCATGACACCGTCGTGCTCTTCGGAGGAGATGGAGAAGCACTCTTCTGAGCCTCATCATCACCATGCTCGCGAATGGTTGAGCAAGCCATGCCACAAAGCCGGCAAGTTCATCAAGGGTCGCTTCTGCCACGATCACCAACTTGGTGACAGTCAGCAAAAAACTGTGAAGCCGCAGACGTCTACCAAGACCTGTGACCCTATCTCCCAAGCGAAAAAGGACGCCCAACGACGCGAAGAGTGGGAGAGATACAAGGCCATTCAGGTTATGGGTGTCGATAGCCACGATTCCCGCAGATATGTTCGCTCTCTCGGCTGCTAGAGAATCTGCTGGGTCTATATGTCGTTTGCAGTCTCCTAATCAACCGAATCGCCTCCCTGACCTATCAGAGGTACATCGTGAGGCTGCAGGCGACCCAATCAGAGAAGAAGACAAAGCCTGGGTTTTATTTTTATTTTCTATTTCAGACATGTCGGTGGAGGCACTATGACCATCTGGGGTTGGGAAATAATATGGACGTCGAGTGCAGGGCTTAGGACTGGAGTCTATGAAATCCACGGTTCACATCTAGGCGATATGGTTGTTGCTTTGGGTTTGGTACAAGCACAGCAAGCCTCTCGATTTGATTCTTCATTTAATCCACTTGACAGCATCACCAGGAAGCAAGGAGTTGGAGCAGTTTCACCATTTGGATACATACCTCGATTCGTCCTCACTTGACGATCGATTCTCATATAGTAGTAACAGGCTCCTGTAGCCTTTTTTACCCTGCTGGCAGATGCGTTTTATTTGTGCTTGCTGAATTTGTGACATGGCTTAGACTTAGAATAAGCATAAGCATAGACTATAAAGGGTGACGTATGAGAATATAGCCCTATCTTCACGAAGCCATGCTGCAATTGGCGTTCTATGCTGGTTTGCTTTTGGTCTTGCATATCACGGGCGTCGACTATACAAGCTGGACACATAATATCCTGGGGAGTATTCTCTGGTCAGGCGTACTCGTACTTTCTGATGGCTTGATTTAGCAAAAGCCAGGGCTATGAGTCTACACACCACAAAGAGGCTCATGGGATGCGACTGTCGGTGACTGAGAGCAGCAAATATATATGCAAAGGCCGGTCGGCTTTGTACCACCAAACAGAATCTTCAAAATGACGCAACTAATGATTTCATCGTGGAAATTTTGGGTTGAACTTTTATAAGATCATAACTATACGAATGTGGCAATTTGTGCGCTAATAAGCATTGGTCTCTGATTCTTCTACTCGGTCGGTAGTTTCTTCCTCTACACCGATTTTCATCTTTTTCAATTAACGAACAAAAATAAATGAAACTATGACGCGAAAATCCCCAATTATAGACTCTCCTGTATTAGTTGGATGATGCGCTCTCATTACGCTATTGATGACTTTAGTGTCTCCGCCCCTAGAAACATGGCGTCGCTACGAACGCTGCGCCTGTATTTACTCATGGCACTGTATCCGATCAAGGCCATCGTAGACAACTACTTCTACAACTAAAGCCACCTGCATCAGTACATCTTGGGAATATGACTTTGGAATCGAGGGCCATCTCTAGTTATTGGCCCTAAATAACCCCCAACGCCTTATATATGGCTCTAACATAGGATCTACCTGACCCGTTTCCCATGCCAGTATCCGACATCTTGTTCATAGCATACGTTATCGTAAGGCGCCGGTCAAGATCCATGATAACAATCGAGCCACCCCATCCACCCCAAAAGCAGATCCTGCCTGGGGGAACAAAATCATCAACAGGAGTAACGGACCCATCATCCCCTGTACCCCTCAACCCGTACCCGACGCCTAACCGAACCTCCTTTCCCAAAACTAGATCAGTCCCCTTGACCTGCTCCTGGAAAATAAGATCCACCGTCTCAGGCGACAAAATCTTCTTCCCCCGCGCAGTCCCGCCAAGACTGATAGCAGAGAACATGCGATTCATCCCCTTCGCATTCCCGTGGCCATTCGAATCTCCCTTCTCGGCCAATCTCCACATACTCGTATTGCTAAACTCAGCATTCGGAACCGGGTTCAGAAACGTCTTCATCATGAATGGAGGGTGCGGCCCGTTTCCAATTGCGTCTTTGGTGCTAGGTGGCGGTATTACGTTTGATATACGAGGCCAGTCTTTTTCCAGCGCACCGATCTGGAAATCTGCCTCGAGGGGAGCCGCAATCTCCTCAGCAAGATATTCCTTCAACGTCCTACCGCCCAACGCTCGACGCACCACCATTCCGAGCAAGTTCCCAAACGTCATAGCATGGTACCCCGACGCCGCGCCTGGAGTCCACCACGGCTTCTGTTCTGCTAGTTTACCCGCCGCATACTCGAAATCGCACACCTGCTCATGGGTAATGGGTTCCTCCCACCCACTCAAGCCTGAAGAGTGCGACAACAAATGACGAATTTCAACATCTTCCTTCCCATTAGCGGCGAATTCAGGCCAGTATTTGGATACCTTGTCATTAATGGACAAGACGCCGCTGTCGACAAGTTTGAGCACCACGAGACTGGTGGCGCATTTGGTGGAAGACCACACATTAACGATGGTGTCTTCCTTCCAGGGCTGGGTACGGGAGATGTCGGTGAAGCCGCCCCAAAGGTCGGCCACTTCGACGCCATCGAGGTTGACAGCTATGGAGGCGCCGAGCTCGACTTCGGAGTCGAGGTTTTGCTGAAAGATGGTGCGGAGGGTGGAGAATTGGGGAGAACAGGTTCCTTGCACGGTAGACATGGTTGGTAATGCGATGGCACGTAAGGGGGATGGGAGAGGGGTTTGACTTTCGAATACTTGACTGGAGTTCGATGGAGCTGGGGGGATGAGGTAGAGGAGTACAAGAAAAATTGGTGCGTGAGGGAGACTTCTGTATGTCGATAGGATTATAGTGAGGAAGTATTAGTGTGGAGATGTAGTATAGCAGGCATCACCCAAGGCAACGATGTCACAGTTGTTCAATACGCGACAATGTCATAACGGCCGTCACAAGTGATCTGAGGAACGATAGAAGGAACAGGTGGAAAAGAAGAGACATGCCTCGACAAATCGTCGCGGACAGGCTCTTTGTATTCGTCCCAATTTCCAATGCTGACTGGCGGAGTTGCGGGGTTGCGGTAGGGACTAACTATTGCAGGTCTAGCATACCTGCACAGTTGAGTCACGCAAATGTGACGACATACGCTTGCAACCTCAGATTTGGTTTCATGTCTTGAAGGGATGATCTAATCATATGTCATTAGATACTTGATGCAAAGCCAGCTTATACCGCTACCATATGCACTATAGAGGGCAGGGCAGAGGAACATAAGAAAATTACTATACTTAATATAGTTAACTTAATACATATTTAGACTTTTTCTCGGAACATTTGAATGTATCTCTCCCTCAATGGCATTGTACTCCATCTTCCTTTGGATCATTAGTGACGAAATCTACCCTATTAGCTAGGTTTTGTAGATATCATACCACGCTATTCTTTCTGGCTATCGCTTGTTAGGTCTCAGGATCTAGCTGACGCGAGACCCGCTTCATTGTGGCTAGGTCTGTTCAGCTGCGTGTAAAGGTCCCGGCTAATTTCACTCCCAGATTCCTCTCTTGCCCACTTGGCATCTACGCCGCGAGTTAGGCAGGACTGCAGTCTATGGCATCTACAGTGGTTATTGTCGTGGCCGGCTAGGTGTTGTAGATCCACGTAGAAATTATCCATCATGTAGATCAGCGCCGCCGTCTACTTAGGTCTTCAGTCACTTAGTTCTCTGCGCCTTGTCGACATGTACGTGCAAACCCGGAGATCGGGGAGTGATGCATTGGAAGTTGGCCCGAATCATGTTGATGATGTTGGGCCATCTCCTGCCACGAGTCCGGCATATTCCTTCCGGCGGACGGGGTGATCTCGACCATGGCGAGAATGAATTATGGAGTGAACGCCTGCATGACAGTATAGATCGCCGTCTTGGGCCGGCGGGGCACGATAATTATCTTGAACCATCGTCTGCGAGCTTCCTCGACGCTTTCCTAGGCGGTCTGGGGGAGTCAAACTATTGTGGGAAGATAGAGGGGCAAGAAACTGTAGTTCGTGACACGGCATGGAACTATGTTGCTGGCATGTGGAGAAAATGCGGAGTGTGACAAAGATAGAGAACTCGCGTGCTCTTATGTACCATGGCCGTTAACTTGAAGCAAATATCTGCAAAAGAGTATGTGAGAAAGCCACTTGATCAGGTATGATAGTGAGAAGGATTAAAAGCAACGTTATATTGCATCCTGGTATACATGTCCCGCTAAAATGATGCTGATGTCATAATTAGTCAGACATAGTCAGCAAACCCGGCGCCTCACGCCAAGAGCAGGTCCCCAACGTAAAGTAAACACCGCGATGCCTTCTCGTTTCCATCGATATTCCACCCAGAATATGGACGTCCCTCAATACCGCTGACTCCCCCAAAGCTCCGATGGTGTAGCCTTCCCACTCAACTCGGAGTGCGTAGCCGACACCACATCATACCCCTGCGGAACAGTCTGATAAACCTGTGTCGTCGCCATGGCATCCTGAGATTGATTCGGAGACTGTGTCTGGGCTTGAGCTTGGGCCTGTGCATCGCTTGCCCTCCTCCTCTTCCTCATCTGCACCCACAATGTGATGGCAGCGATAAGCAGACTCGGTATTCCGACCCCCAAACTCGCAGCGAGAGCCACGATATCGGACTTGCTGAGGCCACCATCCCTTCCCTCAGCCTGCGGATCCGAAGTCGACGTGGCATCTGCCTGCCCAGTCCTGGACGCCCCTGCAGTCGTTGTTTTGCCCGCGATCCCACCCGTCGTAGTCGCCGTCCCCACATTTGCCGTAGCACAATACGCATCATAAACCCCCAACATACTGCTCAAATCCAGCGTCCAATTATCCACCGACTTGGCGCAGCCATCACTGATGCATTCAGACAGGTATGACGTAGCGGAGCTGCCGTACCCGGCATTACAGAAGCAGCCGTTGGCCGAGTTGCAGCCGCAGCCCAGCTCCTGGCCTAGGGCGTAGTAGCCGGCTAGCCCGCACGGGTAGTTGCCGTGGTTCTCGACGCAGTTGGTGGCGCAGGCGCGGCCGGTTTTGAGGGCGGCTTCGGTGATGATTGTGACAGGGGCTTCGGGGCCATTGGTCGTTTTTGCTGTTGTGAGGATGGAGAGGATGATTTGTAAAAGGGCGAGTCGGAAGAGGGCATGTGTGGTTGCAGAAGCCATAGCTTTTTTTTTCGCTTCGTTTTGCTCTCGCACTCTCGTGTAGCGTGGCCGATTATGGAATTTTGGAGTTGTACTGGATACTAACGCGAAAATATGACGACGTTTTTTCAGTGTCTGAACAAGAAAGGGGAGAGATTCCAAAATAATCACAGCTGGTTCGAAGCAGCATAAGTCTGATTGGACTTATAATAAGCTCCTGGCTCTAAACGGAAGATTAGTGCATACTCACCGAACGGCTGATGCTTAGGATATCGGAGGAAGTCAGTTTGCGTTTACGGCTGAGAGCTCAGGCGTCCAATAAAACGAGACCTCAATGACTATAATAGCTGCGCTAACCCATTACAGTAGATTTCCGACAACACGCGAATACTCCTAGAACTCAAAAGTCTCGCGTGGCGTCCAGATAGTGTTCAAGTCGCGGCTAAACGGTGCCATATGAACAGATCAAGCGGGACCTAGCCCCTGAACGGTGGACCTTTTTCCGCCACAGAGGGCCACTACTATTTGTGTCAGTTGACGCTAATTGAGGAAACAAGAACAAAATGCCGTACTGCCCTTGGGAAGGGGTTTCCAGGGCCATGAACTATTTACTCGGTCCAGAGACAGGCCAATGGGAGTGCAGAAAGTCTTGTTCTGCGTCCCGGAAGATGAGCACTCTCTTCGCCGCTTCTCGCGCGGAGACTGATCAGTCTTCAGTCTTCACAGTCTTCAACCATTTCAGATATGATAAGTCCCAAATTCAGAACTAGAATCTTCTCGAAGCGTGAACTCATCAAAATTCAGAGTCGTACATATAGCAGGAAATCCTTGCCGCCAGCTAAAATATGCTTACAACACATACTTGAATAACGGCGACTTATCACCCATATCCAAAAGTTCATCCTCAGTATGCCTCGCCCTAACCTCATCCTCGGACAACCTAGCCTTCCTCTTATTCGACCACTTGTAGCTCATCTCCAAGAAGAACGCGACCAACATCCCACTCGCACCAAACGCCAAACTCAGTCCAAACCCGGTAGGGTAGCTTGGCGCCTCCGACTCGATGTACATGAAACTCCCAATGATACCACCCGTATTGCCGACACAGTTATTAAGCGCGACACCGATATTCCTCCTCACGGCCGGAGCAAGATTATTCGCATTCCAGGAAGCGGCCGCAGGTTGAATGGGGTAGATTCCCATGCAGGTGAGAATGAGAGCGAAGTATGCGGGTCCCTTGTTGTCGGCGAGGTCGCCGTTGAGGGAGATGATGATGGAGTAGCTAATGACGACGAGCACTAGGGGGCCGGCGACGAAGGGCATACGCCAGTAGTAGCGGTCAGAGAGGCGGGCGAGTAGGATGGCGGATAGTGCGCCTGCAACGTAGGGTGGAGCGGACATGAGCTGAGCGTTGGTGCTGGAGAAACCCATGCTTTTCGTAATGGTGGGGAGGGTGAATTTGGTGCCTGTGAGTATTCGCAATCAGCAATTTTATTCGTGAACATGGATCACGACGGGATCAAGGAAGGAAGGAAGGATGGAAAGAGCAAGGGACATACCATAAGAAGTAGCCGACTGGCACATAAGGAAGTAAGCCTGTAAGTACACCCTCCAATTCAAAAGAACAGCCTTGAGATCCTTCCACTTGAAGCTCTCCTTCTCATCCGAGAATTTGCCGCCCTGCTTGATGAACATCTGGAGCTCCAAGTACCGGATCTCATCCGGTTTGAGCCAGCGGCCAGATAGAGTCGGGGAGTCGATAAGCAAGAAAATGCACGAGATGCCGATGACGACCGTCACAAGTCCCTCGAGCAAGAAGATCCATCGCCAGCCCTCGAGCCCGCCGACACCGTCCATTTGCGCGATGGCGGCGGCTAGCAGACCTGAGAATGCGCCTGAGAGGGCGCTGGCGCAGTAGAAGTACGAGATTCGGGTTGCGAGGTCTTTCGGCATGTACCAGTAGGAGCAGAGGTAGATGGCTCCGGGGAAGAATCCGGCTCTGTGAATTGGTTAAGTCTTCAATCTCGATGAACTAAAGAGAAGAGAGAGAGAAAGATAGAGAGAGACGGAGAGACTCACTCAAAAATACCGAGCAAAATTCGAGTCACCATTAAACCGGCAAAGTTCTGCACCAGGCCGGTACACGTCATGACGATACCCCAGGGAATGACGAGCAGGGCCAGGTAGAGGGAGGGCCGCTTGAATTTCTTAAGCAGGATGTTGCTGGGAACTTCGAGCAGGACGTAGGGGATGAAGAAGATGGATAGCACTATGTCTGTGCATGGGGATTTGGATGTCAGTGTTTCCCGCATTCACATGTGTTTCTGGGACTGACTAAGACGCACTGTACTGCACAGAAGTCATGCCCAAGTCGGTGATGAGACCCTCGATTTTTGCGTTGCCGATGTTGGCTCGGTCGATGTGAGCCATGAGGTATAGGGCGGCCAGCATGGGAATGAGCCTGATATCGACCTTGGAGCGGTTTGTCAGCTTGCTTTCCTTTCGTGAAGTTGCTGAGCCTCGAAAGTCTATAAATCACTACTCACCTTGTGTACAACACGCCTCCGCCTCTCCTCCGGGTAGTTAATGTAGAACTCCGCATCTTCAGGAGTGATGCCTAAGACCCGAATATTGTCGATTTCGACGACGGTGGTGAGGCTCTCGACGTGGTCGGCCGGCTTGTGGTAGACGCCGTCGAGGCCATCTTTGTCTGTTGACCCTCTGAAAGACATGGTCGTCGATAATATCTAGTTCGACACTACGTGAACTTTCTACGTGGACTTTTTCCGGTTTGAATGTACGTCAAAAGTAAAACTTTTCAGCGTTGTCCGACTCGGACGGAAATATATAGGTTGCGTAGAAACGGAAACGTCCCCGGAATAGCTACCATCCCCCGCGTTTGGCCTTTGCGGGGAAATCCGGGGAACCCCTGTTGCAGGAAAAGCATCTGGGATAATTTCTTCGGCAATGCTGATTGGGATTCATATCCACGGAAAAGCAGGGCCTCATACCGTTATCCGTATCCGATGACCTACACGGGGCATGGGCGTTGGCGGAGACTCTTGGCAGGACCCCAGTGCATCTTTCAGACAACCCAAGACTTATTGGTTCACACAATGAGCACGTTGTTCATAATCATGCGATGTAACGATGGGCTACTGATCTCGAAGCTTCATCTCCGCCCCTATATCCATCTTATACTACACTCCGAACAGCTTCCCCCTCATTCCACATCACGACGGATTTTCCGATGGGACAGTATTTCCTCGCAGCGAGTCATCTGTAATTAACCTAAGAACTAATAGTGTGAAGGCATGACTTATGTTTGAAATCCACACCTGGACCAGATTGCAAACTGCTACGTGCAGGGTTTCATTGTGTTGCACATTCGAACCTATCCAGGTAAATCTGGCAACTCAGTCCTACTCCAACTCCGTCTCCAACTCCATACTTCCATACGAAGTGAACCAACCATGTCATCCCAAACCCTCATCCAAAATGTGGTCATCACCCCTGTGGCTTTCCACGATATGCCCCTGCTCAACAGCGTCGGCGTGCACGAGCCCTTCGCCCTTCGCAGCATAATCGAAATCATCCTCCCCAATAACGTCTACGGCCTGGGCGAATCGTACGGCGACTCGGCCCACCTGGAGCGTCTGCAACGGGCTGCATCCAAAATAAAGGGTCTAGCCATCCACAACACCAACGCCATCTACCGCGCCATTGTCGACTCCCTCGCCTCTGACAGCGGCGCTGGCGGTGATGGCATGAGTGGAATGGTTACCGGCACCTCAACGGCGGACAAGGTCTTCTCCCCCTTCGAAGTAGCCTGTCTCGACATCCAGGGCAAACTTGCCGGCGTGCCGGTGAGCGACCTCCTTGGTGGGAGGGTGCGAGACACGGTGCAATACTCCGCATATCTCTTCTACAAATGGGCGGCGCACCCGGGCGAAGCAGACGATGAATATGGCGCCGCGCTCGACCCAACCGGACTACTCAAACAAGCCCACAAGATCATCGACGAGTACGGCTTCAAAGCCATCAAGCTCAAGGGCGGCGTGTACCCTCCCGCCCAAGAGGTCGAGGCCATCAAGGCGCTGCGCACCGAGTTCCCCGATTTACCGCTACGGCTGGATCCCAATGCGGCGTGGACAGTCGAGACATCCAAGTGGGTTGCCAAAGAGCTAGACGGCATCGTCGAGTACCTCGAGGACCCGGCACCGGGGATAGAGGGCATGGCTGCTGTGGCGAAGGAGGCGAACATGCCGCTCGCGACGAACATGGCCGTGGTTTCTTTCGCACATTTACCTTCGTCCATCGCGCAGGACGCGGTGCAGGTGGTGCTGTCGGATCACCATTTCTGGGGCGGACTGCGCAAGTCCCAGGGCTTGGCGGCGATTTGCAACACTTGGGGCATGCGGCTGTCGATGCATTCGAATAGTCACCTGGGCATCTCGCTGGCGGCTATGACGCATTTGGCCTCCGCGACGCCTAATTTGGATTATGCGTGTGATACGCATTGGCCTTGGAAGCGGCGGGATGAGGATGTGATTGTTCAGGGGGCGTTGAGGTGGCATGAGGGCGGTGTGGTTGTGCCTACTGCTGCTGGGCTTGGGGTTGAGCTCGATAGAGAGAAGTTGGCGAAATTGCATCAGCAGTATCTTGACTGTGGCATAACAAAGAGGGATGATACTACTTACATGCAAAGGTTTCATCCTGAGTTTTCTAACAAGTTGCCGAGATGGTGAGGGGGGTGATATACGAAGAAACATGTAGGAAAGGTCATGTACATTAACTTACTATCCTGGGGGTTTTTCCCCATTTATGTACCTTGATAATCGAGCATGACACGCCAAGTTGTCTTGTTCGTCCTAGAAGCCATGGTTGTACACTATGGCTGTCTTGTGATCATCACATACTAGGTAACGCAGTTCTAAGAAAATTGAAGACTACAGTATCAGCACTGGCTCGGTCCACGTGCCATCTAACCACAGGAGTATAAGGGAGATCAGGAAGTTCTTGCCATTCTGTGCAGAGCCGGCGAGCCTGTATAGTGTGACTGGGCATGTAGCTGGGGCATGGCTTGATCAACAGGGGGTTGTCAGCTCAGAACAGATGCTGGTCAGTCTTCTCGGTGGAGACGAAGCTGCGACTGATGGTCGGGGAATCACGCAGAGAGAGGGGTCGAAGCCACAACGGGGGTGGCAGATAGTAATTAGATGAAGGGCCAGTCAGTTGCTTGAACCGATTCATGGTATCACGGTTACCATTTTCTCTCTGTATTTGCGTTCGAGATTCAAGGTTCATGTTGCACCACAGTCGTAGGCGCCTGCTAGATTAAGTCGGGGTTTGGGTTGTGTAGCCATTGTCATGTTCATTAGTGAATCCCTTGGCATGTATGCAGGATAATTTGTTTACTCGAGATGGTTGGACAAGCAGCCCGAGAAACTGTATGCAAGAAAAAGAGCCATAAATATCATGGATATTGACAAAACATCTAGATATGGCGTGCAGCTGTTTTACAAAAGCCCAATGTCTTTGCGACAATGCGAGCTCTTCAGAATATTATTCAAACTCTCCACTCACTACCATATCTAATTTGTTCATTGTCAATCAACACCCAAGATGTCGCCAGCAACGAGCCAGGAGAGCAGAGCTGACTGGATCATCGCTGCAGAAATATCTACCACAGCAGTTGCATCCATCGTTATCATCGCGCGAATATATACCAGAACTCACATCGTGAAAAAGGGACTGGGATGATTGTATTTCTGGTCCGCAATCTTTCTCTAGACGAACGCAAAGACTGACTTCGTACGCTAGATCTTGTTCTTGTCGCCATGGCATTTAGCTTGGGGCTCTGTGGTGTTGGCGCCCGACGTAAGATTCGACTGCGTATGTTGGTCTTCGTGACCGGAAGTTCACCTTGAGTAGTTGCACAAATAGGTGCCGCCCACACCTGACGTATGCCATGCAACTTGGTTTCAGCCCAGCCGCTCCCCAGTTCTTGCAAGTGAGTAGGAGGACATAGACTCCCGAACTTCTGAAAAACAGCAACCTAATCATGTTGATTTTATACAGCTGTCGCTCGGTGTCCTGTTGACCCACTGCATCTCCGTGTCATTCTCGAAGCTGTCAATCTCGGCATTCTATCTACGAATTTGCCCCGAGAACTCCTTCCGCAAAGCAGTATATCTGCTGAGTGGTATCGTCTCCCTCTACACAACCGCATTTATCTGCTCAGAGGTATTCAGGTGCAACCTAATTCCATCCGCGTGGGACTTGAGTATTAAGGGGAAATGCCTTGACCCCCTCGCACCTATGATGGCCCTAGGTATCGTGAACAGTATACTGGCCGTTTTAGTGCTCTTGTTACCCGTCAAGGTCGTCGTCCCGCTCCAGATGCCATGGAGGAAGAAGGCTCCGATCCTCGGTGTGTTTGCACTGGGCATTATGTACGTCCATGACATCTAGCTCGGTTCGCTTTGCGTGCATCAAATCTGCAGCTAACATGATCACAGTGTCGGCGCCGCCTCAATCGTTCGCACTGTCGGGGACCATAGATTTGGTGAAGAGGTTGGAGGATATTACCTGGGACCTGGGCCCATTGATGATATGGGCTCTGCTGGAAGCCGACGGGGACGTAGTCTGTGTGTCTGCCCCTGCGTTGCAACCTTTTTTTGCGGGATGCTTACCATCTCTGCTGTCTCGAGCACAGGAAAGCTCCTCGAGGAACCGCTTCGTGCCTTACTTGAGCGCCACCGAGAGGAACAAGCAGCGGCAGAAGAATCGAACACACTCGTACGAGATTCCCAGTCTTGGTCACTGCCCGCCGGGTGGATGAGAAAAGTTGACGGTGTTGGTGGTACGTAAGAGGAGCACTCTGTCACGGAACGATGGCCACGTTGAAATGATTGAGATAGCTTGGAAACGGTGGAGAGGTATGGAGAGACATGAAAATGAGAACAGGCTTTGACAAGTGGAGTTGATTGGGAATTGACGATCAGTTTCCGTGAGAGGCCAAGTATGCGCTTTGAAATAGCATCGGACACAGTGCAACTGCATTCCCTACAACGCGCCTAATTCTATGGCCCGTCACACCGTCACAAATTGGCGATACTGCTAGCTTGAATCAAAGAACGACGTACCTGAAGTTTAGTCTTAGATCTGGCTTTCTTGCACAAGTAGACGAGGTATTCCCGCATGCTTGTTCATAGTGCACAGTGACAGACTCACCTATAGCAGGTTGATAACATGAGACGATCTGACGCTTGTAGGATGCCAAGAATAGTGCGTTGCTGTTGGAGGCAGGGGGACGCTCTCTATCTGGTCGGAGGGGGGGACTAACCCAGTCATGGAGCGTGACCCGAACTATGAGCCCGTCGAGTACATCTGGACAGGATTGGCAATACCCAGGTGGGCCTTGGGCCAGACTTGGATATGAGCATTTGAAGTTGCCAATACAGACAACCAAGCTCTCGGTGTGACCTCAAACCTGGGGAAATCCCGATCAATCCTGCGGCAAACCGGCACTGATCAACCAACCATGGGACAAACTGCAGCTCTTCCATCGACCCAGAGACCCGGGCCATCGTACGATGATGTATGGACCAATTTCCCCACGAGCGACTTCGGATGGTGTGTGATGTTTGGTTGATGGGTCGGACGCCAAGATTCCCCTCGTTCCAATAGAACGAAGAGACGAACCGCCGACAGCAAATCAAAACCCCGCAATTTGCAAGGACGCCCCATTTCGGACGAATCTGCATTCTGGGGTCCAAGTCTTGTCCAGTCTTGTCCGGAGTAAAGAACCCGGGAAAAGCCCGGCAGTCCAATGAGGGCAGGCAGGTGGGCCACTTGTTTTCTCGTCTGTCGTTGGTCGGTGGGGGGCAATTTGAGGGCGTCTGCATTCGCTGTCGAGCGACGTCAGGACATTGGGCGGATAATGCCTCGCACATCCCGATTTTAGTCACGACTCATGCTATCTCAACAGTTCTACAGCACATCACCACGAGCCTCCAAGCGCATGCTCCGGATCCAAGGGCGGTAGAGCAATACTCAAGGGATCACTGTCAAAGAAATAGATCGTTTTGTCTATTGTGGCATTGACTCGCGGACGAGACAGACGGACGGACGACCGGCGGAGTGACGACCGGCTAGTCTGCAGTCACAAGCCAAACACACGCACGCATCGATCCAGATCCGACGGAGTAACGAGAACACCACCAAACATTCTGTCTGCGCGTGCAAAGAACACCAACGACACAAACCCATACACAACCACGCAATCAAAGACGCCGAACTCGAAGGGACTAAGCGATCCTTGTAAGACTCCCCGTCTCCATCACCGGTCGGAGCCCCTTTGCCCACCTGCACTCGCACAGGCCGACTCACCCCCGAAAATGCCATCCTCACAACGTCCCTTCTTCCTCTCCTCCTTCTTGGCCGCCTTCCGCCAACAACCAGGCCCCTCCGCCTCCTCTTTGTCAGCGGCTGCCTCCTCTCAACCCAACAAATCACACTCCCACCAGTCCCCGTCCACATCCACAACCGCTACCTCGGGCGCTCGAACCATCTCCACATCCGCCTCCACATCATTACCGTCCTCTCAAACAACAACAGCGGTTGCGCAACGGACAACAACGGCAACGACGGGGGCAGGGAGCGTGATGAACCAGCTCCCACTCCACTCGCCTGGGCGCGCGGTACCGATACCGGGGTCCCCACCGGGCCGTCGGCGGGGCAGCGACAGCTCGAGCGAGGGTTTCAGGGACGTGTTGGGGGCGGAGAAGTGGTATATTGGCGGGCGGACGGCGGGCGGGGAGGAGAAATTCTTCAAGTTGGGGGTTGTGAAGAGGGTGAGGAGTAATGACCGGCTTAGTTTAGATCGTTTAAGTTTGTGAGTTATAATGATGTGGGAGTATGGGAATGGGCATGGGCATGACATCGGGAACGGGAATGGGAAGGACCAAGGGTGGGGGATGATGTGATCACGATTGCTGGCTGGATGGGTCATTGATGCCATAAAAGGGAGAAATCGTCAGGACAAGAGGCATATCGCGCCTCGCTGGCACGTCATGCTGGATGAGACGGGGCATGCGCTTTGGAATGTTGGCCTGATGACGACTCAAGGCTGACCAGGAACAAACAAGATCACAATACCCGTTGGGACATACGTCCTATCGCGCAACCAGGCTAGGCTAGGGTCCGAGGATTGTAGAACGCACTCGCAGTGCTACACGAACGCGTTGCTATGATGATGACGGCAGTAGAGCAGGGCATACACTAGTTCGTAACGCATATAGACGATGACTGCCAAAAGCACGACTTCACTCTTCATTTCACCATTTGACCGGCTTCTTCAAAAGTGCCTTTATTTACTCTGTATATTATATTTGTCGGTTGGCCCATCTCCTTCCAGCATCTTCCAGCTACTGCAGCTAACTTTGCCGGGCAGCAATGCTTATCACCACATAAACCGCTGCACATTTCCCCCGTCCAACACCGTCCCATCATCCGACTTCCAGTAAAACGGTCTAGTGATGAATATATACATAGTACCCGCATTAATAGCCAGGAACCACATCGTTTCAAGAACTAAGCACGGGTCGAACTTGAGCCTAGATATGTGTTGCAGCATGGGCGAGTGGCATCCCTGGAGTAGGCGCATATCCATGCGGGGTACGAGAAGCCGCCAGAATACCCACGGCAGGATGAAGTATCGCGGTTCCACCAGTGGCGCCGTCACGAGACTGAGCGATGTTGCCAGAAGCAGGATCAGGATCGTTGATGTCGGCGGGGGAGTAGTAGAGTCAATGAAGAGGTGTCGAAGTGGAGCTGTCGGTGCATCTGTGTGCTTGCCGTTCGTTCTTTGCCGGATGATCACACCCCTGTCCTGAGAGCTAGTAGTATTTTGGCCCCCCGCCATCGTATCGGGCCTGATCACAGAGCAAGGCCCGGTCTTTTCAAAGGGGCTGTGATACCACCGTTCTAACTGTCCTGCGGCAGAAATATGCCCGGGGTTTACAAGCCAGGTGTGTTCGAGCCCGTACAGACGAGACCAGCAGAGCCAGCCGCAGAGGATGTAGATCGGGACGAGGAGGTAGCGGACCATGTCACGGCGGATTGTGTACCGGAAGATGTAGAACATGTAATGCCGGTTGTCCGCCAGCGTGAAGGGGTGTATGATAGTGTTGAAGTGCACAATGAGGAATGCCGCGACAAGACACAGTGCGATGACGATGACGGAGTGGACTTTGAAGAGTGAGCCGAGGTAGTTGAATGCTTGGAGGACCCTCGGCTGCTTAGTTGGCCTACGAGTGACGTTGGGTGAAAGTTGAGGGCCCGGTCGGCTGTGCTTCGTGAGTTTCGCGGTCGTCAAGGATACTGAAAGGGGTTCTGGCTGCGCGGAATCTTTGTGACTTATCTCACTGGAGGCGGCTGCAGAGTTGGACTGTCCGGCGAACAGCCAGAAGAACATACTCAAGAGATGAGGAAGCTGCGCCTGAAATAAAGGGAAGGAAAAGAAGGCAAAGAGCGGCCAGATGTAGAGCATCTGGGCGAGGTGGATGGTCGCCACGTGGTTTGATTTGTCCCCCAAGACAACACCTCCATTCCAGGTAACGAACATGGCAAAGAGACCCAGAACCGCGACATGTGGGTATACACGCCGCAGGACTGTTGGCAGATTGCCTATCAATGCGATGCCCACGCTGATGACACATGCCAATAGGTCTGTCGGCCAAGCCAAGTGCAGAGAGGGGTCATGGATATCGCCCTGGGAGTATCTCCATGCGAAGAACTTGAGTTTTTCTGTCAGTGTTGCGAATTGGGGGTCTCCCATTTGCTCCGTCTTCAGGCTCTTGATTGCCTGTACAGCCTCTAATGCGCCCATATAAACGACCACCCAGAAGATATTGGTTTGTCGCATGAACAAGGCAAGTACGCCCAAGCATATGGTGTAGATGTCGTTCAGCAGGGAGCTGTCATCGTTGCTTCGGTTTACTCGTGCCAGATGGTTGCGGTACGCAACCAGGACAACGCAAGTCGAGAGCACATCGGTGTAGTACAGACCGGAGAAAAAGAACAGTGCTGGGAATAGGGCAACGTTCACTGCCGTATGTATTGCGAAGCCCGAATGCCGCTGGCTCGCGCCTGCCTTGGGTTGCTCGATGGCAGCCCGACATGCTCCTGCCAGCAGAGCCGTCAATGCAATGGCTTCTGCGTTGAACTTCCGCTGAGTCTCTGCTGAGCAGTCTTCATAGCCTAATACCCGAGCCCAGATGATGCTAAAGATGTACCTGATGCAGTTAACTTAGCGACGTAGCTCGATCAACCATCCATTGCCGAAGACTAACAATCCAGGAGGCGTCGTGATCTTGTCATCCCATTCAAGGTACTTTCCCTCACAGTAGGCCTGAGCTTGTGGGATGTGGAAGAACTCATCCTGCATTTGTAAGTCCATGTTCGACTCGGTGGCAGCGTCAGGAGGGTCTCACCAGGTAGGGCTCCGGCACTGTTTTGTTGACCCAGTACAGCCAGACCCGTGATAGCACGGCAGGCACAATGAACGGAGCGGCGTAGTTCAAAATGTGCGTGTTAAATGCATCGGATGTAGCTCTCCCTGGTTGTGCTCCTTTCCTAGCCCACAGTGCATAGCCCAGGAATGCAGCTGCTAAGATGCTACGCAGAACTGAGGTGCTCAAGAGCAGGTCGAGTATTTCGACTACGGAAGCCATGGCCGATGATTATTGCCCATGGGAACCTTCAAATCCTTTGCCGTACTAATAAGGGTAGCTTCTCATACTCTTCCATATCAGGACGCGTGTTCAAGCTCGGATCAAATCAGCATGAGACTTGGAAGTTATTGATGTGGCTGAGTCGGATGTGGAAACTGCAAGGTTAGGACAGTACCAATATTTCGCACACGGTGTAGATGGTACCCCCCAGTTTGAGCTGCAAACAGCTTCACCCACCCCACGTCACTACTTTGAATGGTACGAGCTTGTATGTTTATAAGTCACTGAACCAACACCGCTTTTTCACCAACTTCCTCATTGAAAAAGCCATCGGCTGCTGACAACACCAGGAACAAGCCGCCAATCATGGCGTCTGTACAACGAATACCTCACAACATGCTTCGCCGTCCCGTGAAACCTCCAGTCCTCACCCGACAAGCCCCGCGACAGCTCCTCCAACAAACCACCAAACGCCATGCCTCTTCATCATCCACCGCCCGGTCCGGCTCCCGGACCAAGATAGCCCTCTACTCAACCTCCCTCGCAGTCGCTGGCTACCTGTCCTATCTCTATGCCACCGACACGCGCGCAAGCGCCCACCAATGGCTCGTCCCGCGCATGATGCGCCTCCTGTACCCAGACGCCGAAGACGCGCACTACGCGGGCGTCATGTCGATGAAGGCGCTCTATAACCTGGGCATGCACCCGCGTGAACGAGCCGCCATTGGCGCGGACCCGGCTCTCGCACTCTCGGTCTTCGGACACCCGCTGGCGAACCCGATCGGCATCAGTGCTGGGCTGGATAAACATGCTGATGTTCCTGATGCACTGTTTGCATTGGGGGCGGGAGTCGTGGAGGTGGGAGGATGCACACCGTTGGCGCAGCCAGGAAATCCTAGACCGCGCATGTTTCGCCTGCCCGGGCTTGATGGGTTGATCAACCGGTTTGGACTAAACTCGCATGGGGCGGACGATATGGCCATCCGGCTGCGGAACCGGGTGCGGCTATACGCGAAATCCGTCGGGCTCTCTGAATATGAGGTCTTGAATGGTGAGGCTGGCGTGCCGCCGGGTAGCTTGAAGGATGGGAGGCTGTTGGCTGTGCAGATTGCGAAGAACAAGGACACGCCTGGACATGACGTTGAAGCAGTGAGCAGAGATTACACGTACTGTGTCTCTCGTCTCGCTCCGTATGCCGACATTCTGGTGGTCAATGTCTCGAGCCCAAATACTCCCGGATTGCGCGATCTGCAGGCCGTGGAGCCCCTGACTAAGATCTTGACTGCGGTGGTTGGTGAGGCACGGCGGGCAAACCGAAGGACCAAGCCGAAGGTTATGGTCAAGGTCTCACCGGATGAGGATGATGACAGCCAGATGGAGGGCGTTGTCCAGGCTGTATGGCAAAGTGGTGTGGATGGTGTCATTGTGGGAAACACGACCAACAGACGCACTGGTATCGTGCCGCCCAAGGTTGCTATCACGGCAAAGGAAGCGGCTACTTTGACGGAGACCGGTGGCTATTCCGGACCGATGATGTTCGACCGTACTCTGGACCTGGTGAAGCGGTACCGAAAGTTGCTCGACGGTGAGTCGTTGTCTGCGGCATCCACCGTACAGCCACCCTCCCCCTTGTCCTCCGAGTCATGTAAGGACATAGCCGACGAGGCTGTAAGTGCGAGCTTAGCAGGAATCGAGGGCACACCGACAGGTATGATCGAGGATGATCTGGCACCAACGCAGACTCGGCCAACCAACGTAGCCAAAGCGAACCAGTTTGCTGAGCAGAAGGTCATTTTCGCCACGGGCGGTATTACAAATGGCGAGCAGGCTCTGCAAATGCTGAACGCGGGTGCCAGTGTGGCTATGGTATATACAGCAATGGCTTATGGTGGTGCTGGCACGATCACCAGAATCAAGGGAGAGATGAAGAATAGCATGGTTCCCAAAAGAGCGTAAGGATAAATGTCAACTTCATATAGCCGGATCGGAAAAGAAAACATGTAAGATACCAAGGCTTAAAACATGCTGCTAGAGTCGGTAGGAGCAGCAACGCTCGGGTCTAGACCTGGACGGAGTTTGTAAGAAACAATAAATCGAGTTATTACGATATTAGACAGGTCCCCTACTGCGACAACTGCTCTCATACTTCGTTACCATGGACAGCACACATGATTTGAAAGATGCATAATGAAGTCTTGATCTATTGGGTGTCATTTTATACAGAAGCTTGCTCGAGATGCACGCTCTTCCACTTCGTCTCAACACTTCTTCCTCTCGCCTGCCTCACTGCCAACCCATGCCAAAAGTGTCGCCCATTTAAAAGGGGTTGTCCGAGGCAGGAATGTTCTTCTCGTAGTAGCCACGGAGTCCGGGAACCTTCTTCAGGATGTCGTCTTGTACCCTAGGAATGCCCGATGCGTAGAATATAACGGCGAATAGGGCGACGCCGCCGAATGCGCCGGCGGTGAAACCACTATACTTCCCATATCAGCATATATTCTTGAAAATTCGCAAATCGCCCCCCGTGTGGGAGGCTTGAACGCATGGGTGGATGGATGGATGCCTTACAGCTTGGTGACTTGCTTAGGGGTCCATCCTGCGACGTGTGGTTGGTAGTGGTATCTGTTTGGCGCCTCAGTCAGCCGGAATCCTTCTTGGCTTGTCTTTAAACGCCCGAATATGATCCTCCTCCCCTGTTGAGCCTTTCCCAGCCCTACTCTGTTGCTGCCTCGGCAAACCACCCTTTGCTTCGCCTTGCAATTCTGGACATGATAACAATGACACACCCACGCAGTCCGCGGGCTCTTGAGTCGAGAAGCTGTATGTGTACTCACTTCGGGCCGTATGGGCTCTTGTAAGTCGGGTATCCGGGCTTGTTGACGGGGTTCTGGAGAAGGGAGAGTCAGCTAATTGATCTCCATCACGAGAGCAAAGTGCTGAGGACCATGATGATGATGGGCTGGAAAGCTGGAGCGAGACGTACTGAGATCGGCATGTTTGCTGTAGGTAGCAGGAAACGAGGATGGTCGTTCAATGGGCTAGCGGGCGAAGCTTAGGATGTCTTTGGCCTTCGGTCAGGTTGCGCGACATTCTTTGATGCTCGGAAGAAGCCGGTGAAGGTCAAGCTTTTGCACCGCCATATTATTCTTCTAATATATGCGCTTTCTAATTGGAGGGTGCGATCCACCGCGAACAGTCAGCGTCACTAGCCACACTTGACCCGCTTCGGTGGGAACCCGCTCGAACTTTCCGAGGTTCCAGTTGCTGGGAGCTTGCAATTTAATGCAGTCGATTGTTTCCGTCTTCGAATGGTAGCTTCAAGCTTGATCCTCTCAACTAGTCCTTTGCTTAAATCCGGGTAAGAGGAAACAAATAACTCCACCTTCGGCATGGACATACAAGTCGACCTTCGGTTCGATCGCGTAGACAAGGCGCTGACGAACCTGATCGACTCGATCGTCAAGTACAATACGTCCGCGCATCAGGGGAATGAGCTGGTCATTGCTGACAATGAGCTCAGCAAAGGATTGGAAGATGGTGTGCTCCTTTTCCTAATATTCTCCAACGTTCGAACGTGGCTGATTGGTGACCATTATATAGTACAAAAACACCAACAGAACTACGCGCGCCTCGAGAATCTTCGCAGCATCACCAAATCACTCGACACTCAGATCAAGGAGACGTTGACTCTGCTGGCGCAAACACGCAAAGAACTCTCCAGCACGACGGCTACTGTCTACCCTAGTGGATCGCATTACCCCATTGACTACAGCGAGCTCCTCACCGTTGCCCGGCGGATATCCAGTACCACACTCCCGCGGCAAAGCGTACTCGACAAGTACCGAGCCGAGCAGGCCCAACAAGCCTTAGCAGCAGAGCAAGCCGACAAAGTCCAACAGTCCGGCGGTGCTGAGACAACGGCCACGACACCAGCCAGCACCCCCCAAGCAAACGGCGTAGCTGTCGTCAATGGCCCGGCATCCCAGCCGTCGCAAGCAGACCCTTCCTCGCAGCAGATCACCACCTCCGCCGGGACCAACCTCCCCGAACATCTCATCGCGCATCTGAACCCTCGCGCCAGCGAGGAATTTATCCCCTGGCCGTCGGAGCAACACGTTCGCCGCGGCGCGCTAGCCGAACTGGCGCATCTAGCCGCGCAGGGCATCGCGGCCGAAGGCTACGACCCCGCCGAGGAAGCGGCGCGGAAGCTGCGCGAAGAGGAAGAGGCCAAGGCGAAGGAGGAGAAGGAACGGCTTGAGCGGGAAGAGGCGGAGCGCAAGATGAGGGAGCAGAGGGAGAGGGCGAGGAAGGAGGCAGCGGAAAGGGCGGAGAAGGAGGCTGCTAACTGGAGAAGGGGGAGTGTGGTCGGTGGGCCGGCTTCGGCGGGACTGAGTGCAGGAGGTGCGGCAGCGGCGGGGGAGAAGAAGCAATTTCAATTTATGGATGATGATGACGAGAGTGATTAGGAGTTATGGTGGGTGGAATCTGCCATGGAGAGACAGCTAGTGCATTCTTGGCTCCCGCTAGGGTTAGGTGACTGAGTCGCAGGTTCATTGAGTTGCCTGTTTATAGACCCAGCGAGAATGCGTTGCACGACCAGGCAGTTAGCTTAGTCCATATAGGCGGCAGAGGTCAACTATGAATTATGCTTGGAGTTGCTTCAGTCCCCCTGACAATTGCCGAAAACCCCCTGGTGAATCTCGTTCATCAAGGATATGAAATCCTGGTGGCATGCCCCGATAGGATGGTGCTGTCCATTTGGGTGCGGGTTTGCTGGTCCTTGCTTAGTTTATGATGCCGGAATTGCTTTGCATCACAAATTCGCATCTGCGGCCAGCTTGCTCAACGGTGGAATAGCATAGCCGGTGCTAAAATTGGACCCAAATTGTTTGAGATATTGACGTCAACATCGAAGCCACTCGCCCAACCGTCAAGGGGCCCATTGGGAGCCGTCGTTTCAAGGACCGCATCAAGCTCAAGCTAATACAATCCACCTACCTAACGGTAGGTTTCAGGTCACCGAGCAAACAGGCTGTAGGACATAGATAAAAACAAAACGATATGACGGACAACCATTCGACCGACAGTAATTCGGAGACGGAGAGACGGTGGTCAGAGTCCCGGCATCATTTTGCTGATGAGGCTCGGGATCAGGTAACTTCACGTTAGGTTTGGTTACCCGGCCAGTTTAGTGTGGGTAAATAGTAGCAGGGATTTGACAACATTGCTCGTTGATAAATAAGCCTTTCCACGGGCTTGTGGCATAACGGAACCTTTGGCTTTATCTCGAGTTACAGGATATCTTGGGAAGGGGCGCGGCCTGAACCGTACTTCGAAATAAGGTTAGCACTCATGGAATGGCGTTTCGAGTTAAATTTAGAAAATCGACTCAACCATAACGAATCATTTGTTCCGTAGCTTCCTTCTACTGTCAGAGGATGAGTGCCTCCTATGTACAATCCCGAGAAACATCCTACCAGTCGACCTATATTGTGTCGAACAACCCAACCGTAAAGTGCGCGAAGAATGATTACCGATAACCAAGAATACGCGAAACAGGAGAATACTCGATCTCCACCAGCTCGGAAATTTTGACCAAGACAACTGGCGAATGGACATGTTTCGCAAGAGTGTTATCTTTGGTAGAATGAGGCCATGCCAGTGGTTATGCACGTTGGTTCAACGGGAGGTACATAGCAATACGTGAGCCCATATGTTGTGTTGGCCCTTGAATAACGCGGCTTGTAGCAACAAGAGATGACTATTTGCTGTTGGTAACAACTAGTGTCAGTTCCATAGCACCCTATAACGCATATGACATGGTCATATAACAAGCGATTTCAGTAAGGTTCCCTTGGCAGGTGGAGTGGTTTAACTGCGTTATTGGGTATTATAATCAAACTACCCTTCAACTTCGGTTCCTAGATGGACCGGACTACTTTTCGTGAGTTCAAGGTTCTAAGTTCTTGGTTCTCTTGGTCTGGATACTCTAGCTAGAATTTCATTAATGGCCATGGCAGACGCTGTCACCCCCAGTCACGGCAACAGAAAAGACGAGGCAATTGGAAGTGTTAGAAAGCCCGATAATGTATCAGCGGCAGAAACCATAGCGTCTGCTTCCATGCTCTTGCTTACTACCAGGGACAACCTTCTCTTCTAACTGCCAGAGATGTTTCAGTACATCTTCGAGATTCCCTCGCTCCTCGATAGATAGCGACGAGCTTTCAATTTGCTACCTACAGCGACATTTAACCAATATAAGCCCCCGCAGTCTACATGGGGCCCCACCCCCGGAACTGACTCGCATATCGAGTAAGAAGACGGTACCCAAGTGGACAGCACTATTCTATCGGGGCACGTTATCAGGATTTCATTTCCTTATTGAACGAGATTCACTAGGGGCGTTTTCAGCATGCAGACATGGGACATCAACCAGTTAAGGCTACAGAAAAGGACTAGAAACAGCGCGGATTACAATACAATCCCAGTCACAGCAGGAAACAGTGTTGGCCATGTTGATAAGGGTCTTGCGGTCAAGGCAAGTGTCATGTACATCGCGTAGTGCGCAAAATGCTGTCGAGGCCATACTGTCAGCCTTGAGCTGTTCCTCCGTCTGTCATTCTCCCAGACTCGTAGCTGCGTCTCGGCGTCATAAGTGTGTTTATGGTTCTGGACATTGATTTCGTCAGGTTACAGCTCGTAAATTTGTTCACTATCGCATAATCGCGAGGACTTGATAGCGTAAATGACGACTAGGACTTGTGTGCAGTGAAATAGTATTACTATGGTGAACACAAACCCTACGCTGGGGCATGGAGTAGTGATAGGTATCAAGGTAGCAAGCAAGCTCCCAGTATTGAAATACTGTGTTGTTCACCTATGCCACCACTGCACGCTCGCCCCCACCCCTAGTCATTTATCTCATCCTCCCTAAACTCATCATCCCACCTCCTCCCCGGACTAGGCGCCGGACTGGTCCTCATCTTGGGCCGACTTTTGAAAACCATCTCCATATCCACCTGACCCGCATCCAATAGCAGCTCCTCCACGACTGACGTCTCCCCAAACATGGTTGTCTCTTCTTCCACTCGGGAAAAATGGCTTTCCTTTCTGGTGGGGGCTGCCTTGCTCTTTCTTTGCGACCGCGATCTGTCCAACTGCGCCTTCTGCCGTGTGGCTTCAAAATTCGCCATGGACCGGCGCGTGCGCGCCACTAAGTCGTCTTTTTCGTCATCACCGCCTAGTTTCGTGGAGGACACATCGGCGGCGGTGTTGGACTTCATATATTTGGCTGTGCTGGGGGAAAGAAGCTGCGAGTTGACGTCGTCGTCGTCGGGGTCGAAGGGTTTGGTGCGGGCCATGGACATGCGCGTACGATCAGCCAGGGGTAGTATGTGTCGGGTTTTCTTCATGGGCGAGGGCGAGGTATTGGACATGAAGGCCAAAATCTCGTCGGCCATGGCTTGGGTTGGGGAAATTGCCCGCGGGGCCTGGGGTACATCGTCAGAATCCGTTCGTTTCTTGGAACGCGGCTGACGCAGCGGTCTATATTCAGGTGATTCAGCGCTATTAGGAGTCGGAGTTGCAGGAGCTTCCGCGGCTGTCGGGCTGCGACCCCGACCAAGTTCTTGGTGAACTGCCTGCGGCTGAGGTTTGGAGAGTCTGGTTGGCAACGTCGCTGTAGAGCATCCGCCCTCACCCGGAAGGTCGATAGGGAAGTTGTCGGTAATATTGCTGTTGTACCGGGTTCCTAGTTGCATTACCGGCCTTTTCTTGGGCGATCGGCCTCGAGTGATTTCGGTGCTACGCCCCCTTGCATGGTTGGGTGCTGCAGGCTTGGTCACTAACTGTTGGGTGGCCTTCTTGTGCTCCTCGGGTTCGTCTTCCCATTCGCTCAAATCGGACATGGTTTCCATAGCGATAACCGGCGCAGCGAATTCTCGACTGCTACGGCGCTCAGCTTTTCCAGCAATCAAATTGGAAAAGTCCGGCAATTTCGGTTTGCCTGTCTCTTCAAGCGCTGCCTTCATCGACTCAAGCAGTTGAGCATACTCCGGTGGGGGAGGTCGCAACTTGAACTTGTATCTGTCTTCGGGAGCCGGTTGTAGACGGAGGTGAGCGGTGAATCCGAGATCGATGCCTTTTGGTTTGGTTTCGGACTTCTTGGGGTCAGCAGCCTCATAAGAGCTGCGACCGAACAACTTCTTGCTGAAGCCTTCCCATTTCTCAAGTCTGGCCCGTTGTAGGTGTACGCGTCGATTGAGCTGCTCCAAAAGTCCAGCACTTCGGTCCTCAATGTCTGACAACTTGCCTTGCCGTACCCCAGTCCACACTTCGTCGAACGGTGTCCCCAGGAGCCCACCGCGGCGAGAACCTGTGTCGTCGTATAGTAGAGTCTCGACCCACTGATCATTGCCAGTCCAATTGGTCTTCAGGGTCTGTCGGACTTCGGCTTTGGTCCTGCCTGGCACCTGAGCAGATCTGCCTTTGGTGTCCGCCGCCTTGGTTTGTTCTTGGCGTTTGGCCAAATTTCTTTCCTTCAATGCCAATAGGTCCTCGAATTTCCGATAGCGTTCCCTGGCCACATTCTTGTTCCTGAGGCCAGCACTTAGCGAAGCCTTGTGCGCGAGGATGAGTCCGTTTAATTCGGTTCGATCGCCCGAATAGCCCCAGTTTTCCAACGCAATCTTCTCAGAGGTAGTAGGTCGGTATTCGAGGCCAGCATTTAGAGCTCGCTCCGCTACCAGCTTTTTCAGCACAGCTGAGGAAAACACCGCTAGAACCTCTTCCAGTCGCTCGCCTTTGCACTCATCTAGCATGGTCTTCCGTACAACGGCGTCCCGTCCCAGGACTCCGTGCCGTTTCGCATGCTCGAGTCCACGGAGAAGGGCGGCACGTAGGTTGATGGACTGTACCTGGTCGAGAGGCGGGTAGAAGGGCTTCAATTTCTGCTAGGGTTCAGTCGATGCCTGCCAGCTAACGTGGAACATGGGCCAAGAAACATACATTGTGCGCTTCCTCGGCATCCCATAGCTCGAACAAGTGGTAAAGCGCCCACTCGACGCACTGAATGCGCTTCTTCTGTCCACCCGCAGCATCTTTCACCGAGAATGTTGCTGGGGTGATATCTGGCCAACCTGGATCGAGATCGAGGTCGATAAGACGCAGGTTCGTCAAGAACAGGGAAACATGGGAAGTTGTGCTCGGAATCTGTGTGGAAGAGCCGTTGAAAACGAGATTTTGAGAGGATGTGGCGGTAGCGGTCAAGGCAGGTTTGGGCGGCACACGTAGGGATCTCGTGCGTGTGTGCGCAGTACTCGGCTGATGAATCGACATGTCGGCATGTTCGAAGTTCGAGGGAGTGCGCTCAAGGATAGAAGCACCTGTCGACACGAAATCTGCGCAGTATCGAACCTCGAATTGAGATCCGACCTTGGACGACTTCAGATTCGACGTAGCAGCCTCAGGATGTTGTTGACTTTCAAGCATGGGCCAGCCAATAGGGGACTTGCGTTGAACTGTGAGCACCCCGCTTTGGTGGGGGTCTACGATGCAACCTTCTTTAAAGTTTCCGAGTCGATCTTTAAAACGCCTCACTTAAGCTACAGGGCATGCCTCGGGTGCTTATGTAGCAAGGGTCATGACCACAGGTGGAATTTCAAGCTCGTACCTCCAGGAGTTTTACTTTTGACTTTACCCTCGTTCGGATTCCCTTATTGCCGATACCATTGTCAAAATCAAGATGATCCCGCAGTTCACTCTGATCCGCAGCGCAGCGCCCGTCATCCCTGTGAGTCGTACCACCTCAAAAGTCGCTCTGAATTCCCCCTCCAGTACCGCAACTCGTGTTGTAACGTGATGTGGTGTACGTGCTTGCGTGTCATCTGATGAAGGCATCTCAAAACGACACCGCTGACCCCCGTTTGGAATGTCTAGGAGCTCATGTCTGCACGCGCAGCGGCTCACTTGACTCTTGAGCATGACGATCATCGGTGAGGATTAGGACATGGCGGGAAGCTAGCCATTCTCGGCCCGTCGGTTCTTGGCAGGATATCTTCCAAGCGCGCCGCATAAATCTTTACCCACGTCTTCAAGAGCCAAATTGGCTTGAAGGCGCGGCAGGGGCTGTAAATAGTCCAGCCAACCAGCATGGATTATTGCAGGGCTTGCTCAAGCGTCGCCAGCGAACAGACTTTGCAACCCAACACGCCGTCACCGGATCGTCCTTCGCTGCGTCACGCCATGACGAGAGACAGGAGGGAGCTGGAGAGTGATCACTTCTCGGAAACGATCTGCCCTCAAGTTACCAGTCGCCATCTCAAAGTTATCCTCGCTTAAATGTTGCTTTCATTTCATTAATCCACATGCAAGGTAAATATGGGTTCACCCTGCCCACAACTTTGTGGGCTTTTTCTCCGAATTGACTGGAATATGGGTCCAGGATTCTCACGATGCTAGCATCATGATCGGGTCAGGGCCCAGAAAATCACCTCATGCCCTGGTTGAGGGCGGGTTGGCCGGTCCGCGTTTCTCTCTTTATATTTCTCCCTTTATATTCATACCTCACCTCTTCATGACCTAATCAGAAGCCTCCAAAAAGTTTTGGGGGGCGCTTCTTGTGAGTTTACCTGTAGCCTTTCTACCTTCAAGTTGCTGTCCCACCGTTGGGAAGCCGCAAACCTTCTTGCGCCACGCTCCTTCCCTAGTTCAGGTTGATCTCGCGGCACGCGCAATCGTGTATCCCTTAGGAGCGCTTCCCGTCAGCTTGGCACCTCTTTCAACGATCCTTCCTCTCGGATGTGGTACCGGCGTCTGTCCTGAAGGTGGTTGCATCTCGAACCTCCTTGTTGGCGGTCTCCGAGGAATCTGACAACCACCCCGATTCTCGTCAACTTCGAAGATGCAGTCACGCTGTTCTCCATTCACGAAGCTCAGACGGACATACGGATAGAATGCTGGGTCGCCGCCTCGCGGACGGTCCAGCGCTTGATGATAATCGACAGCACCTGTCATTGTCCAAGGGACAAAGAGGATGGCGCCACATGTCGCTCATCTTCACGGTTCGATCACGCGAAAACATCTTCAGGATCGAGAGCGCAATGATCTGCCGCCAGGGTACAACGACAACACCGTGTACACGTTGGAAGCCCTCTCACTATCTCTGGCGACCGTCAGCGTATTTGCTGCTCTCGTCGCCTTCTACTGGTTTGTGAGGATGAGGAGGGGCTTCCGACAAGAGTAGGTCTCCCGATAGGCCCCCGTGGAGGGGCACTTACTGACTTGTGTCCAAAGCTTGATTATGCTCCTCATTCAAAGCGACATGATGAAGGCTTTCTGGCTCATGTGCTGCCCGATGGTATATTTTGCTCGGGGTCAGGTTGATTCCAGCGACACGTTCTGTCAAGTCAGCGCCTTCTTCTTGACAGCGTCGATTGAGGCATCGGACATAGCTGTGCTCATGATTGCGATCCATTCGGGTCTTTACATTTTCCGGCCGCAACGATCCGGAGGGGAGACGGGGCTCTACCCATATCGACGTTATGCGTATGCCATCTGGTTCATCCTTCCTCTGATACTGGCTGCCATCGTCCCCATCTCCGGCGCACACTTTGCTGACACCGGAACGCACTGTTATTTGCCGATACGCCCGCTATGGTACCGAACAGCACTGAGCTGGATCCCGCGGTATATTGTATTCGTCGTCATTCTCATCACATACGCATGGGTCTACTTGTATCTTGGCTTTCGCTTCCGCCGCCTCCGACTGGATCAGCGACGTGCCAGCTTCCAGAGTGGCCACTCCATTCACAAGTCGCGGCCGCCACGGCGGCACAGCAGCCATGTCCTGCCTCCAACCCCGACTATAGTGCATCACGGCCTTCTGGATCTCTCGCCACGCCCGGTATTGATTGGCCACGCTGATAGACGAGACAGGACGTCGTCTGTTGCCTCCACTGTTAGCACTCTCAAACTTGACGAAGGTAGTGTCCTTGCACCAGGTCGACCCGACAGGTGTCATGAGAGTTCCGTGCCGTGGAATTGGCTGGACCTGAATTATGATGGCGCCGTTGAAACGACATCACGACGAGATATGGTACCGGACGAGCCATCCTCTCCAATGACTGTATCATTCGCATTAGCCGCCTCTACCACACCAGCAGAATCGCCCAAGGATTCTATTTTAACCGCGCCCGCAACGGCGCATTCGACCCCCTTCCAACGTCCCGTCGGCGCTGAGTCGGCCGAAACCTCTACCTCAAACCGGGGGCTCTCATCGCTCCTCACAGCCCTCCGCCAGGGACCGTCGCAAAGTAATTTAACAAACGCGACGACGAACACTCTCCCATCTGTGTACCTGTCGCAATCGGCTACCGATGATGTGCTTCAAAAGTCCCGCGGCAAGATGCGCCGGCAGCTGCGGCTCCTCTTTGTGTACCCGCTCATGTACATCATCACCTGGCTCGCACCCTTCGCATCACACGTCCTTAGGTACGACGACAACGCCATTGAAGAACCGCAACCATTTGCGCTACTAGTCGCGAGCGTTGCGAGTTTATGTATCGGTGCTGCTGTCGACTGCTGCTTCTTCTGTGCCTGGGAGAAGCCGTGGCGGAATCTGCGTGGCGGATTCTGGGAAGGACTTACCATGCGGTTACGCATTGGGTCGTATCGCGGCAGAAGGAAGCACATGGGGCGCAGTAAAGAGGAGGAATTTCGCGAAGCGAGGTATGCTCTAGACCGACGGAATCAAGAGATCGCCGAGTTGCAGGCAGCGATGGCGCAAACGAGACCCTCACGACAGCCCATGGAATGGTGGGACATTGTCGATGTGGCTACTGAAGACGATCAATCAGAGAGGACTGAGGAATCGTCGTGACCATCAGGACGTGGTCGGATCACGAAGGCACAGGCGTACAAATACTCTTAACGTATATATGGAGGAGGCGAATGATACCAGCTTATATATATGCATTAGTAGCGTTGGAGAGTTAATATGTTCCCGGGGGCATTGGACCGGGCGGGCAACATTGGGCGGCGTTTGGCATACATAGGAGTCTTGGATTTGGGAGACTACCAGAGTACGTTTGCATATTAGGATATGGGCATCTTGGCCATTTGTCCAACAACTGAAATCATCATGGATTTGATCACTGGAAACGTCTGTTTTATTGTCCATCCCTTGACTGGTCCAAGTGTACGCGGAAGGCAACCCGCCATCTGACCTGCACGCCCGCCGCCGCAGATGGTCCCAGACATGTTACACATTCCCCGATGCTTTGTAATACCGTTCATTTTTCTTTCCTTTCCAATTTTCCCTACTCCTACTCCCGCAAAAATCGCAAAAACGCCTGAGCAATTTTGACGCCATCATGCTCATTTTCTACCCTACCCATGGCATCCTCAAATACGCCCGTGGGGATAATGCCATTGTCGTGGCGCATTTTCAAAATCTCGGTGACCATGTCCCCGGTGAATTCCGGGTGGCCCTGGACGGCGATCATCCGCTTCGGTATGTACATGCCTTGTGTCGGGCACATGTCGGTATGGCACAGCGGTGTCACGCCGGGAGGGAAATCGGTTACTTGGTCGCGGTGCATTTGTTGGATCCTCTGTGAGCTTTGTCAGCAAAACTCAATACTGTTTTATCACTGCCACCCCTACGAAAAGGGAAAGGGAGAGGGGGGAGACTAGCCAACTCATCCACTCCAAAAATCCTCTTCCCTTCCTCCGTCATCTGCATCGGAATAACACTCAACTCCCACCCCCTCACATTTCTGCCCACCTCTGCCCCCATCGCCCTCCCTAAAATCTGGTGTCCAAAACAGACGCCGATGACACGCACCCTTCCCCCTTCAAGCAATCGCTTTGTATAAGTTACCAACCGGAGGATCCAGTCATCGCTCTCGTAGGCTGAGTGTTTCGATCCGGAGATGAGAACCGCATCGATGGATTCCGGGTCGGGGTAGGAGGTGGGGTCGCTGACGACGTCGTGGCCCGTGAGGGTTAGGGCCGACGAGAGGGGCGTGGGGGCCAGGGCGCGCGTGAAGAGGTGCGTGAAGACGCCCGTGTAGTTACCGTTGTAATTTTTGCGGATACCGGGGAGGGGGGTGTCGGCTTCGAGGATGGCGAGGCGTATCGGGCTTGGGGTTGGTTGGGAGCCCATTGTGAGGGGTGTTCGCTAGGGTTGGTGAGGTGAGGTGATGTGTTGAGGAATCGGTATGCCGAACTTGGATTGACGACGTAGCCAGACTAGATTTGGTCCAGAAGATCGAAGAATGACGACGTTGAGGAGCCGGACCGAAATCGGGACGTTGTTGTGTTAGTGTTGACTCGTCGCCAGCGCACCACTCCGTACGCATCGCAAGCAACACCTAGCCATCGTGAGGGTCACTTTGCACCCCACATGTTGGGCCCGGTACTTGGGACTGAAAAGCGGACTACGAGGGCGATTAATCAAGGTTCGGTTCCGGTGGGTGATGCGGAGAATGACGCAAGGGGCTCCAATCCGGTGATAGGCATAATTAGGCGGTCGGGAGATAGTGTCGGCGTTGTCCGGTGCCCGTCCGACGACAATTGGATTTCATTTGTCATTGATAAATCTCATTATGAGCGGTCAAAGCCGATATAGTCCTGCCAGCGCCTTTTGGCATGATGGGTCTCATCGATTCGTTCCAAACCCAGTGGAAGACCTCAATCGCAGTTCAGTGTTGCGATGACTGGTGACAATGTTGTCCCGCCGACCAATGTAAAATCCACTATGTTCGCCAATCTAGCAAGTCCATCTACTGCTGGCTCGATTCGTCACTGCTGATTTTAATGTCGACATTAACTCAAGGCCAACGCATGAATTCAAATCCGTCCTCTAGCACTTAAGTGCTTAGCAAATTGCTATTTTACTGACTCGAACTCTGCCGAATGCAGAGACCTTGTAAATGCTTGCTCTCAGCGTCTTCATCCTCCCATTTACCAGTGGGTATCTATGTACTCAAGCATCTACTTTCTTCTGGGCATGATACAAAGGCAAACCTTCCCTTCGTAATTCAGGTGTGGTACGACCAGAGGGACTTCCAAGCGCATCATGGTAACTATGAGATGCTGGATATGTGATCCTCAGCACCAGTTCTGAAGCCGTTATTGCTTAGATAAATATAGTGACGTCTGGCTAGGCAGTTTCTTGCAACTTCGTAGTATATCTATTCCTGGGTGGCAGGTGGGTGAGTTTGACTTTTTTATTTGTTCTTTTAGGGATTTTTCGGGGTGACTGCGAGAGTGCAGCTCGATATGCGTAAACCTTCGTTTCGTTTGCAACCCGGCAGCTGCGCAGTTAAGATCTGTATACCCTGACTTGTAGTGTCTATCAGAAGGCATTGGCATATTTACAATGAAAGAAAAGAGCCATTGAGACCCAAAGGCGCCTTGACGTCCAGCCCCTGGCCTTTAACTAATTTCTTCAACTGAATAATCGCAGCATTTACAGTGTTGTCTGGATCAAGTACTCCCACCTGTGAAGCCTGCTTAAATCGAAGCGTTTCTCGTTCACCATCTCACGAGTCCAGTCCAAAACTGACAGTACTGCTGCATACCTTACTCAGATTTTAACCCCAGAACTTCAAGCACCAGCTTCTCATCATATACTACAAGTTTGGTGTGTACGGAGACCATGGTGTACAGGTGTATGAGAAAGAAAGTCGTCGCGACGAAGTCGATTCGAAAGACCTCAGGTAGTGACGGATCTGCTGCGGACATTTTACAGTCTCCTGCTAGGAACTCATCCCCCAGGCTGGCAGCCAAGGGGAGAGATAACCGTCCGTTCTGGTTGTGCTGACCCATGGGTACCCCGAGATCGACCGAGTTCGGTAAGTTGCCTCCTCGGTGGGCTTGGTGAATAGAGTTCTCTAGCTGGAAGTTCGGGGGGTTACGGTGAGAATTCTTGTGCAGCGTTGGCAAAAGGCTGGATACCAAACCGAAAGCTGGCGTATAATTATTACATAATTTCACCCTGACTCGCTGTATACAGGCTGAGTTGATTGTTCACCTCCATGGTGCAATAGCACAGGTGATATATCAAATTATTCCACTTCGTAGGCATTGAGATATCTACACCATTCTATGTAAACCAAAGAACAATGATCAGACCATACTAGTATGACTTGGGCGCCGCCTTATTTTCTTTACTCGTCAATACATGCAGTCAAGTAACAAAATGCATTCTGCATTTAATGGCTTGCCCGCATGCTCATCCATGGGAGGCTGTGAATATGACTCGTAGACCCTGGCACTTATGATATTATAATTATATATGTGATAGATAGCATCCTCAGGCGGGCAAATTCCAAAGCATAGTCGTTAGTCTTGGATTCTGAGCATCTGCAAGATGTAGAAAGGCCCTGGATTTACGACCAGTACTTCGTACTACGCAGTGCTCAATTCTGTCGTACGGCTTTGGAGATTCCAGGCTTGCTGGGGCAGATTCAATTTTCTAGAGATAGATCCAGTCCAGCAGTAAAAACAAGGGGGAAAAGACTCGTCTCAACACACATCCGTTCATCGCATTGTCAATGCTGGTAACGCGAAGGCGTCTGAAGAAGATTGCCCTCTGCGGCTGATATCGCACCGGATTGAGGATCATCTCGAGGAATGGAAGAAGAAGCAACTCCATCCAAATCAGACAATGCTGAGCAAATTTGCCCTTCATTAAGTGATTGATTCAGTTTGGCGTCTGCTATTAACGTGCTTCCGTACCTCCTAAATCTGCCCTGAGGAATTGAAGTGGTCCATGCGCTTAGGGTAGCTTCGCTACGAACCGGCGTTGCACCGCGGGGCATCTGTTAAACAAAGCGTTTGCAAGCTTTTCCGTCGTCTTTGAGTCGTGATGGCGATACTCGGAAGCCGTCAAATACACGCATCTTAAAGACAAACTCGAAGCGCTGCCCTCTCGCGCGAGTTATTATGTCTGGGAATAACCACCCGGCCAAGCGCCCGAGATTCACACGCTCCAGGGGCGACCGATGCGAGACTTGCGCACGGCATCATCAGAAGGTAAGTACGCGCGACGCGACAGGCGATTCGGCGGCGGCAAACACCTGCCACCCAGCGCAACCCATATCCTGGAGCCGAAGTTGAAGAGGCCGCAAAATTGGCTGATGTGAACGTCAACAGTGTGTTTTCAGTCAACAAGATGGCATTTGCGATCGATGTCGCGATGTGGCTTTAGTATGCACCATCATACCTCGCAGCCAACGGATCCCGCCTTGGCCCCAAAACACTGTGAAGGACTCGGCCAACAGCATTCCCAAGTGCGACCACTGCCGCGTGCAGCGCCAAAAGGTCTGTCGCACCGCCCTTGTTTGTCCAGTACTTCCACCCTGACTTCACCAGTGTGTCCCCGATGATCGGGTATGGCCCGCGAGATGTGAGAGGTGCATCCAGAGAAGACTTGCATGTGGTCCACCCCACACGGCGAGGGAGTACAGGGAGCTGTACCATGATGATCAGTCCGCCGGCAGAGCATCAAAAAGACAGTCAGCTCCTGAGAACGTGCAGCAAGAGCAACACACCCAGCACTCTCTAATGCCCATGTACAACTCGAAGTCTGAGTCTTCAAATTCAGACAGCAGTTCAGATTCAGAAGCGGAGAACCCAGCTGTCTTACCGGCAACCATAAGCCCTGCAGTTGTAAACCCCCCAGTCACCAACCATTCAGCCGCCCATACTTCCGGACCCAGCCATACAGGTCGCAGTCCCCCAATCGCCAACTCAGCAGCCACTAGCCACCCGAAGAGAAAGAGGCTATCCACCCATGGTCACTTTGATGCTCCCGAGGAAGTGTGGAGTCTCCGGACCAGAAACACCGAGCTGGAGAACACGATTCGCGGAATGGAGGACGAATTCCAGGGTATACTCGACGAAGAACGCAAAATGCACCGAGCAGAGCTCGATGACCAGCGCAAGAAGCACGAACAGGAGCTCAAGGCCGTCCGAGAACGGTACGAAAAGAGGCAAGATGACCTCATTCAGACCATAGTAAAACTCTCGAGCGTTAAGTAAAGATATGGATGCGTTGCTTCCCATTTGACGGGGTAATCGATACGGCTGGACTATGGTAGGCGAAACAGGCGTTTAATATATCGCTGAATGTCAATAGAGGTCTGCCTTCTCGCACAAATAAACTATCACTTCCCCAATGGCAGCCATTCGTCTAACCACATTGACCACCTTTTTGCATGCACCCCCATTTTGCAGGGAATTTCTACGCCTCAACAACACGACGTCTCTCAATTTACCTCGCAATTGCTCCCTATCTACGTACAAAATGGCTAATCCAGTGGAGAATAGTCTGGACTATTTTGAGCAGCGAATCGAACGCGCTAAAGAGCTTGTCCGTCAGGGCTCTTCCCAGGCCGCAGCAGCTCATCGGTACGGTATCAAGGGGACTACACTGTCCTACCGTATTCGTCACGGTAATTCGCATCGCGACGCGGCCTCCAGGCAACAAAAGTTGACTCCAGAGCAAGAGGAGGTTATCGTGAACTGGATCCTACACGAAGAAGTGTGTGGACGGGCTCCTAGCAAGCGTTATGTGGCCGACTTCGCTGCCGAAATCCTCCTTGCTCAAGGGGATAACAATACACTCGGCCAACACTGGGTGGATCACTTCGTTAGCCGCCATCCACAGATACGTACCAAAATTGGGCGCGTCGTAGATGCTAGCCGAGTTAGAGCGTCCGATTCGAACAAGATCCGAGACTTCTACACCCTCCTCGAACGCTTACGTACGAAGTATCGTATCAAACCCGACAACGAGTATAATATGGATGAGACAGGTGTCCAAGAGGGGGACTTTGGTATTGGTCTCTTTTGGTGAAGACATCTGGTACGGTGGCGTAGTGGCAAGGATTGCAACCCCTGGCGCGGCGTGACAGGTGACGAGTCGCGGGTTCGAATCCCGCAGCTGACACACAAGGGGGTTTAGTTAACCCTTACGGCGCGCTACCCACCCACCTTATTGACTTCGCCTACCTAGCGATAATAGGGAGATCGGTACAGTTTAGGATTACGAGCATCCTAGCCATTCGACCGTCAAGCATTGCGTTGGCGGAATATAACTCGACAGCCGGTCCAGAATTCGAATCGTTAATCCGACCTCTTATCGGACCTCGCCTATCCGATAACGCTCGTCGGCGAACCCGCCCCCTCACGATAGAAGACGCGCAGCACGCCCTCTCGTCGCGATTCTTGCGAGCGTCTTGTTACGAACCGTTGGCAGGCCAGGTGGATACAGACGCTAGGATCACGGGACCCCGCATCGGAGAAAGGAAAAGGCCGACAGGTCACGTACCTACAGGGGTGGATATGTTGGTCAACTACATATCCAACCAACAGGATATGTCGGCAGAGAACATATCCAAGTGGGGATCAGTGAAGGAGAGACGGATATATAAGGTACAGGACTCCCAGGCATTTCATAGATAGACAGCCTCTACTTCAGTGATCAACCTAGGCATCAATCTAACCCATTGGTGAGGCAAACTGCCTTGACGACTCTATTCCCAGTTACCCTACTTGAATACTTCAGTTACCCAGAGCCCTATACTCCATACGTCAGACCCCGATATTATTGCTAAAGGACTCCGCAGCAGGACTTACTTAATAGCACAAACCCTTACAGACTCTAGTGGTTTACGCAGCTAGACTATTAGAGGTTTCGTTACACGTCTAGACCACGTTACGGTCTATCCACTTGAGCGTATGGTTGAGATGTATACGCTCGACGAGAACCCCAATTATGTCAGGGTACGGCTAGGCCGAAGGCAATAGTACAGAGTGATGGGGAGTAACGGGTGTCCCTCCTACGTAGCACCGGCTGGTCACTGGCGGTCTCAGGTAGGGGTGCCCACGATGATGCCTTGATCTCTGCTCCCTCCCTATCCTACTACGATATGGTCCTTATATAGATAGCTAGACTACCGCTTAGACACGGCATAACAGTAGGGTCGGCGATGCCGAGGATCTTGACTCTCGTTATCCCAAAGCTTCACATAGATTGTAATCATGACTCGGGAGTCTTTTGTCCGAAACACCCCTCCGGCGCCCCACCGGTGTCCTGCGTTCAGTGTCCTGACAAATTAGCAGATACTACGACTTGTCGCGACAAAAAATAGTCGAGCATCTTCTGCACATCAGCAGCATCCCACCCCTGAGGACGAATTTAAGTGCCACATTACCACACTTATCGGTAGTTCAGGCAGGGGTTGTAGCACAGACTTAGAGAGGGACAGGAGGTTTAGTAGTCGTTTGGCTACAAGTTTACCTGTATAACCGCCCGACGCGGCTTAAGGGCCCGCTATATCTATAGCCCCTTAAGGGAGTACTTGTAGAGGTACCGAGGGTTAACACCTACGGCGTATTTAATATTATTTATTAATGTGGACGAAGTATTTAGGTTGATTCAGTTAGACCCTGCAAAATGGGGTGCATGCAAAAAGGTGGTCAATGCGGTTAGTTTAGTCGGCTTCGCATTGTCATGCTAGATCAGTACGATCAAAACCTGAGGACTGGCATCTTGCACCGGCAATCCATTCAGTTCAACCGCTTTTTCTCGAGTTCCAGGCTGAGTGGAATCTCCATTTCGTCGTTGGTTCCGGGCTATGGTTTCGGGCTATAAAACATTTGAGCTAGCTGTCTGAGCGCCACCAGAGGGTTCGACATGAGGAGCCTCAAGCGCAGAACCCTTGACTCGACGTGGACCCGTCTTTACCCGCAACGAGTCGTTCTGGACATGTTCGATCTCTCGAGGTTGAGATTTGGCTACTAGCTTGGCTAGCTTCGCTGGAATCCATGGACACTGCCAGATACAGTCAACAACTCATCACAGTTGAAATGCCCTCATCAGCCCTATCAAGTATCCTAAAAGCATCATCACTCATGCGCTGTATGCCAAGGAGATTCACAGTATCCCGTCATCAATAAAGATCGTGCAATCAAAACTCTTCAGGGAAGTCCGTCGCGCTTCGTCAAGCGCGAACGCGAGGATCCTCTTTTAAGGATGTCGGGTCCATCGCGCGTTCGCGGGATCTGCCGAAAAGTGGCCACAGGCAAAGAGGGGCCGGAGAGTTCTCGGTATCCACTCTCGACGATGATCTCCCGGCAACTAACCTGCGCATCTGGCGATTTGACTTGATTAAACACGCTATCTATGTGCCCCTGCAGCCCAAACAGACTATTCCAGACTTCTCATCACACCACCATCTGAAGTTGGAAATAACGAATCGAATCATTCCCACTTTATCTCACCTGCTGAACTCACATCATTTCCGCCACCGGTTATCAGCTTGTCACGCTCGTATCGGCCACCATTGGATAGGCCAGGGGAGCATTTGAGCTCTCGTCAGCTTTCACGTGGATGCCACTTCTCACAGCCTCGCGCGAATCAGGACTACCATACAGAGTAGCAGTTGCAAGTTGAAACAGCCCTACCGCCTTTTGACACCCAGACCGAGCTGGGATCTGCTGCAACGCGCAAGGCCGGCCACCTGCCCCACCATTATCCGAGGGCTTGGTCGGCATTTTGGTCCAGATTAGAGGATCCACGTTGAGCCGTTACCCTGTTTGCTCACCTTCACGAGTCAACGGCTGCGGGTGTCCGGAAGGCACCGTCTCACAAACGCGAAGTCCGGAACGGCGAGGCCGACGGGAGTGGTCATCGGCGCCTTGATACAAAAGCCAACAGCCCCCCAGTGACGCCGTACACGGATTGGAAGATTGGTCAACCAATTCTTGTACCTCGTTTACATTCTCCCACTCTTTGGTATATTGCACAAGTTGCACAAAATGGCGCCTCCCACCACGATCGACTCGTTACCCAACGAGGTAGGATTCCACCGTTGAGACGATGAGGCATCACAAGTTGATATCGAATTAGATCCTCATGCAAATCCTCGACACCTTCCCCACTCGCTCGCTGCTGCCTCTGGCTGCGGTCAGCCAGCGCTTCAACGCGCATGTTGCTGCCGTTCACTACACTCGACTCGTCGAGGCCGCTACTCTCAGGGACCATGAGCTCATCCTCGAATGCTACCACCCCAGCGCTAAGATCTCAACGCCATACTTGCACTGCGAGTACTTGGGCACGGACGGAATCGCCGAGACAGGTCTGGATCCCACCTTGCGAGGCTTGAACGATCTGTACTCGCGATTCCGTCCCGTCTCAAGCTCGCAGAGCAGACGGCCGCGAGCAAGGTACCCGACCAAACGTGCGATAGAGAGCGCAAAAGAGCCACTGGCTGAGGAGGCGCCGTCACACGACGTCTTCCTCGACTCTGGCGAGCTCTTCTCTCAACTCTGCACGGTGACCAACTTGGTTAAGGTCGGGCCGAGGCGTGGTCTATTTCTTAGTCACGCCAACATCACCGATGGTGTCATTCGAGTGTGGCGCGATTGGCTTCTGAGAGAAGCGGCGAAAACCGCAGACGGGACGCAGCGGGTGAGTATGGGTGCGGATGATTCGTCCATTCTGTGGGCCGATTCATCGAAGAACGTCGGGTTGAAAGTCCGGGTTGTTGAACAGACTGACATGCACGCACCCGTGCTTGTGGGACCCGAAGATGACCCGCCCCTGTCATACACCCTGGTGTACGAGGGTAAGTTTATGCCCCTGAATTCATTCGATCCTGGACTTTAGTAGCCTGGGAGCAATACAACTGACCTCATTAACAGAACTCTTGATCCGCACAAATCAAGTGCTTCTCCATATGGAGAAGTCGGAGGCTCAACAAGTCACACACGCAGGTAAAGCAGTCGTGATCGCATCCATGTGAAAAAAGAGAAGGGAGTTGAGCTCCTGCCGACCCCGGCAGTTTGGGCAAGTTGGTCGTTGGGTAACGCCAAGCCGTGTTCGATGTCGAGGTGTAGGATGGACGGAAAACAACCTTTGGCTGTTCCATCTCCACCAAGGCATTGTCACGGAACCCATTTCCGTTCCAGGGTCATCAAGCTACAGCTTTGACCGCAAGAAATAAGAATCAACGGGAGGGTGGAACCCGGAAAATGGATTTAGTGAATCCGCCGTGGGAGCAAAACAACGTTGGAAGCAATGCGAGGTGCATTCGCCGCGTATACAAGAGAAAGAAAGAAAGAGTCGAGAAACGAGAAAAACAAGCCGTTGAAGTGATTAGAAGCTTACATTCCCTTCGTGGATCTCCAGCAGTTACTATTATCATGCCGCAGATCGGCAGCCACCAGTCCGACGTCCGGCTCAGCCAGCCCCGATTCGATAGCAGCCAGCACGCGGTTTCAATGGTTTGGTGAATGCGGATGCTGAAACAAACAAAAGATTCCGGTGTACGTCGTCTTCGCATGGATGACTTGGACGGGGGTGAGCTACTTTATTGATGACGGATGACGTCGTCGCGCCGGGAAGGAAGGTTGGAGTGATGCTTCCGGCGGTTGCGGGTTTGTCTTACGTGAATAGACGGTATTGGGATAGTATTGGGATAGGGAGATGCAAGTACTTACTGGATGGCGTTTTCGGTACGAGGTGTTATCAGGTGTGACCAGTTGCGAAGGCGCTATTTTTACACGCCTATAGATAGAGACAATTCATGAATACTCTCCGCTATTGGTCGCCTTAGCATGGCATGCTACGAAAGCCCAGGCAGATTTACTGCAACACCTCTTAAACCTTGCGTATCAACATATCAAGGGCAAACCTAATGCAGAATCCTTACGTTTCTAGCAGTGTATGATCTACCAGTTATCGAAGGGCCGTTCGAAGATTTAGTTGGATTTATTGTAGGCGGGATTACCTGGTAATGCGAGACAGACCGAGTCACGCGATAATCCGCATATGCTGTTATTTGTAGTTTTTCAACAAAAGGGCGATATGTGGTTGTTTTACGGCATCAAGCAGGTCTGGGAAATGGCCATAGGTTCGACGAAAACTATCCATCCGATGTTCGGACGATTAGATTGACTAGGAACCCCCCCGAACAGCCTAAACCCCACGAGATAATTATCCACCCGATGTGTCGAACGGGGGCTGCAGAGTTGCAGAGATGCAAAGGAATCCTGCCAGGCCAATCGCCGAACTGCACCAGACGGGTTCGATTGCTGGAAATAGGAAGAAGGCTCAAGAGATCGACGACTATGTCACACATCAACATCTACCGGAGCCCCTTGGCAACCTTTGAGACATCACAGAGCCACTCACCCATTGCTCAAGCAGTTGAAGTTTGGACGATCCCTTTGGATTGGGGTCGACCCACGCATGCCGGAGGGAGGGATGAGGTGACCCTATTTCGGAACCGGTGGTCAAAGCACTCGAATCTGTAAGTCGGCACCCCTTGTTGATTTCAGGTTGGAAGAACACGCGGCAGGTTCTTGAGTGTCAGGATATTCCTCGATGAAGTAATGAGATCACGAGTACGGAAACTATCTGAGCGTGCAGAGGAGGTCTCAATTAAACTGTCTTCATTACCTCTTTTCAGAACGTTCCGCATCTTGAACCTTCCTCAAGTTCGTGACTGCATCGCATGGCCTGGTCCGAGCGTCGGCAGTTAATAATCACGTCCACAAAAGAGTTTTTTTTTTTTTCATGGTAGCAACGTGGCAAAACTTGACCTGGGGTGCCTTGATGAACCCTGTGTCTGAAGTCTCGAGTCAGGATGACAACGTCAAAATCTGACGGAAACGTATTCCGGGGTGCACGAGCCCGATCGACAGAGATAGGTGGGTTGATCCACGGCTGCGACGCAGACCCCGCCTCAAGCGAGTTTCACCCGCCCAGCAGTCCACTGTCATCGGCGCGGGTCATAGCGTGCAACCCTCTCTCTCGTCTCGGCCTTCCTTAACTTCGAAGTCCTTCACAGGCAACATCAGACGTTCACACAGCGCAGGTCGTACTCGGGTGTCCCTGTGTGATAGAACAGCAAGAACTCTCCATCCATCGGGTCTGTTCAAATGCTACCCCAGGGGAACGCCCGGGCCGGTCCCGGGCTGTAACCAAAACCGTGATCACCACCGGGGTTACGTCCCTGTATCCACAACTGCCACGCGCGACTGCGGTCTACCGTGGGTTCTCTTTCGTCGCCCAGCCCTTTTATAGAGGGCACCCACTCTTCTCGATGTTTTCTCCTCGTGCTCGATGCGACTCTGCTTGCAGGAGCGTCCACATTAAGTGACAGTTCTCGGCAGATCAATCAAGTGTCATGGCGATCTGATACTTTGTTCTTTCTTTTTCCTCACTCTCTTTCGTGCCAAGGTCCCCTCGACTTGTTTCTGTTTCCTCCTTTCTACTAATGGATTATCTATCCATCCCTCCCTTAGTAACACACGATTAATTGTTTTCCTCTTTTTGTTCTGTGGAAGTTGATCTTTCTGGCCCTGGAATAGCTTCAAGAAGCTGGCCTTTCTTTGACCAAATCTCTTTGACCAAATCTCTCTCTCTCTCTTTGCCCCTCAAGGTTCGCCCTTACTATATTCTGAAGACCGTCAAAGAGTCTGCTGGCAGCCATCGACCGAGTTCGGTAGTCAGATAAAGAGTAATTGCCATGTCGCGACCGGAACCGACCATTGTTGACATGGTGGAGCCGGAGAAGACGCACGTGTTGCCATTGAAGGATGCGAAGAAGCTGCCGGAACTACCACCGTTGGACAGCCCACCGGAGATAGGGAAGAGCAGCGCGGACACGACGCCAACGAGTTCAACACAGTCCCCCGACAGGACATCGAAGCCATGGACACCAGTGGAAAAGGATCAGGCAATAGACATCCCACAGCCATCATTTAGCCTGTCGCTGAAGGGAACCCGCCCGCCAAGACTCGTTTCGAAAGATGTCCGCCCAATGACCGCTTCCACCAAGCGCTTGTCCTTCTCTAAGTTGTCGTCGGAGAGGACCATTAAATACGGCTCGGGAAAGCATGCGCATGTAGAGTTGGTCCCCCAACCGAGTGAAGACGCCACGGATCCTCTGGTAAGTCGACATGAAACTGAAGTAAACCCCGGCACCCATAACTGACCTGTGATGGCATAGAACTGGCCCATGTGGAGGAAGAACTTGAATTTCGTGGCGCTGCTGTACATGGTTGCGCTTGTGGGAGTAATGAAGACGATTTTTATCAGTGTGAACAGCACCATTGCGGTGACCAATAACGTGTCTTACACGGCAGTAGCGGCCTTGACTGCTGTCCCTTTAATGGTATCGGCCTTAGCTGGGGTGATGAGTTCAATATTCGCGAAGGTATACGGGAAGCGGCCCATGTATCTGGCCTCGACGACCTTGATATTTATTGGTGCGGTGTGGAATACGTCTGTTATGAGTAGCTTCGGGCAGAACATGGCTGCACGAGTCTTCCAGGGACTGGGTTGGGGCGCATTTGATACCTTGGTGCTGGCGTCGCTGCAGGATACCTTTTTCGTATGTGAACACTCGTTCTGAGAAGCCCCCATGGTACCAAGCTGACTAATCTTAGGATCACGAACGTGGTTCCCGAATCATGATCTACTACGGCGTGTCAGTTGCGACGACGTGGGGCACCCCTTTGCTCGGTGGTGTTGCATCTGCCAGCTCCATGGGGTTCAGCCTCCAATATGACATTCTGAACTGCTTCCTAGTAATCGGCATGCTGCTAGTCGTCTTCGGTGCTCCGGAGACCGCTTTCGAACGACAACAGCTGTACAAGGCCCAGACCCCACAGCAGGATTTTTCCCAGCAAGGAGCATGGCCGACTATGACCTTCACCCCAGCGGCAGCGAAGGCGTACCTTTACAAGATGAAGCCATGGTCCTACCAGGTGACATCGGTGAACACTGGGCTTCTCCTCCAAGTACCGCGCGCCATCGCGGCCCCGACGACGATCCTCCTCTGCATCGTCACCCTACTGCCATACGCCGGGCTCTGGGGCCTGGCAAACTCCATCTCGCTCCTCTTCTCTATCATGCCCTTCATGCTCCCATCTAACGCAATTGGCACGCTCCTCACGGGGCCCTTTATCATGGGCACGATTGTGGCAGTGGCTCTTGTTACCCCTTACTTCGCAACTCGATTTACTCCCAAAGTCCATGTAACTACTCTCGCCGCCGCGACGGGCCTAGCCTCCAGTGCGCTGCTGACTTTGGGGCTCTACATCGAAGGCTGTATGATGATGCCCGTCTCGCCCGACGTCTCCGCCGACGCCAAACCCCTAAGCACAATGTGGAGCATCGGCTCCAGCGGCTCCTCCATGAGCTTCCCTTTCATCTCCCTCCTTCTCGGCCTGTTAGCAGCCGGGTCTCTAGCCCTCGACTCCACGATCCGGCCCATGATCCAGCGATCCACGGCGTTCACGTCGTCCAGCCTCAATGTGTGTCTCCGCAACACGGCCGATATGCACGCCGCCATCACTTGTCTGCGCAATTTCGTCGCGGGGGCCTTGGTGGTCGGGCTGCCGAGTGCCGTTTGGGCTTGGGATGGGCTCAGGTCGGTGTGTATTGGACTTGGCGCGGCGCAAGTGTTCGTTGCGGCGGTGGTGGGGGTTACGTGGTGGGGGTGGGAGGAGAATGTTAGGAGGCTGGATGGCAGGGTTATGGGCTTGGTGGATTTGAAGGGGTTGAAGAAGCAGGGAAGCTTCTTCAATATGGATTAGGGATTTTGTTTGTTGCATGTTGGGAGATGAGGTTAGGAGTGTATGATGATAGTTTCTTTTGTTTGAAAATGGAAAGGGACTGGGGAGCCTGATGATGGGCCTGTCACGGCTGGAAGATGAAAATACCCTCGTTTGGAATCTGGAAGATTGGATGTAATGAGTAACGCGAACACGTCAACGTTAACCTCCGGTTCTGTTCTGTCCTATCTGCACTCGTGATCCCGAACTTGTGGTGTAATTGCTTGATCATGGTTTCCATGATGTGGCACAGATGCGCCAGCTGAACTCGTGGTTCCTTCAGCGTTCTTGGCGGCCCCTTAGACTTTAGCTGCTGGTAAAGGTCATCTCATCTCATCTCTTATCTTTCACCTCAAGTTAATAGTCTGCCCCACCTATTTGCTAGCGCTGGGACGGCTGGGTCGAAGTCAGAGATGAGATGAAATTTGGGCGACATGGGATGTGTGCTGTCCGGTGACGCCGCGTGAAGGAAACATCAGCAAGATTGCTATATTCATCGCCATGTTCCACGGCACATCGCCACGCTGCAGCACGCGTTTGATTGAACGCTCGGTTCAAAGCGCTCGGGGCTGAGCGATGATAACCAGATGCAATGCGAAGTTGTGTCTTCACCGAAACTTGTTGCTAGTGGCATTAAGCATGGCGGCTGTGGACATCGCCGCCATTGATCGCCATCTAATATCACTGCCGCACGTCTCGTTTCGTGCCGTCAGCATATCACCCCATAATTTTGAGCTAAGGTTTGGATCGTTCATCAGTCCTGCGACGGAGACGGATCGGGGCTGACGCAAAGCACGCCTCGTGGATGGTTCTTTATGCTTACTCCCGCTTTCAAACGTACCTGACATTAGTTTTTGACAGGGTCCGAGAAAGATGGTAGATGTTATGGCGACGCATTCCGACGAGCTCTCAAATCAAGGAAGCACATCCTCTCCTCTCAACAACGAAAGGGATTGGTTGCATGGACAAACATTGCCCTTAGCTTTCAAAACAAGCTTTCGAGTTTCGCAGGGCGTCAAGTGGAGTGCACGCTAAGCCCACATTGGCTGCCCTTACAGCCCGAAGGATGCATCTGGTGTGGATGTTGTATTAATTGCTGTGCCTTCATTATGCGTTGTGCCTACATAGGTTGGTGTTGAGAGGCTGGCTCTGAAAGGGGCTCTGGAAGGATCTGACCCACTACACTAGCAACTATGCCGCCTACGTAGGACACAACTGTGGCGCTCCATCCCCAGCATCCATGTAAATCTCGACTTGTCTGGTCTATCGAAGGCTATTCCAGGCTTCCAGCAGCAATTATGAAGCTGATTATGGCTGGGTTACTGAAAAACGAGCTCTCCGTGTTCGCCATATCCTCTTGTCATCCAGACTGTCAATAACTCACTTAGGGTGCAGTGCTTAAGTCGATGCCAAGCCAGATGGACTGCAAGCTACCCCAGCACCATGGCCGGCATGGACCGCACAGTCTTTTCTTTTAGGCACTTGAATTCGATTTTTTCGGACATAGTGACCCGTATTCATAGACCAGTCATGTCTTGGCATTACAACATCAGGTTCCAGATGGCCAATAGGTGTTGACTGGAGAGCCTTGACCTAGTCGCGGCGCCATGGTGGAAATGTCTCCTCCATTTGGATGCCTATTCGCCATAGACTAGGCTGCCTAGGCTGTCAGGGCGCTGGACTGCAACTGGCAACGCTATTAAAGCGTTGCTTCCGCCTGCTTCATTGGGCAAGTGGCTCACTTCATCCCTTTCTTCACCCAGCACAAGCCAAGCCTATCAACTCAAAAGAAACATAATCAACACCAATCACGAAAATGTTCACCAAGACCTTCATCACCGCGAGCCTCGTCGCTACCGCTTCGGCCAGCATCCCCGCCGTAGCCCGACGCGCCTTCCTCGCAACCCGCCAAACCGATATCTCAGACCCAGTCTGCATAGACGTCATCGCCTCGGTCTTGCCGCTCTACAACTCGCTTCCCACGCCCCCACCGTCCCTCGTCAGCGCAACATTCCCCAGCGACCCCTGTGAGACGCCCAGCTTCACCGGCGAGCTCGCGTCCGACTACACCTCGTACTCATCCGAGGCTCTGGAGTGGTACAGCTCCAATAGCGCCGAGATCATCAGTGCCCTCAGCGCCTGCCCCGCGATCACCAAGGACCAGACCATCATCCCTATCTGCTCTACCCTCACTGCTGGCGACAATGATGACTCGTCCAACACGGAGTCTGGTAGTGCAACTGCGACTGATGCGGATAGTGAGGGTGCCTCTTCTACCGGTAGCTCGGCGGCAAGTTCGGGTGCCGTCACCAGGAATGTGGCGCCTCGCGAGACGGGTTTCGTTGCAGCTGGCATTGCTGCGGCTGGATTCATCGGAGCTATTGCTGCCCTGTAAGCATCGGTCTCAGGCATCTTCATTAAAACTAGATAGATGGGTTTGGAGGCCCAAACGGGTAGTACGTTGGCTTGCATAATGAATCATTCTATATCTCTGGTAAATGGATTGGTTAGAAGGCAAAATTGGATAAGCTGTACAGTTCTGTTGATCTAGGTTAGTATTATGGTACCTGACCCGATTAAGCAGGTGGGATCAGAAACTCTCCCTAAAAAATAAATACAACAACATTCTTCTTGCTTGAGTCTTATCAATCTGGCAGTCTATATTAAATTTTTAAACCACAAGAAGAACCAATATAGAAATCTTAACGTCATGTATAGTTCCCTGCTAGTCTCCCACTGCGTCGAGTGGCGGAATTGGATCCGGAGAGCTATTTCGAGCGACTGCTCGCAACGCCTGCGATTGCAATCAACTTTGAGGACATCCTCAAGTAGTTGAGATCCGTCCTATGGATGCTACCAATTCAGTGGTAGCCAGGCCCTGCGTACCTCACCATGGAAAAAAACGTGCCGCCGCAATCATCATTGAGATCGCTGTTCCCACCTCAAAAATAACGCCCGACGACATATAGAGCAGTACCGAGTAGAAAGGACATCGCAGTGTAGATTGATTCAGCATCTGCTGCGGATAAAATATTATTATTATTATTAAATACGCCGTAGGCTCGAAGCCCCCGGTACCTCTACTAGTACTCCCGTATGTCAAACCGTGCCCTAATGGCTGGACTAAATACACACGCTGCGTCGTCGGTTCGCCCTATTGGCGACTGCGTTGCGTTCACTACCATACTACGTTGGTTCTCAACCTACCAACAAAGTCCCCCCTGAGAAGATCGATGCTATCTGGGCCTTGAAGCTGTCCGATCCGTCCCTAGCAGCCATCTTACAATAGTCCCACTAACTACTGGTTCTCCTGTTGCCGTTGCGAGGTCTCTGCGAGAGTATAGTGGCCGTGGTGCGATGGCGGCCCGTAATCGTTCCCTCGGTCCTTCCAACAGCCCGCAAAAGAGGATTACGTGCTCTGCCGTCTCAGGGGCATCGCCACAGCGGCATAGCGGCGAGTACACGCCAAAAGCCCCTGTCTTGAATAAGAAGGCTGCTAGTCCTATTTTTTCCGTCCTGATCTGGCACAGCGTAGACGCCTCCAGTCGGTTCAGGCCGAAATACTTGCCCCCTTTCGGTATCTGCATCGAAGGGCCCTCCGGTTCCTCAGCGATAGCGCGTCGCTGGCGATCGTGATGCTCTGCTCCGGTGAGCCATCTCTTCCTCCAGTGGTCGAGGAGGGCAGCCGGGACCTCCTTTTCCTCACTCATCCACTCGGAGCCCCGGGCCGGATAAAATATATCTCGCAGGTACCGCTCGGCATGGCCGCCAAGACTATAAACCATAAGAATAAGTGGACGAGACGATATATTGTAACAAGCTCGGTCTGTTGTCAAGTCATTCAAAAGATTCGTGGCATGGTCGACGAGCCTATTGACGATATAACTGAATCTCGCATCACTATGTGTCGTAGCCGTATGTGAGTATACAAGCTTGGCTGAATTTAGGCAGAAGAAGCGTCTTGGCTGTGAACGAAACAGATATCAGCCACGGCGTCCGGACAGTCATGCAATACCAAAATATCATCCGGGCATAGTGGTGCCACCGGATGACTCGTGGCAGACGGCTCGGGGTGAGGATTGCGGGTCGGTGGGGCATAATAGCCGGCGGATCTTCGCATTCCATCGACTTCTGGGGAATAATCAACGGATATCAGTGATAGTCCACGAGTGGCCACGGCCCCATACTTTTATACAGAGATGGCACAACTCAACCAACACACACACACAAGATAATGAACAATCAATTTACAACAGTTGCTGCCTTTTTTTTTACCAAAAACTTGTGCATCTCCTTATAGAACATGTTCTCCTGCGCTATCAGGTCTTCCTGCGAACACGCCCATTCCTAGTCCTTGTTGTCTCTCAAGTGTGGATAAACGTGAGCCTTTAAAACTCGATCAATCGTTCGACGGAACCGTTTCACCAGGAATGGCGAGTGGAACGCCATTATATCATTACGCCGGCGTTCAAGACTAGATAGAGAGTATATCAAGCCATTCTGGGCAGTCTTTTCCAAGTGGCTGGTTCAACGCCTCCAGTAATCTTTGAGACAAAGGGCGTTTAACACCAGGTCAAGCAACTGACATTATCTTATCTATCTCATAGATAGCTACTATAGTCTCGCCTACGAAATATTACCATATGTTTGTGCCAAAGGTCCCCTTAGCTATGCAATCAACCGTGTTGATCTGTTGGCTGCGTCAAGCACCCGTTCTTATGAAGGACTCTCTCGATTATTCGAATTTCTGCAATTCAAGACCCCTGACTAGCCTCACCATCTACGCGTGGCACAACATTGAACGATCCATATGCGCACGACTTCAGGCACTGGTGGTCCCTACATAGATAGATGGTAGGAGAAAATGGTGGCTGGTTTTCAGTGGACACACGGAGTTTACCGCGGGGTTTTACACAGATGGAATGGCCTGCTCAAACGGCGTTGAAACATACTTTAGAAATTTCTCTCATCCGAGGGTAGTCCCGCGGTCCACTGCTGCCTCCTCACCATCTTTCTCCCCGTGATAATGCCAGCCACGATGATGACCTCCAAGTCCTTGCCCATGCCCTGGTGAAACGTTAGGGTGCCCCTCCGCTTTCCAGAGGCGGCCTCGGTGAGAAAGGTAGCTACGGGATCGCCGCTATTCTTTTCGACGACCTTATAATGGCGCAGTCACTTCTTCATGCCCCCGAGCGACGAGTCCCGCATCCGCGTCAGAACATACGGCTTGCCCCGCCAATCAAAAGTAAAACTCCTATTCAGGGCGGTGAAGCCTCCCCTCTTCATCTCGACCCACTGCATCGCGCTCTCGTTGCCGGATCCGCTCAGATCGACGCCGACCTTAATTCCGCTGGTCGCGTGGTGGAAGACATGAGCAACGACGCAGTGGCCATGTGGAAATATTGAGTGTCGAAAGGCGGCGTCTATTCTCAGCCACAGCGTCAGATTAGCCACTCTTCATACCGTATCGGATTGGCTGTGGAAAAATGTTGTGTTTCGTGGAGCTTGAGGGGATTAGCCAGCGACGTTATAAACTCACGACTTCACTGAAACACTGCACCCTCGGCTAGGGACGAAATTTATCTTGAAATACGCGACGCTCTTGTTGGCGGATGGAAACTTTGGTTGAGACCATTCAACCCAACTCATTTATCAACACACATGAAATTGAATTTCTGCATAACCATGGTAATGGAACGTGCATCGGTACGGCAGGCTGACTGTGACAGTCCAATGGCGACGCGTGCGGCACGACCATGGGTGTCCCGGAAAGACCAGTCGCATGGTACATGTGCGGATCGCACGCGGATCTTCTTACATGGGTAGAAGAGCCGCCGGGACTATTATATCAAAGAAGTCCGATACCTTCATTTCTTTCTTCCTCAGCTCTAGGCATTTAATGCGAAGGCGCCCGCTTATTAAGCTAAACTCCGGTCAAGCCTCTTCCCACGAAGAACGATGTCTTATCGACCTCATCTCACCAATCACCCTCTCACCGCAATTTTCATAGATATTAAACTTCCATACCCCGACGTCCGGGACTATAGACTCACCCATACACAAGGTATTGAACGTAGAAACCTACAACATCCATCCATTTTTGGTGGAGGCGAAATACAGCTATTCCACACATGATATGTAAGAGTGCTAGGCAGTTTAGGTGCGAAGTCGGCGAGGAGCATATTCTTGGGTGATAAGTTCGTGCAAATGGATGGACGGATGCCACGGCGGCAGGCGGATGGTAGGCAGACCTACCCTCAGGTACAGGTACGGACAAACACAGTGCTACGGACGGGCTATATGAGGTGCTTAGGGCAAATCTGATGGCAGGACGTATCTGGACAAGCTATGCACAGTATCGAGGTCAACCGAAAAGGAATAGACCCTCGTCGGCGAACCTTTCTAGAGCGCAGATCACGTTTGTAACTAAACATCACAGGCTAACGTACCCTACGGTCCAATTGAACACACGGTCCAATTGAACACTTCTTAAGACCTCGTACAATAAGATATAAGTTAATTCAACTATAACGTAAAAAAATAATTAAAACTACTCGGAACTATCTTCTTCAGATATCTCTTTACTATTCTGACAAGTACGCATATTATGACCGGGCTCTCCGCACGTCCTACAGCGTTGCTGAAGTATCTCTGGCCTCCTCGTACGACTACGACTCCAGCACGATTTATTATCTAACTCTCCGTTAACTAGCTTCTGAGACTGTAAATCTTCTCCAGCTTGTATACGAAGTGATCCTCCATACTGTAAACGTTTTTTTCTCGTATAACGCCGCCGGCTAAGTGTCTCATTTGCCTTTCGAAGCGCGGCGTTCTCACCCTCTAAAAGAGCAAGCCGGTGCATAACCTGCGTCGTACCCTTCGCAAACTGGTCAAGTGTAGTAAGTGTAGCTGTCGGAGAGCTATTTTGATGTCGTATAACTCGGTTTTTCACGTATTCGGTCTGGGATTGTGCCTCAATTGGGTTATTTGGGGTCTTCGACTCCCAGATAATAGGAAGGCCAGACGAGGTACCCGGAGGTGTTAGAGTATGTAAGTTCACATCTAACTGCAAAATCACATATTCCGGATCGTACGATACGAGTCCTGCCCCTCGGAAACCTCCCTGGATATTTGATATCGTAAAAGTTGCCTGGAACGCTTTTAAGAACGCGGAGAGGAAGTCCTCCTTCGAGATATGGGTAATATGTGCCCGCATAAGATCCTCAATTTCTTTACCGTACGCTCTTTTCAGTGCACGAAAACAGCCGATATCGAGAGGTTGGAGCTTATGCGACGAATGAGCAGGCATACAGAGTGTGATAATAGAGTTCTCTTTACAGTAGAGCTCGAAAGCGGTCGAGTGGTGGCTCTCGTGGCCGTCAAGAATTAAGAGGCGATAAACACCTTTCGTACGAAGCTTTGTATGTTGATCGAAATGTCGAATCCAGTCCTCGCCTCTTTCATTTGTAGTCCAGCCATTTTTCGTAACCGCGATAACCCAATCCTTTGGTAGTAGGCTATTTTCGTACCACGAAGATAGGTGAGTTTTACCAGCAAAGATGATATACGGAGGGATAGTATAGCCGTCCGATCCGACGCCCTGGATAACTGTAACCCATTCCCTATTCCCTTGCTGTACTGCTCTAGGTCTTCCACGTCGATCAGAGGTCGTTACAACTATCTCGGATGAGATTTGACCCATAAGAAACCCAGTCTCGTCAAAATTATAGATATCCTTCTCTTGAATTCCATACTTATTAATTGTATTCCGTACGAGATAAAACCACGCGCGGTACGCGTCGGGATCTTCGCAGAGGACTCTCTGGTAGTCGATTCTTCGATTAAAACGCGTCCGGAGGTCTGGTTGTCGTCGTACGAAGCTCGAAGCCCAGTTAATACCGACGCGTCCTGCGTCGCGTTGGTGGAGTAGTCGATTCGCCATATCTTCAACACCACTTATTCGAGGAGGAAATGATCGTGAATCTAGGTTGACTATGTAGCGTACGATCGCGTCTTCTTCGGAATAGGTAAGCTTTTGCGTTGGTGATCGTATATCCTGTCGTGAAGTACCGCCGCGATATCGGTGACGTAAGGTTGTATGAGGGATATTATAGATCCGTGCTACGGATCGTACGCTTAGTTTGGGGTTATTTTGAAGCGCTTGAAGCGCTAATTGAATATCGCTTTCTTCCCAATTACGTGCCATTGTAGAAAGTGGGAAATAAGGGATAAAACCTAGGTTGTACGGAAATGCGCGAAAGTGTTCAATTGGACCGTGGGGTACGTTGAGTGAAAAGAAAAATGAAGTGCTTGTTTCCTGGAATCGATGGAAAATAATAAAACTTACATGAAGCGGCCGCTGGTTGTCCAAAGGGGCGCTACATAAGACAAAATACGACGTTTTTGTTGTATCAAAGAGAAGTACCATACACGTACTGACCGTTTATTAACGCTGGGTGGCAAGTCAATAGGGAAACTACTGCTTATTTTGCAGCTGATTAAGACTTACGCTAGTGTAGATGACAGATCCATGGTTCAAAACCATCAACTTCCGATGGCGAAAAGAGAGAACGAGGGAAGTGGAAAGGGGAAAACCGGGGGAGGTCGTCAACGCTTCGTCTCAGACAGGAATGTGGCCTGTGCGCGAGTTTCCGGTTTGCAGCTTATCTATGGGAGAGGCGATGGGATTATGAATTCTCTGTGGCTTATGGTCATATCTGCTAGAATGAAGTGTCTCCCTTCCTTTCTTGAGAAATATTGGAGGTGCGAGTGAACCAAGTTTCTAGGTGAACACTTGTCCTCGCCAGATACCTATACATATTCTTTCGAGACTTATCAGCTAGCTGTATTTTCAGGGTAAATATTAGTACTATTTTGTTTTATAGTTTCAGTTGCACAAAGTAGGTATTGCATAAACTGATGCAGTAAATCATCTGTGATGCCCCAATTGCCCAAGCGCTCCACTACCCAGATCCACAAAGCATGTTGTACCACCGTCCTATGTCCTGCCTTTCTTATATCCCTTCTGGGCTCCCTCCTGCCCGGTCGCTCTGTTGTGATGCTTTCTTCTCTTCTGATTTCTCGTTCTGATGTGACGTCCTCTCGGACACCTTCCGTTCGTGCTCTGCCCTGGCGGCGCAAATGACGATAAACTCAAAGTCGACATCCGCGATTTTGATGACATTGTCCAATGCCATCTTTGTCACACCGACTTCTTTCTGTATTGGTTTCAACAGTGCCTTGATGACTGTTTTGAGGCCTGCAAAACTTGGTCAGTAAAATAAAGGGCCAGTTGAGTCCTGGGTGGAGACGGACCGGATTTCGTAAATTTCGTATGGGCCATGATCCCTCGGCAGTTCGCTGATGAGGGCATAGGCGGCAAAGAGATCGTTTCTGGGCCTCTGGGTAAGATGGATTATATGTCGGGTGTTCTCTCGTGGTTTTCTAGCCGGGTGAAGTAGCCGGGGCTAAATCATCTTTACCTGCCTGCCATAACGGCGAGACAATGGTTTTTCCTGGAAGAAACGAGTGGTAAGACTGACGATCTTCGCAAGTAATGGGTATATTCCGTCCATATAAGCAACGTATAACACCGCTTTGACATGCTATCAGTGTTAAGGTTCTGGTGGCTGGCTTAGGACTGGCGCCCTTTTTCACTAAAATATTCCGACGTGTCTTGCCCGACGCGCCGTCTTTCAAGCTGACAGGTCGAGAACTGCCAATCTCGCCCTGGAGCACTGCATGTGTAGTCTTTCTGGGTCCAGGATCGAGCATTTGCGATTGATCGATCCGCATCCATGGGTAAGTTGCAATCCAGACCATTTCATATTCGGGAAAAGGGGCTAAAATCGAGAGGTCTGTCAATGAGTATATATCCCCTCAAATGCAATAGGAATACCATGTAATAAAATTCCCGAGACAGTTCCTATGTCGCAAATATCTTTCACGTCGGAGACGATATCCAATGGTCCCACAACGTTGGGGCAACGACAATATGTGGCACTATTTTGGAACCTGCAAGAAGGACTTGGTGGCGCCATCCAGCCTCGGAGCGAAGGATTACGTGTCAAAGTAGAATGTGATTCGTTGTCCAGTCCTATCAAGATCTTCCCCTAGCGACATCAATTTCGTTATTCTCAAGCGCATTCATGGCATGGCTGGGGATACTGGTAAGCCAGCGGAGTCTGGGAAAAGTGCAAAACTTTCCACGTCAATCAAGCGGTGATTAGACCCGCACATATAGCGTAACATATGTCACAATGTGATCCAATCGTTGGGACGCCTCTCCTAATCACAAGCTGGCTGTACTTCAGCGTGGCTTCGTAACTAACTGATTTCTCCGTAGTTCCTTCAGCTTGGTGGTTGACAATACACCACTCCCTAACCATAATCGCATTGACGATCAACTATTGAATCTGGTCTACCTGTTCAAAAGGTCAGCGGTGGGATCTGTCCTGAAGGCTGCTGTTAATCACCACAGCCCCGTGCTAGGACAAATCATTATTAAGCCGTGGTTAGTGGCTTGCGGAGACTAGGTGGGTATTTTCAGGAGTTGCTGATAATAGGATATTTGAAGATTGCTACCGTGGCTATTTGGATAAAAACCCGATTATCCTGATATTCTTCGACATAATTTTGCTTTGACGAGGTTCGAAATTGCAGATAAACCGAAGTCAGGTATTACCAATGTAATCAAGGCTGCTACCATGTTCATGTACCACAAGACAGCCAAGAAATAGGAGTGACAAAAGATCCTGTCGTGTGGCGAATGGAAATCAGATCATTGCGATACTTGGGCAAGTAAAGATGATCAACTGGCGCAATAAACGCATAGTTGAAGTAAAACAAACGTATGCGAAGCATTCTGGGTAAAGCGCAGAGTGTTCCGGCCGGTAAGCTTCTCAAGGGCTTGCATAACGGATTGGACTGGAGCTGGCTAAACTATGTTTCTCTGCTTAGTGATCAGATTGCACCACCAACCTCGGATTGGGGAGAATTGATTCAGCGGAATCAATTTGTAAAGTACACAAATATTAAAAAGGAGAAGAAAGCTCTATTCTGCTCTGCGCATGATATGGCAGTGGCAACTCACTTTCGGTGTTTGCTAATACATGGCAGCGAGAGGGAACATGCGTATGTATGTATCTTCGAAAATCATGAGTGATATTCTTGTATATTGTGGACAACGTGCGAATTGCCGCCAAACTTCGCAGGCCAAATGTCATTATTGGGATGAAGGAGCATATATCAGCCCTGCAGAGGGGTTATCACGTGGTCTCGTGCCAAAAAACGCTCCGTCAGGCGACACGTTCCCGAACCGCGCGACCGTGAGTATTTGACGTCATTCAAAGAACTCTTTGCCCATTGTATCTTGGCTTTTGTGCTGGAAGAGAACTCGCCGTTATAATGCACGTCGATTCTAAGTCACATGTCTACACTCAAGGCAGCGACGATATCAAATCGAGTCATTCGACGCAAGCGGAAGCGGGCCGCCGCCGATGGAGCATCCCAAGATACCAACGATTCTGTCGACTTCGACCTTACTGCAGATGCCCATTATGAGGAGCAAAACCCAGAGGATGTAGATGCAGGGGGTCTGAAGGCGGCGAAAGCCAAGAAAGGGCCTATTGCTCAGCGCCAGAAGAAGGCACCGACAAACTCGACCGTTGAATGTGTCATCGACTGGCCACCCGTGTTCAAAGAACTGGACAAGACGCATCGGGCGCTGAATCTGGTCTTCACATTTTGCTGTACTCGCAAGCACCTAGCGACAACTTTTGACACCATCCGATCTGCCGTAGAGACTCAGACCAAGAAGGAGTTGAGAATTGACGATGTGGCTGCTATCGTCGCTTTGCGGCCCGAGGGCATCAACTTCGCCTACGTAGACGAGTTGATGCTCCAGACCGATATCAAAGGCGCTGAGAGAGATGCCATATTCAAGTCAGGGCGATCGAAGGATTTCAGGGCGCAAGGACCGGCTCCAGATGCATCTGTTGGAGGATTGACTGGTTTGGAAGAGCTTGGCTCTCATCATCCAGACGAGCTTCCCGTCCGCGGCAGCGAAGTACTTTACTTCGAGTTCATCGATGGCGACTTGAAGCGCCAAGTTCAGCATAAGAAGACGGGGGAGCCAACCAAGCCCAACCGGAAACTCCGAGATGAGGACCTCAAAATGCCTGTCTACAGCCAGAAGCAAATGACATCATTGATCGAGAAGCGCAACCAGAAGTTCACGAATGTTGTGAGCAGTTTCTTAAATCGATGCGTCGAGGAGAACTTGGACCCTGAGCTGATGCTCCGTCAAGAAGCTGAAGCGTACATACCCGTGCCTTCCGAGTCGAAAGAGTCTACCCCGAAGCCCGAACCGAGCACACTGCCAAAAGAAATTCCCAAGGAGAGGAAGAGCATACCGGAGATCGTACAGGAGCTCAAGGATAGCTCTTGGTATACTGGTCAGATCGTCCCGGACGGCCATCGTGTCTTTGAGGCTCAAGACCCCGTTTATGGTGAATTGGACTTCCTCCTCAGTCAAGACATGGTCAATGCTCTATACAACGCAAAAGGTATCACACAATTCTATGCTCACCAAGCCGAAGCCATCAATAGCCTCGAAGCGGGTCGTCACGTCGTGGTTTCTACGTCGACTAGCTCAGGGAAGTCTCTGATCTATCAACTGCCGGTGCTGCATGCCTTAGAGCAGGACTACAATGCGAGAGCAATGTACATCTTTCCCACGAAAGCACTGGCGCAGGATCAGAAACGAAGTCTCAAGGACATGTTGATGTACATGTCCGGGCTGGAGGACATACTCATAGAGACGTTCGATGGAGATACTCCTATGCACGATCGGAACCAGATTCGTGACGAGGCCAGGGTCATCTTCACCAATCCAGACATGTTACATATCACAATCCTTCCTCAAGAGGATAGGTGGCGGACATTCCTTCAGAACCTGAAGTATGTCGTGGTGGACGAGCTGCATTACTATAATGGTCTCATGGGATCCCATGTCGCATTTATCATGAGACGGCTCCGAAGAATATGTGCGGCAGTCGGAAATCGCCGTGTCAGGTTCATATCCTGCTCCGCGACGGTCGCTAATCCCGAAAACTACTTCAAAACCATTTTCGGGATTGACAACGTACAGCTCGTTGACTTCGACGGGTCGCCGTCGGGTAGAAAGGAGTTTCTGTGTTGGAACACGCCATTCAAAGATCCAAGTGACTCAGACAGTGGCCGTGGGGATGCTCTAGCCGAGTGCGCTCGCCTCTTCTGTCAACTCATTCTGCGCGGCGTCCGCGTCATTGCCTTTTGCCGTGTGCGAAAACAGTGCGAGGCATTGGTCGCTGCCGCCAAGTCCGAGCTGGATTCCCTCGGCCGCTCAGAGTGTGTGGCTCGGATCATGGGTTATCGCGGTGGATATACAGCACAGGATCGCCGGAGGATAGAAAGTGAGATGTTTGAGGGCAAACTCATGGGCATCGTTGCTACGACGGCACTTGAGCTAGGCGTGGACATTGGCACCCTGGATTGTGTCATCACACTGGGTTTCCCTTATACCATTGCCAACTTGCGCCAACAGAGCGGCAGAGCTGGTCGTCGAAACAAAGATTCACTCTCGGTCCTCGTTGGAGACTGTTTCCCCACCGATCAATACTACATGCAGAATCCGAACGAGCTTTTCACCAAACCCAATTGCGAGCTCCAAGTCGACCTGGACAACATGCTGGTACTGGAAGGCCACGTTCAATGTGCTGCATATGAGATGCCAATCAGGCCTCACGAAGATGCCAAGTACTTCTCCAAGGATCTGGCTAAGATAGCCGAGGAACGTTTGATCAAAGACGAGGCCGGGTTCTACCATTGCCACGACAGGTTCCGACCAGTGCCATCCCGCTTCGTCGCAATCCGAGACACAGAAGAGGATCACTTTGCGATCATCGACATCTCGCACGGCAAGAACATCGTGCTCGAAGAGCTGGAAGCCTCACGCGCCTTCTTCACCATCTACGACGGCGCCATCTTCCTGCACCAGGGCAACTCCTACCTAGTGCGCGACTTCCAACCCGACCGCATGATCGCCAAGGTAGAGAAGGTCAAGGTCGAGTGGACGACCCAGCAGCGCGACTTTACCGACGTTGACCCCGTCGAGACGGAAGCCATCCGAAAGATCCCGGGCTCGCGGTCGCGCGCTTTTCATGGCGCGATTCGCATCACGCAGACGGTGTTTGGGTACTTCAAGGTCGATAAAAAGCGCCGTATTCTTGACGCTGTGCATGTTGATAACCCGCCTATTGTGATGCATAGCAAAGGAATGTGGCTCGATGTGCCTAAGCGCGCCCTGGAGATTCTGGTTGAGCGCCGTATTCATGTTGGGGGAGCTATACATGCGGCTGAGCATGCGGTTATGAGTTTGATGCCAAATTTTGTTATTAGTATGCCCGGGGACGTGCGGACGGAGTGTAAGAATGGGTTGAAGGAATTTGCGCATAAGGAAACCCAGCGGAAGAGGCCTGCACGATTGACTTTCTACGACGCCAAGGGCGGCGCCGGGGGATCGGGCATCAGTACGAAGGCGTTTGAATTTGTGGACTTGCTGCTAGTCCAGGCGCTCAAGAGGGTCGAATATTGTCACTGTCAAGAGGGCTGTGTCGAGTGTATCTGTTCGGAGTTGTGCAAGGAGGCAAATGAGGTCATGAGTAAGGCCGGCAGTTCGGTCATTCTGAGGGCGTTCTTGAATATGGATATTGATGTCGAGGCGTTGCCGATGGGGCCAGAGGTGGGAGAGGATGGGAAGGGGTTGATCGAGACGGTGGTGCTAGCAAGGCCGGTGCCTGGCAGGGAAAGGATGTTGGTAGATGGGGTGGAGGTCAAGGTTGAGGATGAGGATGAGGGAGAAGAAGGAGGATTGGAAGCGATAGAGCCAGTGTGAGGTTTGCTAGAAGAGGTGAGTTAGACTCGGTATTTCGAGGAGCCTAATTGACATGTGCATGGGGTTTTACATTGGTGCTTCGGCTCATAGATACGAAGGCATGTACTCGGATGGGAGCCTCGGGAGTTCATTATGGTAGATTTATTCAAGAACGACCGTCTTTCATGCTGTATCGTCTAAGCCCTATTCGTGGCGAATGGTTGACCAGTACTTCGAATTTGGAACAAGTCGCTGGTGATAAAGTATCTAAAGTCTAGGCGATCGTAAAATTCCCGTTGGACCTCTATGTATACTTGGGTTGTGCACTACAACAGGACCTTCAACTTTCCGTATAAGCGAAGTATTCGAGAGGCCGAGCTCAGGTGCTCGGACTGGTAGCAATCGTTACTTGGCCAGGGACAGTAGCTGCCCTTGCCGCTAAGGAGGCTCCATCTAATATGCCAAGGAAAGTATTGGTTGTCAAGCAAAGGCTGCATTAATATCGATCGTAAGCGTCACCACCCCTATCCAGCCAGAACACAACAATGGGGTTTCCTTGATACTCTCGTGCAAGACCACTGCGCCCCATGCATCCAATGTCTTCTCCCGGTTTAGCTCATGCATTTTGGATGCTGTGTCCTGAGACTAGGCTTCAGACCTCAGTCCTTCATACCAACACGATTCCTGGTCTAGGCGGTTGAGGCGCGCAAGATCGAGCAGCCGCGCACGAATGATGATGATCACTGGAAGCCACCGCAATAGGCATCCAGATGGACGAGGAGGCGTCGCGGAGCATGGTCGACGAATCTGGTAAATGTGGATGGCTGGACAATGCATACGTCAATTTTGCCAATACGGAATGGAAGCTTGGACGATCCCGGGCTGATGTAGGTGAAGACGATAGGTTCAACCCGATTAATGGGTCACCAAGGAGGATGTAGGCTGGATGAAGAGGGCACTGGACAATTTAAATGTGTACTTTTAGAATACTATGACTATGGAAGTCTGGTACTTAGATTACGTACGCCCGCCGCAAGTTTCTCGAAGTCGGCGATGTGGATATATCCTTCGCTGGGCCGGTTCGGTCGAGGAACGAGTACTTTGGGGGGACTAGTGCTATTGGTTCTGATCTCTTCTAGATGATTCCGTATCGTCCCAACTGGGACATACTTTCGCTCAATTATATCGCGTGCGTTACCTGCTACTCTAGAGACTTCATAAAAGAGCGTTATGTTATCTACAGACTGTCGGAATCCAAGTACTTGGGGCTGTGCTGGTACTATGAAGGTGCGTGAGGGACCAATCCCAAGTTGGCCCCGAGGGATCCCTAAATACTGCAGCGCGTGCCTGCCTGCCTCGTACCCCTCCCCATCTGAGGCCACAATTCCCACACATACGTCATATTGGGGCGGTGTAGCCCAGATGCTAAAAAGTGCTATAGTATATTTGGAACATCTTAGTCATGTCGCCTTGAACGCAATATTTCCGTTTTCGGTAATTCATAGATGTCGTTACATCGTCACATGGCTAGTCTCCAGCGCCATGATAGCACGATCGTAACGTTATCCCAATCATAGCACTTCCACAATGCATAGAGGATGTCGCGTGACATCACTGCTTCGACTGTCCATAAAACGATCAAATAGTAGTCTAGAAGAAAACATAGGACTGCAACCTCCCTCACCCTTTTAAGAAGTATACTATCCTCATCGGCCAAAATGCTGACCAGACAAATCCTCGTGCTAAGCCTCACTACAAGTGCCGCTACAGTTGCAGCCGAAGTCATGGCCGCCAATCCCAAAGTGATCCTCGACAAGGACTGGTACTCACTAGCATTTATACCCTTCCTTCTAGCTCTCGATGCGGGGTGGGAAGTCCTTGGATTAGTGTCAAACACAGCCAATACTTGATCCCTCCAGGCAAGTCTGCACGCTTTGGCTCTTCTGGAACTCGGCAATCTATCGTCGTTCATCCCAGTGTACAAGGGCGCTGATTACCCGCTCCTGAATACGCCGGCCCTGTTCCAGACGTGGCAGGATCTGCATGGCGATTTGCCATTCGTGAGTATTTTCCCTTCTTTCCGCAGAATAAATTGCTGGTGAAAAGCATGGTCTCGTGCAAGCCGAAATCGTCAATTTGTCATTCCTACGATAAAACCTAACCCATTCCCTCTCCAGCAAGGCGCATTTAACCCCTACAACGCCACCGCCGAATCCCTCGGCGGAAACCCCACCTCCGGAGATCCCAACCGTATATCACGCCCCGCTTTTGCTTAGGGGTTTCCCAACGGCACACTCGCAGGCCGCCATGCCGCCGCCTGGATGGTGGAATAGGTCCGTCGATATCCCGGCGAGGTGCTCGTCTACAGCGGTGGGGCGCTGACCAATATTGCGCTGGCGGTCCGTATGGACCCGAGTTCGCTTCCTTGACTAGGGGGCTTGTGGTCATGGGGGGTTATGTGGATGTGACGCTTTTCACGACTAGTAGAGATTTGCAGCAAGCTGATATCAATTCGGATGTGGGTAACCTCGTGTTCGGTTCTCACGGTGGTACTGTTGATGTGGTTACTATCTCAGCGCTAACATTGATTACATTGCGTTGTAGAAACGAATGACCTTTCCCGCTAAAGCTCAGGTGAGCTAATATGTCTAGTTTATGTTGATGTCGACACGGCCTGGTCTAGCCCATATTACGGCAACATAATTGCGTACCAGGAAATGCTGAAGCCCCGGGCGCAGATGTTGCAGAAGGTGAACTACGTCTATGAAGTAGATGAGGCGCAGATTAAAACTGTGATGAAGCAAGCAATGCAGAAACCTCCCTCCTTGAGCTAGTAAGGTCGCCTGGCGGCGACATGGCGTCCCTCAAATGTCTTTGGGGAAATGACGTAGCTCGCCGATGAGGATGATCAGAGCGGTTCCAATACTGGCTTCGACGGGTCAGGCTTCTGGATTTCACCAAACCTGTGCCTAGTGGGGTTCTGTGAAATGCTAGGGGGCTACGATAATGGAAAGACGAACGTAGAGATGCTGAAAATGTGAGAACTCACGGGAAAGTTTGGCTTACTTGCAACATAAGGTATTCACGTGGTGCAGCAACGGGGCAGTACTTCGACGTACGTAAGTCATGCTTCTTCTCGGTTTTGTTCTAATCTAGGGCACTAGAAGTAAATGATTCAGATAAAGAAATACCTGGCTTTGAATGCTTCTGCTACTTTCCTTCGTATGTTCAATTGATACGGAAATTCTGAACTACATAGCCAAGCTAGGCAGATGCTGCTGCCTAGTATCATAGTGCAGCACTAAAGCACGGGCGGTTGTAGAATGATCCAACGTTTCGCTTACCCACCTATAGAAAGACGCCACCGGCCCCTATCATATGACTTCCTCGCTTACTATCGCAACAGGCCTTGTCTCAAGTCATCTAACGATCGGACAGTTGTACATTCCGGACCCAGGGGAGGTTTTGCGGATTGTCTTCCAGTATCAACGCGTCTCACCATGGCCACAACCGCCCGCAGAACCTCCGCAGCAGAGCGCCGCGAAGAAGTCAGTATAGTCGACAGAAAAGCCACAGAGCTGGCGGATCTAATACGTGAAAGCACAAATTTCATCGCGTTCACTGGGGCGGGCATCTCGACCTCTGCTGGTCAGTTTTACCACAGGAGATAATGATGGCGACAGCTATAGCTTTGTATCCGGCCTAATCCATAAGACGCGTTACAGGCATCCCCGACTTCCGCGGCCCAGAGGGCGTCTGGACGCTCAGGGCTCAGGGTAGAGAGGGTGATTTGAAGGCGGTCAACACGCTGCAGGCTGTTCCAACGTCTACGCATATGGCGCTTGTGGAGCTGCAGAATCGGAGAATATTGAAATACTTGATAAGCCAGAATTGCGATGGGCTTCACCGGAAGAGTGGGATATTGCCTGTGAGTCTTCTACAGCTGAAGTGGGGATGAGGCCATTGGATATTGAGCATCAAACTATCGGCGTTAGGACAGAATATCCGAGCTGCACGGGAACAGCAACCGCGAGTCTTGCAAGGTCTGCGACAAGGAATACATTCGAGGTATGGGTTGGGAGTCGTCCAGCTTTACCAAGTTATGAAGGATTAAAGATCTTCAGATTTTCGGGCGGTCGCCACCTACGACAAGAGCATCCACGACCATCGCACAGGACGGAAATGTACTCGCTGCGGCGGAGTCCTACTCGACAGCATCATCAACTTCGGCGAATCTCTACCCACACAGCCACTACAAGACGCCTTGAACCACGCCATGAAAGCCGACCTCTGTCTTGTTCTCGGGTCCTCACTCACGGTGACGCCGGCGGACGAGATCCCTGGGGTAGTTGGTCGAAACTCAGGTGCCAAACTTGTCATTTGCAATCTTCAGACGACGCCACTGGACCAGCTTGCGGATCTACGCGTCTTTTCCGATGCGGATGATTTGATGGCTCGAGTCATGGGGAAACTGGGCGTTCCTATTCCGCCGTTTATTCTGCATCGCCGGCTGGTCGTCAAGGTGGAGTCAAAAGGGGACAAAAGGCATCAGTTGACGGTTTCTGGTGTAGATGTGGATGATACGCCAGTGACGTTCCTGCACTCCGTCAAGCTGGAGGGGAATCGACGGGTGGCTCGGTCAGAGCCATTTGTTATTAACATTCGTGACAAGTTAGCTGCGGGCGTGGTGTTGAAGCTTGAGCTTGAGTTCATGGGTCATTATGGCGAGCCTAACCTTGAGATCGATTATGGCGTCGGAGGCGAGGATGGTTCTCAGGCTTGGTATCGTCTCGAATACAATCCTCAAACGGGGGCGTGGAAGACGAGTACGGAGAAGCACCAGGTGCCTATTGGCGGAGGGGACACACAGTGGTGTGGATAAGAAAATATGATAGGCTTATTTCCATGGAAAACTCTAGGGTGCCTATCATCTCAAACTGTAATTGTTGGCATGAAAGAGCCGTTTCCTATTCACTTGCATTCTGTCACTGTAAGATCGATCTGATCTCTTATCTGTATGGACGGGGGGGCTGTGAAAGTGGCTTGGCCCGAGCCACCCTGCCAGGTCACCGAAAATTGATCCTGGCTCAACTGTATCGAAATGGATTATGAAGAGGAACACTCTGGCTGAGACGGGAGCGGAAAGGGGCTGCGCAGCTGTGATGCTGGTGTTAATCGTTGCGATTCGAGATCGTGTAAAGCACTCACGACATGTAAGTGGCTGGCCGTCGGAGTATTCGGAAAATGACGACCACAGTTGCCTCTGCGAATGCCTTGCTTCAAAGTTACGACCCACCTGACTCGTAGCCTTTGACGAGTTTTCTACTGGAAATGGGTCCGCCAAGGCAAAATCAACAAGTGCTGCCATACAGCGGACTTCCCGAGATTCCCAGCATTGCCAATAAACCCTACGGGCTGGCCGAATAAGGGCCAATACTCCATCTGATCATTTTGGGTTCAAGGCGATACAATATTCACTTCGGCCATTTGCAGACTTCATCCACAATACTGCTTCTTAATGTATTTAATTTGGGCGTTAAACCATATGTGAGCTGTGGTGGTGTCTTCGCCCTTACTATTGACCCTGTACTTGGATTAGCGTGCTGCAAGTGGAACACGTTACACGTCGTACTACCCCCTACCTTGTTATGTGCCCTTTAACCACCCCACTCGGCGATACAACGGCTTCCATCCGCCACTACTTCGTATTGCGACAATGGCCGGGATTGTCGATTCAACACACCCGTCTTTCTGTCTCTACTGTCCAACACCGCGTCAGGTATGGGCCTCTCAATTACCAGCGATCCACATCTTGGCTTTGTCACCACCTCTGGCACTACAAGCCCGTACTCATTTCCTAACCCAATTTGTGTGTTTTAATGGTAGCGCTTTGCTGATGAAGACAGGTGGTTCTTACAATGGCTTGAGTTTAAGCATCTTCCATGCTGAGAATGATGAAAATTGGGACTTCTCACCACCATAACCGTACCGATGCTGAGAGGACAGATCTCCCCCTTCCAAAGGTAGTGATTGGCCAGAGCTAGTGATCAAGTTGCGCCGTTTCCATTCAAACTCAGATTTAGGAGCAGATCGGGGTCGTGGCAATGGGCAGAGACATATGTGACCTGCAAAATGGCGAAGGGGTGCTCCCATCTCCGAGGATTGCCAGCTCCGACTTTTTATACTCTATGCCAGACCTGAACCCAGACTTCACCATCCACGCTATCACCGTGCAGCGCACGTCTCTTCGTGGCGGTAGACGCCAATTGGCATGCCGTAGTCAAGACAGCTTTGACGGCCCAGAAGCTCGGTCAGTCATAGTGATTACGTCTGCAGCCGTGCTCGGCCCTTGGAGTTTGGTATTCCTGTGTGGCGCTAGTTTAACGGTCTGGCAAGTAGCTCAATGAATAGTAAGTTGAGTGCGTAAACTTTCACACACCTTGGCACTAGCGATACTGGGATTATGAACGACTCTTGTTCCCCTCCAGAGCCATTTGATTTGCCGTTGTTTGGCATCAGGAGACGAAGACGTTCGCATGACAAGCGGCAAAAGGGACAAAATCCTGTGGTAAGACACACACCTTGTTCCCACTATACGTGCAGATTGTGACGTGATAAAATCTTTTTGCATGGGAAACTTTGGCTACTCCGGTTGTACTAACGGTATCGAAAAGCATTAATTTGGTCCATTTAAGTCCCGTCCCGCAAGCTTATAGAAGATGAGATATACAAGGATGGAATAATACAAAAGCCAACCCTACAAAGCATATTGCGCCGAAAAAAAACATGGCGCTAGAACTCAGTACACCAACAATCATGTAAAGGCAAGGACAATTGTCAGACCTTATAACTACCAAAAATACCTCATTCTACAGCGAGTGGGTCCCTCGTCTTTTGACGGTCAATTTGGTCCAACAACAATACCGTATACGACCACTTCATCTAAAAGCCTTCCTCGGCCCGCCAGCTTCCAATATCCCAGCAAACCCCCCACCATCGATCAAGAAATCCATCCCCGTAACAAAGCCAGCAGCCGGCGACACCAGGAACGCAACAGCCGCAGCAACCTCATCCGCAGCCCCCATCCTCCCGAGGGGTATCAAACGCACGATTTCCTCTAGCCCCCTCGTCTCCCCCTCAAGCCGCGACATCTTGGTATCGATGAGGCCCGGCGAAACCGATACAATGCGCTTGCCGCCATCCTTCCCAAACGTCGACGCCTTGGACTGGGCGTAAAGCTGCACCGCCCGCTTAGACAAACAGTATGCTACCCCAGATGACCTGAGAAATAGCCACAACAGCAGTGGCCTGCGCCCCTTGATGATACGGTTGCATACCCACTCCGCGAACGAGGTGGAGGAGGCTATGATCTGGCCCCCGTTTGACGCCACCAGTATGGTTACACTTCCATTGGCCATATGCGGGAGGAGCTCCTCGACAAGCCGCTTCGTTGCGGTGAAGTTGGTCTCGAAAATCAGCTTTCTGTCTCCCATCACAGGGGAGATGCCCGCCACATGAGCGAGGACGCCGATCTTGCGGTCGCCGAGGGCGGTCTGGATTTGGGCTGGGAAGCCGGGGTCGGTGATGTCGCAGCATACGATGTGAGTGGAGATGTTGCTACTGATGCTGGCTTTGACTTCTTCTAGGCGAGCAGGTTTGCGACCGCAGAGGATGAGCGGGCGGCCTTCTTTTGCGAATGTGTGGGCGACGGCGTAGCCTATACCGCCTGTGGCCCCCGTGACTACTGCCACGTTGGTGTTTTGGTTGTTGATTTCCGTCGTCATGATAATCGGTTTGCTTCTTTCCTCCTTTATGACGTTCTAGGTGATTGGAGATGGGGGTTGGGAGGTGCACGAAAGCCAGACCTGTCACTAGAGATAGGCAGCCATGCTATGTGATGTCAACTCGAACTCTGTTTGTGAGGGGAGGCAAACCGGACGACGTATACGGTCCGGTTTCTAGCTGCATGCGGCCGGTACTGACTGCCAATCGTCTGATAATCACAAGTGAAGCTCGGGCTGCACATGAGCCGAGGAAAGTGCTATGTCACCATCCTATCTACAATGGATGCAGATATATGTATGCAGGTGGCCACCTTGGGGGTGTCTGGCCGGGGGCATGTGGTATAGCGAAGTCTACGGCTTCGAGCCGGATAGACAACCAAAGCCTCCCTATACGAGGAGGGCTATTGAGTCAAGCTAATTTAAGAGTATACATTACAACCCCCTTGGCAGGGACTAACTAGCACGTTAACTATGTATCTCATGAAGTTTGCATAGTTACGTGTGTTTGAGAACAATTATCACTAAACTCAGCGGAAGCCTGTCTTAAACCCCGAGGTTACTTGCTGTAAATCTTCGATGACACCAAAGCAGCTCAATAGGCTGTGAACTCTATCGAATCAACTCGCACGTGCTCACCAAACCGCCAAATGATGGAGCGAAGAATTGGCAATATCTGCCGTGACATGAGGTCGTCAGGGTGGATCGTATCCGCCGACTAACGGTTGTGTGGGGGTTGACTGGGTTTTTTGACAATTGTGTCCGCAGAACGGCACCTGGAAAAAGCTTATTTCACTTGTAGGGTCAGCCAGAAGAAATATAGTTCCACTATTTCACTCTACGACACGATGGGTGCCTTTGCCTCCTTTGACCGGCTTCTAGATTGGTATCCCCGACGGGGATGATAACCGCATCTGTCGACAGCGGCCCATCTGATCTTTTCCGCGCTGCCGATCTCTGACGGAACAAAAAGGGGGCATTGGAAAACCAAAAGGAAGCTAAGAACAAGTGACGTCGGGAGAAAAACATGCAAACTCCGCTCTTTTGTGGGTTCATACCAGGGTTGATATTGTGTGATCGCCATCGCCGACGCGGTCAAGTGGTCAAATAACTGTAGAGCCTAACCCGTCTTGACTCGTATCAACTCCACTTGACCAGTTCGCGTCTGCCGTGTCAACTCGGGAACTCGCCGTCAAGTTTGTACTCCACGACTTTATTTGAACCGCAGTTCAAGTTTTTTCCCCCCTGGCAGAAAGAGCAAAACCTATTACCGCGTATCCCCCATACCTGAGGACTCCAGAAGAGAGGACACCTCAGATGACGACAGCTACACCGACGACGGCGGCTGCAACGACGTCGTCCCAGCGGGGCGCGGCACCGCTGACGACGGTGTTCACGACGCCCGACTTCTGCGCTCCGCTGTACTGGCAAGACACGGTGACGCCGGCGTTATCCAGTTCGATATGCATGCCGCCCAACTTCCAGCAGTACTGGGTCTACAAGTGGGGCTTCTACTCGCCCGGCATCTGCCCAACGGGGTACACGGAAGGGTGCGCGTTCCCCAGCTCGCTGGCCATATCCGACAACGGGACGCCATTTTACGGCGGACCGATCGTTACCGGGGAGACGGCTCGAATCTGCTGCCCGACGGGGTACACCTGTCTGACGGGGACGGCGTACTCGTACAGCAAATGCATTTCGACCGAATCGTGGACGACGTACTGGACGACGGATTACTCGAACTCGGTTAAGCAGACGACGGAGCTGGCAACCGTGTTTGGGCTTCAGGTCCGGTGGCGGGAATCCGATTTGAGCATCTTGGAAACGGACCCCACCGTACCGGGTTCAACGTACTCGGCGAGGACGAGTCCGGTTGTGAATGCGGGCGAGGGCACGTCAGCTGCTCTCTCAGCTGCTATTACACCGGCTCCGACTGCCGTCGTGGCCCCGACTTCGGATGGAAACAACCCAACCTCATCATCCGGCGGCTTGACGCACACCACGACAATAGCCATCGCAGTGGCAGTTCCCGTCATCTCATTAATACTCGGCTCACTCGCATTTCTCATCTGGCACTGTTTCTATAAGCGTCGACAGCAAAGAATCATCACAGTAAAGGAAGAAGCAAAGGAAGCAACGAAACACGAAGCAAAATCGTACCACGACAACGGCAGCTCCTCGCTTATGTCCCCCTTATCGCCACTGGAAGGGATGACCGTCAGCACGGAGCTAGACGCCACCTCGGTGCGAGACCAGGCCATGTCCAGCACCCTGGATGTCAGCACCAATGGTGGTGGTGACACCTTGGAGCTGGACTCGACCATGAGGACTGAAATGGAGGCCGTGAGCAAAGCCCAGGAGCTACCCGCCGAAGTGTTCATCGCCGAGCTTCCGGGGAGCATGCCGGCGGAATACGAGCAGCAGCTAGACGATGAGGAATTTAAGGAGTACGAGCAGGAACTAAGAGAGGAGGAGATTAAAGAGGAGGCGCTGAGGGCGGGGTGGACAGAGCAGGTTTCGGTGGTGCAGAGGGAAATCGAGCCGCTGCAGAGTACGGGGAGGGTGAGGCAACGGTCGACATCGACTCGCATCAGGAGGTAGTTATACCATATTTTGTGCCCTTTGGCTTATATTTTTGCGAGGAGAGAAGAAGAACCGAATCTTGGAAGGGAAATAAGTGATTCATGAGGTTGGGGTTGTTGCGGTAACTGGCTAGTGCGTCTTCTAGGGATGTATAATTAAATACCGAGTGGAACGGTACGATACGCAAGAGGCGAAAGCTCATGTAATATACGGCGGATATATGGTGAAGGAACAATTGGTATATACGAGCTGATAGAGGTTACCACAGCTACTCTAAATAAACAGCAGACCAGAGACATTGAGTATCTCGAAGACAGAAATATCAAAGTCGGAAATACTCTTTCGTGTGTGCATGAAAGCGCGCTTGAGAAGGCGTAGACAAGTGCTCCGGATTTGAACAACAGGGCGGTGGTTGTTTGGATGAGAGAAGCTTGAATAGATGTTAGGATGCTTTCCACGTCGGGGCGAATGGACGTGTTGCAAGTGGCGTATCTTGCTTGCAAGCTTTGCTGGACAAATTCTACAGCGACAAGACCAAGATAGGGCGTTTGGACAACATCGAGGGATACACCGAAGATGTATTACATGCTATAATCAACACTTATTCATGCAGTCTACGACTACAACCTACAAATCTATAGTAAATCCTCCTACCCTTTATTCTCTATTCTTTTTGAGTTATTTTTTAACTTTTTTTTTTTTTGTTTTTGTGTTTTCGGTCTCCGGTTTTGATTTTCATTTTCCTGTTTCCTTTCCCCTTCCCCTTCCCCTTCCCCTTTCCCTTCCCCTTTCCCTTCCCCTTCCTACTTATTCGCTCTCCGCATCAATATGCATCTCAAGTTCCTGCACTCCAATCACAATCCCTTGACAAGCCGCACACGCCCAGACCATGGGTCCCTTGTATGTCTGCGGATCGACGGGCGCTCTTGACCAACACACGAAGCATTTGGACTGCCCATAGTGCTTTGTGGCAAACTCGTCAATCTCGTTCGCCTTCTTGATGAGCTCTTCCCATGCTGAAAGAAGGTGAGGGCGGCAGATGCGGCGGTTGAAGAGTTTTGTGGCGCAGGAGCAGCCTGTTATAGGTTGGGGGGTGGTTAGGAGACCGTGGACTACTGTCTCCGACTCTGTCTCCGTTGGCGTCTCCGACTGAGCAGAGCCTTGCTGCGCAGCAGCTTTGACTTCTACGCCATCTTCCTGCTGTTCGTATCGTTGCCGTTGCTGCTGTTGACTAGTCGTAGTGGCAGTCATAGCAGTGATCGCGACAGCGGCTGTGGCAATATGCCTACTCGTAGTACATCTCGGATCAATAACCTTCTTCCCCTTCCCCCCACTCTCCTGCAAGAATACTCTGTACCCCTTCCCATTCAACATCTCTGGACTTTCAATCAACTTCTCAGTACAACCCTGGCAAGCAAGAAGCCGCAGTTTGTTCGCCGCCTCGTTCTGGCTGAACACCTGCATCAGTGCCTGTCGCCCCTCCTCGGCGCACTCATCACAAAGCGCGTAATCCGGGGCGCGAATAGGGTGGTTATCCACGTTCTCGCACGCGCCCTTCGTGAGTCTGTTACATTTTCTCGTAACCCCGTCTTCTTCGTGTATGCGAAAGGTCTGGCAGGGGGCTGGAATGTTGAGGGCTAGGCCGTTGGTCCAGAGTTGCTTGAGGGGGATGGTGGACAGTGCCGGCACCGCTTTGGCATTGGGGTGGTCGGCTGGGATGGCGGAGCGGGTTGGGTCCGCGAAGAGGGGATAAGGAGGACCGGGCGAAGGAGGGCGCATGATGGGTTGCGCCGTGACGGGGGAGAGAAATTGGTTGTGTGGGTTGATGATGTTGGCTGCGTTGCAGAGCAGACCTTGGGATGGAAGCCCGACGCTGATGGGTTTCAGCGGTGGTTGGCTCATCAGTCGGATTGCTCGGGCGGTGTCTAAGGTTACTTGAACGGTAGAGATGTTGAGTACAGCGCGTCTAAGAGGTTGGTTTGCTACTGTATTTACGTTGTGTTGCGCAGCTGGGTCGTTTCTCGGATCGTCGCCTACCCAAACCGGACGAACTGACACTCCAGCAAAGGGGTAGTCTTGCGGTCCGTACCAAGGCAGACCTTTGAGTTCCATCACCTCCTTGGCGTAGAGAAGATGATAGTTGTCACCAAGTCGGGCATCTGGTTTCTCGTTCCGATCACCGATCCCGTTAGGACCGTATCCGAGATGCAGGTAATACCCAAACAAGTCCTGGCCAGGCGCATATCGGCGAAACCCTCCCCTTGAGATGCGTGTGCATTTCTCCGCCTTGCCTTTACGGATACAAGTGTCGCAGGGCACAGATCTCTCGCAGTCGTATGTGTGCTCACACTGGCTGCAACAAGTCCACGATTTCCCACCGGCAGTGGCTCCTGGATTGAGACGGAGTGGGTGAGGCGGCAGAGCCCATCCGTCAACTACGCAGACGAGGCCTAGTTCGGCACACTTGCTGCAGCCGTGTTGGTCTGTGTAATTACAAATTGTGCGCTGCTTCGTCAACAGCCGTTTGCATGTCTCGCAGCAAATTTTGGCGGAGCCCGTTCTAGATGGGTTCAGAGGTGGTCTCGCACCGGGCGGTGCGTTGGTTAGAGGGCCCTTGTATAGTGCAGCTTGAGAAGCTGCTGGCGCGTTGGCTGTGGTAGAACTCGAGGTATGACTAGCAGGCTGAGTACTGCTGTGGCTACCATTGCCGCTATTATTTCCCTGCACTGTAATCAACTCCCTTTGGTAGCGATCCAGTTGAGTCTGAACTGTGCTGCAGATTATATTTTGCCGCTGCAATAAATTCGACGACTCTGGGCGGGTGTCTTCCTGTGAAGTCAATGTTAGATCTTGCGGCTGGTTGGGATTGGTGTGGCCACTAGGCCGAGAGCCAAGGGTCGCTGGATCCAAAAGCGCGGGATCAAGAAGCGCAGGGTCAATCATAGTATCATCAAGGATCGCTGGATCCAAGAGCGCGGGATCAAGAAGCTCAGGGTCAATCATAGTATCATCAAGGATCGCTGGATCCAAGAGCGCGGGATCAAGAAGCTCAGGGTCAATCATAGTATCATCAAGGATCGCTGGATCCAAGAGCGCGGGATCAAGAAGCGCAGGGTCAATCATAGTGTCATCAGGAGTTGTAGGGCCAAACGGGGCAGGGTCAACGAGGCTAGGGTGGCGTGGGGTAATAATACCTGCGCCCATGTTCACCTGGCCATTGACCTTTCCCTGAGTAGAAGGCCGCAATCCTTGGCCCTGTTGAGCAGGAGGGGCCCCCTGTGGTCGGGTAATCTGAAGCGGTCGAGGCGCCGACGTATTCGGAAGGATGTGCTGAATTTTACCCGTGGTGTAGTTCATCTGGCCAGAGAAGCTCCAGCCCGCAGGGTGGGAAGAAGTGCGAAGTTCAGGAGCTTGAACCGGTCTAGACGCTCCCGCATTGGGCTGGCGTTGTTGGCCAGTACCTGAGGTGTATTCCGTCTGGCCATAGTTGCCATGGAAGTTCACTTCGTGCAGAAGGGGAGAGGTGCGCGATACGACGCTCTTAATCTGCCGAAACGCTTCCGGAGTGGGCTGTACGGACTGATTCTGCCTTGGTCCTGTGCCGAAAAGGGGAGAAGTCCACGATTCGACGCCCTTGGTTGGTTGAAACTTTGCTGAAGTGACCTGAGCCGGCTGATTGTTCAGCGAGCCCACCCCTGGACGAAGAGAAGCGTGAGATCTGACAACTTCGATAGTTTGAGGCGTTCCTGCGTGAAGCTGAAGTTGCGGGTTGTTCGGTGGACTTATTGCAGGAGTGGAAGTCTGCAAATGGTGAACTTCAACAGGACGAGTTGTTTCCCGATCGGGTTGAACTTTCGATCCAACAATATCAACAGGTCGAATCGCTTCCACAGGGGACTGCATCTGCTGATCTTTCAGCTGGCCGATCTGAAGAGGAGAAGAAGTCTGAGACCCGATGATGTCAATAGGCCGAGTGACTGCCACATTGGGCCGAACCGACAATGCTCCAGCCTCGAGCAATCTTTTCATTCCCACATTGCTCTGTAGCTTTTGCTTCTTCGGTGGCCGTATAGCCATCTCCTCATCAATGTTCTTCATGGCCTCCAAGAACAATGCAGACCTCCAGTCCCTCGGTCTCTTAATCAGGCCCAATTCCAACTCTTCTCCATCACTAGGTCTCGCCTGCTCTCCTTTCTTATGGAGACCTGTCTTACATCTCCACTGCTCAAAGGAATCATCAATTGCCATGAGCCAGTCCAGCGCCTTGTCCCTCTGTCCTTTACCCTCATCAGGTAGATACAGACTCAACCGTCTATAAATCTCCTTCCTCTCACGATCTCTTTCCGAGTACAAGATCCCAGCAATAGTACAGCCGCAGGTTTCAGGTTGGATGCGGCACTGCCAGCATTTGTAGCTCAGGAAGTGGGTATCAGAGTTGCTTCCCTGCATGACTTCGAGGCTATCAAAGTCCGGGCGCTGGACAGGCATAAAGGAGCAGACAGTGTTGAAGACAAGGCAGGCATCGCAAGCGAGCCGGAGACTGCCGTACTTGTGCCGAAATTTGATTAGTTCATGAGGGTCGGAATCGAGGAAGTGCCACGTTGGCCAAGGGTCGTAAGCGGTGTTGTCTAGACAGGCCCGGGGATCGCCGAGGTGGGTGATTGGGTTCACCATTTCGGCGAGATGCCGAGGTTTGTGGTCTCTCTCTCTGTTCGGATTTTGGTGGTGAATGGGGGAATGTCTGACGTCTTCCCAATGGTGGTGGTTAGTGTATTAACCTGTGGAAATTATTCCAGAGTCTCTATGTCTGGTATGTATTGACCATTTGATTGACATTGACTTGCCACCGTACAGGCAGAGATCAGGAATTCCTAGGCAAAACTGCTTTGTGTGATGTTTCTGTACTATTGTTGTCTTTGTCCTGGCTTGGTAGAATCACAAAGTGTGCAGGAACGGATAAATCTGTTTCCAAACTCCGTACCTTCCAGAATACACAAGGCTACGGATATACAATACTAATTCATGTTGTCTTCGTATTGACTTGAGGGAATCCCAAATTCTGTGCAGGAACAGATCTACTTTGGTCCAAATTCCGTACCTCCTGAAAAGAGACACAAGGCTATGGAGACAGGGAGTGGTTACTATTGTCTAACAGGCCTTAATTGGTCTGCCCATATAATTACTTGGAAACCAGCATCAGGTTTGTCTAGGTTCGTGGATGAGAAAAGACATTAGGTGTTTACTGATGTCACCGCTTTGTGTAAATGGGGTCACTCAGCATATTTTGACTTTTGAGGGACCATTCCATGCAATATAAGCACAAAATGGCACAGAAAAAGAAGCATAAGGTGAATTTCTGCATTTATTTGAAGCTAATTATTATATAGATTAGCATTCAGGACAACCTCATTTAGGAGAGACCTACTGAGCGAAAACCCATCCAGGGGCAAACATCTCCAAGGAGCGACGACAACTGTCAGTTTATTAACTTCCTCGCAGATCAAGCAGTATAAATCTAAAGTTGATGTCTTTCGTTTGGTTAAGTAGAATAAGCTGGATAAAGAAGGAGCATTGGGTCTATAGCTTCGACTTAGACATTGAAGCTATAAGTTATCATATGGGGCACCGAGCAGAATCACAGGAAGGACCGGATAGATAATTCTACTACAGTAATGGATGATCACACATCTCTCCGCAACAAGGCATATCATTAAGGCACCGACATAACCACCTAATTTAATACCTGACTATTCTGGCCATGGTGAAACGCTCGGTGGATCAAAATCGTCAAGTCCCATATGGGGTAACTGAAATACGATACGGGGAGCCCCGTGTAGATGCAGCTGCCACTTACTACACTACATATATTGATCCACGCGAACCTCCTCCCCGATGCATGCGGCTGAGCTGAAAATCTCGACCAATCTCCTGATCCTCTTTGAAAATATGTCTTATGATCACTTCCTCAAACATGGCCTTAGCATTGCCCTCTAGCTTTACCCGTAGAACTCATTTCCCGCTGTAGTTGATTTCTAAAAGTCGAGTTCATACTACACTCAAATACCGGCCTATCAGATTGATGCGTGCACCTAGGGGGGAGGATACTATAATGCAGTAGTGCGCAACGTTATAGTATCTAATTGAATGGGATTCACCTAACCAGTGGGATCCGACAACTCATCCCTTCGCCTCTGCGAGACAAGCAGCTGGCCAGCACAAGGCATTCACTGGGTAGCCCTAAGCCACTGCTGGGGCGGGGACAAACCCCTCTCTCTAACACTATCTCTCCTGTCCTCCTTCAAACAGAGTATCGACCCCTCATCCCTCCCCAATACCTTCCTCGACATGATCACCGTGACTCGCACCCTGAAACTCTCCTACCTCTGGATAGACTCCCTCTGCATAATCCAAGACTCCCCCTCAGACTGGGAAAAAGAAGCCTCTCTCATGGGCTCCGTGTACAGCTTCTCCCACCTCACAATCTGCGTCTCCTCGTCGCCTAACCCGTCTACCCTCTTCCTCCGCCCGCGGGAATCCGACTGGCTCCCCAAATCCTTCTCCTTCCCCGTCTCTCCCGGGATTTCCGTCCCTATCCAGGCCCGAAAATGCCATCTCCTCGCTGCTCCGCTAGAACAGAGGCTCTACGAGCCTCCTTTTACCTCTTCCTGGGCCACGTGAAAACGCATCGGCCCCTTATACGCCCGCGGCTGGTGTTTCCAGGAATCCTTCTTACCCTCACGCATCCTGCACTTCTCCCCGGGTGCCCTAATCTTTGAATGCCGCACCCACCGCCGCAGCGAAGATCAGCCCCCCCTATGTGTCCACCATCCCGGGTACGTTGGGCGAAACGATTACCCCGGAGGAAAAATGGCGCATGATCGTTAAATCGTACACGTCACGACAGCTGACTTTTGCGAGCGATAAGTTGCCTGCTATTGCCGGAGCAGCGACTACGATGCCGCAGGCGAAAACGGACAGGTATCTAGCAGGACTATGGAGCTCGACGCTGTTGCTGGATTTATTGTGGCAGATCATGCTTGGCGGTGCGCACAAGATGCTCACGTACGACGCGACCAGCGACGGCCAGACGACGCCTTCGTGGTCCTGGGCCTCGGTGAACTGGGGCGTAACTTGGAATACCCTGGTCTCGCCTCACCTGCTCGCCAGCGTAGTCAACGCCCGCATGTCCGTCGAGGGGAAGAACCCCTACGGACGAGTTACTGGCGGTTCCATCACGCTCAGGGGGCGGGTTAAGTACTGTCGACTACAATCTGACGGGAACCTCGAGCACGATGTATTTTACGAAAAGCCTTCTGATGATGGGTTCAGCAAGAAAATGCACTTCCGCACCGACGGCATGATCGTCCCTGAGCCAATGACTGGGGGAGGCACGTTTGCGCGGCGGGCGAGGCGAGGGCAGGCCGCGATGAATTGGTCTGAGAAGATGACCGGGGCGGCGTTTTCTGTATTGCTAAGGCGGCTTGGATGAGAGGGGATTATGTTGGTCTAATATTGGGCGTTTCGACTGATGTTGCGGGGTGCATGGAGAGGGTGGGTAGTATCATGAATTTGTCCAAGGATTGGTATGAAAGCGGCGAGGAGACAACCTTGACCATTGTATGATGCGATACATGCGTTTTCCGGTTATCCACGGTCATATTTCCTCCATGGTTGTATATGATTTCTTGTGTGAGGGTGGGTCTTGTTGCTGTAAGTAATCTGGGGACGGCCAATTTTTTGAGGAAGCGATATGTATTTCCCTGTAAAATATCCTAGTATTGATTCATCTTCTGTAACTGGGAGTTCGTGCCTCTACCTACTTTCATGACCGCCGTTTATTCATTGCCCATGACCCCTCGCATTGGTCACACCGCCACAGGCCTTCGACAAAACCACTCACGTCTCCACCTCCATCTCTCCTCTTTAACCCAAGAGCTGTGGGTGTTCTTCTAATTGCCTGCTCAGCCCCGCCTCCTCTTGATACTAAAATCCGCAAATTTTCTTCAAGTAGTGTCTCGTTTGACTTGCTCCAGTTCCCGGCGTCGTCCTGGACGACTTGCTGGTCATCTTCGGTCTCAACATTAGCCCACTCCTCGCTGCTCTCCAAATCGTTTGCCATAATATCCTCACCTTGTCCCGTGGCGTGCTAGAATACCCCGACCTTTACATCGACCACGATTCCCTGACAGGCGGGGCAAGCCTAAGCACCGAGTAAATCGTTCTGCCTAGGTGTGCCCATGAATATGTGAACTTCCACTGAAAGGTACTGCATACGCAAGAGGCTTGGTGGGTCCCATAATGAGTATTCGCCCTTGAGCTCTGGGTGCGTATGAGTGTATTTTTTGAGCTCGCGTGCCTTGACCATCATCTCAGACAATCTATCATAACGATGCGCTCGGCAGAGTCACCGACGAGATGGTTTTGCAAACACGCACACCCCGTATCGGGACGGATGTGTTAGAAGCCACCATGAGTCGTCTTTTCCAGACCTTTACCGTCGGGCCAGACTGCGGTATTGTTTTTATCTTCCCAGTCTGCATCAAACTTGTACTCGTGGCCGCAAATAAGTTGTCCACTCCTGAAATCCCCTTCAATTCCACGAGGAGTGTGGATGGTAGATTTGGTCTCCCGGTCAGAATCTAGATGGAAGGAAGAGTAGTGCCGAAGCCTCGTTGAGGCCATGTGTGTTCACAACTATCCTCCGACTATATGGGAGTCGCACTTCTCTGGCCAGCGTACTGGAGGTCCCTGTCACCTATCTACGCATATGATAGAGAACCGAAGGCTCGGTCATGGCCCTTCTGCAGATACAAAAGGAGGTGGATCACAACAAACAGCAGTACCAGCGTTGCCAAGCTTGCATCGCAGGATCATGCTATCAGAAGAGCAACTCTGGTAACAGACTAGGCAAACCCTGCTCAACTTCCCTATCCAACATGCTATCACACACAATAGATAACCACAGCCACATCACATCGTATCATTCATCAAGACGTGATACAAGTTAGTCACACATAGGGACCACACCTCAAAAGCAAACACAACTCTAGATACATCGGGCAAATCTGATTATAATTTGGTTGCAAACTCCAACGCAAGAGTTCTTTAAAAGAATCCAGGGGACATAATTATATGATACCACGACCACAGCGAAACACTGCCTTGAGGGACTCGGGGAAGATGAGGAAAGAAGAAGTAGTAGTAGTAGTAGTAGTAGTAAAAAAGAACATTACTGGTGTGAAAATAACCATGTGCGCAAAATATATCAAGGTCGTTTTCGTGTAGTATGACAATCATGTTATCTCTGCACACAAGGACCAAACCTTCGTTCGATCCTTCCTTCCTTCCTTCCTTCGCCTAGACGGAAAATAAAAACAAACACGATGCGTGAAAAGGTGTTTCCCCTATAGCTGCGATCCGAGAAAATCTGGTCGAGGTCCGTGAAGACAGTGTCGTCTGAGTAGAGTAGCAGCAGCAACCCTTGCTGTTTCGAGGAAGGCCGCCCACTCAAATGTTGCCGTTTATCCCCTTTTCAAATGCTGGCAAGCGTTGAGTTCCGTAAATATCATCAGGGAACACAGAAACCAACTCCTGATTCCATGCAACAATTTACCCCTCAATCCATCTGGATTTCGCCCTCCATGACGACCTCACCAGGGCGGCTGATGCTGTTGCTGCTGCTGCCATGATGCTCTTCTTCGCCCCTTGTGGATATCCGAAATCAAACCCAATGCAACAGTCGTGGCGTCTTCCTTGCGCTAAGTGTTTGGCATCTACGGCGGGCCTATCATGCCTCGACAAGAGAGGTGTCCACTGCAAACCCCGCCCTTGGCCAACTGCTCCATCAATTCCCTGCGACGACAAGGAATCACATGAGGATGCACTTTGAGCAGCAGCCAGCCTCTGACTCGCCTCCATCAATCTCCATCTTGCTTGTCGGACCGTTCATGCCGCCGTTTCCACCACTGTGAGGCGAATAGCCTTGCATCTCCCGGTTGTAACGTCGGATCTCTCGGACAATATCGTAGAAAGCCTTGTCAACGTTGATGCGCGACTTCGCAGATGTCTCGATAAACTTGCAGCCGAAGTTTTTTGCCAGCGTCTCGCCCTCTGCCGTACATATTAGTTTCTGCTCCTCTGATGCCATCATCATAATGAGTCATGCGTGCATCACGTACCTTGTCTTGTTACCTCGCGCTCGCTCTCCAGATCGCACTTGTTGCCCACGACGACCATTGGGAAGTAGTCCTTGTCCTTGACTCTCAGGATTTGTTGTTGAAATGTGGTAATTTCCTCAAAGCTCTGGCGCGACGTGATGGAGTAGACTAGTAAAAATCCTTCGCCCGTGCGCATGTATTGCTCTCGCATGGCCGAGTACTCTTCTTGCCCGGCTGTGTCGAGGACATCGAGCAGAGCGACCTCATCGTCAATGACGCACTGCTTGCGGTAGGAGTCTGTTGAACAGGGAGTGTCAACTGGGTTCAGAGCTTGTTGGGAGTGGTGGGCGGACGAGTATCGCAAGGGAAGCTCGAGATAAAGGACGCACCTTCAATTGTCGGGTCGTACTCGTCGACGAAATGGCTCTGAATAAGCTGGATCGTCAAGCAAGATTTACCGACACCACCTCCTCCAACGACCACCAGCTTGTACTCGCGTAAGAACTAGAAGTGCGCTGCATGTCAGCGACTGGTTGGCAAGTGCAGGATTGCGGGCTGTCATCGAGAGGTGACGGCGACGTGATGGCGACGTGATGCAAGATCAATCACGGTCGGCAGCTTACCTTTGAAGCCATTGTGAATGATGAATTGCGCGGCTAGCCTGGAAACGACGATTGATGTCCTTTTTCGCGTGAGTAGGAAGCTTGGTGCTGCAATAAACCGATGGATGGTTGTTGACGAGTTGGCGACAAAAATGTGTTCGCGGTGAAAGGCTCGTTTTTGCAGTGGAGGCGGAAAAGAGACTCGTCGTCACGGAACAGCTTGCTGTCAAGTGGTTTTGTTCAGTGGGTCCTACAGGTCCAAGTCCCTTTAGACTTCTGCAGAGAAGAAAGTGGAGGCGTAGTGCAGATAGACAATGCAGAGGCAATCTTAACGTCGACCGAGCATATAGAGTAGTGTGACAACTGGGAGCCAACAAGAAGGTCTTGAAGCTCGCTTGTCGCAGAAGGGGTTGGGATTATGGTTGGGATTATGGTTGGGATCCCAGGGTCGCGGTGGCACTAAGTAGGGAAAGGGGATGGGTTCGGCTTGGATTCCGTGGATACGCTGTGGGGTCCAATATACTGCTGCTGCTCAACCCGTTCAAACTTGACGATATCAGAGCCCTCGCAACAGCTGAAATGAGGATTTCAGATATGGGTTGATGGCAACAACACAATTTTACTTCTCAAAAAAAGAGAAATGATCAGAGCTGGGAGGTGGCAGCAGTCGGCGGCGTATTTTTACCTCACTGCACCTAGCGCTACTGTACGAGACCGGATGCACTAGGCAAGAAAGAACAAAGGGGGCTGTCGGTCGTGTGCAGGTTGCTCGACCTTTTTAGCAACGATTTGGGATGTTGGTATCGCACTCGAGAAGAAGTTCACAGGCTGCATGCACTAACAGACAGAGGTGGATATGGCAAGACTGCATTGCATGTTGCGACTGGTTAATTAAGCAATGTGGATGTCACTAGCAAGAGTCGAGAGGCGTCCAACAATTGACAGTCATCCAAATCTGATGATTCCCAAACAGTCGTCCACCCAATCCGCATTGACCTATGACTGGAGAGTACACTTGATTAGTAGCACTCAGTCTGACCAGAAGAAAGTGCAAGGAGGAATAACGCCATCCCATCCATCCCATCTCCCGGCCGATCCATCCCAGCTAACCCAGCGGACGGCGATACCGCAGCACAGCACTCTACACTGCAGCAGAAGAGGGGGTGGGGGGTTCGTGCGTGCTGCACTGCAGTCGAGCAGTTGCGATGCAGGATTCAACCACTCCATGGCCCAACCCAAATCCACGATTTCGCGATGCCCGTCTGGGGTTGCAGGGCTTCCATCCTTGCCGCGCTCCCCAGCTGATGTGAAGTGCACGACGCCTGGCGACGCTTACTATGTACCCTGGTGCACCAATTGTTTGGATGCCATTCCATTCCTCCGTCACCCACGTACGCCAAGGTCACCACCAAAGGAACGATCCCAAATTGCATTCATCGATCTACATATGCGACAAACACATCTCGGCACAACTTTGGATCTCCCTCCAGTATCCAAATTTAGCGCAATCCAAGCATCTAGGCCAAGTACAATTGTACATACACTTTTGCGACTCGGGAGACTGGAAAGCCACGTCCAATGCAGCATCCGAGCACCCGAGACCTCATCTCTCGATCCCTCGAACTGCCTTGCATTATGCTCCTTCCAACATGCATCGTCGTTGTTGCTCTAACACGTGGCGAGCAAGGTAAATAAGGTAGCCTGCCGGGCCTCGCAAAATGCAACCCTTGAGGGGCAAGGGAAGAGCTCAAGGCAAGGAATGATTAGGCCCTGCGTCTGGCTCGTCTCTGCATGGCTCTAGGAATATCGTCCCCGGCATTAACGTAGATAGGTACCACGAAACTACCTCGCCGGATTTTGCCATCTTCGCTTCCATTCAGTTGAACTATTACAGGCAGTTCTCGCATCTGATTTGACCGACGGCTACATCGCTTCGCAAAGCAGGGGTGACGCTTGTCAATGCCGTCGACCCATGTGAACAATATCGAGATCCTCCCTCCACCTCTCATCGCTTTCAGATGCGATTTCAACTACATACAGAAGAGATGGCGGCCTCAACTAGCAAGTCCATAGCTCGATCTTATCTGCTGCGGAAACTTCCTTTTCACGGTTAATACTACTTCTGTTTCAAAGATATGGCCGAGTTAACCTGCTGTTTTGGGAGGGCAAGTGGGATAATGACAGTCGAGACGGACGACTTGTAGCCAAGATGGGCAGCCAAGATGGGCAGCCCAGAGACAGTTATCCACATGCGCGGCGATCTGTGGGTCGCCCGATGGACAGCGTTCCTGGCCCTGAGGTTATTATCGAATACGGCGCATATCATATCGCATCTAGCTGTAGACATGTCAAGGTGCACAATCTGATATCAGATGAACCCAACCCTTGTATATTGCACTTGCTAGCCTGAAGCCTCACCGCAGTTCATCATGAAATTAGTCTCATGTTGCGCTCCTCGTATGTTGCCAAAACACTCAGGCAATACAGCTCCGTTGCATCCCAAACGATCCATGGCTCGGTTTTATACAGGCGATTAATGCGTGTTGGCTCTGCGCCTGGCCCGTCCAAGAAAAAGGCGGTACGTCTCTGTTGCATCCCAATGATATAACTTCTTGTTGCATATGTGATAGAGAGGTATAGGCTAATCGTGCACGTACGTCCTCCAGGATGAGAATATCCATACGTCTGAACAACATCATCCACATCCCGGATCTTAAGACCATGTTTGATATATCCGTACCCGAGCTGATGGGCCACGATAGTCCCAACATACATTACCTATCAGATATGCATACGCCAAGTGTAACATTCGTGGCATTGGACTCGCAGGGCTCCTTGTTATTGATCAAAAGCTTTGCTAGAGTCGTTACAACGGCGACGACTTCGCCGGCAATCTTTCAATATGTCAAAAAAAGGGTTAGGCTTCAGGATAATGGTTTTGACGTACAACTCATGGACCAGTTCCTTGTTAAGTCACATGTCATCTTTCCTTTCTGCTGATATGAACCTAAACTTTGGCCTCATCGAGAAGTAACACTTCGAGACTGAAATATTCCGAGAAATGTATAGGTCTAGTGGGAAGAAGGCATCTGCGGCACGCTTCTGTTTCCTGGCCCTGATTCGATAAGTGATAGATCGAGTCTAACGCAAGTACTTGCTCATATATGTTATTCCGTTCACGTCACCCATCCTAGCTATTATGTTTAGCAGCTGATTGGCTATTTACAGTCCCTGTATATATATCAACATAATTTGCAAACGAGACTGCAAAGGCTATGGGCAATGCAATGCTTCCCGTACTATAGTCGTAACTTACATGCTCCCAAGTTCAAGTACATACGCACGATAGTGTGGGTAGTATGTATACCATTGATAATTATTGGCAAGATAACAGCCTTGACTTTGATTGTCCTTCTCTTTACCCATCGATTCCAGATACATTGAAGAATCCAATCTAAAATTGAAGAAAGAAAATCTAGCCCGATACATGGAATAATTGCTCTACTATATCTGAATAGTTCACGAAGCTCCCCGAGTCTAGCGGCTAGATGGTCTAGTGAAATTCATAGTCTAAAAGAGAAGATCAACTTGATTAACCAGTATCAATGGGATCCAGATCTTACATCGTAGACTTGTTTTGAACTTGAATATAGTGAGACTCGAACCACAGTAGAATTTTTAGTGTTAACAAGGGTCGCAGTCCGAACCACCTACTCGGTGTTGGTCGGTTCAAGAAGATAAATTTACAACGTCCTGCTCTCTTCCAACGCCATTTTCTCACCCAGAAACGCACAGGTAATAATACTATAGCCTCGACTATTTCCGACACGAGATCAGGACACCAAGGATGTCCAAGCCCACGGTTCCTTGTATTAGATCGTTAGCCGATATCTGCTCTCGCTGGGGTTCCACATCCACATCACCTCCCTTATTTGGTTTATACTTCTCAACCTTATTGTCACAGACCTGCTTCATCCTTGCGTATTCACCGCGCAGACATTGGTTCGTCGCCTACCTCGTATTATAGCGGCAGAACTGCAGTATCGCCTTGACAAAACGGATATCAGCATGTTTTCGGGGTTTCCATGGTTCGGATATTTAGAGTTGGCAGATCGCTGATCCAGGTCGTCCAGAAAGTCTAGACCACACGAGGCCGTGCCAGATGCCATCCTGCAGCTGCGAAGTCGAAAACTTGTAATGGGCAATCCCTTGAGATCGGATATGCCAGCTGCCGAGCTAAGGAAAGTATATATCGATTATGCATCTCGACATCTGATCTCGTCAAACATGCTCACAACCCTACTTGACTTGATAAAGCTAGATAGGCCACTCTACTGGGATTATCCCAAGAATCTACCAGCTATCATCAGGTAACGTCTAGACTAAGCCAACTAACAGGGCGTAAGGCAGTCAAATATCGATAGCACCAACGCCATCGACCTGTGTAGGCATCGAATACCTTGATGAAAGCTTCTGCGGGTGTTGCCGTCGGAAGTCTGACTATGTATATTGGAGAAACACGATTACATGGCCCCAGTGATGCGAGTGCATAGGGGGTGTGAATTGTTGTATTGGGAAAGGATGGCCAGGTCAGCTATTCTGGCCTGGCAGAGCTCTTTTATAGCTCTTATCTATCTTATCTCTAGCTATAGGGCAACCCCCATGGGGTCACGTATCACCCAGCTTTCACTTTGTTGTTCCTACTTCATTCGATCCCGGTAGATCCCCATGCTACGAATCGCAACAACATCCCCGCATCTTGGCAATCATGAAAAGAAGAACTTGAAAATGGTCCGAACCATTCACCAATCCATCAATCCGAAGAGAACGAATATTATCAGAGACCTTGAACGGTGGGTATCAAATCCCGCACGGCTGACGTCTAATACATTTAGATCCGGGTTAAGTATACCCTACTAGAGTATGTAACTAACTCTGTTACTATTCTACTAAGAGTGTTACAAAAACTCGGCATTCCTAAAATCGATAGCTACTAACCATACTTATTATATTATTCTGATTAGTAAGCTATCTTATTAATTATTATTGTATTAACCTAGTTAGGTTATAGAGTTAAGAGTCAAGAGTTAAAATTATGCTTAATTTTACCGCTATTATCGTTAGTAAACTCAGTAGTGTTAGATATATGTATCATTCTGCTACTTTAGATAGTCTAGTTTATTTACTAAGAAACAACTCTCCGGTTTGATTAACAATAATTTTATTTAGTTAGTCCTTCTTCTAAGATGCTTGTCGGGCCTCATATTCTAATGACGCGTACTAGGCTAATTCTCCTCTCTCGAACCGAGTATATAAGCTCTAGTTCTTATGAAGTTCGTTTAATAGGCTTCGTAGCAATCTGACCTATTCTTAGTACATAAGTTTCCTAGCAGCGAGATCCCTAAAGTATGAAGTAAGAGTCTCGGTCTAGGACATCCTATCCCAGGGTGTCCCTGGCTATCGTCCCTGCCTCTCGGTCATGTCCATGTGGCAGGCGTCACAGAACCCCGCATGGTTCCCTTGAAGCGTCACTGATCTCCGGGTTACTGGGGTGTTCTATCGACAAAATTTCCCGTGTGACACGGGCCATCGAAGATCAATTTTGTTTCCAGTGCTGTGGATAGTTAATGGGTCCGTTTCGATGCTTTACCCCACGGCGGCCACAGGGTGGGGGTGCAACTCCGTATACGTATAACTAAGTTGTCTCATCAGTAAGGAGATCTTGGACAGGATGATTTGTGCGTCTAACTGACTTGATTTGATGACATTTTAATCCTCTTGCAGTTTGATTAAGATGGGCTCCTTTGGTAAAAATGACGTTGTATTTGCGCAGATGACAACAGTCCACGGGCAAGGTTCACTGGTGGTTCGGCATGGGGCGCGGTAATTTTAACGGCGCATCGTACTGTGTTGCTCCAGAAGAAGGGGGCACTGGGAGGTATTAGCGTCGACTTTAATCTCGGCCAACTCCAAATGTTCAACGTCAACTAACTCAAAACTGGTCATAATTGGGCGTCCATATAGTTCGAAAACATTTGTAGTCAAGTGTCGGCATTCCATTCGGCAAGGCAAGCATCTAATCACGGAGCAACCTCAAGCTACGATGTTGGCACTTCCGGCTCATCGTCCTCCCCCTCGACGGACACGCGCTTTCCTTGAACATTGGTCTCAACCTCCGACACCAGGCTCTCGAGGTAGTCCTTGTCACGTCCCACGAGCGTGACCGAATTATGCGTCTTGCCCCAGCGCGGGTAACTTCCAACCTTGACCCCTCTGGGCTCGACTTTTGTCGCCAGCTCCGTGAGATAAGGCGCGACCGCACTTTCCGCTAGTGGCGTTGAGATAATGATGCGTACGATGCCCTTGCCCTCCGGGTCTACAAGTCGGTTGATGATGAAGGGCTTGATGCCTTCCAGTAATTCCTCGACTGTCCCATCTCATTCAGCACATATTGGAGGTGTGAGTTGTCGCGGGGGTAACTTACAGAGTCTTGGCACACCTGGAAGAATATGGATGTTCCCGTTAACGACGGAGACGGGTACCCATAAGTCATCGCGCGTGAAAAAAACCTGCTTCTTCAAGTCTCGAGATTCGTCAATGGGAAGCTCGACCATTCTCAACCGGGCAGTCTTAGTAGGAGATTCGACATCCCAGCTGAAGTTGGGCTCCGACTTATGGGGCTTGCTCAATTTCTTCATACGCTCGAATGATTCCTCGTGAAGTTTAAGCTGGAGGCCGAATGCTTTGGCGATGGACTGGTAGGTGATATCGTCATGTCTGATTTGGGTCAGTTTGATACTCGTCAAAATGAATGTAGTGACTTAGCTGACGTTGGTCCTATGCCGCCACTGTCGTAATGTTAGCCAGTGTCCTCAAGATTGTATAGTGTCTATAGAGATCTACCTTGTTACCACGAAATCATAGCGATCAGTCATTATCTGTACTGCCTCTACGATCTCCGACTCGTCATCTTCGATAACCTCTACTCTTTTGAGATTCTAAGATGCTTGTGAGCAATGCTGACCAAGGACTTTGGCCCAGACGACCGCCTACCATGCCCAAGGAGAAACACCACTTTGCCATATATGCTGAGTTCGTCTATCTCCCGAGTCAGAAGACAGTACTTCAAAGTTTAGAAGTCAACCGCTGGGAAATCATACATCGACGGTCTGGACAGTGTTAGTACATGGAGACAATTTCCCTTAAATCATGTTCAATTACCTTTCCGCCAAGAACTTCATCACCAATAATCAAACAAGCTGCCGTGTGAATGGTCCTTGTGTTACGTTCGTCTGCAGACGCCATGATTCTCGACAGTAGACCGCTTGCTCTCGAATATGATGCTGTGGAGTTATGTCCGAAGATAGGTCCAGGACAGGAGAGATGGTGGCTGAGCTTGGAGAGTCTTGAGAGCATGTGGATTTGATACTTTACCGGAGTATCTTCAAGGGCGGCAAGTGCGGCTAGAAAGGAAGCAACACAACTTCAAGATTTCCACAAGTCGCAGTTGCAACACATGAGGCTCTAGTATTCAGGGAGTGATGATACTTTCCAAGCTCAGACGATAATCCTGGCAGTGGGTCGATCTCCGATGCGCTCCGCGCTACAAGCTCTATGGAGCTTTCGTCATTTTGGCGGGGTCCAAATTCGGACAACAATCTGTCTTGAGCTGGATTTTGGCCCATACAGGACCCAAGAGAATGTCTTAGGCAACATAAGCAGACGAGCAGCCCCCAAAGACTCACTTGGAACAGGCTATTGTTTACCTGCGATATATACAATTTCGCGATCGTCCAAGCCCACTCCGAGTCCTCACGATGGCAAGTCGAAACCGAATAATACCCCGCATCCAGCTTCTTTACTCGGTCGCGTCGATCGCGTGACTTCAGGAGCAGTCGTTAACGAAGGGAAATACAGAGCTCTGAAGCAAGATTGTACACATTCTCGCAAGAGACCAAGGATCATCTGCGCAAATTCCGCCTGGGCACGTCGAGAGCCAGTGGTCCGCAAGCCGTGATTTGTATGTATGTCTCTGCCTACTCGCTAGTCGCAGTACTGCCCAACCAACCACGAATGCTCCGAAGTGCACAAGCGAGGAAGTCATCCAGCAGAATAGAAGAGAAGCTGACTGGTGGCTCTCATGGTGGACAGACCTAATCGACAAGAATACAAAGGAGATCAAGCAGGATGATGACAAGACTGTCTACAAATCACTCGACGAGATCAGCGACGACTTGCCAGACCACTCCCCTCGATTCGTGCTATTGAGCTACCCCCTGACTCTTGTATGTCTCCATCCATCCATTTTATACGCTCGCTGCTATGTCCCAATATTTATGGTTTGTGCTGATTATGACGGTCGCGCAAAGCCGGATGGCCGCCTCTCGGTCCCGTACGTTTGTCTTTATTACTTGCCTATCACGACGAACGCCGCTATGCGGATGCTATATGCCGGCGCAAAGGAGCTGATGCGGAATACGAGTGAAGTTGGACGAGTGATTGACATTGAGAGCGCGGAAGAACTCGAGGATATCCCCAAGAAGCTCGCTAGCGAATAGGGGGCTTATGCTTATACGTGCCGGGTGTGCCGGGTATGTGCAGAGGATGACCATGTAGAGCGACCTCCAGGTGTTGATTACCAATAAAGGAGGGAAAGCAGCATGAGCGTGTTTCAACAGATATTTCGCAGTTTTGATTCACAAGTGTTGTTTAGTCGTCAGGCGACACCAACTGGGGATCAACCCCCATCTCCTCCGCTAACCTCCTGACCACCCCTTTCAATGCTTTGCATGCCGGACTATCAGGATATTCGTCGAAGAAGCTCTCGCCATAATCACACGCCATGCCAATTCTCGGGTCCAGTGGCACCTCGCCTAAAAACGGCAATCCCATCTCTTTCGCGAGTGCCCTGCCTCCGCCCGTTGTAGCTCTGAATATCTGACTTTCATGCGTGCAATTTGGGCACACAAACCCGCTCATATTCTCAACTAATCCTAATACCCTGATCCCAGCTTTCCGGCAGAAGTCGATCTCTCTCCGCACATCCAGCAGCGCAACCTCTTGTGGTGTGGTGACCATAATGGCACCATCGATCCCGCTCTCTTTCAAGAAACTGTTCACGCTTAAATGTTCATCGCTCGTTCCCGGTGGCGTGTCAACGAGCAGGAAATCGAGGTCACCCCAGTCCACATCCTTCAGAAACTTTTTAATCAGGCCGTTCTTTTTGGGTCCCCGCCAGATGATGGCATCGTCGCGGTTTGGCAGCATGAACTGTATCGACATCACAGAAAGATTGTCGGACATGTAGACGGGCGACCACCCCGTGCCAGACACATGTATCGTTTCTGCCTCGACGCCCATCATTTTCGGTATTGAAGGTCCGCAGAGATCAGTATCCATGATGCCAACATTGATCTCTTCGCGCATCGCGAAGGCGTAACCCATGAGAGATGTGAATGTGCTTTTACCCACGCCACCCTTGCCTGATAGGACTAAGATTTTGTGTTTGATTCCCGACAGACGCGCGGATATTAATGGTATGTCAGGGTCAGGACCCTTCGGTGCGGAGGCGCATATCGCTTTGTTTGGACAGCCGGCGCAGGAGTCTGCAGTGCCTGCTTGCTGGGATTCGGGGCCGGGACAGTGTTCCGGTTCAGGGGCTACGAGTTGCGGCTTGGATTTGAGGGGGTTGGAGAGGACGTCGCCGACGGGCTCCGGCTCTTCGAGGGAGGGCGCCATGGTGGGCAGTGGGATGGAGTTGTGCGCTTCGCAAGGTGCGCGGTGGGGAAACACGTCAGGTCAAGATAAACGATGAGTTGTTCAGCGACAGGTTGTCATAATGGGTTATCGAGGCAGGAGGCAGAGGAAAACGGAACGTAGTGATTCTTTGGATGGGGATTGGTGACCAAAGATGCTCGTGATGCTTAACAATCCGAAATGGACCCTGCAGGATTGGTTTTCGTATCTCCGGCTACGGAAGGCGGGGCAGAAGCCAGCGGCGGATGGCCAGGACCTTGCCACGGGGAAAATTTAGTGGATAATGTCCACCCAATTTGAACCAGCACATTATCATCATTTTACCTCAGGCCCAATATTCGACGCTTGAATCAACAAGGCCACTGCTGATCATCTGCTTCTTGAGTATAGTAGGCAAAGATCCTAGGTAGAGAAATCCAATTCGAAGTTCAAGGTATGCAGTTGAGAGCTTAAGCAGAGGGGTACGACGTCAGTGAGGGGCACAAATCTGCGTTGTATCTCCCCTGATGTAACCGATATGTGACTTTGAAGTGATTGTATGGCTACGAAGACCTCGACGCGACGCGAAGCTTGGACCCAAACCCCTGCAACTTGGACGTGGCTCCCCATTGTAAATATTCCACCCATTCCACCCATTCCACCCAATCTAGATCTCGAAACAACCTGACTGCGGCTCCGCGAGAACATCACTACCTCATGTCTCGAACTGTCGTATAACAAGGCCGAAGTATTTCCAGAACAACCACCAACATCAAAGGTCGATCTCGATAGCGGACAAAGTCATGGTGTCTCCAGGAGGTGCCGCGGCTGCTAGGCCGGCGCATGCATCGTCAACAAACAATGCCAAAGGCCAGCGCAACAGCAGCGGCAACGGCAATGGCAACGATGACGATGCCCTCCTGCGATCGCTGAATCAGCTGTCGATTTCCAACTCGCCGTCTCGCACACCGTCCCGAGCGGCTTCCAGAGCCGCCTCCCGTCCGCCGTCTCGGGCGCTGTCGCGAGCTTCGTCGTTCTCATCAAGACCGCCTACGAATTCGCTGCCCTCACTCGATCGACTGACCATTGCGTCGCCCAGTCCCAGATCTGGACCTCGCAGTCCTGCCGGTCGCCTGTCTTCTAATGGAATGACACCGCAGTCCAGATCGGGGACGCCTACCCTGCTTCGCAAAGCCTCTATGAATTCCTTGCACTCCAATAGCGGTGTCACCCCGAGCCGCGCGCCCTCTAGGAGAGGAAGCAATCTGGGTTCACCTGCTTCGAAGTCGCCACTACTCGAAATGGAGGAAGAACACCGACCGAGGCTGACCGAAGCGTCTGTCGCAAACACTTACTTCAAGTCAGAGCTGCAGATACTGCATAGTCCCGAGTCCACCAAGACTGCCGACACCATCGTCATCCTGCACGACTCCTGCTATGGTCATCGCTTCTCTCGCAGGAAGACTACGAAGGGAAATCTTGCCACCATCGTCGAGCGGCCTGAACGCATCCAAGCAAGTGCTCTTGGCGTAGCTCTGGCCTACGTGCGTCTTGGCGACCGGCATTGTGATGGAAAAATCCCAATTCATCCCGACCTCGACCCTAGCTCGCTTTCTTCGATACCTTTTCGAATTCATAAGACAGACCGAAAGCTTTCCCTCAACTCTTCCGCTGTCATCAATGTTCACGGAAAGGAATGGATGGACGAGCTCACGTTGATGTGCGAGTCAGCCGAGCACAGGATTGCTAAAGGAGAGAATGAGCTCAAACGGCCTGAAATCGAACGCAGCGGCGGCGCAGAAACAGCGCAAGAACTGCACCAAGGAGATCTGTATCTCTGCGCACAGTCCTTAGCTGCTTTCGAAGGTTCTTTGGGCGCACTATGCGAAGCTGTTGATGCTGTCTTCTCTCCGGCATCTCCCATCAAGCGGGCCTTTGCCGCAGTCCGTCCGCCTGGACATCATTGCAGCGCTTCTCATCCTCAGGGATTTTGCTGGATCAACAACGTCCAAGTTGGCATCATGCACGGCATGTTGAACCACGGGGTGACCCATGCCGCCATCATTGATTTCGATCTGCATCACGGCGACGGATCTCAAGCCATCGCCTGGGCACACAATCTACGCAGCAATCGCCAACCAAAGAATGCAGCGGCATGGAAGAAGACCTCGATTGGATACTTCAGCTTACACGATATCAACTCGTATCCTTGCGAATACGGTGATGAACAGAACGTCAAGAACGCCAGTCTGTGCATCGAGAACGCGCATGGACAAAACATCTGGAATGTCCACCTGCAAGAATGGAGTTCCGAAGTGGAGTTCTGGACTCTGTACCAGTCTAAGTACTCTGTCCTTCTTGACAAGACTCGCACCTACCTGCGACGTCAGAGTGAGAAGTTGCGCGCCTCCGGTCAAGTGCCCAAGGCCGCTATTTTCTTATCTGCCGGCTTTGATGCCAGTGAATGGGAGGGTGTGGGTATGCAGCGTCATGTAGTCAATGTTCCCACCGAATTCTATGCTCGATTGACACGAGACGTGGTCAAACTCGCCTCTGAAGAAGGACTCGGAGTCGAAGGTCGTGTCATCAGCGCACTCGAAGGTGGTTACAGCGACCGAGCTCTATGTTCCGGAGTATTTAGTCACCTCAGTGGCCTCGCCGGGAACGAGCCTGTCTTGTCCAGAGAGGAAAGTCCTGTTCCAAGTGCACTAGGGCGCGAGATCGCCCGTAGGATCAGCTCTGTCAGCGGCAGCAGACGAAATACTATTTCGTCATCTGATGGTGATAAGATGAGAGTCCCCGGATTCCCGTACGATCCTACCTGGTGGTCCGGCCAGGAGCTGGACAAACTCGACGCCACAGTAGATCAACCAGCTTCCGAACATAAGCCACTGAAGTATGTGCCTCCTCCTACGTACTCAACGCCTACCCAATCGTTCACGGCCAAGATGGTTGAGTCTGCTAAGGCCAGACGGAGCAACTCTGCCCTGAACTTGGGTCCTCGGCCCATCCAATCTAGAGTGCCTACTCCACCTCCTCCTGAGGTCAATTGGCCTACAGCTGTTCGTGAGTTGAGCAAGTTGTTGATTCCGACCGAACGTCCTGTAAGCAGTTGCACTTGGGACGAGTTGAAGGCGGATGTTGCCAAGAACAGACTTTCCCGCCAGTCCCTTGCTCTGCCCGATGCTGCGGAAACGACGGAGACCAGCACGGCGCCTATTCGAAAGAGCCTTCGGGAGCGAAAGCCTGTCAAGGCCCCTAGCTCAGTTGAGGTTGACGATGCCCCAGGCCGTAGGAAGACAGTGGGGGGCTCATCAATGCTGGCAGTAGATAAGGTAGGACAAACCACCTCCATAGCTACACGCGAGGTCTCTAATTGGATCCAACAGGCTTCCGCTCGTGGCATTCCGTCCCAGGCTGGGCCAAAACAAGCACGACCGCACAGCCGGCGCTTGAGCACTTCTTCAAACATGTCGACTATAACTAATGGCCACAATGAAGCTCCCTACGCATTTGCAAACGCCATTGCTCGGCCTGAAACTTCACAGTCTATACGACCTGAGTCTTCTATGAGTGTCCGTACTCAGGCATCTACCGCACTCAATGTGAGGAAGGTGAGACCGGCACCTGCTCGAAAGGAAAATGCCAAAACCGCACCCAAGCCCAAGAAGGCGACGAAGTCTATGGCCATAGTCGATACACAGCCACCTGTCCCCAAGATGGAACCGCAGCAGGTGGCCAGGTCTGTCAGAGAGTCTCCTGCGCATTCGAAAAAAACCTCTAGTCCTGTTCATGTCCCTGGACCTACCCATGAAGTCCCTTCTATTGTCAGGGAGCCGTTCTCCGAGGCCAAAAGCGATGTTAGCAAGGCTCCCAGTGGTGCAAAGAAGATCAAGATCAATTTAGTCACGAAAGAGATGAAGCAGGCTCGCCAGCTGGCTGCCAAACTGGAAAAATCTGCAACACCGCCACTGGAGAACAACTCTTTCGCTTCTACGGCGCCTGTTGCTCCAGTGCCTCCGGCATCTAATGGGTCTGCTACAGATCTTACGAGCCCTGCCTCCATCGCACCGTCCATCGAGCGTCCTGTAGCCAAAGTACAACCTATTCTTGCACCTCAATTTCAAGCTCCTACATCTGCGGCCACCAATGGTTTGACCAAACACCTAGCACCAGCAGACATCAAACTTCCGTCATCCGCTCGACAGTCTCCTGATCTAGAGACACCGAGCTTCGACAATAAACACCCCACCCCTCCTGCGTCCTCTCCAGCTCTTCCAGCCGCTGATCCGATGGACACGGAACTCTTTGTGCATTACCAACCTGCGGGACCACAAGCTTCCCCCGTTCGTCAGACCGCACCTCTTCAGTGGCTGCCTGCCAACGTGGCTGAGACGCCTCAGCAATTTAAGAGAGGGCATCAGTTCACGGCTAAGTCGGCCATCCCCTTCGCCCCTGGTACAGTTCAAGAGACTCGTTCCATGACCAAGGAGAAGACTTCTACTGTGAATGGCCCGTTACAACCCGTTGCGGAGCCAAAGGCGATTGATGTGGATATGTGGGAGATCCCTGAGACGCCTCAGTAGGAAATGCAAACCACCCACCTACCTACTGGCACATCTGCCTGTAGCGCTTGCCTTTCCTTGCTAACATTCTCCGTACACTTAACACCGCCATTTTTTTTCTCTCGTCTGCACGTCTCTGTAAAGCCGAAACCTCAGAGGAATAAGTGTCACATACACACACGGCGTGGTAAAGGAGAATGTGGAACCCGACCAATCAATCATGCAAGCCCATGCATTATCGTAGGACACACTAACCCATCAAAAGAGAGACACGGCTAATCAATCCCTATTTGGCGTTCTGGAATTTTTTTGTTTGGCTGTCTTGTCTGGAATATTGTAAGGATCTTGGGAACCAGAATCCCCCGTCCTATTTTAGAATTTGTCCGAGGCAATACGTATTTTTGCGTCTGTTCAACTAATCCCGATGATACCCTTTCCTTTCCTTTTCGACTCTTTTGCGCGGATGGTGGCCGCAAGCAGATAGCTCATCTGCCTGCCTGCCTGCTTCGCGGGTAGATGATTAATTTGGTTGAGAGCTGTAGACAGTAATACAGAGATAATGCATATAAAGTCGTCGTAGTTGAAAATATGTGACACGCTTGTGGGGTGATGCTGGCGGAAGACTACGTTACCGTGATTGATTTCATACATCTCTGATGGGTGGAGCCGGGTTGGAAACTGCTGAGACCATGCTTTCAGACAGAGTAGAACCAAGGCCATAGACTATATCTGAGACTAAAAAAATACAAAATATGGTAAATAGCCTCTCCTCGAGTTCCATATGCTTGTAATCCAGGAAGGCCAGAAGGCTACTTTCTTCGCTCCCCTTTAATAAACTTGATACTGGCTTGCCAAGGATATAACAGAGGCAGAAAATAGCCTGAACCACACAAGGTGAAAATTTATGAGATGATGCGTTTGCTAGAATTTCTAGAACTGTACTCGATCATTGTCACTAGGTCACTTGCTAAATAAGTTGTGAACTCGTCGAAATGGCCGGAAGCATTCATAGACAACAGAGGGATGGATTGTTGTGATTTAAGCATACGGGAGACATAGCAAACTTATTCGACCTTGACATATATACAAGAAACTGTATCATATACGACACCTTATACTAAAGACGCCATTTTCAATACTTATACACTTGATAGCGAGAAATATGGTTTGGTATACCCGAAGACCAAGCACGAATCAGCGGTGCGGCATGTGTACAAGTATCCGCTATCTTGCATGCGGGGAATGCCCTGTCACAATCCGTGATAGTAGCTGCAAGTGTCCGTATAATGTAATTGACTATAGACTTGTAGTTTCAATAGTGGACCCAAATTCATGGTCTCTATATCCAACCTGGTCACCACCCACCGCCCCGACCTAGACCCCTTACAAGACTTCTACAAACGCTGTCTCGCCTACCCCGAGCTCTCTAACCAAGAAGCCTCCACCGCCACCGCCATTGCTGACCATTTGGTTGTCCTATTTTCAGACTTCAACATCAAGTCACGCATCGCGGTCATGGCCCAGCAGCCATCCTCTCTAATGGCTCCAGCACCAGCGTCCTCCTCTGCACCGACATGGAAACCTTGCCTGTGCTCGAGTGCACCTAATTGCCTTACGCCAGTAACAAGCGCATGCAAGACGCTGAAGGTGTCGAGAAGCCCGTCATGCACACTGGCGGACACGATATGCAGATTGTCTGCCTCCTTGGCGCCGCGGAGATCTTACTCGATGCTCGGGATTCCTGGTCTGGGACTCCGATTTCGATCTTGAAACCCGGCGGAGGAAAGTGGGAGGGGAGCACAGGCCATGGTAGACGACGGGCTGTATCATCCCTCTTGATATGCTATTCCGGTGCCCAATATAGTGCTCGGGGTACACGTGATGCCATTCCAGGCAGGAAGTATCGGGACGCGAAGGGGGCTGTTCGCCACGTCGGCTGATAGCATGAAAGTCACACTTCACGGGAGGATTGCTCACGCGGCCATGCCGGAAAGGTCAATAGATCCAGTCATCATGCGGCGAGCGCAGTGGGAACTGCAGACTATTATGGTCAGAGAAACAGACCCGGCGGGTGAGGCCGTGCTGAAGGTAGCGATTTTCTATGCGGGGGATGCGCAAAACGTGATTGGGGACTTAGGGGGCCGGGGATCAATACGAGATCCATCACACAAAGGACGAGGGACAGACCTTGGGGAGGATTGCGGATATTTTACGGGCAGAGAGTGTGGGAGCTATGGCGTCAAGGGAGACAACATTTTGGAACACGAGGAATTACCCGTTGACGACAACGATGATACTATCTCAGCGAGGCTGGAAGAGACGTTTGCGAAGCACTTTGGGAAGGGGAATGGGTAGTATGATAGGGATATTCCGCGGTGGGTGGGGCGTGACGAATCTAGTATACTAGGTACTACGGTGGGGAAGCCATTTGTTTCTTCATGTATGCTGGGAAGGAGGAGGTGTGGGATTGGGCTCAGAGGCATGTGCAGTGTAATCATTTGGCTTTGTTTGCACCCGGTATTATGCCGACGCTGAGGATTGGTATTGATGGATATGCAGCAGCGGCGCTCACGTTGTGACCAAGTTGTGATTGGGCTGGGTCTTGTTTGAGGTTCTGAAGTTTGGATTTGGACATCTTGCCTAGTGGGTTCCTTTTCCATTTTGTTTTTAGAAGTAGTGTGATACTACACTAAACAACAGCAATCAGTTTGCAACGCTGACACATATTTATGATGCGTAGTTCTTGTATAAAAGTCCACAGCAAACATTAGAAGAAGAGAAGAAGAAGAAGGAAGACTAAGCTATACGCTGGGAAGAAACATGCTGTTTCAAACTTCAGGGAAAACTAGAAAACATGGGTAATCTAATTCTTCGCCTATATGCCCTTGCGAACTTACAGAAAAGCAATGGAGTGCTGTATACAATAGCATCACCTGTATATACGGCATAAGTCCTATGATCATTATGGTAGGTCTCAATTATGGATTCGCAAACTATGATATTTGTTCGTTCTACCTGAAAAGCCGGAATGCCTCAGGCTTAGCCAAATTGGAAATTACTTCGTTTACTGAACAACTTAAGTATCTCTATATATACACCACACTAGAACGCTCCAAAATACGAGAAAACGGAGATGGGTATATATATATTTATCTTGATCTTTTAACTGCTGTGTACTATTCTCGTTAGGGAGGTACAGAAAATATGTCACATATGTCTGACAATTCGAATTTGGACGCATTGAAGAACCACACCTGGCAATGAACGTCTTGGAGGAACATATACCATGTTGCAGACTGATCTATGTTCATCAAACCCGTGAGGCTGGGATCGACAGACTGTTCATCCGTTTGGCAAGTGGTTGCGGCAGCCCGCGCGCCTGCCTTTCTACACATTATCTAGCTACGCGTAGAACCACGTCTCAGCTTCTCGTGACAACCTTTTCTCCAGATTTGTTATTCACGTCGATTTGACCACACCTGAAACTCTTTCGATTCCATCGTTCGACTTTGCAACTCTACACACATTTCTCACGAATCCATCTTACGATTCTGCAACTCTCACTTCACCTCTCGCAACCTCTATCTCTGATCTTCATTCAGACAACATCACTGCAAATTTCCACGCTCTTCTCATCTTCTACTCACCTTCTACTCACTATACATCCTCTTCCACCTTTGATTCAGTTGTTCTTGTCAACATACGCACCTTCTACTCATTCTAAACTCTCTTCTACCTTTGACCCAGTTGTTCTTGTCAACAAATACAACCTTTCTCGTCTCTCTCTGTCTGCTTCATCAAGACCAAACACCGTAAAAATGCCTTACAACTTCCGCTCGTCCACCCGCAAGGCTTCCGAGGCTGCCTCTACTCCCAAGCCCGCTTCGCGCAATGTCAACGACCGCGTCACCAAGCGCCAGGGTTCTCCTCCCAAGCCGGCCAACTCGTCTCTGAAGCAGTACGATGCTGCTTCGCCTCCGGATGCTGAGAAGTACCGTGCTGTCTCTGACGAGAACCTGGCCTCGCAGATGAACGTCAACAACTTTGTACAGGCCCAAGCTGCTTCTGCCGCTGTCTCTGGCAATACTGCCTCCCCTACTGATTCTTCCAAGCAGCTTCCCTCAACGGTCCTTGCCAAAGGTATGCGATAATTCCCAGCCCATTTAATGACCTGCCATTATTGTTGTCACCGAGTTAATATTGTTCGCATAACTGCCCAGGCCATGGATGAGAACTCCAAGCTCCGTGCTGAGTATCCCGCTGGGTCTCCCGAAGAGCGTCTCGCCAGACATATTGCTGAAGGCCGCGCTCTAGCTCGTGCTGAAGACCACATCGACAGTCTGCCTCAAGCACACGCTGAGCACCGCGTAGAGAACTACGTCAATGCCCAAGCGCAAACTGAGGCCAATGTAGAGTACCACGCCGAGTCTTTCGCCCAGGATCTCGCCCGCACCGGCCAAGACTCCCCTCCTGAACTTGAACTGGACATCCAGCCCCCTCGCCCAAGCCGCGTAAGCTGGACTTGGCAGGACAAGAAGCGTGGCCACCACCATGTCAGCCGAGACATCGATCGCGTCAACGATGATGAAGAGCACGCCGTCTCTCTTCGTGAAGCCCGTGCAGGCAAACGCCCCTGCCTGGCAAACCGAAGCCCGTCGCCCGAGGACTCTCCCGGCGCTTTGTTCAGAGAAAAGAGCAAGCAGAAGTTGCCCCCTCGTCCCTCCAATTACATGAAGAATAAGATGGAAGGAACCAAGCCTGCGGTGTTCATCCGATACGCCAACGAGCACGGAGTCACCCAGACGCTGACCTGCGCGGATCCAAACGTAATTCCCGCCGCCAGGGTTTTGGTCAACCACCAGCGAGAGTATGGCTCTGAAGCAGTGCCCTCCGCAGAAGATATTGCAGAGTGGCTACAAGTCAACCGAGACGAATTTGTCAGAAGACGCAGAGCTGCCGCCCGAAACTCAGTTTCTCCTACCGCCCAACGGGTCAACAATTCGCCGCAACCCGTACTTGCCGATAATGGCCCTCCTCCTGCTCCTGCCGGTTCGGGATTCGCTCGTCGTGCCGTTCGCGCCTGCCACCATTATGCCAACCACCTGAGCAAACGGCTGCATCCGCTGGGGGACTTCATGATCCGGGTTGGTGCGGACTTGCACCCCCAGGTACGACTGCAGATTGTGGACAAGGAAGATGGGGCGGAAGCTGAGGCTGTGGAAGCTGCGGCCGAGCAAGCTAACGAACGAAGGAACAACCCTACCGATCCTGCTACCCCTGAGCAGTTGAACGAGGGAAGGAGCGAGCTTGCCGCCCCTGCAACTGCCGAGCAGGCGAACAGTAGAAGGAGCCCTCCTGTCATTCTTGCCACGACAACGCTGGAAAGCTATCCCAGTGCTGTTACGACCGCCGCAAGGAAGGCGAGGGCAATTGCTGATAGGCAGGGAGTCGGTTCCTCGTGCCTGAGCCGCCGGGTTGGCGTTGTGAGGGGTAATTCTATAATAGCTCCACAGAAGCCCGCTCCGCGCAAGCCAAGTCCGCGCCTGCACCAGAAGGTCCCGTGCCCGACCCCGACCCCGAGTCGGCAAGAGCCGAGTCATCCGCACCTGCTGGTGAATACCCTGAGCCCGAGGTCGTACGTTCGGCAACAACCATTAAGTAGCCCCGAGGGCTCGCCGGACCGTACCTACGACCTACCCGATTTCGACTCGGATGAGGATAGTCCAACCCGGCAGCAGCCAGAGCAGCAGCAACAAGCCGGCCCCCCACCCCCAGCCACACCAAGCAGGACATTCACGGTCCCCGACTACAGCTCCTCCTCCGATGACGAGGAAGAAAAGTTCGCCGCTTCCCGTCTCCCACCCCCACCCACACCTAGCAGGACCTTCACGGTCCCCGACTACAGCTCCTCCGATGAAGACGAGGAAGAAAAGCTCGCCACTTCCCGTCTCTCGCCCCCGCCAACACCTAGCAGGACCTTCACGGTCCCCGATTACAGCTCCTCCGACGAAAACGAGGAAGAAAAGCCTACCACTTCCCGTCTCCTCCCCCCTCGCAACCCCAAATTTAGCCTCTCCCAAGTGAAGCTCGAGGCCAGTAGAGAGGCCTTGAGAAGGCACATCGCGGCTGTAGGAAGAGCCGGAAAGGTGCCCTCCCCGGCTGAACTTTCAGCAAAAAGACGTTGAAACCATACCACTGGGATAACAATGCATCGTCCGTTTATTCGACTATATAAGTAACAAATTTGGTATCTTTCGAAAGCAGATGAAGAAGCACCCCCCACTCCCAACCCCCTCTCCCTCAACGAGTATCTCATTGTATCCAATCTCAAAAACCGAAGCCAGACCCGGACCCAGTCCCAACACTCTGGTCCTCTGGACTGATATCCAAGTCCAAGTCTAACAATCCCGCATCCGTACCGAAACCCGAATTCGCCCGTTGAAGCACATCACCCATCTCCTGATCTGTAAACGTCAGATCGTCTTCCATTGCGAATAGCATCGGCTGGTCCGAATTCCCGCTTGGAAGAGACATATCCAACCCAGAACCTACATCTGCACTCTTACTAGCTCGAACTGGAGTTGATGATGCAATCCCTCCCATTCCCGCAGTTGTCGTCGATTCGAGCCCTAGCTCGCTGTTCCCTTGCAGAAAAGCCTCCTTAAACCTCGCCAACAGAACTGGATCATCACACGGCGTCTTTTGCATCCCCATAATCTCCCTAGCCCGCTCCCGCATCTGGTCATCGCTAGGCAACCCACCACTAACACCACCACCACTACTACTACTACTCTTCCTCATCTCCCTCTTCACGTACTCAGTCAGTCCTGTCTCGAGCTCACGTGAGCAGAACACCTTAGCAGGCGCCATGTAACGCTGCTGGAAGCTCTGCAGGAGTCGATTGACCGTCGCGGGCTCCGGCTCAAACTGCTTGGCATTTTCGCGGCAGAAGACTTTTGGTTTTGCGTTGAAGGGCTCGAGCGTGACTTTGGGGTTTGGTGCTACGTAAGGGGGAGCGAAGCCCGTGCCGCCTGTCGAGGCAGGCCATTGGATTGTTTCTGTGGGCAGGCCGGGACCGGAGTCAGGGGGTAGGATGCCTACGTCTCGCTTGAAGCGCTGAAGCCACTCGACGTTGTCTGCTGCTGTTTGGTTGCATGGGTCGTCGCTGTCGATGGTTAGTTTTGACGCATCTATAGTGTAGAGATGGTGGACTTACTCGTCATGGACCACCCACCTTGCTTGGTGTTGAATCTCTTCGTCTGTTGGAATATGGCGATTAGGGTTATTCGCAGACATGGTCGAGGCGACAAAGCGGCTCAGGCCTCTGGCCAAGCGACGGTAGCAATTGGTATCGCTCAGGAAGAAGGGACCAGTTTTGATGTACTGTGCCGCGCAACCGGACCCAGCCCCTGCGGCGGAAATGCTATCAAAGCTGTTTCGCGTGTTTGCTGAACGTTGGCCAGCGAATTGAAACCAGCTCGGAGTGTGGTTGGATGGGGAGCCACTGGTGTTTGATATGATGACATTGCCGTCTTGGGGTGCGTGCCCTTGTCTGAAGCTGGCAAGCCATCCTGAATCATCAGCCGCCGTCTGATTCCATGGGTCATCAGACTCATATATTATTATACGGGCTTGCCGTTGCAGATCGTGCGCGGTTGGCTCAAGACTGAGGACCCTCTGAACCTGGATGAACTCTCCTAGTTCCCGCTCGAGTCTGCTGTAGTTGTGGACGGTGGAATCAATCGACTTAGGATCCTTGGACCGCTCATTGGCGCCGCTGACATCTTCACTGCGCGGCAAACGCGCCCGTTTCCGGAAGTCAGCGAGCCATTTGGTACTCCCGTTGATAAGACCAAGTAGCCAGTTGGCAACATCTTCAGACGGAGTGCTGGATCGCCCCTCCATCCACCCGATAATTTTGCAAGCCTCTACCTGCAGCTCTTTGTCCATTGCCGTTAGCCCAAGTAGCGATCCAGCTTTGACGAACTCTTGTAACTCTGCTTCGAGCTCGCAGTTCTGAAAGATGTTGTCTTTGCCGTTGATCCGCAAACTCGAAAACCTTCGGTTCTCTGGCTGTCCTCGAACTGGACTGAACATGGCCAAGCTTCGAATTTCATCAATAGACATGATAGCATCGCGAAGCCACGATGAGGCTCGGTTGCTTGGATTTTGGGACAGAACTTCAGCACCAAAAACGATGCGACAAGCCTCTTGGGTTATCTCACCGCCCGTCGGCCTCTGTCCTTTTTCTTCCGTCCAGTTGGCAATCCAGTATTGCAGTTCCATCTTGAGCAGTTCATAGGCGCTATTCGGCGTCGACGGAGGCGGGGCACCCGCCACATAGGGCAAGGGCGAATTCCTCACGTCGTGGATCAAGTCTGCGAAATCGCATTAGAAGATTGGACGGCGAGGGCGAATCGAATGAGTCTCACAAGGTGGAACCGAATTCTCGACCATGTCAAGTACCGGAGCGTCGAAACCCCAATCACCCTTCCAGTCGGCCATGGTTTTACCTGTTTTGAAGTGCTCCGCCAGATGGTCGACTCGCATCGTCCAGCTATCCATGACAATGTCACAGAAACCGCATCGGGATCGAATTTCGGGAGACGCTACTCGCCACCTATCCATCGACCATTGTAGAAACTTGACGTTGTGGATCAGGTTGAGATGCTGCCTGAGGTGATCCTTCCGGTAGAAAGTCCTTTCCTCGAGCGCACGCTCAGTGCAGTCAGAGAATTTGTGAGATTCGATATGAGACTCGCCAGGGTTTGCCTCACCGCAAAAGACACAGCTCATCAAGCCATTTTCAGGGTTGATGGCCTTGGCACCTTCTGGCGAACAAACCCAGCGCTCCAGAGACAGGTGTAGAGACTTCTCATGTCTTTGCCAATCGTGCTTCGTTCTGAACGTCTCTGTACAGAAAGTGCACTGGAATGTCTTGATAAGTTGCGGAAGCTGGCCTGTTTGCTCAACTCGGTTCGGGGGTGCCCTCCTGCGGCGGCGTCGTCCTCGGCTGTGCGCAAAAGAGGGTAGGGAGCCGAAGGAGCCTCGAGACTGGAGTGAAGAAGCGAATGATATGCCACTTGATTGAGAGATAGAAAAGCTGCTGGCGGACGATTGGTTGCAGAGAGACTTGCCCGACCCATCATCCGAATTGCCAGAAATATATGGACTGTTCCGGCCGGAGCTCGACGTGACGTTAGACGACGCGGTCACGGCCCTGACAATATCCGTCACATCAGCAGGTTCATTTTCGGGTGGCGAATTTGCCCAACGTTGGAGCGGATTCATGTTCTCAAACAACGGTGTGGTTGGTCTCCTCTTGGTTATGTCGATGGCACTGACATATCCTGATCCGACATGAGGAGAGATTGATCGGGTGGGTTGGATCTTGCCCCTGCGGCGAGCATTGGCCAACCAGTTGGTAATCTGAGTCTTGTTGAGGCCGGTCATCTTCTGAAGGCCCTCTTTATCATCTTCTGTTGGATAAGGATGGCGGCTATGAGTAGACACCCAGTTCTTAAGGATCCTCACGGATTCCCGCGAGAACCGCGCACCAATCTTTGGCATGTTCTGGGGTGCAGCCGAATTGGTTGTGTCAGTTTCGGCACCCGGAGGAGGCTCTGATGGGTTGAGAGTTCGGCTCACGACGGCGTCAAACTCGTCCTCGTGGAGGATGGAGGATTCTGGTCGATCGCCCATGGTCGGCCACGGGTTGGCAGGAAACCTGGCTCCCACCTCAGACCCGGCAGTGTTACCCACTGGCACAAAGCTACACTCGCATCGCAAGGCGACACAGCTCGTGCAGTAGCCATTGTATGAACCCTCTCGGATCAATTTGCATTGATAGCCACCAAGGGCGCAGTGGCTGCAAGGAGCCTCCGGAGTCTCCCAGTAGAGCTGAGCTGTGAGAGACTCTGCCATAGGAGCTAATGGCCCATCCATGGCCGCAGGGTTGAAGCCGAGGTCTTCTGGCGTATGGGTGGAATCGAAATGTTGAAGAGCCCAGAAGGACCAGTCATCCCCGTCGACGTCTCCTAGGACCAGGTCCATATTGACGGCACCACTAGTGGTAACTGGCACCATGCCCTCCGATGTCGAAGGGAGGTCTAAACCAGCGTCAGCACCCGCAGCGTCCCAATTAACAAAGTCCATTTCCTCCATATATTCCATGGTCGTCACTTCACATTAAAAGCGTATATGACCCAAGACCGAGTTTCGGGCCGTGCACGACACAACGACGGGCTGCGACGGCTCAGCAAGGATCTGATTGATTGCACCACCAAATGCTGACGAGGGTTTCAATGCAGACGAGTGAATTGGACATCAAGACTAAATCGAGGAGCAAAACGGATGTTTCCTTAATATCTGCCCAGAGAAATCCAGAGGCCGATGTCGAAAGAGTCGTAAAGCCAGGAATAATAGCGGGCAACAATAACTGACCTGCTTTAACCACTTGAAGAAATCTTCGTCCTTAGTCCCGCGCCGTTCGCTGGTGCTGGTGGTAGCACGCAAGGTCTTTCCTGCCAATAACTGAAGTTCGAGGATACGAGCAGGTTCGCCTCGCCCCAAGGAGGCCCCACATTTTGTCATATTGCAAGTGCGCGCCCTTGGGTTGACAAGCAGCCCACCTACAAGGCGTCTTGGCGGAGTTCGCCTTCGGCTTGAACCAGATTGGTAGTCCCGCTGACCATATGAAAGGTGGGGCGCGGGGCGTCTGTACAGCGTTTTCCAAGTACCAATGGGCGAGAGCTACTGCTCTAACGCTGGCTATCATCTCATAGCGACAGATTGTAGCAGTGGGAATGGACCATGTTAAGGGTAAACTGATGCAGAGCGGCACGTCAACGTTTGACCGCTTCGAGGAGACATCTAGATATTCCTTTGGATCAGGCCCGAAGAGCCGACCGGCTTGCGGGTCCTTTGTCACTGGCCAAGTTGAGTTGCTGACACGCAGCAATGAATATTCAAAACTTTATTTGTCGTTATCAGCAAACTGAGCAGATACACTGGATTGAACGTGGTGGAGCCGAGCAAATATCTGCGGAAGAGTCAGACATGCAACCAGTCATTGTCGGTGCTAGCATCGGTGTGCTTCTCAGCAGGCTGTCATACTGGAACGGGAAGTCGTGTGGGAAGAAAAGAAAACAAAAAGCCTTGGGAGACAGACAGACACACAGAGACAAGGAGAGAATTTGAGAAATAAAGGGGTAGGGCAATGGTCAGCTAGGTTTATATTACTAGAGTGTACGATGATAGACCAGTGAGGGAAAGCGGCTGAACCAGCAGTTCGATTCAAAGACCTTTACGTGCTAAAGATAAAAGCATCGTCGGAAATCAGTCCGTGGTCAATAGCCGCAGACCTTGTCTACGATACCGCGTGAGGACGTGTCACCCTTGCTCAGTACAGACCTAAATCCCATGGATCGCGGCCCGCTCGGTCCTCGATAAACCGTGTGTCAACCTTGGCCCCGAAGGATTCCAGCGTTCTAGAACAGGTTCACAAGAGCTTGTACTAAGCGAAGGATTCCTACGGAGTTTCATCACCATGCTCTCTTCTCCTACAGATACGTACGGATGAAGCGAAGAACTTCCACTGCCTCACAGTAGGAAAGAAAACCCCCAGGAGACAGGTCGTGTGTCACGTACAACCCCAACTGCCGACCCTAGACAACGATAGACTAGCCTCGCGTCAAGCGATAAACGCGCTTGGGAAACCCTGCGTGTGCATGGTGTTTGTACCCATTCGTCTTGGTTCGACGGGTTCGTGCGTCGAAGAATTCCGGACTACTACGTAGTACTATAACTAGACTGCATGGCATGGACGGGAAAATCAAGCATTGCGACCGTGGCGCCAAGTACTTTATGCAGGAAGTACTCCTGGGGTGTATAATTCGCGAGGCGATCGGTCTTCGGGTTGAAAATAGAGCCAAAGGCATGAACATTTCATGGTCAAGGTTAGGAGAGGAGATGTGTTATCGTCGTCTCAACGTCGTCCCTTACACAATAACGGGATGAGGTCATGGGTAGCTTCCGCCGAACTTGGCGGGGTTAACTACATTATCAATCCCAATGCTCCTAGTTGTCAACCAACCTCCAGCAGGAACAAGCACCCATGGCAGCGGCGTAGTTGATTCCAAAACATACCCCCAAGTCCATGTACGCCAACTTCACATTCCTCTTCAATTCCTTCCTCATCAGTCCCTTACCAATTCTCTTCACTCTTCAAAGTGGCCGACCAACAAGAGACGACGACGACGACGACTTGAATATACGCACATGCGACGCTCTACCGAGTATCATCGAACGTGATATCTTCATCTAATTAATTACGCGACGCGCGGAACCTCAGGAGAGGAGCTACGCATTATTGATTAACTACACTGCGCTGCACCGCGCGGGCATGAAAAAGACCGATGACATCAGGAGCCCGACTGCCTGTACCCCGTCCGTCTTGCATGGGAGCCGAAATGCGGCTCTTCGCACTTGGCCGAGGTTGCTGAAACGATAGAGAAGCGACAATCGATGAAGCTGCTCTAACGCTGGGAAAATGTTGTGCTCAACTAATTTAGTTTACACCTATCGTGCGATTCGCAATACGCCGAGTGCCTAACACATAAAGATACACGAGGGAGCTACAGCAATTCAGAGACAGTGATCGTGGGATTTGCTTGTCTTTATGTCAGGTAGCAACAGCTGGAAACAGATGTGATTATCACTGTTTATTATGTGGTTGATGTGCAATTTTTTATGCGTGCCTAAGGAAAGGCAGGCCTATGCCAGTTCCCTTCTTCCCAGTATCGCTCTTTTCCTCTCCTGTATTGCGCCATGCTCGATGGTCGAGGGACAGTGTTGAGATACGTCGGTAATATATAATACAGCCGGCCATTCGGTTCGCTCCAGCCTTTGGAACCCCGCCCGCTCGTGGTGAAAATATGTGGTAGTAGCCACGCTTCACGGGGCCAAGACCACCATTGATCATCCCGTTGTCTACCCAGTAGATTTTCGTTCTGACCCAGATCCAAACACCGTCGTCGCCCAGCAGTAAATGAACAATTAGCTTAATTTCAAATGGTATCGTCTCGAAGGAAAAGGTAAAAGCGAGCGCATGTATATCATTACGTGGCCATTAATTCAATCGTCGGTCAAGATGGCGGCGTGGCATTCCGTTCCGATATTCGGCGTAGACAGGGCTGTGCGGTTCTGCGGGCCAGGCTTGAGATAGCAGTTGCCAGGAGCAGTGCCCTTCACGGCCGCTGTGCGATTCGTCCAAAGGGGGATAAAGCTGACACCGGCACACGTCTGGTTGGTGATGGTCTCGTTTGAGAAGTCGCTGGGGATAAAAAAGGTATAGCTGGCGCAGGCATCCATGCAATCGTCGAAGTTCCCGACGAATAGCGACTGCACGGGCGAGTTTGGCGTGTCGCTATTGCACCAGACTTCGAATGTGGGCTTGTTGAAGACTGGATGCCCGTTGTTAGTAGAAGGGTTTGACGCACTTTTGTCCGAGCTGCCTTTACTCACATGAAGATGTGTACTCGGTGCCTGAAACGCCGCTTGAATCTGACGAACAGTTCCTATCCAGGCGGCTGAAATCTGTCACCGAAGTTGATGTTGCTGACGGCGCGGTGCCGGTTGTCGTTGCGCCGCCCGAGGTCAACGAAGCCAACCTCAATTCCGCATTGTTCGCACGACTTGCCTCCAACCCAGTCCCCGCTGCGAGCCCAATGACCGCCGCCGAAAGAATTGCAATGATGATCGATAACACAAGGACCACAACGGAACAACCGCAGACGATTCGTTTCTTCGGATGCCTCCCTGCAGCACTAGGGTCTGCGTTTGCGCCTTGGTAGGCGGATTGCTGGTCATATCCAAGTGTTGAGCCGGGTTGGCCAGCAGGTGCAAAGCCCGGTTGAAACGAGTCTTCTCGTTTTATTGAAGTGGGTGTAGCTGGTGACTGATATCCTGCAAATTCCGGTGCCGCTGGGGGATGGTGGACTTCTGGCAAATACTGGGGGGCCACTTCGGGCGCCTCATCGTACTAAAGAAGCACATCGTGTTAAGTCTTGGATGCCTGGTAATGCCGTTCTGTCACATATCTGACTTACTCTTGGCGCCATCTGGCCGCGGTATCGTTTCCGCGTAGATGCAAAACAGTTGAACGTCACGGAGGATCGCGGCAAGAAACAAGCGAGGGACAACGGGGTTGAAAGAGAGCGAAGATGACGGAAAATGGATTGAGAGTGGAGTTTCGCAGGTTGATCACAGTTGGCCGTAGCTCAGTAACGGCGCCCAAACTGGGGGGCAACAGGATTTACAGTTTCCAGCCATTTACCCGGGTAAAAGGCCCAGGCGATTTCAATCTAGCCCCAACATGCCACAAAGTCAAGAGGTATTAGCGATCGCCCGCCACTGGTGCCTCAGCAGGTGCGAACGACGTTCGGGATTTCCATGAGGCACTACCAAGTGCGATTGTCCCCGGTTTGAATTGCGGTATCCGTCACGATATTCCAAACCCTCAAAAATGATGGGGACTCTATCGGGGACTGAATGCTTCGTGCACAGTCCAATCAAACGACCCCCACGATTCGCATCGAAAGACAGAAAACCCAGTCTGTCATCACTACACCACAGCTGAGATTGCTTTTCTCGAGTTCGCTGCAGAGTCTCCAGCAGAGATGCACCTCAAGGTCAGTTGAGGCTGCAAAATCGCAGCTCATCACGCGCAACGAAATGATTTGCGAGAACTTGACTTCGTGGCCCACATTACCGGTTCGGCCCTAGTACTAAGCGTCTTTGCCATGGCGCCGTCGCTTTGGGAAACTGTGCACCTTGGAGATTGATGGACTTGCTTTGACAGTACTCAGAGAGGTCGGAGAGGGTACCGAGACATGATGGCCAACACCCAAATCGACCCAGCAAATCGACGAGTATCTTGATCGTCTCCTTCGTTTATTCTCACCGGACGCCTGGTCTAGACCCGCGACAAGCATTGGTGCTCGGGAATGTCGTGATGGCGCCACTGCCGGCTGCAAGACGCAGACCCAGCGAATTAGACATATATCTCAATCTTCCCCAAGCAGGCAGCATGGATGATGTGAACCTCGCAAATGGAGTCATTTGTGAGCTGCAGCATGGGCTGGTGTTGTGAGTGGCATGCACTTCTCGCATCTCACGTCAGCTCCGGCATGACTGACCGCCGCTCCGAACTCCAAACAGCTCCAACAAGCCATCAAGTAATCCACCCTAGAATTGTTCGAGTAAAATGCCAAGAACAAATACATACCCAAGGCCCTGTCGGCAGTTCGTTTGGGCACGCCTTCGCTCGGCACAAGGTGACTTCGTAATCCCTACTAGCGTTGGATGTAGCTAGCAAGGGCCCAGGACGTACCTAAATCAAAATTTGCAGTGGAACCCTATCGAATTAAGCAGGGTGTCAACGAAACTGTCACTTAACATTAGTGTTAGAAAACTGTGTAGGAAAATGCCTTTGACAATAACTTCATCACAGTGGCTTGAAGACGAATTCCAAGGCCCCTTCCTAATAGCGCCGCCGTAGCCGATCCTGGTGGAGAGGACACCCAGTTCGTCCCCCCTGATAGTGGCTTTACGCAGTCAACTGTTGTAGGGGGCGATGATGACGCTATTCCTAACTTCCCTAATATCGACGATATTCTCTCTCCTCGTGCCCTAACCGATCGAGCTGCTTCGCGGTCCTCCACCCCCCCCCAACGCCTCTGCCAGCGGGGCAGAGGAAGAGGAAGAAGCTAACATCGCGGGAGGCTCGGCATCAGGGGATGAAGACTACGATTCGAATGACGCCCTCGTTAAGGGTAATCTTCTTACAGACGGTGCTTGAAGTGATCCGGGCTGGGATGCCGGGACTGTCTATCGACCCAGATACTATGAACTGTACCGATTCCCCGGACGAATCCAACACCAACGGCTCATCAACATCAACATCAAGTGCTTCCACTGCGTCTACTCCGACGGGGCGGCGGAAGAGGCAGAGGCAGGATCTGGACATCAACACCACAATATCTGACGAATCGGATGACGATAATGGGGTGCGACAGCTCTACAAGCGTGCAAAGGACCAACAGCGAAAGTTTAATAGGAAGCGGGATCGTAAGAAGCCGCTAACTGACCTTGGTAGCTGTATTGAACGAGCCGCGGAGGCGATTGGTCGCCCTATTGGCGCTGCTGACGTAGAGGACGCGATGAAGCTACTGCAGAGTGACGGCTTCGTGAAGAATCTTGACTGGCGGCTGCGGGTGAAGGCGTACGAGGAGATCGGGACGAACGTTGCGAATAGCGTCCTCTACTGCCAGATTAGCGATCTCCGTGAACGGAGGTTGTGGCTATTGACGTTAATAGGTGCGAAGATTGATGAAGAAGAGGTTGAAGGTGACGGCGTCAAAGTGAAGGGATTGAAGCAGAAGGCACCAATAGGGGTAGGGCCAGCGTAGTGGTGACGGTGTCGATGGAGGTTATTACAAGCCAACTTATAGAGATAATTCTGTTGATTTCCCTCGATTTAGTCTCCAGAATCCGTTGTACTGTCCTCTTTAGCGTCGGATTCATCGTTTTGGATAGCCTCGGGATATCATCTTCATCACCGGGCTTTGCTTGGGAGAAGGGGGGAAAGGGACGGGAAGGAAGAGGGGGCCACCATCTCGATCATGATCGTGTACGGAGATGCGGATCAGAAGATGCCCCTGGAGGCTCGTATGTTAGTTATTCGGGAGTTGATACCGAGGGTGGAGGTGAAAGTCTATGAGAAGCAGGACGTGGTCAGCGTCTGGTGGAATAGGGGTCAGGGGTTAATTGATGGCTGCTTGCTAGTTAGACTATTGTTAGGATTGTAACCGACGCATGCGAATCAGATCAAGGATATGTTGGGGTTTGTTGCGAGTGTTTCGACGTGCGGTGCTGGGGCTGTGCGGTTTGATGTTTGCGTGAGTTCTAGCAAGAAAAAGTAGTCCCGGAAGTCCGACGCCACGCAGGACCGTTGGAGACCGGTATGACGAGATGCAAAGATGGGGTATTAGACGACAGCAGCACTTGACAAAACAGCAGACACGGAGCCTCTAACGTACCCCACGGTCCAATTGAACACTTCTTAAGACCTCGTACAATAAGATATAAGTTAATTTCACTATAACGTAAAAAAATAATTAAAACTACTCGGAACTATCTTCTTCAGATATCTCTTTACTATTCTGACAAGTACGCATATTATGACCGGGCTCTCCGCACGTCCTACAGCGTTGCTGAAGTATCGCTGGCCTCCTCATACGACTACGACTCCAGCGCGATTTATTATCTAACTCTCCGTTAACTAGCTTCCGAGACTGTAAATCTTCTCCAGCTTTTATACGAAGTGATCCACCATACTGTAAACGTTTTTTTTCTCGTATAACGCCGCCGGCTAAGTGTCTCATTTGCCTTTCGAAGCGCGGCGTTCTCACCTTCTAAAAGAGCAAGCCGGTGCATAACCTGCGTCGTACCCTTCGCAAACTGGTCAAGTGTAGTAAGTGTAGCTGTCGGAGAGCTATTTTGATGTCGTATAACTCGGTTTTTCACGTATTCGGTCTGGGATTGTGCCTCAATTGGGTTATTTGGGGTCTTCGACTCCCAGATAATAGGAAGGCCAGACGAGGTACCCGGAGGTGTTGGAGTATGTAACTTCACATCTAACTGCGAAATCACATATTCCGGATCGTACGGTACGAGTCCTGCCCCTCGGAAACCTCCCTGGATATTTTATATCGTAAAAGTTGCCTGGAACGCTTTTAAGAACGCGGAGAGGAAGTCCTCCTTCGAGATATGGGTAATATGTGCCCGCATAAGATCCTCAATTTCTTTACCGTACGCTCTTTTCAGTGCACGAAAACAGCCGATATCGAGAGGTTGGAGCTTATGCGACGAATGAGCAGGCATACAGAGTGTGATAATAGAGTTCTCTTTACAGTAGAGCTCGAAAGCGGTCGAGTGGTGGCTCTCGTGGCCGTCGAGAATTAAGAGGCGATAAACACCTTTCGTACGAAGCTTTGTATGTTGATCGAAATGTCGAATCCAGTCCTCGCCTCTTTCATTTGTAGTCCAGCCATTTTTCGTAACCGCGATAACCCAATCCTTTGGTAGTAGGCTATTTTCGTACCACGAAGATAGGTGAGTTTTACCAGCAAAGATGATATACGGAGGGATAGTATAGCCGTCCGATCCGACGCCCTGGATAACTGTAACCCATTCCCTATTCCCTTGCTGTACTGCTCTAGGTCTTCCACGTCGATCAGAGGTCGTTACAACTATCTCGGATGAGATTTGACCTATAAGAAACCCAGTCTCGTCAAAATTATAGATATTCTCCTCTTGAATTCCATACTTATTAATTGTATTCCGTACGAGATAAAACCACGCGCGGTACGCGTCGGGATCTTCGCAGAGGACTCTCTGGTAGTCGATTCTTCGATTAAAACGCGTCCGGAGGTCTGGTTGTCGTTGTACGAAGCTCGAAGCCCAGTTAATACCGACGCGTCCTGCGTCGCGTTGGTGGAGTAGTCGATTCGCCATATCTTCAACACCACTTATTCGAGGAGGAAATGATCGTGAATCTAGGTCGAATATCTAGCGTACGATCGCGTCTTCTTCGGAATAGGTAAGCTTTTGCGTTGGTGATCGTATATCCTGTCGTGAAGTACCGCCGCGATATCAGTGACGTAAGGTTGTATGAGGGATATTATAGATCCGTGCTACGGATCGTACGCTTAGTTTGGGGTTGTTTTGAAGCGCTAATTGAATATCGCTTTCTTCCCAATTGCGTGCCATTGTAGAAGGTGGAAAATAAGGGATAAAACCTAGGTTGTACGGAAATGCGCGAACGTGTTCAATTGGACCGTGGGGTACGTTACAGTGATTATATTAATCCTACGGTGCCGACATTTTTACAGAATCAGAGTCGTGGAGTCGCGATGACGGGAACGAATCATATACATGTACGTGTGCCTTACAGTTGAACTAGGCATACTCCAGTGCGCGAAGGTGCTACGCTACGTCTATCAGACCTGTACGACCATTCTTTAGCAGGCAGAACATTCATTCTTGGCTATCAGGTGGAGGCACTACAGCCGCCTGGCTACTCGCTTCACCAGGGCGATTGAGGCTGAATGCCGACGTCGAAATGCCGTAACTAGCTTTGTTATTAGTTTTCGTCATCATGGTGGTAGAGAATAGGAAGTCGAAGCCTATCCGATGCTCCTACCGAGCAACTATGCACCCATTGATTCCAATAGGCGGCTAGCTCGGCAGCATTCTAAGATCACTGGCGCCCACCTTTGATTGCCCCAGGCTCTGCTGCTGCGAAGGGCAGAGTGGTACTCAATCGGCCCGCACATATCGATGCAGCGATTCAGTCTACCCATGGGGGGATTTCCGACGTCTCATGCCTAGCGTTCGAGGGTGTGCAGGTCCCAATTGTATATCCAGTAGAGCGGCTTTCTCATTCGAGAGCTCGACATGATCGTAGTCCGCTAGACCGTCATCGCTTTAACTAATGTCCCTTCGGCATCAGGCCCGTCGAACTCATAACGGACTCTCACGAATCGGGAACTCGACTGACATGGACGTTTGTCGGGCTTGCAAGCTCTCCTCCAGACGCGAAGCACTGGGTCCTTGGTCGGAATCCAGTTGCCAGAATGATGCGCAACCAGTTCACCGTCTCTACCGCCGACCCAGGTGAAGAAAACGTACTGATCACGAAAGGCAAATACGACCGAGAACTTCCCCTTCTCTGGGATATGCCGCCACAGCGTCTCGGCAGGACTGCCTTCCTCCCTGGTTGCTGCGGGCCCAAACATGTCGCAAAAACAGGCTATGACGGCGGAGAAAAGGTCGTTGTCTGGCGTGGGCAGAGATGACGATGCCGCGGATGTCTCCGGGTGAGAACTCCACCTGGCGCGGATGAGCTTATTTACAGTCTGTTCATAGTGTGACCATTCCGCGTTAATGGCGACCCAGACCAAAGACAAGTTGGATTTCAGTAGTTCGACGTAGACGCGCGTGTCGGCCGGATCGAGGGCTGTGCTGGGATATTGAGACCCTCGGCCACCAGGTGTTGTTGGAGGCAGACTACCCAGGTCGAGAACGGGAGAGCCGATCATGTTAAAAGTGCGCTTCGACCAGGTAAAGCATATCTTGCGGAGGTATGCCTTAATATCATTTATTTGTCGCATGCGCGGGTCCCGCAGAGGTTGCGTGCGGTTGCGGGCCTCGCTGAAAGAGCGGGACTGATACTCGTAGACGAAGAGGTGATGGGTGTCATTATTGAGGTGAGGAGTGTCGAAGGTGTGCCACCGCTGTGTGAGAAGGTCCCTCACAGCCCCGGCTTCAGAACGGACAGACTTGGCCTTGCCTGTCAACTTAAAGCTATATGTTTGAGGATTGTATACGATGCCTGGCCTCTGTTTCTTGTCCAGTTCAACAAGACCTAGATGGTTGACCATGCCTCTGCGCAAGTACCATATTCTCTTGTATGTTTTCTGAGTTGGTCTTGGCGGGAAGAGGGGATGGGCAGTGCTGTGTGACGACCGCACCGAAATGCGGTGCGGTAAGAGTCTCGGACCCAGAGGCAGATGCATTGCATTCTTGGGACGAAAAGAAAACAGAAGCAGAGCTTTGGGTTCGGCGAAGGTTTCGTCAACTGTGGTTCGTCTGCCAGCGAAGGTCACCTGGTAGGATCGGATGGGAAGGAAGGCATTTGCAAACCGTTGAGGCGTCTGTCGCCTTCAGGCGCGACTTGAACGACCGTTGAATACAGGTATTGAGAGAAGGCTGTGGAGTCGCAGTCGCGACTTTGAAAAGTTGCGGGCCTGTCCATCAGATGGAGCTACTGGACCCGTGAAGCGAACCCCACCTTAAGGGCATTAGGTCCACGCCGTGCCAACCTCAGCCGTGCGTCCAGCGCCAGTGGTCAGCTGAGGCGAGTATTTGAATGCAAAGGTAGGCCATTTTCGCTCCTCGTCTTGTCCAATTTTGGGGCGCATTCTCACCATGGGTGAAGAAGAGATCGAGTTCTGAGTGAATCCCTCTGGACAACAGCCAAGTGAGGGCGGTTTTCCAGCAGACGTACATGACACCGTAGCTGCAACGGCGAACAACTCGACCACAACTGTGAAAGTCGATTAATTGCCATCCAGCTCCAAGAACAGAAACTATGAAACGCGGCAGAGTATTTCACAAACGGCCTCCGTCATTGGCCGTGCCAGATGTTAACTAAGACGCTGCAGAAAGCAAGAGGGCACGGAACGTCTGGGCTCAGCGCCGGTACTGTGAGTATCAGATGATTGCGTTCAATTCAAAATCTCATCTAGCCACAAGGAAGTGGAGGCGGCAGATCAGGTCCCAAAGCGCTGCTTCTTCGACACGGGACAGGACATCAAGCCACGAGAGCCATGTAGATAAAATCCATCCGCTCCTTGGACGCCTGCCTCGGGCAACATCCATGTAAGAGGACGAACAGCAACCTCATATATTATTTGATTACACATTGTCTCAATTAGAGACCAATCTTGGTTCTCGGAGCCTCTGGCATGCTGATACTCTGGATGCCTCCATCTCAAGCTTCTTCTCTGACACAGATGGCCAGCTGTCGGCCTTTGCAGGGCCTGAAACCACTTTAAACCCAGCTTCCCAATATTCAACATTGGGCTCGTTATCCTCCATACTTTCCTCTACAGTCAATTCCTTGGCTCTCTTCGACTTGTCAACCAGTACAATAGCCTCAGGCTCGAGCTTGAGCTCAAGCCGCCTCCGGATCGGAGAATTGTTGAGCAGAGTTATTATTGGAAGCAGCAAAGGGATGCTGCTGCGCTGAGGTTGAAGGGTCCTGATGCCAGGGAGGAAGCAGGCACGTAGGTGGTATGATCGACGTGATGGTTCGCGGAGATGAGTTGATGTTGGTTATTGATCATACTTGTCGTGTTGACACTTCTCATGTCCACAAGCCTCGAGGCAACCCAATCACTTCACCTGCTTGCCGGGTAAGGGCGTCCGCATCGACCCTGCCAAGGTGCAAGCTATCCGTGACTGGAAATGGGAAGACATCAACTCGAAGTCCGCCGTACGTTCATTTTTGGGGCTCTGCAACTACGTACGCGTATTCTGTTACCACGCCAGCGACGTCGGCGAACCTCTGGCCCGGTTACTTAAGAATAACGCCGTCTTCGAAAAAGGTCCTGAGCAGTTGCAAGCCTTCAATACCTTAAAGAAACTCGCGACCGAAGCCCCCGTGCTCGCTTTCTTTAAGCCTGGCCGTCCGATCAAGGTAGATACCGACGCCTCCGGCAAAGCTACAGGAGGAGTGATCTGGCAGCAACAGGAAGATGGAGAATGGAAGCCCATCGGTTACTCGTCTAAGACGATGACGCCGACTCAGCAAACCTACCCTATACAAGACCAAGAACTCCTGGCTGTCGTCAATACTCTAAAGGACTTTGAGCCCGTCCTCTGGGGAACCAAGTTCTTCGTTCAGACAGATCACCAAGCTCTTATCTACTGGTCGACCAAGCGCCTCCTATCCGCTCGCCAAATTCGTTGGTCTTACTATCTCGCCAACTTCGATATCACTTACCGATACCGCCCTGGAAAATAAAATGTCGCCGCCGATGCACTCTCACGCAAGACGATCGACAATCCAACCGTTAAGGCTCGAGAGCTACAGGAACGTACATTTCCACTGATACCTCCCGAGAAGATCCAACACCAGATTGCTGCCACGTACGCCGCAGATAACTGGCCCCAGGGTATGGATCTTGTCGATCTGATCAAGACTGAGAACGAGGCCCAGAACCTAGGCATGAGAGACGGTAAACTGATTGTGCCCGAGACAACCCGAGATGGACAGACCTTCCTGCGTACGGCCCTGATTCGCGAGGCTCACGAACCTAAGATCTTCGCACACGCGGGACAAAACAAGACGATTCAGTTGCTCAAGCAAGATTATTGGTGGCCTCACTTCGCCCGTGAGATCAAGCGCTATCTCAATAACTGCCGAGGTTGTCAACGGAACAAGACCTGCCACGGCAAGACCCCAGGTCTCCTGCATCCTCTACCAGTCCCGAACCTAGTCTGGGAACATGTCGCCGTTGACGGCAAAAACATGCCGAAGGATCCTGAGGGCTACGACTACGTCTGGGCATTCGTATGCCGATTTAGTAAAATACTAGCATCCCTATATGGAAAGAAAGATGACACCGCCGAGACACTGGCTATGAGATACTACCAATATATCTACCGATTCCTAGGAGTACCTCACGTCTGGATTAGCGACAACGCCGGCCCGTTCATCTCTGAATTCATGGAGACGCTCAACAAGCTCGCTGGCACCAAACATCGGCATGGTAGCGCACGTCACCCTTAGAGTCAGGGAAGCATTGAAATCACCAATGCCGAGCTAGACCAGAAGCTTCGCTTTTATGTCGACAAATACCAGACGGATTGGCGAAAGAACCTCCCGGCCCTCGACTTGGCACATAATACGGCATATCACTCATCAATCGGCATGGCACCGTTGCATGTGGCTTTCGGTTGCGAACCTCGCAATCCGCTATCAACCGCCTTACCAGCCGTTAACGTATCGTCAGACCAAGCTCGAAAAGCTTTAGAAACCGTCAAGCAGACTAAGGCTGTACAAGATGTCGCCCGACAGAACGCAGTCGCAGCCCAGGCTCAGCAGGAAGCCCAAGCCAATAAGAAACGTCGTCCGGTAGACTTTACGATTGGCGACTCAGTATACGTCAGCAAAAAGGGCTTCTCAACCGAAGCCCCTACGACCAAGTTGGATTCACAGTACGCGGGACCCTGGACCATTGTCGAAGAAAGGGGACATAGCTTCGTGCTGGATACCCCGACATGGTATAAGGGCAGTAAGCTATTCCACGCTGATCGTCTGAGGAAGGCAGCCACAGATCCGTTGCCCCAGCAAATACCCGAGCCTGAACCCCCGGAAGAGATAAATGGCGAACCCGAGTGGGAAGTCGAGCGTATTCTAGCATCTAGATTGTCTGGTCAACGTCAAGTGTTACAATACCAGGTCTCTTGGAGAGGATGCGATCCTGACGAGACATGGTACCCGGCGTCAAATTTGAAAAATGCAGCTACGGCACTGGATGCGTTCCATAAGCAACACCCCGACGCAGCCGGTCCCCCAGTCCGGTTACAGAACTGGATCAGAAACGCTGCTGATGACAAATTCGCTGAGGATCATGACGACGACAACGTGGCAGAGCATAACGCTCAAGGAATTAGAGAAAAGAAGAGGCATGCTACTAGGCATACCTAACGCGGGATAATAACAGGTAAAGCCGTACGACCGCCGCTGCGCGACGATCGAGGCTTGGAGGGGGGTAGTGTGAAGGTCAACCCTCGCAGACTCACTACAACCAGGTGACGTACAGCTGGAACACCTGCCATGGCAGTGCCAGGTGGGAAGCCAATCATAACCCTTGTAGGAGCCCCGCCAAGCGTGGATGACTTAGTCGCGCTCCCTCAAACCTAAGTTGTCATCTTCTTTCCTTCGCTCCTTAGAGTAGAATCTTGGTCGATAGCACCTAATCGAGGTCTATACCCATGCGATGCAACCCAGGTCGTGACAGGGTTGACGTCAACCAGCCAACCCAACCCACCAATTCCCCAGATTTTGGTTGCCAAGGCATATCAATATGAAGACTTCGTTAGTGACTTGGTTGCCAAATGGTTGCCAAGCTAAGGTCTCACTATTGTAGTAATTTGCACGTCCTAGAGGCCTCTAATAGCCCTGTAGGAATTTTCGCTATCATCTCGGCGGTCCTCTGGCGCTCAAGTCACCGAATTATCCGGAATCCGAAATAAAATTAGATATTTCACGCTCAAAAAAGCGGGACATAACGATACAGCGGTCGAATGGCTTAGCTAACAGCTTGGTTTCGATGGACAGCCCGGTGAGGTTGACGATGACCTCATTTTCGGCTAGTTATGGCAACCACCTTGGCAACCAGTCAACCCAGCCCAATGTGTATGGCTGGTTAATCAACCCAACGGAAGGGCATGGTGAGGTTGGTTGGGCTGACTCGAGGTTTGATTCGGTAGGACGCGGCAAGCTACCGACAAGACGAATATTTCCTCCCCAAAGATGCTGTGGGAAAAGACCGTCTGGACTTAGCCCACCACATCTACGGTCCGCTTCTCAATGGAGCGCTTCATCTAGTCCAGGAACTCTGCCGCCCGCGTGCTTGCCATCGGCACTGACTTGAGCCTAACTGATTAGGACGTGGGACATTGGCTATTCGGTGAAGAGCCGTTTAATCTATTTACTCGCCCTTAGCCGTTTTACTTATAGGGTGGGCTTGTTGTCAAACGCTTTACGACCGTAGACGATGTACCTGAAGAAGCGCGCATTAGTACTCGTAATAAGACAAACCCTCCTTGAGTCAGCTGAAACACTTACTCACACTTACCTAGGCTAATAGAACCGAATGCTCATGTCATGCAAATCCTTTGCGCCGACTTCACCAAAATTTGTGTAACGCCGTGCCCTCTAGTGATCTATAGTCGGGGGCGTTTAGACAAACTATGAACCTTCCGAATTCTAAAGCAGTAAACCAATACAGTTATGGCTAGCAAATCGGCAAAAGTTTATAATTCTGCTCTGAATGTAACCTTTAACCAAACTCTATAGCTTAATTGTATATGAAGGATCAAGGATAACGAGATTGGCCACTACACCGTAATTCCGCTATGTATTCTATACGCACTCTAAACCTGTCTAGGAAGACATACTCCGTTTATATACACTATCGACCGGTGTGTTTGTACAAAGTGTGCTTCATATGAATTATTCAAGTCGAATATTGTATTGTACCATCTCCTCGGAACCCGTTTCCCCGTGTTTAGAAATACTTCACGTATGTAACGCATCTTTGTCGATAACCAAGGTGGCTATCTTCCATGTTTCTACGTTGTGTTCCCCAAGGGAGCACCATGGGAGCCTGTGGACCGAAGTATCATAAACTCTGGTAGTGTCTTCTGGTTCTGAAAGACAGCGAAGAACAGTTTTAATGATGCCACATGTATAGGTCTGCCGTCGAATTTTCCGTTGATGAATATTGGCTTGTTAGTGAGAGATACGGTTCGCGAAAATATTTGTTGAATTACACCAACGGTGGGAGCGACTGGCACTGGGACTTTCTTCTTGGGAGCCTGTAGAACATGGTTGATTGTAGATCCGATTCGTTCTTGTTCGATGTCATTCTAGTTGGAGCATGAGGAGGTATAGTCCTGATGGGGGGCCTCGCTGTTGGTCGAATTGGTAGAGGACGTCGATTCAACAGAGCGTATAAGAGAAACAGACGAGGTTGAAAGCGGGCTGCATAGCGTGACCTTGGTCCGTAGGCGGAACGATCTGAAGTGCCTTTAGATGACAATAGTAAGTGGAAATCGGTATGATAGCTTGTTGTGTCAGCAGCCACAAGCTAAGAAAGACCACATGTCTGGATTCTTTCGTTTTGTGTTCTGTGCTGACGAGAGTTTAGACATATGCAGAGTGCCAACCTGTGCTCCTCTGCCTAATCAGGTTCCCTTCGTCCATCAGAACGCCTTCTCACGCCGCGGTAGCGTTTCCAGCAATCAGAGTGCCAAGAGACGAATGAACCCGCTAGGCTGCTACGACAGTTCCGAATGCGCCCAAGACGCTGTAGATGCACGGCCGGGGCGGTCATCTGGAAAAGCATCACCGGCTTACTCCCGTGACACCAATCGATCGTGTCAGCATTTTGGCACTACCGAAAGCTTCAACCATTTTCCATGAACCTTCTCTAAAACCCCAGCTGGTCATACAACTAGTCCATCATTGTTCGAACGTTTCATCGACTTTCACAACCCATGGGCCGCATCCATATCTAGGAAGTCTTTGCAACGTTTCAGCAGCAACGGGAGTACTCGTTCAAGACAAAGCTCGATTCACCCGCCGGTATGACGGATATAGGGATTGTTTGTGTGCCAATGCTGATGCCAGCACGTTAAGCATGAGCATGCTAAGAGCGTCGGTAGTTGATAAGGCGTGCAAGGTAGGGGAACACTCACCTCAATTAATGTAACGATGCACGCGCCACGCCCTGGGAGGTCACCACGATTTAGCTCAGGATGCTGGCAACCACCCGTAACATGACAGAGAGGCAAGCAGAATGGGAGAGGCTACTGCCGATGCCGCGCTACGTACACCAACCTGGCTGAATGAAACGATGTGCAAAATCGAGGGGCTGGCGGAACTTATATACCTTACCCACACTGGTGTGTTAGATCCCATGATGCACTTTGAGCAGTGCCATATTGTGTCTTGGTCCGACCCTTGATCGGGCCAGTTGACTGAGTGATCCTCACCGGCTAGCAGAAGTGCTAAGTTCAAACGTATTACGTCCTCCGTGGAACACTTCCATTCCGGGTACAGTGTTACCCTAGGACATTATTGTGGCTACTAATTCTCCGATTGCTTGACCTACTTGGACTGGTAAGTACCGAGGTATTTTACACACCGACCGAGGATAGTCACCTACGAGTGCATCCATTAGAACCGTTACTGAGACGTCAAAATAATCTACACTAGAACACCTCGGCATTACATATTTTGAGGCTGGGCCCAGTGTATTGTCAAATGACTGCGTATTGTAGTTACATTAAACAATCATGCCAGTCAGTTCACAGCCGAGCGATTCGTGGAGGTTTGAAGCCGGTGCATATCCGTCGGCATCATTCACGTGCTTCGGGATTAGATGAAGCCTTTCATCTTTTGCTTTCCATAGCGAAGGACCCAAGGGTTGGGCTTCGTGCAAACGTATTCTGCGTTCAATTTCTGATTTGCCGCGGGATATCCTCTTTGATTGACGACGGTCAACGCCACTTGGATTATAAATACAACTTGACGTTGCGACCTGGGCAAAACATGAATTGAAACAGAAACATCACACCAAATGGATGGCTCTGAGTTCGAAACCTTCTCTGGAACCCACTCCACTTTACTCCACCCCTGTCAGCCTTGTTTGGCCCTGCTTCGCTGGCGGTGAGGTAACAGTGGAGTGCGGGGCATTCTGCCAGTTCTGGGAAGGCAGCACGACGTCAGGCAACCATCTGTTGCTGGTGATGGCGGGGCAAGGACGGAGACGGGAAAACTCAATTTCAGAGCCTCAGGTACCATGAAATCGATCTTGATCATAGTGAGACGCCTGTGTTATGACCACGACAGTTCAGAATACAAAACGGGAAAACATTGCGACAGTTTGAAATACCACCGCTCAGTTTACGGATAGTGTGACTTCGATGAGGTGAGCTGCAGGCTGCAAGTTACTCTGTGCCGAACGTTGAAACTAGAAGGCGTTGAGATGGACAAGGGTCCCATCCACCTATCCACAACCAATAATGTCAGCTCCAGAGTCGGAGCTCTCCCACTTGTTGCGCTGTTATTAGCTCCCCAGCTCTCGGCGAATTTTCGATTTGCTTTTCCTCGAGTCATTTCCATCAAATCTTCCACGGTGTCAGGAAAGGGGAGTCAACGCAGCAATTGACTGTATATCTGGCTCTGCAGATAGAAGCAGGCTTCTCTTTTCGAGAGTCTTATCTGCTTTTCTGTAATAAGATTGCTAGGTAATTGCCCCGGATGCCCTCCTGTCAGCGCATTCTGCGGCCCATCGGACTCTTTGGGTTGCGGAACACGACATTGAGCTTGGCGTGATGATGGCGTGATGATTGCTCTCTGGCAAAGTATTTGATCTGGGCGCTGACCATTCCATAGTTGTCGGTTCTGAACATTTCTCTTCTTCTCTTCTCACTGGTGCCGTTAGTCCCGTCCGTTTCCGACAACCGCCAAAATGCACATCAACGAGATGCTCGCAGACGCCGAGAGGACCGGTCAGCCGTCCTTCTCGTTCGAGTACTTCCCGCCTAAGACCGCCCAGGGTGTGCAGAACCTCTACGACCGCATGGAGCGCATGTACGATTTCGGCCCAAAATTCATCGACATTACTTGGGGCGCGGGCGGACGAATCGCCGAGTTGACCTGCGAGATGGTGGTTCAGGCCCAGACATACTTCGGTCTTGAGACCTGTATGCACCTGACGTGCACCGACATGGGGGAGGACAAGGTCAATGATGCGCTTCAGAAGGCATACAAGGCCGGCTGCACCAACATCCTCGCGTTGCGCGGTGATCCGCCCCGAGAGAAGGAGAAGTGGGTCGCCACGGATGGCGGCTTCCAATATGCGAGAGACCTGGTTCAACACATTAGGAAGAAATACGGCAACCACTTTGATATCGGCGTTGCTGGATACCCCGAGGGATGTGACGACAATAAGGACGAGGAACAGCTGCTGGACCACCTCAAGGAGAAGGTTGACATGGGTGCCACCTTTATCGTGACGCAGATGTTTTACGACGTGGAAAACTTTGTGAGGTGGGTGCGCAAAGTGCGAGAGCGGGGCATCACGATACCCATAGTGCCTGGTATCATGCCCATCGCGACATATGCCAGTTTCATGCGTAGGGCGCATCACATGAAATGCAACATTCCCGAGTACTTCATGGCGGCCCTGGAGCCGGTGAAGAATGATGACGCTGCCGTTCGCGAGGTTGGAAAGGCACTTGTTGCTGACATGTGCCGGAAGATCCTGGCGGCTGGCATTGTACACCTGCACTTCTACACCATGAACCTGGCTCAAGCTACGCGAATGGTGCTGGAGGAGCTGGACTGGATGCCGACCACAACTCGACCACGCAAGCACACGCTGCCGTGGAAGCAGTCACTCGGCTTACGGCGACGCGAGGAAGATGTGCGCCCAATATTCTGGCGCAACCGTGGCAAATCTTACGTGATGAGGACTCAGGAGTGGGACGAGTTTCCGAACGGGAGATGGGGAGACTCCCGCTCTCCCGCCTTTGGCGAGCTGGACGCATACGGCATCGGCTTGACGGGCACCAACGAGTCCAACCGGAAGAAATGGGGAGAGCCAAAGTCGATCAAGGACGTTGCACATCTGTTTGTCCGATACTTGGAGCAGGAAATCGACAGCCTGCCTTGGAGTGAATCGCCCATTACGAGTGAAGCCGCTTCTATCAAGCAGGACCTCATCGACCTTAACAGGCGCGGCCTGCTGACCATCAACTCCCAGCCAGCAGTCAACGGCGTCAAATCGACTCACCCGGTTCACGGATGGGGACCACCGAACGGATATGTCTACCAGAAGTCCTACCTTGAGCTGTTGGTCTCGCCAGAGCTTTTCGAAAAGATACTGCCCCGAATTCAGAACCATCCTGACCTATCATACTATGCTGTGACCAAGTCAGGGAGTCTCATATCCAATGTATCAAACGAAGGGCCCAATGCCGTCACATGGGGCGTCTTTCCCGGCAAGGAGATCGTGCAACCCACGATTGTGGAGAGCATCAGCTTCCTAGCTTGGAAGGACGAGGCGTTCAGACTCGGACTAGACTGGGCGCACTGTCACGATGCCAACACCCCGAGCCGAGTTTTAATTGACAAGATGATGTCCGACTGGTACCTTATCAACATTGGTAAGTTTCCACAAATCATTTGAGCATCAGAAGTAATAGTAGCTAACGTAATGCCCTAGTCAATAACAATTTCCACGAGCCTCGAACCATCTTTCAGCTTTTCAACGGACTTGTCGTCGAGGGCCTAGATGACCCCGCGGTCGTCGAGTCTGCCACCGCTCCCGAGCCACAGATCAACGGAGTCCACAAGGAAACTACCGCCTAAGCAAACTAAGCAAACAGTGAACTAGACGGTAACCGGGGTGATTGCATTTACACGTCGAGCATACGACGTCAGCTGATTTGACATGGACATTCCATTTTCATTTTGAACAGCATAGATTTACGGGCGCATAAGGAGTCAACGAGATTTTTCAACAAAAATCAATTGAGGGCATGCGAATGGGGGCTGGACAAATAACCTGGAAAAGGGTTCAGGCTAAAAGGCGCATTAAATCTCAACGATACCCCAGGTGTGTGCGATAGAGGGTTTTTTTTTGGGTGAGGTCCCTTGTCTTACAGGGTACGGAAGGAAGAAGCATCAACTGTATATGGGAGATAGAGAAGTGGGTAAGGATGCGGGAGAGCATCATTTCAACAACATGGAAGAAATTGTCGATGGACGTGGGTTGTGTCGAGGAAAATGGATCAAACGAGGAAAGCGGAAGATAGAGCAGGACGGTATTAAGCGTTCGGCAAGAGTATTAGCCGGCATACTTCTGTAGAATATGGCATAATTAACGACGCCACATGGTGATTGTGGGATGTTGCTTAGCATCTTTGATCGTGGAGATGGTACTTATTGGACCAGTATACGATGGTTGTGAGCAACCACTTGGCCTGACGGCTACTATTGATTTCTGATCAATCCGTACCTTTCCTGAGTCCAGGGTTTCAGTTCATGGAGTGGGATATGACTGGCACGTAAAAAAGTATTCCCACATGCAAACTCAATAGGGAAACCCTTACTCCGAAAACATCGATTTACCTACATGGTTGCAATGCGCATTTGATATCTTGTGGTTGACGTGGTTGACGTCTGCATATCTCAGGATACTGATAAACTCGCATGCTTCGTGACGCTCGATATGTAAGTTGTGTTCAAAGCTCTTGCGTAGTGTCACTGTGCTCCAAGACACAATAGCTAGCTATTGTGCGAGGCTGTGTCAGGAAACATGGGGTTGTTGTAAAAGGTTAAGACTGCATTACCTGGGAAGTTCTAGTTCAATTGGCATATATGAGATGTAATGGGTGCACATAAGTAGGTCGGGGACTTCACTTGATCTCTCGTACAGTAGTGTCTAAACTGGCAGAAGAAAAGCAGTTAGGTAAGTTGGGTTTCTCTAATTGCATCGATGTTCTTCCTTCTACAGGTACTATATCTAGGTAATAGGAGCGAGTGGATGATGATGGTTTCCCCAAAAAGCATACTGTCCTACCAAGACCCACGGAAACTCCGTGTCGATCTATATTCAATGTAACGGACTAATACGTTGTTATGGTATATTTCTTCAAGCAGTTGAGCGTTTACGTGACAGGCACCCCAAAAGGATCAATACGGCCAGCAAATATCGAGAAGTTGCCAGGTCCGTCGGACGAGCTTGGTCCAGGGCGTTTTGAATCATAACGATTGTGTAAGATAGATCTTGGCCCAATTAGGGCCTCGCAAGTGCGATCAACCATGTAACACCAGTTGCAATTCATATCATCGAGAAACCAGAATATTTAGGGAGGATTAAATCCTTCAACTGCGCCAACTCAACCCACGAGGACCGCAACTTTGGGTTCACGAGTCTGAACGAGATGGTTGGAGACATAACCAGCCTTTTCCGCCTCGAGGGCAAGCCCAACCTCTTGAGACCTTGTCGGCAACAATTTCAAGTGAACCCGCGACCAGGCAGAGAAGCATATCTACGAGAGGCGCGACGACGACGATGTCAAAAAAAACATGCCTGAGATCAGTGGCCTCTACCTGGACGGCGAGGGTTGCTATTGCTCTGGGCCCACAATGACTATGGATGCGCATACTAGCCCTACTTTGACTATAATAGATCCAACTACGGATCCTATTACTACCCATCCCACTGTCCCCGCAAGGGTTGGACGAACCCAATCATTCTTCCATAAACTGGTTGGTTGTCCTGATTAGTAAGCAAAATGGCGGTGTGGTTGGACAACCAGTCAACTAATTTGGGTTGGTTGTGGTTGGTTCTTTTAGGGTTGATTATGACCACTAGGAAATGAAACTATCGCTAACCTCGGCGGCGACATCCCCGGGAAACCTTGAAGCGGAGCTGGCTATAGCTTCCTCTGTAGCCTCGTCCGGGTTATGTAGCTAGTTTTTTCTATAGCTGGATCAGCCCTTGGAGCCCTAGGCAGTGTATCTAGGTGGCCTGTTAATCTGACTATATACTAACTTCGTAGTGTCTGGTATATGCCTATGATACCGGTGGATGGAAAATACTCAAAATAGCCACTATGGGCTTAGCAACCCTAAGACAACCCATTCAACCAACCAGACCTTCAGAATGGCTAGCCTTGGCAACACAAATTCGGACAATGGTTGGAGTCGGGTTGTTCGTGCACGACAACCCAACTAACCCGGTTGACCTGGTTCGGTTTATGCGACCCTTGTGTCCCCGGGCCATTAACCTACCCGGAACCAATCCTTGACCTCTATCATCTCGTTTTTGTCACCTCCCTCTTCCTCTCCGACCCTATCGGCACTGTGACCATCCTAGCTACGAACTCCTGGTATCCGTAGCCGAGTTTCACCAGCATGTGAGACTAGTTGCCGCTACTGCTACGAGTGCATATAAGGTATGAATTGTTGTATTGGGCAAGCTTGATTAACTATCTGGTCGGGCGAAGGCCCTCTCTTGGGCTGCCTAGAAAACAGTGCCATTTGGAACTACACTAGTTCTTGTACCCCTGTAAGAACTGGGGAGGGTGATGCAAAGCTTACAATTGAATCCACTCCTGTTAATAAGGGGAATCGATACAGATAGACTGAATGGAGTCTCGATTGGTCCGCCCACGGCAGTCTGATGCCACCCCGAATGCACATGATGACCTGCTGCGCCGGTACAACTTCCTGCATGACCAATTTGCGGAAAAACTACGGACGCTCTAGCAGCACGAGCAATACCATCCAGCCGAAATCGATCATGTTCGGTTGGCCCTCTTTGCATCGTTTATCAGACTCCTGGAATGTCGCCCCTTGCTCTTCGGGACGCAGTACTACCTAGTCGCTAAATTTCGTCATGGGAAAGGCATGCGCCTCTCTGATGCTCTGGTCTATATTGCGTAGAAGCTCGTGCTCGTCGCCAGGCCCGAGCCAGACGAGTACCAAGCTGGCTTTTGAATAGAATCCAGGTATGAGGCGGACCTGCTGGATTCTTTCGCTCGGATCATTCCAATTAGCACAAACGGCGTCGGCCTAGAGAATACGGGTTTCATTGGGGTGTGGGAATTCTTCCAGGGCGCCGAAGAGGCTCGTGGTGATGGACATGGAGATGCCCTGGCACATGACATTATGCACGTCCTTTGAGTCGTGCCCTAAGAGTATGAGATGGCTTCGCACGTGGGAGATCAAGTAGGCGGACGGCACGCCCAGTGATAAGCGAACACGTGCTGCGAGGGGCAAATGCAGTGTGCAGGTGATGGCTTGCAAAGAGCTTTATTGGATCTTGAAGTGATTGGTGCTTGGGGACCTTAAGGTGATAGTCCTGTAGCCGCTGCGGTGTTTGGTCCGGGTTGGATGGGAGACAGGGGAGATGAACCACCAATAGTAACAACAGGCTGAAGCTGTGCAGTCGGAGATGTATCTGCAAAGAAAATACAAGTTGTCGGGGTTTGCAACTATTTTGGGCATAAGTTGCCGGTACGTGGTAATGGCGAATAATCGCCGTGGGTTTCAGGATAAGTGTACTCGAGTATATCAGCTATTCGATCATCTCCATACAACTGACGCGCATGACCGCCAGCGCCAACCGCTGTCACCTTCCGAATATGTCAAGCCCCGTAAAAATCTCGCCAAGACGTATATCTCGACTGACTCATCCCGCGGCCGCAATCAGAAGCACTGAGATTGCCACAGTAAGATACTTGGCCGAAGTCAGACCTACATCAGTTGGGGAAATTGATACAAACGGCGATGCAGCGGCACAGACGTCCAGGCCGCTTTTGACATGATTTGTATGCAAATTGGCTGAGTCACTGTGGGTCCGGCTACAGCGATTTGTTCAAGTTGGCAAATTCGGCCTTCAGCAAGTACCCTCGCATGGCTTGAAGTCAACTACAGCTTTAGACCAGCTGTACGTACTGGGAGCAGTACGATTGTTCCTTTGTGGCACGGCATTGTGGTAATTCCTTAGTCGCGCTACCTCCTTGAACAGGCATGTCGTAGGGAATGGCGTCGCTCGTAGATAATGATTTCGGTTCACTAGACTTATAGCTCGTCTCTGACACTTCTACGGAGGCAATCTACCTTCACCGTAAGCCTAAATCTGGATACTAAAAAAGTCTTCGCTTTTACGCAAAGGGAATTATCTAAAGCAGTGTTGCAGATATCGTTGGATGCGAGTAGTTGTTCAGGTTACAACTACAATTTCGTAGCACAAAAAACTCGCATTTGACGTCTTGAACTACATCCTACGCAGAAATGGATGGCGTGACCTTGACCCACATGTTCTCCTCAATGAAAACACTGTAGCTGCTCGAGTCCCAGGGCTTGGTGGGATCAACAAGTTGAAAGTCAAACTCTCGCAATAGCTACTTGTAGCAAACCAGTCAGCAATCAACCCCCCTCAAGTTCCAGATACATCTGCACTACTCACCTCGAAAAACACCTTGTTCAGCTCCATGAAAGCAACGGGTTTCCCGGCACACATCCATCTCCCATAACCAAAGGCGAGTTCGACATTGCGTTCCATTTCGAGCCTGGTTTCTGCATCGACTTCGAGGAAACGCTCTGGCCAGAAGACGTCGGCGTCGGAACCGAAGAGCTTGGTCGAGCGCTGGAGCGACGCGTTGTTCATGCCGATAGCCGTGCCTCCTGGGATGAACTTGCCGTGGATCACCTCGCCTTCGGCCGGGACCGTCTTAAGGTAAAGACCTGGGGCGGGTGTGCGCATGCGCAGGCCTTCGTAGATGATTGCCTGCATCCTATTGTCAGTCGAGATAACTTAGGGTAGAAGGGGCAGGATAGTCGGCTGAGCGGGAGACTGACCTGGAGATAGGGGATCTTCCCAGCTTCTTCATACCTAATCGGGTGAGAGATGTTGCCGTCACGAATTGCCTGCATGATGACATCCTTTATCTTCCGGTAGACCTGTGGTTGTGTCATGACGTACAACATGGTCACGCGAATAGCAGATGCGGTTGTGTCGGACCCTGCAATAATCATAAACAGCCCCTCGGCTTCGCATTCCGTCCGAGTGAGGCCATGACGAATGAACGAGCCCTGTATCACGATAATTAGACAAGATCGGCACATGATGTCATGGATACAAACCATCATATCTCGTTCCCCTTTGGATTCCTCGGTGAAGCGCTTCGCCACCGCTTGTTTGGCCACCCTAGAATATGATGTTTAGTATACTTCCGTGTGCCCGACGCCGGCAAGCCAGGTTGGACATACCGCATAAGTCTGCCCATCCCTTTCTCGTCCGTCTCCTTCGGCCCGAAGTACTTGAGAAACAACGGGGAGTAGAAGAAGTTCCTTATCCACGGCACATCGACCGTAATAGACAGAAATGGCCAATTATTCTTGACGCCCTCAAGGAAATCATACACGTCCGACTCGGACTTGAGGTATCCGAACTCCTCGCCAAACGCAACTTTGGTGATGACATCCATAGTGAAGTAGCAGCTGAGTGTTGAAAGTTCGAGATGCTTCGCCGCGGGATTACCGGGCGAAAACAGATACTTGTTCCGAATGACATTCAACAGCGTCAGAACCTGGGCATCTACAGCCGGCTCTAACGCGGGGATCTCCGTCTCGCGCCCGCTGTACGCGCTCGCCGTCCTAGACTTGAACTTGTCGTGGGCGTTATTGTCGATCAGAGTAAACAGATTGTCCTGGTAGGGGTTCCATCGCGCGGCCAGGTACCAGGGATCTTTGCCGTAAGGGCTGCGAACGGCGTTTATCATGCGGATCACTTCCGGGTCGTCGGTAGACAGCTCATTGGGCCCGACTCGGACTAGGGGTCCGTACTTCTTGCCTAGGTCCCGATTGATTTGGTATTGTCTACCACCGACGGCAGTGCGTGCGAGCCAGAGGTATGAGAATTTGGCTAGAAATGGGCCAGGGACAGAGCGAAGGCGGTGCCAGGCGGTTACGGCTGAGATGATGTACCACGCAGTGAAGAGGCTTGCGCCTAACAAGCAAAGGTTGAGAACCCCTATGTCTGTGATGGACGGGAGCATCTTCACATTCGGTATAATTTGATGGCTTGCAGTTATGTTCAGAAATGTAGGATTACTGGGACAGCTTCAAATGGTGTTCTGTGGCGCTGCAGCCGGGGTAATTACAGACGATACTACCTCTGCCAATCTTTACCGCATCAAGCCCGACCCGGACGGGGATGTCGCTTCGTGCTATGTAATGCAACGGTTTCATATTATCCAATGGGAACGTCTGGGTTGAAATTCACAAGGCGAGACAATATCGAACGTTGCATATTGTCCCACTGCCGCAGGCCCAACGGGAAATGATTGGCGCCAAGGTCTAGACCATATGGCCAGAGTATAAAAGCGACTACTGTTAGGTCCCACAGAAACTAAAGCATCTTTCGTCTAACGATGAGGAGTCTGAGGATAGCATTCCATCGTCCATAGTAAACAATCTTGAGTGCTAGGTGTGCACTCGAATCATGTTACGTCCCAATCTACCCGGCGAGATGAGCGGAATACCAACTTCGAGCCTCATGAATCTTTTTGTTCGGCAGGCCAGCTGCTCCTATGTGACATTCATGGGTCATGGGCTCCTATCAGGACAGAACAGACAAAGTTGGCCTCGACGTCATATCGGTACCAGCGGCTTGTCGATGACAGCAATATTTTCCTAGTTCAAATTCTCCCTGGGACAGAAGATGAAGCTGTCAAAATTTGTCTGCAGGGACAGACTATGCCCTCTCAATTACCTTGAAAGCCCGCTTGGCTTAGTGATCCATAGATTGGCTGGTGCATCTAACCTCAGCTAAAGTCTGGATCAGCGACGAACACAGTCGGTTCCAATCCAGCGGTGGTTGTGGAGGACACGCATGCCCACTGCAAAAGTGCCGGGGCAAAGGTTTAGGTTTGTCCTACTAAAATCCACAGCCCACTGATCTCAACCTCCGGGTTGATCCAGAAAGCTTATAGTGTCAGGGAGAAATAATAATAAGGAGGATATAAATTCACAGTACAGGGTCACACTTGTATGTAGGACTGCGTAATTTCCCCGCTATGCTTCGGATCTTTAGACTACTATCGTCATAAGCCGTAGGCTTGCATAGGACAGTATCACAAACGAGATCAACAAAGTTAGTTACCTTGAAATATTCAAATGACACACTTCTCGTGTTTTGCGAGGAGCGCTTTATTGCGATTCCACGCAACCTCGACCAGCATCTCCGCCTTGGCAGCCGTGGCGGCCTTTACCATTGGCGGAATTCTGAACAAACCACCTGCTGGGTCGGTGCTTCATTTCGCCGTCATTTTCACGATTGCCGGTTGCACGTATATTCATTTCAACTGCCATAATGTGTTCTTTTTTCAGACCTCGATCGTTGGTACTCTCATTACAAGATTTCTTATTCGTTTTTGAGGATCTTCCAAGAGGACACAACGTTCTACAACCGACAAAAAGTATGGTAGAGCTTGGACAACTTTCTATTCAAATGTCACATTAAATAGAAATTTACCCAGAACTGAAATCAGAAGATTCTATGAATACAGAATTATGTTCCTGATCTTTTTATAGTAATACAGGACTCATATAGGGCAAGAATTGGTGTGTTCTCGGACTTGAAGAGATTGACTGGGACAAGCTGTGCATCACGCTACTACACGTACTTCATTTGTATCTTCTTGCTTCGCCACTTGGTTATGGACATAGCCAAGCTATCTCAAAATATAGAATCAGTCTCCCGCACGGCAAAGGAAGATTAGCTCTAAATATTGAATGAGATCGGTTTTGAGATCGGTTAGGAGCTCAGCAAGCCTCTTCCTCAAGTCGGAGATGCGGTCTCTATTCACAAGTACGATCTTACGACTAAAAAGACCCAGAGAAGCACTCCATTGAACGTAACAACAGATCCTTGGATAATAATACCACCTTGACGGTCTCTGTCGTCCAGCTCCAGGTAATACTCGTCTTTTTTAAAGTTATTATGAATGTAGGCGCTGATCTTATCCTTGTTGAAGACCTGCATACACAGGTTTCGCACGCAGTCGTTGCCGAATGCTTGCTCGAATTCGGTCCAGGTTTACTTTGATATGCAGATATTCACACCAATCAGTCCTTTGTGGTGTCTCATTAACTGGATCATATTAGTGAGTTTACCGCGAGATGCATCCAACCGGTCAACGAAGAAGCAAACTGCGTTTTGGAATCTACCAATAACGACGAGATGACTTCTAGAGTATTGATAAACCTTGGAACTGATAGTGAAATATTCTTGGTTGAGTCTGCAGGCGTAGAAGGGGCCTTTGCCACACCCTCCTCATATTCGGGGGGATAGACCTGAGGGGTCATATCTGGATGCTGCCGGGAAATCTGGTGTGCTAGAGAACGTAGAAGGCCCTCCTGCATTTTCTTGAGTACTCTAACCCCGGCGTTCTAAAAGGATAGCTCGCATAGAAGAGACATTTAGGCCTTGCCCAGCTATTGAGTTTCTTTATGACAAGGGAATTGGCTATAGACAACTTATCAGCGGGAACTTAGGAGATCCGGGTTTGCCCAAGATGCAGGATTCCAGCTAGTCGTCGAAGATCGTAGGGCTGGTAGGGCTGCGGTGCCTGCCCTTGCCGAAGAGCTATATGAACATCTGTTCGCGTGCTGCACAACTAGTGTTATAACGTGGGTTGATTTCCTCGAATAATAATCGTTCGAGTATCATTTGCTCCACAGCATATTGCCAACCCTTTGCCACTGTATTCCCCAAACCAGACGTGGCGTTATCTCTTCATCTGTTACAGTTAATATGTTCCATAATGCTAGCAACCCCGGGTTTGAACTGCCTTTTTACAGGCGGCCAACTTATCCAATCCTCATAAGATTTTGCTTGAGTTGTTCTCCTCTAAACGCGCTTGCATGTTGGTTCTAACCCTGTATAGGCACTTTAGTAAGGCCTCGAACTTGCCTTTGCTCCACTCCACAAAGAGCCGCTTAGTCAAGCCTAATCATTTTTCAGCTATATGTCATCACTGAGGGTACTTCCAAGTACTAGTAATCTGCACAAAACTGCTAGTACCTCCCCAACAATAAATGCATGTACCTTAATTCGCTAAACCCTATATGTCAGGTGGGAAGTGCAGCCAGTTTTCGAGTGCTATAGGGTTTGTACTTGATCGCGGACTTATTAATCTATATAATGAGTATAACTGAGAAAGGGTATTCATCCCCGTTATCCTCTTCAAATTCTAGCACTAACTGTGGCTGCGAAGCCGACTCTGGCCTTTGTAGTGTCGGTCAAAAATGACAGATATACGTCCTTGATCCACTGCTAACGCAGGAGGTCAAACTCCTGTTTTTAGGCTTGACGAGTAGAAGTTTCCAACTCGTCCAAGATATTCATCTGCAGTCTTTTTTCCAACTTCTCTGGTGCATCAAGCAGCATCTGTGCCACTTCCTGGCACAGCGCACCCAAGGCGAGAATGGACCCCTATTCCTGACTTAGCTTGGCGCCTCCAAAAGGATCGTCCTGGGCCACGTTCACAACCAGATTATGGAGTTCCCGTGTTTGTGTACTGATCCCAAGGTGTTCTTCTTTGGCGTCCAGATGCGAGATTTCGCGGCTGCACGATTTGAGACTCTTTGCAGTATTGGACCAGTCTGCCTGTGATCATCGGCACAGCCGCAGATACTGCAATGCAAATGTGCCCGATGACTACTACGGAGTGCGATACTTGATTTGATACGAAACCTACTAGTTGACTAACCTGTTCGTAGAGTGGCATCGAAGTGCAAAACCCTCAGAATCTACATCACATACCTAAGAACCCTGAATGGGGCCAATATATAGTAATCAAACCCTCTAAATATCATAGCCTACATAATATACATTCTAGAGCATAAATGATTATACCAAAAGTGGCAGTTTGCCTTCTGGTAACACTGGATCAAACACGAAACATTAAAATGGTGTCTTTGTGACATTTGATATGACCAGGAACGATTATCCTCTTATTTCATTTATCACGCATTTTGAAAGTTACTAAGTTCCTCACTATGCCTCTATTCTGTTCAACATTGTCGAATAAGTCCTCTTCCCCTGCGCTTCACACCACACATCCTGGAGTGCGTGGTATGCTCCAATTCATCATCATCCTCTCTCCCGCATTTGCATCTGTACGTCCCCTCTCCCTCTGTGCAGACACAAGAACGCAAATGTCTGAAACGGTTATCCTTCCGTAACGCTGATTTCCCACAGCGACATCGGTAGGACCTGTTCGCAAAAGCTGGTGAGTCCTTTGGCACATGCCTGCTTGAAGTTTCCAAGTGACGGAGCAACGAGCGCTGGTCTGAAAAACCTCCGCATGCTGGAGTCTCACAGGTAAAGACTGCCGCTGTGTTTCTCGGACTCGTGCTGGCTGTTGTGGGTGTTCGTCAGTGATTCGCGCAAGATGGCTTTCAAGGTCAAACAGGAGAGCTTACTCGCGGCGGCCAGCATCGGGGGATTTCTTGGGGCCATGCCGGCATGCGAAGAATTTAGGAGTATGGGAGACGGTGTTTTCGTCAAATGGCCTGCAACCAGCAACTCTCGGATAACCAGCTGTCTCTGGGCAAAAAGATTGGCCAGATATTTTGCTAGTTTATCTTGCGATAGAAAATTTGATCTGAATATTCCAAAGGGATGTAGTGAAGGAGTGACTGCTTGGGTACTGCCAAAGGCACAGAAGTTGACTAGGTGGGAGACATGACTGTGATTAAAGGCATGTGATCATAGTGATAGAGGTGTCATATCAACTGACATGAGCAAATTCATGTTCATCTTCCCAGGGGATCTTTTTTTCGTGCATGCAACGATTGAGAAACCAAAAATCCCGCTGCGGTCAAAAACGTTGGGGGACAACTCCAGGAGCTATACAATCCAGACGGTCGTAACCAAGGAGTGGGGTAGTGAACATTGCAAACAACCAATTGGATTGGTGACTGCCATAGGTTCATTTCTGCTCGTGAGGCCAATTGTTTTGGTATATGTTGACGAGGGATGAAAGACGAGGCCAATTTTGTGGCAAAGGAAATGAGACGCTAATGCATAAATCCAAGCACGTTGACAGGGCTTTGTTATCTGCCTCGCCAGGCAAATGAATGATGGCTGTCACATTGTCCAAGAACCCCGCTATTCTAGAAGAATATTCTAGAGGGTCGGCATGGAAGCATGGCTGATGACAAAGGGGCACTATCTATTCCATGGACACATCAAGATTCACTAGGGACTACGTGAGGTCTCATCCGGACTACCAGTATCTCATTGCATCTATTCCAACTTTGTGATAATTCGCACTTCATAGTGATTATCACTTCTTTAGCCCGTCAGTAACTGAACCCCATATTCAGGATCCTCGATATCGTAGTTGTCATCCTCATTATCGCCCAGGACAAACCTTTTAGCCCTGATGTCAGAGTAGCTAATCTTTCATGGGTGGTTCAGTACAAACTTTTTAAGAGGTGTTATCTATTTGAGATACAACAATGCTACATATCTTGCCCGGGTAGCGCAGTTGACCGAGGTAAATGAACGGAGAAGCCACGTCCTCACAGAGAAATGTGATGCTCCCCTGGGTACCAAAACCTTGATTCATCACCCACTGGTGAGGATCGGTGTAGATAAACCGCCGTTGATCGCAAAGTAGTTGTAGAAGGTATGCTCATTCAAGTATGTCAAGACTCGACGCTGTCCACTTTGGTTTGCTGCAGGAAGATCTCGTAGGTTTTTAGGCTGGGAAACTGGCCAAGGACCCAAGTTATCTCCTTGCCGAGTGTTACCCTTGCACTCAAAAGTACCCTAAGTATGTGCTTGACGTAGGCCTCAGTGGAGTTATAGATAGAATCTCTGAAAAAGAAAGTGTTGCAGTTGTCGTTCTCGTTTTTGTTATTGTTTGACTTGTCCACCCAGTGATTGTCTGTTCACAGAAGATGGGGCGGGACTCTTTGTATTGTTGTCTGCAGGTAAGCAGAACACACGGTTACGTCAACGCCGTAAAGGCGTCCGACTGGCCTTTCCGTACAGGACGGGTCTTGTCCTTGCGGCACTCGGGGACGACGTCAACCCTGGAGCCAGCAAGCGCAAGGTGGTACACTCCGAGTCGGATATCACTGGGGCTTGTCAGGAACGTGGGTGCAGGGCTTTTGGTGTATGCTACGCCGATCGGCATCTTTTGGGACTTGAGAGAAGATAAGTGGTGGACTTCGTTCAGCAGCGGCGAGCATGATGGGTTCGTTGACAGAATGAGGCTTTTGTATGCCGTCCGACAGTACCTTCACAACTCCCGTGACAACTCAACATCTGCGAGTCATCTCTTACCATGCGACGTGGGTATAAAACTCGGGCTAAATGTAAGGTTTTAAGAGGCCAATTATATTTTTATCCACCACTGCTCACAACTGTTTTCCCTGCTGCAGCAGCTACGTCTTCTACACTGGCAATAGAACAATAGAACAAAAGAAAACCAAGAAAACTGTGGACAATCAGGAAGCTATCATAGGTTGTCTATCAGCTCTACCCATCTAGGTAGTTACGCTACTTGTCACGTGCATAGGCCGAATACTGTGCCATTTCTGCCCACAAAAACCTCACTTCTACCGGTATTATTTTATATACTCATTGCCAGATATACCATTCCATGTTGGTGAAATATACTCGGAACTTATACCTATCGAAACGAGTGATTTATCAACAGCTCTATTCTTCGTTTTCCAGCCCATAATTGGCGAGCCTATCCACGAGATTACTTACTATCTAGCTCAATGGTATCCCAGAGTGCAGCTCGCAAGAGTTGTCCCTTCAGGAAATAGGGCTCTTCCAGTGGTTGTAGGTTCAATATTCTCCAACGGTCGAGGTAATCGTGGGTAAATTTCACAAACATGTTGCGGTAAGTGCATAAACACATGATTTCGTTCTGAGCTGGAATGAAAACTCAATGAATGTCTCCGTTGATATGCTCGCCCGCTGTGAAACTGACCACCTGGGTGCCCGAGGTAAGAGCAACACCTACGAAAGATGAACTTCTTGTACGGTTAAGTACTGATCTGTGTCAGGAAACCTCATCTGCGACCCGTTATTGGTTCCTGGAGCTATACCCAAACGCACGCCGTTGCCTTGCCGTGGGTCTAACAGAACAAAAGTCATACTTGTATTTCAGTAAATCTTCCTCACATAACTCGATGTGCAAGACAGGAGCTGTGGGTATGCCGCATACCGCGAGCAGTACCTCACCTTCCCATCTTCAGGCCAGAAAGGGACATTATCAATAAACTCCGCTTTTCACAGTGAGTTCAGCCTCTTTTCTCTAGCATACCACCATGCTTACCATAAAAAACCTTGCTTCGGTTCAATGAGCAGCTGTTGCAGAAAAGGTGTGAATTCATGTAGAAGAGTGCAGATTGAAGATGACTTGTATTCTCTCTTGAAGGGAAGTCCTCACATGCTCCTATTTATAGTTAAGCGAGAATTATAGCCCTAGAATAGACTTTCCTGTCTTGTTGGTAGCGATACCTTCGGTACCATGACCAGTGAAAGCTTATAGCTTTAGATTACGTAGTTTCCTTCTCATGCAACAGCAGCCCAGCACGCCGGTTGTCATTACCCTTCCCGATCTACAGTACGAACAGGAGTTCGAGGATATTGGAAAGATTGGGCATGAGGAGCCCGTGAAGATGATGAGATTGCAGCCCTTTGATAGGGGGCTGAAGTTTGCTGAGACGGGGTGGAGTGGACATAGGAAGCCGCAGTTTGGAGTGAGCTATCGGCATCTCCAGTGGGTTCTGATGGGAAATTTGGAGTTAAGACTCGGGCTACAAATGTGACATTGTCTTTGAAGATGACTGAGCCTTTTGGGGATGTTGGTACTGTCAACCATGACTGAGCAGTGGACAGGGGGGTTTACGAACAGCAGTTCTCTGTTCGTTTCTATGGTTAGTAACAAACACCATGGTGACGAACTCATCACTATGATTAAAGCGGCCATCCGCAAATTATTTGTGCGAATTGATAGTTGCCTGTTGATGCTGATAGAAACAAATTGGGCTGGGCTACCAGCATGGGAGCAATGGTCCGAATCTCCTGTTTCCAGGTTTCATTGCGATGTCGTCGCTCAGTTTCTGCCATCATGATTTTAAACGATCGGAAGTTAGGCAATATAAATTAGCCCAAGGTGAAACGACGGTAGAAACGGAGTATTTCACAAAGAATTCGGTCCGATCCAAGAGGAAACGGTGATATATGAAGATGTGAGTTCCATCCGTCAATCAGGTTCGATACTAGTCTGCCTATAAATTATGTTGTGAGGCTAAAATTGACTAAAACACTTACTAAAGATCACTAAGGTCGCTATTCTTCTGCTATCGGACCAGGAACCCGAAGAAGATCGACAGAAGTTCCCAGATCGTGCCGAGTTTGAGTTCCACGACGAGGGACGCATCCAATTCTCCATAGGCCGAGGCTTCCATAGATTTGGGAGGATTGAGCTAGTTCTCGTCTGGAGCGAGCCTTGATAGCTCCCTATTTACGCTAGTAGCTTTCTAGATGTTTGAAGTTTCCCTAGGTCTTATATGGCGTCCATGGCTTTACTATTGCCAGCACCGGACCTCGCGGCCATGAACCATGGCCTTAAGAATCCCAGTTAATGAAACCATACGTGTAGAGCCACATGTAGCTGCGGGCGTCCCTTGGGGTAACTAGTTTGCCATGATCAACCCCGCCCCTTCGCATCAACCCCCTTTTAAGTAGCCGCTGCCGCTGTCAAATGGAGTGAGGGTCAAATCAATTTTGAAAATGCTCGGTCGTCAGCGACTCTCCAAACCGACGAATCTCTGAACTACTCAGTTTTAGTCAATTGCAACATTATGAAGGCTACTCGTTTCTTGGTATCCCTAGTCTTTTTCAGTCCATTGATCACCGCGTTCTCCAATGCCGGGCTTTTTTCACAATTGCCAAGATGTGCTGTAAGTGTTTTCTGAGTTCTCTTTGAGACTAGATTGCTATGTTATACGGACACTGACAAGTCCAGGCCGCGTGCTTCGTGCAATCGATTCCTCAGTCGCCCTGTGGGTACACCAATGCGACTTGTTTATGTAATGACCCTATCTTGGCCGATATCATGAAGCCATGCATGTTGTCAAACTGCACAGTCAAGGAATCCTTAAGTGAGGCCTTCGTCTCCAAAACAACTTGCTATCTGAGTACCTGACTGACTGGTGAAAAGCTACCAAAAATCTATCGACCATAGCCTGCGGGTCTCCTGTCACAAAACCCGTTGGCAACGTAATACAGGACATTGCACTCATATTTGTAGTTGCTACCATATTTTTTACGGCTCGCATGGCTGCAAAGATCAGCCGGTACACAAATTGGGGTCTGGACGATTTTACCATCGTACTCTCATATGTAAGTACTGGCGTTAGTAAGGATTGTACGTCCATTTGGACACGCATTAATCTGTTGAAGATCTTCTTCATTCCGTTCATACCTTTATCGGTGATCTGTGAGTAATTCTGATAATCCGCATGCCCTGCTTGAATCTGATTATTCCTACAGTGTTACATAACGGGCAAGGGATGGACATTTGGGTCCTTTCTCACGATAAAGTTGCCAATATCATCAAGGTAGTCAGACCTGCAATGGCTCAACGTCTATCCGATATATGCTGACAACAACTAGTGCTTTGTAACTATGACCATCCTTTACAATCTGGATCTAACACTAATCAAAGGATCCATCCTCTTTTTCTACCTGCGTGTCTTCTCCGATAAACACGTTCGTCAGATCCTCTGGGCCACCCAAGCATTTAATTTGATGTTCGGAATTTTGTCATTGATTCTCGCGGTCCTTAAATTTCAACCTGCCATCCGTTTGTGGGATAGGTGGGATAAAGAGACACCAAGAACTTCTGCCGAATACATGCCATTCCTCAAGGCGCAAACGATAATTCACATTGTGATGGATGCGCTTATGATCATCATACCAGCGACGCAACTTTACAATCTCAATATGCCACCAAGACAGAAGATTGGCATCTTAATCATGTTTGGTCTCGGCATCTTGTAAGTCATCGCCTGCGATCCTTCTCAGATATCTTCATACTATAGTATTAAACATCTGGTCTTCATACTATAGTATTAAACATCTGGCAGCCTCACGATTTTAAGCGGGATACGCATTAAAATCGTGTCCCTCTACAACGAACCCGATAATTTTACTGGCAAGTCAAATATAACATTTAAGACCTACTACGTTGCTAATAACCTGCACAGCGGTCTCGCCGTGGTCGATGATGTGGCCACAACTTGAATTGGGTACTGGCATCGTTATTGCTTGCTTGCCCAGCGCTCGACAACTTTGCAGCCGGCTGCTGCCAAAGGTTTCTCATTTCTACCACCAAATATCGATATGTTCCCGTCGGCAGCAAGACGCGTACCCTGAAATTTCGACGCACTATGAGACGCGAAGTTCAAAGGATGCTACAGAAATGACCATATCGCGGCCGATCGAGGACAAGCCCTATGTTCAGGGTACAGTTGATGGCACCGCGATTGAATCGAGGCGTTATACCCAAGTTTCCCCCTCGAATGATTCTCTGATGACGGACACGAAACATGAAGAATAGCAAACGGCGATGGTCGGGCGTTATTGGTTTGGTGGGACTGTGATATTGAAGGTTGGGTTTGACAGCACTCATGTACATAAACTTGGTAAACCCTGTTGCTGAAGACCAGGCGCATACCAACTACTTCATTTCAATTTCGTCAGAGATGCCTAGAGTCCACGACGATGTTATAGTCGCCAGAACAATTAGATATTAGAAGCAAGAATGTTTCCCCTTCAAAATAATGACAATGATATCGCTCCTAGCGTTAAGAGGCCCCCTTATAATTTCCGATGGCCCTGATATAACTTTCCCCAATGCCGAGGTAACACGACCAAGAAGACACGAAAGAAAAGACCAGTTGAATATATTCGCCAATTCCAAGCAACAGTAGCGCGATATCAATTACTGCAACAGTTCTATGTCGCTACCGTGTCCAGGATATTTGCGGCCCCCTATTGATCTTTGCAGTGAGGCTTACAGAACTAAGTAAAGTAGCAATAATATCAATTTTACATTTTACATCGGGATTAATGGAGTTGAGATCACCTAAGGGCGCACATGATCTTCATTGGGGAGCCCCTCTGAGAAAGGTATCCGCCTACCCGTAAGCCGATGGGCAAAGAGATAAAACCTGGCAAATAAGTTGGCATCCCAGTATGCCAGAGAAAGTACTGTCTGCAAAGGTATTTCTAGATCGAAACTTGGGGAAGATAAACCTTAAGTTCGGATGTCGGAACTATCCCGTAGATAAAGTCTAGGTTAGTAGAAAACAACTCAATCAGTGAATAGAGACTTGACAAATTCCAATATGCTTTATTAACAGTAGCCAGCCAGTAACTCGGCAAGATGAAAAAAGTATATGCGAACCACAAGAATCAACCATATTCCTAATAGACCCCTCCCAATACTGATCCTCGCCTCCAGCTGACCAACTCCACCATCCAAAACCACCCCAACAACACCGGCCCCAACGCTAGTAAAACCCACCAAACCTCAACCGTCATCCTGGCCCGAAGCCATCTAGTCCACCTCTCCCTCCCGCGCCGCTTGTGACTACACACACTCGTCCCATACACCAGACAGCCCAGTCCCTGGCGACTCTCGCACTCGAGGTGCTCACGACGGCGACGCATCAGTAGCGGCACGCTCCCGCGACAGAACTTCAGGTCACTGCCGAGGTCGCAGCGGCGGTCGTTGGGACACTCGAGGTGCAAGAGACGCCGCTCCATTAGCCAGTCTACTTTCAGCTTGACGCCTGTGTCGACTAGGTGGAAGAAGTGACGGCTGGTGTGTTTGAGGGAGAGAGCGTCGGGGTAGATTAAGTGGCTGCTGATAAGGAGGTGGAGCTCCGGGGGAAGGGACAGGAGGGTAAGTGTTGGTGGTGATGTCGATGCAGCGTGTTCGGAGCAGACGACGTCGTGGGTTGACGGGTTGTCGTCCGCGGGGTGATCCATTTTGGTGGCGGGACAACTGTTGGGACCAGGTCAAGACGTAGAAGTGTGGCGGACCACGTCAAATTCAATGGTAATGTCGAAAAACAATCTGAGACGCGGCCAAAGATAGAGATCAACCGATTGATCAATATTAGATGGCTGTCTTATCGCCCAGCATCGTGTTTCAGAGAGGCTGTTGGTCGGTCTGCGGGGCGGAACAGTGTTGCCTGGTTGCTCGTGCACATTTGATTGCTAAATTGGCCAGCGAAGCCGCCACGATGAATGCGGGTTCCAGGCACCGAGATAACAAGATGGAAAACTGTCCTCAAGTATACAGACTACAATCATGGACGAAAATATCATGGAGGGATTGTTACCTTGGATAGCCAGAGGTAGGTAGAGTATTAGTACTTCGCAGCAAACAATGATTCTATTTGCGGCGCTGGACGTGGTGCCCACATCCATCGTGAGCTGTCCTTCGTATCAAGGGAGAAAAACGCCCAAAACACGGTCAACTAGAGGAATTGAATTTTCGGGACTAAGTAACTGAGTCCCCGAATCTTCAACTAAAGTCGTCCAACACCTAAGCATTTGAAAATTCAAATATTGGAAGTTGCATCCCGATTCAAGCCACGTAATGGCGCTACAGTGGCTGTGCAATTCCAGCGCGCCAACCTTCCTTCTTGTGAACAAGTTGATAGTGTACCGCCTTTGCGACCGAGACTTGGACTGAGTCACCGTCGTCATGACATGACCTCGCGGCTGAAGGACGTCTCGACCAGCCCAAGCTGTCCCCGTCATAGATGCAGTCGCATTTCATTTCCAGACTAATTATTTCCCCGGCGGGATGCACAGCCTTGCGGTAGCGCATCCAGATGGCGGACAACCGGCCAGAGAGTGATTACGGCTCGGATTTCGATGCTGAAGAAGAGGACATCCTTGATCAACTCCTGCAAAGCTTGACGACAGGTATCGCTCTGCAATCAGCCATCAGTGGGTCAAATTCTACTCTGCAGCCCGACCTCCTTGCCGCATCGTCACTCCCGTTCATCGAGAACACTCCAGGTCGCGGCTATGGGTCGACGCTTGGTCCCCAAGCTGTCCGGCTTAGCAATCTTGAACCGTATGGCTTTGCGAGGACGTCCTTATATGGCCGGGGTCGTCCTTCCATGTATGCGATTGAGGACGCCATATGGCCCACATCCTCGTCGCAGCGTAGCATCAGTTACCCGGATTGTAGGGTCTTCACTTCGATCTAAAATGTCGAGCATCTCTAACTAATGAAGCGTCTAGTAAGCCATGTTGTTTCGCAAATGGGACCTGGTGATGCACCCGCGGCAGAAGGAACAACATCTGAGCAGAAACCTTCCGACTTGCCCGCTCTCTGCTCCCAGCCAGACCCCGCTGAGGATACTAGGAGCCCAATTGAGCGGTTTCGGGCCTTTCCAAAGAAGCCGCTTACTGTTACCGACTTGTATTCTGGAGCCTGGTGTGAGCTGCAGTATTGGTATACGCTGACCCGATTGCCATTCGGCAGGAAAACGAGGACTGCCGCAATGCGCGGCGGGACCAAGGTCCACCAAACCCTCGAGGATCAGGTGCACACTACCGTCCAGATCAGCATCGCCACCAAGGAGGAAGCATTCGCCTTGCGACTGTGGAATGTAATCCAAGGCCTTCGGACACTTCGCGACACGGGGCTCACCAGGGAACTCGAGGTTTGGGGTGTCATCGAAGGGCAGGTCATTAATGGTATCATCGACGAAGTTAGCCACACAAGCCCAAATGCCGGGCTTGAGCAAGAGTTACATCAAAGCCAATCGTCACAAGGAACATCACCAAAACATCCATCCATTGCCACGTACTTTGATCCTCACCGACGCCGCGCGTATTTAACGGACGTTAAGACTCGAGGGAGCAATAGCCTGCCGTCCGGTGCGGCCCTTCGACCGTCCAAGATTCAACTCTCTCTTTACCACCGCCTTCTTTCAGATCTGGCAGCTGGGAAACTTGATTTCTCTGCTATTACCTCTCGTTATGGTCTTCGAGACGAAATGCGCTTCTCAGATACTTTCATGGCCCAGATTGGCAGCCTCCACGACGAAGTTTTTCACAACGAATCAGATGGAGACAGTCCAAATAGTAGCACTGGATATCCCGGCCCATCCCCAACTCGGGAACCTCAAGCATCAACATCGCTAGACCTGATCCGGTACCGCTCGATCCAGCAAATCCTACCCCTACTACGATCCGAGTTGCGTGACACCTTCCCTCAAGGTGCAGCATCTCTTGGGAAACTGATTGCAATTCAATATCGCCATCGGGACGATGGGCATATAATCGGCCACCAAGTGTTTCCGGCAGATTCGGAAGCATTGGACAAATACCTAAAGCAAAGCCTAGCCTGGTGGCTTGGGCAAAGAAAGGCTGAAGGAGTACCGATCGAGGAAGCATACAAGTGCAGGATGTGCGAATTCGCAGAGACCTGCGAATGGCGCAAGAGCAGGGAGGATGAATTTCTGCGGCGGAAGCCCAGGACGCAGATCTCCCGGGCGAGCAGTGGGCTATGAGAAGCGTCGGGTTCGGGCTCAGGACATTCAGCAAGGATCCAAGGCTGCAGATGTAACTATATGGGCCTCAAACGACGATGCACAATTTCCCCACACAATGCAAGCTCGACAGATGATCAAAGCTTCAAATAAGCAATTTCATTCCAACGGTTCCCCGAGGCTGCCATCTAATATGAACCGTGTCGACAAATACTTGCAGACGTGTCGCTCGGCCAGTTGCTCTACCGGCCGGCGCCATTGTTGATGTTGTCAACCTTAAGAGGCAAACGCGCGATTGATGAGTGAGCACCGGATTCGGGCGCTATTATGACTTGATGATTATTATGTCAAGATGAAGTTCCCTTGCTTGGAGGCCCGCTAAAGCGAAAATTGACATGAGTACGCCGACGCCTGTGTCGAAGTAGCGGCTGGAGATCTCGACGGCGTACTGTAGGCTCGAGCTTAGAGTTTGCTGTCTACAGAGCCACCTTTTGAACCATGGCAGGTTTTGCTTACTGGAGATGGTTGATGATATGCCGCAGAGACTGTGGGAATGTCCATATCCAGCTCTTTGACCACCACACGTCCCCGCATAATTCGTACGCGGCATTTTCTCTTAACATCTCGTCCTTTGCACTATGGTAGTGCGTTTCAGTGTCCAGCCCTTCATCCGCAATCTGCCGCCTGCTATCCGCCTATCTCACCTGTTTGCCTCATTGAAGCTAGTTCGAAGCCGCGCCCAAATTTCTGTGCCACATCCTGACCGACCGCCCAGCTACTGAGACTGGAGACAGACAGGCTAACTTTGAACTTGGCCAAGTTACCGATCAACTGGCTTCCGCCCGTGTGTTTATTGCTTCTACATCTCCACAAGCGCGCCGGCTCCGGATGATGAATATCGTCTAGCTGCTTAGGACGAGGCATCGCGCACCGCTGGGTCGGGCACCACTCGGACCACCCCCTCCGGGTGGCATCCCCTAGTACACTCTAATCCACACCCCCTTAAACATCTCCTCGTAAACAATGCGTCTGTGCCTGAAGCTCTTATTTCGGTACGTTCCCTCTTTTTGTTGACTGCTAACTCTTGATCCAGAAGTGCAGGATACTTCGCTGATATCTTTGGTGGCCAGCCGTTCGCTTTGATTCCACTCCGCCCCTTACCCCTATCCGATTGAAGGATATATCCTGTCACTTTGTTACTACAGCATCCACCGTCCACTCATGGTACGGACATGGTCAAAATGCCTTCGCGAAAATCAGAAGTCGTCGAGGTCCCATGGGTTCGTGACAATGAGTCCGAACTTCGTCGTCGAAGCACCCCGCTGATGCCCATGAACCTGAACTCACTCAATTCTATTCCTCCTATTCCATCAATCCACTCACCTCCCCCCACGCCCCTCAGTCCTCCTCCACGTACTGATCGCCTGTCTCTACGGTTGACGAGCAACTCCGGCCTCAAAGGTCACACTAATGAGGCTGCATTGAGCCAATATACCGACTACAAGGTCCACCGGCCGTCAGTACTGAGTCCCAACCACAATGATGAGGAGATTTCGTCATCCAACTGGACGGAATCGGTCAATGCGTGGCGGAATAGCAGCGCCTATGCGGCTAATGGGCTCACATCGTATCTGCCGTTGCTAGATTTCCTGGGCAAGGATGCTTTTCTGATGGCTATGGACAACCCGTCCGTAGTGCGTCACTTGGTACGGTATTGTGAAGATCACTGTGGCGTTGAGAATATCCATTTCCTGCTCAAGGTCAGTACCCTATCCTCGGGTGGTTTGCGGGATGTCTAAACTCACCTCCTACCCAGATTCGCGAATATACAAACTCGACGAACGACTTGGCATCCGTCTTGACTTCTATCTCGACCACATTTTTCACCACACTAGGTGCATCAGCTCCTCTGAACTTGCCACCCATGGTTTCACGGCCCCTGAATGCCGACGTGAAGCGTATCGCCCACTCGGTTCTGCCTGGGTTGGAGTCCGTCTTTATCGAAGCTAGGTCACACGTCGAGAGCCGAGTCGCGTCCGATATTTTTCCAGGCTTCGTCAAGAACCAGCTCGCGTACTGCACGGCTTCCGTACTCGCGAACGAGTGCTCCACGGTTACTAATCGCACCTCTTCGAAACTGGAATATCCCGGTCTGGGCGAGAGCTTCTGCCTTAGCGACGCCTTAACGGCAGACAATGCTATCCTGGGCGCCTCAGATGGGTTCATCGCCCTAACCGGCCATGCTCTGCCCGACATCGTGGGGCAGAAGTGTAGTTTCCTGCAAGGTCCCTTTACCGACCCCGAGGGCATCAGACGGATACAGGTTGCAATACGTGGCCGTCAAGAGGCAGTCGAGCTGATTCTCAACCACCGACAAGACGGCGAATCCTTTTGGAATCTGCTTTTCCTCATCCCGCTGAAGGATGTCGTGCAGCAAGAGGTGCAGTACTGGCTTGGCGCCCAGGTCAATGTTTCGGAGGGCATGGGGAGCCGGAGAGATATGTTACGCATTCTAAACGGCGGCGTTATGCCGGATGCGCCAGAGGGCGAAATCCAGAGTATAAGGGAACAGAGCGAGATCGATTCGGGCAGGGAGTCGCGCCTGTCTGAACGTGGAACGGCCAGTAGCAACGGCAGCAACGGGCAAAACCACAAGAGACAAAGCTCCAAGACATTCAGCTCGCGCAACCGGCTTTTCCAGTCGTTCCGCAAGACGCAGCAGCAGTCTTTCCCGTCTGGTACTACTGTCCCCACGTCCCCATTGTCGTACATGCCAGGTTTTGACTCGCTGGCGACAGACTATCAACCAAGAAAGTCACCATGTAACACACGCTTCTCGACGCAGCGCTTCCTGTCCCGGAAGCAGCAGATCCAAGTTTTTCCGACGGCATACTCGCATTATCTCGTCTTGCGGTACATGCGCCCGCACCAGCAATCACAACCCCAGTACCAAACGGCTTCTCTGTCATCACAGGGCCAGTCACAGTCACAATCGCCGCTACCCTCCCCGCGGCCCCCACCACCCCCAAAATCAGAATCCTCCTCCTCCCTAGGCGCCACCACGGGCATGCGCAAAAAGAACGGCCCGAAAATGCCAATAGCCTACTTCTCAGACTCAGCTCTGGACCTGCTCTCGCTTGATAGAAGCATCATTCACACCGATATTTTCCACGCACTAGCCGAGTCATCCTCTATCACGAGACAATTCAAGGCCACCGTGCGCGAGAAGATGGACGCCGGGAAATCGGTTAGTTTGGACTTGGTCGTGGATAATAAGAGTAGATCGACCATCACCACGATCCGGGGACGGAGGAGGGGTAGTTCTGTCGGATATTCCGGATCAAAGGGAAGGGCTGATGCGGGAGAGGATGAGGAGAGGAGGGTTTCGAGTAAGAATACGGGGGAGAGGGGGGATAGAGACAAGGAGAAGGACAAAGACCGTGATAGAGAGAGAGTGGTGAGGCTGGGGAGTCATTGGACGGCGTTAAGGGGCGGGGGTGGAGAGATTGAGTGGGTTGTGCTGGTTTTGACGGAGAGGGTGTAGAGAGAGTGTGTCGTTGGGTGTGTGGTAGAAACAGGATGGATGTATTCCAACCTGGTACATGAGGCTGCACTGGTTTCATGGTGATGATACATTGGGAGATGAATCGTAAGATATTGCTTCAAAAGCAACGTTCGTTGATAATGAAACGCCCCGGAAGCCTGTATAGTCCACTTTCGGGGAGCAACGATGTGCTTGGACATACTGATGATAATATTACATAAGCGAGGCGAACTACAAGATTCACATAGCGTAACTCTATCAATATAACATCATGGCAAATTAGACCAAGCCTCCGTCATAATATCCAGTCCAGACTTGAAGAACATACGATTCGCGTCTCCCAGCTGGTGATCTGGAAGACTACCTTATTCCTTCCCTTCCTTTCACTGTGGAAGGAAATGAGTCCAGAAATCCTCCTATTAGCTAGTGTTGCTAAAGATTAGTTGAAGGCTCGAGAACGTCGACGCAACCCCGCTTGATCAGGTGTCAGAGCATCGCTTTTCGGTCATAGCCAGGGTCTCAACGGGAACGCGTTCGAGGTTATTGATGGGAGCTGCGGCTGCTGCTGCGGCAACTGCCAAATGAGGGTCTTCAAAATTGGATCGTGCTTGTGTTTACTTTCTTGGTTCCAGATGTGATGGATTCTGAATATAATTCTAATGCGTCTCTTGCTTCTTCATTTTCTAGCAGCAGTGTGGCCCTGACTCTATGTAATGCTGGGAATTGATGTGCATTTGACCATAGTTGCGGGCAAACCCATGTCTATACGCTCCATATCCTAAGAGAAACTGGTTACGGCCCCGTCAGTCTTCATCTTCCACCCGCGTGTAAACCATCCCAACATCCTTGTTTGGCTCTGCAGTGTTTGACTCGGACTAACATGGCTAGCACTCTCACTGGTCTTGGGGTAGGTTTCGTGTCAACCTGAAACTGCTGCGGGTTACAAAAGAAACCCATACAGACTGTCCAGAGGAGCTTGAAGACTGTGTAAAGGCTGACGGCGACGTATTGTTGACCTGACCTTCAGTGACAAGACCTCAATTCTGATTCAACACTATTGCACACAATAAGTCCGATACGTATCCAGACCGTGCTATGTAGTACTTGTAGCGTGCCAGATACCACTCTTGCGCCTGGTATCGGCAAGGGAATTCTCTGCCTACGAGCCGCGCAGATGCATTACCCAAGGACATGGACTGCCGAGTCAAATACCCGATTTCGGGCTCAAATTGATCGATTGTAAAAATGCCAGGGATCGATGGCATCAAACGACACTATTAGCGGTAGGTAGCGCGTTCAATGAACGGATAGAATTTCCTGCGAAAAGCTAGAATCATCAATATCAGGAACGACCAGCTCAAGGAGCACCAAGGGATGCTGTACTCGTCGACTGAGAAAGAAGAACATGCAATGAGACTCATCCAAGTGGAATCGAGACGTGAAGAGGAGCATTGCTCGCGCCTTTGGATGAGATTGTGGCATTTTGTAATGTGGTCTTCACCTTTACTGGTCGAAAGTCATCAATTCCAAAGCCTATCATTATCCTCGAGGAACGTAGTCTGCAGACCCAAGTTCAGGAAACGAGCGAAGGCGGGCAAGAAAATAATGCAGCACCCCTCAAGGAGGCAGTGTCCGGTTGATAATATAGATTGGGGCGAAACTTTCAGCTGCATCTGCAATACTGCGTGATGTTTAAAAGCGAGGAAGCAACGACGTCTGGATCATGCGGGTAATATTCAGGTTGCCTTGCAATTGTAGCATTTTGATTAGCTGGCATCTGGGCTACATTGTTGTTTCGGGAGTTGTAAGTCCCAAACGGCCAAAACACCAACTGAATATGTATATGTGCCCAACCCCCTTGTGTACCATGAGGCCACCATTTCCATAGTGATTGTAATGCGTGTTCGTATTCTCATCCCAAGCTCAAGTAAAGGTAAGTAGATAGACCAAGGTACGTTGCCGAGACAATAATATCGCGAAAGTTCCCTACAACACAGCTATACCTTAGCTGTATAGTCTGATCCCTATAAATGCCGCTCCGTACTCTCGATAATATCACCAAAATACTTAGGTACCGTACGCTTCAAAGTCCCCATAATTAGTACATAGCCCAGCCCTATATTAAAAAATGTTAGTCTCCTGAAGTCACTTTAGTATCCAAAACGCAACACCTACTAACCCAAGAAATAGAGAAAGAAAATGGAATACTTACCCCACTAGCACTGATAACCTGCCCGGAAACCCACCCTCCATCCTCCCCTGCCAACCCAGCAACAATCTTACTTACCTCCCCCACCGTGCCAATCCTCTGCTCGACCGGCGTGTTCTTCCTCTGCATCTCGACAATCTCCCTCGGAATCCCGTCCAACATCTCGCTCTGCACCGGTCCCGGATTGACACAATTCACCGTCGTCCCATCGCCCCCCAACTCGGCAGCCCAACACCTTGTCAAACCCTCCAGCGCTGCTTTGGACGAGCAGTATAAGCTGAGATCTTTGAACCCCCCGCGCGCGGCCACGGAGCCGATGTTGATGATCCGGTTGTGTCCCGCGGGGTTGAGGTGAGGCAGGGCCGCTTGAGTGAGCAACAGGGGGGCGAGCACGTTGAGGTTGTAGATTTTGTGGTAGTTGTCCGCTGTGATGTTACCGACGGGTTTGACAAGTTGGAGGCCCGCGTTGTTGATGAGGATGTCGAGTTGGAGCTTTTTTTGGTTCTGAGACTCGGACCAGGCGACGAGGGACGAGATGATGTCTTGCGGGCCGGTCGGGCTGGTGAGATCCGCGCGGACCGGGTATGCGGTGGGCTTGTGGGGCAGGGACTGGATTTTCTGGATGAGAGACTCGATTTTGGGAGTACTGTCAGGCGAGGAATAAGCGAGGATTACCTGATTGGTAGTTTAGTGTCTGTTTTGGGTTTTTCTTTTCGTTGATGAGAGACTTGAAGGGAGAAGAGAAAAGGAGGATGTACCGAGGCGCCGCGGCGGGCGAGCTCGAATGCAATACCTTCACCGATACCCCTAGATGCGCCGGTGATGAGGGCGAGCTTTCCGCTGAGGGGCAGCTTGAACTCGGTGATAGAGTCGGCCATGGTCTTTTATGTGAGATTGTAAGATCAAATCGGAAATAAGCGGTACGAAGATATCTGTCTCCCTTGTGAACTCGCGGCACTGTCTACTTAAATAGGTCTGGAACCTAGACGAGTAAAGATCCCAATCGGCGGTTGTGCTAAACGCCGATGAGATATTGAGAGAGTCCGATCCAGACCACTGAACGTAGCACCGTTTCAGCGGGCAGGCACCCGACTCCCACTCGGCAGACACTACTAGGCAGGAGGATTATTAATATCAAAGTCGTGGGACTGAGCTACAATCTCAGTACCGTCCCTGTTGGGGAACTTCGATGAATACCTTCGCGCAGGACAGAAGTGTATCATGTAATATACCAAATTGAAGAAGATGGCACAAGCAAAAGCACCGTGCATGCCAATGAGATCTTCACTTCTGACGAGCCCTGGATTCTATTCATCACATCGTGTGAGGTTCCGATCACTTGGTATTGTGCATTGGAGAGGATTGATCAATTGAAGCTAGATAATAGCTGAGTGAATGTACATAATCCGCCTAAAGTGTATCCCCTGCGTTCCAGCAAAGACGGGGCCCCCGGATTGTAGCCCGGATACCTGTAGAAACAAATGCAGTGCTGTAATGACCACAGGAATACCAATACATTGTGTAAAACCGGCACCACGAAAAAAAAGCAAGTGAAACTGAAACGGTCGAGAGAATTTGCTTCATCCGTTAGCCCAAGGCGCTCTCACTTATTCATTATCCTCAAATTAAATACACACGCGACGCAATCATACACCCCGGTCATAAATCGTCCACGAACCCCAAACTCTCCCGATTCTCATCACAAACCCGCGCAAACTCCAAGAGCAGTCTCCAAACATACAACAACATATCCTCCCGTCTGAGTGCTTTGGCCGCCCATTCCCTCCCCATCTCCGCAATGAATCTTGCCGAATCATCTCCCTTCTGGTCGCGCGTGAAGTAATCCAAAATCCCGTACAAGTCCTGAAACGTATTGTCCATGGGCGCGAAATGCAGCCATGGAACCAACCGGTCGTCGTGCCACTCGGCGTAGATGGTGGACTTGATGGGTAGGGAGGTGGAGAGCAGAAAGCCACGGTACCGGGCGCTGAAGCTATTCCCATCGACGTCGGGCATGAACTTGAACCGGTACTGCTCTGCCATAGGGATGCTCTCCACCTCGGAGAAGTAAGGGTCTACATAGGCGCATTCGCCGGCCGGGAAGCAGAGCAGGTTGTTGAAGCCGGCGTCGGCGAATTGCGTCAGCCAGGTGCCCAGGGTGCCGCTCCGCCGGCGCTGGATGTCATACGTTCCCAGGGGCGGCATCTCGAAGGTCGGGGCGCGGCTGTTGTTCTCTTCCATGGCCGACACGGTAGTGCCATTGAGCATCTGCACGAGTCGAATCCGCTGGAAATGCGACCAATTCTCCTTCTTGTGCCTGCCCCCCGACGCAACCCCCCTCCACACCACACCGTTTAGTTTCTCGGCCCAAGGCGGGCCATGCGTGTCGCCGCCCGAGTAGAAGGGGTCGTCGGTCAGGTACATGGCGCCCGGGATGAGAATCTCATTATTCATGGGCAGCTTGCAGCCGCCAAACAGCGGGATCAGCTCTTCGCTCGTGGACATGCTGATCGGTTCGATGAAGGTGCCGTGCATGCCACGGAGATGCGGCTGCGTGCATGCGTCCATCGAAGCCGTAAAGTTGCGCACATAGCCCTGGTATGAGAACTCGGGCTGCCAGTCCTCGGCAAATAGCGGCGGCTCCGTAAAGTTGGCGATGGGTTTCACTTCGCGCGCGGGCGAGGTCGGTGCGCAGGCGGCGCGCGCTAGGTTCCAGTAGCTGTCCTTGCCTGGCCGCACCCAGGCTGGGTCATAAGGTTTAGTGTCGTTTAACACGGCGTCGAGGTCGCCGAGCCCGATGTACGTCTTAATGACCTTTTCTTTGGGTGGCAGTGACCGGCCACTTTCTTCCTTCTTTATGTACCGGTCGATGTCCTCCCACGGCACCAGCAGTCGCGACTCGTCCATGTAGTTGATGGGCATGTCGACGTCGGGGAGGTGAGGCGCGGCCTCGGCCACCAGGTCTGTCCAGTGCTTGAGCCAGGCCACCTTGTGTTCCGTGTTGCCTACTCCGTGGGCCTTGCCGTCGCGCACTCTGACTACGTGGTACCACGACGCGGCGCGGAGCGCAGTGATTTGTGGCGCCTGCGCCCAGAAGGGATTCACGTCGTGGTATATGCGATCGAAGAAGGGCTCGACGACGACGGCATCGTGGTCGAGCGCATACTGCATCCAGGCGTCGAATCCGGGAGGTGGATGGCGGCCCCTCCTTTGACGGTATCGCTCCGCCGCTGAGCTGATGTTGTGACTCCGGTGTCCAGCCAGCAGCTTCTCATGTTGCGCGTGCGCCTCGGTGATGAGCCGGTCGATGGGGTGCGTCGGCGTTTGGTTCCAGAAGTAGTCGAAGTAGCCGGCTGCCTTGTCCCTGAGAAAGCCCTCAGGCCGCCGCAGAAGCAGCACGCTCGTCAGAACGACGGACGTGATGGAAGCGAACACGGCGTAGCGCAGCAGGGACCGCCATCGCATCGATGCGAACATTCGTGCCAACGACCGGCCCCGTGGCCGCGTGTTCGTCATCGACGGGTGGCTGGGGAGCGACGAGGTGGGACACTCGCGTCGGTGGTTGCGTCTCGGAGCTTGATTCTCTAGAGCTCTACCACGGCGAGTTGTGGAGAGATGCTCTCACTGCTTGAACATAGTCGGCTGCGCGTCAGCTTGCAGGTGCAGCTACAGGTGGTCGAGTTGGCGGACAGGCAGAACCTGCGGGTTTTCGGTGATGGTAAATGGAAAGTGCGACTCGGTGAGAGGTGTGATTGTGGCATCGCAATCCGGATTCCCAATGTATTCATAATCTATCCCCTGCACATGGAGTCGCGCTGTGCCGTAACCCACCACTGGCCGTTGGGGGGTGCTACACCTCTCCAGACATGCCGATTGTTAGCGTATTACAGCTCCCATAGTACTTGCTTGGCCTTCCACTCCCTCATATTTCGCACAATTTGTACGGTGCCTAGAGAGGTGTACTATTTCCGTTGTGGCCCCACCTTCATCCAGGATTGGGCGGAAAACCTCATCTTAATGCAAGGTGCTGCCTGCCAGCATCAATCCAGTTAGTGCAAGCGAGTCAAGACAGTAAGTACTACATAGTAGAGAGCTATAGGTAGATCCACACAAAAAGAGCCGTATCAATGTGAAGAATGAAGTTAGTTCTTCCCTGTATCTTGTGGTTTGTATTCAATTGGCGTATTGTATTCGTCCAAACCTGCCCGTGGGGTATTCCAGTGTCGCCAATCCTACGGACATGTTCGTCCCAGTCTCTAAGCATGAATTTCGACGGGTCGAGACCCCTATCGGAATTCGCCTACTCATGCCGGTTAATGAGGCAACTCCACTTCAGCTTACATTCATGGGTTGAATGGGGCTCTGCGACAAAGCTCTTGGAAGAGGACTAGGATTACTACATTACTACAGTACAACAAACTCAGTTGAGATATTTCAGTGTTACATACATAATGATGTGTATAGTCGTCAGATATACAAGGCATGGCTACATTGCCTATTTGTCCTCGCTTACCATATGGTACTACCATCGTGCCTCTCCTTCCGATTTTGGTTTCTTCCTCGAAGGGCAATACACCTCGTAACGATTGACATAGCCTGACCTACTGCATGGAGGACCACTTGATGTCTACAACGCTACTAAGCTTCAAGGGCGGGACTATCGGCAAGGACGCCCAACGCACGACGTGTTCCACGGAGCTCGAATTGCCAGCAACCTCTAGGTGGTAACGACAACGCCCCATCCTTATAAGTATACGATGGGCGGATTGGTGGCGCGAGGAGTCAGCTTTCTGCGCGCTGGCCCCATCTTGAGGATGGAATCCTGCCCCTGTAAACAGCCTGGTACTCGAAGTAGTGTGTTTGCATTTCGTTGGTTGAGATCAAATTTTGCCCCTGAGCGAGATACCGGATTGCCAATAGTGCTGCACACGACTTCGTGTTGGCATGCGTTAGGTTCTCGCATATGTTCATCTCAGTCACCTCGCTTGGCCACGCAACTTCCTTTACCCTCCCTATCCGTGAATCCTATCGACTACCCAACCAGGTGCAATTCAAGTACAACCTGATCTCCACCCCCTCACCTTCCGATCCTCCTTAATCAAAACGCCGCCCTCTCAGCAACAGGACGCACCGTCGACAGCGTGTTGCGCAGGGGCTGCAGCGGGAAAACGTCGCACCAATCACCCGAATGTTTATTGTCACGTGGACGGCCAACCTCTCATTTACCATACCACCCTGCTGTTTAGGGAGCATGACACTGCTGTACGTCACATGGAAGCAGAGAATTTGTCGCTGGTTGACGCTCTTCCACGCCTTGTCCAGATCGTTGGCGATGATGCCGGGCTGGCGTATACTGCCAGGTTTCAGAGCCGCGCTGAAGGAACCGGTTCTGACAATGTTTTCGACGAACTGTACGTGTCGGGCTAAAATCTCCAGATCCAGGGAACGGGTTAGGTAATTGGGACCCGGTTGCTTTAACGCTGATACCGACCGATCAGATGGGTGCCGAGCCGCTTGAGAATGGGTGGTTGGGGATTGCCATGATGTTGACGCAAGGCTGCGGCATGATGATTAAAATAAAAAAATAATATTAAATACGCCGTAGGTGTTAACCCTCGGTACCTCTACAAGTACTCCCTTAAGGGGCTATAGATGATATAGCGGGCCCTTAAGCCGCGTCGGGCGGTTATACAGGTAAACTTGTAGCCAAACGACTACTAAACCTCCTGTCCCTCCCTAAGTCTGTGCTACAACCCCTGCCTGAACTACCGATAAGTGTGGTAATGTGGCACTTAAATTCGTCCTCAGGGGTGGGATGCTGCTGATGTGCAGAAGATGCTCGACTATTTTTTGTCGCGACAAGTCGTAGTATCTGCTAATTGGGGTTCTCGTCGAGCGTATACATCTCAACCATACGCTCAAGTGGATAGACCGTAACGTGGTCTAGACGCTCGCAAGAATCGCGGCGAGAGGGCGTGCTGCGCGCCTTCTATCGTGAGGGGACGGGTTCGCCGACGAGCGTTATCGGATAGGCGAGGTCCGATAAGGGGCCGGATTAACGATTCGAATTCTGGACCGGCTGTCGAGTTATATTCCGCCGACGTAGTGCTTGACGGTCGACTGGCTAGGATGCTCGTAATCCTAAACTGCACCAATCTCCCTATTATCGCTAGGTAGGCGAAGTCAACAAGGTGGGCAGCGCGCCATAAGGGTTGACTAAACCCCCTTGTGTGTCAGCTGCAGGATTCGAACCCGCGACTCGTCACCGACCCAAGTGGGCGAGGCTGAAATCGGGACTTATCTACCAGCGAAGTGACCAACTACACCAGCCGACTGATTAAAATATATTTTGTATCATCTGTGGGAATAGAGGTATAGAAACTTGAGATGGGAAGAGCAGGTACGGCGCTGGTGGGTTCTTATGGATTCTCGGTGATGACCTTTAGGAGTTGCAACTTGGGGCTGGATTCCTGGAACTAAGTACCCAGAACTGTCTTCTCAGCCTATAGAGGGGACGGTCCTAAAGATTCAGATAGGGTAATATATCCCGTGCTGATGAAGCTTTATTCCAGATGCCCACCTCCCCCGGACTTGGTATACAAGTCGATCATTTCAGGTAAAACGTACGGATCGCGAAGCGCATCACGAGAGGGCACTCCGTCTTCCCCTTCGAATATTTGATAGACAATTGGATTGTATTTTAAGCGTACTCCGTGTTGGGCTGTCAATAACAGCTGGGGTGCCGAAGTCTTCCAGCAGGTGGCGGTCGCCAATGCCTCCAGTATCTGAGGTGATGTGGCGCTCCCGCCGCTAGGATAACCTCTAGGTCTGCAGACGGCTTCTTCTTCCCAATTCTCTTTTGAAGCACCGACCTCTTTTCGACGTCGTCATTTTCCTCCTTAGAGGTCACGGTTCTTTTAACCAGGGTTTCTGTGGGCACCATCAAGCGTAGGTTTTGACCAGACATAAGGGCCCAAGTGTATGCAATTTCAGCTGAACATCTGTGTAGTTGATAAGTGGTGGCTCGGCTTTGGAACTCCCCGACTGCTTTCTCGGTTCGGGATGATCCTTCATCTTCATCCTGAGTTCGAGGAATGTATCGACCCATGCGCTGTTCAGTACTCTACTACAACCATCGTGAAACGAGACTTGCAATGGTCCCTTGCCGGGTCGATGGCTTTCATAATAGTCATCAATATACACAGTTTCCCTGGCAGACTGACCCGGGAGATATACAGTAGTGGATTTCCTAAAATACGGCGCCAGATCTTCGTATGGCCATCTTGCATTGCCGATTTTGCCCCGGGAATTAATATTAGCTCTCGAGGGATACAAAATCATCATGAATTTGAGGCCGATAGATCCCCGAGCGGGCATCCCCGAGCTGGCGGCCCCGTGGTTGTACAATGCGACGATGGTTCACCATCGGCTGGCGGGGCGTAAGCAACATCCCAAGTCAAGATAGTCACATTAGTTGCCTGGGGAATCGACAATAAGTTCCAGTTGTATTTTTCTCGTCTATACTGGCCACATAAGAGGCCAAGAGCGAAGGCAAGAGGATTTGCAGTGTTGTCTAGGCCCACTTCCACAACGAGGACGCGCACCTCAGCATCATCGCTTGACCGTGAGGCCACAGTCAGACCTGCCCTGACTCCGCCCAAGATAATACAGTAGGAGGGATTCTTTAGGGTAGGGTGAAACATCGTGAGGTTGGCGCAGGCCACGTTTTGTAGTGCTGCGAGTGTGTGTCGATGGAGTCTGGGGGTTCCATACTCCGACAGGGAACACGTGCGCACTCTGTCACTCGGCCTACGGGACCTGGCCTAGCACGGGGATCTTTTTATTATAATCCATCCAAGAGCATGTAGACCCTTGATACGTGGATGGCGAGGACTAAACGGTACAGAATGAAGGCCCGGAACAGCTAGTATTTCGTACAGGTGGTTAGGTTCTGTGAATCAGCCGGGTTTGACACTAGGCACCGAGACTATATTGAGCGTCAGCGCAGTCTTCCGCAGATAGTATCTACAACGAACGAGCTCTAAGACGACATGCATCTAGCAGAACACCCAGCCGACAAATCATCACAACCAAACGCATCGGGTCCAGACTCCAGCTGAACAGTGACCTACCCCGTAACACATGGTTGTGTAGGGGAGGGTGGAGGAGTATCAATAGGCAGCATCCGGCTGGCAATCGATCTTTTACAAAATCTTTCGCTGTGCCGAGGTCGTGAAGTATGCCGCGCGTGGATACTCAGGATATCCACTGGCAGCTACGGCATCCAGCGGCCATTCAGTTATACTCCTGGAATCTCAGTCATACAAACATCTTATATCTTGCTTGTCTTCACCTAAGCAGGGGGGGATCCGTAGATTCGACTACCCGTCGCTACATCTAAATCTGTGTCCAACGAAGAGCTCCTGTCAACCTATGTGGCCATATTCTCCCCCGGTGGCAGTGCGTCAGCCCAAATCAAGTATCGAAGATGGACATTAATCAGCAGTTCGGCGTTGCCCAGGAAATTTATTATTAACCGCCGCCATTCACAGCAGCGCCTCGCGAGAGATTCTCCTGGACCTGATGAAACCACCATTCTATGCCTAGGATGGTTTCCATGTACCTAAACAACCCCAATACCTCAACCATTCTGCGCAGAACACATGATGCAATCAATGTACGTAAAGAGGCGAGTTTGACCCATGTTCCTTGCTTTTTTGGAATTTTGCCACCCGCAGCATTCGCTATCCCAAGAGACAATACGAACAGATACACCACACTCGCTCAATGGCCCTGCGCACATGTGAAGACTACTCTACGTACGGTCTCTATCAAAGCACTAAGAACTTGAAAGTGAGCGCGGCCTTTTCTCTCCTTCGCTTTCCCCTATTGGGTGTAATTGCATGATGCCTCTGGAGAGGTTGAATAGGCTGTTGAAGAGACCAGGTCTCAAGCTAGTCTGGAGGTCGGTTCTTCTGATAAGTGGTCTTCAATTACGCCCGCCTCGATAATTGGCATGCTTGATCAATTCCGGTGCTCATCTGTGGGAGATCCTGCCAGTCGACGCTCATTCCAATGCAAATGCTTCGCATTTTTCAGGGGCTACAGTGCCGCCACCCACTTGACAACTTTCACCAAGCACCAGACAAGATAGCAATTATACGACACAGAAGCGAAATCTCATTCATGACGCTTTGAATCTGGTGGTATTCTTCATTATCCCCCGACGCCTAAATTTTGTTCAAATCTATTCCTCAGCCTCATCCGCCTCCTCCGCCTCCTCCGTATCCTCGTCCTCTCCAGACTCGACTTCGCCATTGGTCGTCGCCGCCGGCGCACTTGGGCCATCCCTCTCCAACTGAAGATACTCCTCCCATTCCGGGAACAGATCGTCGTCCTCTTCGGGAGCACCAATCATCTTAGCAATCCGACCCTTCTTGTTGCCCTCGAGGTCCTCTTTCCAACTCTTCACTGCAGACGGCGTCAGGCTGGGCTTGTAGGTTTGCGTGAACAGGGCAGATTCCGGCAGGCGCTTAGTCTTTTGGAGCAGTGCGGCACAGCCTTCGATGTCGCCAATCGTCCATAAACATGTGAACGCAATGTTATGAGATCCTGCTTCTGCGGCTTGCGTTGCCAGGGAAGCAAGACCGTCCTTGTCGCATGTGCTTGTGTAGATCAGGAGTAATGAGCCGAGGTCCTTGCCGTGAGTGAAGCATTCCGTGGCAAGTGGTACATCCCAAGCGGACAAGGCAGCATCACCCACAGTCCTCCATTTGTGCTCCACGTCCGCTTCTTTCGCTAGCTCGAGCAGAAGTGGCAGCTGGCCCAGTGCTAATGCTAAATCGAACTTGTGCTCCGGGTCGGTGGCTACTTCGAGTGCCATTTCCTTGTATCCTTGGCCTTCGAGGAAACGTGCGATCTTATTGACCTGGTCGGCTGGAATCGTGGGTAATAGTTCGCTAGCGGTATCCATGTCGCCACGTAGTACCAGTGTTTGATATTCCAGAACGGGCAGTGACAGACCGAAAGATGTGAGGTTGACATCTTTGTCTGCCAGGTAGATCCGGGAGTCGCGTTGGATGTAGCCGAGGATGTACATGGGCTGGTCAAAGTGCGACACAGTGTTGATTTGATCACCGACCAGATAATTCAACCGGTTGGTGCTGTTGGTGTAGATGAAGCAGTCACCAACCCACTCGCCAGTGCGCACACTTTCGGCAATGTCTGTGATGACTTCAAATGCCGCCTCCACACCATCCTCGTCAACTTGGCCAGCTTGAGTAGCTTCGATATAGTTGTCCCGGGAGAAGCGCAGAACGTAAAAGGTGTCGTCGCAGGCCAGAGTCACAAGTTCGCCGCTGTCGGACCAGTACACCTCTTTGGGGTCGACTTCGATGCGTCGCACGAGACCGCCTGTAGCCCAGTCGTAGAAAGAGATGCCGCCCTGTCCCTTGACTCCGAGCAACACCCCGCCGGTAAGACCGTCCGCTTGGAAGGGAATATCGAGGCCGCCGGATTTCTCGACGAAGTTCCTGTACACCTTTACGCTGGTGGCCGATTCACGAATAGCGAAATCGTTGTTGCTATCCTTGCTTGCCCACACAAAGTCGAGTGCCGACCCAAATGCCTTATTTCGCCATGCCAAAGCCGTGTAGATGATGTATTCCCCGTCACCACAGACGGCGACAAACCGGCCGTTGGGAGAGTGGATGAGCGTTTGAGGGTAGACCTCGCATGTTCCTAGATCCTTGGTCGGGAGGGTAATCTGCGAATTGTCCTTGATCGATGCATCGCCGCCTTTGATAATAGATGACACCACCTCGTTGTGTCGCGCCCAGATCAGCTTCCCTGATCCGTCCATCGACACAGCCGGCTCTTCACGACCTAGCTTGACGACGACAGCACCATCGTCAAAACCGACAGCAACACCTTGTTTGCCCTTCTGGTACGAGACGCACCAAGCCCGCTCCAGGCCGTAGTTGAGAGACTGCTCGAAGCGGTACGTGTTGGCGTGCCATATCCTGACGGTGCCGTCCTCGGAACCTGAGATGATGATCGGCAATTCGGGATGGTAGCAAGCAAACGACACGTTATTGGTGTGGCCCTCTAGAGTGGCGATCAGCGACTTAGTCGTATAGTCCCAGACCTTGACTGTCCTGTCGTCCGACGTGGTGAGAAGGTACGGTTTGTCGGAGTGCGGGTAGTAGTCAACATGGTTGACGCCCTTGGTCTCGTGTGCCTCGAGGGTGAAGTTGGCTGTTGACGAGCCCAGACTCCAGATCTTGACGGTGCGATCGAGACATGCGGAGGCAAATGTGTTGGTGTCTTTGGGGTTGATGGCCAGGCCCATGACATAATGACTGTGGCCTTCGAAGACCTGGACACACTTCCAACCCTTGTCCCAATCCCACAGCTTGATAGTCATGTCATCAGAGGCTGTCAGAACGAACGGTTGGGTCGGGTGTACGGCAATGGCTCGGATGTAGTCGGGGTGGGCCTCGAAGGATGTGATCTTCTCGGACGTGTTGTAATTATAGACGCGCAACTGAAAGTCGTCAGAGCCGCAAACGATCCAGTTCTTTCTGGCGACGAAGCGACCGGCGCGAACGGGGACATCTGTGAGCTCGAAGGTCTTGACAATCTGTTGAGTTTCATGGGACCAAATGTAGACATGGCCGCTGTACAGGGTGGTAAGGATCCAGGGCTCTTGAGGATGGAAGTCGATGCCCTTGACCCGCTCACTGCGGGCGAAGAGCTGTCTCTGCATGTCGAAAGCCATGTCAGTACTTGAAGCTAGCATGATGGAAACCGATTGAGCAGCGGCAGAATTGCGATTGCCACGGTGGAAAGTGGACATCGAGGCATCTGCCCGTATCCGTCATGTAGCTGCGAGGGAGCCACTGGCGCAGAGCAGAGAGATGCCACACAAGAGATCGATAGGTAGAGGAACAGGGAGCGAAGTAGCACTTACCTTCACATCGAGCCTCATGTTGGCAGATGAGGAATTGTTGAAGAGGTTTGGGACGTGGCCAGCTACATGCACCGAACGTGGCGGAAGATGAGGGTCTTGGTGTTGAGTGAAGCCCAAATGCCGTCGTGCCTCCCAAGTCAATTGTGAGTGTCAATGTTTGGCCAAGTGGCAGCTGCAGTCGTGACACCCTGGCCTTGCTGGCCAATCTACGTTGGGCCTGCTTGGTGGGTCCACTTTAATTGGTAGTTCGGGGCTTCAGCCTCACGCGACCTTCTGGGATGAAGGTTCCAAGCCTAAGCAAAGCTATCCAAGTCGCACGGGCCGAAATGTGTTGAAACATCGACCCGGAGCCTTGACATACAAGCTCTCTTGTCATTCGATTTTCCAAATGATAATGGGAGTCAATGGTTGGTGTGGACGACGACGACATACTTGGCCAACGACGCACCTAGGTGGGCTTGGATTGACGCTTTTATGGGGTGCGTCGTTCATCTGTTCGTGAAGCCATCTTGTGGTCCGTTTGCTGCCCGGGCCCAGTTGAGCTTACCGAGGTATATCTTAGTGATTTAATTCCGGCTTCATGGGGGTAGCTTACAGTGAAGTTTCGAAGTGCGCTGAGAATCACATAGTACTGACAGACCGAGCTTCCTTTATTAGCGGCTCCTCGAGTTGGTGTCCTCAACAAGGAGCTAATAGCAGATAAAGGACAGGAAACCCCAAGTAGGAAAGTCAAAAAGAAGACAACAGAAAACCACCTAACAACTCCACCGCAAACTTGCCTGTTCCCTCGTGTTTCTGGCAGGTTGGTGTCTAAGGCCGCGAGTTCCTGGTCCGTCATAGTAATATCCCCACCACATCTCCCCCCTCACAGGGGTGAGAACCCATCTTCTACATTTCAATTATCCGTCCGGTCCAATTTCCCCAGGCGAATCAGATTCTCAAGTTCATACCGACCCGAGTGTTGGGATTATACCAGGGCAACTCTTTGGCCAGACGGCCATGGTAGTGCGATATTTCAGAGCCATGCAGCCCGAATGTAATTCAGGTTCTGGTCTTGTTCGCCCCTGAAGCGCATCACTCTTAGTCGGCGGCACAACTCCCGCATGACGGCGTAGATTATGTGCCATGCTGGCGCCATTCTGCCAGGCATTCTGGGTGACAATGATGTCGCAGCAGGTGAGGACGCATTGGAAGCCATGTTGTATCAAGTTCCTTCGGACAGGGCGGTTGGTGGGTCAGGGGTCAATGATGGAGATGTACGTCGCGAGAAGCTGGTTAGTCCCCTCTTGGGGCTGCTGAGCTACGAAGGCAGCTACCCACACGGTCCGCTGGGTGAAACTGAAGTACCAGATGGAATAGGTGCCCCTTCCGGATGTCAGAAAAAGGTAACCTGTACATGTTTCTCAAATCGGCATACCCTTTACATATTATATTAAATTCCACATTGGTCGACTCGAAAAGGTTAAACGAGACCCGAGCCAGGTGTGGCCAATCATGTGCCATGGTCAGGGACTAGCGATAGCTTATAGGCGACGGCAGTCGTCATGCGTCGCAGAGACACTACGTCGGTGCGATTCCTCTGCAGCCTATCCGTGCCGTGGATGGTGTCGGCGAACAAATACAGGGACGGACATGTGGTAGCTGGCCAGGATCTCGACTATAGCTGCTTAAGTATAAAGGCAGTGTATGGTAAATCTCGCGAGTCTGGGAGGTCGGTTCTGGTAGGGTGTTCCCATAGATTCGACGAGAGTGAGCGGGACACATCGGGCATACGCGTCCGGAATACAAAATATATACTCTAGCAACTGTAAACATGTAATTTCTTTTGTTGATCTTTCAAATGGTATGCTTAATATATCCCTTTATTCAGATTGAAAATAGCGGTACAACATTGTAAAGAAGTATCAATACTAATAAAAGTTTCCGAAATTTCCATATTCCCATACCTTTGTTTATTAATCCTAGTATCTATTAGGGTGTATTGTCTATTTTATCTTCTGCATGTGAAGTACATTGATGCAGTCCAGGTTACTCACTACAAGCTCAATTGGAAAGCAGGTCGATGGCGATGCAGCATGTCGTTCAGCGCATCGGAGAACCAACAAAACGGGAAATATTCTCAATTTATTCAATATAACATAAACACTCAAGTTTGGTGTAGGTGCTTGACAGGACCTCGTCTTCATACCTTACCATGATTTATGTTTCACAGCCACAGATGTGGGCTGGCCCATAACAGATATAGGCTACTTTTTGTACAATCGGGACTAAGTTGCTATACCTCAGCTCCATTCAATATTTCGCAACTTTATGTAATTGTTTTCAAAGACTGCACAAGTTGAGCCATGATATTTACTTTATTTGAAAATGTGTAATTTTCCAAGGCTCACCAACCCCACTATGTGGAGTCAAATTCAGTCAATCTATGTACAAGCCAATGCCAGGTCCAAGCAGACAGCCGGCAGTTACGATGCACTCGCTCCCTTCATGAGTTCCGGTATCTGTTGAACGCCTTTATCCATTGCCTATTCCCTGTGCTGAGCATGTACTGAGCCGGACGCTTCCATGCCAGTCATTTATCGTTATTTCGTACCTTCATGTTGGTGGAAAGAAAAAGTAAACCTCGAAAGGATCCCGCAGCTTACTACAACTTGGCGGTGAATCAATTCTCAGCTTGGATGGCCTTGACAATTTCCACGACCTTGGGGAACAGCTTGTCGGACTCCTGTAGACCACAGACCTTCTTCACAACCTCATGCGCGTCGTTGTTCGACATGATCTGAGCAAGCTCAGCACTCTCGTTATCGTCCTTTACGTCTTGGAAGCGAAAGCACTTGTCAGCGGCTGCCAACAAGGCAGTAACATCCTGACCCTTCTCGGCCAACTCGAAAGCCGGGGAGATGAAACGCTCCTTCCGACCGAGTTTGCGCAAGGGCGCACGACCAACTCGCTCAACGGCGTCAGCCAAGTGGGGATTGCTGATTCTCAGGATGATCTTCTGCTTGTACTTCTCCTGCTCCTCAGCCGAAATGCCATGCTTCTCGACAATGAGTCTGCTTGTCTCCGTAAGAGCCTGGTTGACCTGAGCCTTGATGGTCTTGTCGCGCAGGGCGTCGTCTACGGTCTTCTTGTTCATATGGTAACCCCAGTAGGCAGCAGTAGCATGCCCGGTGTTGACCGTGAAGAGCTTGCGCTCGATGTAAGGCAGCAAGTTGTCAACCCACTTGATGCCGTCGATAGAGGGCGGCTCGTCAGCAAAGGGAGTCTTGTCGACGACCCATTCATAGAACTTCTCAAGAGTGACGTTGAGACCAGCGTTGGCATCTTGTGCGGGGACAATGCGATCGATGGCAGAGTTGGCATATGCAGCTCTCTCCTCGTGCGAGGCAAGGCGATCCACGGGGGTGTTCTTGGCATCCTTGATGAAACCAGCGAGATTGTCGGTGGCGCCAATCATGTTTTCGCAGGCGATGACGGCAAGGGGCTTCAGGTCGGATGATCGCTTGTCAATTCCCTTGGCGATGGGAGGGGCAATGAATTTCAAGATGTTGGGGCCAACTGAGCAGGTGACCACATCGGCGGTCGCGATTTCCTCAATCAACTCGGCCTCTTGCGTTCTCGAATTGAGGGCGCGATAGTTGGTGATAGTCTTGGTGTCCGTGCCATCAGCGCCGACCTCGATGACCTTGTAAGAGGGGGTGTTATTGAGCGAGTCAACAAGAGCATCAACGACATCGGCGAAGACAACTTCATAGCCCGACTCATGGAGGAAGCAGGCGACGAAACCACGGCCAATGTTGCCTGAGCCGAAGTGAACAGCCTTCTTGCCCATGTTGACGGTGTAGGTAGTGATTGGTTCCGGGAAGGCGTGGGCAATGGGTGGACTGGTGGGACTATTCGTGAAAGAGTGGACGAGCGTTTTGATGAAGGCTGGTCTACGTCCAAAAGTCTATTGAGAAAATGTTGGTTTTGTGGTTGAAAAAGACTTTTTGTTGTACAGAAGACGGGGGAACGGGTTACTTTATATTAATGCCGTGAAAGGAAACCACGAGAGTCTTGGTCTGACGAAGTGTGTTAGGTGGGGCAAGAGCAGGAAACGGCCGATAGTTGGTTGGTTGAACATACAACGGCAGGTGTGCCCATGCGAGGAGTGGATGTGGATGTCATTCAACACAGCCCGCTTGTTTTTCAACTTGGCATCAAAACGGACTTGAAACTGGAGGCAACAGCGAATTACGGCCATAAACGCCAGTGTGACAATCGGAAATCTTGAGATGTAAGTGAGGTGGGGCCCAACCCCATTGGCCGATTGCCCGAATACGTTCCTTCCTGCTCCTATCCTTAAGTTACTGGCCACTTGCTACACAACGACAGTGTTGGTTAACCCCACGTGAGCTTCTACAAGCCATTGAACTCATTGTTTTGGGTCCGTGAGAATTTGGCTTATTTTCCACCCTCGGCAGTACAATCTACCATGTCTGCTCACTCCAGCAAGTACTGTCTCCTGCCATCTGCGGCTTTTCAGCCATTGGATGTCAGCCTGCTGCGACATGGATGGGAGAGTGGGTCTTCCTTCCGTCTTTCCATCAGCTCATAGGATATCACGAAACGGACCGGTTCTCCCTGCATTCACAGATCAGTTTGGCGCCAGCTGCACCCCTCCATGTGCTCGTCTAGTACTCGCAATTAATCAACACCGACTTTTTGCATCTACCCTTCCAGCTAGGGCTGTCCTGTTATAATTATGAAAGAGATCGACTGGTGGCTATGTCGAGCGTCCCAATCTGTAGCCCAGTCCTGAAGATCAGCGGCATGTCTAGTCCACGCGAAAGACTTTCTTGCCTACCAGTCGCGATTCTGTATGCAGAGCCTCAGGTCAAGCCAATATCAAGTCGATTTCTGCTCGCAACTATTTTCGTACCAACAAGCTACGTCTGTGTCTTTTTTTCTGGGAATGGTCGCTTGGCTGTATGTGGATATAACCCCAGATACGTTGGCCCTTGTTCCCAAAAAGTCTGGGGACGGCATCGTCCTCTGGCCACCTCCACAAAGCTTTTCGCAATCCCTGTATGTCCGTTAGTCCGTTTGGGCAACTCGCAGACTTTTGGCACTATGCTTTGCGAGCTTTGCGCAAGCCATGTAATAGATGCTGCAACGCCATCACATATGAGCTAAGGCCTGGGGGAGGATACGACACTAGGATTAGGTGAGGCCATCGTCGTCGGGCAATGCAGGAGACCGTCAAGCTCCACTTCATGGCGCAGTCACCTGGGCAATATGAGGCGGCAAGGCGGAAGCCCACAAGTGGAATTCAAGCTTGCCTTCTGAGAAGACGAGCCAAGTACACCATATCGGTAAACCCGGTCGATCCATTTCGTAGATGGGCATGTTCTCATGGCGTTTTAACTTTCCGTGATGCTTCAACGGGCTCGGTGCCTGACAATCATTGCACCAAACTGGCCATTTTAGGGTGCTGGCCGACTGTTTCGCAAAGTAACAGACCGGGCCTCGTCAAAGGACAACGGGAACCTCATGATTGCATGCCGATGACATCACTTTTCTTCCTGCTGGAATCCCACTCTGAAGACGTCAGCCATTCCAACATTCAGCTCACCCCTTTGGCCAAAAGCAGGATTCATTGGACTATTGCAACATTTGACACTTAACCGTACCTGCGTGTTTTTGGTCGGTCGGGTTCCATTGGGAAATCTCAACCTGTCTTCATTGAAATAGTTTTACTAGACATCACAGAGAGCGACAACTATCAGGAGATGTGCAAACAAGTACGTCATAGGTCACTCGTCCCATTTTGGTATCATCCGATCGTGAACTCTCATGTTCCAAGCCGATGGGAATTGATGTGACCTTTGTGGGTTTATTAAGTCCCTACGCAAAACTCATCCAATCAAAGAGGTATGATCGGGCTCTCTCGCTTCCAGGGTCCAGGTGTTATGACGAAACGGCAATGGCTTGATACCAAGATGAAACGGTACATTACTCAATTTACAATTTCCTCCGTTTTGCGCGATCGATCATCGGTGAACGTCAGCCCCACCCCCTCATTCTTCGGGTATCCACGTATCAAGAATACTGGGGATTTCCAGTTCTTTCTATCGAAACATGGGTGGACCTCGACTGGATACTGGCATGAACACGAAACATTCTTGAGGACGAAGCGGTCAGGTCAGGACAGGATTGATGGGAGGAGGCTTGTCGGAATGCTGTTTCGACAATGGCATTTGCTTCACCCTCTACCTGGTGGTTTGGACAGCTTGGACAGTTTGGACAAGGAACGGAGCAGTTTGCAAGTCGCCCCTTGTACTTACAGCTCCGCCTATGGCCTAGGCCTTGTTCATATATCGTTGTGACAACGCCCACTCCCGTCTCGGTTTGCATCAGCTCCAGAGAGGCTAGATAAGGATTAACTCGTATATGTGGCCTTCTCTCTCTATGTCATGAATCATTTGTGAAGCGATCATGGCCCTGCTATGAAGATGTCGACACTGCAGATTTGCCACTCTGCTTGCAACACCTGCACAGAATTTCACGCAGCCGTCGTACAGATCACTAATCTAATGCGAAATAATATACGCGAGCCATGATGCAAGGAACCGTTTTTACCGGCTGCCGTAAGCCTTCCTGAGCAGTATCGTGAGTCGCAATTGACTCCAGCCTCTGCCCACGATGATGATAATAACCCGATCACCCGACTTGGTGGTCCAGTCATCCACCGAGGTTCCTCCACTCGGTCGCATATGATTGTTGCTGCTCCACATATCCAGCTAATGAAGCGCATGCGGTTGGCCTCCTATCTCACGACGCGACATGTTAGTGACACCATTGGACAGGCTGGTGTGGAATAATGCCTCGGTCATCACGATGCCTCGCCGTGAACGTGTCTGGCGTTACTGCCTGCAACGTTCGCCACTGGTGTTTTGCGGGCTTTACTGGGGCTTCTCAACCTCGGGCAAAGGGGTCATTCGAATGCGAGATTTGGCAGCGACGCCACCCACTGCTCTCTGAGCTTACCGGGATACTCAAGAACCCTCCGCTTAGTGTCGTCTACTTTGGCGATATTCCGGTGGAGCCACTTTGCAAAGTAGTCGGCTGTCGCGGGCCGGTTCACGTCAATATATGCTCTCGACTGGCAGTAAGAAACCGCGAGGTACATTCATTGTGCATTGTGCTTTTGTCGCCTTCCAAATCGGCAGCCAAATTCAGCCGAAATGGGTGTCTGAGATTCGGAACTTGACCATCTATTACCACCCCAAGGCGCTTCCTCCTTCCAAACGTGTCACCTCGAACCTCGCTGATGCCGATGGCTTTGCCAAGACACCGGCTCATGCGGACTTCGGCGCCAGTCTCCGGCTATACCACTCCCAAGTGGGGCCGAGTTGACCTGAGCGGCTACTGCTCAAGCGATACTAACTTTTTGAATGCTCTGAGTATCGATGTCTCGGGGTAGAATCACAAAGTCTCTCTTCCTGCGGCTTTGGCGTTGATGGATGATTGCGGGAGGCCTCAGCTTTGGGGCGCGGGGCGCATCGTGGAGTCGATGGATATCGCTGGAGTCGGGGAACGCTACTTTTAGGTACTACACTGCTCCTATCATACATGACTCGTTATCAAAGGCCGAAGCACATTTGAGGCATCACTGCATGTGCGATTTTGACCTTATCAGCAACTACTTCCTCCTGCGATTGATCGACGTCACGCTGTTGCAGGTATGTGTTGGTAATGGGTCAACCCCATTACTCTGCATCGTCGAGGAGCTTCTAGGCTTTTGATAGCCGGTTTGACGGTGTGGAAGCCCACCGCCATGAGTCCCAAGCATCTCCGGTTTCTAGTCTCTTCCTCTTTCCTTATCTGCTCTTCTTCTGTCGACTTGGAAACTTTTGTGGAATAGCGTTCTATTCCGGTGAGACATTCCATTAGTAAGATAGCCTTGGAGAAGGTAGCATATATCACCAAGGGCTCACCAACTCAGGAGGTATTGCTGAAAAGTATGCTATCTCGATCGCTACGCTATGCCCCAGAAGGCAATAGCATTTGCCAAGCAGAGTTCATGTCCCAGATTATTCACTGCTTTGATAATGTTGTGGCAGAAGCGCTTCGCTATTCTTCTCTCGAGAGGTATTCCACATAGCGTTAGCAAGTTTTCTGATGACTGTATCAAAAAACATACTGCCGCTCGCCGGCCGGAATAGGTTCGCGCTGGCTTTCACCACAGCGGCGTGGACAGGATTGGACTAATCCGGGTGAGAATGACTGTCCCGCCCTTCGTATGTTTTTTCTGAAATCTCGTTTATAATACTGTCCTGTGGAAGCCTATGGCTTATGAAGACAGTAGGTGCGAAGACCTGAGGTAAAGCGGGCCAAACTACGCAGTCTTACATACAAGTATAACCCTGTACTGCGAATTCGTATCTTCCGTAACCATCGTTTTTCCCCTCGCACTATCAGCTTTCTGAACTTAACAAGGAGGTTAAGTTCAATATCGGTGTAGGGCTGTAGATTCTTTAGTAGGACGCCCAACTTGACTAAATTATTTCCCCTCACTTTCGTAGTGGGCATGTATGGTCTCTATAACCGCCGCCGGATTCGAAACGACTATGCTTGTCGCCGACCCAGACATCAATCAGTCTGTGTTACAGCGGCTTATGTACCAGCCAAGCTTAGGACCACTAAGCTAAGCGGGAATCCTTCGTCTGTTGTAACGGCGAGAATTTGTAAATCGAATTCTCTCTGGAGTTACTGATGGTGTTGGGCGTTTAGCCTCATTTGATGAATCTGAAATATGAAACAAGTATCGGATTCCAACTATTGGGAGCTGTATTAGTACCACGAAGGTGCGTGAGAGACCAATCCAAAGTTGGCCGAGGGTCCCTAAATACTTCAAGCCGTGCCTGCCTGCCTCGTACCCCTCCGTACTTGAGGCTGCAGCTTCCTAGAACAAGTGAGTTATCCAAGAGGTTGACCCTCACTGTTCCTAGGTGACATGGAAAAATCAATAATCGGCTTCGGGGTAGTAAGGTGACTGTTGTCTCTAGTGACCACCCTGCCCTGTACTGACTTAGGGAAAGGGTTTTTGAGTGTTGCTTTCGGTTTTAAGATGAATTATGAAAGCATGTTCTCGAGGTTATTTAGGGATCTGTGTAGGTAGTCACTCTCTTGGGAAGTGAAAGAGAGAGAAAAGCAAGCGGCCAAGCAAGTAGCAATTGATTTCATTCCCTTGTTAAGACTCTAGTTTTCATGCAGGTGTTGTCAACTTCATTGTCCAAGAAGATCGTCCTGCTTGGGACGCCCTCTGTTCGCTCAATGCCATCTCTGTAAAAACGGACCTAGCTTGGTATGCCTACACCACGAGACACTAAGAGGGACGAGAAAATATTTTAAGGGGGCCCGAGGCTTTGAATGTCGTTGAAGAGGTGCTGGTTCAATTTGTATTAAAGTGTATAGGCGCGTGTTGTGTTGAACTACTTCACTTTAGAGATGCTGGGTATAGCATGCAACTTGGGTCCAGGGATCGTTACAACTATCGACTCAACAAACATTACCAATTCCTTGTTAGGCCTCAAAGTCGAAAGTGACTGATCGAACTACTCCTATAGGCCCGAGGACCTGTCGACCACAGCGTTTGTTTTAGAAAGTCAACATACTCTGCTCAAGTGGAAAATAATGCAGAAAACATTGTGTCTGACACTAGCCACTTTGGTATGTGACGCGTGGCTTGTGCAATGCTGAGATTTGGAAGTATCAATGCCCAAGATATTCAAGGGCTCTTACCATGGCCACGCAGTTCTATACAAATACCCTTGGCTCGCTCCATCTCAGCCGACAGATCTACACCCCATATCCAATCACATCTGTGTATCACATTCTGCTCGATCGCTTCTAGGTCATCGCCATACAACTCAAGATCATAAATCATCCCTGCGTCCCTACTAGTCGTAACCAGTTTCTGCATCCGAGGCCGTCTCACTTCGTCGTACGCTTTGAACGCGTAGTCCAGATCCTGTGCATCCCCAATACCCCCAATCAGACTGCTGAGAATATATGCATCCTCAATCACCATGCCTGCACCTGACCCTTCATGTGGAGAGGTCGCATGCGCAGCATCGCCGAGGAGACAGACGCGTCCGCTGCAGTACGTTCGAGCTGGTGGATGGTCGAACAACGCCCAGACGTTGGGGTTCTCCAGAGCCGTGAGTATAGTCTTCCGGCCCCATGTCGAGTAATCGGCGAGGACTTGTTCCTGGGAAGCTGGCAGGACCCACTTAGGATTTGTCCAAGAGTCTCGGCTACAGAATGCCACAACTAGAAAGGTCAGCAATAAGATACAAAATAGCGTGTTACCTATACTCACTGTTCAACGTACTGCCCAGCTGTATCGGATAAGTGAGGATATGTCCATGGTATCCCATGTACAACTGACTATTCCTCGCCTCGTCCTCGCCCAGGACTTCAATCGCCTTCTCCATGGGTACCAGGCCCCTATACGCACATTTTCCAGTGAAAGTGGCTTTAGACGCAGGTCCCAGAATCAACTCTCTGGTTCGAGACTTGATACCATCACACCCCACAACCGCACTGTGCCGAGCATTTGTCCCATCAGCAAACTGAAGCACCACATCCCCTGAAGTCTCGGTAATGTCAACTAATTTCTTCCTAAACTGTGCAACAGAGTCCGGAACCAGTCTCACAAGCTCATCCAGGAAATGCGCCCGATGACAAGCTCCCCTCAGCTCCGGCAGGCCAGGAACATCAAATATTTCATCTCCCACCCTGAGGCATCTATCCCCCTTTTGCCATATCATTCCATTTTCATTAGCGTTCTTGAAGTCACCCACTCGGACCGTGTACAGGACGTCCTGCATCTTCGCGTGCGGATTGTTAGTCCTGCACCGGAGAAAACCCTCTTTGATCCTGTGGTCGATAAGGCCCATCGCCCTTACCCCATTGGGGCTCATTCCTAACCCCGCACCAACTTCCCCGAACTGAGATGCTGACTCGTAGATTGTGAAGGGGACATTATGTTTTAGTAGGCCGATGGCGAGGGTGAGACCACCGATACCGCCGCCGATAATAGCGATGCTGAAGGGCTTGGGTGAGGTTACCATGACGGTGAAACGAAATACGCCGTAGACTGACGCAGGATTGACCTGGAGTGTCAAGGTAGCGTGATGAAATAGGTGAGTGAGAGTGAAGGGATGTATCGACTAGGGTGAGCACATCCAGTATATGACTAATGACTAATTCAGGTGCAACCGTTGCATTATTGAGCTGGACGGGAAGGGCAAATACGCCCATATATCGGGTTGCTTAGCTAGAATTTATATATAGTTGTGGAGTCCAGTCATCGTACTGAGCCCATCAGAGATATATTGGATTGTGGGCAAATGGTCTTGTATTGAAAGTGTCATGAACTCTGGAGAGTCCAGAGAGAAGTAAAGGGCGGCCATAAGGGCCTTATATAGTCAGAAATGACTGATGCCTGCCCCACAGCCAGGACTTATGTGGTTCAATGGGTAGAGGTCATATTGACCCATACTTCGTACGGTTTGCGGCTTTACTTTTCTCCTTTTGACTTGGCAGTCTTGACAGAGTAGCCTTGAAGGTCCAACAAGATACGTACTATAAAATTCGCTCGTTTGTTATGCAATGTAACATAAAATGCAGCATACTGTCTTGGCAATCCGTCTTTCCAGCCAAAATGTCCTTTATTTCGACCGTTCCACTATTTATGATGCCGCGATAACGTCACCCACAGGTCATTGCCCCACACGGGTCTTTGCCCAACTTTTCAAGAAATCTTGACTTTCCATCTTTACTTATACAATTCTTCCCTTCCACAACATGGCACGCAAATCTAGTGAAGCTAATCTTCAATTAGCCATCCAAACCAAACGACGCGATCCTCACCTAAGTTGGAACAAGCTTGGTAAAATCTTCAAAGTCGACCACAAGACGTTGAAGCGCCGTTACGAAGGCGTACAACCATTACACATTACTAACATGTCCAAACGGAAAATGACCGAAGCCGAAGAGAATACGATTACCCGACGCGTAATTGAGCTAGATTCGCGAACTTTTCCTCCCCGGCTTCGATACGTTGAAGAAATGGCGAATATCCTCCGACGCAACCGCGACGCGTCACCTGTCAGAGAACAGAATGCCATAGGCACCAGTGGGTGTCAGGACACTGAACGCAGGACACCGGCGGGCCGCCGGAGGGGTGTTTCGGACAAAAGACTCCCGAATCATGATTACAATCTATGTGAAGCTTTAGGATGACGAGAGTCAAGATCCTTGGCATCGCCGACCCTGCTGTTATGCCGGGTCCAAGCGGCGGCCTAGCTATTTATATAAGGACCATCTCGAAGTAGGATAGGGAAGGAGTTGTCAGAGCCACAAGTGTCATCCGAGGCGGGCCGGCTCCCACCAGGTAGGAAGCCGTTTGTGGCGGCTAGAGAGCCGCTTGTGGCGAATGAGAGCCGTTGAAGCCGTTTGCAGCGGATAGGGAATCGCTTGGTTGCAGATAAGGAGCCGCTGTCCAAGATATTGGCCGAAGTCGGAGGAACACAGACATACGGAAGCAAACATCCAGAATCCAAGAGAGAACCTCGGCTGGCTATAAGTAAGGAGTCGAGACGAAGGAAGATAGAGAGGGCAGAGATCAATGCATCACCGTGGGCACCCCTACCTGAGACCGCCAGTGACCACCCGGTATTACGTAGGAGGGACGCCCGTTACTCCCCATCACTCTGTACTATTGCCTTCGGCCTAGCCGTACCCTGACATCACCCGTCGGCAAGAACTGGGCCTCGAGCTTCGTACGGCGACAACCAGACCTCCGGACGCGTTTAAATCGTCGAATCGATTACTAGCGGGTATTCTGCGAAGATCCTGTTGCGTATCGCGGTTATTTTAAGCGTGTTGCGGACACAATAGCGAAGCACAGCATCCAGCCGGAGGATATCTACAACTTTGACGAGACGGGCTTTTTAATGGGCATGATCTCAACCGGCATGATCGTTACGAGTACCGAAAGACATGGAAGGCCTAGGCAAGCCCAGCAACGCAATAGGGAATGGGTTACTGTCATTCAGGCGGCCAATTCCCAAGGCTGGGCGGTGCCGCCGTACATCATCTTCGCGGCCAAAGTTCACCTCGCTTCGTGGTATCGCGACACCACATTACCGGGCAATTGGGTCGTTGATCTATCCCACAACGGATGGAAAACGAATGATATTGGTCTCAGCTGGGTAGCTCACTTCGATCTGCACACACGCGATCGTACGAAGGGTGCCAAACGCCTCCTGATCCTTGACGGTCACGAAAGCCATCACTCGATGGATTTCGAACAACACTGCAAGGACCATGGCATCATTACCCTTCCTGTGCCTGCCCATTCGTCCCATAAGCTCAGCCTCTCGACTTGGTGCCTTTTAGTGTTTTGAAACGGGCGTACGGTGTGTTTGTTGAGGGTTTGATGCGACGGCATCATACCCACGTTGCGAAGGAGGATTTCCTTGCCGGTTTTTTGGAGGGGTTTGGCGCTGCTTTTACTGAACAAAACATCAGATCTGGTTTCAAAGCAGCTGGAATTGTCCCTTTTGACCCCGACAGGGTTATATCTGCCCTGGATGTCGCAGAAGTCGCGCGTACACCCTCTGCCGACCCAGAACTCCTACCCCCTATTTGGACTTCTAAGACACCTACTACCACCCTTGAAGCCGAATCGCAGTCAACGTTGATTAATAATAGCGTTCAGAGGCATCAAGACAGCTCTCCGACGCATATTCTTCATTCAATTGACTCGATTGCAAAGGCTATGCATGCAATGATGCAAGAGAATGTTATCTTGCGTCGCGAGAACGAAGAGCTTCGTGAGACTAACCATGTGCTAAGCAAACGTTGCAGAACCAAAAACAAGCAAATCCAGTATGGTGGGCTACTTAATATAGAAGATGCACAAGTTCTACGGGCTATTAGGGGTGATACGGGTTTGGAAAGTGAGGAAGAGGGTGAAAGTAGTCGTCCTACAAGGGGGAGGGCAACGGGTGCTAGGCGCTGTGGCATTTGCGGAGGAACTGGACATAATGCGCGAACTTGTCAGGCAGATGTAGAAACAGATAATGAAAAGGGTTCTGATTAATTTCTTGGATGAATACGGGTTGTTGTTGATCTATCTAAGATTAAAGGTTGGGAGGTCGTGAAAAGTTGGGCAAAGACCCATGTGGGGCATTGACCTGTGGGTGACGTTAGGTGCAAAATAATGCAGATTTCGTAACCGTTTTGGATCGCCCAGCTGATCTGAGATACACCAGTATATTGCTTACATCGCACCTTACACATGAAGTAATGACTAGTTACTATGTACACACCCCGCCATTATACATGTAAGATCATTAAACCAAGGTACGATCCATGATCCGTCCCATTTGCACAGTCACAATATGTGCTACTTCACTTGCGATACTTCCATACTCACCCGTCTCCGCATTGTTTCTCAATGCATTATTTTCCATCAGCCTTATCGACTTCCTCAACTATACGCGGAGACAATAATCGTAAGGAACCTTTCTTTTTATTCAAAACACTGCATCGTCTTCGAAGGGATTTCTTGATCTAGTAGTCTTTGACCGTGCTACCGAGGCACGATTCCTGCACAAGCTGGACTTCAAAATTCTTTCCATACTATGGTCTAATTCCTGGTGAATCTCATCGACCGCGCTGACATTGGCAATGCTAAGATCCAGGGAATGGAGGTAGAACTCGACCTGAGCGGCTCGAGATTCAATAGTGCGGTCTGGGTCTTCAATTTCGGACACCTAGTCGCCGGCATACCAGCCGCGATCTTGTTCAGGAAGTTTGATATTTTGCTGGGGTGAGTCAGGCTTTTCAAAGAGCTCAAGTTCGCAGAAGTGAGAACATGCACATGCTAATCATCTACAGGAATCCTCGCGACTAGGTGTGGTCTGGTACGAGATTTCCAATGCCTAGTTGATTGTCGGCTGCTGGGGGGGTGGAGGAAGCTGGCTACAGTGCCGGTGCTGCGTACCTCGTGGGAGCGTAGTGCAAGAGCGATGGGTCCCTAGGCCGTCAGCCGATTACGATGAGTGCCACTATATTCGCTGATATTTTCCATGGCTTCGTGCAGTCATAGCTGGCTAACGGAGTAAGTGGTTCTGTAGCTTGGAGATAGTGAGTTAGCTGATAACCCCCTATTGTGGTAGAACGCTACTGATGCCAAGCTAGGATCTTCATTGTCGAGGGTCTTGTTATCCTGGCTATCAGCTTTGGATCGTTTTCCCTGACTCTGCCATTTCAACGAGACGCAAATATTCTAACGCCGGAGGTGAAGAAAATGCTCCTTGATCGTCTCTATACTAAAATTGAGCACGAGGACATTTCACTCGGGCTTGTTTTCTACTATTTGAAGGACTGGAAGATCTGGGCTCAGGTTAGCAGGTCTCCCCGCGTTTTGCGTGAGCGATATGTATTCTACCTAGTCGACTTTCCCATCCTCGCAGCGGGACTCATTGTCCAGCTCACATCCACGACACCGATTGTGTAATACACAGACGTTTTCTTCATAGCTACCGGTGCATACGTCTCCAGCAAGCAGAACTCACCGCATCTCGATCCATATATTCTCCAGGTGAAAGTGAGAAATTGCCACTAATTCGGGCCAAATCGGTACCCATTTTCATATTCTGGACTGCAATCCATGTTGACACGGGTCATAAGCGGGGAGCATTCGCTAGGTACACCGGAAATGGCAATAACCAAAAACAGGAGAAGAATATGTACACCTTGTAGACGTAAAAGCACTGAGCTCTGAAAACGAGGCACAATCGATTGGAGTACATAAGTATACTCGCGTAATTGCATACTCATATACATATCCACCCGTCCTGCAGCCGCCTGATGCCGGAAAGTTTATACGAACGCGACTATCCTCATTGACAACCTGACTGAACAATATCAATATCCATTTACAATAAGTATGTCTCAACAATCATCTCAACTGCGACTAGATGAGTCTTTGTTCCCTGACGATACCCCGCTAGACCCCGCTGATGCGACGCATTCTTGCCTGCTTCAACGTACATACGTTGGGGCTTCGAAGAAGCAAGGAGACAGTCACACTGTCATAAGATGCCGAGGCGCTGTTCGAGACGAATTTGCGCAACATTCTTCAGGCCGTTGCTGGCTGTTGTAAATTTCTCTGGCTTCTGGTACCTCGGTAATGAGCTGTGTGCGCAAGTGAAGAGCTAGCTGGAGTTTGGTCTGGTGGCAACGCTAGCTAAGGTCAAAAAGATAGCTGGAAGGTCAAAGCGCAGACATGACCGGAAAGGCTGTGACCGGTGCTTCAAGAAATAAAATTCGCAGGCGTTGATAATTGGGTCCTTCGCATCGATTGCTATTTTGTCTCCATCTCTGGTCTCGCGAACAAGGGCAGCCACGGGCATTTTCAGCACGGCTAAAGCGTCCGGACTGGACGACGTAATAAGCCTACCGCGGCCTGCAAGACACTTGGACCCAAGTCCAGGACTAGCCCAACAGACGCGGGAATAATGGTCTTACTTCCTTTGGATTCCAACAAGTATCGCCTAGGCTGCTCTCGCTAGCAACCAACTTCATGTCGTAACCCCAAACTGGAAACAAGAAATATAGCATCACCATATGCCTCCTTCCGCACCAACACGTAGCGCATATATGAGTGATCATGGGACACCAGTAAAAAGAAGCACTGTCGAGGTAACCATGATAACCGTTAATAAAAGCAAGCCCAAAAGACGAAATGGTATCATGACTAGAAGCTATATAGTGTCCAGTAGCGATCAGACCATGAAGGACACGCCTCGCTCGGGCAAGAGGCATGAAAGGGAAGCATTAGGGGCTCAAATAACAGGCAAAATCGCGTCAATGACAATACAAACTTTGCCAAATGCTAAACTCATGGCATCAGGCTGATCAGCCCGTAGTGTACTGAAGCTACACAGTCTGAGCCCTTGATCTAAGCTATCGTGTTTCACGCTGATACGAAAAGGTAGGGGGACCCACTGGTTAGGTGAATTCCATTCAATTAGATACTATAACGTTGCGCACTGCTGCATTATAGTATCCTCCCCTAGGTGCACGCATCACACGCATAACATCAGCGACAAGTCGAGATTGCAATCAATGCCGCAGCCCATAAAACCCGACAAGACTGCAACGAAATCAACGGCGCATAGTCAAGATCTACGCCCAGCTGAAAGAGATGCGGGAGAAAGTAGACTAGCATACGAGTCTACAAGTCGCTCCTAATCCTAAACCCAGCCAACGTAACCCGACGGAGTCTCTTTGCCATATGGGCGAGGACATCTCCAGTACCTCCGACACCGAGACGTAAAACCGTTTCTCGATGTGGACGAAGAACTCACCAAGATCCGTTCGGTTCTACATGAAGCATTGAAAGGACAGAACGAGACGGCGGAGGGGTGAACTAATATGGTCTATATAGAGGAACACATATTATCGGCCGAGGATGCCATTGAGAAGGCGAGGAATGGGATACAAACCCTTTGAGATGGATGGCCAATGTAATGAACAGTCGGCATATAGAGTACCTTTTCCTCGTCGGCTTCTTGTATATTACAACGAGAGCAGCTGATACGTGACCCCATGGGGGGTTGCCCTATAGCTAGAGATAAGATAGATAAGAGCTATAAAACAGCTCTGCCAGGCCAGAAGAGCTGACCTGGCCATCCTTTCCCAACACAACAATTCACACCCCATATGCACTCGCATCAGCAGCCATGTTGCCCATATTGGAGTCGGCTGAGTTGGGTTTCTTGAGCTGATTTTAGTAGTATTAAATGATTTACAGGTGCATATACTAGAAGAAGTGGCGTCTGATGCGTCACTTGGGGGGCAATAGGGAACTTTATTCGGCAGACTCTAACTTTTTGGTGCCATCATGCCTCTGGGGTTGCTGAGGGTGGATAGGGTTGAAGTTACCTCTAGGGCCATATTCAATGTAGTTGAAGTTAGGAAAATAGCAGTATAGAGATGCCAGTTTTGTAATACGGCTTAAACCACCCAAGTTGTGAATCCACGCAGCCTGTAGTAGCCGGGGTGGTATTCAGAAGTTTCACACGACGTGTTTTTCGACCGACCACAAAGTAAAGTTAAACCAGGGGGGGGATTAGATACTCTTCTATAGGTCTCATTAATTTCCCCAGGAAAAAATGGAGTTGCTTGATAGGAGGAATCCGAAATCGTAAGCAGCGAATGGAAGTAGCACCACGCGATTAGCAAGGTACAGATTATCAATCCTTGATATACACAATCACAAACCCCCCCCACAAAGCCCTTACATCAAATAGCTCTTCGTCATACTCATAATGAATCTTATGCTCTCCACGCCATTATCCTGCTCCTCCGCGCCGGAACCAGCGTTAACCCCTTAACAGGCTTCTGGCTCAGCCGACTCGCCACAAATTCATCCATCATTTTCCACACGGGCACCTCCCCTGCGTCATTCTGCTGCTTGTTTAACATCTCGCTGAGCTGCACCATCGTCATCGTGATCCCGTTGCCACTTCCCTGTGGTGCTGCCGGATCCGGAGCCGGCGCTTGCCTTTTCTTCTGCGCGATCCCCGGTGCTGCCGGCTGTTCCGCGGCTGGCGGTATAGCTGCAGCAGGTGGAGGTGGAGGTGGAGGTGGAGGTGGAGGTGGTGCTGCTGCTGCGCCCTGTCCAGAATTTCCTGCCTGAGCACCACTGCCACCCGTAGCAGGAACAACTTGAATCGTCCCCGCGCTACCGGGCATCTCCATAGTTAAGATAAACTCGCCGTCGATCTGGGAGACGGGTACGACGATGCGGTTGTTTTGGGTGTCCAGAAGGGGCCTGCTTACCAAAGGAGTAAAGGTTGGGGCCAAGAGGAGTTGCGTGGCTACTGGTGATGCGGCTTGGGGACTTGCTGGGGTTGCGGCCGGAGGATTATTTGGAGCTACGGCCGGAGGATTATTCGGGTCTGCAGCCGGAGGATTATTCTGGTCTGCGGCCGGAGGGTTATTCGGGTCTGCGGCCGGAGGGTTATTAGGGTCTGGGGCGGGTGCCGGTCCTGCGGGGGCGTTTGGATCAGTTGCTGGGGCGGGCTGGTCTGTAGCTGGGGCATCGCCGGCCGAGTTGGAATCGGCCGCCTTAGAGCTGAAGCTCGCTTTGTCTGTTACGTTCAACGTTCCAGGGGTTGCACCAGATGACATTGACGCTCTCTTCTGAGGTGGTGAGAGCGCCGTAGCACCGCCAGGGTTGGAGATGACGCCTCGTTGGGCCACGCCAAGCGTGATGGCGCCATTTGGCTGAACTCCCATGCGGACAGCCATGTCCATAATACGCTGTGCGTTCACTTGTTTTATTAACATGGGCTCACTAGATGTGCTGATATTGTGACTTACATGGGACCTGGACAACGGCAACCATTGAGTTAAGATCCGACACGACACCTGCGAGACTGGTAGTCACGAGGTATCGGTAATTGTCTGGATTTTTCATCCGTCAGTCTTTGGACCCAAGATCGTTCGTCGTGCTTTGATACGTACTGATGGGTTGAACGCCATTCATGAGCATTGACGTACTGACACCATTTACCACATCGGTGGCGACGCTCATTGGCTGGCTTGCTCGGATTGACATGCGGAAACCATCCGTGTACTCGATCTCCTGGATGCCTGACCCAGAAATAGCGACCGTCTGTCCCTGGCCGAAAGGGGCAAGAACATTGCCTGTTTCGACCGTCTGTCGGCCCACGGCCATAAACTCGCCGTCAATATTGTTCAATTTGATCATGCGGACAGTGGAATCCGTCCTAAATTTTCCATTAGAAATTTGTTCGTAGCTCAGTAGAGGGATGGACATACGTGTTGACACTTTTCATTTCATCCAAGACTATCCAGGCTTGCCTATCGTCAGAGAGCATGGCCACGAACGTGTTGTCTGCAGTAACACCATTCTGGGCCAGGACGTTGGGGTCAATGGGCATCTCGATCTGAGCGCCTACGAGATCCGTTGCCCTGTTGGTCTGGATGGTCATGGAATTTGGTGACAACTGAACAAAAGGCTGGCCTGTAGTTCCCACAATATGGTTGGCTGATAGGGGGTTGGGATTCTGGTTGACGATGATTTGCCGTTGCGTTTGTGAGAATGTCTCAATCTTGGAGTTATCAGGGAAGGTCAATTTGTTGAGTGCCATCTATCGAAGAGGTATCAGTGAGGTTTCGCGACATGTATTCTCAAGTCATGGGCCAGGGGAGGGAGGCCATACATTACCATTCAGGTTGACTACTTGATTGAACTGGACATTCTGTTCCTGCGCCGCAACCAAGTTCCAGCTGGTGAGACATAGCAGAAGCCAGAATTGTGTGACGGCCATTATGATTACGAAAAGAAAGAGCTCTGCCTCCTGGGCAAAACTAACTGGAAAGAAGGATGTTCAGAAAGGAAAGGAAAACACAAAGTGGATTGATACGTCTACGAATCAATAGAACCAGCGCGCTTCGAGAGGGAAGCTTTGTTAATGAGAGCTCGAAGCATAGCAAGGAGGTTGACTGACATATGGTGAAGTGGCTTGCTGGCTGTGGTATATGAAAGAACAAGATATCTCATGTACTCAGACGAAGCTCGAAAGTGAGCCGCATGATACCGGGTTCGGAGACGTCTCGTTTTCCCACTCCTGGGCAAGGCTATTCCGGGTTCCGGTCATGGCAGAAGTCTTGAGTGGTTCGACCGAGGCTGTGGCAATATGGCATGAGGCAGCTTCTTGCAGGTAAAAACGAGAGTGCACGGATGCCGGAGGGAAGGCTGCGTTGAACTTGGTATTGTGAGAGCAAAGTTTGGCCTGATGGGGCTTGTAAGGGGCGTTTGACAGCATTGTTTCTCTAATGCCCCTGCATACGTGTCAATGAAGACGTCACTTGCCTACTGGGTCATAGCTAGTACGAAAATAGCTACGAGGAACTGGTCTCTATACTAGTGGTAGTCATATTGCAAGGAAAGGTTTTCCCTTATTTATGAAAGTAGAAGCCGGTCGAAATTTTCTTGGTTTCTAGAGCTCATAACCTAGAGGGAGTCCAGGTGCTGAGAGCTTTTCTTTTTTTCTTCTTTTTCTTTTCCACATACAGTAGTTTTTCTACTTCACTGCCTTCATAAGTTTTAGACTTCTATAAAGCAGTATAATAAACGAGAGGGATAAAATGATGATGGCTATACCACGCAATTCGAAGACAATATTAAAATCCAACATGAGACCAGATGAAGCTACTAGAAAGCCCCTGCAGTAGACAAATTGATTCATAATTCAGCGATCAATCGAGAAATATCAATGCAACCTGAGTTTATCAAATAAACTTTACGATGCTGGTTTCAGCCATGTACTCGCTCGGATGAGGCTCCAGCATCGATTATGTCTGTGCAAACCCCCGTTTCACGCTCGTTCCTATACACTCAAGGTCTGTGACCATACGCGGCGACGCGATTGGCTGCCTATCACATGAGATTTGCTCAGGGCCTTATCTTTGCCGCTTCCCCAGGCGGGTCGTCCGAAACTCGAAACATTTCAGTCGAACTCGTTTGGCATGCAGTGCCCTGCCATATTGACCGACTTCTTAGATAATCCCAACATTCCCTTCATCTGCCCTCCCATCTTGTCTCCCTTGCCACGTCGCTGTCCAGTGAAAACGCTCCTAGAAAATATACTTTAGGTCTTGGCAGTATTGCTCTGTGCATGTTTTCCAGTAAAGGAAACCTGGTCATCAAGTTCTGCAGTTTGGAATACTATGCGACTCATGGCTTTGCCATAATACCGTCATCACCAAACAGTTGATGTCTGGCTCTTTAGACGCTCAAATTGTGCATGGGGAAACGGGGTTGAAAACTGGTGGTGATAAATCAGGCATGTCCTCGACGAGGTCATGAGTTAAATTCAACTAAACCAGACGCCTTGATGGTGCGAGTTCCATTCCTTTTCCTCCATTGCAATTTCATTTTTTACACTGCTCAATAAACTGGCTTTTCGAAGCACGTTGTTTACTGTTAATTTGTACGTCGTCTAGCATATCTCAGACCACCAGAACCCTAATCTGCGCCATAATGTATCGTCAAGCACTCTTTATTTTCATTCTCTCGTCCCTTCCATTTTTTACTTTGGGAGTTCCCAGAGGAAAGGGAATGAAAGAGTCAGCAGCTGCAGCTGCAGCCAGCACCAGACCACAGGCATCAGCAACACCCCTTCCCGCCTCTGCTATCAGGAATAGTACGGCCACCGCTTCCACAGCAACGACTCCACAAGCGACCAACACTGTAGGGAACAAAGGAAATGAAAACAACAACGGCGGCGGCAATGCCACAGCCCCTCCAAATGACAACGCCGTTAGCGACAAACAAATCGCCAACGCGGTAATATCGTGGCAAAACGACACAAGTAAAGTAAGCAAATGGATGGACACAGCTACGTCGTTCACGGGACACGAATTCACACGAAGGGCGACCATCGCTCTCAACGCCGAGATCGACGAGCTGAACCACAAGAAGATCCTCGACATTGCCATGGGGCAGATGCCCATGGTGCAAGAAGCCAATAGTGTGCTCGAGACGCAGGGAACCTTTCAGGATGTGGTGAATGTGCTCCGGGTTATGGTCACCGACGGCCCGGACACGGCGCAGGATTCGGTGAATGCTATTAATCAGAATCGGTGTGTTAATGTGTAAGTGATGTCCTGGGATTGATGCATGTAGATATGGATGCACTAATAATAGGTTCTACAGTCTGCCCAATATTGACAAGTACTTCGCTGCTGCCGGCTCTCCCATGGTGAAGGCCACGAGACCAACCGGATGTCTGGAGATTGAGGTCGCTGCCAGTCCTGCCTCCAAAGACGTCGCGAATCCTGCTGGTGGACCAGCTCCTGGAGTTATGCCGCCGCCAGCTTCACCCCAGCCACCGCGAACATCGGATTTGGGAGGTAATGTTTCCGCTGCGTCAGCTGGCCCTGCCGCATCTAGGGCTGGGAAACGGGCGGGGAAACGGGCGGCAGCGGCTCTCAAACCAACATCTTCTGCCGGTAAGGCTGCCAATCGTGTTGCTGTATGAGCTACAGCTCCTATCAATGCAGCTTCTGCTACTGTTACGGCATCTTCAAATTTGAACTCGACTGCGTTGGCGAGCAATGATCTCACTTCCGCTGGGTGTTCGAGGGTATTGAGTCCGACTGGGGCTACGGCAAAGGCTACAGCTGGGAAATATGTAGGCGCTTAGAGTGAGAAGTCAAGTTCCTAAATGAAAGATCAGCTCATCTTGCTTGACTTACCAGATTGAGTTTTCATGCAAATGTTCCTAAGAAAATGACTCGGGGACGTTGAAATCTGAAGCGCAGAGTAACTAATCGATCGGTAGCACATTTTGTTCATTAGATCGATACCGGTGGCAGTTTGCGCCACCGGTATCGATCGTTCGATCTGACCGGACCGGTTATATGGAGGATTCTGAGGGCATCGTGACCCTTGTTGTTGACCCTGGTTTTATCTAACCTAATACGGCTAGGCGTTGTTTTAGGTAGGAAAAGTGAAGAGCTGAGTTGGCGTGAGCATTATATGGCTAGGTTGAGGAAGCGATGGGAGGGTGACTATAAAAATAGGTAAGTATAATATCTAGATAACTGTTTATCTCTAACTGACCCTCGTCTAGGCCCCTTCCTGAGACCAACCCTTTAGCTGAAGCTGAGAATCAGCCAGTCCTTACGATGCTTCAACGCCGCAAGCGTTTTTATATGAGCGAAGCCGACTCCGAGGTCCTTGATTCGCAAAGTACACAAGATACACAGCCAAGAGCAAAGAGAAGGAAAGGAAAGGGCAGAAACACCAAGCCGGTGCCGATTAGGCAGGAAGAATCACAACAAGACGAGCTTGACCTCTACCTGGCAGAACCTGTGGTTAACGTGGACCAATATTTAAAGGACCCAGTAGCTTGGTGGCGTGATATTGGCGCAAAACGTTTCACCAAACTGTCTTATATGGCTGTTGACTTCCTTACGATACCTTCAGCGCAAGCAGAAACAGAACGCCAGTTTAACAGCGTAGGAGAGATGGTACCAGCACGAAGATCTCGCCTAAAACGCCACGTTATTGGGGCATCACAATGTATCAGGTCATGGAGTTTAGCAGGCGTTTATCAGGCTGAGTTGCCACTCCATCTGCTTGACAAGATATCAAACGTTGAATTGGATGGTGAGGTTTCACGCGAATTAGCTAATTGGGCGCAAAACCGTTAAAAATAAACAACTCCGTACAACCGCTATTGATCGATCCGACCTCTATCTGACCGGACTGGTTATATGTGATCGATACCGATCGGATGAATATGATGTTGATCGATACCGTACCGGTATCGGTATCGGTGAAGAATCATGATCGATAACGATCGATTGGTCACTCTGCTGAAGCGGGACTAATCGAAAGCTGAGTGGATATTTCGTCTGTAGTTTAGAGTAGCCTCCCTTGTTGAATTGGAACAGAGTTTACAGGGTAGGAATTCAGACACACTAAACGGTAGTAAGCGCGATCGACTTGACTATTCATAGAACGGAAACGAAGTTGGCTCATGTAGGATTAAAGTTTGGGACACTTAACGGTAGCAAGAGCAAACCGAGTGGTAGTGGATTTGTTCCAGGGAGTTTGCTTACACCATCAAGCCTGAGTCTCTACCCTAGAAAGTGCCAAGTTTAGTCGCATATGTGTCGATGATATAAGTTGTTGATTCGTTTTAGGTACATCTATACATGCTATTTTTATCGTAACGGCATAAAGTGCATAATCAGCCTATGTGCTTCAGCCTTATATACCACGACTTTTTCTGATTGATGTTCCCCTGAAGCCTTCTTTCTGACTTTCCTCTCTAACACTATACGCGGCGCCTCCTCTTATGTCCCTCTGAGATACTCGAAATTCAAAAGCTCTTTAGGGAGAAAACATTTCCCTCACCAACATCTTGCGATGAACCTTTTACACAAAGTCTTCTATTGTCTCCAAACCTGAGAAAGACACTCAGCCCCGAAGGAGTAAAGTCGGATACTACATGTCCCTCCGTCCAACACGGGGTATCCACAGAGCCACCCACCTATCCCAACGCGCGGGGGCGAAGAAGCGCGCGATTCGCATGGTTCTGTTCAGTATCATGGTAAAAGGGGATTTTAATTACTAGAGCGCAATTAAGAGGATAACGTACCCCACAAGCAAGTTGGCCACTTTTTCTTGGCACCGTATGAATAACTTCAATAACTTAACTAAACTAAAAAATAATAATTCAAACTAATCGGAATCCTCTTCCTCGTACGTATCTTTATCATTATCACAAGTACGAGCATTATGTCCGGGCTCTCCGCAGATCCTACAGCGCCGTCGGCGTGGTTCGGCCGGTCTCGTACGACGACGACTTACACGTATATCATCCTATAGCTGCTGTTCAATATCCCGTTAAGACTGTAAGTCCTGAGCGTCTCGTAAACTAAGAGATCCTCCATCTTGTAGCTGTCGAATTTTAGTCCTTCGACGACGGCTTAGCTCTTGATTGGCCTTCCGAAGTGTAGTAACCTCATCCTCAAGTAAAACTAACCGATGCATAACAGCCGTCGCACCACGTGAAAATTGGTCAATAGCCGTAAGTATTGTCGTCGGGGAGCTATTCTGATGCTGTACGATTCTGTTTTTAACGTATTCAGACTGGGATTGCGCCTCGGTTGGGTTATTTGGAGTCTTTGATTCCCAGATTAAGGGGGCGCCAGACGAGCTCCCAGGAGGTGTAGGCGTATGTAGCTTAATATCCAGCTGTGAAATCACATATTCCGGGTCGTACGGAATAAGTCCTGTCCCCCTGAAACCTGCCTGGATATTCGACTTATTTATAGTCGTACGATACGCCCTATAGAATGCCGAAAAGAAATCCTCTGTGACGGGCTCACTGCGAAACTATACAGCTAAACATGGCCAAATACTGTTAATTATCTAACTGAGGAGGAAAGTAAAATATGCGAGTTGTCCCGGGAACACGGACTATGTTTTGTGTGCCCTCGATGGTTCCTTTGGTGGATCCGGACGCACGGTCCTTGCAGCTCCGGATCCCATATCAGGCACAGCCTGTCACATCCTCCTTCGAGATATGGGTTATATGCGCCCGTATTAGGTCTTCAATTTATTTGCCGTACGACCTTTTCAAAGCCCTAAAACAGCCTACATCGAGAGGCTGGAGCTTATGTGACGAATGGGCAGGCATACTAAGTGTAATAATAGTATGCTCCTTGCAATATAGCTCGAAGTCAGTCGAGTGGTGGCTCTCATGCCCGTCGAGAATAAGAAGACGATAAACACCCTTCGTACGATCCTTCATGTAGCGATCAAAGTGCTGAATCCAGTCTACGCCTCGCTAATTTGTTGTCTAGCCGTTTTTGGTTACAGCGATTACCCAATCGGACGGGAATGGGCTATTCTCGTACCAGGATAAGAGGTAGTTTTGACTCGCGACAATAATATACGGCGGGATAGCCCAGCCGGACGAATCAATACCCTAGATTACTGTAGCCTATTCTCGATTGCCTTGTTGGACTGTACGAGGCCTTCCGCGTCGTTCGGCACTTGTAACTACCATCTCGGATAAGATTAAGCCCATCGCGAACCCTATTGTCAGGGTACGGCTAGGCCGAAGGCAATAGTACAGAGTGATGGGGAGTAACGGGCGTCCCTCCTACGTAATACCGGGTGGTCACTGGCGGTCTCAGGTAGGGGTGCCCACGGTGATGCATTGATCTCTGCTCCTTCCCTATCCTACTTCAAGATGGTCCTTATATAGATAGCTAGGCCGCCGCTTGGACCCGGCATAACAGCAGGGTCGGCGATGCCAAGGATCTTGACTCTCGTCATCCCAAAGCTTCACATAGATTGTAATCATGACTCGGGAGTCTTTTGTCCGAAACACCCCTCCGGCGCCCCACCGGTGTCTTGCGTTCAGTGTCCTGACACCCACTGGTGCCTATGGCATTCTGTTCTCTGACACCTATCTCGTCGAAGTTATAGATATCCGCCTCTTGGATACCATATTTCGCAATTGTATTTCGTACGAGCGTAAACCACGCGCGATACGCGTCAGGATCTTCGCAATAGGCTCGTTGGTAGTCGATTCTTCGATTAAAACGCGTCCGAAGGTCTGGTTGTCGTCGTACAAAGTTCAAGACCCAGTTGACGCCGACGCGTCCAGCGCCACGGTCACGGAGCAGTCGGTTAGCCATAGCTTCAACACCATAGAGCCGGGGAGGAATGATCGCGAATCTAGGTCAAGTATGTATTATACGACCGCTAACTCTTCTGATTCCGTAAGTTTATGACTAGATTGTCGAGTATCGCGTCGAGATAGTAGTCCGCGTTTTCGGTTAGCTAGAGTTGTACGAGGGACATTGTAGAGTTGGGCAGCGCGTCGGATGCTTAATTCGGGTTTCGATTAAAGCGCCTGACACGCTAGAATCATGTCGCTTTCTTTCCAATTCGATCCCATCTTGGTATGTGTAAAGATGTTAATTAAAAGGTTGTTCGTACGGTGCCAAGAAACAGTGGCCAACTTGCTTGTGGGTTACGTTAGTTCTATTAAAGCTACTGTTAATTCTACAAACATACAAGTAAAGCCTGTATGAAGTTTCTCACCAGTGTTTCAGGCCCGGAATGAGATTCGGGTATGAGCTAAGCAAATGCACCACCTGATGGACACAAACAATCCCAGTAACAGTATGTTAAGCTAGTATTCAAACAGATTCAAATCCGAGAGCGGACTGACTTATAAAGATATTAATAAAGGTATTATTTAGGAAGTTTATTGATTTATGATGGATAAGGTACGTGAAAGCGTCGCTAAGGCTGTAAGAGCGGCGACGACAAAGGTTAGGAATAGCTTTAATTTGGTCCCAGGAGGGCGTGTTAACATTCCAATGATAAGTCCAAACCTGAGCTCCAAATTAAAGGCGAATAATTTCTAAATATATCCAAGGATGCGTTGGTGGTTGTTCCTGATAATCTAACAGCGGCATCTGCAGTTTGATGCGGTGTTTCTTAAGTTGGTACGAGGTGAAGTCATACTCGTGTATAATGTAATTCTAGTACGATTCTGAAAAAGTCCACCAATTTCACTAGCAGCAGCCCCTTGTAATGTCGCACTCCGAACAATCCAAATCCACCTGTAAGACGGATAATATGATGGTCTACTGATCTCGGACGTATCACTCTGACTCGAATCATTACGGCTTTCCCTCCCAGGCCTTTGCGAGGAAGTCCTCAGCTCGAGTAAAGTAATAATCTGGGAACATTTGATTCAGCTCGTCTGAGGAGTCCCATGCGCCCTTAGAGCTGCTCAGGAGGATACCGATGGACACTGCCTTGAGAATAGCCGATGCCTGATCCTCCGAGACTGTTGAGTGAACCGCTTCCAAGCCCCACGACGCCTCTAGTTTCCCAGCTTGAAGGTCTTCGGCTTTGACCTTGTCGACCGTAAAAGAAAGTCCTGTAGAAAATTGTAAGCCAAGTTCTATCTTTCCGCTGGGCTCGGCAGTGGGAAATTCTTCTCACCTCGCACTCTCCTGCCGATATCGAGGATCTCCGAGAAGGTAAGCCTGTTGCCTCGAATCCCGCCTATTGTAGGCCACCTGCCATCATAATCGACAGCTTCAGCCACGACCGCGGCAAGATCGGCGACGGTGGTCAGCGTCATGACGGCGTCTTCGTGGCCATCTACGACGGTCGCGCGCCTGTTCTGAAAGTCGAAGACGGACTGGAGGGGGTCGACATGTTTGGCCGTTTTGTACGGGAAGGCTAGGTAATCCAAGAAAAGACCCGGCTGGAACAAGGTATATTCGAGGATCTAAGGAGGGCGGTTAGACGAAATAACTTAAGTATGAGGATCAAGATGGAAATCCTCACAATTCCATCCGCATTTACTTCTTCCAGGTACTTCCTGACTTTTTCTTTTCCACGCCACCAATCCAAGTCAACAATATCCTTACTTTGGATGTGGTCAGTTATCTCTCTTACATTGTGTGAGCTGTGGCAGACATTAACTTGGATTTGATGTTCCCGTTGAAGGAGCAAAAGGAGGGCACATATGCCTAACCTGTATGTATTGTAGCTAACTCTGGTCCTCTCTTCGAGGGTCTATGTATGGAAACAAAAGGGTTCTTATATAGTCAATGAATGGTAGACTTGCTGATTAATTCAGACAAGTTGTAGAAGCATATAGATAAGTAGGGAATGTTCTATCCTCGCCACATTTCTCGTAATAGAGGTATGTGGGGATGGTCGCCGTTCTAGGTGGCGATAGTGGCAAGTATAGGACCCACATGGCCCACAGGGCCCATATTGTCCAACTCACCCCCTCAACAAGGCGGTAGAACTGGTTTGTTGGAAACCGAAGTAAGTACATGTCCTAACTGTTTGGTAGGATAGGATTTGAATAGTGATATGTTCAATCTAACTGGGAATTGTCGTCTGAAACCTCCTGTGCTTGGATAAGCTCTTGTATATTTTTGAGGTTGCATATCTGCACGAATAGGTCGTGTTTTTGCGGAGGTAGTGCTTTTGTAAGACCGTCGGCTGCCATGATAGCCGTTGGGGTCCAGGATACGTTAAGCCTTTTGGTCGTATATGCCTCGCGAAGCCAGTGGTTGTGTATATCGACGTGTTTAAGCTTTGTGGATAGGCGTGCTAGTTCTTCTGTAACTAGGCGAATGGTCTGAGTATTGTCGCATTCTATTACTAACTTCTCGTGAAGGTCGAGACCTATAGCTGCAAATAGTCGCTCCATAGCAAGGGCTTCTTTGGCGGTTTGTGATAAGGCTAATAACTCGGATTCTGTGGTATTGGTTGTAACTGTATCCTGTTTGCTTGCCCGCCAAGTAATGGGTCCTCCAAAGAGCTTCATTATAAAGGCTTGAGAGCTTTTGCGATCGTGGGGATCGTCTGCAAATGCTGCATCGCTGGATACTATGAAGCTTCGAGGGACGTTAGTTGTGTCGTCTCCTCCTAGCTCGAGGGCGTAGTATCTGGTAGATAGCAAATATGTAAGGCAGTCGTCGATAGCCTGGTGGTGCTCTGGAGAAGGGTTGCTATTGAACTGAGCGAGCTTTGAAGCAGCGAATGCGCAGTCCGTTCGAGTGGTTATAGCCGCATATAGTACGCTGCCTACCTTAGCTTGGTAGTCTCGTCGAGAGATAGGACTAGCCTGTCTAGTGTATCTAGAGAGGTCTCTATAAGGCGACAAAGGTACTTTGGGGATACGTTTCCGATCAAGGGAAACATCGTACTGGGTACATATTTTCTCGATATACGAGGTTTGAGAAAGCCAGATCTTTCGTTCGGTCCGATCCCTTATGATCTGAATGCCTAGGAACCAGCGAAGTTCTCCTAGGTCCTTTAGTCGGAAGCGGTTCATTAGCTGTTGAATGAAGTGGTTGGTTTGAGCTTCGTCCTGCTTGCGATATAGTAGGCAGATGTCGTCTACGTAGAAGAAGGCTAGAATCTTGCCGTTCGTAAGGATGCAGGGCTCTTCGGGGACCTGTTTAAGGCCTAACTCGGTCATGCCTGATGCTAGGTCGCGTTGCCATAGGAGAGGTGAACGACGGAGACCGTATAGGGCTCTTTTGAGCCGTAGACAGTAGCCTCGTTGCTTGAAACCGTCTGGGAAGTAGACGTAGACGACTTCATCGATTTTACTATGAGTAAAGGCGTTTACGGCATCCAATTGCCGCGTCTCGAGGTCAAATTTTGCAGCAATAGCCATTAGCATCCGGAAGGATCGTCCAGCTAGGGTCGATGCGTATGCGTTTAGGTCTGATCGTGGCTGGAGATCTCCTCTAACAACAAGGCGTGCTTTGTATCGATCGAGGTATCCGTGTTTATCGAATTTGTAGGTAAATACCCACATTAGGGGGATTATGAAATGGCTGGTAGCTTCTGATAGCGGTACCTTATCCCACGAGTCTTGGCTAATGGCGTTATATTCCGCTAAAGCAGCCTCTTTCCAGTTCGTCCAGAGAGCGTGTAACTGTGCTTCGGCCCAGTTCTTCGGAGGTGGAGGAAGGTTTCTCCGATGTTGCCTTTTGTGCTGGATTGCAGTAGTAAAGGCTGCGTTCAGTGGTGTATACTGGGGGCTAGAAGTGTGATATTTGCGGAGAGCTTTGGGGATAGCCTGAAAGACGTCCGCTGTATTGGCTTGATGGCGGTTTCGACGGCTTCTTGTAGTTGTATTCGGCAAAAGATTCGGATTTAGCTCTGATCGTATCTCGTTAAGCATACGGGAGCCTCGTCCAGTGGCTCGTGGCTGCTGGGCTAGCGGTATTATTGGAGAATCTGGCGATGGGTCTGGTGATGGGTCTGGTGTTGGCAGTTGTTCTGGTAGCAATCCTTTGTCGGCTATAAGCTCTGGAGGTACTGCCACGGTAATAGAGTCTTCGATTCGCTCTGATGGTTCTCGGTGGTCCACCCCCTCAGCGTTAGAGATGTCGTTAACTGCTTCGTCAACGCTGGACTCAGTTGTTCCATTGTATCCGAGCACGATTTGCAGGGCTGTATCATCATTACTAGCCTCAACTTCGATATGCTGGATCTCATCGTCGATTTCCCTAATCCGGAGAGGTGTGTAATGTTCCGATGGATCGTATACTCCTTGTTCATCGAAGGTTACATCTCGTATGGATATAACTTTGTTTCTGGTCGGGATCCAGACCTTATAGACAGTCTGGTTCTTGTACCCAACATGGTATCCGATATATGTCCGAGGCTCCATCTTCTTTAACTTATTCCTTCCGGCTCGATAGTCTTCGGTAAGGGGATAAGCCTTGCATCCCCATGCAACGAGGTGAGAGACTAGAGGGCGGTGGTCTTGAATCGGGAGATTATCTCGTTTGGCAAGCCATTCTGAGAGAACTTCGATAGGAGTTTTCCACTTTAGTCGTTTAAGTGGTGTCCGATTTGTTAGATATGTAGCTGTTTCAACAGCTTCTGGCCACAGGCTTGGCGGTAGCCGTGAGCTAACTATCATGGCACGCGCTTTGGTATTGATTATCCTCCCAGCTCGTTCGGCGACGCCTACCGGCTCCTTGGTATATGGTGGTGCTTGGTTATGCTGTATGCCGGTACGCAAGATCCATTCCTGAAAATGTTTGCCGAACGCTTTCTCGCCATCTGACGTAATTGTTTTCACGTCAATGTCATACCGTCTCTTAATGTAGGATACAAGGCTTGTAAGGGCAGGAAAGGCGTGCTTTTTCCGTCGAAGGGTATATGTAATCCGTACTCCGGTAACTAGGTCAGTGCCGATTAGAGCCCTAGTTCGTCCGTCGTAGGCTGTCTCGTATTCGAAGAGATCAATATCCATATGTTCCAGGGGTTTGAATCCTCGGTTTTTGGGATGTCGTGTAATGCGGCGTGTCCCTTTTGCGAGAGAGCAGTCTTCGCACTGGATCGTAGTTGGCGCCTTAATCTTTATGCCTGTAACTGCGTACACAAGCTTCTCTAGGCTTCTGGGGCCAAGATGGGCCATCCGTCTATGCCAGAGTGTAGCGTCACCGTCAAGGGGTTTTTGAGGTCGACGTGAATCGTTCCCATGGAGCTCCTGCTTCTGCTCAAACGGATTTGTGGGCCTTAGGTCGATACCCGGCATCCCTGGAGTATCTACTGTAGGTATAGATGCAGGCTCTAGTGGTATTGACACCCTCTCATCTTCGGAGAATTCAGATACCTGTTCGGAGTCGGATTCTGAAGGTTCAGTGGAAATTTCCACATCTGCTTCGTCGGTAGCAAAGGCGCTGCTATAGGTCGCGCGTTGGGAGGCTATAAATGGTTCCAGATCATCGTTGGCAGCGTTGTCGTTTGTTAAGGGAATGTATTCGAGAATCGGCTGGTTATACTTTTCTGTAAGGTAACAGAGGGTTTTCCGATGTCCTGCCCGAATGTAATACAAAGCTTCATGTTCCATATCGTAATAGATGCCGGCTTTCTTGAACAACCTAGCAGAGGCGAGGTTTGTATGCATGGCGGGGACGTAGGCGACGTTCTCGAGGGTAAATACCATAGACTTTCCTCCTGGTCGTCGTATTTGGATTTCGACGTCACCCCATAAGAAGATATCTAGAAGAATACCTCCACTGATGATTTTGTCTGTAGGGGACGCGCTTCTGATTTTCTTGAATCGGGAATGCTGGTTGCATATATGGATGCTGCTTCCAGTGTCGTAAAGGGTTGATCGTTTCAATGGATAGTCTACCTGGAGGCCTGTAGTAAAAGCAGAGACCTCGTGGATCGTATTGACAGTATTTAACTGCTTGGTGGGTGCGCTGGCGTTGTTGCCAGCGCCGTACCCTCAGGCCTTGCCTGGTATGGTATCGTTGCTCTCGTTATTGCTACTGCTGTTGGCTCTTTTGGCCGCTCGTAGCTGGATTTTCTCGATCAACTTTCTAACCTTCTCATCCTTCAGTTTTTCCTCTATCTCTCGCTGCTTGCCCGGGTTCGGGGACCATCCAGTGGGGCGAAGGCTCTCGATAAGGTAATAACAGGCGCTATACCGGTGGTGACTACCACATAGGCATGTACGTGACTTGTCGTTTGTAGAGGCTGCTGGTGGCTCTTTTCCGTCTAGGGTAGGAGTAGCTGCGTGAGCGCCTCTTGAGATGGTATGGTATGTGTTTCCGAAGGTTTTATTCCAACGGAGGTGGTTTGCAAAGGCATTGTAGATAGACTCGACTTCCATTTGCTTCGCTGGTGGGTTCTGGAGCTCCTTGTCGATGTCGTGCTTCCAGTTGCTTGCGAAGTCGCTTGCTACGGGGTATACCGCAGTAACGAAGGCGTAGTGAGCGTGGTACATTGATATGGAGGGTAGGCCAAGCTCCCTTGCTTCGAGGTAGGTCGTCCACCACTCAGAGAGCCAGCTCTGGATGTTCTTCCCTTGGGATAGAGGTTGGCATAGCTTCTGAAAGCGGCCATCGACCTCCATTTTGTACTGTTGGCTTCCTGGCTTAAAGTACTCCTTAATGGCTAACATCTTATCGCGAAGGGTTGGCTTGCTACGGAATAGGGCGTGGTGTCGATCCGCAACGTTGTTAAAGAGCCAAGCGTCGAACTTCTGGGCTTGGGCATCCTGAAGTTGATATTCAACAAGCTTCTCCTTGCGTATTTCGATTAGAAATCTATATTTGTTGAATTCCACGGCGTCGAGGTCGGAAATATCGGTTGCGCCGGCCTTGACCTTACTAACCGACGGGACCAGTGGCTTGGTTAGCAAGGGCACGACCTCGTATTCAGGGAGTTTCGGATCGATGTTGTTCCAAAGTAGAGGGGCTTCTGCTTTGGCTCTGAAATAGAAGGCCTCGTACTGGTAAGGTTCGTCCAGTTTCCCGGAAAGAGTGAGAGAAGCCATGTTGCTATGTAAAGATAATTGACGAGAATGTCTTGAAGGTTTTCCAGTGGCTTAAACGCACACCGGGCTCATAACACTTGGATTTGATGTTCCCGTTGAAGGAGCAAAAGGAGGGCACATATGCCTAACCTGTATGTATTGTAGCTAACTCTGGTCCTCTCTTCGAGGGTCTATGTATGGAAACAAAAGGGTTCTTATATAGTCAATGACTGGTAGACTTGCTGATTAATTCAGACAAGTTGTAGAAGCATATAGATAAGTAGGGAATGTTCTATCCTTGCCACATTTCTCGTAATAGAGGTATGTGGGGATGGTCGCCGGTCTAGGTGGCGATAGTGGCAAGTATAGGACCCACATGGCCCACAGGGCCCATATTGTCCAACTCCCCTTAAGGGAGTACTTGTAGAGGTACCGAGGGTTAACACCTACGGCGTATTTAATTTTATTTTTATTATTAATATTGAGCGTTCCGGTCGGTCTTTCGGGATTATTTCACGGCGTGCTCTGCATGCCCTATGCGAGGTTCTTCTCCCAGCAAATAGTATCGCCGAGACGCATGTTGCAGCTGCCTCCAAAAGGGTCCCATCCTATACACATTGCCAGACGGCTTCTGATGTTAGGCACTCTTCTACAAGGCATCCAGCCAAGCTCTGTTGGAAAACTGGCCGGCATGAGCTCGGATTACCGTGTCGTCATGTCTCGTGTGGTGAATACCGCCGCTAGACTTGTGAGAAGCAACGACGAACTTGTCAGCTCGCTCGAGGGGATCGAGTGTGTCATGATGGAGAGCATGTACTTGAATAATGCCGGAAACCTCCGCCGCGCCTGGCTCACCAACCGTAGAGCCATGGTCACGGCGCAGATGATGGGGTTACACACGGGTAGCTGCTCGCCGAGCATGATGCTCGAAGCAGAAACTCGAAACCGCATCGACCCGGATTGCATGTGGTTCCGCATAGTCTTCTCAGACAGGTATCTTTCCTTGATGCTAGGCCTTCCGCAAGGCTCACCAGAAAACATCTTCGCCGGGCCAGAGGCACTCGAGAGATGCACGGCTATGGAGCGTATGGAGCGCATGATGGCGGTTGCGGCTGGGCACATTCTGCAGCGCAACGGCGCCCAACGAACTGATCTTGCAGTGACGTACAAGGTTGACAAGATGCTCCAGGAAGCTGCGGCTCTGATGCTGCCACAGTGTTGGCTAATGACGCAAGACTCTACCATTCTCGTCAATAACAGCGCACAGGAATTCAAGGAGTCGCTCCGCCTCGTGAATCAGTTCACACAGTGGCACCTTTTGGTACAGCTCCACCTGCCATACATGTTGCTGCCCTCTTCAATCGACCAGAATTACGATTACAGCAAGATGACTGCTGCCAGCGCCGGTCGTGCGATCGTTTCCCAGTTTGTGTCCTTCCGTAGCTCTACTTCAGCTACTGCGTATTGCCGTGGCATTGATCTCGTTGCCTTTGTTGCCAGCACGACGCTATGTCTTGCGCATATGGAGGCTCGCCGCCAGCAGAAAACCGACGCCGGCAAAGTCATTGGTGTTTTCCAATCCCTCCAACATCAGCGGCTGAGCGACCGCGGACTGCTCGAACGCACTCTCGAAATAATGGAGACAATGGCTCAAAAGGGTCACGATGTAGTTGCCCAAAAGATCTCCAGCGTCCTTCGGCCACTCCTCGATATCGAGAATAATTCTGCCAGGGGCGTCTGCTACGAAACCAGTGCCCTGGAGTATGATAAGAACGAGTCTCAGCCCCTCGGTGATACAGGCCTGACGTTCAACGTCTTGCGGATCCAGATCCCGTACTTTGGGACCATCAAGATCGAACATTGTCCTACCGTTTCCGACTACATTGAGCCGGCAAAGACGCCCTCCAAATACTGGCTTGGTAACCCGCCTGCTTCGCAAGCAGCTGGTGGCGGCCTTGTTGTTCTCTGTGAGCTAATCTCACCGCCCACCCAAGTGCCGCACGAAGGACAACAAGGAGGCACAATCTCCACAGGAAACCAAGCTGCCTATGCATTCAGCACCGCACAGCCTGTCAATACTGACTGGCAAGCCGTACCATCGCATCTTTATCCAGCTGGCCCGCCCCAGCAATCTGAACCGGCAGCTTGGGACCAAGGCCCACCGTCTCTCGACGTCAGCGATGCACAGGAGGCCTGCCTTCTTGTGCCCGGCATAACAGCAGATGTGAATGATTGGGCTTTGCAGGGCGTGGATATGGCTTTATTCAGCAGTCTCATACAAGACTCGGCGGGTCCGACAGAAATAAGACCACAGGCTGATACGCAGTGAGGATCTCATAGTATTGGCACAATTATCTAATGGGAATCGTTGATATACTGTCGTGGTATTGTACCCAGTCATAACGCGGAGTAGCCATCAGCGCAGTTAGAGCAAACTCAGCATCTTCAGAGATGGCGGAAACTATCCTGCTCTTCTTTCTATGCCACTTTATCCACAGCGCCAAAAGGAAGCTCATTCAGTGGACAGACTCTGACACTCTGCTCTCTGAATGTGAGAAGTCCTTATGTTTCTCAGCTCTGGCATCACCAATCTACAGCCGCCGACCATCCTGACCCATAGCATGGCGCAGGCCGCGACTAGCATCCAAGCACGCGCGTCATATTTTGTTGTCTAGTCATGGAACTCAAGGTAGAGCTGCTGGGTAGCCGCGTAGAGATGGAGATGCTGCGGCGTGTCTCTTCCCTGATCTTGTGCAATAGCAAAAGCACACAGCTGACGGCCGCGATGGCGAAGACGAAGGAGGGGGTGGAAAGGAAGGGACTGGCCAAGGCCGTAATGTGGATGCGCTTAATAGCTCATGTCGCCCGTGATCAGTGGTGAAGGGAAGTTCCGGACGACGGACTACATGTTCGCTGCAGGGTCGTAGCCGGGCGAGCCTCAGCAACAATGCGCCAACTGCGTTGAGTAACCGTCCAGCTGTCATAATTATCAAGGGCAGACTTCAGAACTTTCTGTGGAAAACATCGACTGTATTGGCGTACGGCAGTAGTCCGTGTCTCAACTTGTGGGACCGGTATCAGACCTTATAACAACCAATATGACTACATTCTCCAATGAGTGGGGAACTCGTCTTTTGACGGTCATTTGTTCCAATAACCGACCAGAAGGGGGAGCCTGGTTTTGAACATGATGGGTCTAACAGCGGGCTATCATCCGTGTATAGCCTAGAGCGGAGTCAAAGGTCCATTCCACCTGAACGCAACGGGAGTCGAGAGTGCAGGGCATAGATTTTTGCCCTTTTCGCGTTTCAGTGCTCTTATTCGGTGAAGTATGAAGCTGAAGCAAGGCGAATTTTCTGAGAGTTCGAAAACCTGCGCTGGTTGGCGGCTCTGTCGGCCTCCGCAAACGAGCGCTGGAAGTACGGGGATGAAGACAGCCATGATGGAGATGGCAGGATCTGCTTTGCCAAAGGTGAACAACTACACGATTGTGGCTTTCAAATTGGTCAGCCCATGGGCCAAGGATAGAACTGAAACGACGGCTTACCGTTGTCGCGCTCAATCCTGTACGGAGTCATGATCTTGAGTGAGTCCGTGAGACCTAATCTACAAGGCGTGGGTTTCAAATAGACGAAGTAAACCATGCCCATGGTATCTGAATTAGACAGACAGTGTACTGAATGTGATAGCGAGGTCGTAGCGAAAGGCAGTTTCAAATGGAACCAGGCTTTTCAACTGTGCTGGGTAACCGGATTGACCAAACCCCCTTGCGTTTCATATGAGGTCTAATTGCCTTGCTGTCAGGTTGGAAAGGTTGTCCAACAGATTGCAGCTGGTCTGACTAACCCGAATCAACACCCCGCAGACTATTTCCTGAAGTTCGACCGGCCCCAAAACATGCTTTCAAGTGGCTTATCCGTGCGATCTCGCCATCTCATCCACTTTCTAACTCACTCCGCCATCGCGCGACGGCGTCGCCGTCGATGCATTAACAACTAGTTTATTCGGCTGGGTACCCAATCCAACAGATCAGTGCGCCACGTACTCCTTGCATACTGAACTACTCGAGGTGGCTTGAATACAGGATGAGGCAGGCAAATAGTTTGGAGCCAAAATAGTTTCATGTGATAGACTTTAGATTTATAGATTCCGCTACGGGAGTTGAGAGGTGCCATTGCGCTAGGAATTATTCCCTGATATGTATAAACTTCTATCAAGTCTGGGGAGGGTAGCTGTGGGTACTTCGCCGATCAAGTGTCCGAAGCAAGGCACGCCCAGATTCCGATGTGCTTCCTGACAAGGGGGAGGAGTTTACCCTTGCGCACTTGAATGGGCTTTGTTTGGCTATCGGCGATGTGTACAAGCCCGGCGCCAAGTTAATCATCATCTCGGACGGGCTGGTTTACAGCGGTAAGTGTTTTGCTTACCACGGTCGTGTGCTTCAACATATCAGAGGTGCGACTAACATAGATTTGTATGACAGACCTTCTCGGCGTCCCTGATAGGGATGTGTAGGCATACGGAGAGACACTCCGCGCCATGTCCAAGGCCAAGAAGTTTGACCAAATCGAGTTCTCGCGCCTCGGCGACCTGGTACCCATCGATGTACCCGGGGACATGGACGAAATGACATACGTTGCCAATGCGAGTAACTTCCGTCGCGCCCTCCTCAACACGTTTGGAAGGCCCGACTGGAATGCGTCCGAGATGATTGCGGCCAAAGAAGACACTTGTTTAACGTACCGCGGGTACGTTCAGTTTCTGCAGACCGACTTGATGAATGTCTATCCGGTTGGGGATAAGCGTAGCAAGACAAAATTCAGGAATGGGGTTGGGACAATCGCTAAGCAGATGTTGGGGGGCGGTGATGTAAGTGTTAATCCCGACTCAACTACCTGTTAATACTCGTAACCCCTTTTGACTCCTTATCAATACAGGCCTTTTCCCGCGCTGTTAATGAGAGGTTCGGGGACCACGTACGTCTCTCTATTCACTTCTCGACGGGAGAGAACAAGCTGTCAATCAGCCCCTTCCCACCGAATCCAGGTTCAAGACGCCTTGGCACTGCGCTGTCGCATTTTGTATGGACGGGACCCTTTTGTCCGGTCACCGCTCCGAGTTCGACTCCAACCCGAACTTCGAGCTGGTGTACGAGCATGGTAGGCCCAGTTACTACTGTCAAAAAGCCATGCGTTCCTTGCTGGACTGGCCTCTGTCGCAGGTCACCGCCGAACCCATGTACCCTGTGGCCTCATGATCCGGCCTGTCTTGTCAGCGACAGGATCCAAGCGACCCAGCATAGAAACCATCGACGCGCAAAAGGTCCGCACCCTGTCCGAACACAACTCGCTCGTGATGCTGCGCGGGTTTTACGGCACCACAGACCGAGACCGTTTCGTGTCCAAAGCAACTGAATTCGGCACGCCACTTCCGCGGAAATTCGGGCTTGTCCTAGAAGTTAAAGACCGTGGAGCCGATCAGCGAGACTTCAACGGTACGTTTTCGGCGGAAGGGATGCCGTTCCACTACGATGGCGTCTTCAAGACGGAGAAACGACCCCGTGGTGATGGCCAAGGCGAGGAGTTGGTCCAGTTCTTCACTGCCGTTACGCCGTCGCCGAACAATACAGGTTTCACACTGTTCTCGCCATCGTCACGGATATGGCCTCTGCTACCCTGCGGACCACCGCTGAGCCAGCTTCAAAAGCTGACGTGGTTGGTGGAGACGAAATCGTTTGACGGGGCGAAGCTCAATGGGCTGCCGCTTGTGATCCCGCATCCCACCATAGGGACGCCATGTCTGCGGTATCACGAGCCATGGCCGCAGTTCAAAACGGCGTTTGAGTCGATTTTGGTCGAGATTGAGGGAATCTCACGAGAAAGCGGCGCCATCATCTGCGCCACGCTTGACTCGCTGCTGTACGATCGGAGGGTGTGCTACTGGCATTCATGGGAAAAGGGAGATGTGCTTGTCAGTGATAATATAGCCTCTTTGCACACCCGAAGCAGTTTCACGGCGGGAGCTGACCGGGAGCTTTGGCGCATCCACCTTGACTAGGGGCTTGAGCAATACATGCAGGGAAGTGGTAGGCGTTGGACGGTGGATCTTATTACCTCTATTCAGAGCCGTTGCAGGAACTATATTTGTTTCGCGGCTGAACTCATTTGCAAAAACATATAAGTGCTTAAGCCACTTTGTTTTGATGTCCTGGCCCAGTTTTCACATTCGGTTTGAAAGTCGAGGCATTCCCGGTCTCCTCCCACAACACTTGATTGGGATTGTTCATGTTCCATTCCAAAATCTGGTCCAAATTGCGGCATGTATGCAAGCTGGAGAAATTTGGCAACGGCAACTGTCTTCCTGGTAGGGACTCGCTGTCGAAGAATGTGATAGGGGTTACATCCGATGTGCACATAAGGCTGAACCGCACAGCATCAATGCAATGGTCTGGACGCAAGGTTAGAGTGGAACTTGCTATTGTTTAAATGTGTTCTTTTACCATGGTGTACAATGACGGCCTCTCTCGAAATGTTGGTGTCGTAATACTCCCAGTTATAGAACGTGGCTTGTCGAAGAGAGTCCTAGATGTACACGTTGGTATATGGCGTATGGGGATAACTCGACGACATTACAAATACCAGACAATGTAGTAAATGGAATATTTCCAGTAATCCTAGGTATCCACCACCAAACTCTTCGGGGATGCGATGCAGTGGTCTCCCTGTCATATCAGGCTTGTTGAGAATTCGTAAATACCCCTCAGCCAGCCTGATTCCAGAAGCTCCCAACCCGATCTCATGCCAGGTGTCGTCGATCTCAGTAGTCGGTGCATCCAGAGCTGGTCCACGGTATTTGTTGATGGCGATCTCGGCATCGAAATGCCGCGGAGCCTGGATATGGACAAGTTGCATTTTATTTGGTCTGGAAGTTTGTACTTACACCACGTTGACAGCCTACGTTTCGATGCTTCCAGAGATGCGTTTTGCGAGAGTATGTAGTAGATAATTGGGATATATCCGCACAACAAGATCAGGACGTGAGATAGTAGAATTGTTGCGGTGGTGCGACTTGGGCGCGAGAAGAAGCGAGACCTTTGCGATTGGGAATAGGCTGCGGAGGTCAACTCAACGTTTTTCAGCTTCTCCTTCGCTTTCAACACCTGATATGTGTGCTTTATATTGTGTAACGATACGATTTGTTACTAATTCAGAGGGGGCACATTTCTTTTCAAAACAGCATGGACTGGATCCTTCTAAATACAAGACGAAGTTAGTAGTTAGCAACAAGACAGGCCGGCAAAATCCTATTGCAAGCTTGTAAAGAACAAATGTCACCAAATACCCGCCACTAGCTTGATTCGAAACAAAACGCCCTTCTAATGTTATCTAGTGAAGGAAAGGTATGCCGGTCTATGATAGGAGATGAGAGGTATCTTCCAAGCCGTATCTAGGAACACACGTAGGGTGAAAACTATGAAAAAGACATAAGATCAGATCATAAATACTACGAACCCATCTTCTTTTCCAGGTTCAAACGAACAAAACATCCAAACAAGTCATACACTCAGTGCAAACATCTACACCTACCAGAGCCCAACTAAACGTTCTGCAGGCAGCAAATTATTCCGGGATCACGGCATAGACCTGAATGAACGACTCTATAGGACATAACATCTTAATCGTTTCATTCTTTGTGAGAAACTTAAAGTGTGAATACGAGGCAGTCTATAGTAACGGCCGAGCCGCGCTACACGTCCATAAACGCTACGATGTAGCCTCGCTACGACCCCGAACGGGTACCGACTGGAGCAGTATCACATTCGGAACAGGCCCGGATGCTCTTACTATCTGGTCTATCTATTCACCAAACCAGTCCGGAAGCCGCTGGATTAGCCCGCTCCGGGACCTCCCTAGTGAGGCCCCGGAAGGGAAGCAGGTCCTCGTAGGGGACTTCAATACACATCACCCGTTGTGGGACATACACGGACGATCGTCACGGGGTAGCGAGAATGTGGTAGAGTTTGCGCGACGGTGGCAATTAGAACTCGCCACACCTTTCGGGGAAATTACACGGCAAAGACACAGACAAAGGGACTCAATTATCGACCTTGCATGGGCGACGAAGGGGACCCGGGCCTAGAGGGATCGGACCATAGGGCGCAAGTAATCAGGGTAATATCTAACGAGGAGGCAGCGAATGAAGGCCGCCGTAACACCGAGGGGTGGAATTGGACGATGGCAGATAAGTGGCTAATCGTAGCCGAGCCGGGCCAGAGATTCATGAACTATTTGCCGGTTGAGACGAGAACAGAGCTAGACCAGGCGGTCGATTGGGTCATCCAAAACCTCCAAGAGATCGCCGACGTAGCGGCCCCTAGGCGTACTGTTGGTAGAGGCGCCGGGACCCCGTGGTGGTGCCCCCAGGTCAGCAAGGCTTGCGCTGAGACGAAGAGGCGACGACGAGATTACCTCCACGCGAGGTCGCATACTAACTGGGGCGAATACTTAAGAGCTAACCAAAAACAACGGCTCGAAATCAGCGAGGCACAGGCGCGGAGCTGGCATGAAAAACTCGAGAGGACGGCGAAGGATCATAAAAGCCTTTGGGCACTACAGAGATGGGCTAGGCTGCGGAGCTGGACACCCCCTGACACCCATGGGATGCCGGATCTTCGACGGAACGCAAGCGATGCACCCACAGCGCGCACCCACGACGAGAAGTCAAAGCTACTAGCTGAGAGGTTCTTCCCAGACCCGGATATAGACCTGTCGGATCTCGATCACAACCCGCCACGGACGAGACCAGACCTGGACGTCCCTAAGGAGGTAAACGCGAAGGACATCGAGGCTGTTATCAAGAAGACAGCGGCTTGGAAGGCCCCCAGCGATGACCAGATCCCTACGGGCCTGCTGAAAATCTGTGGTAAACCCCTATGGGAGATACTAGCGGATATAGCGACCGTAAGCTTTAGGCTAGGATACTACCCGGAGCGCCTCCGCTCGGCAAAGGTAGTCGTTATTCCTAAGCCGAACAAAACGACAGCCCAAAAGCAGACCCCTAACGGCTGGCGACCGATAGCGCTGCTTAGTACGATAGGGAAGGTGATAGAGGCGGTGATATGCCAGCGTATCACTACCGTCGCGGAGACGGCCGGTCTGCTACCAAACGGCCAAATGGGTAACCGAAAGGGGTGGTCCACCGAATTAGCGATACGTATAGTCGAGGACGTAACCTATACAGCTTGGAGGCGCGGAGGGATCGCCACACTACTACAACTTGATATTAAGGGGGCGTTCGACACAGTTAACCACAGTCGTTTGATTTCTATACTAGCCTGGAAGGGCTACCCGGAGTGGGTTCAGGAATGGGTACACAGCTTCGTAGAGGATAGGACAGTACGCCTCCGGTTCGACGGTAAGGAGTCAGAGCTGATCCCTCTACGAGCTGGCGTCCCCCAGGGGTCGCCACTCTCCCCGATACTATTTATCCTATATATCTCGACGCTATATGAGGAAATAGCGGAGAAACACTCCCTACTCTTAGTCGTAGGGTTCGCGGACGATACGAACCTACTTAGCGTGAGCACAGACACGGGCACGACCTGCCGCCGACTAGAGGACGCTTGGGCTACGTGCCAACGGTGGGCCGCCAGGCACGGGATGGAGTTCGCTCCGGACAAGAGTGAGCTGATGCACTTCACTAGAACCCGAGACCCCTCCCCGCAGAGTATCCGTCTTGGAAACGCTACAGTAACGCCGAAGGTCTCGGCAAGGTTCCTAGGGGTCTGGTTTGACCGCAAATTAACGTGGCACGTCCATACCGAACGGGTTAAATCAAAAATGGCGACTCAGAAGCTAGCCCTAACAAAGCTAGTGAACATGGCGTGGGGCTGCGATCTCATACGGGCGAGACTACTGTACACGTCGGTTATTCGCAGCGCGATCGCCTTCGGGGCGGCTGCGTGGCACACTATAAGCGAGGAACCAGCGGGACCAGCTAAGAGCCTAGTCGGGATACAGAATGAGTGCCCCCGAATAGTCTGTGGCGCCTACAAAGCGACACCGGTCCGACACCTAGAAATAGAGGCAGCTATCCCGCCACTAGACCTATATCTCAGTGCCCGGGCGGCGAAATTTGAAGAAAGGCTACGGAATAACGGCAAAAGGAGCCTGCTTCGGAGCGCGAGCGCGAGAGCGTCACACATACTCCGACAGGACACGCCGGCGAGACTGAAGCGGGCGTCACAATCGCTCAGACCAGCGGGGTACACGATAGATGTCACGACCTGGGTTGCATCGCATTGGTAGAGACCTCGATTAGGTGCTATCGACGAAGATTCTACTCTAAGGAGCGAAGGAAAGAAGATGACAACTTAGGTTTGAGGGAGCGCGACTAAGTCATCCACGCTTGGCGGGGCTCCTACAAGGGTTGACCTTCACAATAGAGAAGGAGGCTAGGGGCTCCGAGTGGATAGGCAAGGCGAAGGAAGTCCCGGCCGCCCTCCTAGACCACTGGGAGAAGAGATGGCTCTCCGAGGCAGCACAACACGACCGCCAGCGACGCGCTATCGCCGAGAAGTAGGAGGGCCCCTCGATGCGAATGCCGAAACAGGGCAAGTACTCAGACCTAAACCGACCGGAGGCGTCTACCCTATGCCAGATCAGGACCGGAAAAATAGGACTATCAGCTTTCTTATTTAAGATAGGAGCCTTCGGTGTGTACTCGCCGTTATGCCGCTGTGGAGAGGCCCCCGAGACGGCAGAGCACGTAATCCTCTTTTGCGGCCTGCTGGAAGAATCGAGAGAGCGCCTACGGGCCACTATCGCACCATGGTCGCTGCATACACGTAGAGACCTGGCAACGGCGACGGGGAAACCAGTAGTCAGCGGGACTATCACAAGGTGGCTACTCAGGACTGGCCGGATAGCGCTTAGGCCCGGATAATATCGATCGTCTCAGGGGGACTTTGTTAGTAGGGTGAGAACTAACATGGTATTGTGGTGGACGTAACGCAGTCGCTAATAGAGCGAACCTACGTAGCAGCGTATGTATTTAGTCCAGCCATTAGGGCACGGTTTGACATACGGGAGCACTTGTAGAGGTACCGGGGGCTTCGAGCCTACGGCGTATTTAATAATAATAATAAAGTGTGAACATGACATTTCGAGTTGTATACTTGCTAGCAAAATATGTTACACTGCCAAAAGTATGCGACGATCCATATATTTGAAAAAGCTCATTTGAAATGATCATATTATGGCTTACACGTTCGAACAAACTATCATGCCCCATACCAACGCTGCTGTGCCGATAGCTAATAGCAGGAAACCCGTTGGTTTATGGCCTAGAACTACTAATACTGGCCCACTGATCAAGGAAGGAATACTCGTAATATAGATGATTCCTAGACCCCAATTATCCCAAACATACTTCACCACGTACTTCATCGCTTCGATCCGGCTCTGCGGCCCTTCAACGAAATTAACAGCGACGAATCTGGGCAAATCATTATTGTCCACGTCCATTATCACCTCCGCGCCTGCAACGTCACGAGACGACCCAACGTCCCTCTGCGACTCTTCCGGACCTTTACTCGCTCTCTCCTTCCAGATGGCATTCAATGTCGGGATTAGATTTTCGTGTGTGGTCCTGGGCGTTATGCCAAGTGGGGGTGCTACGTTTGCAAGAAGGAGACCGTTTGCGGCTACGAGATTGAGGCGTGGGGGTTTCCGGTAAAGAGACAGCTTCCTGTTTGACAGGGCGTGCTGCGGAGTTCCAAAGATGCTGTACATAGTGCAGACAGTCCTGAGTCGCAGGAAAAGTGTTTTGTCGGCGATAACATCCAGAATTCTGGGCTGGTATTGGAGGTAACAAGGGTTGATGGCAAGGATGCGAATTGAGCCGCACAGTTCGCGAAAAGCGGGAGACTTGAGCAGTCTTCGGTCAACTCGGACCATGTCGCAGCTGAAAACAAAGATAGAGTCCTTGGCCGCTTGAGCTCGGGATACTCGGCAGACTTGGGATAGAGCCAGTTTAGGGATTCTCAAGAGATGCGTATGTCGGCGACACATGCCACCGACAGGATGGAAACAGAGGTTTTGTAGCTGACCTGAGGTGGATGAAAATGCCCAAATCGTATCTTGTAGCTCTTGCGGGAGCTTCGAGAACTGAGGAAACCCATCCTCAGGGGTGCCGGTTAGATTTCGGAGGAGCTTAAGCATCCTCATTGTGTCTATTATCGAGACATGCTTGACAGATTCGAGGTCCAGATGTGGTGTGCGATATTTATCTCCCTTTAGCGATGCTTGAGAAGTTCCGGAGAAAGGGTTCTGGGGGTCTTAAAGCTTATAATTCCAGGCTACCCCAGTTTCAAGGTGGACATGTAACCTTTTGAGTACCAGAATCACGCGAAGTTGATATCAGTTTAGGCCCAAACTAACTGGTTGAGTATATCAGCACTTTTCCATGCTTCTATCCTACTTTCTTTTGGTTCATTTGACCCTTCCAATCTGGATGATAATAATATGTGCTTAAATATCTAGAGAGAGCACAAAGAATATCCTTTTCATTTAGCTACAACCTCTCCTTCCTCCACTGTACGTATGCCACTACTCAGCCATCCCCCAGAGGTGTGATCTTACGTCGCCTCACATAGTTGAAATAATTATTCATATGCGCGTAATGCAAGCTCTCGTAAAACCGCGCCAAATACTTCATGGCGATATATTGCCATCGAACGTAGCTCGTTGTGCAGCAGTCAAACGCAGGGAGCACCTTCCCGCAATCTTGATCAATCTGGCTCCCGTAACATCACCATCAACAAGAACTATGACAACCGGTGGTGGTACCCGTAGATTAGGATCGGCGACTGCCTTGGCCCTGGCCTCATTGAGTGGCTTGAGCGTTTCGAGACACTTGTGATTGAAGTAGATAATACGTGAAGCGTGAAAGACAAGTGCTCGCATCCCTCAGGAGACCGAACAAGAACCCAGTCGGGAGACACTGCGCCAGTCTCTCCAGGCGACAAACATCTTCCTGACTTCATGCTTGAAGGCCCGATCCAAGACTTTCTGGTCTTCCATGATGGTCCACTGTGTGTACTGCTCCAGCAAAAATTCGCGGCCGTAGAAGGCAAGGTTCTCGTGCACGCCAGCTTTGAGGCTGCGCTGTACGGAGCAGCCAACGAATGTCACCTTAAACCCCTGTACATCGACCCTGGCATTATTATGCGACGAGAACAACATATATGTCATCATAATCAAATATTTCACGACCTCCTAAGACCAATATCTACTCTCAATTAGCAATGCTGGAACTTCCAATCCAAATTTCGTTGCCGCTTGGATGCCCCTTTTTACAGCTTTGAAGAGATTAGCAATACTGCACAGACAACGAGGCAAACCACGAGTTCACATACCTTTGAAAACTTCTCTTTCCACTCATCCCTAAACCTCGGTTGAGTCGCAGCCTCCAAAACATGCACTGGGTCCAAATACGAAATCTGCAACACCTCATCACCCGGATTGACCAGCAACTTCCGATAAAACTCCGTCAGCTCCCTCTCCCGGTGCCAGTACCGCGAATCATCCGAATCCTTCATATACGACGGCCCATGCAACGTGTTCTTTGATCTCCTAAACACAAACGCCTTCTCGTCAAACCCGGCCTCAGCCGGTACGTACATCTTGGCGCGGTGCCTTGCGCTGATTTCCCTCGCAATTTGGAGATGCATCTCTGAGGGCTCGCCGTCTGGGTGGGAGGCAGACCAGGATGGGATGGGAAGACGTCGATGGTGTACTTTGCGATGTGCGCAAGTGAGGTGATGACGCGCGCCAAAGTACTCAGCCAGACGCCTTCGGGGTAGAGGGAGAAAATGTGTATGAACAGGTTGCTGAACAGGTTGTGGATGATGCCTGATTTGCGGTGGTCGGGATGGATTGTTGTCAGACCGGTGTGGATGGTGGGCTTGTTGTGGCCGGAAACAGGGAGGATGACGGTGGAGACGAAGGCGATTGGCTCGCCGCTTTCTTCTTGTCGGGCTAGGATCATGATCTTGTCGTCAAAAGCTGTCTGGGATGAGGTGTCGAAGACTTGGTAGTTTGGGAGGGGTTTGAAGCAGAGATTACCCAATCTGCAGACCTCGGCTTGTAGTGCTGCAAGGTCCTGGGGCGGCAGGGTGAGTCCTGGACGGTCGAGGACTTCCATTGTATAGTTAGCCGGCATGGTTACCCATGAGGCCAATGAGCTCTTTGGCCTTTAGAACACGGAGGGCAGCAAAAGGTATTTGACAGTGTGGAGCCAGGGCGATGTTCGCAGTTGAGATACGAAATAGGACAAATGCATACTTGCTCAAAGTCGAGTGAGGGGGAGTGGTATTGCATTTCATTTCACCGCCGTTAGAGCAAGTTCAACATTAAGCGGTCCGGGAATTCCGAAGCTGAATATTTCTAGCTACTGGCGAATGAAAGTTCTTGTCATCTTCTCAGCCTCGATTAGTAATCACCAAGTATGGTAAATACCTGCTGGTATGCAGCAGGATGAATGCAGTGTTCCAATATATGCGGGGAGCTCGCTTGCCGCTTGAGGAGCTATGAAGCGAGAATGCCATGGGGTAGTATATAACGCTAACTGTGCTGCCTAGCGGATCGCTCTGGGTTAGACGCAACGGGTATGGTGCAATTATCCTTTGGACACTCGATCGGCTCAATGATAATGATATCAACCAGCATTACTGCTTGGGTTGTAGGCTGAAACCAGGATTTAGATGCTCAGCGCATTTTAAAATACCATCACCAGCCACGGTTTTCTCCCTAACAGCCTCCCAGGCATACTAATAAGAAATGGCGTATACCATCAAAGTAAACAACAAAGCTTGAGCCCAAATTCTAGCCCAAATTCTAGAAAGTATACCACCTTTCGCAGGCTCCCATACCCCTCAGTGAACATTCAACATACGAAAGCTATTCTAGTGCGCAAAATCAGTATCATCTCAAGTAGAATCAGTGCAACTCTCCCTCGAGAGCGTGGAGCAAGTCGTCAGCCATCTGGATCGGCATACTGGAAATGAATATAATTGAGTCCAGCATGCCTATGACTACATCCGACGACGACAACCAATACGAAGCAGAACAGCCGTCTAGATACCCTCGGACTTGGGCAGCAGGAATAACACCCAGACTTGCATACCGAGTGGGTTCTCCGTCTGCCTGCCTTATCCGCCTGCTGCCTTGATTATGTGATTCCGGATGCTGCTGATTGGCGTCAGTCGCTTGGCCAGGGGCCAGGTAGGGGAGGGTAAATTTACCACGCTTTCATCGATAACCCCAAAGGCAATTCTCTATGTTGCTGAACAGGATTCATCACGCGTTCCTACGGAGATGACACCTGTAAGTCACTCCACCTTCAAAGTCCGAAATGACATTCAAACTAAACCCATCGTAGTACGTGTCAGTACTGCCTCGTAGCAAACCCTAACATCCTCTCCCCCATCCTCGCGGCCCTCTCCCTCAACCTCAACCGATTCCGCACCCTCCTCAAACAATATCTACTTCTCCCCTCTACGCCCCCTCCCTCCTCTTCACTACCCCTTCTACACCTTCCCTCTTCCATCTTCCTCTCCAACTGTATCTTATCCTTCACTACATCATACCCTTTGCCATATTCCTCTCCATCCGCGGACCCAGCGCTCCAAGCAAAACAAAGCAGCACATTCATCAAAACCACATACCCCAAAATTATAGTTGCTAATATCCCCCAAACGATGCCCAAAATATCATAAAACAACAAATAGAACCCCAGGGCAACCGTCCACCCAGGTTGCCCTGGCTCATGCGTGAACCTAACATCCTCCAACAACCCACTCTCATGCCTAGCAGGCATGCGTCCCGTCATCCAAACCGCCAGCGCCGCATACCCCGCCACCATCGCTTTCGTGCCCGCCAGCACCCTCCTATGCGTCTTCCCCGTCGTCTCCCTCCGCATCTCCTGATGCAACATCACACCTCCATACACAAGGAGCGGTAATTTCCTCACCCTAGTAGGCCAAGCCCAGGCAGTGGAGACGGCGCCCTGCACGAGGAACTGTAGGAGGAAGACGTAGACATAGGGATACCGTCCGAAGGGGTCTGGGATCGTGGCAAGGTAGTCGACGACGTGATCGACGCGGAAGTACCAGTCACGAAGGTTGGTGAGAAGCCAGCCTGAGAGGAATATGGTGAGAGTTTCGGGGCCGAAGAGGAAGCCTATGAGGTGACCTAGGGGGGTTTTGAGAATATAGATGGTTTTTTGGTGGTGCGGATGGTGATGGTGGTTTGATCTTTTCTCGGATAAGGGTGAAGATGAGGGATTGAATGAGACGGGCGGTTTTGATTTGGCTTTCGACTTCTTTCCCTTATCGATTACGAGGTCGCCGTCAATGAGCCCTCTTTCGTCGTCAGAGCTCACGAGCGTCTTGTTACTGTCGGTTGAGGCTCGTTTGAAGCCGGACCCGCCTTCGAAGCCAACTCCACCACCCTTGTCATCCATTTCCGATCCCATTTTACTTGGCCAAGCGTGTGCTGTGTGGTGCGGCAAATTTGTTTGTCGCCCTGTCGCTCGCTGTTCGCAACCGGTGGCCAGTTCCGACGCGGATTGCACACACACTTGGGACGGCGCGATGAGAAAGACCTAAAGATGAGGAAGTAACAATTGCGATAGACAGAGAGCCAAGAGTTCCGCCAAAACCCGACGATCACCTGCGCGCTTATCAGCGACGTTGCACGCGAGAAGTACAGCTCAGCTAACCTGCCAGGGGCCCGAGGGGTCTAGGCTCTCACCCGCACCCCCCTACCCCCCTTCCCCCTTCTGCCTTGTTGGCGGAGTAATACTTCGCGAGCAAGCGTGTGTGATAAGTACGTAGAGAGTCCGCATGAGTTTCCCTTATTCCCGCACAGCCCAATTGGCGGGATATCCAAGCAGAGAAACGATGGTATTACGAACATGCACTGGCCTCTTTACCAGGGGCTGATAACCTCTAAAAACTCCCCCAACTCACCTGGACATGGTGAGATGCACACGTACGAAGTTAACCAGATGGGCCGGTAAAACGGCAATATTCAACGATACGAGAAATTTCGATATTTGGCAGGTAGGCGCAACGGACTCAATTGATCTGATGATGTCGGAACAAAACATGATATGTGGAAGTGAAAACAAAAACCGGCCGAATCTCTCTGGATATCCTCGACTGGGGCTCGAACTGGTCGTCTCCTGCGAACGCCATTTCGGCCCTAAGATAAATTGTCACAAGGCTAAGGAAAAGTAGAAATTAGACATCAAGCGTCATCCAGCGTCAACTGGGGACATGGCGACGCTTGCGCAAAAGGTCCTGCAGCTGCCTGTCATGCCAACTCGTGTCAGCATTCCGCATTCCTGCAGTTGTAGTATGTGTGGGTATTCGAGTTTCGCGTGAGCATCAAATCATCTAAGCGTTCTCGCGGCTCTTGCGGTAGCTGGCCTGTATACGACGTAACTGTCAGCACGACAGTTACTGCATTTGGGTGCATCAGAATGCCTCTGCGCGACTGACCTCCTGCTCGACCTGCAGACCCTCGATGACGGGCTGGAGCTCGCTGAGGATCTCGTAGGCCTTCTTGTGGTACTCGACCTGCGCGGCGATGAGCTCGGCCAGATTTCGAAGTGGCTCGGGGGTGTCGAGAACCTGCGTCAGGGCCAGTAAGTAGTGTACCAATCAGTAAAGAAACCAACGCAACGAAAAGCAAGGAATGCTCACATTCTTCATGACGCCCACGGCCTCCTCGGTCTGCGTGACGAACTCGTCCTCGGCCTTCTCAATCTCCTCCTGGGCTTCGGGGCTCAGCTCCTCGGGACCATGCTCATCGCGCGGCGACGTGGGCAGTTTCCAGGTATTGCCCTTGGCACGGGACTTGACCGAGTCGAGCGTCAGACGCGACTTCTCGACGTTCTTGCGCGCGCGCGTCGCGAATTGCAGGTTGGTGTTGAGCGTGGTGTTCCAGCCGGCCAGGAAGCGACTCTGGATCTGGGCGTCCTGCGCAAGACGGGCCTCGCCGACGCGTTCCTCAGCCAGCGCATATTTTTCGAGAGCGGAAGCAAGGGGGTCCTCACCAGCTCCCGTATGTTGCTGGTGCATCAACTGGGAGCTGGCTAAGCTGGCGCGGGCGAGAGCATGGTTGAAAGTCTTGGGCTGGGGCTTGGCGGAGGGAGGAGCCGTCAGAGCAGCCTGGGCTTCGGCCGGAGAGGTGGCAGTTGAGAGCAGGTGGACCTTGTCGCTGACGGTACGGCCGAGGTCGGAAAAGGTCTCCTTGATGTTGGGCGGGTAGTCATAGGCTTCGTTGGAATACTGCGAAGTGACGGCGAGCATCTTCTGGTGCACCTGCTTGAGTGCATCGACACGCTTCTCGAGGTCGATGTAGTCAGGCGGCAGCTGCGTCTTGTCCTCAGCCTGGCCCAACTGCTCCTTGGTGTACTGGAAGGTTCGCGAGGCAAAGGGTGTGATCTGGGACCCGATGGAGCTGACAATCGATTAGCTTCAGTGCAGCAGCTTGCGGTCGGCACCAGGGTCGCTGAGGGGCATGCAGGCCGGAGCTTACCTCAGGCTGCTGCCGAAAGCCTTGAAATTATCCATCTTGAATGAATCGTGCGATATTAAGGCTGTGGACGCAAGGTAGGAAGCCGTGAATCAGGTTGGCGATGACTGAGATGATTGTTCCAGATGCTCAAAAAGAGAGTTGTTGGCAACAAAACGGTCTACGGGTGCCTATTAGCACTTGTGGCAGGGGATTCAGTGGGGCCGCATCTGGCAGCTCCAGGATCTTCACCAGGCAAGCAAAAGACACAATCAAGCCAACGAGCCACGGCCTACGGACCAAAGCACGTGACTAGAACCACAATGACGCGCTGCTGCTGCAGCATGGCCAAGCCAAATGATGCCTGTCGCTGGCCGTGCATGTTCACAAGGTCCGTGTCTTAAGAGTCATTTCTATCAATATCTACATACTACAACTCCAAAGTGTCTCTCCACAAGTTGTTATCTCGACGGAGAATTGGCACTGGTCGAGCAGCACCGAGGTCTTTTTGAATCCGTGAACCAAGGATCCAAACTAATTCTACCATTTGATCCCACATCCGGTGATCTCGTGCCACCCTCGACCAAATTCCAATCATTGTGCCCCATGTCAAGAGACAGGACTCCAGGATCTCTGTAGTGGGCACGGTTCTCGGAGATTCAGTCAGAGTCTGAACCCGTGGCCAGCGTATCCCTAATTAGATACAACACATGGCAATAAAACAAGGAAGACGGGAATAGTATGATGATATACAGGCCCAGGACCCTAACCATAGATCCCACACTTCCCTCAACTCCCAACACAATGACCCGTATCGTCAAAGCCACGATGATGGCAGGGCAAGACGTGTCGATACTGGTCACGGTAAGGAATATGCACAAGAGGCGTGACCATGCCTGATAGTTTAAGGCTCGTCTCTCCTCGGCACGTTCGGCTTGCCTGGCTCTTCTGATTGCGATGAGGACGACGATGACGACGATGGCCAAGAGGCATCAATCGTGCGGTAGTATGAGGTCCAGTTCGTTGTCAAGCGCTGTGTCTCTTCATGTTGTCCATGCCCCAGTGCTTCGTACGCGGGTGGTGGTTCTTCGTTGTCCTCATCGGATGGCTGCCCTGGTCTCGATAGGTCTGGAACTGGGTCCATCTTGGCGAACAAGAAAAAGCAGCTGTGAAACCGAAGAATATTGACCACTTTGAGGATCGATCCAATACGGCGTGATCAGGGTGTGGTGGCCGAGCTTGATTGCGGTCATGTTTCTTCTTTAGGCCTTGGACCTTACGGGTGTATCTTCCCACAAGACAAGTATTTCTCGCTATTTTCCAGTACTCCCTTGAAAAGTTGGCCTGACCCGCGTGAGAACTGTGCGTTGCTGAAATCCATTCTAGGCTTGACTTTCGATGACCCTGCATACTTTCTTAAAGTCACGCGGTACTCCAAACCCAGCCTCAGCCCAAAAGAACAAGATTCCTGGTTCGCATAATATACTGTCTCCTTACTAATCGTCTCTTTGTATCACCCCAGCCGAGAGTTATGGCCTTGCTATGAAGTGTTTCCGTCTTCGCCTTAATCCCAAGCGTATGTGATATTCTCCAACGCGTCCCTCAGTGTTAATAGTCAGCGGCTCCTTCGGTGATTTGCAGATCGAATGCACAGGATAGCATGTTTTCAATTCGAATCACGTTATTAGAACGCATAACTCACGGTCATTGATCTGAAGACTGCCAGGATCCTCAAGTCATCAACTGGGAAGTCTGGCAAAAGGTTTTGGCAGATGGACAGTCGACCACTTTCATCGAGGGGAGGATAATGAAACTTGAGGCGAATGTGATCTGCCAGGTTAATTTAGTTGCAGTCTTAACTACAAATGTTCGGTAGGGTGTGCTCGTTCTTGAAAGCTTCGTCAATGTCCTGGCATCGGTTAGTCGTCAGGAGGATGATCCCTTGGAATAAAAAACAAAAAAATGCGTCTTACATCAGGGCTACAATAACTCCACATACTCACTGACTAGTGCGTCTGATTTATTTTACCGTCGCCTCTTTTGCGTAGGAATATGTCAGCCTCGTCAATCAAAAGCACACAACCCCATCGATGCGCCGTCGACATGATGGAGCCCAGTTCATCATCCTAGTCTTGCGCATAAGGGTCCAACTCATTCGTAGTCACTACATAAAGCGGCCAGTTTGACGCCTCAGCCTCTATCTCGGCGGTCGCGGTCTTTCCTGTCTCGGGAGGACCATTCAGAAGTCCCTCCAGACACTTGCCCTTCCCTTGAACCATACCATCGAAACTAGCCTCATCAGACGTATGTGCCTTGCTTAGAGGGAGGTTGGGATCAAGTCGGATCCTCTTGGACTCACATTTGGGAGATCCTGGCGTAAGCCTGCCTCCTTTTGTTTTCTTTTTCCTTTTTGGAATCTTAGAACTTGCACCAAGCTTGATCAGATTGCAACACATCTTGTCCAAATATTGACATTTGGATACTGACTCGATCTATTTAAACGCATACTTCCAGTCAAACACGGATGAAATCGCTTCACCATTTGGCCGTATCGTGAAGGTGTGTTGAGATTCTACCCTAGTCCTTCAAAGCAGCCTAATGCACGACGCAGCTATGGCTCAGTTCCCAAGATAGGCCGTCCAAACAGCCCTGATGGATGAAACTACCAACAGCCAAAAATCATTTTTGGAACATACCCTCCGCACCCGGTCGAGCAAAACGTTCTCCCGATTTGACGATGTTCACAAAGCATCAATCCTGCGTGGCCTCAAGGCCCAAGTCCATGGCAACTTCGTATGGGCAAACGTGATGCTCGGGCATTCGCGACGCAGTTAGTATGAAGTACTTTGAGTTTATCTGACTAAACTAGTCGCGGACTTGCGCGGTGATCCTTCGTCGTGTAAGACTTACCACCGTGCAAATGAGACCCAGGCACTGGCACTGAGTAGCAAAATTATACCTATCTTGGCATATGCTTGAAGGCCACTATCCATAAGAGCTCTACGAGGCCATAATAATCTCAGACGCCAAAGTTGGACAGAACGTTGTTGGAGAGGGCCCAATATTCCCAAACAGCATCGAGGTCTACTGCGCGCCATCGATTCACATCAACGAAGTGACAAGCAAAGAAGTGCCAAAAACAATGTCTGCACATTTTTCAGGGGTTGGTGAAGGATTGTACTAAACCCCCGGATACTCTAAGAATCGAGTTCCCATTCGGCAGAGATCGAGCTAACTTCGAAAGTACTCGTCGCCGCATGCTTGAAGTACCAACAGCCGCGATACTTCAGCAAACTGAAAAAATTCTAGAGCGACACTTTACGAATTATTGCGGTCAAAACATGCTAGATGATTGTCTACGGTGCTAGGTATTGAAGCCATCATGTGGAACAGATAACTTTTACCCCTGAGCTGGGCAGAAGAGTGGAACACTATATTTGGCCAGGCATTTGGTCGCATGCGTTCAGATTCAGAGTATTTTCGTTCGAAGTAAGCCGTTACTAAGCAATTCCGTGCCTTTTTTACCCTCTGGACCTAAAATCTACTTGCAAGTAAACTAGAACATTCCTACATGTAGGTTTATACAAAGCTAAAGAGTCAGGGTGCCCAGGATGCCTCCATTCCCCGAGTGGTTCACGAAGCGATACCACGGGGGAAATGGATTAAATCAACAGAATGCAGTGTGGGGTATTAGTTACTGGGATATAGGCGAGGCTCTATGATATTGACCTAGTTATAGGGGGGCTCTCATGTTTCCTACCGAATCACGTAGAAGATAAATGCTGCGTGAAAACTAACGGCCATGCTGAAACTTTGAAATTGACATCATATCTTTTCCCGATGTATAAAACGATGTTGGATTTGGAAATGCTTAACCATATTGGATTAATTGAATACATTGTGTCAAATGGTTGATAGAAAACGATGGATATTGGCTCATTAAGATACAGAAAAACCATCGATATGGAATAATCGGCAGAAGACATCCAATACTAGCGATATTGCTTCATAGTTCTGTATGAACAATCATTGCAGGTGGTTTGAGGGTAGCATTTAGATTAAGGTAATATATAGCCCTGTCTGAAACATTGCCTACTGGAGCTAGCCATCCCAATTTATGACCAAGCTCATGACCAAGCTCATATCTCCTTGATGCTTGGACTGATTTTTCAGTCCTCTTGAAAATTCCACACCTAGATACAGTATGGTACGTCATCAATGGCCTCACAAGTGGTATCCGGCTCGCACGATCCACCGTCCTATCAAACAAATATCAAGTCAGTATTATCACTACATTCAGTAGGTAACACTTTCACTTACCACCCAGGTGCCATCAGTGTCGCATACGAGCCAGCCGGTGGATTCCTCGTTGCAAGCATACTGAGGCGGCGTGCACTCTACCTCGGCGCACTCCTTGTGGGGGCAGTAAACGTGATCGGTGATGAGATCGGACTGGTCGGGCATGGCGGCGGCGAAGACGCCAGACGCGAAGGCAAGGACAGCGAGGAACTTCATTTTGGGTGTTCGTGGTATTTGGCGTGTGTTTGAGTGAACTGAGCGTTGAGAAGATGTAAGATCCTGGAGACAGGTTATAAGATGATGCTGAGGATGATGGAGAAAAGCAGAAGTTGATCGTCTGCATTCTCAGCTATTATATATATATTCAATGACCAGGGCGCCCGCCCAGTCAGTGTGAATATTTCCATGTCAGTCCTTCTAGACTGCCCTGAATCTGTTGTAGCCTTTGTTAGACCCATAATAGTCGTCGGAGGCTCAGAACTAACCAGTTGGCTGCAGTACCGAGAGCCCGACGGAGTATCTCATTTCTCACCCGGCGGCATTCGGTATCAGAGGGTCGCAAATCTAATGAGAAGTTGCTCTATTTGCCTCATATTGCAGTACCCATATTTGGGCATGCAGTTTTCCTAGCGCTGGGCTAGCAAGGACTGTCAGACACCAACAGAATCTTCTTCGCGTTTCTTGGCGTTGACGATTCCATCTAAACGGCTTGGCTGAACGCTTTCGCTCGACGACACTCTGGCAGGCAAATAGTTCAAGGTTTGGAGACGCCTCAAGCGGAGCTGACACAGCGATAAATAAGTATGAATGCGAACAGCTTGTAGTGTGTGGGCAATCATGCGACGTCATCTTGTCCCAGATGCATCTGACCCGCAGTGCAGTATTGAGCTATGATGCTAAGTTTCGATAGCTTGACCTGAAGGGAATGATGGGAAGACGTTCCACTGATGTAAGAAAAGTAGAACACAACGGCTCTCGGCAGAGAGAGCTGATTCGTAGTCGCGGCAACGGATATCGGCCCTGAGTGTTCTCCCAGAGAATACGAAGCAGATTATGTGCATGAGGGGCAGCCATACGGCGTACTGTGTAAAGGTCTAATGACGTGGAGGCTTGAAGCTGCTAACTGACTTCTTGTTCACGTAACTATCAACAAATTCAATGCGTTTCAATTAGGTAACAGCTGTGTTGATCTTAGTTTCCTCTTTGCCTCTACTATGTCAATCCCTCTCTGGTTAATGGCACCGAGCTGTTCCCCCAATCCTTCGGTATGTAATGATACTATCTGCGTCAACTATACTCATACTAGCCACAAGACTAGAATTAAGCCAGAGTGTCTCCATGATGTCACAAATCCATTAGATCATGTTGCCCAAGCAGCGATAGAGCTAGGAATGAGCATTGTCTTATCTTTATATATCTAGTGTAAGATGTAAATCCAGGGCAGGGAAAAAGTTCAGAGAGCAACCTTACTCGCGGAGAAGAGCCAGTTCCCTATGACAACACAGAAGTTCACATGAATCTCGACTTTTATCAGACCGCTGGAAAGAAATTCGCATGACCGTTGGTATATCGACAACAATCTCGTCTACCAACAGGACCCATTTCCCCGTGACAGGGGAAACTTTCCCTGGCCATTCATATCTCCACACAGCTAACGAGCCCCATAACAGGGAACAGGTTCACATCGCCCCGTCAATCAATTCAATCCACAGCTGTTCAGCATTCGTGCGCCGTCCACAAGCGCGGCAGTCCCATGGAATGTAAGACATGCAAGTCTCCTCGTCAACCGGTCGAATAGCTTTGTAAATCCAAAGGTATTCCGTGGCCATGTGCCTTCTACACACCCAGCAGTGTCGTGACAGGGACAATTGTTCATCATTTCTATACGTACCTATTATTTATTAATCAAGCGCCCCGAATATTACTTGCTTACTTGTAAAAAATCCTTGCAGCACTCTTCAATGATCCATTAGCATTCAACACCTTTTGGTCTACCAGCCGAGGTGCTTGGTCCTCCTTCTAACAGATCAGAGTAGCCATTTGAGGGACTCGGGCGACGAACGTGTAGTTAGAATCATGGGGGGACCGACAAAATAACAGCGAAAAGTCAGCAGAGATTTCCATCGTTCGTGTGCACCAACCTACTACAGGGGCTGACTGCTATATATAGTTTCCCCCACACAGAATATCTGCCGGTCCCTACACTTCCACCCACCTGGTCTCCAAGGGTACAACATATGGACTCCACCGCAAAATCCGGAGAATATGTAGGTGGGTGTCGGTGGATATAGTCACCACCCACTGGTCCACCAATGTGCATCAGTGGAGTTGATCCGGGGCTCGGACAGGGAGGATAACCGCGCCTTTCAATCTTCCACTGAAAATTGTGCAGAAGACATTGTGGCGCTGTCGTTGGGGTCGTTCTCGATGGGAAAATCGGAGAACTTGAAGTAAAGGTTGTTGACTATATTTTTCAGTTTTCGCTCTACAGATAAATTCTGTTTGGTTTTGTATTGATCTAGGTTGCAGATCAGGGGTATCGATTGCGATCTGGGGGAGAGTCTTCCTACGTCATCGTGGGCCCGGCTTTTACAAACTTGCGGAAAAATCATATCTAGGGGGGTATGGTCCGCATCACATTGCTAGCTCTGTGCCTTGTTGGAAAGGGGTTTCCCGGATGTATTCTTCGCTCTACATCGCCAAAATTACCTGACGATCAGCGGCGCCGATCAGCTGTGCTTCGTAATCTTGAGTTTGGCCACGTGACCATGGACAGATAATTTTGATGAGCCAATAACACCTATTGGAGGCACCCGGGAGTTTGCCTCTTTTCGAGTGCTAAGTGAGGCCCAGTGTGTCTTTCATGCTATCATCTCAATAGTTGTTGGGGCACACAGAGAGATAGATTGTAGTGTGTTATTGAGGAAAGCTGGGCTAGTGCTGGTGGGCTGGAACGAAGCTATAGCTACGCAGGGACCACCCCTGAAAGCAGTGATGTCTATTATCAAAGGATTTCACTAGATGATTGTATTGCCCTTTGACCATTTCTTTTCAGATCCGAGCAAGACCATGCGCTCTAACGTCTACTCAGGAAGAGCTAGACATGTAGCGAAGAAGTCCACGTAGAAGACATCCCTACAAGCAGTATAGTTAAGAAGATTTTACAAATTGGTGCTTGTTAGTAGGGCGTAACTAGCTTGAAGTCCGGCCATGAAGCATACGTGAGGGCCACTCATGCCTTCCATGTCATTTGTGATGCCAGCTAGGTGATAGCAACTCCCGTGACAGAGAAGATGTCTATTCCTGGTAATACTGATAACTATCTACTTACCATATGACTTGTTGGAGTTATTGCAAGCTATAAAGCATTAAATTGAATGTGTTTTGCCTTTTTCAGTCAAAACAGTTGAGGTGTCCACAAGGAATGGCCTTCAGTACAGAACATTGTGCCTCTTGGCTGCCCATTTTCAGAGTGCTGATCATGTGTGAGAATAACAGGGGCTGATACATCAGAGGATTTGGGGCACAGGGTCCAACATCCGGTCAACCAGACGCTGGGGTTCAAAAGCTGGTGCGGACCGACAAGAATAAGACATTCCAAAGCAGACAATGAACTTGGTAAAGATGTAGTGATCCGTCGTGCTTACGTTCTTTCTAAACTTGAGACATGTTAAGTCATGGAAAACATTGTCGTTGCCTGGTCAGTGTAAGCTTCTGAGTCTAGTCAATCTTGAGCTAAACTGTACTGTACTGCGTTTGCCATTCCATTTTATGGAAAGAGCGGATGAAAAGTGTATATTTGCATGTTGCCATTTCTGCTTGAAGGAAAGAAAGGCTCCATTTTCCGATACACGGGATGTGGAAGATGTCAATGATAAAAGAATACGGTCTTGGTCGACGCACCGTAATGGAGCCCTTGATGAGCTGTTTGCACTTGGAACGCATACTTAATAACGCGTCCGGTGTTCCAGAGCTGTATATTCGCCTGTAACAGGAAGCTCCTTGAGCCGATTAAATCGCAATGGGCCAATACAAAGACTTTCTCGTCAGACTAGTCGAGTTGCAACGTGTACTGTGCTTGAGGCACTGATGCCCGGGGTTGCGTGATTCTGAGGTCAAGTCCCGTTGCGCAAAACAGCAGTCTATCTTTCGAATCATGTAAATATGCATTATAGATGTACACATATCATCCGCACCCAGCTATTTCCAAAAAAAGCCCAGCCAGCCCGTCATCATCAGATCAAACGTTAGAACGTTGCGAATAAGTGGCCTTCCTACCCCCCTTTTCTTCAACCTGTTCCCTTGCCCTTACCAAACGCCAAATCTATTATGCGGTCATACTTTCCAAGATTATATGTTCCCTTCTCCATATAGCAACTTTAGTTTTTCATGTCCCCAGCCTCTAATTCTCTTCCTTTTCGAAACCAGATTTTATCACTTCAGATTGCTTCTCCATTTTCACCTCGGCGAAGGCGGAGGCGGCCTCTCCATCCCCCTCGGCTGATAATGCTCTTGGTTCTGTCCGCTTCTCTGCCCCTGCTGGCCCCGATTCTCAAATCCATCCATCTCCATCTCCTCCATGTCCGCTGCCGAAGTCCTCATCCAACTTCTCCTACCCAGCGGACTTCTCCCCGACCTTAAACCCCGCTGCTGCGTCGTCTGCGGCACCTCCAGTCTCGGCGCCGGCGAAACATCCCTCGAAGACACATCCCTCGAAGACGAGGCGCTCGCGTTATAGCTTCGGGGCTGTCGACTACTGTGTTGCTGTTGCTGCCCCTCGGGATAATCCGTGTACGGCACCGCCATGTCGTTAGTATTGTTTGTGTTGTTGCTTGTCCAGCCGTTACGAGCTAGTTCCTCATCGGGAATCTCGTACACCTGCCCCTTGGGCGGGATGGCGGCCTGCTTTGAATTGGCCAGGAACTGGTTATACTGGCTCGCCTGTGCCATCTCGTATTTCTTGCGATCCTCCTCGCCCATGATACTCTCGACGCGACGGGGGTAGTAGACCGAGCTCGTCATGCCCGTGCGCTCCGTCATGAAGCTGTCCCACGAGTCGCGGTGCTGGAGATCAAAGCGGTGCTGCGGTAGCGAAGCAGTTGAGCCGCTGCCGTTGATGATGTTGACGCTGAACTGCGATTCCTCGGGGTGTGCGTAGAAGCCGTTTGCCTTGCGCTCGGGGGCGGCAAACTTGCCCTGCGCGCGGTCGGGCGGCAGGACTTTACTGCCTTGGCGGGTAAGACCCGTCTTCTTCTTGCCGCTGGCTTCGGCAGCCGGGATGAAGGTCTCCGGCACGATATTGAGTTCGTCACCGGCTTGTTCGGCCTGCTCGATGGCTTGCTGAGGCGTCGTTTCGGTGTCGGCCGTGGCGGCGTCGGCGCGAGGGCCACCCCACGTTCGCTGTCCGGCGGTGAAGATACCGTAGACCATGTAGTACCAGTTGAAGAAGGGATTGACAATGAACATGACCGGATACAACCAGATCTTAAACCTTCTAAGCTTAAAACCAAAGTATATCATGAGCAGCCAGTTCAGTCCCAGGGAGATGGCAATGAAGCCGACGGGGAGATCCTTGACCTTCTTGGTCGTCGTGATGATGGAAAGAACCATGATGAAAAACAGCAGCGCCGTCGTTCGAATTGTGTTTTGCATGAAACGGACCAGGACCAGGATAGGGTATCGCTTCCACAGACGCCAATCCGTCAACATGCACACCTCATTGGTGATGAAACCCAGGAACCATCGTCGTCGTTGCTTCACCAGAGACTTGTACGTCTGCACTGCTTCCGTCTTGCAAAAGGCCGATGTGCACATCTGGATCTGGTAGCGCTTCTTGGCACCAATCATGAACAAGTGCGTCAGCCATCGATCCTCTCCCAAATGGCTCTTGGCGAAGTCGAAGAGATCCTCGCAGTTCTCGGCCTTGTCCGCAAAGTAGTACTTGGCCATGCGCCGGAATGCCGAGAATCGCAACATGGTCAAAGCTCCGGGCAAACACGTTACAGCGCCGCAGCCCGACTCTACCGTCCGCTCGAAAAGCTGACCGTGAACGTACTCCATATCTTGCAGTAGCGTGATCAAACTGTGAGACTGGGTAGTAGAGGTAATGACTCCAGTCATGGCCAACATGTCACGTCGGTTGCCCGGGCTAAGTTCCATGTCGTACACGAAGTTTTGGAGGCAGACCTTGTCCAAGATGCAGTCAGAGTCAATGAACAAGATGAACAGGTTGTCGTTCCTCTCGAGGTACTTCTTGTACACTTTGTCGATGAGCTTGAAGGACGCCTTTTGGCAGTGACGCTTGCCGCCGTGGGGGAACCGTGACACGGTAATTCTGGCGGCTCGGTAGGTGATGTCGATACTCTTGGGGTAGCTTTCCAGTGTTAACGGGACGCCGAGTTTCTCGATGGTGTTGAGGTAAAGTTCGTCCTCCTGGTCTCCATCAAACGACAAGAACACGTGAATACATGAAGGAGGGTAATCGCAGTCCACGACGGAGTTGATGGCGGTGATGAGAACATCGGGTTCCTCCTTGTAACAAGGCATGACAATAACAACCTTGGGAGCTGATACTTCGTCCAGAGCTTGTTTGACCCGCTTTGTTCTCCCCAGCTGGTGGGTGACAAGTTGATAAATGCAGAACAACCAAGGGACGGTCAAGAGGCCCGCGAAACTCCAAAAGGCGAACCATTGCAGGAAGGAGACCATCATGGGAGGCCAATATTGGGCAATGACACTGGGTAGTGGTAGGGTCACAACCATAATGGGCAAAAATATGCATCTGGTGCATGATCAGCAGGTGGAGCATCGCTCGAATCACGGAGGACTCACCGTAGAAGCGTGAACAAAATTCCAACGACGATAGCTAGCACTCTGATGGTCCAGTGTTCGGCCTTTTGGAAGACCTTGACCAGACAGTAGAGGAATGCGGCGATCCACAAGAACCACTCAAGAAGAGCAGCCAGCATTACCACGCCGATAATGGCGGTATACACGATCTGTAGAGAGAGGGGGCAATGAGCAATGCGACACTTCCATCTTTTCTGCGTGTTGGGACATACCTCGTGAACCGGCCATGTGTCTGTGATGTCGCGCGCCATCTTGATGTTGTGGAGTGCGACGAGGCTCGAGTGAAGGGAATGACTTCAGCAGGCGTTGACGTTGAAGATAAAGGATTCCTACTGCGTGGAGGATCAAGGACGGGGCCTTAAGCGATGCAGGCGCCCGTTCGGATAAAAAAAAGGTTGCGGCTGGATATGCAATGCAAGGGACAATGCTCGTGGATATCGTCCGAAAGCTCGGCGGAATGGGTATCGACACGATAAAAGGCGTGGCGGTTGCAGCGGCCGGACCGTGATGGATTATCGTGCCTGGGATCCGGGGGGTCGATCAAGTCGGTGAACTCGAGATGGGAACCCTAGCCAACTTCTAAAAAGGAACCTTTGGACGACGTGTCACAAGGTTGGTACCCGACGTAAATGGCATTCGATATATGCAACAGTTGTCTGGCTGACCCAGCTGCTCGGACAGACACGAGCTTTCCTTCCGACTTCTACTTCGAGAACTGCTACGCCTTCGGTCCTGAGTCGTACACAGCGTTGGGCTGATGAGAGGTTGGATCAAATCGGATGCGTATCCATTCCGAGCTGTTGGCGACGAAAAAGGTGCCCCAATGCTCCTACTGCTTGTCGAGAAGGCGATGGCTGCAAGGGAAAGAATGAGGGAAGAAAAGGCTTGCAAGACAAATCAAGAAACGAACGACAACGTTGTCTGGCTGGATCAAACGAGTGGATGTAGTTGATGAAGAAGCACCATCAATCAGAGCAAAGACGCCAACGAGGCGGCGACAGAGTTTGAGCAGATGACGATGAGCGATCTAGCAGCGGGCGGCTGCTTTGGATTTAACGTGGTAAAACCCGATGAAGGGTCTGAAGGGTTCGAGCGCTGTCTTGTATAGTCAACCGGCCGATACCGTTGCGACTTGGCAGGTTGGATGCGTCCTGGCATGCCCTTCCTGCGTAGCTAGGGCCGTCCAATCAGTGGGTACCAGAGGTGAAAGCGTCACAGCGCAGGGTTTGAGGGGGGATAAACTGGGATCGAGCAATATGGCGAAGGTATCCAGTGTCTGGTTTGGCAGGGTGGTAGGCTGGCTCGGGCGAGTCAAGGACCGACACCAAGAGCCACCCGACTTGACAGAACAATCCAGATTACCACGTCTTATTTGCCATAAACACTCATATGCAGTCCACGGAAGAATACGCCGGTGTGGTACATTCAACTTGACGAAATAGCTAGGCTGAGCTGGCAGGCTGGGCGGCAGATGCCGCTGTTGGGAACAGCCCAGAAATGCACGTTGGGACACCCAGGAATGTCAGGATGGGAACCTCATCAGACCATGCGCTTATGCTCGACATGTCCCTGTCCAATTCGTCCGAGGGCCTCAGGGGAGAGGGATCATAGCCACCAGGCTGTCCGTGCCCTGGACCCAAGGAACAGCGTTAAAATGCGAAAATGCACCCAAGTGGTGATGACATGACCGAGCAGAAGGAAGGATGGCGCGAAAATAGATCTGCAGTGAGGACCAGTACCAACGATGAACGAAACAGAGGAGTTCTCCAATATGGAGATGCCGAGTAGCCATGGAGATTGACCCACCGCCACGGCGTTCTCGCTCACCCACAAGTCGCCAGCAATCAATATCGACCATCATCACTGGGTACGAGGGTAAAACGGACGAGGGACAACCATCGACTGTGTTTTCCCGGTTTTTTGTGGTCCTTTCTTTCAACGTCGTCCTATTCTTGATGTTGCAGTTGTTAATCGGCAGACCTGGGCCTGGGTCATGCTCAAAACAACATAAGGATGACCTGACCATCGGTCGCATGGGAAAGTCCCATATTGGAAAGAGGCGAAATGGTCAATCTATTAGTCATATGGGGGCCAACCTGGAAAACATTTCCGGGCGAAGAAGGGACGACGTTAGGACCTCCTCCGAGGCTTGTCCGAGCCTGGCAAGCCACTAACTAGGGTGAGCCTCATGCAGCTCAGCCGTTATCGACAAGGATATCATAGCCGATACCCCTGGTGTTAAGCCTCAAGTCAGTCACGTTTGGCGCACCACACCAAGCTCAATTGCATTGCGCTGGGATAGCCATTGCTTTCATCTTGTTCTTGTAAACCTTATTCGTAAGGTCAAAAATTTCAAGCAAAGTCGACATGGAAACACTCAGTTGAACACAAGAAGGGGATTTTGCGGTGTGGTAGTGCGGTTTGGTGTGAACTCTCCGTCTTCTGCGGCAATGGGGCCTCCTTCATCTTGCCCTGATCGCACGTTACATCGGGCGCTAAACAGCCGGGCATCTTGTCAGCATCTTGTCAGGGGGGAAAGGGCGCGGCCCCACCACGATCTAAATACGGGGAAACGAGCACGACGATTTAGCGCTTTCAGTTCTCTCGGGCTCTGTTGGCTTATTCTTGGCAAGACACCAACAACAAGAGGGAGGATCTGGCAACGCCAGCATCAGAAACCCCGTAGTGAGCTTGCAGCATGGACCAATGTGAGTGACCAAATTGGTGGTGTTTTGAATGTGTTGGCGCGTTCGCATTGTGCACAACTGCCTAGTGCAGAGCAAGGAAAGGACAGCTTCACCGTCCAAGTCGAGGTCCTGCGGATCTACATAGGATTCCGACATCAAATCGACACAAAACGTGCCACACACAGTAAGCCGACCGGCCAATACGAACCAGAGAAGGGAGATCTGGCAGATAGATGCGGCGCAGGAAAGTTGTACATTGGGAGAATGCAACGTGGGGTTGCTTCATGAAAATTGCCGGTGCAGACCAAAAGCTGGGGTAGCGAAGGTGATGCGAGCGAGTCGAATCCAGACACATCCAAAATCTATATAACGACTTTACCCAGCCGAACGGGACTGCGATGCACCCGTCTTCAAAGTTCACTTGACCTCGTCGCGACGTGGTGCAGAGGCGTCACAATGCCCTTGGATGGTGCGAGAGTGGCGTGCTTCAGATTCGCTCCCCTCCGCATGGCTGATTCCTTCGTCCTCAGGTGATGATTGGTGCCCGGAGGATCCATCGGCCGCAAGCCACGTTTGGCTGCTTACAGCGACTGGTAGCAGAGTGGAAAAGGGGAACAGGCAAAAACATGGGAATCCCGACGATACATGGCTGCAACGGTTCTTTCAGATCGACCACTGTCGCGCCGTGCCTGCGTGGAAATAGGCAAAACGCAGAAATCGAAACAGAAGGACTTGCAATCCTCCTGGGCATTCTCACATTCGCATTATCCTTCCTCCCTTTTCCAGAGGGAGGGGGCAGCATGATCAAGTCCAGTACTCAAGCTTTCCGCCAAGTTCCCACCATTAAAACAGCCGGCCATCTGGACTTTCGAGTAGGCTATCCAACTACTATGTATATTAATAAGGTGAAGACGCGGCTTGTCTTGGCATCGGAGATGCGTCCTTGGCGTGCTTGAGGAATTGGGATCGTGAAGCTGGTCTGTCCATACCTCCTACGAATACGGCCGGTCAACAACCAACTGCTGCTGGCAAGACCGCATTTAGAAAAAAAAAACAAAAAGAAAAAAGAAACAATGTGCGTTCAATCAATATACGGTAGTGACCTGCGCATGACGTGCAGAATTCCCAATTTCTTGGCTCCATAGCAAAGCCTGCTGTGTTGTCGCCTTGTGCAACTGTACTGACTTGAATACGAGGTGCTCGACGCCCGCAAATCCATTTTAGGGGCGAGGGGCGAGGGGGCAGCCGAAAACAGGGAATTCACAGATCCGCCGATTTGCAGATTTGCAGATTGGCAGAGTGCTCCAGTTTTCCTCACCGCAGTAATCATTCCATCTTCCAAAAAGGTACGCCGGCAATCCAGTTTACGAGAGAAGCCAGACGCTCGTCGCGTCGTATGAAGCACAGCAATGAAAAAGCGACTTTTTCGGTTATTAGTCGCCTTGCGGCAAAACGAATAAACCATCCGTGGGCTGCACGCACTCAGATAGATCAATCCACGAATAACAATCTCATTGTGTCGCCTTGACCTGCCGTGCTAATGCAACGACGACCCCAAGGGGAAATTTTGTTTGTCTGCTGCTGATTCCCCAGTTGCAAATATGGTTAGATGTGAAGCTATCTACGGTATCTTGGAGAACCAAACCAGACCGTAGCCGCAAGCTGTCGAGTACCAAGTTCCACCATCGTGCTCTTCGGCTCATCTCAGGCTTGGAGATGAGTGGTATCTTCTGATCCGATCCCCGTAACTTGGCCACATGATTGAGACACTTGAATCGCTTTAACACTCGGGCGCATCCCTAAGGACGGTCGGCTGAGCTTGCACGGCGGACCCCCAACCGCTCAGGTGGCTGTATCATCACTTCCCAACGTCGTCCATGGAAGGGGGAGGCCATCTAGGTGCGTACAGTCATGCTTCGAAGCGTACTTATATGCTGTACATCAGTGGGTAGTATTCCATTTTCTCGATGGTACACTCATGTCCTGTAAGAGATAGGCCATCACGGGCATCGTCAGCTGGCGTCCAAAATGTGCTAGATACTTTCAACGGTGTCTTCGACGGTGGCCCTGTTCACGTTTTCGGTGCTTGTCTCCTGCATTGGGTACACGACGCTTGTTCAGTGTGCTCTGTTCCACTGGGTTCGGTGCAGGAGAATTACTTCTGTACGTGTCTCCGGCAGAAGGAGAATTTGCCTCGGGCTCCCGGTTGAGTGTCTGGTTGTTTTCGGGGAATCTATCATACCAGTCCAAGTCATTCATCTGCAGTCTGCGGACGCGCTGTCCGCCACGCTCCTTTCCTATTTTGTCGGTGCGGTTTAGGTGGTAGGTAGGTGTTCGTTCGTGACCTGCAGGGTTGGACTTGTGAATAGTTGTGTTGGGTTGCAAGGGCATTGAGTTGGTATCACCATCTTGCTCTTCGCTCTCTCGAAGATCGTAGTTCAAAACCAGGTTCTTGATCCGTTGTTGTTCTTCCCGTTCTGCTTGCTGTTGGTTCTTCATGGCGACTGCGAAGGTCGAGTCGGAGGGGAGCGCGACTGTCCGAGTCTGCAAGCCGAGTTAGTTTCGTTCGTGCCTCGAGTGGGATCCGATCGATTGGACAAACCTGTTGCCGATTTCCTTTCTTGGTCAAAAGTGAGAACGCCATCATGTTAGGGGCAGCGTCGCCATCGGCATCATCCGTATCGTGGGCGTGGGCCGTTGTGGACGGTTCGCGGTTCTTGGGTCGAACGGGTAGAGGGACATCGAAAAGGGGTTTCCGCTCGAACTTTCTGGAGTCTAAGCTTTCCGCCATCATCTTCGCATACTCACGTTCAAAGTCGGCTTCATCCGCCGGCTCGACCTTCTCTGCCTTTCGAGTGACCACGATGGCTTCTTCTTCCGACTCGCTGTCTCGAGTCGACCCTTGATGGTTCTCGATGTCCTGCCACGCACGGTCAATGTTGGGCAAGAATGAAGTCCGAATAAATAGGATCGACGTACCTCGAGGTCATCCTCCTCCGAGTCCGAGCCCTCTTCGCCATTTGCCGCTGGTAGCACCTCATCTCCATCGCCTTCCACATCCTCTTCGTCAGAAGATGAACTGCTGCTTGCATCTTCTTGATCCTGGTCAACAGTCTTGTCGATTCCGGCATTCTTTTGATCTTGAAGGATTGCAAGTTGGAATGCTTTAGCCGCTTCCTCCAAGTTTGTAGCGAGCTTCCATTGGGGACGAGTCAAAGAGTAGGTGTCCTGGACGATGAACTCAATATCCATAGGCAGTGGGCCTTTAGTATGAATGTAGTACTGTGACGTTGTAAGTATGACAAAAGTGCACGAGTATATCCATGAAACCCACCTGGAGGAAGGATAGGAAATAGTCGAGTTTCTTGCCGGCAGCACCACGAATGAAGAACATCCCACAGGTCTCCAGGATGGTGGCAACCAGGCGAATGCGGAAATAATCGTCGGGCATGTCGAACGGATTCAGTCTGCTGGGAATGGGGGGGCCGCCTGCATATTGTTTTGAGCACGGCGCAGTCAGGTGAGAGATGGACGGCACTTACCATGACCAAAAGTCATCACCTTGTACATCGTCTCGAAAATGACGGGATGCTCTAGCATGCGGTAGTTGTAGAGCTCGCCGAGATACTTCACTTCCGCAAGACGTCTTTGGTTAAACTTGAAATCGTTCTGTTCGAGACCGAAACACACAGATTCAATAACGTTGTCGATAACCTTTACGACGAATTCAGGGTGGTAACGATAGATGGCACTAAGCAAAATCGCGAGAATGTGGATGCTGCCGTACTTAACCTTGCCAGGCTTCGAGAACACTTTCGCGAGTATTGCAACAACCTTGAGACCTTAATTAACATATAGCTCGCACGTCTTTGCGCAACGGCCTACCTCGGGCTCTTCCCAATGCAACCTGCGGATCTGCTTAAGAATCTTCGTGTAGTTACGCTTGGTCATGTCAACGTAGATCAGCTTGCGGATGAATAGTTCGGTAGGCGTGCGCTCCTTCTGCTGGATGGACGCTCTCTGGGGAGGATCTACATAGTAGATGGCGTTCTCGATGAGCATGCGCTCCGGCTGCCCGATATGCTGCACCGACTTTTTGCGCTGCAACGTCTCTAGGAACGTCGCCATGCGAGGGGATGTATCGGCACTTCGGAGCAGATATCTGCCACAGTTTTCGAGCAAGTTGCAGATAATCTCAATGTTCATCCGGGAGAAATCGTCCAAGCTCACTTTCAAGCAGTGGAAAACAACGTGTTCCGGAACGATGCCAAATTTGGTCAACTCAGCAAGGTAACGGATGTTGCTCAGCCGAACTTGGCCAAGAAAATCCTTCTCTTTGCGCCGCTGTAGGCTGCGAAACTCTGCGTCGAGGTATTCGACAACTCCCTTGGGAACATCGGGCATGTAGCGTCCCAGCGTAGCTACCAGACGAGACCAGCAGGGCAGTAGGTCGGTTCGGCCCTTGGGCACTTCAGTCAGTGCCTTGATGAGACGATTGCGGGAAGCCTTTGAGTTCAAGAAGCAGAAGTCAATGGCGGTTTCATCGATGACGTCTTTGTTGGTGAGTTCCGGAAGACGAGTCAGGAGAGCATCTACTTGGGCTCCAATCGTCTTGTTGGCGATGGCGGTGGATTGATCGTCGTTTGGATCGTTTGGCTTCGGAGCTTCCGGCGTCTCGGGGGTGTCAAACTTTTTACCGACTTGCTCATCACTTTCTGATTTCTTTTTCTTCCCGTCTTCAAGAAGGATACCCGGTACCTTGCCCTTCAGATCGACCAGATTCTCGTAGAAGCGACGCTCGTCGTCATCCTCCCAAATGCCCGAGCCGTCGCTCTGGCCACGAAGATACTCGCCGGTCTTAACCAGGCCAATGGAGCCATTGATTGCCGCAAGTGAATCTCCAGAATCCTTCAGGTCGGGCATGTCAACGCCAACAGCCTCAGCGATGATCTGAGCATTGCTAACCAGGCGTTCTTGAGCTTTCAACTGTTTCTCAAAGTTTGCTTGTCGATCTTCAAACACCTCCCCAGATTTGACGTAGGCCTCGGAGTTGCGGCCCTTCTGAGCGACGATGTTCTTCTGGTCTCGGATCAAGTGTGCTTTGACATCGTCGAAGTACCTTTTGAGGATGTTCTTGAAACGCTCCTGGAGTTCTGGACTCGTGAACGGCGGATCCTCGGTCTGATCGTTGGCACCGTCTGTGCCGTTGACAGGCTCGACTCCATTATCTGTAGATTTCATTGCGCCGTCTTCCTCGACAAGCTTCCGTCCATCGGCCCCAGTCGCCTTAACTCCAAGCAAGTCCCAGCTGAAGGCTTTCACGAATATGACTAGCAGAGGTAAGTTGGCGTGCTCTCGGTCGTGTCCAAGAAGATCTTTTAAAACTTCGAGGGGAAATGGCTCGGCGCTACCACCCTTGGAGGAACTTGAGGGCTTCATCTTCAGTCCCAGATCCTTGCCGGTGGCCCCTCGCGTTGCATCGTCAGGCTTGACATTGTCGAGGGTTCGCAGGACACCAACAAGCCAGAGCTCGGTGACAACCCGTAAAAGCGCGCGCTGTCGTACCAGTCGCTCCTTCTCCTCCTTCTCACGGACATCGGGCGACAACGTCTTCAGCAGACTCTTGTCCGGGGTAGCCATGCCCTTGCCCAGAAGCCATCCCAGGTATTCGGTGAAATCGACGGGGCCGAATCGCTGGTGTAGGGCACTGACGATCTCGACGCCGGCCTCGATTTCTCCAGGGGATTTGAGCTTGCACAGTCCTTCGTAACAGGCCGAGATGATCTCCGAAAGGTACTTGAGTAGACTCAGTGTCTTGATTTCTTGAAGGAACGTGTTCAGTGTCGCGGGAGAAATGGCAGTGCGCAGGCGTTTAATGAAGGCCGTGTTCTTCTTGAGCGACGAATCGAGGGATTTGCCGACGGGAAAGATGTCTGCGAAGGTGTCAGAGCCTGCTATGATGGAATGTACGTCAACTTTGTAACGCACCCTTCTCCCCATCCCATGCGCGCTCGTTCTGTGCGCGCAAGTTGCCTGTTCGGTTGTCAGCACGCCCCATCCTCCAGCTGCCATGGTAAGGCTGAACAGACGTTTTCTTGAGCGATCCATCGAGGCGATGGACGGCCCACTTCGGTAGTTTGAAAGTTGATGTTTTTGGCGAGTACTACATTCGCTCTTCTGATTGCCACTGCTAAGGGATTTGAAGCCCTATGTAGTGGTGACAATGCGCATCAGCATCGGTCGGCATCTGTGGTACAGTCGAGGCTTCTGCCCTGAAGCCCAGGGCACTTTGATGACGGCGGGGTCAGGCTGAAGGTGGATCGTTGTGGCAGACAGTTCAGTTTGAATGGTACGGACAAGGGAATAGACTTTGCGATCGGCAGGATTACTTCATTGAGAAGCTACGGCGACGACAAATTCAGGAAGGCACCATTGCATCTGTAGTCAAAAATGTTGGTAAGAACGGGAAAGATAAAATGATGTCCAGATTGGCCCATTGAAAGCTAGCTGCGAACCGTGACGCCGAAAGTGCATTCCTCGAGAATTCCATCATTCCATCATTGCTCCATTGCGCTGCACACATCGGACCACGGCTTTAGAGTTTCCCCAAAGTGGGTCTCTATTTAGCCCTCAGGTACCCAATCACAGCCCCCAATCTTGTAGCCTGTGCGGCATGGTAGCAGCTGCTGAGCTAAACTGCCATACTGCAAAGCTGCGACGTGGACTCGGGTTTGATGAGGTGGTTAGATTGCAGGCACACATGGTGACACTGATATTGTTTCGACTGGCTGTCACGTTAGCTCAAAACTTTGCGATTGCTGCTGATACAGCTTCGTCGGGCGGTTATGCATCTCTATGAAAAAACCTTGATTGACACCATCAGCCGTGACACCCATTACCCACGCCGCAACTCACCCTCGAGCTCTGTTATACTGTCTCCGAGTACAATACCGTGGGCAAGTCACCAGTCGAAGAGATCGAATTCTCCTGGCCGCCAGTCCTAGACATTGCTTTAGCTACATTCCCAAGGCTGAACACCCCCAGTCAATTCGTCAGATCGTCAGATACATCTGTTGTCTTTCTTGACAGCAACCATCCTCCCGAATACCACTCGTGTTGGCGTGTCTAGCTGGTTTGGCAGGCAACTCAACTCTGGGAAATGACATACTAACGACGTTATCCAAAAGCGGCCTGTGCGAGGAGAGCTGGACCTCGACCTCGAGGTCTGCCTCGGTTGTTCTTGCAGCCTGTGTTACATCTCGCAAAGTCACAGCCAGTGTGATGTAGGCGAATCCCTGAAGCAGAGATCAATGAACTTGCAAACCCCGTTGTCGGTATCACTTGATCACGGCGCCAGCAGTACTGTACAATGCTTGCAGAGCTAAGTCTCTGATTAACCCCGCAAAACCTTGTGCTGCGCAACGCCACACCGATCCGGTGAACCAGGGGTTACCGTGACGAGTCACGAAATACCTCGAAGTCAAGAGGTGATTGCAGCGCAGCGCTTCCAAATGGGCGTAGTTGCTCAGTTCCGCAATCTTGCTTGCGCGGGTCATTTCGTTGGCATCATGCTTGGACCGACATGTTCAGCAACGACGCCGCTGTAGGCCTATCAAGAGAATGTATCCTGAAACGCTCCAGTGACGCTTGCTGACTATTGATCCATCGAATGCTCATCGGCTACCATCTGGTCAAATCGCGCGCGGACTCCAGAAGAGAGGGTGAGGGAGGGATGGCCTGCGCGGCAGATGTCAGTCGCTTCGATACGGCGCATTCTCATCGAATCCCGACCTCGCGCATACCTTAAATCGACGTCACCTCTTCCCGGCATACAATGTTGACTTGACACCATCATGTACGTACGAGATGCTGCATTTTATCTTTATCTTCCGGATGCTTGCTTTACCGTTGGTGTCAGCCAGTCGCAGGGCAACTATGGGCTCGCCTTGGTTGCCGGAATGGGCCAATGAGGATGAGTCATTCCCCATATCTCCCTTATCATCACGCATGATTCATTTCCTAACGTGGCAGCTTGCAAAGAAAAACCGAATGTCTCTGATAAGGCCAAAGACTCGTCGACGCAGGTTCCTTGCTAGATGGGCGCACATCCGCGGGATTACTAGTGCCACCCACAACAAAACTGTGCATCTCCTCGCGTCTTGGACTTGGTGGGTAGGTAGATCGGATGCTACAGGGCTACTGGCCCACCGTGGCATGGCAATCCGGAGATCCCACCCATGACATGTTGCGTAGAATGTCGATAGGTTCTACTAGCCGGCCCGTTCCCCTGAGGCCGTCTGGATACTGTGGTATGTCTGGGTCGTCACTCACCAATGTGAATGCTTTGGTTGAAAATATTCGGCCCGGGTGTATCTGAGTCGTCAGTGAGTTCTCCGGCCAGGCATTGAAGTCGCCAGAGGGTCCGGCAGTGTCTCGTGTCCCATAAAGGGCACCAGAGCGTTCCCTTGCGTTGGCTGCTGTTTTGCTCCCATATATGCGAGTACAAGCACTTGATTTGGAATTAATCCCGATCAAGCGGTCTCGTCAAACTCTCGCCTCCATTCTTTCCGTAGCTTTTCCAATAATATTGCTCCACGACATAAGTACGCGGCGCTACTAGACGGGGAAGGCATATCGAGTTACACAGAATCCGACAGTATTCAGAAAGCCTATCCCCCGAATTGACCTTCTAATCACACTCTAGATGCCCTATATGAGACCGTCCATTCCGCTATAGGCGTGTCTAAGGGCCTGGCTCAACTCATCCTATTCTACTGCCACCGACGCCTCCCGCTACGGTGACGGAATCAAGAGGCTTCACCTCAGACGAGAAGTCCGCTATTGGAACCCCGTCGTGTAATATAGACAATCCCGGCACCGAAGGCTCAAGGATGTACCCGTTACCCCCGCCCTCAAACCCTAATAACAACAAGGTTCAGCAAGAAGACCTGAAGACACCAGACAAACACATCGTACGGGATCCACGATTAATACGTCTGACCGGAGTTCACCCCTTCAATGTCGAGCCACCCTTAAGTGACCTTTACAACGAGGGCTTCTTAACGTCCAAAGACCTCCACTACGTTCGCAATCACGGGTATGTGCCCAAGGTGGAAGATGATGAAGTCATGGACTGGGAATTCACAGTGGAGGGCATGGTGGAAAACCCGATCAAGATGAGCGTGGCCTCCCTAGTCAAGGATTACGAGCAGGTCACATATCCCGTCACACTTGTGTGTGCCGGCAATCGAAGGAAGGAACAGAACGTTGTTAGGAAAACAAAGGGGTTCTCATGGGGAGCGGCTGGATTATCGACAGCGTTGTGGACCGGCGTCCTCATTCGCAACGTGTTGACTAGGGCGATGCCGCAACGAGGTGCGAGGTACGTTTGCTTCGAGGGCGCCGATAAATTACCCAATGGTTGTTACGGGACTTCCATCAAATTGAACTGGTGCATGGATCCAAACCGGGGCGTCATGATTGCGCATGGCATGAACGGCGAACCCCTCCCTCCCGACCACGGCAAACCAGTACGAATCATTATTCCTGGCCAAATTGGTGGACGCAGCATGAAGTGGTTGACGAGGATCATCTTGACTGAGGCACCTAGTGACAACTGGTACCACATCTACGATAACAGAGTGTTACCGACAACGGTCGACCCCGAGCAGAGCGCCAACCTTCCGGATGTCTGGAAAGATGAGCGGTACGCAATTTATGACCTGAACACAAACAGTGCGCCTGCCTACCCAGCGCATGGAGAGAGGCTAGACCTGAACAACGGTCTAGAGTGCTACAATCTGCGAGGTTATGCTTATAGCGGTGGAGGCAAGCGAATAACCAGGGTCGAGATCACACTCGACAAGGGGAAGACGTGGAACCTAGCAAACATAACATACTCAGAGGATGAGTACCGCTTAGCCCCTGAGGGTGAACAGCTATATGGAGGACGTCTTGACGTGTCTTGGAGGGAAAGTTGTTTCTGCTGGTGCTTCTGGAATTTGGAGATCCCTGTGGCAGCACTGCAAACTGCGGACGACTTCATGGTTCGAGCAATGGACGAAGGCATGATGGTGCAGCCCCGCGACATGTACTGGAGTGTACTGGGCATGATGAATAACCCCTGGTTCCGGGTCGTGATTCACAAGGAGGCACACGGGCTCAGGTTTGAGCACCCTACGCAACCTACCCTCTCGTCTTTTGGCTGGATGGAGCGGGTGAAGAAGACTGGAGACAATCTAACGAATGGCTACTGGGGCGAAAAGGTGTCTAGGGAAGAACAGGATGAGGTAAAAGCAATGCCAGACGAGGAAATAAGTATCATTAACCAAGTCATTCACCGAAATATAACCATAGACGAATTGCGGAAACATGAAGGCAAACTTGAGCCTTGGTTCTTGGTGAACGGCCAGGTCTACGATGGCACCAAATTCCTTGAGGGGCACCCTGGTGGCGCGGCCTCCATATTTGGTGCCGCCGGTCAGGATGTCACCGAAGAGTTTATGGCTATCCGTAGGTTTCCCTCCCCATCTGGTAATAACGTATCATGATACTGACACACAACCACAGATAGTGAGAATGCCAAGGCGATGATGTCCGATTACCATATCGGGTCCCTCGACAAAGCCTCCAAAGGTATTGTCGCCAGCGGCGAACCCGTAGTACCGGCCAAGGACGCGCCGCCGCGGGCCACCTTTCTAGAAGCTAAATCATGGTCCAGGGCCATCCTGTCGACCAAGATGCGCGTCTCACACGATACTAAAATTATTACTTTCACGCTGGAGCACCCGGACCAGGTAATAGGCCTGCCCGTTGGCCAGCATTTGATGATGCGGCTGCTCGACCCTGTGTCGCGCGACACTATCATTCGCTCTTATACGCCCATCTCGGAGGTCACCGAAAAGGGAAAGCTGCACGTCCTCGTCAAGGTGTACTATGATACGCCTGAGTGCAAAGGCGGCCGCATGACGCAGGCTCTTGACAGCATCTCCGTGGGGCATTGGGTCGACTTTAAGGGCCCGATGGGCAAGTTTGTCTACCTCGGCCGCGGCCTCTGCAGCGTCTCGGGCGTGGAGCGCAGGGTAAAGCGTTTCATCATGGTGTGCGCCGGGACGGGCATCACGCCAATATTCCAGGTTTTCCGGGCCGTCATGCGGGATTCCGGGGACAACACGTTCTGTCTTGTGCTTGATGGCAATCGAGTCGAGGAGGATATCCTTTGCAAGAAGGAGATGGACGATATGGTCCTGGGCCAGGAGCACAGGTGCAGATTATTGTATGTGCTGACGAAACCGGGGCCTGACTGGAAGGGGCTTAAGGGTCGCATGGGGAAGGAGTTGTTCGAGAGGGAAGTCGAACCGCGTAGGCCGCCAAAAGAAGGGGAGCATGGGGAAATGGTGCTTATATGTGGGCCCGAGGCCATGCAGAAGAGCGTGCATGAGTCTTTCCTGGGCATGGGGTGGAAAGGTGAGGATCTGTTGTTCTTCTGAGTGAGAGGGCTATCATCGCCGTCGTCGCTATTGGGATTGGTTTGGACACGAATATACATACACAAGATTGGCAATCTCGTGGGCATTTTTGGATTGGAGAAACATAGACATTGGGTACCGGTGTTGGGGATCATCTATTATAGATAACCCAGAAGACTCTGCATTTGAGATTATGCAATGGAATAAGAAGGCAAGGCAGACATTACGGTCACGAAGATATCTGGCCTTTGCCACTTTCATAGACATTGTTAGATCGTAGTATCAATCCATACAATTCAATACTTCATTGAGAACGTAAATGCTTATACAGGTGATGACGGTCGTGTCAAGCGTGCGCTCGTGCCATCGATGCGCATATCCGCGAGCTTCGAGTTACAGATACCAACACAGGATAGTTCGTTGCAGGATCTTGTCACTCTATTCAGGCTTCGCAATATGGCTGGTGGGAGCGGAAAATTGATGAGAGAGATAGCATAGTCCAGCCCCTAGGAAACCTCATTAAAGCAGTTTATTGAAGTTGTCCCAGTTCTCTTGGTCTTCATGCTAATCCCCAAACCAAAATTTAGATCAGAATGCGGCGAACCAAAGCCCCAAAGCACAGGTCATCCACAAACCCCTGTTACTACTCCCAGATCACCCGCATCACTCGACTCCAAAGTAGAACCCAAACTCGAAGTCGGTATCGTCATCCTCGAAGAAGGCTAGATCCCCAACAATAGCCCGCAGTTTCTTTTGCGCGATCATGTGTCGGGGTTTAAGGGCTTCTTCTACCTGAAGGAGCAAAAAGTTGTTGAGTTCCATATCAATCATGGCGGGCGGTGTAATTATCTAGTCAAGTGCGAAAAGGGGCATTTTACGTCCAGGCTGCCCGAGGACTTAGCGAAGCATCGAATAAAGCTGTCAAAGGATGAGTATGAGGGCATGCCGAAGCTGAAAAGCAAGACTGCGGCGATGGTAGCCATGAAGAGTTTTATGGGTATAGGGGTACTGGAGGCATTCGCATAAGGCAAGATAAGGGGAAGGAAAAGGGGATGAAGAGCGCGGGGTTGTAGTACATGGTGGATAAAAGGCGTAGAAATTATGGATATGCATAGGAATGCGGCTAAAATGAGTATATGATTGGAATGTCTAGTTATAACTATCAGGATTGCAAATTTCGGTATATATATTGACGTGGGGTTAGGGTTTTTGGGTGTTCTTTTCGTTTTTTCGTTTTTTTCGATTTCGGACGAGTTATGTAAGCGCGTTCTTGAAGGGTATTTAAGACCTTGTGTACATAGTCACTCTCTTAAGAAAAAGATAGAAATTCAAGCGGCCTTTTCCACAGTAATCTGAACCAATTTCTCTTTGGACAGGCATTCAATGTCTGACGTACCTGTTGAGGTACTTTCTGTTCCCCTATAGATCTGATTGTGCCTGTTGAGGCCATTGTTCCCATCTTTCACCTGTTGAGGTTCCTTTTCTTCCCCAGCCTGCTGAGGCTACAGTTGTTAGTACCTGTTGAGGTACTTGTCGTTCCAATCAGGGCAAGGAGCTCTTGATCTTGTTATTTCTTTCCACCTCCCGGATAGTTAGGTCTTGTTGAGGATCTTGTTATTCGTTGCCATCATCTTCACACCTTAAACCTGCGGGTGGTTTCACTGCCCGTCGTCAATATATTGCCTAATAATATGTAACCCAAGTATAATGGGAGACATCTATTAGTGTGGTAACTATCAAGTGGTCGATTTCGTGTTTTAACATATGTTTTTCTGATAAAGAGGTCTCAACATCAAGTCATATAGAGTTCGAGCGACTGGGGTCTTTCTAGGTTCCGTGATATTTCAAGAATTTGGTGGAGGCGTATCCAACGAGGTTAATCGCGGAAAGGGGGTTGATATCATTACAGATCAAACTCCATGACGTTAATATTATTTCAGCAACTATTCTCAATTCTATTACCATCTTTTCACCGTCAGGAAGAACCTTGAAGCTCTATAAGCGTGGTGTGCTGATACGTGACCCCATGGGGGGTTACCCTATAGCGATAGATAAGATACATAAGATAAGATAAGAGCTATAAAAGAGCTCTGCCAGGCCAGAATAGCTGACCTGGCCATCCTTTCCCAATACAACAATTCACACCCCATATTGTAACGGGGTAAGGCCGGACATCAGGGAAATAGGTTACGGGGCTAGGAGAAAGTTTATTTTCTCTTCTTTAAGAGGCACAGAGGCAGAGTAGGACACGAGTCCTCCATCTTCACGCATCATCATCCTCATCTTCATATCATCTATATCTTCACCTTCGCTTTTGATACGTGACCCCATGGGGGGTTGCCCTATAGCTAGAGATAAGATAGATAAGAGCTATAAAAGAGCTCTGCCAGGCCAGAATAGCTGACTTGGCCATCCTTTCCCAATACAACAATTCACACCCCACATGCACTCGCATCATGTGCGCGCTATTGATATTTCCATACGAGGATGTCATGGCAATGAATTCTGATTTGAACCCAACCGTGAAAAGGGGGTCGGTCTGTTCAAGAGCGAACTCCCGTAATCTAGCAGTTGAAAAGGGTAATTGTAGTTGTAGACAACTTGTGACCCGAAATTTGGGATATGTTATTTTTCTAAAGAAGATAACGTAGTCCACGGTCCAATTGCACACTTTGGCAGACCTTATACGACAATGTATAAGTTAATTCAACCACAACGCCTATCATCAATTGAAACTACTCAGAATCGTTATCTTCAGACGTCTCTACATCATTTCCACAAGTGCGCGCATTATGTCCGGGCTCGCCGCAGATTCTACAGCGCTGTACACGCGCAATTCGCCGCCTCGTACGACCACCAATTTGACGAAATTCATCATGTAACTGCCCATCAACCTCTCGTTGAGACTGTAGGTCCTGTCCAGCTTGTATACTAAGTGACCCTCCACTCTGTAGCTGTTTTTTCTTCGCACGGCGACGTCGACTTAGGGTCTCATTTACCTTTCGAAGTGATTCGACCTCGCCTTCTAAAAGGGCAAGCCGATGCATAACCTTCGTTGTACCTCGCGCAATCTGATCTATTCCAGCAAAAATTGACGTTGTTGAGCTATTTTCATGTCGTACAATCCTATTTTTCACATAATTGGTTTGTGATTGGGCTTCGGTTTGGTTGTTCGGAGTCTTTGATTCCCAAGGGACGGGGAGACCAGCCGAGCTACCCGGAGGTGTTGGCGTATGTAATTTCACATCGAGCTGTGATATGACATAATCTGCATCGTACGGAACTATTACTACCCCTCGGAAACCTCCTTGGATATTTGAAACCGTGAAAGTTGCGTTGTACGCGTTTAAAAACGCCGGTAAAAAGTCTTCTTTCGAGATATGACTTATATGTGCTCGCATGAGATCTTCGATTTCTTTTCCGTACGCTCTTTTTAACCCGCGAAAACAACCAGCATCAAGAGGCTGGAGCTTATGCGACGAATGAGGATGCATACAAAGCGTGACGATATTGTTAGCTTTGCAATATACCTCGAAATCGGTCGAGTGATGGCTTTCGTGACCGTCGAGGATCAATAGGCGATGAGTACCTTTCGTACGAGACTTGGTGTGATGATCGAAGTGTTTTATCCAATCTTCGCCTCTATCGTTCGTAGTCCAGCCATTTTTAGTAACTGCGATAACCAAATCAGGCGGTAATGGGCTGTTTTCGTACCATGACGAGAGGTGGGTTTTGCCGGCGAAAATGATGTACGGAGGGAGGGCATAACCGGACGACCCAACGCCTTGAATAACTGTAACCCATTCCCAATTTCCTTGCTGGGCTGCTCTAGGCCTTCCGCGCCGATCAGAAGTCGTCACGACCATTTCGGACGAGATTTGGCCCATCACAAAACCGGTCTCGTCGAAGTTGTAGATATCCTCCTTCTGGATCGCGTATTTCACAATTGTATTCCGTACCAGGTCAAACCACGCGCGATACGCGTCGGGGTCTTCGCAGAGGGCTCTCTGATAGTCTATCATTCGATTTAAACGCGTCCGGAGGTCTGGTTGTCGTCTTACGAAGCTCGAGGCCCAGTTGACGCCGACGCGTCCCGCGTCGCGACTTCGAAGTAATCGGTTGGCCATATCTTCAACACCACTCAATCGGGGAGGAAATGCTCGCGAATCTAGGTCGGTTATATGTCGTACGATTGCCTCTTCTTCGGAAGGAGTCAAATTTTGCGTTGGCGATCGCGTAATCGCTCGAGCGGTTTTACCGTCGCGTCGATACGCAAGGGTTCTAAAAGGTACGTTATAAATCTGACCAGCGTGACGTACACTTAATTTTGGATCAGATTGAAGCGCATGTAATGCTAGAATCATATCACTTTCATTCCAAGAACCAACCATAGTTATGTGGTGAAAAACCGCAGGTCAAAGTGGTAGCGTACGAAAATCTGCCGAAGTGTGCAATTGGACCGTGGACTACGTTAACCCCTTCTGAAAATAGTATACGAAAACATAATTCTAGCGTATTAGGCGCCTTAATCGCACGTTAAAACCTGTTACTAATCCCGGAAAATAGGCTGATTGATACGAAAAGGTAGGGGGACCCACTGGTTAGGTGAATCCCATTCAATTAGATACTATAACGTTGCGCACTGCTGCATTATAGCATCCTCCCCCCTAGGTGCACGCATCACTGATGTTAAGAACAAGGCCTCGTCACGCATATTAAGCATCCTCAGTGGGCCAGGGACGAACGAAAGGAATGGGATAATCTAAAAAAAAATATTAAATACGCCGTAGGTGTTAACCCTCGGTACCTCTACAAGTACTCCCTTAAGGGGCTATAGATGATATAGCGGGCCCTTAAGCCGCGTCGGGCGGTTATACAGGTAAACTTGTAGCCAAACGACTACTAAACCTCCTGTCCCTCCCTAAGTCTGTGCTACAACCCCTGCCTGAACTACCGATAAGTGTGGTAATGTGGCACTTAAATTCGTCCTCAGGGGTGGGATGCTGCTGATGTGCAGAAGATGCTCGACTATTTTTTTTGTCGCGACAAGTCGTAGTATCTGCTAATTGGGGTTCTCGTCGAGCGTATACATCTCAACCATACGCTCAAGTGGATAGACCGTAACGTGGTCTAGACGCTCGCAAGAATCGCGGCGAGAGGGGGTCCGATAAGGGGTCGGATTAACGATTCGAATTCTGGACCGGCTGTCGAGTTATATTCCGCCGACGTAGTGCTTGACGGTCGACTGGCTAGGATGCTCGTAATCCTAAACTGCACCAATCTCCCTATTATCGCTAGGTAGGCGAAGTCAACAAGGTGGGCAGCGCGCCGTAAGGGTTGACTAAACCCCCTTGTGTGTCAGCTGCGGGATTCGAACCCGCGACTCGTCACCGACCCAAGTGGGCGAGGCTCAAATCGGGACTTATCTACCAGCGAAGTGACCAACTACACCAGCCGACGGGATAATCTATGAAATTTTCCCAGTTACCTATCTAGACGAGGGCATCGTCGGCTTGGAGACCCTGAGATGCCCTTAAACTTCCCGACGTGGCACAAATGGACGTGGGTTGGGCTGCTGTCAGCCATCACACTGCTAACACCCTTCGCGTCGTCGATTCTCTCACCTGCCATTTCCAGGCTGGAGGACGAGTTCGAAAACGACAAAGCCATCATCGGTTCCATGACGGTAAGCATATACCTTCTTGGGTATGCCGTAGGTCCGCTCTCTGAGATATACGGGCGCAAGCCTGTCCTGGGTGTGGCCAATGTGTGTTTCTGCCTCTGGCAGATCGGGTGCGCCTTGGCTCCTAATATTGAAACACTCATTGTGACGAGATTTTTCGCAGGTGTTGGCGGTTCTGGCTGTTTGGTAGGCTTGTTCACTCCGTCCTGTATTTTCCAGGCAGCCAACTAACCAATAATTCTGCCGTAGACTCTGGGGGCTGGCATCATAGGCGATCTTTTTCGCCCTGAAAAACGTGGTTTCGCTGTAGGGATGTGGAACATTGGACACTTGGTTGGTGAGTAATCATAATTGTGCCCACATCGTCGTGCCTTGCCCCGCCGTGTCAAGACAGAAAGCACGCATCGCTAATCTAACTCCCAATAAGGCCCTACCGTCGGTCCTCTACTTGGCGGCCTCTTGACCGACACTATCGGTTGGCGCTACGACTTCTAGATCGTTCTGGCCACTACCATCCCCGTCACAGTACTCATAGAGCTACTCAACAAAGAAACGTGCCACCAGGTCCTCATTCAACGAAAACCGTCCACTTCCGGACAGAGCTTGACCGCGGCAGCATGAGGAGCTGTTATGATGATTCGAATTTGGGTGATGGCATCCCAAGGAGCACAATACAGATCATCGTCAACGGTTTAATCAGGCCCCTCAAGATGCTCGTCCTATCCCCCTTGTCCTCCTCCTTTCCGTATATATCTGGTTCACGTATGGTGTCGTTTACCTGCTTTATACGACCATTCCGACCGTTTTGGAGGAGACTTACGGATTCGACCCCAGCTTGGCATGGCTCATCTACCTCGCCCTAGGCCTGGGAAACTTTCTTGGGTGGCTGGTCTCCGCTGCGTCGGTGATTGCTGCTAATATTATTCCAATGAGTGTTGTAGGAGCCTTGCTTCCGTTGGCTGGACCGCCTATGTATAAATCGTTAGGGCTAGGCTGGGGGAACTCGTTGCTGGAGTTTATTTGTATCACTATGATCCCTTTGCCTATTATCTTTTATAGGTTTGGAGCTCGGTTAAGGAAGGCTGAAAACCTGCAGTTGTAAATAAATAAATTGAAAACAACATGTTTCAAGGAGACTATACAGTACTTAATATGCTGAGAGCTTCCAACAAATAGAGACCTCTCTTAAGCAGAAACTTGGAGGCTTGCATGAGGTTCTAAGAGTCAACGCTTAAGCAGAAACTTGGAGGCTTGCATGAGGTTCTGAGAGTCAACGCTTAAGTAGAAACTTGGAGGCCTGCATGAGGTTCTGAGAGTCAACGCACTTGTCAGACCTTATAACTACCAAAAATACCTCATTCTAGAGCGAGTGGGTCCCTCGTCTTTTGACGGTCAATTTGGTCCAACAGCACTATGGTGATGCTCGGACCAACCGTGATAATGTTGTCCTAGCTCTTCGAAAGAGTCTTCACTGAATACTGCGACGTACCAACGTTTCTGTTTTTCCATTCAATTGGCGAGGTAAAGACCCTGGAAGCCCCACGGCAATCTCAGGATTGGCTTCGAACCAGCCCTAGATCGGGGTGGGAATGGCCCGTCTAGCCTCGGCATACTCCTACGACTTTTAAGCCAGGTATTTGACTTTAGGGCAAATGGTCTTTTCATTGAATTTATGATGTTTGACGAGTTCTTCAAGAATTTAACAGTGGCCAGAAGGGCCTTGTATAGGTAGAAATGAACGTTTCCTGCCCCACAGGTGAAAACTGAATGGTACGATAGTTGGAGTCCATATTGGCCTATATCAGGTGGGAAGGTACGGCCAAGTACAGGGCTACAAAACCCCGCCTCTAACCAGAAGTAACCATCATAGAAGAAGAAAAAAACATTTTTTTTGGCCTTCATAAAAATCTGGTGCTCAGTATGAGGCAGAAAATATCATTAGCCTTCTAAGGCATTATCACTTCTGCAACCTACTCGTTTTATCAATTTAGGACCTCACTATCGTTATTTATAGCATGATTCTACAGCGGAGGGTCGTTACTATCGACCTCAGATCCCTCAAGCCGGCGCTCTATACCACCGTCACGTCAGGCCAATACCTAAAGGCAAATACCTCAGCTCAGCCCTTCTCCACTCCACCTCACTTAGAATACGTCATGTCGACAGTCACATTGAAGAAGCACTTTGGAGACTAGGCGGGAACCTGAGGTATTAGTACTAAATATTTTATCAACAGCTGTGGGATTGAGCGCCACAGTTATGCCTTAGGCTGAAGGCGGTATAGTGTCTAGTGCAGATAGTGGGTTAGACCCTCCTTCCTTCCTCTTGGAGAGAGCAAGAGCACCTTACGGGGCCTCTTAACACTAACTTACGTAGCATAACGCGTAGAGCATTCATAGTGGTCAATACGATATATATCCAGAGTTATTAACAGAGGGATGATTCACTTATATAGACTATTGAAACAAGCGGCGTTAAGGTTAAAATAACATATACACAAGTTAAGGTGTTTTCTACGTATACAAGTGGATTTAGCTGTCCATAAGGGTAGCGGAGTATCATACTGCCTTAGCACTTTAACAACCCCAAGAGAAAGCCAAATCCATGTTATATAACAAGTCTAAATATCAGTAAGTCCATCCTAACTGTGGGCAGAAATGGCACTGTTCGGTCCCGCACGGACCACCCAGTGTGGCCACTGTAGATTAGCCAGAGCTTACGGCAAGTAACGATAGTCATAATAACAACAACAATGAACGGTGGGCTGCGATTGCCCACACTAACCGTCAACCATGTTGCAGCGGATGCGCGCTCGTCAGTGTTAGGATTAAATTGCGTTACCCCTTACATCCACCTTTCCCCTGTCCCATTGTCACCCTTCACCCACGAAACATTTCACAAAACACATACCACTATAAAGAGATCATGAAGTCAGACTGTTAGCCAAATGATGGGTTCCTATAGGTCTCTTTTCAAGTATTAGCAAAACCGACTTTACAATCGCTTGATATATGATCTTGACTTTTAATTTTCCTTGATTTTTGTGACGCAATATTACGGGGTGTATGGCGGTTTGGTTCGCAGCTGCGAAGGGAACGGCAGAAAGGTAGAATGAAACCCCCTTGGCTCTTGTGTGCGGTTCATGTCAATTCTTCGCGATTTTACGACAATAATCTGACGGAATAACCTGGAGACTGTTTCTCATACCTGTGAAAGAAAAGCACACTATAATAATTTGACTCTGGAGAACTTATCCCAGCTCTGCACTAGAACCAAGATCGGCATGGGTACTTTACCTTCCGCTTACTTCAATAGATTTGCGATTACTTAGGAAGGTTCAAAGAGAAGCTTTCACAAGTTAGATTTACTAGTCTATACTTTCTGTGGCCTTTGCGGGACGTTATCTATTCTACATGGTATCACGTTCTGAAGACCCCCGGCTGTAAGGCACGTGTTATCAGGAGGCATCTATAGTATCTCGTTTTTGCTTTTCAATAGGGTCTGCTTAATATAAGTATTTTTAACGAATCAAAATTTAATCCCGCTTTCGACCTCAAAGTATGTTTAGGCTGTCTGGCAACATGGTATAATTGCGATTCAAATAAGGGCTACGGAAGGCTCTTGCGGCCGGTAATCTTTGACTATAGACACTTGAATTAAATTTCACAGGTATTCTTTTAACTGCCTCCGTGACTACCAGTATTTTTACATTTTCCACTTTCCCACATTATGTAGGTTTGGAAATGTCACTGCAGAAAAGCCAGGTTGGGTCTGTAGGATATAGAACTAGCATCGAGATTGTAAGCGGAAACTTGGGCAATCCTTTTCATCCATTCAGCGTCAACGCCTCTAGTACACTAGGTTATGACTTCGTGTTTCAAACAATTTAAATACATCTATAGTATTTCTAGATACCTTTCCAGATTTCTATTAGACTCCTGGCGCCATCTATCCTCCTATTCCACCTGATCAATGCAGCAAAACCTAATTCCTGTACCAAACCATCCGTTTTATCCAACAATATCAGAACACGACTAGTCAAACTAGTCTAGTTTACATCAAAGTTATGACTTCCCGAGTTGAACCTGCTCTTGATAGAAATGTCCATTAATTCAACAAAGCGTTCCTCATCTAGAGCGACATCTTCGGTATGCCAATCCCCTTTCCTCCGCCGTATCCGACCACCATCGCTATCACCAGTAACATCACTAGCCGGAACGTTCCCGTGAGTACTGAAGTATTCATGGCCGAGGGCACCGGCGAGGTTGCGGAACCCCTTGTGCATGAAGCCCTCAGGGAGAATCTCGACGACGGCAGAAGGCTCGCGCAGCCAGAGGGTGTGGGTGAGGCCGGCACCGTGGACGCCGGCCAGCACGTCCGAGTCCCGCACTAGTTGCACTTGCTGGGCAAAGGGGATGGCCGCGAAGTCGACGAGGTGGACCTCGAGGCGCACGGGCGAGTCAGCATATCGCCTCTCCAGCGCAGCCACGAGCTTCTCCTGATCCACCAGCCTGCGCCCCGACCTACGGTCGATGAAGGTCACGACTATCTTGTCTTTTTCCTGCTCTTTGTCGGCGTCCCAGACGTGAAGATAGCGTAGCACGCGCCGCGAAAAGGTCTCCAGTAGGCTCGAGTGGACGCAATTGTTGGGCTCCCAATCGTCCTGCCAGACAGGGTTGCTGGCCCCCGCTAGAGGGATGATAAGTGTGCCCATGTCGGTGCCGGCGGGCACTTCAGCCAGCCGGATTGTGGGCTTTTGGGCGAAGAGGCCCCAGAGGTCGAAGAAGGGCCCGTTTTCTTTGTCGTCGAGGACGATGACTTGCGTGTTGGGTGCGTCAGCCGGCTTGAGCATTGTGTCGGCCGAGCCCCGCTGTCGTGTCATCTGCAGCACATCGAGCGTCATGCTGAGGGACATGATCTCCATCAAGCAGTGCCAGAGGTTAACCGACCCCTCGCGCTTCAGGAGTATCGAATAATGGTTTGAGTTGGTCGGGTACGACGGTGCAGATTCGTCATCCTCCTGACTTTTCAGTTCCGGTGGTGATGATAATGCAAGTTCGCCCTTCTTCGCCTCGACATACTGGTCGAATACGACGCGTGGCCCAGTCTCATACCAGTAGGACTTGAGCATGTCCAGTGTTTGGGCCGTTTCATTTGCCTCGATAGTATATGGCACGATCTCTTCACACGACAGTTCGAACTTGCCCTTCGTGCCCAGCACCCCGTGTTCCCCGACGCAGAATGAGTCGATGGTGCTGTCGCTTTTCTGGCTGTGGAAACATGTCAACTGGGATGGCGACTCAGCCGAACAGTACGCTGCCCGGCTTTGACGGAGCTCTTCCAGGTACGCCGTTTGAAGACGCCGTGGGCAAGGCAGTGGCTCGTCGACGACAACTTGGTAGTCATTTGGTGGTTGCAAGGGTTCCAAGGGTATCATGGTGTCGACAGTTTCTTCATTGCCATGGTTATCGTCAAACCCGAGTTTTTGGCCCGGCCACATTGAGCTTCGGACGTGGCCATGCTGAAATGTATTCAGCACGCCGAGGAGGAAGACGGATATGAGTAGACTGGAGAGGACCGTCGTAAAGTGTCTTCTCGTGAACAACAACTGGTAAATCATTTTTCCCAGGCCCAATCATGGCATTGGTGGTGATATTTTGCGTAAGTCTAGCACGAGCGATATGGCCATCCTGGATCTCTTGGAATTATATCCGCATTCCGTTCAACTACATGTATACAACTACATGTATATTTTTGCGGTTGGGCATTCCGATAGCCTCGGGGCTGCGCCGTATCGTGTGCGGGCGCGTGCAGGTCCCAGGATCTTCTGACGATACAAAACCAATGGCGTCGCTCCCAATCGGGGGCGTTTGACCGGTCAGCCGCCCTGAGGCAATGCTTAGGCCCCAGCCGTGCAGCCCTGTCTGTTCACAAACAAAAAAAATGTAGCTAACCTGAATTGGCTACCATCTCGTCTGTTGACAAACAAGTCGAACACGACGCAAAAGTCGGAAAGTAACTAGCTAAGTATGAAAATAATCTAATCAAGGTTCTTACCAATGGTGTGAGCCTGCGTCTTTCATTCTGTTGATGAGAAAAAAAAAGCCGTCTACTGTCAAGCATGTACTCCGTAAGGTTGGTTGGTCATGGATTAGGTGCCTGCCTGTTGGCAATCCAGGCAAGAGGGTTGTATTGATGATGGGTCGAGGTCTAAGTCCCAAAGGCTGCAGCTACGGAAGCGCTATCTATGGGCAATCAGCCCAAGCGCTGCACCCAACACACAGGCGGTGTGCCCGGGGCACGCCAAACCATCTCATTGTCTAGCGGGACTCCTCAGAAAAACAAGCATGACCGCAGTCGTTCAGGGAAAAGATCGCTTGCCGCCAATATTACTATATCATGCGTGGAGCCGCTAACCATGCCTAGTACCGCCAATGATACGCCAAAGCCGAGCCATATTATTGAAGCTTATCTCCACTAGCCGTGCAACCATGACCCATAGAGTCCAGCTGCTCGGGTCAACCAGTGGGGTTGGGGGTCGTTTTCCTCCGATTATCAGGAATTGTCAGGCTAGCTGTAAATTAGGCGCGCCTTAAAGCGGACTACCTTAGCGCTTATAGAGACTAACCGCATTAACCCCCATTTGCAAGCGAAATCGGCTTGTCAACACAACTGCCAGACGGCACCAGCCCTCGGCTTCCAAAGACTGCCTTGTCCGTATTCCTGTTACTTAGCCAGTTAACTAAGCACGGAACCTTTGGTAATAGCTAACTGTCAGAACTTCAGGATCGAAACCTCTGGTCTATCAGCAACTGTGACAGGCTGTGCCTGATATGGGATCCGGAGCTGCAAGGACCGTGCGTCCGGATCCACCAAAGGAACCATCGAGGGCATACAAAACATAGTCCGTGTTCCCGGGACAACTCGCATATTTTACTTTCCTCCTCAGTTAGATAATTAACAGTATTTGGCCATGTTGAGCTGTATAGTTTCGCAGTGAGCCCGTCACAGCAACTGACTCAAGTATGCAGCCAAGAGGCACCCTGATGCGACTGCATATGGGGTGAAGTTGTATGAATCGGGAAGGGTTTACCAGGTCAGCTATTCTGGCCTAGCAGAGCTATTTTTTGATTCAATCAAGGCTATATGCAGAGCGCAGCAACAAGCCGTTGTAGTCTACATCCCTCTGCCCTCTCCAGACAACTCCGGACGACTCCAGACTACTTAATAGCATAGTAACGGCGCTACCTATTACCGAGGCCAATGGCAGAGTAAGAGGGACTTCTAGTTAACTAGATCCTACACGAAGGGCTATATGGCCGCGCTCGTTCTAAGCGTTATATAACGTGATTTGCTGACGAAATGATACACGCCTCAGGAGAGGTTGGGCTAACCGGCATTTCTTAGATTAGAGGCTACATATCCCGTTATCCCATTATATACAGGAAATTTAGCCACTGTATCAAGGCTTCAAAAATATAGGCGACGTGTTCAACTAGGATTCGCAAATACTGTCCCATTTCGTGAACCTTCTAGTTCTCGACTGCCTGTTGGTATCGATTTGCCATTATTGTAAGCCCGAGTATCGATTGAGAAACCTTGTGCCTAGAATTCTTGTTCGGCTAATACCGTGCTTCTTACGCCTATCAACTAGCTCACACGGAAGGCTGGGGCGCCAAGAGCCGGGCGACCATGCACCCTACTGCAACCACCGACCTCGTGCGGCAGAGACCCAAGGTGTTGGCGCTCGCGGACCAGCTCTGGTGAGTGTTGAGTAGATGAAGAGCAAGTCTGTGCCTGGCGCGCTGGAGAAGGCGAATGCATTATAGGTGTTTGCTTGGTGAAAAATCCTGATGTTGTTGCGTCTTGAGCAGGACTAAGGGAAGTCGTGTCAGTGCTCTTAAGAGGAGATGGAGGATTTAAAGTGAAACCAAAGGCGACATCTTCGTGATGTTGCGAGAGGAAAGCTGAATTGACTGTTTCCTGTTTATCGGAAGGCTGAAAAGGAAGAGTATGTTTGTTGTTATAAATACCCAAGAGTCCGATGTTGTCAAGATCGTCGCCTGAATGGAGTGACTTTTGTATCCATTCCACATGTGAGTCATGCCCACTACATGGTAGTTGATAATCATGATGGCTCTCCGAAATTGGGACCGCGCTGGGATTTTCGCCCGTGCGTCGCCTTTCGAAGAGAAAATTTACTTCGATCAAGCTGCGCTAAGTCTCACCTGGGCGGTTCACTCTATTAAATACCAATGTCAGCAGTACGATTCATTTTCGCAGCCTCTTGGTGATGGTTGCAACTATTCTTTCAACTGGTTATCAGCCACAATGAGGAGTCAAGTTGATGATTTTGAATGGTGAATTGAATGGGACGCAAGGTTGAGGACCTTATAGCGGCTTCAAGAGGAAAGAGGTTAACAGGATAGCATACCGATATAAGCAATAAGTACTGTGGAATAACTCTAGAGTTTCACACCAACAGTAAAATTTATCCAGCCAAGCCCTCTGTAGTGCCCACAGTACCTGCTGTTACAAGCAAGTTTCTTTAAGGGGCTAGTTTTCTTAAGTAGGAGTGAATTGACTGCGAGTCGTTAAGTTTCTGAGGATTTTGATCTGAGAGCCCAAACCTGTCACAGCCATTTGTTCTGCACAGTTCAAAGACAAGGGTATAACGATTTGTCGACGGTCACTTCTGATCTGGTGCTCCATATACCTAGAATCCCAGAGACAAGGGAGCTTTTTTTTATTTTTTTTAATTTTTTTGTCGGCTGGTGTAGTTGGTCACTTCGCTGGTAGATAAGTCCCGATTTGAGCCTCGCCCACTTGGGTCGGTGACGAGTCGCGGGTTCGAATCCCGCAGCTGACACACAAGGGGGTTTAGTCAACCCTTACGGCGCGCTGCCCACCTTGTTGACTTCGCCTACCTAGCGATAATAGGGAGATTGGTGCAGTTTAGGATTACGAGCATCCTAGCCAGTCGACCGTCAAGCACTACGTCGGCGGAATATAACTCGACAGCCGGTCCAGAATTCGAATCGTTAATCCGACCCCTTATCGGACCCCCTCTCGCCGCGATTCTTGCGAGCGTCTAGACCACGTTACGGTCTATCCACTTGAGCGTATGGTTGAGATGTATACGCTCGACGAGAACCCCAATTAGCAGATACTACGACTTGCCGCGACAAAAAATAGTCGAGCATCTTCTGCACATCAGCAGCATCCCACCCCTGAGGACGAATTTAAGTGCCACATTACCACACTTATCGGTAGTTCAGGCAGGGGTTGTAGCACAGACTTAGGGAGGGACAGGAGGTTTAGTAGTCGTTTGGCTACAAGTTTACCTGTATAACCGCCCGACGCGGCTTAAGGGCCCGCTATATCATCTATAGCCCCTTAAGGGAGTACTTGTAGAGGTACCGAGGGTTAACACCTACGGCGTATTTAATTTTATTTTTATTTTTTTTCATGGCGTCCAGCTAATTTGCATTTACAACGGCGAATTACGACTTCCTCGTGGTAAGCTTTCAAACGTTGCAAATGAAACTTGGAAATTTCTACGTGATCTTAGAGCTACAGCCCCTAGAAACCGAGCAAATACCGTTACTACCATACACCACAGACATCCACTAGACACTAGCAGATGACATAATGAAATCTTCATACCAGGCTAAAAAGCCTTCAACACACTTCCTGTCCGCCTCCCAGTAGTTGACATACAATCCATACACCGACTTGGGCTTAGGAGACGTAGGCTGTTCCACTTCTAGTTTAGTTTGTGCTGTCTTCGGAAAGTCCCTCACACTCAATTGTTCCCTCGTATTATATAAACACAAACCGGTTGTACTTCCAAGGTCTTTATTACGTCTTACGTCAAAAACAAACATATGCATGCATGTTTGCTTAATCACCTCCTCGTCAGTCAAGTCACCGACGTTCCCCAGCTTCATGAGGATGTTGCAGGTTCGGAAATAACCATGGCATATTCTCTTGCTGTGCAGAAACCTTGTTGTCCTCCAACCAAGCATTGTGCGTTGGGCCTACGAGTGGAAGCACCAGATAGAGATTATGGCTGTTAGTTCCATCGACCCAGAAGTTCTCCTGAGTCATGACAATGTGATGAGCTGCTGCCTCTGCGGTGCTGATGCCGTGTTATTTGAACTTCGGATGACTTCAAGATCGTGCCCGTTTTCCTTCGAATCATGGTCTGCGATGACTTTGACAGAGCACAGTTTGTTCTTCTGGGGATCGCAGCAAAGCCAGCTAGTCGCTTAGCCACCGTAACTCACTTTGTGGAACACTTTGAATATTCCACCAAGCGTATCGTCCAGGTGTACTGGATGAAAACCTCCGGGTTCGTAGCGCCCGCTGTATTCTGCTCTGTGCATCACTATGCTAGGGTGGACATATTTGAGTTCCAAAACAGACCGCTGGGAAGAATCCAGCAGTGTCTCGAGAGAAAATGATACGTTTCTGGGTCAGGAGTCACGTCGTTTTCCCAGTTGACAATGCTGCATAAAAATGGCGATGTAGTTGTCGACACAAATATTGCTGCAGTTGCGCCGCGGTTTTTGCGATGGCCAAGATGGCCGTGCTAGCATACCTCGAGAGTTTTAAGTTATGTTGCGGACAGTGATGCTGCGAGTTTCCTCGTGGCCAAGAATTATGTTGCTGTTGGCATTTTATTCGCGGTAGGAGGCAGGAGCCATTCAATGGGCCCAGGTGAGTGACTCAGTCAGGCGGTTAAGTATATCTTCAGTGAGAAATCCGGAAGACCAGACTAGCAACAAGGAATAGTCTCTGAATCATCAATGATGTGGGTGGATGTCTAAACGACTTACCAACGGTGAATAAGCATAGACATTCTGCACAAACAAGGAAGTCAAAAACAAAAACAGCAACTGAGGTATTGGGATAGTGCTCTTGAATAGGAACGGCACGCCTTTGTGCTCCCAAGATCCCACAAGGACGCTTTGATCGGCTTTCCCGGTGTTGCTTTCCCTGCTTGTAATCTCTACATGTGTAATGGTTGTAGTAAGTCTGTAGTAGAGTGGGTGTCTATATTCCAACAATGGGGAGAAAAAGCGATGACCCTTTTAGCCAAATAGTCACTCCGATAAACCATCCATCCTAGTTGCAAATGACATATCTGTCTTCGGTCAGAGCATCAAGACCCCGGCAAGTAAGGGAACACAAACGGAAAAAGGGATAATGAAAAGATATAGACAGAAACTTTGGCCAAATGGGGAAGGCTCGATTCTGCTAACGGCTGGCAGAAACAGCTCGCATGAGGCAAGCCACCGTTTGGTATTTCCAACTTGCGATGCAGCGTAGGGAGGAACGTAACCTTCTTGATCTGGAATTCCGAATAATCCACGACTTTTAATGCTCCGGGCATCTTTCCATGACACGAGTGAGTAACAAGCATCTCCTTAGATGAAGTGGGTTGGATGCTTGTCTATCGAGAAAGCGTATGATGGGGCGGAACGGAAGCGAAAGCCATGAGCTTCGAGGACGATGGACAAACATGACCAGTTCTTGTGTATTACGCGAGCGATTAGACAATGGAAGACGCGTAGAAACAATAGACGTGCGATGGGTTAAAGCTGTTGCTTCTGCTCGTGACGACGGGTTCGAGTCTCTTGAAACGAACTGATGCACTTTGCAACACGATCTGAAAATTATTGTGTCTTGCTGCCGAAGGACAGAGAGCAGATGCCTCTTAATGAAAGAGGAAGCACTTATTGAATATTCAACGACCGGCGCGAAGTAGGCTGGCAGCCCCAAACGGTGGAAAATTGACTTGGATACCTGACTGTCGCATTCATATGACTGACTTACTTCATATTGGTATGACAGAAGATTAATTTCGTCTGATATCTTGGTGACATTTCGTCTCAAGTTTGGTGTCTCAAGGTCATCTGGGAGAGTGTCCTAATCTAGATCGAGGTAACGTACAACCCCACCTTTCCGGCCACCCAGCTTTCTGGCCACCTAATCTGCCAACTACAACAACCTTCGGCACAACAGATTATCGTCGGTATTGGCTATTATTATACAATGCCTCGATATTCAGAAAATTCGATTCAAGGCGCTCTCAACGATATCAATCAAGGGATATCCCAGCGCCAGGCTTCCCTCCGATGGGGCGTTCCACGCTCTACCCTCCAATTACGACTCGGCGATGGCCTCAGCCATTCTGACGCGTCAATCGCGTCGATGAAGCTATCTAGGGAAATGGTTTAACGATTGCGACGATATACCTGATTGGCAATATACTTATTCGTCTAACGGTTGGATCAGTACAGATATCGCCGTTCGATGGCTTCGTGATATCTTTATACCTCGTACACAACCAGTTGATCCCGACGAGCAGCGGCTCTTGATATTAGATGGTCATATCGCTCACGACAACGTCGAGTTTATGTGGTTAGCCTATTGTAACAAGATCTCGTTACTATTTTTGCCAGCACACTGTTCTCACGGGCTCCAACCTCTCGACGTCGCCGTATTTGCTCCATTAAAGCGGTACTATCGCTCGTTAGCGACCTCTCTCTCGATCGAGTACTGTTCTATTCCATTTAAAAAGTCGACGTTCCTCTCGCTATACATCGAGGCATATACGAAGTCGTTCACGATCAGTAATATACAATGAGGCTTCTCTGCAACTGGAATATACCCATTAGATCCATCGCGACCTCAGCCGACGATAGCCCCCCTATCAGAACGACCAACTACACCACCAACAGCTGGTAATTGGCTTGATCCGACAATAATAGCGACGCCAGTGACTAGCTTAGTAGCTAGGGAGAGTCTGGCAGCGATTACGCCATTGCGATCGTCGCAACGGCTATTGTTTCGGAAGCTGACTCGTCGGCTAGATGTACAGAGCGTCGAGGTCGCTACTTTGACCCAACGTGTACACGCATTAGAAGCCGAGATAACTTCGTTACGCCCCAAACCACGTAAGAAGGTACGATTAGGGCCTAATGAACGATTTGGTAACATTGTACAGATTAAGGAAGCGATGGATCGAGCCCTTGAAGTAGAACGGCAACGAGACCAGGTACAACGTCGGAATCAGGTAATACTGGACCCAGCTAAGGCGTCAGAATCTATCAGATCTATACCTCAGGAAGCCCTAGAACACAGCTTTCTATTAGAGCTGGTTGTACCTGAATAGCTATAATAGTACGTTGAATACACTGTTTCGAATACCTTCAATTGGATTGCAATATGTGGCCAGAAAGGTGGGTGCCCGGAAAGGTGGGTTGTACGTTAATCGTTGGGTTGATCTTGCTGCCCCGCCAATAAAGGCTTGACGGACTATCATCGGTCCGCACGGCTTCAGAGCTTGGTCGGCAAATTTGGGTCCCGGTTGCTGGTGCTGCGGGGCTCAATGTGATGTGGCCAGCCAAGGCACCTGCAATGCGGGCATCAACATCGTCGCGAGGAATCCTCAGGTCCTCAGCAGCTCCATCCGAGATCTTCTCCAAAAAGATCAAGTTGCGGTGAACTTTTGGTGAAGAAACCTTCTCAAGCCTCCCAACTCGTCCACTTTTTCCGTCTCTGCGTTTCGTTTGGGCCGGCCACCCCACCTTTGTGAGCTTCGTCATTGCACACATTACTTTATTCGACAGCTTTAATTCGACTCAGCACAAAAGTCCCAAGGGTGATCGCATTTACATTCGGACCAAAGCCAATCAACATTCTTGCCTTCCAAGACACGACACGCACAACGCATCCCGACCAAGACCATCATGGCGGATAAGAGCACCACAGCGCGCAGTCCCTCCCCACCCGAACGCTTGAAACCCTCTCAGACCGAAGATCCAGACACGGCCGCCGCGCGTGAGGAACTTCACAACACCGCCATCTCGGACAGGATGCCCTCTGCCCACAAGGCTGACCCCGCCTCCGATAAGGCATCGCTGAGGATACCGTCGCCCGACGAGGAACAGCACAGCATGATGCGGGAGCAAATATCCTCGCCCAAGAAGAAGCGAGCCCACGATGAGGTCGATGAGCCCAAAGACGGGAGCCAAGATCCCAACGGCGATGTCTCTCCCATTGGCGCAAATGGGCGAACCGACAGATTGGAGCCCGAGAAGAAGCGCCATCGTGACATTTCAAGTGAAAAGAAGCCGACTGTGAGACCGACCTCGACCACTCGCGCTAAACAAAAATCTTCATTATTGCTGACTATCATCTGAAGGATTCTGATAACTCCGCCCTCGAGACGACCGCGACGACGAACAACAACACCAAGGCAGAGCCTGCCCCCGACAAGAAGGCCGACACCGGTTCCTCGGCCTTCAAGAGTTCAGGACTATCCGGCTTTGCGGCCCAACCGTCACCCTTCCTTCAATCTGGCAAGCCACTCACCTCCTTCGCCAGCGCCTCGGGTTCGGCCTCGCCATTTGGTGCTGTTTCGCCTTCCAAGGCCGGGTCCACGGCGTCGACACCTTCCGCATTTGGGACTAGCAGTGCGGATGGATCGTCTCCCTTTGGACAAGTCGGCGGTGGCGCCTCGAAACCTTTCGGCGGTAGCGTCTTTGGCGGTGCCTTTGGAAGCGGTCTCGGAGGCATGAGCGCCAACAAGTTTTCGTCCTTTGGCAAGCCGGGCGCATCTTTCAAGAGCAGCAAGCCGGCAAAGCCTTTTGGGGCCCCCGAGAGCGATGCCGAGTCGGGCGACGAGGAAGACGGTGACAATAGTAACATCCATGACGCCACGATGGAAAACCCAGAAGAGGAGAAGCAAAAGGAAAGGGACGAGAAAGACAAATATGCTGACGATGACGAAAAGAAGACGAAACTGAAGAAGGGTAGGAAGTCGTCGCGCACTATATCTGCAACAAAGTTGTGCTAACAGCATGTCTCCAGTGGCGATCGACGACGGTGAGGCTGGCGAGGCTACCATCCTCCAGGTCCGCGCAAAGATATACCACCTTGACAAGACATCAACTCCTGCAGCATGGAAGGAGCGAGGCGCTGGAAACCTCAAGATCAATGTCCCAACCGTTTGTGTCGATCTTGACGAGTCGGGAGTACCCCTTCCAGGATCGTTCGACGCATCCGGTCTCGAGGATGCGGAGTCCAAGACTATACGTCTCATCATGCGCCAAGATTCAACACACCGTGTGATTCTCAATACTGCCGTGATCCCGGCCATGGAATTCCAGGAGAAGTCGACGAACAAGGCGGTTTGCGTCATCTTCACTGCTATCGAGGGTGAAGGCAACGCCGTCAGCATACAGGCGAAGGTCAGCATCTTTCATCCCTAGCTTAATCCTGACAGAACCTCAAAACTGACTTTTGCAGATGAACCCTACAAACGCGAGGAGCTTTTTGAACGAGGTCAGCAAGATCCAGCGTGAACTTCAGTCGAGTTAGGAGCCCGACTCCGCTGTTTCAGCCGCCGCACCTGATGGTCAAAAACATGACGATTCTGCCGCCGTCCCGGATGCGGACTCTGGACCGTCACCGACTGCAGATTCGGGCTACCATTCTCATGAGACGCAGGAGAGTGGCGAAGCTAAGGACGAGGAGAGCCTCGAAGGCGATGGCGCTCATCAGTGCTAGGATGCCCAAAGCTACCCGTATTGAAGACGGCTCGGGTAGTGATGACTACAAGGAATCTCTGAAGAACAACCAGGATGCCCCCACAGAAGGATTCCGAACTCGAAAAGCTCGAATGTGCCACTCCTAAGTCGAGATCTCGCTCGCCCAAGCGCAAGGCATCCATGTCTCCTGAGCTTATGGGCGAAGCAACCATGGCGAAGACGACGACGAAGACGGCACAGCCGGGTGATGCACCGGAAGGACTGCAGAATCGTGACGGATGGGGTTTCACAGGCCAAGGACTCAAGGCTGACAGGAGTCAACCTTTTTATTTTGCCGGGTGGCCTCTACGGCCTCGGAGGCATTTCGATACCCCAGATAGGCCAAGGAGTATACAGAGGAAAGGAAGGCATCGCATGGGACGTAAGGCATCAAGCGAGCATTTTAAGCTGGTCTCTCCCCTGGCGTCGGATTGGCAGTACTTGAGCTTTGGGTGGCTTATTGGTAGACCGACAATGACTACTTACACTAATGGTACATAGGATCATGCCAATGTAATGAAATATTCAAAATCATACGAATGGGATGCGGCTGTTTCGCCTTACTAGGCAGACAGCAATGTGGCGAGCAGACGCAACCGGGTTTATTTCATTTGCTGGCCTCATGCGGTTTGTATTTTCCGTTCCCAAGTCTTGGAGTGGCCATCACATGCTAGACATTGTACCCCTTTCGATATCTTCCCGCGCCATTCCCCGTGTCATTCTCGCAGGAAAACCTCGCCCAAATTTCAGATTGAGACCCGATACATCTGGAATCTTGTCCAACTCATCCTCAAGTCTGATAACTTGCCCATCCAGCTGGGCTCGTCTTGTCAATAGAACTACAGTGACTAGTCCATGCAATCACATCTTCAGGCAAATATACACCTTTTAGCCTATTGAGGATGAGTAATTCTTACTTTTGTCCCCGTTATCCCATTGAATTCCAGTCCCCGGAGGCATGTAACCCTGATTGCTCATAACCCACACGCTCGCCTCCTGGGAATCAGTCAAGATTTGGGTGTGCCTGAATATCCGATACTTGACCTCTCTCCAGCCGTCAGCAGTGGATAAAGACAGGAAATCAGCAGTGAATGCCAACTTACACCCGTTGTGAAGACGCTCGGATCTCGAAGTCCCTTCTACCGATACGCGTCATTATGCCTCGCCGCAATTATCTCGCTATGAAAGTTAGAACTAAGCTGTGCTAGTAATATACGACGGGGCGAAATCAGCCCGTCTAGGGCTTATAGAATAAGGCCCCTCCTCTAAGGGTGGGTTAAAATTGCTGTGAAAGTCACTGACAATAGAAGGAGGCAAAGGCCCCCCCTCCTCCCTCCAAGTCCCCTCCATCTGCGTGGGTTGAAATTCACAGCAATTTTAACCACAAAATACCAATCGTGACATCTGGCAATATGAATCGCTGTATTCTATGCTTAAGCCTCGAGTCGCTAGTTTCTCCCCTGAAGATTTGACCCTTCCGTAGCGTAGGCGAACGGCCGATTGGACAGAAAGTGGAAGACATCATTCATACTTACCGTGCAGTAAATACCTGCAGGACACGCTGATTCTACACTGCAATTCTAACCCTCACGAAGAAGAAAGAAAACGTGGAAAACAGAACGTTTTCTGCTGATCAGCTCTTTGAAATTTGCAGAACCAGAAGTATCATGTAGATAATGTGAGTGGGAATGATGTGACACATCTTTTCTCTCTCATGGAGATAAGAAGCTGGATGGGTTTACTATCTGGTCAGGTGAACAGTAACTATGCAGCTTTCTGGTACGGCGCCTCAGCTGTCCCAAAGGGTCGTCTACTCTCGAATCCAATGTAATGCAGTTGCCCTGTTCCCACTAGAATAAGTGGCGAGGAATTGTTACAAGACTGAACCCGATTTCTGATCGTTTTCTCTACAATACCACTCGGCGCATACAAAAGGAGTCGTTTTTGGCTCGTCCACGTATCGCAGCTAGGCGACTGCAAACCCTTCGCCCTAGTCCGCACAACGTTCTTCCGCTCATCGGGGCCTGGGCCTGGGATCTGAGTGTGCACCCCAGCAACACAATGCCATCAACCTCCACTTGAGTCTGCTGAAGCAGGGACAGCTTCCCCTGCAAATAAGACTCCGCGTCCAGTTTACGAGACGTGGAATGGGTGGTCGCAGTATTCAAGCTGCGAACGTCGTGATTGCCCATTATGAGAAAACCCGAGTGAAAAGGGGAAGGCGAAGATGGTGTTGTTGGTCTGCTTCAAAGTGTAGGCGGGATGCGTATTGGAATATGCCTGATGAGCTGCCCAGGTTGGTCTCAGACTGCGCGTCGTTCTTCAGCATTATGTGTATTTTTGCTTGATGGGTGATGAGCGGTTCTGCAGTTTATTAACCAGGCCAGGTCTTGGACTAGTTTGCTGTTGTTGTGATTTGATGGTCATGCCCATCTAAGAAGCCAATAACTCCGATATGGGAGTTTTCGGGTACGTCTGGACTACAATCATTGCATCGATTTCGGAAACATCGCACACAGTCAGTAACCTCAGTTACTTACTTGACTCGTGGATTCTGACTGCCCTTGCCCCAGACGAAGCCACTGGCAGTTGGCGAGGGTGATGTAGTAAGAACGGGCCGATCGCATGCCCCATTGCGCGACGATGGATGACGTAAAGATCGTGGAATTTGCCCGATGGGGCTAGTCGCGCGAGCTGGTGGATGAGACGAACATGGCTGGGGTCAAGGGGCCTAGACTCTACCGCAGAGGATCTGATACCCAAGTTTTGGATATGAACAGCCTGGGAATGGCTTTGAAACTGAATTCGTGTATTTATCTTGCTCAAGATGCTCTTACTCGCCGGCTTCTACTGAAAGTCTCATCTCACACGGTTATACTTGAAGGCTGAAGGACAACTTACAATGCTATCAACCACCCCCACTCCCCTTGCAAACCCACGACTCCTCATCACCAGTCACACCGAGTCGGGCGCCTCAATATTCTTTCATGACCAGTCCCTCGAGCCATTTGTCCCCTTCGGCTTGAGCGCCAGCTCCTTCGCCGTCTTTGACGCCCGGCCGACGGTCCCAGTCTCGAACCAACCTGACCCATTATACCAGCAAGATCTCGCACAATCCCTCCCCCGATGCCCGCCTTAAGGTATCGTTTTCTGCATTACTAATCTCCTACCCCGGTATAGTACGCCTATGCACTGTACGTCCAGTCTGGACTACTGCGGTGTCGTGTCCGGGAAGCGAAGGTGAAGGAACAAAGGGAGAAGAGAAAACGGTTAGAGCGGGGGAGTTTGTCGTGCAAGGGGGAGTGAATCATAAGTGAATCATGAGTGGAGTAACCGGACGGAGGAGGTTTGTAGGATTGCGTTTGTCATGGTTGGGGCGGAGCAGGTGAAGCTCAATAATGGCGAGGTGTTGGAAGAGACTGTGTTTAAGAAGTAAAGCAAGGCAGTGTAGTTAGGGAAAATCAGATGATGCTCTTCTTTTTCAGCTGCGATTTCATTCCCGTGTATTTGCGGATCCTGTCGAAGACTAGTTGGGCCTTTTGTTTCTGCTCAGGCGTTGCTGGAGATTCGGCGGCTTTAATGATGTTGATGGGCCACAACAGCAAATAGCTACCGATGGAAAGAGTGACACCTTCGTCCTTGGTGAGACTCGACGGGTTGCCGCCATATCCGAAGGAAGTGCGGCTCGACCTCTGAGTACTCTCAACCGACCTGCTTCGACGCTGAGAGCTGCGGGTGGAATTATGGGAGTGAACGTATGCGGCCGAAGCGCGCGCATGTTCAGTTACTTTGTTGGTCTCATGGCAGAAGATGATGGTGGCTTCATCACGGTAGCCGTGGCAGGGTTCGTTACGCTTGAGACACCGCTGGCAACTTGGCCGAGTCTCGTCACATCGAACCCGTCTCTCTCGGCATCGTCCACAGCCCCGGCTGAGTCGTCCCATGTCATGAAGGCAACTTATTAGTTGGAAAGGCTGAGGGCATGGTACTATCGACGTCTTGGACCTGATGCACGTATGAGGACGCTCACCTTAAGACGCTCACCTTAGGACGCTCTCACCTTAGGACGCTCACCGGAACTTGGCACAATCACATTTGAGTGTCCGAATCTTGATTGCGCTGCGGAGACCCAGCCTCAGCCACAGCTGCACCCCTGTCATTACCCCGCTTGCTCTCCCTATGGGCGGGGCACACGGCAGTGACAAGGATCCTGGCACACGTAAGCCAAGTCTCAGCGCGACTGAAACTTTCAGCTTGCTCACGCGAGGTGATGAGTAGACATGAAGTGAGTGAAGTCGGTAACACATAATCCAGACTGTTCCCCAATCATTCAAGACCTAGTCTTGCCACCCATATCCTATATAGTCGTACAGCTAGCAGCTTGTGCACTACCTAAGCTCCCTTAGCCCCGCCTTGTTTCGGTGCTATCACCATGTCCGACCCCGCCACCATCATCTCGTCCAAGCTCTCCAAGCTAAGGCCTTTCGCGAGGCGGACCCATGAAGACGACGACGAGGACGTCGGCGAGCAGATCGACTCGGGCACCGTGGCCGGAGGTGGACACAGCGCTCGGCGAACCAACATCACCGAACATCAGCTGCGTGTCAGCCATGCGCTGAAGTCATTTCTCGTCAAGCAGGATGTTCTGACTGTGGCGGATGCCGGCGTCGATTCGGATGCACCCACCCAGGCTTTGCAGGCCCTCCTGGAACGGCCACATATCAATGTTCCATCCTGGGTGACGGACAGATCTCATCCGCTACCCGAGTACTTCATCAGTTCGAGCCACAACACCTACCTGCTGGCCCATCAGCTATTTGGCAAGTCCTCGGCCGAGGCTTACGAGATTGCTCTGAAGACTGGGTCACGGTGTGTTGAGATCGATGCTTGGGATGACGACGATAACAAGGAAGAGCCCAAGGTGACGCATGGGTACACCCTCGTGTCTCATATCCCATTCCGCATGGTTTGCGAGACGATTCGCGATGTCATCGATCAAGAGGCAACCCAGGCCGTTGATCAACAGGGCTACAGAGCTGCGCCTATTCTGCTCTCCCTGGAGAACCACTGCGATGCTCACGGCCAGCTGCGTCTCGTGGAAATCATGAGAGAGGTCTGGGGAGATCGCCTCCTCAGCAAAGCCGCCAGGGAAAAGGGCCACGACGAGCAACAGGGAAGTGATGACCCCGTCCTCCTCGAGGAGCTTGCATCCAAGATCGTCGTCATTGTCGAGTATCACATCCCGGGCGAGGTCGATTCGGACTCCAGCAGCTCCAGCTCAAGCTCCGAGGATGAAGAGGAGAAGCAAGCCCGGCACGACTACAAGGCCAGAAAGAAGGCAGCGCCTACCATCATCATCCCCGAACTAGCCGAACTTGGCGTCTACGCCCAGTCCGTCAAGCCCATCGACAACTCGTGGTTTGAAGAGGTCGCCATGAAGAACGGTCCCCATCACCACCTTATCAACGTATCCGAAGTCGGGCTCTCCGCCCATCTACCCGGAGCCGCCGAGAAAATCGCCCGCCACAACTCGACGCACCTCATGCGCGTCTTCCCCAAGGGCACTCGCATCTCGTCTAAGAACCTGAAGCCCGTGCCATTTTGGTCCATCGGCGCCCAGATCTGCGCCCTCAACTGGCAGACCTTCGGCGGCAGCATCCAACTCAATGAGGCCCTCTTTAGCGGCACCGACGGATTCGTCCTCAAACCCGCCGCCCTCCGCGCCGGCGGCAGCGGCTCCCTCGCCACGGGCCGCAAGAGGAAACTTCGTGTGCATGTCGCGGGAGCGACGGACGTTCCGTTACCCGAGGACCGCGACCAAGGCGACATCAAACCCTACGTCACTTGCACGCTGGTGCACCCGGCCGATACGCTAGGCAATGACGCTGGGCCGAAGCGCAAGACGGCGCCGTATAAGAGGCACCATACCTTGGGCGGGCTGTTGCACCGGGGGGAGAACCCGCCGACGACGGATCCGCTTTGGGACGAGACGTTGGAGTGGGAGTACGAGGATAACGAGATGGTGTTTTTGAGGATGTTGATCAAGAGCGACGACAGTTTTGCGAGCAATCCTATTTTCGCTATTGCGGCGGTCAGGGTGCTGTATGTGGTGCCGGGGTGGAGCTTTATTCGGATGCTGGACTTGAAGGGAAAGGAGACTAGGTGTACGTTGCTCGTCAGATTTGAGATTGAGGATGCGTGATTATGATGTGTGCGTGGCAGTGTGGCTACACTGGTGTGAAGACGAGGGTGGGAAAGGTAGCTCTGTGTGCGTAAGTCGATTGAAGACTGCCAACTGCCGATCTATGAGCAATTACCTATCAATGCCCGGTTATGGTTTCTTCTAGCCTGAATGTATTTTGCGTGGTAATGGAGATCTACTTACCCGGATATTGAATGCTGGCCGAGTCCATCTAAATTGTCATTGCGGGGATAACACAAGGGAGAGATGCCAGTCCAAGGACTCCCGTGCTGAATCATTGTTGTCCTTAATATTCATAGCAAGGCCGTCCATATGAACCGCGGAGCGAGCCGAGAACGTTATTGATCCGCATAGGGTCGGATTACTTATACCCCGACTTTTGTCCAGGATGTTTTCCTGTGTCCCGTCTCCCCTTTCCCGTCTTCAGCGAACACCCACACTCGCGTCACTCCTCATTGCTACACCCGAAAGAGCGAAGTTTTGCTCGCCAAAATGCTTTCCGTTTTGTTTCAATTCCTCCTCTTGACTTCTCTACCGCCGAGTCTCACCAAAGTTCTTCATCCCCGCCAGAATCCCAACCCCGGTCCGTGCAAAATCGACGATTGCTACGACGTTATCGAGTCGTCCGCCTGCTGGAATTCGGTCATCAACAACTGGCCGGGGAGGAACGATACGGATCCCAAGGAGATATTTCAGTGTACACCTGGCGGGCAGACGACGGTGAGTGTTTGGGGTTGGTAATTTGGCTGGCGAGTGGCTAATCTTGTTGAGCAGATGTGTCAGTGTTATGGGTGTGATTCGATTTTGGATCAGTTTGTGGTTAATAATCGTTTGTGCAATGGGACGATTGCTACGAGATATAGGTAGGGTAGACAGGAAAGGGGAGTCGTGGTTGATGGCGGACATAATATGGACTGCGGAATGGTTTCTAATGCAGCTTGAAGCTAGGATACCGTTATCGTCGGGAGTTGCTGTGGTGTAATCTGGAAATGGTGTAAAATAAAATGGAATATGTTGCTGAGGATGGCCTCATGGCCGGGAAGGTGGTTATCATGTTCAACCCTCTTTACCAAGCGGAGTCAGTCATATTAAAGTTGGTCATGTCTCTTAGGTGAAGAGTCGAATGTGAATATTCATCGCCTCTGTGGTTGGAAGCTCGTGTGAAACTTGGAAGAGAGTACGAAGCCATAATTGATGAGGAAATCGGCATTTAAATCGTGGAGATCCTTCCAAATCTAAGGCCCTGGAGGGAGATAGTACTTATTTGGGGAAACAATGACCAAGTCACTGAAGGGAGAGTTATGCCGTTGCTCAAGGTGAAGGATTTGTAGACACCCCCCAGCCGCCCCTCCACTCCCCCTTTAAATCTCGCACTACGCCATCTTCCAATGTCCTGTGTTAAAGTAAGATAAACCTTCTCTAACTTCCTTGAGTCTTTCTTTTGGAAACCCCTATCATGCGCAAAACACACACACAAGATCCCCGGGTGCGCTCGAGAGCAGCATGTACTTCTTAAACCGTGAGCTCATATATCAAAATGAGAAACCATACATAATGCTGCAAGCATTAGCATTAACACTGAGAGATGGAATTCTCGAGACGAACATTGAACAAATTGAGCAAACTTTCGTCCACTATATGCGCGAATAGCTCGACACCCTCCATTACAGGAACTGGGGCTTCACCGTGATCACCATGCCAAAGACAGCATCGCATATGAAGATTATGTAGACACCGAGACGCAGAAATGGTATTTTCTTGCGATACAGATGAAAAAATGAGTTGCTTCTGTTCAAGAACGCGGGCAGCGATGCACCAGCTGGTGTCTTTCCTGGTATCCCGCAAGGATCTTTCGCCAACCCTCTGACGAAAGGTGATGGATTTCTAGGAGAGAGTATCGAGATGCGAATTCGGGTGGTTTGGCAACTGACCTCGACTCATACGAACAATGAAGGTACACAAACCCTACAACTGGGCACTAAGATCCTGTCGCCATTTTCAGGATCCCCGACCTTTCCCTTGGTAAGCGGATTTGAATTCCATGTAAGATTTTGATCCTCTTAATGCGATGATTATAAGTCTAAATTCACTTGCTGATGGCTCTGGATCAAACTCAAATGCTTACTGAGGCTCACCTGTAACTTTCGTTGAAGCCTGAAGCGAACACCTCCTTCTAGTAAGATGATTTCAAAAAGCAGCCATCTGACTAACAACTCCCCAAGTGTCTGCGTGATATTGTCGAAGTGGTCCAACAATAAACGTGTCGAGTTCGTCCCCGAAGTTTTGTGAGCCCGATCTTAATAACTTCACCCCAGTGTCTTCAAGAATCTCGCATTTCAAACATCTCGCCACAATCTGCTGGTATGTGAGACTGACCTCATCTTGAATGATGTTCTGTTCGACAAGGTCGTTCGCCGTATTCCAGTCTTCGAGGTCCTTCATCCATTCGCTTTCTGGTTCAGCAGGCTCGTCCTCGCCGCTCATTTTTGCCCGAAGGTCAGATAACCTTTTCCCCATCGCCAGTTCAATAAGCGCAAACCCGAGCCTAATAAGCATTGGGTCCATGTGGCGCAAGGTTCGCCAGAACTTGGAAGCAGGAGCGGCCACGGCAGTCTGCCTTCTTGCCTCGAGCGACCAGAAGCGCTTCGTAATACAGAGACGATGGGCCGTATCCTCTCGAATCATTGAGAAGTTTCTCCATGTCCACGTCATGTCGATCCAGGATGTGGGGTGAAATCGCTCAATAGCCGAAGCCAGATTCAAAGCCAAGTCCAACCGAACTCGTCGAGTCAAGCCCGCACCATCGCAGCTGCTCAAACAATCATCCATCGACATGACGGTCGGCGGGCTGATACCAGTATGAGGCCTTGGTGCCACAGTGTAGCGTTTACCGTCAGGACCCAGGACACCGTGGTAGTCATTCCGGGGCGAGCTCGGGGGTGACTCGCGCAGGCCCCTGACCCATTGGCACAGGTCGCTTATCTGGATGAGATTTCGTACCCCATGACTCTCGTTGAAGATGATCGAGACGGCACGATGTTCCGACGCGGCGCTGGATTCGCTGCAAGGGCTTGATCTTGACCAGGTGGTGCGGAAAATGTCACTATCGACGTCATCAACATGGCCGTTCTGCAGCGGCATGTCTGACCGGAAGCTGCTTACCTGCTATTCTCAACTTCTTCGACATCCGTATGGAGGGTGGCGCTCACTTGGCTGCCTAGAGTCATGGACCGTGGCCGCGCGCCAGCACCTACTGACATTGTTCTGCTCGCATGGTCGTCCGGAAAGACCAGTTCTAGAGTATCCGATATGCGCAGACTCGCTTCGTGAGGCCGTCCACATTGGCAGTTGAAACTTGATCGAAGGGCCTCGTGGAAGTCGTCAAAGACTTTCTTCCTAAGAGCCCCTGATGTCTTTCGTTGATGACCGGGTCTAGGCGAAAGTGCAGCTTTCTGTTGCGGTACATATGTCGTGTTCGGGCTAGCCTCCAGTACTGTGCGAAGTCCGCTCACATGTTCTTTCAGCTCTGCTAGGTTCTTCTTTACTTCGCTGTTTTGCAGTCCGAGGCGAAGAGCTTTGAGGCTTTCCTGTCATAAAGGATGAGCTCAATCCTAGGGATCACCCGGGCACAGGGAAGAGGCAAGACGGCAAGCGGAGAACATAACAAACGGCCCTTGGCGCGCCGTTTATTCTCTACTCCGCTTGGGAAAGAAGGGGGAGGGAATTTGGCTGGCTCACAGACTCTCCATCTTTTTTCTCAATTTTCTTTTTCAAGCTCTTTAAAATCTTGAAGATCTCTTCGGCCTTATAGTTCAGGATCTCGAACATCTCATCATCGAGTCTTTTCTTGAGCCGATTGATGAACTCGGTTTGAGTCCAGATGGCCGCAAAGGCATCGTCGCCGTTGACGAGCCCTACCTTGTCCTTGTCGGAAAGCTTCTCGTCGCCTTGGAGAAGCTTCTGGATCGATTGCTTGAATATCTTCTCCTGAACAACGATGCTCATTCGAAGCGCCTTGACAGATGAGCCTCCTCTTCCCGCCTTGTAAGCTTCAACCAAGTTCATTACAATGGGCCAGAGGCCGAGGACCAGGCCCACGGCTTCGATTCCAGACATATCTGTGACGGCGGTTCCAATTACAGATTTGCGTCGCGAATGAGTTGTCGAGCCTTTGAGAGGCGAAATATGCTCTTTGATACCTGGGATGCGCGTGTTAGAGTTGATGGGATGAACGGGTAGGTTGGTCAAACTTGGCAGGGAACACCACGGCTTCAACCATCTTCAGCAGCTAGCCAAAGCTGTAGAATGGTGATGTGACATTCCGTATTGAGTCAGCCAGGGCATTCTATCTGATGCCACCATAGCGTGTGGGGGTAATGCGCCCCGCGTACCACACGTATGCAGTAATCTAGCCTGTGGCGTCTGTACATCAGATCGCCGAGCTTAGCTGGCCATACATCCGGAGAGCCTTGCGAGCAGGCAGCAGCATAAGCAGGCTGTCGTAAGCCTTGGTGACTATAAGTGGGCAGGCCGACACCCTCCAACACATCGTGCAACCGAGCTTTGGCAAACCACCCCTTTCAAGCTCTACTTGGTAACATGAAATCTTCCCGATCAGGGAGTAAGTAAAATACCCAGTAAACCAAGAGAATCCGGGCCTGCATGGTGATACGGAAGCTCCTTTCATGAATGCAGGCCAGTGAGGTCCCTTGCTCAGTAATACGTGCGCGGGCACGGTGCGGGGCACTTCGACTCCAGGCGGGGGTTGAATATGTGTCGACGGACTCCCTTTCTTAGTGGTCACTACACCGAAGCTTGTGAGTGGCGAATACGTGATGCAACCTGCACGTAAAACGCGCATGTCTCATCTATTATTCTTGCCTAGTACCTATTCAGTCATCTAGGCAGACTGTCGGGCTCCCCCGAACTCATGCGGCTGAAATGAGGTTTGTCGTAATCTCGAGAACCCCCAAAAGGGCATGGCACATATCGATCCCGTACCAGAGCCCATACCAATCAGCAAATTGCGGGTTTCTAAGGCTAGGTGACTGTCAGGGTCGATTGAGGGCCACTGTTGATTCTCATCATCTCGCTCCTGCGTTGTCATGGTGTATTGTGCAGTCTATTCTTGAAGAGGTTTTGGTCGAGAAACCGGCTTTGTGTCTGCTCTCGCGCATTCATTCTAGCAACAATGTATCTTTTACCAGTCAACCTCGAAAAGCCGACGCACATGTACGATGCCATGTGGCCTAAGTCCAAACAACCGACTGGACAAACGAAAATCATCATCGCCGCTCTCTTCGAAGATTGTTCGCAGAACTTCAACAAACTCTGCGCGTTATTAGTGCCACACTGTCGTCAAGTTCAGAACAAATCACTAGCAGACTGCCTGAGTCATTTCATCACATGGGGCATCGAAAATTCTGCCAAAGACCTGGATTACAAGCTGCGCAAGGCAGGGAAAATGCACGACATGGTGGTGGATCTTCTTACTCAGTTAAAAGAGGCTCTAGAGGAAGGTATGCCACGTATACGCTCCAACGAACTAAGCTCTGTAGCTCATATCGTATGAAGGTCTGCAAATATTGGAAACAGATGAGTTGCAAGACATTGAGGACAAGGTGATCTTACCAGATGACAGTCTGCATGGATTAGAAGACGTATCCGGCGTGACCCTTGACGAAGTTTCGCCAGAGTCGCGGAACAAGGACTCGGGCTTGGTTGACAGTGCTGGCGAGATTTTTGAGATCATTGAAACGACCGTCGATGATCTCAAATCGCTCACTCCTAGCCTGGTACGACCGTATCCGGAGGATATTGACACACTGTCTTCCAGCGTCGCTGATTCTAGCGATACTGGTGACGTCGCAGACGTTGAGCTGGCCCGGCGAGTGTTCCCATCGGCCTCCAGTGTACTTCACGCTAGATTGGGCCATGCCAACTGGAAGCGCAAGATCGCGCAGAGAACAGTTCAGCTCAACACACGCCACGGAGGTTTCACACAGAAGCAGGCACCTAGAGGTGAGAGAAAAACGGTCCGTCAGGAGGTCGCCGTGGACGCTTTCAACTTTCAGAGACCTACTCTCGGCATGATTTCTGGAAACATCGTGAAGACTTCCAGCGCCAAGGCCAATCCGGGACTTCCCATCCCGTCAACGGCGAGCAGCACGGCACCATCGGAAATGGGCGGAACAGCAACTGCTTCCATTGCTCCCTCGGCGATATTTTCGCAGACGACAGAGGCAGCATCTATTTCCATCGCCCCGTCAACGATATTCTCTCGGGGCAAACTAACTCGTGCCGGGTCGACTACTACCTTGGAGACTTCAAGTTCCATTCATAAGTCGTCGAACGCCTTAAAGCAGATGAAACCGCGGGTAGCACCTGTCGAGCGTCCAAAATCTCGAGTTATGACGTATCCTGCAGTCCCAGTTGAACTGGAGGGCATAGTAAAAGGTAAAGAACAACAGTTCACGTGCAATCTCTGCGGCTATGACCTCGAAGCAGGGACCAAAATCAAAACCGAAGACGACTGGAAACAGCACGTACTCGAAGACCTGGAACCTTATCTGTGCACTTTCGACGAATGCTTTAGCGCGCAGGAGATGTACGCCATCCGCGACGAATGGTACCAGCATGAACTAGAGACACACCGGGTCAAAAAGGTCTGGAAATGCGCTGCTTGCTCGGAAGAATTCACAACCAAATCGCTGGTCGAAGAACATCTTGAGAGCCACGGACCGGAGCTTGACCAAGATGAAATCTTCATGATGAAGGCGATGCTCCGTCAAACCCTCTCAAACAAGCATTTCGGTACATCCAACTTTGACTGCCCCCTGTGCCGGATCAAAGTTTCATCCGGCAAGACCAAGGATCACATTGCGAGACATCTGGAGTTTTTTGCTTTATTGTCAGTCCTTGAGGAGGAGTCCTCGGAGGATGATTCGGATGAGATGTTCTCTCAGACCAACGACGATGCCATGTCGGACAGGTACATCAGGGAGACAGTTCTCAGTACGTTTGTCAAGGAACAGCTGAAATTGAATCTAGAACGTGGGAAGCAGCCTCCAGACCGGTTCATGGAAGACGGCAACTTTCTAGATTTGCTGGAGGATATGTCCGACTATGACGGGTCTAAGGATAGTAGGTCGAGCCCAGGTGGTCGCCGAGACGAGTCAAAGAACCTGTTGATGGAACGAATGTTCCACGGCGAACGGAGTAGGAACCAAAAATTACCTTTCGCGCCAGCGTCCAGGTCTACCCAGTCACTGTTGAATGCTGCTGGAGCTTCACCGTTGACGTCTTCCACCGAAAGGCTACCTCTTCTGCGCACTTGGTCATATCCACGTAACGACGACTTCATGGGCAGAGACAAAGACTTGGCGAAGTTGTACAAGATCCTATCCGAGCCAGGCACTGTATGTGTTGTGAGTGCTGAGGGGGGCATGGGAAAGACCGCTCTTGCAGTCGAGTACTCGTGGCGATACGAGCACTGCTATCATTACGTCTTCTGGATTCAAACGGAAACCCCTGTCGGGTCGGCAGACACCTTCTGCCAGATTGCAATACAATTGGGTCTTGCATCCGAGGGGATGGATAATGATATTCTCATCAAAATCGGCCGCGAGTTTCTCGAACAGGTCAAGGATAAAAGATGGCTGATGGTGTTTGACAATGTCAATAAGTGGGAAGACATCGACAGCTTCACCCCAATCAAGACCTCCGCCACAAATGGGTCCATACTCATCACCACTAGACATGAGAGTCTCACTGCGCCATCACGGCCGGTCAACTATTATCGCTGGGCTCTTGAGGAGCTGGATGTCGATGAGGGAAGGAAACTTCTCATTCATGGGCTGCCACAAGAGTTGAGACCAGAGGAAAACTCTCTGAGAGACCCCGAGTACAAAATTGCTGGGGATATTGCTACACTAGCAGGGCTCCCATTGCTTATCATCTACATCTCTGGATACGTCAAGCAAGCAGGTTGCAGTCTATCTGAGTTCTGGGAGTATTGGGATGAATGGAGACCAAACGCACGCAAGCCGGGGGGCTCAACTGATGCAAGTGGGCGTGATTCGGTGTTCCATATTGCTCTTCGTGATCTAGGTGGGGATGCGCGAAAGATCCTCAAGATCATGGCCTTCCTCAACAGCGATGGTATCCAACGAGAGCTTCTCGTTCGGATCGACAACAACAAACCGGGGCCGGCTTACTTGAAGCAGAATCGGTATTTGCGCCTGCCCACATGATGCGTCTCCTGTACTGATCATTTCAGATTTCGATTGATAATGTCCAAGCTCATCACTCAAAAGTTCGTGGCCGAGACGACGACAAAACACGCAGATAAGGAGACTTACACGGTCCACCGTGTCTTGCAGTCCCGCCTCCTGCAAGATATGAAAGCCAAGCCACACGAGCGAGACGAGATGTACCACATTGCATACGAACTCGTGCGCCACCATCTACCACGGCCATCGATGGATTCCCCCGAACTTTCCAAATGGAGCACTTCCAAGGAGTATCTGCCGCACGTACTAAGTCTGCAACATGCATACGCGGACCCCTTTTCGATAGCTTCACCAAAACCCTTCCTTGGACTGGCCGAGCTGTTCAAAGATGGTGGCGTGCTTCTGTGGCAACGCTATATCTACAGCGATGCGATGAAACTTCTTGACTCTGCCGAGAAGATCCTGGATGAGCTCGAGAGCGAGGAAGAAAACCTCCGGGCCGAGATTAACGTCACCATCAACCTGCTGCTTCAGTACTTTGGCATCAGCCACAGAAAGGAGAGCAAGGAGCGACTCGGCCGCATTCTCGAGTACAGGCAAAAGATCATGGACAAAAAGGCGCCAGAAGATATCACGCGGGAAGACCAGATCCTCCTCATTGACGCCAAAGCAGATTACGCCAACGGACTGCTCCAATTCAACGACTACAAGGCAGCTGAGCCTATATACCAAGACTGCTACAAAAGATATCTGGAGCTAGGAGCGGAGTCCGAACCCAAGTCGTCCTTTGCCCTGGCTAAGCTGAACCACCACATGGCCTACTGCAAGATGTACCGCAGAGAGTTCGCCGAAGCGACCAAGCTGGCCGAAAAGGCAGTCGGCATTATTGATGCGCTCGGCGATCGGCAGATGACGCTGCGGTACCAGTTTGATGAAGCGTGCATCGTCTTGCAGTCTGGCGATCTGGAAAGGGCGTTGACGATGCACCGCGAGATTCTTGACGCGCGGCTTGGGTTTCAGGGAAGAGCCAGTTATTTCTCTCTGCAGAGTCAGTACGCTTATGCAGCTTTGTGTCACTATCTTGGACGGTTGCAAGAAGCCGAGTGAGTTCCTCCCTAGCCCCTTTTCTGTGTTGCCCCTATCCCCGTTACCAAATTGCGCCTTTCCCACGTCTCCCCATTTCTGTGCGTAGTTTACTTTAATTTCACTGTCCCACTTTGTTACGCCTCTTCCTGCCTACTCCTCTTATTCCCGCCCAAGATCACAAACTGACCGACTCACTTATCAACAGAGGCTGGATGATGCAAGCCCTCAGCAAAGCTAGCGAGCGAGGCGGCAAGAACTTTTGGCCTGACGCAGCTCTCGCGCGCACCAAGTTCCACCTATCCCAGGTTCTTACAGACCTGAACGGCGGTGAGCCCACCGAACGGTCGCTGCAGATGGCGCGTGATGCTAAGGACATGCTGTCCAGGATGCTGCCGTATGATCCGGTCACAGGCGTTAGGGAGGAGCATACGGGGGCCTTGTTTGATCACTTGCAGCCTGTGTTTGAGGGGCGGTTCACGGGGTTGAGTTTGTTGGAGTACGTGTCTTGATGGAGATGGTTTTTGAGTCGATGGGGCGTATCAAGTGCAAAATGAGATTGAATGGGGGTCAAAAGATTCTCTGATAATCATTCTGTATTTAGTGAGCCGTACTTCTGGCTTCAACCGTTCTATTAGATATCGTGATATTATCTCACGCCTAATTGTAATTGGTACATGTGGCTGAACCCGATTTGCGATGTGCTTGACCTCACCGAGCCTGGATGCTCTCATTTAACATCACCTCGTACTCCAACTTGCCTGAGACAACTCCAGGCTACATCAAACATAAGAGTCGAGGTCGTGGAAAATGAATACCTGAAGAAATATGGGGGCACCTAGTCAAAGGGAAGCTACGCAAGAAAGTCTGATACGACGCTTAGCTTTGGGTGCGCTCAATAAGCAATATCCAGGTTACGCTATGTTGTCAAACCCCGAGTTGGCGACTGCGAGCCGCGCTTTCGTCGTCCGAGGCTGGAAGGGCGCATAGTGCGGATCTAAAATATATCAGATCTAGCGGGTCGGTAGGCCGGGCCATACGTGCCCCTTTAGGTCTGACATGCCCGGTTAACCCCTCGAAAAGCGCTTGATCTGCCGACGATGCGCCGGTGTCGATTGCTTCAGATCTTTATTGGGTGGTTGGAGGGGACAGCTAGATAATCTTGCGGCAGCAAGTTGAGTGAGGCAGCGAAAGCAATAGTGGGCTCCCAAGAGTTGTGCGTGACAGTTTCCAACAGGGTGTCCTGTCACCAGATAGTTTGTAGCTGGTAGTCCGAAAGAGCAAGTTTAAAGCCAACGGGCTTGTATTACTTGATATCTTCTGGACATTGGAATATGCGTTACATGCTCTTCTCCTAGTCTTTAGTAGAGATACTGTAGTTGGCGAACTGTCTGTCAGTATCCTCAACCAGCTCTCGGCTGCCCTCTTCGCTGGCGTCGGCATCATCGTGTTCTGCATTTCCAGCACCAGAAGTATGAGGTACGGGCGAGGGTGTATTACTGTCATCATTGCCGAGCAGGTTTATGACCTCACTATGTTCTGCTCGCTTGCCGTTGATGTCGGACATCTTACCGAGACTCGGTGGAGGCTGCCGTTCTCCTGCAGAGGGATCTTCTTACCCCTAGTCTATTAAAGGGAAAAGTCAGCTAAAGTAAAAGAAATAGCTGCGAGTATTGACTGATGAAACTGGAGCGGCAGCTGAGACATGGCAATGGAAAGATGCGGTATTTGATGGTTTGGTTTACCGCATATCAGACACATACGTAGACGTCGTTGGAAGTCGCGGATGTGATGCTGGTTGAAGCTAATGTTTGTGGCTTCAGTGACGTTATAAGTAGATTTTCGCGCTTTCCCGTCCAGACTGCATTTCCCAGTGGTTTACGCGCCGGGAAACCCGTCTCCTTCGAGATACGGTGGCCGGCACTGACGTCGATGCCGATGAGACAGATAGATGAGCATCTCCAACAAGGTTGCCACGGAAGATTTCTGACCACTCCCTGCCGTCTTACTCTCTACGTTTCTTGTCTGATCTGTAGGGTTATAGTTGATGCCTACTTTCAGCGCCTAGCGGGCTGGAGTTGGAGAATCGGAACGTCTCTATCTCGCCAATTGTGAAGTATAATGGCAAGATAGCTACCTTGTGTACGGCTCTGGTGTCTAGATCTGGTGTCTAATCTACACAGTTGAATCTTCCTAACTGGCTGCATAACTCTCATTCAGATGAAGGATTGTCTTCTTGGTCTGATCTGAGCCTTTCCATCTCACAGAAGTAATACTATTCGGCCTCTGCCCCGTTTGCACCTCGATACCGAAGTTTTTCTTGATGAACTCCAACGCAGACAATAACTCGGAACTCGGTTCCCAGGCCGTGACCTTGGGAAAGCCCCATTTTCGAGCCTCCTCCAAAGCATGCAGCAACAGACTTACCAGCGCCTCAGAGGAGCCCTGGCTGCTTTTCGGGGGAGTTCTCACCCTCGTTATCAAAATCTTTTCTACACTGTGGTGCCAGTAAATCCAAGTGTCAGCCGCTTCACAGATCGCACCATGAACCTGTGGGGTTTTGCCAAGGGTCTTGAGGGTGAGCACATCGCCCCATTCGTGCAAATAGGTGATCATGTCGGGGGTGGGAAGAACAGCGAGGTGCACTTCCTCTGCACCGACTGTAGCTTTCTCGAAATTGTCCTTCAGGTCTGCTACGTCGCGGTTACACAGCTCAGGAATCTCTGCATTTGATAGAAGGCGGGAGTTGGGGAGACTTGTTTGGTCATTCGCTGGGAATGCACCAGACGGGTATGTAATAGTAGACACTATCGAGGGGATCATCTCCCAGCCCATGCTGACATAAAACTACGCAAGGTTAATGATCAGAACTTTGGCAGGGTAGACCCTACAGCTCAATGGTTCCACTTACATCTCCTACGCTGGTATACAGCATACTAGCAGCCGCATCGCCTGGTCCATCCAGCCATTCCGCAATTCGTTTCAAGAGAATTTTCGCAAGACCCCGCCGTCTGTACTGAGCATGAGTGGCCACCATGAAGACGCAGTACCCATCCTCCTCACGCGTCGACTCGCTATCCCGTACGAGCAGCGGCCGACGTATCGTGCCGCACATTGCCACCACGGACGCAGGATCATCTGCCAGGGAAATACACCAGAACCGTACTCCCTGGTTGCGAGCGAGCGGGTGCTTCCACAGAGCCTCGGCCTGTTCCGCGAAGGCGGAGGCCGGAATCTGCGGCGCGAAAGCGGCGACGGCCAATTCCCAGCATGGGGACTTTTGGTCTGGAGTTTGCTCCCCGAGGACGATGTCTAGAGGACCATTTGGTCCTGTGATGGTAGCTGACACTGATTGAGCCATGTTGCGGTGCCTCGACGCCGTGTCCTTACTCGACTTGATATGACGATTTAGAAAGAGAAAAATTTGCCTCAGCTTAAATAGCGAAGCAGGGTCACTGGGTGCCTAGAAGGATTCTGTCTGACTTCTGACACAGCCAATATAATTGAAAACAAGGGGATGATGTCAGAGTGAGTTCATGCAGTGTTGTCCTGATCGGAGCAAGAAGGCTCTCGATTTGTTGTTCTATCCATCTCCCGGATAGTAAGGTCTTGTTGAGTATCTTGTTGTCCGTTGCCATCATCACACCTTGAGCATTCACTGCCCGTCGTCAATACATAGTAGGTAATTAGTCGCTATATATAGGTCCAAAGTATCTCTTCAAGCACGTAGGGATTATCAGTGAATATCCCCCCTGGCCGAAATTCGTTTATCCCTCTAAGCTACGTCGGCCCTAAGTTTTTCTAGAGCCCGTTGTGTGCCTAATGCATCCTGCCCCGCTCAAAGGGTAATCCCGACTTGGTCAAAATTAGTTCAACTTTCACCCAGGTTAACTACAGTTCAGAAATGTTCTAACCCTTGTGTATCCTGGTCGATCTACCGCACTGGACTCATGTCACGAATGTCAAGTTCATTGAATTCGTGCCAAGTCAGCTGTGTGGTCAGATCTGTTGATTCGTGGATCGATTGATGATAAGTCTAGGTTTCTATGTAACGCGGTAACAGCATTGGCTTTATTTCCACATTTGTGGGGCCTAGGGCCACACCTGTGGGGCTTAGGGCAAGCCACACTCGGATCCACACCCTGGCCAAGTCTTGCCACGCTAACGCTACGCCAGTCTAACCAAATAAATCATCACCACAGTATCAGAGAAAAGCTTGTACACAGAGTAAATGCGGCGCATATGCAGCGATATAGGAGCATATATACACGGCAATCACTGCCATTTCACACTTCCTCATTCAACCAATGAGATGCCCTACCTCCCAACCTGGCGCCTCAGTGCAAGCTGCAAGCTGAAATGGCTTCTTCGACCCAATCCCACTTTGATCACCACGAGATTTCGCTCAGAAGGATTTCGCAAAAAGCCCTGGCAGCCCATGAAGAAGCCCACGTCAGATGAGATGCAACGCGTCTACCTGGCCTATCGCGACTACATCCCAAAGAAAGGGCCCCTTATCTTCAAGAGAGATGTCATCAAGGAGCTGCAGCGATGGGCCGAGGTGATGAAGTCTGTTCAAGACATCAATGAGACTCGTGAAGACCGGGTCGCCATTATAGTGCGTCGGCTTCTGAAGCAGGGTGTGTTCCAATCCGAGGAGAAGGCTAGAGCCATGTTTCCCCAAGCATTTAAGACTTTTTCTGAACTCGGGGGGAGCGAGGAAAGCAATGCCACGTCGACATCCAAGCCAGGACAAGATGTATCTCGGAACTCGCAAAAGCCTGAAAAAGGACGGCCTGGATGCAATTACACCTACTCTGAATCGCCTTCGCCGCCCAACACGAAACCATTATCTGAATCCGGGCCAGCCTCAACCAGTCGCGATCCAGATCAGGTCTCAAGAGTGCCCTTCAGACGGCATCTGAGAACAACAGTTCATGCATCGCCGAGGTGGATGCTGGCAAAAAACTACTCATCGAGGGACCCAGGAAACGCCGAGCGGAAGTTGGTTTGGCCATTGCGACCACCCGGCAAAACTTCGCATAGGACGTGACTCGATCATTTGACAAGCTGGGAAACATAGCCGTGCGCTGGGTCTAGACGACGCCATTGGAAATCGTGAATGTGCCTGAGGGGGGGTGAGGGTGTGGCCAGCTACGCTGTCTGATATGCGCCGCGATTGGATCAGTGTTTCACGGTTCAAGAAGCCGATGAGTGCGGTTCAGTATTATAATCCAGGATGAAGATTCATCAGGCGGCTTTCGAGGGGTTCAAGGGCAAGCTACTGATCCTCATTGAAAGGCAGAAGATAAATCCGCTGGCTGAGAAGGCGGAATGCGACAAGATGTGAATACTGTCCAAATGGGAGTATTGGGCTTATTGTTTGTGTGCAATAGCGTTTGCATTTGAATCGAAATAGTCCCTGTCCTTCCCCAAAATGTCAAAAGAGTGAATGTAGCCATAAGGGCCTTAAGGACACAATGGTATGCCTCTTAGCTGCCTATTTGAGAGCACTGATCATGTCTAAGCATATCTGGGATTGTAATACCCGAAGATAAGGCTGGAGCATCAGGTTTTGTTCCTCAATGTATGACAGGAAGGCGAAAGCGACTGATGTAAATATCTATCCCTGCGAGTCGATCACAACCTAGATCCGCAAAATATCGTCGAGGACGACGGACTAACAGCCTCGTCCACCCTTTTTATGCACCCCCATTTGGCAGGAGATTATCTGACCACAACAACGTGTATCTCGTTCACGTCACAGTTATTCTACGACCACACATTCTGGTGGAAAGTCACTTGAATGGCTTTGAGCAGGGGATCGAATGCACTAAATAATTTGTCTATCAGGGCTATTCCCAGGCCACGACAGCCCATTGGTACAGTATTCAAGAAACCACATTATCCTATCGCATTCGTCACGGCAGGAAGTTGTCGCTATCTGGATTCTGTGGGATTCCAGTTATGCCCTAGGCCGAAAGCGGTACGTCTGCTAGTATAGCTAGTGGGTCAGGCCCGACTTTGTTTCTTCCTTCGTTCCTTAGAGAGCAAGAGCACCTCGCAGAGTACTCCAAAACACCGACTTACGCAGCACAACGCGTAGAGCAGGCGTAGCGATCAATGCGACGTCCATCCAGAGTCTCAAAAGAGGGCCGATTTCCTCAGGTTCTACACAACGAACTCTGCGGACGTGCTCCGAGTAAGCGTCATGTAGCCTACTTTACCTTTGAGACTCTCTTCGCCTAAGGGGATAAGAATGGACTCTGCTAATATCGCTTGTTAATGCCTAGTAACTGTGACAGGCTGTGCCTGAAATGGGATCCGGAGCTGCAAGAACCTTGCGTCCGGATCCAACAAAGGAACCATCGAGGGCATATAAAAACATAGTTTGTGTTCTCGGAAAACTCGCTTATTTTACTTTCCTCCTCAGTTAGATAATTAACAGTATTTGGCCATGTTGAGCTGTATAGTTTCGCAGTGAGCCCGTCACAGTAACTATCTAGCTAATGACGATCTACAGAGAAAGTCTAGGGCGGCGTATCTCGAAAGGTTTATATCCTGATATAACGTACCGCTAAATAGCCCCTCTACTAAACTACTAATAAGTGCTATAAGGTTGGAAAAGTCGTAATAATGGGGTCTGAATTAAATACAAGTAACTAAGATAGAGATGTCAAGGTAGTATACCTTACTAATATGTTATATTGAAAACCGAAGGCAGTATAGGCAGTGTGGAAGTGATACAGTGCTGGTTAAGGCACTGAGGTTCAAATAACTAGAAACTATCACTGTTAATAGTGTCAGATAGGGCACCTGGTTCCTAGGTTCAGAAATAATATGGCACTAGAGAAGACTATTGTCACTTAAAGTTCAGAAGGCGAAAGGAACCCCTCTTCTCAAAAGTAACACCAAAGTTACCGACATGTTCTAAAGCATCTATAAAAGGCAGAGCAACGGGAGTTCGCGAGAACTGAAGACACAGACAAGAACACACCTCATTCATATACAATCTTACGCACTGCTGACTACTCGATTGGACACACGTGATATTCGACAAATAGTTGAGTTGGTTTCTGAGAAGGAGTCTTTACGTAACGACTGCGTCGGGCCTTCCATCTTAACTGTAGCAACACTCTCCCACCGGAGGTCTCAACGATGGAAATTACCACCGTTTTTTCCAGCATGTTAGATTATTACTTGATAACTCACTAAAGCAGATACGAATTATCTACGAAATAATTAGGGAACCGTTCCTTATATATTTATTATTATTAAAATAATATTAAATACGCCGTAGGTGTTAACCCTCGGTACCTCTACAAGTACTCCCTTAAGGGGCTATAGATGATATAGCGGGCCCTTAAGCCGCGTCGGGCGGTTATACAGGTAAACTTGTAGCCAAATGACTACTAAACCTCCTGTCCCTCCCTAAGTCTGTGCTTGTCAGAGAACAGAATGCCATAGGCACCGGTGGGACACCGGTGGGGGCTCTGGTGTAGGAATGTGCGAGTCATGACACGATATGGAAGTCTTGGTTTGCGGAACAATCGGGGAAACTAGTGCTCCGCGGCTCCGACGTCGGGTTCTAGCTATCTATGTAAGGGGCGGAGGCCCGGGAAGAAGATAGAGGGAGAGTAGAGATCAATGCATCACCGTGGGCACCCCTACCTGAGACCGCCAGTGACCACCCGGTATTACGTAGGAGGGACGCCCGTTACTCCCCATCACTCTGTACTATTGCCTTCGGCCTAGCCGTACCCTGACACGTTGATCTCTCCACCCGTCTCCGGGCGTACGGACCGTTGGGGAGAAAATGGCGATGCGAAGAGCCCTGATGCGAAGCCAGACCACAGCCGCAGGCACGCTGGGTGACACCGGAGGAGCTACATCGAGTAGTGCAACGACGACGACAGCGACGCAGACGAGCAGTGGCACTGTCGACGCTACGACGACAACAGCGACGATGAGGCAACTGAGCCGGTCCCAACTAGAGGAGCTCGAGCTAGAAGAGCTTGACCGTCTAGTGGAAGAAGAAGTAGTGAGGAAGAAGAAACGAGAAAGGATTGGACAATTGGAAGCTTTAAGAAGGGGAGAGCCGCATAATAGTACCGCCGGTGGGACCCAGGTTGAACCTATCGGACCAGGCCTAAAGCGACCTCGGCTTGATCTAGGAGGGAGAGGCCACTTGCCGACACTCAAGTACCGGGGCACCAACTGGTCGGAACTTACCTCGTTCATGTTAAACCTAAAGGGGAGATTCATGATGTACGCGGAGGACTTCGACACTGATGCGGCGCGTGTACTGCACACCACCGGATGCCTTGATGGGGCGGTGCAACGACGGTGGACCAGCCACGTTGCTACTACTTACAAAAACGACTTGGGGAACGTCCGGTGGGACGCTATGGAGAAGTGGCTGGAGAGGAGTGTGGCTAGCGACGATACGCGAGTGATCAGCGTGATGCAGAGACTCGATAGTATCACCCAGCGCCCCAACCAGAGCTACCAGCAGTTCATCGACGTATACGATGCTATAGAGACAGAGTGCCCTGATCAACTACCGGAACGGATACGCGTCGTCAACGTACTCAACCGCTTACGACCGGAGTTGAAGCGACAAGTCATGACCCGAGGACTTCCCTCGACTCGGTATGAGCTTGACGACGTAGCTAAGCAAGCCGAGGCGATTGAAATAAGCAGCAGACCACCGGTGTACCAACAGCCTGGCCCGAGGACCAACGCAACATCGTCCTCGACCCCAGCACCAGCAAGGGAAGAAACATCAGACGGGAATGCAGGCCAACAGGCGCCCAGGAGGGATGTGGCTTACGGCCAGTGCTACTCGTGCGGACAGACGGGACATTACTCTCGACAATGCCCTAACTGCAGGACCTGCGGTAGAACCAAACATGACGGACCTTGTCCTGAGGACCGGAACCCAAACACAGCGCCGCTGGGGGTCCGCCACACCGAGCCTCAATAGGGGTACGAGCAGCCGCTCCGTCTGGAAACCACCATCCGTCTCCGGGTTGGCGGCTGCTGGCGCATTGGAAAAGCCTTGATTGACACCGGAGCCGACGAGAATGTCGTGGACTCAAGAGTGCTTGGCATCGAGCCGGGTACGTTACAAGACTCCGGTGAGACGCTGCGGGGCATGTGGGGAAGCAAAGGTCCCAACTATGGCAAGAGGGTATTACATACAAAGATGACGGACGGCTTCGGGGTGACGAAGACGAAGGCTCACGAATTCCGAGTCTCAGACGCAGAAGACTGGGTTGCAATCCTTGGGCTCCCCTGGTGCCGTGCCGTTGAGCCTATATTTCGATGGTCCTCGTTAGGATGGACGTACCCTCTCGACGTGGACAGTCTACAACTGGTGACCAGCAAGAAGGATATACGGAATGCGTACCACGAGGCAAAGTACAGTATGATAGCAGTGCCCGCGGTAGCAAGGGTCGAAGCTAGCAAGGACAGAGGAGCCGGAACAGAGCCGCAGGCCAAGTGTGCCACCGTGCCGTCGGAATACGCAGAATTCCTCCATCTATTCGACGCGCAGTTAGCAGGGAAATTGCCAGATGGAAGGTTTCGGTCACACAAGATCGAGCTAGAGCCAGGTGAAGAACAGAGCGCCACTACCACTGATCGGTGAGATCTTGGATAGGCTAGCTTCCGCGAAGTGGTATACGAAGCTGGATCTGAAGGATGCATACCACCGGGTCCGTATCAGCGAAGGAGACGAATGGAAGACGGCGTTTCGGACGAGATACGGTCATTTTGAGTATCTGGTCATGCCGTTCGGACTAGCTAATGCGCCGGCGACCTTCCAGAGCTACATCAACGACGCACTAGCTGGACTTGTGGACGTGATCTGTATCGTCTACTTGGACGACATCCTTATATTCTCTAAGGACAGGGAGTCACACCCAGAGCATGTCCGGGAGGTCCTCCGCCGGTTGGACGCCGCTGGCCTGTACGCTAATCAAGACAAATGCGTCTTCCACACGCAAGAAGTCGAGTTCCTAGGGTTCGTGGTGTCACCGGAGGGGATCCGCATGGAAACCGACAGGGTGGATGCTATCGCGCAATGGCCAGCCCCGGCTAGTATCCATGATATACAGGTTTTCCTCGGATTTACTGGGTTCTATCGCCGGTTTATCAAGAACTACTCGAAGATAGTAGCACCCCTGACCGACCTACTCAAGGGAGGATCATCTGGAGCGCTGCAGCTCGATAATGTAGCACACGAGGCGTTCTACAAGCTACGCCTGGCCTTCACACGAGCACCTATCTTGAAGCATTTCGAGCCTGGACTACCTATACGTGTAGAGACTGACGCATCAGACTTCGCAATTGGCGCAGTACTTAGCCAGCTGCACGGAGACAGGTGGCACCCAGTGGCTTTTATGTCCAAGAAATTGAAAGGCGCTGAGCTACGCTACGGGACACCCGATGCGGAGCTGCTCGCGATTATTGAGGCAACACAAC